AATATCAGAGCCTTGTCAGCAAGAGTTGACGTTTTGAGAGGCCGCCGCGTAAAAAAACCTACTCTTCGTACCATATCCAGCGCGCTTGGTATTTGATCTCGTCATCAGTGGGAATGTGGCGGTCGGGATTGCGGATCGACATTGATCTTTTGGCGAAGCTGGATAGGTCTTTCACAAGAGCCAGATACGAGTTACCGCCATTGTGAAAGTGCATTCGCCCTGATGATGTCCTTGTACGTTGCTGCATGTTCGGTGTAGTATATACTGGATCAGTGTTTCCAAGTAGTCTCGCTAAACCACTTTTACATGCCGGATTCGGGACAAAATCGAAGTCAGATGCGACATGGGCTATGCCCAGTAAGCTGATTTGGCTAGTAACTTGAAGGGAGAGATCTGAAGTGAGTCCAGTTCTATTGCCGCCTGAACCATGCGCCATCCCTACGAGTGCATCTGTCGGCAATGTGGGGAGGTCAAGAATCTCACCCATTGCGTCGCGAGTGCCATTCAATGTGGAGGCTGGGTATATTGGATTTCCAAATATCTCCTTACCTTCTGAACACCCCATGCTTGGCAAATACACATGACCTGGGTCGAGTTTAGAAAAGGTAGGGATGAAATTCTGGTTGGCATTATTCATACCGTCGGTAGCCTGCTGCCCTGCTCTTTCAAGCAGAAAGGTAATCCAGTTCACAGAGCCCCAAATAAGCCGTACCATGAAATCCATGAACCGTTTGGATCCATCCAAGAATCTCGCGTCTGCATGACTGATGACATTGCAAGCTTTTTCTTGTATCTCTGAGTCTGACAAGGCGAGACCCAAAGTCTGGTGCATAATGATAAAATTGCGCAACTCGAGCTCGAAGTTGCAATTCTCAAATATATTGTTTTTCCCATTGATGCTTAGCTGGCTTACTCGCACCTTGCAATGACTGACTGGGCGCAAGCAAGCCCGCTTTGTAGGCTCATCTGAGGACATGAATACATCCCGAAGCCAGGACGGTGCTGCCTGGGCAGGGACAGGCGATGATATTTCCGCTGCAAGGATGATGGAACAAGCCTCATATTGAAGTTCTGGGTCAGAGGGCAGACTGCCGTCACTATCAAATTGATTTTGCATACAGTACTCCAGCTCTAACTTAAGAAGCTCATATGAACTGGTCGGGGTCTCGGTGGGCCCTTGTACCGCAGAAAAGGGGAGAGGTGAGGCTTGCTCGAAATGAATGAGGTCTATACCCAATTAGCCACAATCAGGTCTCATGCCAAACCAAACGGAGGAATCACTCACAGGGAGGCATGGCATTTTCAACTATCTCCGACACATGATCATCAAAGCCCCAATCGCCCTCCCAATCAGCCATTGTTTTCCCTGCCTTGAAGTGTTGGCCCAAGTGGTTCGCACGATATATCCACGATGTCATGGAGAGACCACAAAATCCGCATCGTGACTTGATATCTTCCTTGCTGATATTCCAAGTTTTCATTAGCTCTCCTGAATAGTCTACGGCATGTACCAGCCTTAAGTGTTGCCGAAGATGGTCTTTTCGATAGAAAGTCCGTTCTCCAACAGGTCGTTCTGAACATTCAATCGCATTGTGATCTCGGAGATGTTGTTCATTCGGACTGGTTTCTCCACAAAAAGTACACAGTGTCCCTCTGTTGGTATCGGGTACTACTGGCCCATCCCTCGAGCAAATCCATTTCTCGAAAGAGAGGTGTAGTGACTTCTCGTGTCGATGCCAGTCGAACTTGGTTTTGAAAGTTTCAGTACAGAACGTGCACTGAAACGTTTTGAGGGGCCGTGACAGCTGTAGAAGCCTGACTCTAGATTTTCCATCTCTTCTGGCACTGGTTCTCCTTCTTCTGCGCCGCAACATGTGCTTGAGAGGATCTTGAGACCGGAGTGAAGTGCGCTCACCGAAAGAATAGGCCGAAGAGCCAGAGCCAGAGCCAGAGCCAGAGCCTATGTTTGAATGTGAAGTTCCGTCACTTCCGTCCAAGGATGCATTGCCCGAGAATGTAGCCGAGTTCTGAGAGGTGTAAGCGACGGACTCTTCAGAGCAAGCGGCGATGGCGCGTGATATGTCAGAAGCTGCAGCTGCTTCGTGTTCGGGCGGAGAGCTCTCCCATCGTTGAAGTGGATTCATATTTCCAAAAGGTGTAGGAGTAGGCGGCCTTGGAGGTATGTCGACAGAAGATCCCTGGGTCGGTATTGGATCGGATGTTCTGTAAGGATTCGATGAAAATGATAAAGATCGTCGAACCTTGGAGCGTCGTCGCATATTAGAGAACCAGTTTTGTATCTGCTTTTGACTGAGGCCAGTGTGAGCCTCAAGCTGTTGTAAATCATCGCCTGTTGGGTACGGGTGATCCTCATGATCCGCGAACCATCTCTTTAGCAACTTTAGGGCGGAAGGGTTAAAACGATTGCCACTCTTGGGGGGCAATGTATTTTTGGCAGGTAACAACGTCATTGAGGCCCCGATAGCATTGTGAGGTATATTCATGTTGTCAGTCTCGGCTAAAAGTGAGACCAGCTGTTCTTCTGAAAGCAAATCAATGTCGAGCCTCGGCTGATCTTGCACCAAGGAGGTCACTGCATTTTGCTCAGAAGTTGCGACATCGCCCCAGCTAATTGGTTCGAGACCTGCTGGGGAAGGGTCATGGCCTGTAGGACCAATTTCAAGCTCGTCTACTGATGAGGGCTCAGTCATGGTCCAGATGAGTGATAGAGATGTCGATAATTTGGCATTAAGCCAGGATGAACCTATGTTGTATGATATACCGAACGTTACGTATTGAGGAGGTCTGTCGTCGAAGGGCGTAGATTTGGCCCACTTTTCCTACAGATTAATCAACCATTTCCTTGGTTGCCGGAGTGGGGTAATGATACAGCACCCTCTATTCGCTATATCACGTCTGTAGCTTTCATTGGAATTCATAGCCCCGCCCCGGATAACAAGGGGCCCTCATCATCATCGTAAGGTAGGTAAGGTAGACGGTTCCCTAATAATCGAGGATGCTATTCAAAGTGATACTTATATGTAGGTCATATGGACGTTGTGAATTATTTTACTTTCTAATCAACAAGGTCAACATTGGAACTTGCCGGTACACGTGTGTAACTTAAAATCGATCAAGACTACTTGGTTGACCTACGCCCTTTTACGGTGCTGTCTGTAGAAATGTTCTTGGCGCGTCCTGTAACTGCCAAAGGCCACTTCACTACATGAGTGCAATTTTGTGGATACAATTAGTAAGTGACCGATGATCAAATGTTAGTGGGGAAGTTGAGGAGCTATGTATTAAGCATAGATAATCGACAAGTCTGTGATTTGTGTGGTACATTTTCAAGGATTGAGGCTTTCATCCCGTGCCGCTCTCGTTGTCATGACAAAAATGATTAGTATATTGTCTTTGCTGGTGATCATGTTGAAAGCAGATAAAGCCGAGGACGGCCCCAAGGGAATCCCTCGGTTGGTCCGAGACATCCGTGCGAAGAGCTCCACCTCACACCATTTCTTGTAAAGCCCCACTTATCCACTAGGGAAATCTCGCGCTCGCAATTATTCATTAGTACGTTATACTCCAGGGTAACGTAAATTATAAGGAAAACCATTTTATGATTATATGTCAAACTTAGCACTATGTATAGGGCTAGTATAAGAGATATCCAATGGGACCACGATATGGATCGGATTGATGGATGGTAGTGAGTAAAATCAGCGAGATGGCTGTTGAGAGCTAACCCATGGGTCCGTCGTATGGGTGTGCTAGCCTGGTACTCGGCGGTTACAATTCGAGCTATGCGTAATACATTACTACTCCACATACAGTACTTCGACATTATATGCCAACCTGGGGAATGTTTGTTTGAGAGCGCATCCTGTAGTTAGTCCGTGCGTGCGATACCCTGGGGTTGTCAGCGCACGGGGCGGTACATTACCTCCAGAAATACGTACTGTAGGTCCACCTGATACCGCGTTCTTGTGTTTTCGTACTGTATGTTATTTTGAATTGCTGTACTCATGGACTCGGGTATTGTAATTGCTAAGTATCACATACGGACCCGTTCGTACGCTATGGGAACTCTTTCAATTGCTTTTCCGCTGATATTTCTCTTCAATCAATCAACAAATTCATCCTGTTTTGACTCCGCTTGATCTCATTTGACCTAAATGCATACTAGGTCATACGAGTATTTGTTCATTTGATGGAGGTCAGTGAGAACGCCAGAGTGTATTATGTGATATACATTTACTCATCGAAGGAACATGGGCGGGAAGGTTTTTTGATATGTACTAATGCGGAATATGTGGGGCGTCATTGAGAGGTAGAGAGCGAGATAATAGACGACAAATGATTTCCAATGCCATTGCCTTTCATTTGACAATATGTGGGTCAGCCTTGCAGCTTTCATCGGCGGGTTGTCAAAAGGCGTGTCAAAAGGCGTGTCAAAAGGCGTGTCAAAAGGCGTGTCAAAGGCGTGCGCTCCCACCATGCCACGGTAGGATTTTCCAGGTTACTTGCTACCTTTTCCTGTCATCTCTTTGGCTCTCCAACTCAACAGCTTTTGCGTTGATTGATAACGGAAGCTCCTTAGGAAATGGGGCCGGCTTCTGCTCAGACGGAGACAGAACGGCAAGACGACATGCCCTCTAGCAACCACACATGCTATCCTAGCTCGAACTCCAGACTAGATGCTGCCATAGATGGATTTGTCTACGAAGCGGCAGAATCGCCTGACACACAGCAGTTGCACAGACCGAACGACTCAAAGGACGACGCCAAGTGTATCTCACAAGACGGTTGCAACTGTCAAATCCAAATTCAAAATGTGAGAAAAGATACACTAGGTCTCTCTGATATTGCTGACGATACAACTCGAGAAGGGAAATGTAATTCAAAAAGTTGACCTCTGCGATATATCGATTGGTTGCGATCAAATCAACGCCGTTGTTGAAAAACCTGCTAGTCGTAATGTGGCGGAGCAACCTCCGGTGATGCAGACTCTCACGGATCTCGAGAATGGTCTTATTGGCTGGGATGGTGAGCGTGACCCGGAGAACCCCTTGAACTTCACGTCTGCAAGGAAGTGGCTGATCACCAGCATACTATCGGCCATTGGGTTTATGACTCCGTTTGCCTCATCCATCATAGCCCCCGCGACATCTTTTATTCAGAAGGACTTCGGGGTCAGCAATCTGACAAAGGGTGCTCTTCCAGTGAGCATTTTTTTGTTAGGTTATGCAGTGGGACCTCTATTTCTATCGCCCTTGTCCGAGATATATGGCCGCTACATCATCATAACTGTTTCCAGTACCTTCTTCTGTGCGTGGCTGATTGGTTGTGCTCTTGCTCCTTCATTGAACACACTCATTCTCTTTCGCTTTCTGTGCGGTGTCGGCGGTTCTGCCTCTCAGACTATTGGAGGGGCCACGATAGCAGATCTTTTCCCCATTCACGAGCGTGGCCGAGCTTTGGGTATCTGGTCACTTGGGCCGATCCTAGGGCCTTCTTGTGCACCTGTCATTGGTGGATTTGTTGCTGAATCGATAGGGTGGCGGTGGGCTAATTGGATCACTCTAATTCCTGCCTTTCTCATAGTGGTATTAATAGCTATTATCAACTGCGAAACCAATCACCGGGTCTTGATCGAACGGAAGACAGCCAGAACACGCCAGCAGCTTGACCGACCCGAGCTTCAGAGTTGTTTCGCCGATCGTAGTATTCCTCGCTTGTCGAAAGAGGATATAATTCTTGGAGGTTTAACTAGACCTCTAAGATTGCTTTTTGGTTCTGCCATTGTGTTTGGCATATCTCTTTATATCGCATTTGCATATGGGTGTCTCTATCTTCTATTCAACACTATCCCTATTGTCTTCCAGGACCACTATGGTTGGTCTATTGGCATTACAGGCATCGTATACCTGGCCCTTTTGATTGGATATATCATCGGCCTGTTCATCTTTTTGACCATGTCTGACAAGACTATAGTCTGTATGACTGAGGCTAATGGTGGGGTATACGAACCTGAGATGCGACTTCCTGTCTGCAATTATTTCGCTTGTCTACTACCGATTGCCTTCTTTTGGTTCGGCTGGAGCAGCGAGAAAGGCAGTCTTTGGATCGTACCGGTCCTTGGGCTTGTGGTATTTGGCATCGGATTTGAGTGCATCTGGCTGCCGACTCAGGCATTTATTGTCGATGCGTACCCTCAATGTGCTGCTAGTGCACTCGCTGCTTTCACTGTAATGCGAAGTGTGGTTGCTGCATTCCTTCCCTTAGCTGGACCGCAAATGTACCACGCCTTGGGGCTTGGCTGGGGAAATACTGTTTTGGGGTTGATAGCTTTAGTACTTGTGCCAGTTCCTTTAGTTATCTACAAATTCGGCAAAACTATCAGGAAGCACGAGCGTTGGAAGCTATAGGAAAATCAGGGATGTTCTCATGTGCATACCATCGGTCTGGCTATCCTGATAGACTGCGAATTATAAGGGGTTGTTAGCTTTGTACGTCCTTGGGGCTTTCAAGTGGCATGGGTCCAGAATTGGGTGTGGATCAACAAAATTGGCCGGATCCGGGATGGGCGGACGTCCTCCTATACTAGTGATCGAGATAAGCCAGATTAGCGTCAGTCTCGGTCTAGCAACTCATTCGTTACTAGACAAAGCTTTGGTGTGTTCAAGAGTTGCCACAGAAACTGCAGGTATTCTTTGATTCATAGTTTAACACGATAGGAAGAGTAAATCGAATGCGATGGGATAAAAGAATAACAGATTCGATCCGAAGTTGGAAGCTGCGAGCCAGCTAAGTTAGATTGATTTTTCTCAACAGATTTTGAACAAGAATCCACCAGTCTGCGTTTGAAAGATAAGAAGTAAAGAAATGAAGAAATAAAAGTTGATTACTTTTCACGTAAAACACTGCAAGCTCCCTCGAAAACTGAAGCCCGAAAAGCTTTTCCGGGTCGCGGCTCAGCTTGCATTTCCTCTTACAACCTCAAGAGGTTATTGATTTGTATCTTTTCTATAAGAGAACAATATAATATTGCACTAGGAAGATTAGTATTAAAAATAATATATAGGATTTAGCTAGTAATTATAAGATTTATGTATGTATAATCCTAGATTTCTACTATTGATACTTGTTGAAACTAGGGCTGTCTGTATAGCTGCGATATTGGATTGAGGCTGCGGAGCGAGATAAGTTTACTATCGATTATGTAGATAGTAATAATAGAGCTAATTGAAATTCCTTTTCTGTAATTAGTTAATGTTTGTATGTTGATGCGGTTAAGGGACTGTCTATATTTTAGGTAGGAGTGATGTAGTATAACTATATAAAGGAGACTTGGGATATTTGTACGGTTTGATCCACTCTCGGATACAGACCAATCAGATGATTGGTCTAGAGAGTGGGCGTCCGCCTATATGTATGTAGTATAGCTCTCTCTTCATCCCTTTGCCTTAACGTTGTTGTTTGTTGTTCTTCGCACCTTTCTCCATTCTGGTAGATCGTAGGCACCTTATCATAGTGGCGAGGACTCACTTAGTGAAGCCTCGTCACCTTGGATCGGTGACCCAGTTGATCCGTTCCTCTGTGTCATGATGTATTTTAATCAACCATGGGAAGGAGATTGAACAAAAGGTGAAAGCTCGAGGGCTGAGGAGTGGAAACAGGAAGGCTGTGTACTCTTTTTATATGCCTATACTCCGCCGTCGGAGGTAAAGTGGAGTCTAGGTAGGGGGATGAAGTTCTAACCCTGGAGTACGACAGGAAATATACCTACTCTTCCAAGGTTGAGTCGGAGGCCACGGTCAATATAGCTCTGGAGTGAGGAATGGGCGGACAACTTGAGGTATTTTCCGATTTTCTGTGCACATTTGCATTTCAATGTTGCTAGACTTGGGACCACTGGTCCACCATTCGTAGTTGATATCACGTCACACCTCACACCTCACACCTCACCTTAGGCTTCCCCTCATCGATCCCTAGACGCACTTTTTCCATTTATATAAGGCGTGCTAGTACATAGTATATTTTGCTCGGATGGATCATTACCTTCATCTGAAATATATGCATATGGGTAATCTTGGACGATGAGAGAAAAAGAGTGTGATCCTCTAGAATATAGTCAAAATCTCGGAATAAACATATGCACCTTGGTATTAAACATTGGAATTCTTATATTAACTTCCGTCTTCTAAGGTTACTAGGGCCTATCTCGCACCAGTAGACATTTCCAAGGTTTATACTTCCAAATATCGAAGGTTTTGAAAACAGGTAACCTACCCTACTTATTATTTTATATAGACCTAGTACTTACCTACCCTGCGGGTCTAAGATCAGGAATCTCTATCTATACCTCAGAGGGTTAGGGTCTAATCTTACAAACCCTGACCCTAACCCTAACTCTCTAAAGGTCTCTTAAGGGTTATTTATATTGACCCTTATTAACCCTTAAATATATAATTTCTCTATGCTTTTCCTATTTCGGATATATAAATTTGATAATTTAGCTTCTTAAAATACTATTATTTATAACTATTTTAGTATACCTCTAAATTCTTCTTATCTTTTACTATAAAGACTTTTAAAATATAAAGAAATTAAATTATAAATTAATATTTTATATATTATTATCTTAGGTTTCTTAGTATTAACTAGAAATATTTTATAAAAGATTAGTTTTAATAGTTATTATAGAATACTTATAGTATAGTAATTAAAATATATTTCTAAAGTAGATTAATAGTAATATTATTACAGGATTCCTAAATCCCTTTAGATATAATTCAGATATGATTTATAGCTATTCTATAGGTGAATCTATCTTAATATACCTACTAATATATAACTACCCTAAGCCCTAGTAAGCTCTAGTAATATTAAAACATATAAATAATAGCTACAATTCTTGTCCTACAAGAATCAGTTCTATATATCAACTGTTCTATTTGATCTCTACTATCCGATATCCTTACCTAGTCACAGGTCTCTAGCCTAACAACTTAGTAACCATTACATAAAGCTACTTAAGGGCTATATACTTAGATCTTAATAATTACTATACTATTTAATTCTATATATTCTATATTATTATTCATATAATAAAGAATATAATTTTCTTATAATTTTATCTTTTAATCCTTAATCCTTTACTCTTCTATTATATTAAAAGTTATAAATAAATATATAGAAATTGTCACGGGATTCCTGAATCCCTTCGGGTACGATTCGAGTACGATTCATGGCCGCTCCGCGGGCGAATCTACCACGATACACCCGCTAATGCATGACTGCCCTAAGCCCTAGCAAGCTCTAGCAATATTAAAACGCACGAACAATAGCTACGATTCTTGTCCTGCAAGAATCAGTTCTGTATATCAACTGTTCTATTTGATCTCTACTATCCGATATCCTTGCCTAGTCACAGGTCTCTAGCCTGACAACTTAGTAACCATTACAGAAATCCTCTCTAAATCAATATAATTTATATATTATAAGCAAGTCACATTTTCTACCTATTTATCTTATTTGGGGACCTTAAGATTCACCTACAGATAACCCTCTTAAGGGTCGGACGTCTAGGTGAATAACCCTTAGGGTCGATAACTTAGTCATTTACCTACCTGTAGGGTAGGTCAGGTAGAGGGTCTGGAGGGTCACCCGCAGATGAAGGCCAGGTCTAAACCTTAACACAACGGTTCACCCCTTTGTTGACAGATTCTTAAGATCTATATAAACAGTATACAGACACCGCCTAATTGAATCAATTCGACTGTAGCCCTTCACACTTAGCTTCTAAGAGCTTTTTCGGACGGTTAGAGTAGGATTTTGATATACTATTATGTCTCTTATATTCTTTTTTGATCTAATATCGAATTGTTGATAAAGGAATATAGGGATAATGTTTTTGGATATGTCTATATCCTTATCTAATTGTATGTAGCTTATATACTTACGGATTACAGATATAAGCTTAATGGATCTAGCTATTATTGTCAGTTGATATATGGAGATAAAAGATAGATAGAGATAAGATAAAGATATATATCTAGTAAGAAGAAGAATAGGGATTATAAAAGCTATATATCTAAAGTTCTAATGATATAACCAACACATACTATACGCGACTATTTTAGCGTAGTTCCTGCTCTGTGTATTAGGAAGGTGGTATAGGCGGTGAGAAAGTGGGGTATATAGGGGGGTGCGAATACTTTTGTCGCATCTCTGTATATTGTAGTGGGGAGAAACCTCTATCCAATCAGAAGTGACCCTTACGGTCGCGGATTTATTATCCCTTTTTGTTTCTTGCGGTTATATAGCATCGCGTTGCGATTAGTTCTAGAACATACACACTTCTTACATTCTTTTGATCACGTTCTGAGATCCTGACTTCCCGCGATGGCCAGGGAAAGATATTGATGTTTTGCTGTGGGCTTTTCTGACTAGTATTCCGATACAGGCCTATTTCTCCTCTTCAATATGTACCCGGTACGGGTACATCGATAAGAATTTACAAGTCACTTAAATAGGCCGAACGAACTGAATGCAAAGTGAAAGACAGAATTACGGGCAGCAAAAAAGCCAAAGAAAAAGAAAAAAAAAAGAAACTTTAGAACATGTAATGGTAGTTATGTGTGGTAGTCACCTAGCGCTTACGGCTCGGACCACTCGCTGCTCTATTCCGTCACCTGGAATTTTAGCTCGTATAAGGAAGGGGAAATTTTTGCAACTTGAAGCAAAATGATGACTATCAGAAGTACTGTGGTAGGTTCAAATGTTAGCCGGAACAGAGTTTCACCCAGCTGGAGCAGACACGTGTTACTCGCCAATAACCTTGGACGCCATATCTTGAGCTTTGATAGCTTGTGTAACTTGAGATGCATCCTAGGTGGAAAGGAGGTATAGATCGACAGCGCCATACGCGCCAGGAAATATCCCCTGCCCGGGTATGCCCTGTTACAACCCCGCCCATGCCGGCTATAGCCTTCAATGTTGGAAGAATTGGCGTTTTCTGAAGTGATCCTCGAGACTGCCAACTTGCAACTACTCCCAAATTACTTACAATTTTGTCACGAATTTTTATCTCATTAACTCATTCTTGACGGCAAGCTTGAAATCGTACAAGGATGGTAGAATTCACTGGTAGTACCTTTAAAGGACATGTTACAGGACTTGTGTATCTTTCTGTGGCGATTCTGCCCCTGTGGTATTTGGCATCGTACCTAATTTCGCCGCTGGGCAAGTATCCTGGCCCATTTCTTGCCGGTAAGCTACCTTGAACAAATTTACCTACAACAAAGCATCAAGTTCTCTTCAGCCCGCTCATATTTATATCTGACACGCCTTTTTCTCTAGGATGGACCAACCTGTGGCGAATGTATCATGTCCGACGAGGAAACTATCATATCGTGATCCACGAGCTACACAAAAAGTACGGCCCTGTAGTGCGGATAGCGCCCAACGTCTTAGACCTGGATATTCCTGAGTTGATTAAGACTGTTTACAACACCAAAGAGAACTTTGTCAAGGTAAGTATATCTTGCTTTGGCGGATCAGTTTCTCCGAGTCTGAAACCTCTGTATAGATTGAGCTAATATCATGATATTTTCTGGTCTAGACAGAGTTTTACCATGGCAGTAGTGCTGTGAACAACGGAAAGATTATTTATAATCTATTCAGTGAATGCAAGCCAGAAGTCCATTCAGCGCAGAAAAGACCCATCTCCAAGTACTTTTCTCTGAATGGGATTCTCACACTTGAGCCTCACATCGACAACGTGATTCGGTATTTTTGCCAGCGCTTAGATGAGAGGTTTGTCGACGGATCTAACTCTTCCGAAATATGCGACCTTGGAGAATGGATTACTTACTGTAAGTCGACTCCAATAATCCCATTCTACCACGAGTCTACGATGTACTGAAGCTAACCGTGCCAAGATACGTGGGACGTCGTTGGCCAAGCTACATTCAGTCAACCGATCGGATACCTAGAAAAAGGCTACGACTTTGACGGCACACTCAAGACCGCGAATATTGCTATGGACTATTTCACCATGGTCGGTCAGATGCCAATACTCGATCATCTACTTGATAAAAACCCAGTTTATAGGCTTGGGCCACCCTCTTTCGGTACCATCACCAATATCTCGATCCAACATCTAGTGGACCGTCTCCAGGGTAATGATGACCATGACTCAGAGAAGCCGGATTTCTTAGACAAGTTCATCCAGGCAAAGGAAAGCTTCCCAGATGTTGTCGATGATACGTTGATTATTTCTGTGTTGATGGTCCTTATGATTGCTGGAGCAGACACGACGGCTATCACCCTTAATACGGCGCTATACTACTCGTTAAGACAACCAAGTATATGGGAGCGCCTTAGGTCTGAAATCCCTACCCACCATTCGAAGACATTATTTTCGGCAACTTCCTATAAGAATTCCAGGAATTTTCCGTACTTGAATGCAGTTATCCGTGAGGCTTTGAGGTACCATCCCGGTGTTGCGATGCTTCTTGAACGATACGTTCCCAAAGAAGGTCTTAATCTCCCCGATGGGGGTCATGTTCCAGCCGGTTGCGTGGTTGGAATGAATCCTTACGTTGTTGGGCGAAATGTGTCAGTCTATGGTGAGGATGCTGACACCTTCCGCCCTGAGCGATGGCTTCGCGATGAGGAACTGGAGACTGAAGAAGAATTTCAGCAACGCCTTCACCTTATGAATAATACGGACCTATCGTTTGGAGGCGGGAGTCGTATCTGTATCGGCAAGCATTTAGCTCTCGTTGAGGTGTACAAAGTTCTTGCTACCCTTATCTCTCGCTATGATATAAGCTTTGTCGATCCAAACAGGGAATGGAAAACGCACAATAGCTTTTTCGTGCGACAAAGTGGCATCGAAGTGAAGTTTTCAAGTCGTACGTAAGTAAGTGAGATAGTGGGAAATGGTGATCCCAGTACCATGCTTATTATGCGTGCCCCGACGTCGTTACGTTTTTCTCTCTTTTCTTGTGTCATGGTCTGTCTGTTATTGTACATACAATAATGACAGTTCTTATGATTTCACGATACATACTGCGACATCCATATCTCTAAGAGTGTTCCTACTGGCAATAGTCAATCCACATACTATTCATGGGTAGTAAGCACATGGATGTATATTCTATAGGGAGGTTGCGATTAGGAGGGAAACCAAATTGGGGCACACATATTCAAGCAGATACGGTGGGTCTGCCATAGAAGCGAAAAGTGACAGATGTGCCCTATGTATATCTAATTTACTTGGGTGCCGGAAGATTCAAAACAGCTTCTCCTTGAGCACAGCCTGTAGGAATCTCCCGTAGCCGACTGTGCTGCTTCTTCCTCTCACTCAGAACCAACCTCTAAAAATACATAAGAGGGACAAGACCTGTTCCCTGATCCTTGTTACCCTTAAACACCTTAACCCAGAATATACTGTCCTGTTTAGAAAAAAAGCATGTCTCATGATGGTCTAAAGGGGAAGAATATGGGGTTTGTGTCCTTGCCATGCGAGTCACTTGAGTCTCCAGTAGATGCATATTCTGACATACTGTTGAAGTCCTTTTGCACCTGAATTCGGAGGTTTCGAAACAATCCATTGTAAGATAATCAAAGGCTGCAGAATCGTGAGAATCCGCCATAAATCTGACCCAGGCATTCTGATCTTCAACTTCAACCTTGAAACATTGGGTGGTGCTGCCCTGGAAAGGCCAAGCAACACAAAAGTGCATTCCTGTGGGATCCAGTCGGGTATGTCGAAGAGTATTCAGGATACGAGACATGATATGAAGCGTTTCCGTGCGCATTTCCTGGCTCAGTCCGCCAATCCATCTCAAGAGGGAGCTTATCTGAAGCGTCTCATCTCTGAGCTTTTCTTCAAGGTCACTCGGATGTCGTTGCGATGCAGGGGAAAACGGGGCATCGGGTCCACGATGAGCCTCCTTAAACGAACTTTCCTAGCTACTCAAGTGCAGTATCTCACTAAAACACCCCATTAATGGTCCAAGAATTGAATCAGTTCCTGGGGTGGATATGCAAGTGCTCGATCCTTGCCTGGTATGCCTGGATGATTATTGTAAGTGGCTGCAGCTTGAAGAGCAACATATCGACAGGCTTGAGATGCTAGCTGGCGCTGTGACTCTTCCCAGTAAGATGGACTTGTTCCCAGCTGTTCCAAAAAAGTTTCCCCATATACCGCGACAGTCGGTCACAATAGTCTAACAAGCTGCGTTTATTGAGACCAATTATCCTATCAAAAGTGGTTTTGCAGTATCAATCGGGTCCAACTTTTGGATATCAGGCAGTTGTTTTATCCAATGAAACCTTTCACTTCCGGAGGCTGAAATATATCCGTCGCCAACTTTGATTGCAACAGTAGACTAGTCACTTTCCCAAACCAGGAAGTTTTCAGGACCCCAGGTATCAAATAGATCACTGACATGTCCCAGGATATCATATTGCAACCCCAAACATTGACTTCCTGATGGAGCCCCATTAGCACAAAAACAAAGGACCTACCCGCGTGTCAACTCACTTAGGCAGGTAAGATTTACCATTCCAGCAATCAGAAATTGTTGGGACCATTCCTTTTGAAATCCCATCAATTTGACCTTCAGCGCAAGAAAATCCAAGAAGAAAAGTCGAAGGGGTCCTATATGTGCTTGAGAGTAGGAAAGAAAGCCAAGGTAAAGAAATTGGACTGACCGCACACAAAGATAAAGACACCAATCAGCACTTGAATCCTCTGGTATATCCGTCCATATATCGCCCAAACCCTCTTGGATACAGATAAAAGCTTTTCGGTATCAAGAGTTTCGGAGATCGAATTAATGGCATTTTTCAGCTCCTCAAGAAGATCCAGAAGTAGTCTTAACAGAATAGATATTATTTCTCCACGAGGTGGTGATAACTGTCCATCTACTTGAGATCTGGATCTAAGTAACGTGAAGGAATTGCAGCAAAGGTTGTTTGCTTGAATCAGAGCAGCGACCTGACAGATCCCTTCCAGAGCTTGATGGATGCGATATAAAATCATTCCAATACTGCGAATAGCTGTTCTATCTGTGGGCAGCGTATATGAAACCAAAAGAGCCTGATCACGCGCATTGACTTCAATCCATCCAACCCAATCAATTACCGTTCTTTTGATAGGACTTACCCCCGCCAGGCCACACTTTTCTTGGATATAATAGATAATTTCCACCTAATCAAGCAACATTGAATTGCTTGTGGGTATTTAGTACAAATTCTGCATTGGCCCCCGCTCGCCATATAAAAAGATATAGTGACACTCTGGGATATATCGATCAGGTTAAATCTCCAGGTAAGGCAAGGGGGTTGGCTGGAAAAAGATCCAAGGCAAATCTTTCTTATCTTCCAAAAAGATATCAATAATATCTTGGCAATCATAACCCACCTTTCTCAATTCCCGCGCCCAGGAAATGTCTTTAGCTATTGCGGAACTGCTGTCTAAAAGAAGGCCTAGTAACTAAACACTATATTCGCTTTTCGCAGCCGTCATTAGAGCCTCGTCTGTGGTATAGATTTTATCTAACTGGATCGTGAGAAATGCGCCCACCAAGCCTACCGCATTGGAGACTTTCAAAGTCAGTCCCAAGTCTCTTCAATAAGGAAAGTGGGGATTCCTTGTGTTTCTAGAAACAGCTGAACGTCCCCTATATATCTATTGTATACAGCAGCTAGAAGAGCAGTTCTATAGTAGCCGCCTTGGGTATTCAAATCAGTCTTATACTCAAGAAGTACTTTTACAATTTCTAGATTCCCTCTAAATACAATAGCTAGAAGATTATTTCTATAATAATTACCTTGGATATTAACATTAGTACTATTCTAAAGAAAGAGCTATACTACTTCTAGATATCCTTTAAATACAGTAGCCTAAAGAGCAGTTCCAAAATAGCTATCTTAGATATTAATATTAGTACTATCCTGAAGAAAGAGTTATATAATTTCTATATATCCTTTAGATATAGTAGCTATAAGAGTAGTTCTATAATTGCAATATTGGGTACTGTTCTTAGTACTATATTTAAGAAAGAGTTGCACTACTTCTAGGTATCCTTCAGATACAGCAGTACAAAGAGTAGTGCTGTATCCAGAGTCTTAAATAGTGATCTCATCACATTCAAATTGGACAAGAAGATATTATACACAATATAGAATAGCCTGTAAAATTGGACTTCAACCTACAGTTCCTACCAATCACAGCATAGTAGGTGTACCCGGAGCCGTAACTAAAAGGTCTCGACCCACCTGGTTCCGGAACAAGAAGCAGTACATAGCCCGCATTCGATAGCCCGCTTGTAAATGCTTAATTTATTTCAAGTGTAAAGTGGCTTGTAAAGATTTAATACCCCCCGTCATAGAGTAGATTACACTACTTTTGAAAAGCAAGTTAGAATATGAGCGCCACCCCAAAGGAACAGAGATCAGCCGCCTCAAATACTTGGGGACATCAAAAACTAGAAGCAAGTGAAGAGGACTTAATCGATAAAAAAAACATAAAATAAATAAACTATCACACTCTGTATAGTCTTCACAGAATATCCTCACAACCCAAATTAGTAATCGCTCTTCTTTCGTACTATACCCACTACCTCTACTTTATCCTCTCTAGCCATAGCCACCTACATCACACTAGGACCTAACAATACCTACCTTGTTATTTCCCCCAAGCACAGGGCGTCCGGTAACCTTCCAGAGGGCATGAAAGAGCTAATAAAGCAACAGCCGAAGATTAGAGATATCCGAGAGATGGCTCTCGGCCCGAACGGGTCTTTCCTGGTAGTGTACATCGCACATAATAACTCCGAGAATCTTCGTACATAGTATAGTACCGGTCAATAGGCCCCTAGGGACTTACCGGTCTTTTTCACAGGCCACAGGAACCTACCAGCTAGTCTCACAGAATAGTTGATCAAGAACAACAGCAGCTTGCTCGGCCATGCCTCCCTTCAGTACTCTCTTGGACAGATTAGTACATATTTCGCCTTTGTTACCAAAGGTTCGGCTCAGGGAAGCCTGTCTGAAGGGATGGAGAAAGCTTGCAAACAGCGTTTTCTTCCAAATGGAAACTAGAAAAGCGGAGATTACCCAGCCAGTGTTACTTTCGGTCCCAACAGCTAATATGTTGTTACCACTACCGGCGGTAGCAGGTATTGGAATCTCTACAGGACAAAGGGCAAGCTTAATACTACCTTGCGCGATATAAATAGTCTGAAGGACATGGTGAGTATATTTTATCTTTCACTCATGCACACAACCATACGTGCGCCTTAAATTCACTCTTTCTTTGCCATTGCAGCATCTGCCACTAATACAAGTGGATCAATCCATAGTTCGTTGTCTTATATCTGTTCAATAACGACCAGTGGGTTCTGGCCAATTACAACAGCAATGGCCAAGTAGGCGGCAATGTCGAAAAAAGCGGCTGTCCCCGACTTCAATAACTTCAAAGCCGACCTGCAGGAACTCTTGCGGAACCAGCGTGCCCAGTCCCAGTCCTGAACCTCCCATCAGAAAACATCCCTCTCTATGACTAACGGCATCGGCTTGGGCTTCAACTGCTTAATGTTGCGCTGGGTGGCGGTAGCTGTGGTGGTGGGAGCTGTGGTGGTGGGAGCAGTGGTGGTGGGAATGATAATGTGAAACTACGTATTGACGTCGACGAATGACTTTAACTCGGGCGGCTCGGACTTTTGGACACCAATACAGAATGCGGCTAGTGACTCTATTCAGTAATTCAGCTTCATTTATATAAAATTTACAAACCTTGATGCTTCAAAGATAGCTTCGCAGGGCAGGCATATACCAACATAGCTATTCTTTTATCCAGGCATCGGTAAATCCGGTCGAAGTCGGAGTTTCTAAATCTAATTTCGCGTGTGATGAGGCTTTTCGATGGGTTCTTTGGCTTCGGTTTACAAGAGACCATAGAAGGCCAAGGTATGACGAGAAAATTCCTCAACGGAAAGTCACAAGTCGCGCTCAATTCCTGGATTTTCGCGTATTTAATTGGCCCTATCGAGAAGAAATTGGAGAATAGAGGAACATGATCGGTATCTATTCGCATCAGGGTTGAGCTAAAAGCTGGAAGCCCCAAAAAGCGCCCATTGATTTAGACCCATATTTGTGTTCAGCTAAGCTTGTGCGTGACTAATTATGCGGAATAACTAACCAATGTATACGGTCTTGTTTGCTCTTCTCTTTGGTCCCAACCCATAATATTATAACCTAAAGGCGGCCTAATATCTTAGTATTAGACAGAATCTTAAGTAGTAGCCTATTTTCTTCGATACCCTATACTTCTAAGCTCTTCGTGTCAATACAGTCAACTTTCAGCTTTGTCTCACGCATAATGCGCCCGGCATGATATCAGGGTAGGCCAATATGATGCCAAGTGTGATGAGGTGCCTATGATCTACTAGAATAGAGAAAAGTGCGAAGAACAACGAATAACAAGGTTGAGGAAAGGGAAAGAAGAGAGAGAGCTATGCTACATACATGTAGGCGGATGCCCACTCTCCAGACCAATCAGATGATTGGTCTGCATCCGAGAGTGGGTCAAACCGCACAAACGTGCAAACAGTGCAAACATACCCGTCCCGAGTCTTCCTCCATATAGTTATACTACACCAAGGCGCGCCCGATTCTGTACTGAGAAGTACCTACATGATTGGCTAAAGGGTAGGGCGGCAAGTGGAGTTTCCTCGACGAATCAAAAAAAAAATCAAAAAAAAACATACAACAGTCAGGATTCGCATGTGGTCACCCACCATACTACTAACTGACCGGCGTGTGGCTTAAGTACGGCTGAGCGGACGGGAAGCCCTGTTCTCCACACCCTGTGGTCGTATGTGCTGGTTAATGGTTTAGGTAGATCCTATTCACATAACTTTGATACTGGCAGTGCTCGACAGTAAAATGTCCCGGGCAGCAACATTACCTAGTCAGGCAGGGATGGAGGATTGATGGAGAGGAGCTTCTTTGCATATGCTGTACCCGCGACATGCATTATTTCTACATAAAATTGTATATATTTTTGATTGTTTCAAAGACCCACCCAATCAGGTTATTAAAGTCAACCTTTTAATCTAATAGTTATTTAGGTATCAGATTCTGATTTCTTTTATATCTTATTATTCCTTTTTGGCTATCCTACAGTGCCCTGCCGGCAAATCGGGCCTTATACCTGACAGTTCCGTAAATAAATAAATCAATCAAGTCGCGTTTGGTTCTAAGAGGTTGATTGATGCTCCCGAGGTCACTATACAGCTATCACCTTGCAAGTCATGTGGTCTAGTGACAAATCATGTGATTTGAGCATGTCTGGGCAACCAATGGGGACCGTCGAAAATGGAACACCCTGACACCTAGTACTAGTCCCCGAGTCTCCAACGCAGGAGATGTTCACCTCCCAACGCTCCATGAACCTCATCATTTGATTCCTTCGCACCTTACGCATCATTATCTCCAGTCTTTGAGATGAAATCCTACTCTGACCATCGCCCGTCTCTAAAATCGTAGCCTCATTCCTGGGCAGCTTTTCATCTTGCCACACACGATCGCGTTCGCATGAAATGGATGAGAACTACCCAGTTGCCGCTCCATCTCTCGCTAGTCAATGCATTTTCGCCAAATGTTCAATATGCTTTTTGATTGCTCAAGCAATCCAAGTGGTCATGGTTATGGCAATGATTGGACTCCGTTGGTGCTGGAAACGATACCACCAAAGAGAAATCTCGCCCCTACACTCACCTCCCCCTTTACAAGAAGATTTGAATGAAGTACAGGATATTACTACTGAGTTTCATCTCTCTCGGCTCCCCTATAGCGAAGATACAGTTGTCAACATCATCAGTGACATATACCGCATCTATCTACAACTAAATTGTATTTCGGATTGGGAGGTCACCTGGGCCCCACCAAGAGGTCACAAAATTAACCAAAGCCTATGTGAGGATCTTCACATTGACCCCGTGGTGATCTCGCTGATGAAGCGACTACCATACTTTCGATTCTCGAGGACAGCCAGCAATGTTGAATTCATCTACCGTTGGTCAAGGGCTTTCGCCTATCTTCAGGACTATGAGATCTGGGGAGGCCGTGATCCGAATCGGTTCGAGATTGACGATGATCCCCGACCAGACTTCCTTCTTCCCCACGAGATAGCTTTGACTTGTTCAACTGATGAGGGCTGCCATTCAATCCTCGATACGAAAGTAAATTAGTGTTCCCATTGTTTCTCCTGATATTCTGTGTTGCCAAGGTAAGAAATATAGTCGTTAATATAACTTGCAGACACAATTCGAGTGTGGGACTTACAGGACTCAACTCCAGACGATGATTATCGACAGTGTCATCCGCATCATGCACCGACATACCTCGCATCCCATCTTCAACAAGTCAGATCACTTGAGATCCTTCCTAACATGACCAGATATCCTTGTGACTTGGTTTACGGAAGCAAATGATATTTACGGTGTAGTAGGTAATCCTTTTTTCTTCCACATGCCTTATATAAAGACATGGTCCAATATTAATCAATAAACGTCTACAGTACCCTCAAATTAAGAAGATTCTCCAGGAGCAATATGATTGGCCGTATGACTTCCGTGAGGCTGAGTGGAAGGCTGCTTCAAAAGTCACCTGGGCGAGAATTAGTCGTCAAGATTCTACTTATGAAACTGACAGAGAAGACGAGTCGAACCTGAATGCTTGAAGAATAGTGGATATGATTCAAGTTATGACATTTGGCATGGAAGCAACAACGGCAAGGCAATATGATCGTGATTTTATATACATAAAGATTCAACGTTCTTATTTGTGAGCCAATTTACTATAACAATATATTATTTTTCTTCTTGGTGTATTTAAGAACTGACCAGCCGGCTTTAGCCCATAAATACTTTATCGAATATATAGGAGTAAGTATAGTGCAATGCATTATATTTAGGGCCGATTTCTTAAGTAAAGGAGGAAAGAAGCAGGCTAGTGTGTATTACATTAAATATATATTTATATATATTATATCAATATTCCTAGCTTAGACGAGGCTTAAATTACCATAGTTTTTTCGATTAATTATTAGCGCACCCTCTATTTTATTTTTAGTGTATTTAGCGTAGTAAGAAGTATAGTTACTAGGTGTTACACACGGCTAACTGGTCACAGTGAGTATCGTTCGTAGTGGTCGTATACGTCCGTCGAGGCTCGTCCTCAAGTCTCAGCCACAATCGTACCGTTGCCTGTACGGGCGGGCTTCATAGAATTCAGTTGGCAAGGCAATTTGTATTGGACCCTGCAACGCCGAGCCTGTGTAAGGCAGAGCACAGCAATGAGTACGGCTGCGAGAAGGTATACTTGAGTTACCTATCGACCTGCACGAGGTCAGCTTAGAGTGACCACCTGGGCACTTAGCTACCCGTGACAGCCCGTAACACTATATCCCAGGATAGCCCCGATCGAGTTAAATCAGCCGCTCAGGCACCAACTACGACACATTTCGTTTCAGAAAAACCCTTTAATAATTAACCAAGCTTATTTCTTTTATTGGTTTACAAAGTTAGAAAATGTGGAGAACCAAAGAAAACAGTATCGAAATTCATACAGGAAAGAAAGCCCACTAGGCTGAGTGTCCAGGAGATAACGACGTGTCATGAATGTGAAATGAGGATGATAACCATGAATAGGCCGAGACCTACAGTGCAGCGGCTACAAGGTTGCATTTTTTTAGCCAAAAGCTGGTGAGCGTCGGAATCAGGTAGTATAGCGATAGCAAGGGTTACAATTCCACTTCATCGCTAATGCAGAGCATTCTGATCCCTCTCCAACCGGATCTCTTCCAGCTACAGTATCTGCATCTGATGCCCTATCCAAACAACGATTGCGCCAACGCAATGTAAAATGAAGGAGCGTTGCCATGACAATGCAAAGGGCAGAGAAGGCCACGTTAGCCACGTTAGCCTGCCAGTATCTCGGCCCCTGTGAAGAAGGATAAAAGTAACTCGCATAGATAGATGCGAAGTTTGACCCTGCATTCACCACTGCATATGCCACTGCACGCTTGGATCGAGGACGGGGCAGTGAAGTAGACACCCAAGAGAGGATACAACCAAAGGAGGCGTAGATGGACATCATCATAAAGGTTGAAATGTATCTCGCTGCTACATTCAAAGTCACGGCGCTGATGATAAAGCCAACGCTGCTAAATACTTGAGGCCATACTACATGGAGCCAACGTTCATTGACCCGATCGCTATGGAATGAATTGGAGACACTGACAATAGCTGCAAAGATGTATGGCGGCGCAGACAGTAAGAGCGTCTCGGTTGTGCCATATCCCAATGTTTCCACAATCGTGGGGAAAAAGTTCGTAAAGCAGGCGGCTGTGTTCAGGCCTAGCTGCATCACCCAGATGATATAGAGGACAGGGTCTGCAAATGCAAGTTTCAAGCCCTCAAATTTGCTGTTTGTCTCTTCATGATCACTTTCGTTTGCTTCCTCCGCTAGGCGTGCAATGGCCAGTGTACGCTCTTCCTCAGTTAGCCACTTTGTAGTCTCTGGGTAGTCTGGCAAAAAGAACATGGCGCACAAGGCCACTGGGATTGTTGCACATCCTTCAATAATGACTGTTCCATTGAGTTAGAGCTTCATTGGGTCATGCTATAGGCAGATAATAACTTACAAAGCCATCTCCATGCCGATAATTCAGCTTTTCCATCCATCCCAGACATGATAGCACTGCCAAGAAGGCCGCCAAAAGCACCTGATATCTGCGCGGCGACATAAAGAATAGAGATTCGGGCAGCTAGTTCCTTTTTAGTGTACCACGAAGAGAATAGAAATAATGCACCAGCTTCATCATATTAGCCCTTTATCACGGGACATGACCGTTGGCGTCATGCAGACCTACGAAAAAACGGGGCCTCCACAAAGCCTAGAATGAAACGTAATGCCAACAGTCCACGATAACTTTGAACTGCACCGGTGCAGCTACTAACTACTGCCCATCCGCACATAACTGCTGGCTGTTGACAGGATTAGCCCTTAATAAAATTCCTGTAAGATCTTTTAAACTTACCAGGAATAATGATGGCCGCATCTTGTTCAAAATCATATTGGTCGGAACTTGAGTCAGAATATATCCGACAAAGAACAGACCTAAGCTGGATTAATATACGTGAATTCTCAACGAGGAGTGGGAACTGACTGATAACGGTGTTATATTGGTTTCCATAAAGTCCCAAGTCCTCCTCCAGGCTTCCTAGACGCGCAGTTGCGATATTATTCCGATCAAGGTAGTTGAGGACATCTCCATCACAGAATTCATTAGTAACTGTGTTCAAATAGTGCTTCAATTGTGCTTGGGACACGGTAGAACATCTCACAAATCAACATCATCAGCGGTAATAATCTGAGATCAAGTTTTCGAACAAACTTGGCTTCAAGCTCTTTGCGATTGTCAATTTGGTGCATCTTTGTCATCTCAATCTCTACCGTATCAGTTCTGCCTGATACCTCCACCTCTCCAGCAACACCATCGGCGCCCTCTTTCATCTTCAACTGGCGGGCGCTTTCCAGACTCATTTCGACTCGACCGCAAAGCGATGAATGAATATTTCTCCGTGGGTGCTAAGCTACTTCAGCGGTGAACCTGTACCATCTTCGGAGGTGTAGGCAGGGGTTTATTTAAGTATCGAAACGAAATAAGTCCTTGCTTCCCCAGATTGGGATCCCCTACACCTACATCCCCCGCACCCCCAGATTTACTTCTTAGCGTGCAAGTCTGTCTAGCCAATTCTGGAAAATTGGCGAGCCGCTTCTTGGCGAGTTCGGCTACTTACTGAAATCAGAATCGGCTGACCGGTAAAGGGACCGGACCATTGAGAGGCCTACCCACAATATCTCATTCTAAGAAATTTTACACTTACACTAATAGTGTTCGATAACAGTAATATACAGTAAGTTTTGGACTTAACGTTTGGAGCTAACTATTCAAAACTACTAAAATATTTCAGCCAGGCTCGAGTTTCCTTGCAAAGATGCGACCGGTCCAGTATTGGTACTTATTGTTCTGAGCCGACCAATGAGTACAGCCGCTGTCAGGGAAAAAAAATATTAGATAACCAAGATAAGCAGCATCCTTTTAGTGGCAGGTGGAATCGCAAGGAATGACTGTCGAACGGGCACGGGAGTTCCTCGCTAGAGGGTGACTACGCGTGCTGGGTGGGTGCAAATAGAGGGGTACTGGACAAAGAGGAGTCCCACTCTCATCAAATTTAACTGCTTCGAATTATCAGATTCGTTCATTGGCTGTGACAGGCTTTTAAAACTACTTAGTTCAACACTTCTCGCTTGATCAAACTAAATGTGGGTGTCAGTATAAAGGGAAAAATCCCGCTTGTGTACCGTTATTGACTTTATATACGACACGGCATGAGTCCGATCTTACAAGCTTAATTCCTACCATAGTATGGATTCGCATCACGATTGAAGCAAAGAGCAACTACACAGCCTTCATTATGCACACTAGCCTCATCTGGCGTCTTTCCCAGCCTAATATATCGAATGTGCCACTGGGATTGACCGGCTTGTTCCAACGATTGGGTACAACGGTTAACAAGCCGACTTTAGTATAAGAATCGTCTCTGTCAGACGCTTTCAGAATAAGGCACACGCATGGCCCAACCTTGTCAGTATTCTTAGCCCAGTCATCAATATTTAGCACAGCACAAATATGATGATCAATCTCCCGACTAAATTTCTTAGAATCTGCCTCTTGAACCTCCGTTGGCCTTGGTCTGCAGCAGAGGCATTCAAACAGCAGCGATTGATCAAGAATCGGTCTGACTGAATGATTCTTTACCATCGCTCAGTGCACCCGTTAGTCTCATGAGCCCAATAAAGGCTACATCAAGGACAATATGTTATCCGGATAATACATTTCCGTATGGGTTTGAATGGTCTGCATCAAGAATGCGGTGCGAGACAAGCTCAGGACGATACTTTTGAGCCCACGCTAAATCCGAAGCAAGGCCCTCACGAACATCATCTATAGCCATAGGGACATTCACGCTAGCCCAACTCCAAGTAGGAGCGACATATTCAGTAACTGATATCAAAGGTGAAAACATTCGGCCCCAAGCGAGCTCAGATACGACATGTTTGCTCCAAATTCCGGCTAGGTAGTCTCCCATGCTACTGTCACTAATGCCCAGCGCAGCGTTACCGGCCATGAGGAGTTTATCTGAGAGGCTCTCAAAGCGTCCCCATGAGAGTGCATTCACACTGTCCGCCCAAGCTTCAAGCCGTGAAATAGGGCCCTCTTCGCCAGTATTGGGGGTTTAATTGATATCAGTCAAGGATGACAGCAGCGCACTCTCTACAAATTGATGGAAACGCTTCTTATCATAGCCGTTGATCCTTGGACCGGAGTCATCTTTCTTAATAATATTTGCTGCCTCGAACTAACAGCCCGATGAACACCCCCAGACTAATTGTCGATCTGTGAAATGAACGATACGCGGTGCAAGTATTCTCTCAATCACGTTCCAGCCTTGTCTATAAAGTGGCGATTCCTGGATGTTCGTCATCCAGTGCAGCGCACGGGGCCTGAGAGACCCGTCTTTGGTAATTCCCAATGCTGGAGAACGAAGGATATCTCTTTATGAAAGAGCCTAGGTTGGGCTCAGAACTTAAAGAAGCTGTAAGCATCAGACTCGCTCTGCCATTTATACCTAGGAAGTTGGCTGGGTTCTTGGAAGATTCCTTGGTCGTCAGACAGAGCTGCCATATCCAAAGGTACTGATATACCAGCCTGCGAGTGATGTCAGCGGCATCAGCTACGGCCTTTGGGTAGTGTGCAGTATCGAAAACGTCTGGCAGGCTAGCTTTGGGCAGCTCTTTGGTGTTTGAACTAGCCGAGTCCGCAGAGTGATGATGACTTAAGATGATGTAGGCACCATTTTCTCCGCCAGAAGCGATAATGCATGAAGCGACCCTTGGATCGGAGGAGACCTCTATGGTCCTCTCCGGCAATGAAACTGGCTCGAATTGGTGACATTTCTGGTGTTCTGCACATTGCGACATCCACGAAGATATCTTGGTCACGCATTTGTCATCTTGCGAGTTCCCTGCAACATCATGAAGTGAGCCAATTGTCCGATGAGCGGCCCTGGAATTCTCAATCATCAAGACCCGTAAATTGGCGTGGACGTGTCTCTTTATACCTTCATAGTTACCCGCCATACATATGTCAAGACACAAATCATCCCAAGACATAGCCATACCAATGAAACCTGGCTCTCTAGCATCTGGACGCACATTGCAAAATGCTATGTCCTGCCCTGCTAGTTTTTTCAACTGGCCCTCGTACTGACCGGAGGTTTGCAAAATTGAGCAGAATAATCTACAAGACTCACATCCGTTGTCCGATTTGGTGACAAGATCTTCATATTTACCCAAAACGACATCAAAGGAGCCTTTCTTGTCTAGGTCCCAAGTGCCACAGTCTTCGCACAAAGACATGGTCACCATTTGATGAGATTAGTAGATTTCATGGAGAAAATAGCTTTGGAGGAACTACAATGGCAAACGTGAAATTGGTTCTTAGTAACGGACAGCCGCTGAGACAGCTTATAGAATACGTGGTGAGACAGAAAACTTTGTTGCCTTTCGCCGGGGATAATTGAAACAAGCCACGGGATGAAAATGACCAACCAATCCCCTAAATCCGGTAGTGAGGCCTGTGGTTATTGACTCAATACGATACATTGTGACCAGAGCAGAACCTATAGAGCGGTTAGACCCTCCAGAATGTCTCACGTCGGCTAACGATCTAACGGTCTGGGGAGTAGCCTTATATTATGTTAAAAAAAAGAAAATTAGAATTGTTACTGTTCTAAGAAAAGTGCCGAATTAATCCAAGCTTTCTAGCGATAAGTGGTGAGTTGAAATGTCAGGGGTTGAAGAGTTATGTATTGGCGTCTACTCAGCTATGACAACTTTTGTTATGGACAATTCTACTTTTTCGCGAGGAGCCAACCCAGAAAACGACTTTTGTTGTGTCTACCGCTCGATCCAGGTGTCAAGAAATCGGTGCCGTAACTAGGCTAGCGAATATGGCTAGCGAGCGCCACAGGCGAACCCTTCGTTCCCAATGGTTTTCTTCAACGCCGAAATCCCTAGAGCAAGGGTCCAAGCACTCTTTAGCCGAGCTTTGGCTAAGTTGCCAATACGACCTTGGCTTTAATTAGCGTCCCTTGGCATCCCCCAAGAAAAAACAACAAAAGATCTCTCGATCCCTAATTGCCATTTCCTTGTGCAAGTCATATTCTGAATTACGAACAATTCTCTATTCAATACCACAACCATGTCAATTCGAAAGCTTCTGATCCTTGCCGGTGCTGCGACCGCCGCTGCCAACCAGCACATAGCGGACTCCCCTTTCTTAAATCAATTCTTTGTTGACTCAGGCTATGTGACAATTTCTACGGCTGACAGTGTAAGTGATGATTTCGAAGCTCCAGGACAATGGCGTTGCGTATTAATCAGTCTGTCTAGGATGCCACCCATGCCACCTATATTGCCAAATGCGATAACAGCGGTGCAGATGTTTGCACGTTGCCTAGTGCGGGTGCCACTATTGTCACGGGCCCATCTTATGTCGGGTGCTCGTACACTGACCCGTCGGAGCCCTTGTGAGTAGAGACTGTTTTGGGGGATGAGCGTGTAGACCTGCAATGTGACACTAATCTTTTCTAAGCTTCTCATCCGTTGGGTGTAAATATATCAACGCTGGATCTTCGGCCCTTTGCACTTTGTATCAGTCAGGTGAAAGTGGAACCTATGTGGCCACACTCTCGCAGACGGAAACTTTACCGGCATCTGCTGTTGCACTGGGTTTCAACACGCCCACTAGCACCGGCACCAATACAAAGCAAGCTTCCGAAGCCAGTACCGGAAGCGCCGCTACCATGACAAGTGGTGCGGCCAGTACTACCGACTCAAGTGCATCTTCTACCAAGAGTTCGACTACTAATGAGAGCGCTAGTAAAACTGGTTCTGCCGCAAGTGTGACCAAGAGTGGTGTCGCATCCAAGGAAGCTGAACTTGGAAATATGTTTGTGGCTGTTGGGGCAGCTATCATGGGGGGACTAGCCCTTCTCATATAGAAGGGAGATGTCATATTAAATGATAGATGGCCATCCATTTATATCTCGCGTGACGCAGCAGACGAGGACAGATGTTCAAAATAGCTTTTTAGGTACTACATAGTACATTAACAAACCATTGGTGATCTTCAATAATTTTTTTATTTTCATTTTTTACCCTGAAAACGAATATATATCGTCGGGGGCCTTAAAATCCCAGCATGGTGGCGCAATATAAGGATAAGGTGACGAATATCCAATGAACCACGGACCGAGAGACTATCAATCGTATGTATACTATAATACCGTCAAATATTGCGCTTGTGCGCTGATACCAAGATATCTACTGTATATTAAATCTTGGAAAATGCCTGGATATAATTTTATTCTCACAGATATAAGATTTGCTCCACCAGGAACAATGTCCGAGGTCCAATCCACAGACAAAGCTTGTCATAGTCATTTTCGAGATGTTATTTGGCAACGTAAGGCGATATGTCGCTCCCAGTACACCTTCCATTTAAGTTCATTCTACCCCCAAGGCGCTTCTGTAAGACGTCTCCGTTCCGTACAATTTCCAAGGTACATTTCTAGTTCTTTGTCAGTGAACAGTATCTCTTGTCGCTTACCTTTTCTTACCTATGTCTCTGCGTTCAGCACAATGCAGCTTAGGAAAGATATAGCTTTGGACATATAAGAGGTATCTTTCTTTTAAGAAACCTCGCGAACACTTAACCTTGTTTCTCCGCCCCTATCCCCAGAACTAAAAGAATCCATATTTGGTCAAATCAAAAGTCAATACGCTTACGCTTGACTTAATTTGTAGTCTATAATGAATTTGAACAATTCATATCTCGACAAGGGAAAAGATCGCTGTTTTTCTGGGCCCTTCCCATTCCAGACATTTACCATATACACACGTTTGAAACATACTTTCACTGCTTAGTGATCTCGATTACTCTTCTCTCGATGGACACGATCACTGATGTGATGGATCGGCTTCCTGCAGCGGAGTATAGGCTTACTGATGCGCAGGACGATACACTTTTTCACGCACAAGACAGGATTACTGGTTCCGAAGAAGTGGTTTTCAAATCGATATGCCGGCTTGTCGGAAGCATGGACGTGCTTAGTGATAGGATGGGCATGATTGCCGATGCAATGAATAGGACTGCCTCGGCGATGAAAAGCACGGCCTATGAGATTGAAGCTACTGCCGATGCGACGAACGACACTGCTGAAAGGATTGTTCGGTTTGTTGACATGATAGATGAACTTTCCGGTGAGATCGATGGGGTTGTTGATATGATAAGCAGAATTGCCGTGATGATGAAAATGATTGCTGATACGAAGGATGGATTTGCTGATGCGGTGGAAAAAACTGTCTAGGTGACAATGTTGAAGATACATAACAGCAGTTCTTGGAACCTGAATAACCTGGGGGACTATTGCAGATTATGCTAGATGATATTTTGAGTTATCTTTTCGGCTTGCTACACTCCTACTCTACCGGAGGAATACATCCATAAGAGATGGGTGAGATCGCTGCACAGAAGAGATCCTCAATACAATACACAACATCTTTCCTACTGGAATAAAACAAAGGCGGGCAAGATCTATAAATATCATTTTCAATGGTACGTAATGAGACAAGCTCTTCGACATACATATACAACAGCCAGGTCTATTACACTCTAATGCGGTGACAGGTTTTGTGGCCTAGCTAAACACAAGATTCTTCTTTCGGTGGGCAGCCACTGCTTGGGACTAGCGTCATGATGTACACTAAGCTGTATTTGGTGGACGAGCCGCGCAGTTAACCAAATTCGGGCTGCCGTAGAGAAATAGCCGTGCCGTCGGCCACTAATTCGGCCACCCCGAATTAGTGTCCCCCACCGTAATGCAAAATATCACCGTAATGCAAAACACGCAACAAAACATCAATTTTTAAACTAAATACTAAATGAATCTTGATATGCAATTATATCACCATTATCTCCAAGAATCGGCGTAGAAGACACAATAGGTGATTTATCTGTTGAGGGTCGAGAAGGTTCAAATCCAAAGCGTTTTTTAAAATCTTTGGCCACCCGTCTATCCTCTTTTTCATCTTCCTTAGCACGTCGCTCAGCAATAGATCGATTTGCATCTTTAACACGTAAAATTCCATCATCTTTGAGGTTTAATAATCGCCGTTTGGTAGATTTTTTAGCCCGTGGGGCCTGGATTTGGGCTATTTTTGCGATCGTAGAAGATGCGTTTTGAATCGCCTGAACGTGGAAATCCATCTCTATAAGTATTTGATCTAACGTCCGTTTTTGCCGAGGTGTAATACTATCTAATTCCATTAAGGGAGCTAGTTTTTTGCGGCGTTTCTGGACGTCTTCTGTAGTCTTTGAAGGTATATTCTCTAGACTTGAAGATAGTATATTTTCCAGTGGTGGTGATGGTGTTTTTTGATCCCGAAGATCAATTGATATATCTAGGATAGAAAGAAGGGCATCTTCCAGTTTTTGACAGACAATTTTAGCATTGACTGGATAAATTCCTCGTTCTCGAAACGCATTTCGGCAAACTCTCTGTGTCAAAGCTTTATCTCTAAAGCCCATAAGGTCTTCGAGAAATGAGTTTTTATTTGCTGTAAGACCCCCACCCCACTGTGAAATAAGGTTATTTTATTAACGAAAATAAGCCTTATAAGCCAAAAATGGCTTACCATCCAAAGGTTGAATATAATTTATCTTATTTAGTGGAAAACCAAAGATCTTAATACCAGCTTTTTCAGCAGAGTTTAAGAATTCAAATGTCAGATATGAGCCACAGCCATCAACTAAAAGAATTCTTTGCTCGCCTTGCTTAACACAATACTGCGTTTGACGGTCAAATTCTTTGATCCAAAGCACAGCAAGTTCATCAACCATATAGCCTTTCTCAATAGTTGCAGTCATCCACTCCTCAGGTAATTTGGTATCATACCAAGCCTCCATTTGATGGCGTCCTTTAAAGATAACAAGGGGTTCCATTCTCCAACCATCAGCCGCAATACATTCTGCGACAGTAACTCGCTCTCCATGTTCTTCACCGGCAAGACGTGGAATCTTTGTTTTATAACGTATAAAGACTTTCTGAGTTTGTCCTTGGCCCAATTAGAAGCCAGTTTCATCAAAATTATAGACAAGCCTTTCTGGTACACCATCAAGAATTTTGTCTAATAAATCATACCAATGTTCTAGAATAGCAACATCTTCGTGGCTCATTCTTTTTAAATCTATAACCTTCTGTCGTCTCATCTCAAAATCAACATCCGGGAAACGTTGAATAAAGCGATAAACCCAGTTTTTTCCGACTGTTCGGTCTGATGTTCCCGATCGGGCAAGAGTCAGATTTGCCCACTGTTCTATAATATTTGGTGTCGGAGGGATAAAAGCTTCATCCAATGATCGAATCCAGAAGGATAAAGCTTTCTCTTGGACGTCATTTAAAGCCTTATTTTGTGGTTTTCGTTGAATTCTGGGCGTTGATTTTTGACGGACTCGGCGGTACAGAGTATAATACGAAATAGCATATTCCTCCGCGATCTGCGTCAAATTTGGCTTTTTGAGGGTAGAGGCATATCCAACAGCCTCTTCCATACGAAATACTTCATTTTCATAGAAATCGGCCATAGTTAAGGATGTATAATTGAGGGAAGAAGACGTGCGGGAAAGTGTTTTGCATTACGGTGATATTTTGCATTACGGTGGGGGACACTAATTCGGGGTGGCCGGATTAGTGTCCTCCGGCACGGCTACTTGCCTAAAGCTGACGGTTTCCGATAGGTGGACGTACACAGCTCATTTTTAGCATAATTCTCATCTAGGAGAAAATTACAAAAAGAAAAAAAGGAACATACAACAGTCAGGATTCGCATGTGGTCACCCACCATACTACTAACTGACCGGCGTGTGGCTTAAGTACGGCTGAGCGGACGGGAAGCCCTGTTCTCCACACCCTGTGGTCGTATGTACTAGTTGTTCTATAACTAGGAACATATAGATCAAGTATTCTATGAGTTCATTGTCGGGCGAGAAATGAGTGAGCGCCGCTTTAGGACCGCGTGACTAGGGGTGATAAGGGTGAGTGTGTAACAGACATTCCTTGGTGATGGTTCTGTCTTTTCTTGCAACTATTTTCGGTGCTTGTAAAAGTCAGACGACCGCCGCTGAACGGGACTTCGTAAAATCCGAAGAGCCTCAGACGGATGTTGCCTAAGATCGTATTCTATCTTAGCATCCTTGGCAGTCAGTATTCATGCGTGTGACAAGCAATTAACCGGCCGAGGGTCCATTTCTTTTGTAAAAAAAGATTGTGGGGCCGGTTAGTAAGAGGCTGGACGAGAGAAATAGGGGTCCATATGCAGAGAAATGCGGCTCCATCTTTTCCTTCGGCCCATGATTGGTCGCTCTGACCAATTCTTCTGTCTTGCGGACCCACAGGGGTCGCGTGGGGGCTGAGACACAGCCCACTTTTGCGCCCTGAATCCTTGGAAAACATTGCCCATAATATTAATCAAACGGTATGTGCTAGTATTAGCATGCCCTTGAGCGTGCTTGGTAGCGAATGACAACTGAGCAATCACTCTTTAGCGTTGTATTTCGTCGGTTTGATTAAAGCGACTTGCGAAATATACCCACAAGTCCTAGCTCAAAACGCGATGCTATCGAAATAGAATCATTGGTGTTTGACTGGGACCTGGGAACCCCGAAAAGGGGAAGGAATCACTGTATCTAAGTACTAGGAATAGACTCGTCTGCTGGAGGCCAATTTATTTTCGTCCTTGAAGTTCCCCAAACTGTTCATCTCGAGGTGCTTCAGTCTCATTTCGATTTCGTCTGTTTTTAGGAGGGAGGAAAAAGAGAGAGATCACCATGAAGGCCTTCTCTCTCGTCGTTGCGCTGCTGGTCGCCCATGGCGCAGCGGCTGCCAGATCTCATTCGCGCACTGGCAGCAAGCGTCAATATGATTCTGAATCGGGCCCTACTGTCCCATCCTACTATTTCGACGTTCCTGTCGATCACTTCTCATCAAATACGGATACTTATAAGAACCTTTATTATGTTAACGATACCTACTACAAGACTGGAGGACCAGTCATCCTCCAAGATATGGGAGAGGAGGGTTTCACTCAATCTGCTGCCCAGATCTATATGGCAGAAGAGGATGCCAGAAGTGCCTCTATGGAGCTTGCAAGGCAACTGCATGGCATTGTCATTGGCTGGGAGCACCGTTACTACGGACGTAGTCTTCCTGTGGAAATTGATGACGAGACTTATGTTCCAAAGCAGGGCCTTGGCGGCTACAAATACTTGACCGTACAACAAGCCTTGGAGGATGTTGCCTACTTCGCCAACAACTTCAACAAGACCGACCTGGCGGACAACAAGGTTATTAAGAGCACTGCTAGCCTGGACCCATACCACACTCCTTGGATCTTCATCGGAGGCTCATACCCCGGATCGCGTGCTGCATGGCTGCGACTGACCCACCCGGAGATCATCTATGCCTCATGGGCTTCCAGTGCGCCAGTACAAACACAGTACGACGGCTCTCTGTACTTTGACCCCATTGCACGCGCACTCCCTAAGAATTGCACGAATGATTTCGCCGCTGCCGCCAAATACATTGACGAAACGTTCAAATCAGGCACAGAGGCAGAGCTTTCTGCTATGGAATACGCCTATTCTAACATTTTCAGTTATGGGGAATACGACTATGATTACTCTGATGAATCCGATTTCTCGGATGACTACTCTAATGAGGTCACTGCCTATGCTATAGGCGAAGCATTTGCAGACTTAATCGCCGGTGGTGGCCAGTACCAAGATGCTGGAGCGGCAACAACCACCCAGCTCATCTGTGATTATATGGAAGGCTTTGACGTGAAGGGTTTCAAGAAAGGTGTCTCAGATGCCTCAAGTCGCAAGAGTATCTTGTCTGTTCTTGAGGATCTCGATAGTTCGGACTCGGACTTCCCAATTGATGGAGTCGCTGCCAGCATCGACGGCAATGGTGACTACTATGCTTTCTGGGCTGCAATTTGGGGTGCCTACAACTTCTACCAAAATGACTCGTACTACCTATCTGTCAAGCGCTCCAGATCTCCTCGCGGCCGTAAGTTGAGGATCCCTGATGCTGAGGAGGATACCACAATTCCCGACAACTATGCCTGGATCTGGCAGACCCTTCAGGAGGTTGGGTACTACCAAGCCTCGAACGACTCCAACAACGGAGAGAGCTACCCCTTGCTCAGCGACTACTTCAATACCTCAAGCTTCCGCATCGAGCTGATAGAGTCTTTCGAAGATTACTCCTCTTCCGATTTCCCCACCAACCTGAACAACAGCTGGCTGGAGTCTCTGGGCGGCTGGAACATCAAGGCTAGCAACGTTATGTTTACCAACGGCGAATTTGATCCATGGCGCGCGTTCAGCGTGGCTACTCAGGAGTCTCACGCTGGGGCCCCTAACCGCACCATCACTCAGGACGTGCCGGCTTGCAATAAGGTTTCAGATGGCCAGGATGTATTCGGCGTTGTTTACGACGGTGCCGTGCACGCTTCTGATCTCGTCTGGTGGCCTGGTATCGACGGCGGTCAAGCTAATTTGACCAAACCTTTGGATGATGGTGTTCACCTTTTCCTTAATGCCTGGAGTGTGTGGTCTAAATGCTTCAACACCAGTCGCGATGACATCCGCAATGGAAAGGGTGTCGATGGCTCAGGTCATGGAGCAAATGGCAGCACTCCAAGCTCGGACCCTGGCTCTGGGTCAAGTGATAATAGTGATGACAAGAAAAATGCCGCAAGCCGTGCTACTGAAGTTCTCAGTTTTGCTTCACTGGGCGCCTTGGTCGCTGGTTTGTTTGTTATCATATAGTTACCATTTCATACTATGCATTACCGTATGACGAGAGATTCCCTACACAATTAATCCAACCTTTTGTTATTCAACTCTTTCGGTTTCATACACAATAGTCAGCTGTCTCATTCTTAGACCCGATTTGCTCCTCAGATTTCTCTTGTTTGATTATGATTGCATCTAGAAGTATAAAACGAGGCTCTTCGAGTTCTAAGTGGTGTACCGTCACGCGGATACTATTGAGTTGGTTGTATTTCGTCACGGTGATAGATTTGTCGTAAAAATAAAGGGTATTCGTAGTGTTAGTTTTGTCAACGCTGGAAGTCGTGGGAAACGAGCTCGGAGCTCACCAATGATTGCACTTCTGGAAACGTGGGATCCATCAATTGATGTTGTCAATTTTCCCGCTAAAAGCTATCTTCGCCTGTAGTCAACTGGGAGGAACTTGGATTGGGGCCGCGGGCTAGTGGCTGTTAGCGTGCCCCACAATGGCACCGCTCCAGCCTCAACAACATACAACCGAAGAGTAGTCTTTGATATTGACTTCAGACCCCGTTGTGAAATACCCCCGGGGCCATACTACGTAGACTGTACCACAGTCACCAATTAAGCAGCCAATCACCGGCCACGCTAGGTCCTTTCGACCCGCGCATCGGGCCCGGGGTGCATCCCCACATGTGCAGGTGGTTGGGGCCAAAACACCCAAGTTGAACTTCATTCAAATTCTTCACTTCCTTTCTTGCAATATTCCAAAACTACGAGCTGCCGGATCTCAAAACATAATCACCTTGATAATTGATTAAATCTCAAGAAATCAGTGGTGACTTCAAGCCCGCCACCCAGCATGGCACAAGAACCCCCAAAACGAGGAAAGATACTTTTCCTTACAAACCCAGAACCAAGCGAATCAAACATATTCCTAGCAACCATGCACGCAGTCCTCCAACTAAAACCAGACGCAGATATCCACTGCGCCAGCTTCAATCTACTAACAGAAAGCGTCGTCTCCGTGGTAGAAAACCTCCGCCAAACAGCTCCCGAGACAGCCCCAATAACTTTCCACGAGCTGCGGGGTATTCCAATGAAAGCAGCTATGAATATTGCGTTCTCGAGAGAAGGGGCTCCACCTCGTATTCCGAACTATTTACCTGTTTCGGCGCTGAAGTCGCCTAGTTTTTTTAATACGACGCAGGGGGTTCGGGATATTGTTCCGTTGTTTGTGCCGTATAATGGACCGCAGCTGGTGGAGGTGTTTACTTCTATTGTGGAGGTTATTAAGGAGGTTGATGCAGATTTAATTGTTGTTGATACTTTGATGACGGCTGCTTTGACAGCTGTTAATCACTTGAATGTGAGATATGTTTGCTTGAGTCCGAACTCGTTGAAGGAATTTACGGTTATGGCTCAACCGTATGGAGCCGCTCTGTGGAAATTTCCAGCGTGAGTTTCGTTCAACCTGTTCAAGTTTGAAGTGATCGTTTTCTGACGATAGAATAGGATTCCATCTGGATTTGATTATCCAGTGCCTTGGCATCTGATCCCAATGAACATCTACTTCCTCATCTTCACAATCTACACATTCATGAAAGATCAACGGAGAGGAGAAATAGAGGAACACCTAAAAAAACAAACTGGCGCAGCTCTACGAACACCAATTAATCTCTTCCGTGATAGACCGGCAGACATGAAGATCCTTGTCGGTTCACAACCCGAGATTGATTTTCCATTAGTTGTCGCAGACGACATTTATCCTTGTGGACCGATAATGGTGGATATCTCACCCGTCGCAAAGGCCGATCCCGAACTCTTAAGCTGGCTGGCTAAAGGACCGACAATCTACTTCAATTTAGGATCTCTGGTCAAGGTCAGTGAGGAGCGAGCTATTGAGCTTGCTATAGCTATCTCTGTTATTCTGGAGACGCTGGAGACAAAGCCACAACTGCCTCGGCATCAGGTTGTTTGGAAGATTATGAGGCTAAATGACTATTCATTGAGTGGGTCTGAGTCGAAGGTTGCGGGTGTATTGGCGAAATGGATCGAGGCAGATGTAGTTCGGATTGTGGAATGGTTTCCTGCTGATCCTAACTCTATCCTGAAAACTGGTCATGTTGTCTGCACGGTACATCATGGAGGTGCCAACTCGTATCATGAAGCTGTTAGGTAAGTTGGATTTGCGGCATCGTTTGTTTAGTTTATGAAGGTGGCTGATCTGTTATTAGCTCTGGGGTTCCTCAGGTGGTATTGCCTCAATGGGCGGACACATATGACTATGCTCAACGTGTTGAGATGTTTGGCATCGGTCGATGGGGCAGCAGAACCGCTAAGCCCCTGTGGACTGCCGCTGAAGTATCCGCAGCTGTCTTGGATGTGGTGGTTGGTGAGATGTCGAAGAAGATGAAAGACAACGCTGCCAATATACGAGCTGCCGTGGAAAGGAAGGGACCTGGTGGAGTGAACGCCGCTCGCATCATTTTGGAAGAATGCGCCCGGATCATGGCTTAACCTTATGCACGAAGAATGTTCGTAGTCGGCTACTGCTGCAAGCGAGCAAACAAGTTGGACATATTCTAGCATATGGTACTGTTGTCTGTATTTACTTAGCAAAGAATGGGGAAAGAAAAGGTTTTCTGGCGGTCATAAGAATCGTTCTATTTTCGTATGCATTATCTGATTCCATATTTCGGGCTCATATATCAAAATTGGAGATATTCAGTGGTGGTTGCGGTAGATGGGACGCTAGATGCAGGTATCTCAAATGGTAGCGGCCAATGTCCTGAGCAGACCACTAGGCTCCGCGATTCCGCGATCGCAAATTTCATCCGCGCGCGCCTGGGTATCACTAACAGAGTAGATGCGAAGCTCATCCGCATTTCCAGATGGTCGAATATGAGCAACATCACCATTTCCAAATGTCATCCGCACGCCATCGGTGTAGTTGATCGTCTTAACTGAGGGAAAGCCAGATTGGGATGTGAACACCTTTTCGAGTGCATCGCGAATGGCTGACATCGACTCGATTTCCGAGGCTGGTGCATCGAGTTTGTTTCCATTAGGGTCGAGGGGGGTTATAGCGCCATCAGCGTAAGATATGGACTGAATAGACTTGTCTGTGGGGGAGTAGCGCTGAACGATCTTTGCACTTGTGGGGCGAGGGAAGTTTCGGATGACTGAGGCACGACTGAAACGGGCTGGTAGCGCCTCGAACAATGGAGGAACTGTGCTGTTGCGCTTTTTCGCGGCGAAGAGGACAGAAAGCAGAGGGAGCACTGCGTCGCGAGTAGGAAGAGCTTGGAGTATCTTGCCATCGACCTCGATGTCGCAGCCAGTTAAGAAGCCACCGTTGGCTTCCCAGCCCAGAACACGGCTGCGGCCCTTTGAGACGGCTGTCTGCATACCGGCAATCACGTAGGGGCTACCGATGCGAGTTTTGGGTTCGGTGGAGGCTGCAAGTCCGCCCCTGTCAATTGCATCGTTGGTGCTGATTGGGACAACCACCGCGTCGGAACCGAGAAACTCGGCGACGACCATACCCAGTAAGTCTCCGCTGAAGAATTTGAGCTTGCCATCTTTAGGCGCAAGCAGGAGAGGGCGATCGCTGTCTCCATCTGTAGAGAGGACGGCATCGAATGTTTGACCGGCGCTGTCGTAAAGGGCTTGGATGGTGTCAAGGGATGCTTGATCGATGGCCTCGGTGTCGATAGGAACGAATGTCTCGCTGCGGCCTGCAGGAACGACCTCGGCGCCGAGCAGTTGGAACAACTCAACGACAAGATCGCGACCAACAGCAGAGTGCTGGTAGACCAGCAGCTTCAATCCCTTCAAAGTCTCACCCTTGAAAAAATCGAGGTACCGCTGGATATAACCACTCTTTCCCTCCGGAATGGGGGTAACAAGACCACTTTTGCCACTGCGAAGCATACCCTGCTCATTGAACAAAGAGTCCGCGAAGGGCTGAGCCAGAAGCTCTTTCCGCGCAACCTCAACAAACTCATTGATAGGCTGCTCATCCTTCTTCAAAAGTTCTCCCTTGCACGTATTCAATTTGTATCCATTGCGATCGAACGGAATATGGCTACCGGTAACCATAATGCTACCCTTCCCCCGTTGTAACGCGAACAATGTCAGCGCAGGCGTCGGAATAGCGCCCAGACTAATAGGCTTCATGCCACCATCGCGCAGAGCCTGCTCCACGGCTTGACTGAGACCGCCGCGATTGGGCTCAACGTAGTTAATTGAGCTAGGGCGAAGGTCGTATGCGTAGTAGAAGTCGTCGCCGGTCTTAATACCGCCTTCGGACTCGGGGATCGATTGCAGGTACCGGATTTCACCGAGGACGTTGGTGTAGATCTCCAGTTGGGTAAGGTGAATAATCAAGCCACGTCGACCGCTTGTTCCGAATTTCAGGATTTGAGGCTCGTACGCCAGCTTGGCCCCGAGAGAGGATGATGATGTGTTGGACATTTTGATTCGGCGCTCCGAGGTTATTCGTAGAGCTTTCCTTCTCGTTATATGGGGGGATTCAAGGGGGGAAGGAATCTAGGAGGAAAAGTCACGAAGATCGCGTCGGGTTTACCCCGCGGCCGATCTTATTCACCGCATTTGCCACTCCCGATCCCGACACCGCAACTTCAGCCACACAGTATAAAGTCCACATTGATGATCTTATAAGTGTTGTTCTAATTTAAAGTGACAAATATTTGAATTTGAAACCCAAATGTCACAGTATTGTGTATGAATCGGGATACCTGACGCTATATTCGACTATACATTATTTACCTGCACTATACTACATTTATCCAGGGCGGATCGATAGAGGGCACAATTATTGATACGTAAACCTAATACTAATAAAAAGGGTTTTCAATATTGATTCTGAGCTCATGATTCAAATCTCATTGTTATGGATCCCAATATTTTCATCCTCCAAGCCATCCCAAGCCACCACCTTCGGAATTAAGCCAAGCATAATCCAAGCCGTACGGATCAAAACTACCAATAGGTGAATTCTCATCCATGAAACTTGTTAAGCCAAAAATGGATGATGGGTACTCTTCATCAGGTACTTCTAGCTGTGGCGGTCGCAAATTCGTGCCATACAAACCTATCAAAAACGTTAGCAGATATGAGATTGCGAATCAACCGTTGTTATATACCGTCTTTCAGAATTTTAGCCACTTGTGAATTGAGACAATCAAGAATATCCATTGCTCTTTGAGATGAATCAATCCGAGGTTTGTAATGATGCAAAATGTCCATGCAAAGATCCCATGACTTGTCCAATTGATGTTCGCGAAAGCTATCACCGTCGAAGGAGCACAATCTTGCAATGGAGATTGATATAGCACAAACAAAGGCATCTGGTGGGATTAATTAACCGATTCTTGTGTTTTTGTGAAATATTTCTTACAATGGAATTCACGCCATTTGGCCGTTTTGAATGATGTTGCTAATCTGTGTGACATGTGTACAATCAGTTGGTGCACTGTATCTATACATAGAAAACAACAGTCGCCAGCAGTTCTTTCTTCGATAGTCAATCGGGAAGGTGTCTTTGAATCAAGACCCCCGGACTTATGTCGAACGTTGGCAATGGCGGCAGAAAGCAGTAAGGGTCGCAAAACTAGGATCCTCACGTAGAGAAATCTGCATATAAATCAGCTCATGTTTCGGTACTATCCACCAGAAAAGTGTCGTCTCACCTAGATCGGAAAACATAGCTTTGCCATCCAAGCTCTTCGACGAAAAGTTCAGCCGTTCGTCTTTCTTTCACATCTGGATTGAGATAGTCGGGAATCTCGGAGCGAAGATCATCGACAGCCTGGCTTTGAGAAAGGATATTCGCCAGCTGAGGCCGTTTCCACCAATGACAAGGGGTCTCCTTTGACCTACTCCCATGAGAATGTTGATGGTAAATATCGACAAGTGTTTTATTCATGATTTCAAACAAGGTGACAGAGAATCTGATGAATGATGAGATATGACTGCTTTCTGAATTTCTCAAGCTGTTTTGTTCAGTCATTGGTGGTATATCTACACCAATGTTCTCGCAAGTCATGCTCTTCCGATTGAAGGAAAGCGACAACAACCTGGGAAATGATGTCAGTGAAAACATGGGCTGTGTTCGACCGGACCTAGAGCAGCTCTGACCTGTCAAGTATTATACAGCTATGCCATACTCGCCGTCGCATGACATATCCATGTTCAGCCCGAGACGATAATTCCTCATCTTGCACATCCAGACCAAGGTAATGTGCATATCGAATTGCTGAGCCGACAACAGTCCAACATCGACTTGCAAACTTAGTTGATTGAAGGTAAATACCTGTTAGCACCAATAGTTGGACGGTCTTTAGTGAAGGATCATCGATAGTGTCGATTGCGTATGAATGGCGCGATTTCCGATAGAAGTGATCGGCTGACTCTTCTTCATTCTCCATTTGACACACAAGCGCAAAAATCATGTCAAAGACGGCCATGTCAGTAATGTCAGTATCGAGATCGTGATTCGATATTTGGGACGGGCAATCTCTCTGCGACTGCCAAAGGTCTAAGTAAATTGCTTCAACAATCGGTCTATTAAGCACGGGATATATTGTGTGAATGTATGTCCAATATTTTGACATCAACGTATCGGCAAGTCGACGAGGTGGTAGTTGTAAAGCCCTCGAGGCGTGGCTTCTTGTGACGTCTTTGTTCACTGAGCTATCTCCATTTTGCTCACTCAATGAGAGACCTCGATTCATCACTTCACCGATTCCTATTGAATGAGAGACAGAATGAAGAAAAGAAGTGATCGAGGAACCTCCGTTGTCAGAAATCTTCCCTTCTACCGAGGGCACCATAACAAGTGCATCTGTCCTGTTGAGGGATCCGTCATTGGGACTCATGGCGAGAGGATGAATAGTACCATGTCTAGAGCTTCGGGGTACTACGTCGCTTTTCGGCATTTCTTCGCAATAATCACGATCAACTGGTCGGTTTTATTAGTCGCATGCCTTGCTTCACCAGCAGTTGCACTTGGGGTCCTTCCTCGCCTACCTGCTGCTGCTTCGAGTTGAGGGTCAACACCCCTTTGCTCCTCACTGCCATGAGCGAAGGTAGCTGAGCGCGTAGCTTCCAATTCAAGGACCTTATCTTCCAATAGCGCGATATATCTTCGAATAATATGTTAACATATCTTGTCAATTACGACTTCAAATGCACATGAAGCTCAAACTCGGCTCTGATGCAGCGATTGTACCTTTGTGTTTTCATCGCCTCTTTTTCATACACACATTTGCTCCCAGATCCCCGCCCAGCGCACCTAGAACAAGCAGGTCGGCGACCATCACACCGACTTTTACTTCCTCGACATGCATTGCAGGCTAATTGTACCCTTTGCCGCCGGGATGGAATCACAATGGATTGACCGGAGGCGGGGCCCGTGTCTCCCGAATTTCCGTTATCATCCAAGTAAATTTGCTGCGGAACAAACTTGAAACTCGTCATTTGGATACTTGTTCGTGGTGAAACACTTGTCATTCATTTAGTGTTGTATATGCGAAGACAAATATTTCCCAATTCATTTTGCTCCTCCGACTTGGCACGGATATGCGGTTCGGATGGGGGTTGCCGTTTACCCGATCAAACTATTGGCTTCATTGGCTGATCATTCCCCACTAGGCGAACGAATTATGCAGTGATGTCAGTGTCAAACGGCTCTGAATAATGGTATAACTGCCATAATTTAAAGTATACTGATAATTCAAGTACCAAGAAGATTTGTGTCGGGTAGCATTGAGTTACTAATCTAAGAATACCCCTGGTGAACTGGTTGGTATCCATCTCAATGATGTTTATGGCCGTTTGGGTTTCTCCACATTTCCTCGGAAGGCAATCCGTTATTGCGGGGATTCTGCAAGTATCCCTTCAGGAAATGTCGGGCTTTAGATCTTATAAATACTGGTCTTCAATCAAAATTTGAGGGTAACATTTTCCCGGGGCTCTCCAATACGAAGAACCTCTGAATCCTGGACCTCGCACTTCAACAACTCTTCTTTCTATAAATTTCCACTAGTCGTAACATGTCCGAACTGACTTTCTGGCCGCCGAGGCTGAAAGCAAATATCGCCAAACTTGATTTCATTCAAATATGTATCGTCTTCCTTTTGGGGCTAACTGCCCTATCGACTCTGTTCAATCTCTACTTTCACCCTCTCCGAAAATTCCCAGGTCCATTTTTCGCACGTTCCTCGAACCTTTGGGGCCGGTACCAAAACATGCATGGACAAAAGTCGCATAGCATTCATGCGTCTCACCGTGTATATGGTAAGGGTTTCAAACATTATGATGCTATATGTTAGACCTTAAAGTCCATAGCTAACTTTATCAGGCCCCGTGGTGCGCATTGCACCCAATACATTATCTTTCTCAAGACCAGCTGCCGTGCGTGACATATATACATCCAAGAACAAGTTTGTTAAAGAGGAGAGCTTCTATGTGAGTCCAAGTTTGCGGTTTTGAATCTTAATCCTCGCTCATTGATGCGAATGAATTCCCAGCGCGCGAAAAGAATATTCCGTGAGAACCATCTACTCAGCTTCCGGTTGGTCTTTTCTGTTCCCTTAAACTTGAAAATTATCACCATTAATCATCCGTTATTTTCCATGCAGTGATCCCGAGGCACACCATCAACGACGGAAACTGTTGTCTCGTGGATTTTCTCAGGCCGCACTTGTTGAGTTTGAACCAAATATCATCTCGAAAATCAACACACTGCTTGACCAGTGGTCTACCCTCACATTGGAAAATTCAGTAGTCGACGTGTATCCCTGGGTTCATATGCTAGGATTCGATACCATATGTGAATTTTTCTTCCAATACGCTGTGTGAAAATGTCAACTAACGGACTCTTTCAGATAATTTGATGTTTGATGTCGACCCTGGAACATTGAAATCTGGCAAAGAACACACTATTATGCCTTGGCTTCGGTCGTGGCGTCCGACCTACATCTACGTAAGAATGGCAATCTCCAAGATGCAATTTCTTACAATGTGCTTGCCACTGACGCGTGTTTGATAAAAAGAAAGAGTTGTTTCCCCTTCTTGAAACATATGGTCCCTATGTTCCAGGTTTTATAGGAGCATATTTCCGTGATGTACAGAAGTGGAAAGAGGTAAGATGCTCCTTAAGTATTATCGCTATGATTGATTTAGTACTAAGAAAAAGGAAAGTTTGCTGTCGAAGTCATCGAATCTTGTAGGGCCACTGGGACCAAGACACCATTTTTGAGCAAGGTACTCCACGATAATGATGGGTTCCTCGGTCGTCCTCTTACTGCATCAGAACTCGCAGAGGAATGCATGGGAGGAATGTACGTTCCCCACCCTTTGAAAAAAATTTCAGAGCTAAAGGTTGCAGGTTTGGTGGAAGTGGTACAACTGCGACGACTTTTGTCTACCTTCTATGGGCTGTTCTGCAACGGCCGGATGTTGTGCAGAAGTTGCAAAGTGAACTTGATGCTGCATTTCCTGACGACCAACCCCCTGACTCCGTGGTATGTTTCAAAACATGAGACAGTCCCTTCAGACTAGTATATACTGAGAAAGTCACATTAGAAATGCGGCAAATTACCCTATCTACAAGCTGTTTTGAATGAGACACTACGTGTTTATCCTGCTACCATTGCTGTGTTGCCGCGGACTGCGACCGTGGACACCATCGTTGATGGCATTCCCATTCCCCAAGGGGTGCGTATACCTTTAAGTCTTTCAGGGCGAGATCTCAAAACTGACCTGCGAATAGACAAATGTTGCCACTCAGAATTTGACAATTCATCGCGATCCACAAACTTTTGAGAATCCCGATTCCTTCATTCCGGAGAGATGGATTGAAGGTAATAGCATACAGATGAAGCAGGGCTTAACACCGTTTTCTCATGGCCCTAGGAAATGTATTGGCTCAAAGTAAGCAAAGAATTAATGATTGTCGATCATGCATATATTAACAAACGTTTAGCCTGGCTGAAATGGAACTTCGGCTCCTAATTTCAGCCTTTTTCCTGAGATTTGAGGCCTCCATTGACAGCTCTATGAAGAATTCTGACATGGTAATGTACGATACATTTAATATGTCTCCTGTAGGTAAAAAGCTACTGTTGGTTCTCAAAGACAGGGTATGGCCTAAAGGCCTTTCCAAACGGAGATCGGAATACCCACAGGGGACAGAGAATTTGGGATAACCCCCAACTTGAAGGTTGCGCATTGCTTTCAGGAAATTAAATTGAAGGTTCATTCAACATCGGGTATCATAGTATTTTTTCCAAAGACACGCCCAACTGTAATACAAAGTTCCACCGTATTGAAGTCATTATAATATACAGAATTGCATGGTTAGCTCCCAATATTAGTATAGTCAACCTCATCCAACTCTTGTAGTCTAGCCATCTGGTAGTATTTCCCACCAAGTTCCATCAAATCATCATGATTTCCACGTTCGATGATGCGCCCACGATCGAAAACAAGAATCAAATCTGCGTCAACAATGGTCTTTATACGATGAGTTATTGCAACCGTAATTCGATCAATAGTCCCATCTTGAAGGGCATGTTGAGCCAATTGTTCAGACGCTGTGTCGAGCGCGGATGTCGCTTCATCGAGAAGACTGAGATGATTGATCAGTTTAATATTCCATTGGGTTTTTGATGCAGGCAACTTACAGAATCTTGGGGTTTCTCAATAATGCCTTGGCAATTGCAATCCGTTGCCGTTGACCACCAGACAGAGTAGCACCGTTGGCCATGATAGGAGTACTTAACCCATCAGGTAGCGACATCTGGAAATATGGTTAGCAGTGTTGTGAAAGATGAAAATAATTTGTCATTTACCACGAAGCCTGCAAGGCCAAGAGTGTTTAGAACATCCATTATCTCGTCATCTGAAATCTCCTCTGCAGTACTTTGCAGACATTCTCGAAGATCGTCCCCAACTAAGCATGGATTCTGGTCGACCAGCGCCATATATCCGCGATACGAGTCGACATCATATTCCTCGATATCGTGTTTGCCAAGCAATATATTTCCTGATTTGGGAGAGTAAAGCCGTTCGATAAGGTTAATTGCCGAACTTTTACCGCTGCCCGAAGCACCGACCAAGGCAACGAAGGAACCAACGGGCGCGGCGAAAGTGACATCATCGAGAGCGAGTTGTGATGGACGATCTGGGTAGTGGAAATTGATCCTTCGCACAGAAAGAGGCTCTGCGAAGGGACTCGGCGCCGGTAGGGAACCGTGGTTATTGCCATATTGATGAAAGCGAGACCTGGCCGGGCCCATCAATTCGTTCAATCGCACTGCAGCCGCACGAGCTCCCGCAATATCTGGTGCTTGGGCGAAGAGGGCTGCTGCGGATTGAGATCCCCATATGGTCGCTGCAAAGCAGATGAGAAACTGTTGAATATTGTACTCGCCGTTTGCGACAAGATAGGTTCCTCCGTACCAGAAGACGAATGCAATGCTCAGTATCCGGAACATAGAGGAGCAACCATACACAGTTGCAGAGATAAACCAGTATCTACTTTGTTTATCCACTTTGCTTTCCATTTCAAACTTCTCCTTTATGCTCTGCTGTAACCCTAGGACTGTAATTGTCCTAATGACAGTGAATGATTCGTGGGCGATGGAGATAGGCTTCGTGTCTCTTTTGGTGTGTCTCTGGTCTCTTTGCGTGACATAGTATTGCAAAAATCCAGATGTCGCAACAAATGGAACAGTAACCATAATGACAACGCCTAGCTTCCATCCGAAGACACATCCAACTATGATCCCCGCTGCGAGCATGAATGTGCTCTCGAAGAAGAGACCGACAGATGTTCCAGAAATACCGGTAATCTTTCGGGTTCCTGATGAAAGAAAGCTGATCAGACACCCCACGGAATTATTCTCGCGGTCGAAAAATGGAAGTCCTTTGTAGAGTAATGATTTGAAGAGCTGTGATCGGGCCCTGTGGTTTAGTCGAGATGCTGAAATGGCGAAACAGTACCCTCGCATAAAGTAAATCAGAAACGCGGCGGCACCATGGATGAGATACATTCGCGCCCAGAATTGGCTATCTCTTCCCCCAGTACTCAATGCAGGTCGAATAATCGATATAATTCCGTTCCCAAAGAATATTGCTTGTACTGGGTATGATATACCAGCAAGGATACTGAACAGGATTCCTAGTATAGTATACGGCAGTTCGGGTTTGTTGATGTTCCACACATTCCTTACACTACTGTTTCGACCTTGAATTGATAGTGCTGGGCCATCTGAAGTCTCGACTGTGTAAATCTCCGTTGAGCCTTTGCCTTCTATTTTCGGTGCTGTCGCCGGACATGACAGTAGATTAGCATTGCTATATCTGGATGGGTCGGGCGGGCGGAGTGTCTGCTGCTTCACTAGCCCCTGGTATAGGAGAGAAGACGTGTATAGCTCTGTATGGGATCCTTGCTCAAGTATTTCACCATCTTTCATGACAACGACCATATCAGCATGCCGAACTGTCGATAAGCGATGGGCTATGATAAGAGTCGTTCGCCCGACAGCAGCCGATCGGATCGCCTCTTGAACCTCCTTTTCACATTCACTGTCCATGGCAGCTGTGGCCTCGTCGAGAAGTAGTATAGGTGGTTGAGAGATTATTGCGCGAGCGATAGCAAGCCTTTGTCTTTGGCCTCCTGAGAGTTTGCATCCATTTGGCCCTATCACGGTCCTGTATCCCTGTGGTAGATGGCTGATGAAGGAGTGGATTTGTGCGACTTGACAAGCATGAACAACCAGTCTTCCTGTTGCGAAATAATCCAATTTCTGTTGAGTCGTTAGCAAAGTGGAAGATCAAATCAGAGGACAGTACATTACCTCTCTAGATGCCTGGTTCAGTCCATGGGCAACATTCTCATGAATTGACGCGTCGAACAATGCAAGGTCTTGACTAACATAGCCAATTTGCGACCGTAGCCACGAAACATTCAGCTCTTCAATCGGTTGGTCATCTACTAAAATTTGTCCGCCGAGTGGGGGATAGAGGCGCTCCAGAAGATTGAAGAGTGTTGATTTTCCGGACCCAGACGGGCCTATCAAGGCAACAGTCTGGCCGGGAAAGACGTTGAAACTGACACCTTGTAGAACGGACTTTTCCGGTCGGGATGGATAAGAAAATGTTACATTTTCGAATCTTATCTCTCCTCGAATTGAGCCAAATTTGTCTCCAACACGCTCCTCGTAATCTAATGTCGACGGGCGATGAATGATAGAAAATACTCGACTCACTGCGCCGTTTGCTTGAGTAATGTCTGCTAAGGAAGGCAATGCTTGAGTCAGCATTCCACCAGCAACAGCTGTCGCGTATAGGATAGTCAAAGCTTCGGACAAGGTGCAAAGTCCCTCGTGGTAAAGGCGGTTTGCTTGCCATATCTGTACCTCGATTAGTACTAAAGAGCTCCAAAGCCTTGGGGGAATATGATACGTACCCCTAAGCCGTTTGTCCAATGCATTATCAGATAGGACCCCGCGATAATCAAGCCGAATATCAGTCTCTCTCGAACGTCAAAAGCCGTTGGCAGTTTCAAAACATCAAAATATTTCTTGGCGTATCGTTCTTGACTCCCGTAAGAAATGACATTCCCCATTGCACTGAGAACTTGTTGCGCGAGATTCTCTGCTGTCACGTATTGAGCTAATCCCTTTTTCTGTGTGGCGCTCAGCCAGAATCCCATGCTTGACACTAGCGAAAGAAGAGCCAATGGTTGAGAGATCATAATTGAGGCGAAAAGTGGATTCCTCATGAATGCGATCACAATAGCAATCACAAACCCGGAGACTCCGGAGATGATTTCTGCCACCTTCTGGGAAATACCTACTTGAATCAATTTCATATCATGATCAATATACCTTGTCAACTCGCCAGCTCCAGTCACATCGAAAAACGCTATGTTTTGCCGGAGAACTGAATCAAGGTATTTTCTTTGGAGTTGTCGCGTGATCTGTTCCCCGACCAGATTGAAGCCCCAGGCGCTGACCATTGTCGTGATGAAGGAACCAAACGCTGTGACGTGATAAGCAAGAAGTCTGGGGCTATATTTTGCAATCATATCACCCACCAATGTATATCAGTTGAACCGCGAGATGTTTTGTATGAACTCGGACATCATTTGATGTCGCATCATGTTCAACGACGAGATCGTTCGCAAAAGAGCCAAAAACCACTGTTACCAATGGCATCGCAGCACCTGCAATTACCGCGCAGACCGTGGAAACAAATATTATGCATATCTGCGCTGTGCTTGCTTGCCGGTAAATTGAGAACAGGTTTGCTGTGCTAGGTGGGATATCAACCTCCGCTTCGATCACTTGTACCGCGCATGACTCCCCGGCAATTGGTTGAACATCATTTAACAGAATATCCTCAAATGATCTGTTCATCTTTGTTGGTGGGGCATCGTTCTTGTCATGTTTTGTTTGATCGAGATGTTGGATTTTGGGCCGCGATAACGCATTCTAGGGATGCACATTCCTACTATGGCACGCACGTGGATCAAAACAAAACATAATCGCGAAGGGCGCGCCTCAAAGCAAGTGTAAGGCTCAGTTGGGATTAGAATTCAGGATTTGATTTAATATGCTTGGATGGATACTGGACTCTTTGCTTTTTGCGTGATATTCAATGGTTACTGCATAATTTAGCCCAAGTCGGAAGGCTCGGAAACGCTGCAAACTGAATCGATGAGATGTCAGTTCGACTGGTAAAGAATATCTCGATACCGTCTCTAATATTGAGGAAGAAAAAAAGAACTGTTATCGCTATTTATGTTTTGTTTTGTTTTTTCCTTTTCTTTCTTTGTCTTTTTTTTTAGGAAGGGGGAAAATCCATCTTGTAAACACGTCACGGAAATTCCAATCTTGGGTCCAATTGCCATGAGTATGGTTGATTTTTACACCTAAAATGAAAAGAAAGTAGCGTTTATTGAAATTCTTCTAAATAACTATTAGGCTGATACGCTCGATTAGAATCCTTTGCCAAGCAGTCACAAACTGCCTATACACACTGCGCCCAAAACATGATTTCATTGGAGGAATCTCACTCCTTTCCTCGGGCCTCCTGTAAGTATCTTCCCAGTGCCATCATGGAAGATTAATGCCGATAGTAATCCCACTCCAAGTAAAATTAGTCCTATGATAGAGCTCAGGGCTATGTAATTGAGCGCACAACTGAACAGGTTCGAAAGCGAAGAGAGTCGACTGCTAGTGTTACACCCAAAGACTCTTTCGAAGGTACCGAAGCTGAAGAAGTAGCTGTGTCAGCTGAACAAACATTGGATATTCTTCTGGCAAACGATACTATGGGTACAACCCTATCAGCTATCTTTTTCTGTCTTTCTGATAATGAGAATGTCACAAACAAATTGAGGGCAAGTATTATCGAAACGATCGGAATGGGGCCTCCGACCTGGACACAGCTTGGAAGTTTAGTGTATGTTCGTTGGGTGATATATGAAGGTATAGCCACTGCAACCAATTTTCACTGTAAACAAAACGCTGCTAACGATGTCCGTATAAAGCGATGAGATTATTTCCGGGGCGCTAGTTGCCAATGCACGAATTGCGAATAAGAGGTCTCAGCTACCATGTGGCGGTGGTAGAGATAGAGAGTCCCCAGTAACGATTGAAAAGGGGGTTATAGTTATCTACTCAACGTGGGCCAGGCACAGGTTGGGTGAAGACTTTGGAGATGACCCAGAGATATTTAATCCCGACAGATGGGATACCCTTAGCATGAACATGCCAGGATATTTTCCATTCAACAAAGGGCCACGAGCCTGTCCTGGGCGTAAGTTTATTTCCAAATTTGGACTTTTAACTATCAATTTGGTTCTAAAGGCATTGTAGAGCAATATGCCATGATCGTGTTGACATATCTTGTCGCACGAATATTTCAAACTTTCTCAACAATAAAAAATTATAACTCAGAGCTATGGAAAGAAAAGATTTGTCTTACATTAGAAAATGAAAATGGTGTTTCTGTGGGACTTATTTAAGAAGGGTACCCTTGGTAACAAGAATATATATGTGAATCCTGCTCGGATTGACGCATAGATTTTTACATCGTTTATTTTGAATTTGTATAGCTGGAGATAGTTAAGTATCTAACGATACTCGAGTTTGTGAAAATCAAGATTCCTCCTGGTTCCATTCGTTGAATGGCAACCGCGTTCTAATCACAATTGCCCATGTATAGTTGTTTAGTGCGGCTCTTTAGAATGACTCAACGGGACCGGGAGAACCTATCCCCGTCCTCCATCGGTCTTGCCCCGCCAAAATTTGTCTCTCCCCCACTTTGTTCATTTCACACAACGTGAAAGCGCATCATGTCTCAATTCGAGCTCTCCGTGGCCACTCGCGCCAGCGGCGCTGAGCTTCTGCCTGTGGTGCTCATTGCTGCTTCTATCAATGAGGCTCGCCCGTTAGTTGCCCAGCAAGTTTTTGTGCGCCGAGGAATACCAACTGACTCTATCTAGAACTCCCGTCATCAACATCTCCTACAAGGATACCGCTGTTCTGACCGAAGGCGAGAAATCCGTGATTGAATTCCAAGCTGGCGATAAGACTGTCCACGGCACTATTCCTATCATCCAGGAGCTATGTGCGCAGTTCCCCTTCCTTGTTGGCAAGGATGCTAAGACTGTAAGTGCTGAGCTGCCCCTATTGTCGCATGAGTCATTGAGTTCCCAAATTTTAACAAAATATGTGTTTATAGGAGAATGAATGGGTCAACAAGCTTGGCTCTTTCTTCACTCTGGACTTCAAGGCCCTGGACCCCGATCTCCAGGTACGATAAGACAAATCATGATCTAGATTATGACGCATGAATAGACTGGTCTAACTGTTCCCCATAGGCCCTTGACACCCACCTTCTCCTCCGATCCTTCGTTTCCGGATACTCTCTATCCACACCCGATATTGTGCTATGGGGTGCTCTCCGCGGAAACCGAGTCGCAGCTGCCGCCCTCAAGCGAGGTGTGATGGTGAATTTGACTCGTTGGTACAAGTTTCTTGAGGAATTGTGCCCATGGGCCGCTTCCGCTGTCGACTCTCTGAACGCTGCTGCACGCGAGAAGACTGCCGCCAAGTCCAAGAGTGGAGCCAGCTACGACATTTCCCTGAAGAATACCGACAAGGGTGTCGTGACCAGATTCCCTCCTGAGCCTTCTGGATACCTTCACATCGGACACGCGAAGGCTGCTCTTCTGAATGACTACTTTGCCCATGAGAAGTACAATGGTACTTTGCTCCTGCGTTTCGATGATACCAACCCATCGAACGAGAAGCAAGAGTTTCAAGATGCCATTGTGGAGGACCTTGCCTTGATGGGTATCCAGCCCAACAAGGTCAGCTTCACCAGTGACTACTTCAAGGAGCTTTATGATTACTGTATCCAGATTATCAAGTCTGGAAACGCATATGCCGATGATACCGACAAGGAGACTATGCAAAAGCAGCGCTGGGATGGATTGCCTAGCGGCCGTCGTGAGATGAGCCCCGAAGATACACTGGCCCGCCTCGAGGAGATGAAGACTGGTTCTCCCGAGGGCTCTAAGTGGTGTATCCGTGCAAAGATCTCTTTTGACGACAAGAACAAGGCCATGCGTGACCCTGTGATCTACCGTTGCAACCCTGCTCCTCACCATCGCACAGGCACTGCCTGGGCTATCTACCCTACCTATGACTTTGCCTGCCCTATTGTGGATTCTATGGAGGGTGTCACCCATGCTCTGCGAACCATCGAGTACCGCGATCGCAACCCGCAATATCAATGGATGCTGGATACCCTGAACCTCCGTACCGTTCAGGTCTGGGACTTTGCTCGTATGAACTTCGTTCGTACCCTCCTCTCCAAGCGTAAGCTCACAAAGCTTGTGGAGAGTGGCATTGTTTGGGGATGGGATGACCCTCGTTTCCCCACCATCCGCGGTGTCCGCCGTCGCGGTATGACCATCCCTGCTCTCCGAGAATTCATTCTGAAGCAGGGTCCATCCAAGAACATCACCCTCTTCGAGTGGGGCGCACTCTGGGCCACCAACAAGAAGTACATTGACCCGGTCGCTCCCCGCCACACTGCCATTGAGAGCGAGGGTAATGTGAAGGCTGTCATTACCAATGCCCCTGCTCCATACACCGAGAAGCGCCAGAAACACGCCAAGAACCCTGCCGTTGGTGAGAAGACTGTCGCTTTCTCTTCCACCGTCCTCCTCGAGCAGGTCGATGTCAAGACCTTCAAGCAGGATGAGGAGATTACCCTTATGAATTGGGGTAACGCCATCGTGCGCAATATCTCTACTGAGGGTGACAAGGTTACCGGCTTGGAGCTTGAGTTGCACCTCGAGGGTGATGTGAAGAAGACAGAGAAGAAGGTTACCTGGTTAGCCACTGAGGGCCAGGAGTTGGTTCCTGTGGAGCTGGTCGATTTCGATCATCTTCTTAAGAAGGACTCCTTGAGCGAGGATGATGTCCTTGAGGATATTCTCAACTTCAACACCGAGTTCCGTGTTAGTGCCTTGGCTGATGGTAACATCTCTGCTGTGAATGTCGGCGATATCTTGCAGTTCGACCGCAAGGGATTCTACCGTGTGGACCGCGTTCCCGCCCCTGGCGTGCCAGGTGTCTTCTTCAACATTCCTACCGGAAAGGACAAGAAATAAGCACCAACACTGGAATTTCGTCAGTTTTTGTCGACAAATCAGTATATGCTGAACACCATATGAAAATATAGCTACTCCAAAATTTCGCTACGCCCCAATAGTATATATTACGAGAAATTTGAATGAAATGCGATGTGTAAGAATATTCATGACTTGCCTGTATTGACTGCTGATATTTACCATCTTGTTTTCAATATATAGTTGTAGCTTTGAAGATACTAATAGTCAAAGGCCAAAGCGCACATGAGAAGAGTGTATCATTTTACAAATAATGAGAAACGATCTCATAATCAACTCTTGTATTCATATCATCTTTTGTTTAATCGCTTTCAATTAAGCCAGTCATCTTGGCAGAGTAAAGGTCAATGTCGGTGATAGTTTCAGGGGCCTCATTAGTAAGACAAAAGATTGAGGCATATTCCAACTAGTCCGAAAAGCGCTCTCAATTTCATGGAAGATGTGTTCATTCATTTGATTGATGTTAATAGTTTTTTGTTTGACTTTATTTCATGCATGTCATGCAGAACTTCAATGTAGTCTCACAGATGGCCAAGACGACAGTCCACACTCGCGGCTAGACGTTGGCCTTGACTTACTTGATTTATAAAAAAATCAGCAAAGCCATGAGTAGGCGCGATGTTAGACTCTGCTCTTGAGAGACCACTCTTGGCAGAGCCCGAAGACTCCGGCTTAAATGTACAGATTTATATTATCTTCGCATGTGCTTATTCTAATTCCCAGGAGATACAGATATCTATAGATCTATATTGGGCTAATATTAGTCTGATCTATAGTGGTGTCGTATTAGTACCGTATTTGTGTAATACTCGCTGAGTATAAGCCCTACACTAGTATGGAACTGGCTTAGTATTAGTCCTATATTAGTACGACAGCAATAATACCGGCGCGGATAAATAGTTAAACCGAAAATGATAAGGAAAGATAAGCTGAGGTAGCCTAGCGGTAGTGACGTCACTACCAAAGAAACCTTGACGCGGGTTCAATCCCAACACTGAGCATGTCTACGAGATCCTACAAAAAGGTACTACATACAACCTCAGAGAGCACGCTCTGCTCCATCTTCTTCTGCTTATCCTTTTGGTCCCATAAAAAAGTCTCTATTAATTAGATACTAGTCGAGCTGGATCTACCTAGATCTCATCTCTCCTATCACAACAAGTCTATCAAGTAGAATAAGAATGTCAAATTTTCGGGACACCATGAACATCCTTAAGCCGCCGCGATTGACGATTGACTATTGGCGATTCACGTATAATCTGGGATTTGGGAAGCTGCGATCAGATCTTCTCTCGTATTTACGGTTTGACAGATGATGATCGTTCTTTCCCCCGAAGTTCCTATATACAAGAGTACAGGGTAGAGTAGGCACAGAGGGAAAAAATAATGTTGGGAATCGTGCGCCGTGTAGTCCCGAGGACATAGAGACATACAGATGGATGGAAACACTGTATTTGCTTAGACTTGTCTTCACTACCTGCAAATACGAGACTCGATGCAACCTTTCGCGGTATTTTCGCTTCGGGCGCCGTGGACCAAGAAGAGTGGGTCGTTCATTATCAATCTATGGAGAACATGGCTCACTTGGCAGCTCACTTGGCGAACTCTATCATTATTTGGCCAAGAATAATTTAGGCACCAATTTTGTCCCGTCTGGGATGAAAATCCGGTTTAAGAAATTGATGTGGAGCTCATCTTGAACTATCACTAAGATGCCCGAAGTCAACTGATTGATAAAACCCGCGGGATCCGATGAAGACGTTTTCGTCCGAGATCTCGACTATTTCTATGGATCTCTCTCCCTGACCAACGGTTTATAGTCCCCAGGTGAGTCCACAATTTCGATATTTCAAGCTCAATTTAAAGAGAATGCAGCTCCCACGCTGTCATTGGCTTCCTTTGAGTAAAATAAGACTGGGCGTGGTACGAGTGTAATAGCTGAGTGGGGTCCGCCACCTAGGCAGCCTGAGGCTGTTATCAGATTGTATATTAAGTTTCAATCATGCCACTGAGCGAAATAGTAGACTCCTCGCGGAAAGCAGCAGTGGTGAGAGGTAGCTATCGTCCATTAGTAGCCAGACCCATTAATAAAAAGCCCTTGCCAATCATTGCCTGAACGAGGCATTAAGGGTGTAAAGATCCGAGGTATTACCAGGGACTATACAACTTCTGAATATGGGGAAACGAATAAAGAGCAGTCCACCAATATGACGGGATACAAGGACAGTAAATCTGAGGGAAAATGCAATCGCTAAGTCAAAAAGGGTCTCCTTAACTTTTACGTTTCGAAGCAAATTTTCATCTTGCATTTCCAAGACATTTCGGTGGATCTGGTGGAAAGCCAAGAGCTTGTCTCCAGCTCCGAGACTTAAATTGCGTCCGACATCCGCATTTACGTTACACCCGCGATCTTTTCCATCCTCAACTTGAACCATCATGTCGACCCCTGATAAAGGACAAGTCATCACTGATGATAATGAAAATGTCATCACGAGTGATCCTGACTCTCACAATGCATCTCCGAATATTCAAAGCGAACAAGATGGTGTTCGGGTAGCTGATGCAGTCACCAAGAGTTGGTCTAAGAGGTCACTCTGGGTGTGTTATGCTTGGTAAGGCACACAAAAAGATACTGAATCTATGGCTTTGCACTGACCTGTGTAGTATGTGGCTGTTGTATTTCATCAACAACTTGAATAGTAGTTTGACCACCAACCTATCGGCATACATCACCAGTGACTTCCAGTCGCATTCTTTGCTGACTGTGATCACTGTCATCACTAGCGTTATGTCTGCTGCATGTTTGATGCCGATCGCCAAGGTGTTGAACTTATGGGATCGTGCTTTGGGTATGTGTATCATGGTTCTAATTGCCATTATGGGTCTCATTATGATGGCCTGTTGCAAGAATATCGCGACCTATTGTGCTGCACAGGTAGGTTCTATATACTTTATTTTGTCGTCCAATTATCCGAAAATCAAACTACTGACAAGTTGATAGGCATTCTACACGGTCGGCCTTACAGGTCTTATTTTCGCCGTCGATGTCATTACTTCGGATACCTCAACCCTTCGCGACCGAGGTCTTGCCTATGCTTTTACATCATCCCCGTCAATTATAACTGCGTTCTCCAGCCCATCACTTGCAAATCAGTTCCATGAGTCAAACTGGCGATGGGCTTACGGGCTAATTGTTATTATCCTTCCGATTGTGGCAGCCCCGCTGGTCGTGACTTGGGAACTTGCCAAAAGAAAAGCAGACAGGGAGGGACGTCTTCAATACAAGGCGAAGAGTGGAAGAACTTGGTCTCAAAGCATGTGGTTTTATATTATTGAATTTGATGGTAAGCCTACCCTCAACCCTCATTGCCGTCGAAGAAACTAAGACAATTTTCTACCTTGTTTAGTCGTTGGTATCTTACTTATGACCGGTGGATTGATCATGTTTCTAACTGCATTTAATGTTGCCGGAAACACTAAAGGAGAATGGAAGTCCCCCAAGATCATTGCTCTGCTCGTCGTCGGATTTGTCGTCCTCATCGGATTCGCCGTATACGAGAAATGGGGCTCACCGAAACCATTCATTCCCTGGCACTTAATCTGTAACCGTACTGTGATCGGTGCATGTTTACTTGACGTCACATATCAGATTTCCTATTATTGCTGGGTCAGCTACTATACCTCCTTCCTGCAGGTAGTTTTCGATACCACTCTGACCCAAGCTGGTTACATTAGCGCCATATTTGATCTCATGGACCCTGTCTGGTTAATTGGATGTGGTTTCCTCATACGATGGACGGGCCGATTCAAGTGGATTTTGATGTGTGCCGTCCCACTCTACCTCCTTGGTAGCGGTCTAATGATTCACTTCCGCAACCCCGGATACAGCCTTGGGTACATGTGCATGACTCAGATCTTCCTCGCTGTTGGTGGCGGAACGATGATTCTTATCGAACAGGTCGCTGTTCTTGCAAGCGCTGATCATGAGAATTATGCCGCTATGTTGGCTCTGCTGAGCACATTTGGAAACATTGGCGGTGCTATTGGTAGCAGTGTCTCAGGTGCTCTGTGGACCAATACTCTTCCGGTTAAGCTTCGGGAATACCTGCCAGCTGAAACAAAGGATCAGTGGGAGACTATCTATGAGTCTCTCGATGTGCAGCTGAGCTACCCTGTTGGGTCTGCGACTCGTACCGCGATCCAAGATGCGTATGCTTCTACTCAGCGGAACATGACTATCGTCGGTACGGCTATCATGGCTTTGTCTATTGGTTGGGTTCTGATGATGAGGAACATTAAGGTCAATGATAACAAGGATGTTGCACAAGTCTTGTTCTAGTTGAAGATACTGCATTGGTGTACTATACAAGCACGTTCTATACAGCCAATTCGAAAACGCGCGACAAGAGAATATATGGATAATCAAATCAAAGAAACGATTTATTAAGGGAATGGTAGAGTAAACAAAGGAGGAGAAGGGAGGATGTGCGAACAGCTCGAGATAGACTGGGCATCGTGGGAATTGGTATTCTTGGACTGGAAGCCTCGAAAATTGAGTTTCGCGGACTGGCGGATTTTGTAATTCAAATATTTATAAAAAGCGGGCGTCCCAAATTTGAGAGATCTATACTAGTATTTGTTGTGGTAGTATGTTTTATCCCAGCTGTACCTATATGAAGCGGGCTTCTTGTCTCTGGTGCGGTTTGGGTCGCGGTTTAGCCTCACAAGACTGCGTAATACAGGTGTATGTCTTTTGGGTGGCTTGGGATGAACATAAATGACTGTGGGTTATCGTTCGTTGAGGATCCCCGGTAGCCGTGTCGGCCATGATGATCACAAGGTTTAACTAGAATTCGGCACTGGGCAACTGCTCTTTGATCGATGTTGAGCGCATGAGCCCAAAATTGGCTGCGAAAGTGGAGAGCTGAGCACCAACGACTTCAACGATAGAGGAGAATGGCGGTCGAATGGGTACTGAAACTTTGGACATTGGGTTGAATGAAGCGATGAATGCCCGATTTTTCACCATTAATTATGTTTGGGAATAATGAAAGATATGTCATTAATATCCGTACTATCGGCGCATACAAACTCATTGCACTAAACAGGGTCTTGTTGGTGCCTCGGAAACAAGGCACAAGATTGTCTAGCTGACTGTGTATTGTGCTGACTCGGCCAACAAGAATACACTAGTTACTCTGAATTTTATTTTCATCAGCAGTGATGTCCGTCAACTTTTCAAAGTCCTGGCATGACACTCAGTCCAAAGATGCGATGCTTCTTCACCTGTAGAAGAATGTTTCCGTCGTCAAGCGAAATTCAACCGCGAAGTTCTGTCCAAGCTGATGACCTACTAATATTCACCACGAATTCCCCCGTAGATTTCAAGTCAGTATTAATCTTAGGGTAGGAAAAACATATTCTGATTATGGCATGTATGTTATCTGAAACGAGCAAATGACGATTGTGAATATCACAACTGACATAGAGCGATCGAATCAAAGGTGGAACATTGACCAGACTGGCCGTCTTTGCGTTCAACACTGCGACGGAGAAATTCATGAGCGGACAAAAATGCTTTATCGGCATCATAATGTAGATTCAAGCAGTGACCCAAGTCAGGAATGATGTCGTAAGTAAAGCTTTGAGCTTTGGGAAAGAGTCGTCGTGCATTCCCAGGTGGACTATCAGGCCCTCGGCTACATTTTCCACTCCAACCACAAAATATCGAATCAGCCTCACCAATGATGAGGTGGGTAGGACCTGTGTAAGCCGTTTCAGTGAGTCCGGTCATCATGCTGACTAGCTCGCCTCCTGCGCAAACGTCTCGGTGGTTAAAGTCCCACTCGACGACTTCTGGATCAAAAGATCCGCTGAGCCCATAGAAGGCCTTTCGAATGTATTCAGGAAGGCTGAGAGCAACCCAGAAGAGGCTTCGGTCTCCAAATCGATCGGGAATTACATACCGAGCTGACCGAAGACCAGCTGCGATAATCTTTGGTATGCCCACCATGAAATTGGCGCTCCAACCCGTCAAGACGAGAGCATCATAATCTTGGGGGTATAACTGTGTCGATCTGACCCCAATGAGAGACCCAAGAGAGTGACCGACATAAACAATGGTTGAAAATCTTTTGCGGCCAATTTCTCCTCTTCGGAGCTTCAACACTATTTGGTGGAAAATCTCAGCCTCGAGGTTGACATGGGATTCGAGGAGGGGGCTGGAATGGCTCGAGTTTCCCGCGCCTAGGCGATCGATCGCAAGAGTCGCATAACCTTCACTTGTGGCAACTCGAGTCCAGTCATATCGCTTCGCTTGCTCCTCCGGTAAACCGATTCCAGACCAATAAAATTTGTTATAAGTAGCGCCGTGGGACAAAATTTGAATGGCATTTGCGTTGTTGTATTTTTCGGGCTCGCAAAGTGTCGCACTTATGCTGTATGATCCCTCTACTACAGTAAAAGGCCATACACGACCGATAAAACTGAACGCTTCATTGAAAAGGCCGTTGACGAAGTTGGGGTATCGAGGTAAAAAGTTGGGTAAACCGAGTCCGTGGGTATGCGTGGACGCGTCAACTGTAAGCGTGAAGTCGGTGCAACTGGAAGCACCAGCAACGATGGGAAGAGTTAAAAATATTGATGTGAGGCATAAAGAAATGAAACGAAAATTCATGCCTGAATCGGTAGTCTATAGGGGACCACCGAAGAGTGCTTCTCAGTGCCGTCGACCACTCGAGAAGGCGGGTTTTGTTTCAAATAACAAGGAAACTAAACTTACCAGGAGCTGACTAAATGTCCCAAAAAGACTCTGTACTTAGTTATTGCTGGATGCGACTGGTCAGTAGGCAATCTCAAAAACAAACAATTGCGAGAATCCCTGTCTAATGCGGAGCATCTGGCACGGTTGTGGTACTGTTTTTATAGGCTCGGGCCATGTGGGTCAAGAGCGTCGCATAATAAAAGAAATTACCAATAGTCAGAAGTGATAAAACCCACTTGCCACGAAGGATCGCACTTTTCAGCGCTAATAGAAAATAAGTAACAGCAGGATGCGTCCCATGCGTGCGGTCAAATTTCTTACCAGGTTTAGCTGTTGGAGATGTGGCAACTTGACGATCTCGTATGCCGTCTTTTGAAATGGATTTTTACTTAGCTTCCCCAACCCCTGCGCTAGACAGTTGACGACTCTAAGATTTCTTAGATGAAATCAGATCACTTTGACTCGGAGAATTAGTCTTCAAACTCAAACTGTCAGCACAGTAGAGCTTCTTGAGATATGCAGTTGACCGATGCGCCCGATGGTCTTGATATTTATGAGGACCATAGAGCAAAGGTGATTGCTTCTGTGGTCGCTCCAGCTATACTTGCAATTATAGCTGTGGGGCTTCGATTATGCGCGAGAACAGTTTCAAAGGCAACCCTTGACTGGGATGACTATCTGATAGTTTTGGCTTTGGTGAGAAGATCTGAAATCGTGAGGACCTTCACACTTGATTGTCAAAGTGACTGACTCTTCATACTAGGTTCTCAACACAGGGAACTGCGTTATCAATGTCCTAAGTATGGCCACTCTCAGCCCCAAATCTCGAACACATTTGGCTTACATAAATCGTCGTGGCAGTTGCTAAACTTGGAGGCATGGGTTTGCATGTATGGAATCCAGAGGTTAACCTGGAGATGATGTTCAAGGTTGGTGCAACGTTTCATAACACCCGCGACTGATCTGTCACTCACCAATATCCCCAGCTGGTCTTTGTTATGGAGTTTGTCTACAGCTCTACCATTCCAGCGATCAAAATGTCAGTCCTCATGTTTTACCGTCGCATCTTTCCCGTCCATAGGTTCAGTTATGCACTTTACGCCTGTTCCTTTCTCGCCTTAGGGTGGTTTATCGGAGTGATGGTGGTCAACTTCGTCCAGTGCTTTCCATATGCCTACTTCTGGAAACAGTATGGGGACTCCGATGCCAAGGGAAAGTGCATCGCCGTGGAAGATTATTTCATGGGAAATGGTATTGCAGAGGCTATTACAGACTTCATCATCTTGGTCACACCTTTCTATCAAGTTTGGAAGCTTCAAATGCCGACCAGTCAGAAAATTGCCGTCTCTGCTATCTTCGGTCTTGGATTCTTGTATGTTCCTCCCTCCAATACGCGGTCTCCATGTCACTAACCATCAATATTACTAGCACGTGTGTTGCGGGTGCTTTACGCTGCTATGCAGTCTACCTCATGAACAAAAATGAAGATATCACATGGAACTTCGGTCGTGGCTTCATATGGAGCTCTATAGAACCATCCTGTGGTATCATATCTGCATGTCTGCCAACCCTCCGTCCACTTTTGCGTCATTTCTTTCCGACAGCATTTGGCAATAGCAGCCACCAGAAGTCCAACGAATTTTATCCTCTGAGTGATCGCGCAAATTTTGGCCCAGGAGAAGGACTAGCTCCTCAAAATGATATCCGTGGCGGGTCCTCAGATTCATCGGCGCCATTAGGATCTAAACAAGATCCAAATCACGCAATTATGGTCCGTCAAGAGTTCAGGTTCTCGACCAAATTGGACGAGCACGAGCATGCTTGATCTCAGAAGTATACGACTTTGTAATTGTTTTTTCTACTACTACGCTATATTATGGCCCCCAAATCTATCTTTGCCGTTGCAGGCAACATCCCCGAAGAGTCATGCATGAAGACCCGCTTAAGTGTACGCCGTCGTGCGGGTAGTCCAATCGGAAATATCAGGATTTCGACCCACAATGGAATTTAGTCAGGGTGACATTTGACAAGCGAAGGGAATACCGGATCTTCTTCCCCGGCGAGTGTCGTAACGCTTTCGGCACGAGAAATGCAAAAATAAGGAGAAGGAAATTCTTTTCAAGTGACTGAACACCAGGGAGCTCAATCCTGCATGCCCCTAATTGCGGGCCAGTATCAATTTTTTTGCGGCCACGGGCCTCGACTCTTCCACATTAGAACGGAGTTCTCCTCGTCGCATCGATCAACCGTTTCTGATTACAATTGAACTGAGCGCATACGATCGGCGAGATTCCGTGTGTGCACATTTGTAAAGAAAATCCCCGCTTTCTATAGGATCAGATGAAAATCAATTCTCAGGGTTCATGAGCGAATCCGACGAAAAGAAATCTCCGTATGACAACCTTAAATTGGCGATATTTAGATTTATTCAAGAACTTAATTCTTTTTAAACAAACATCAAGCTTCCTATAGAAGCTCAGTGAAATAAGCCACTGGCTCTCTCCAAGAATGGGACGGCGTGAGCCGAGCCTTGACAAGTGGAGCCTCGCGAAATTTGAAATCCACCGATCTTTTGGCTAAGATCCTGCGAGGATCCTTCCAGGATTCAGGAATTAACGATCCCAGTTAGGGGCAAGTATCCGAGGTCCAATTCACCAAGCCGCTAAATTTTTCTGATTTATGACACTGAAGACGCGGGAGTACAATGTGCTTGTCTCCAGCCAATAGGCAATGCCCCAAGCATAGAGATGTAATGAAGCTAATGTCATTGGTATGATCCAAGCATTAAAGTTGACCTTTCTCCAGAGCTGTGTAAATTAAGCCCACCTACTCATTGAACCCCGCTTCTGCACCATTCCAACTGCAGAGCTGTAAGAGAATGGACAAAACACCAGCCAATGCAGGAGGGGAATCCCTTCGTCTATACGTGACACTTGGCATCCCGCTCATACTTTACTTGGTCTACAATTTCATCCTCCATCCTCTCCTTCGCTCGGATCTTCGCGGAATTCCAGGTCCATTCCTTGCCAAGTTCACTGACTTGCATCGTCTTTTTCTGGTTCGAACGGAATCCGTTCAGGAGCATCATCTGGAACTTCACAAACGCCATGGACACTTCGTACGCCTTGGGCCAAACATGGTTTCTGTTAGCGACCCATCCGCTATATCTACTCTCTACAGCACCCGGACAAGACACCCCAAGTCGAACTTTTATCCAGTGATGGGAAATGTTGCGAACGGAAAGGTCGTGCCCACCATCTTCTCCACCCTGGATGAATCATTCCATGAGACCATGAAACGACCCATTGCGCAGGTCTATGCCATGACCAACCTGAGAACCTACGAGCCGCTCGTTGAGAGTACCGAATCTCTTTTCTTTGAGAAGCTGGAAGGCCTGGCCGATACTGGAAAATCATTCGATTTGGGAACATGGTTACATTGGTTTGCGACCGATGTGATAATGGAAATTACATTTGGGAAAAGACTCGGATTCCTGGAGCAGGGAGAGGATGTGAATGGAATTTTGAAGCAAATTGAGGACCGCTTCTCCTACGTTGCCGTGGTAGGTATTCCCCGAGAAAAGTCCAAGAGCCGTTTGAATCCGTTAAATTCCCGAAATCACAATAGACTGATGAGTACGTTTTTCATAAATAGGTTGGACAGATGCCTTGGCTTGACAGTGTCCTGCACAAGAACCCAATCACAAGCTATCTGAAGAGCCTCATTTCCAGTCCAACTGTTTCCCCCGTCCTCAAATTTGCCCTTGACCGAATCGCCGAGCGCAAAAAGCAGCGCCAGGACAATCCAGAGAAAATCGATTCAAACCGAGACTTTCTAGCTCGCTTCTTAGACATTAAAGACGCTAATCCTGATATTCCTGACTTGTGAGATACTCCTGTCTCCATAGTGGTTGTCTATATTACTTACAATTTCACAGTTGGATCATATCTTGGTGTCAACAAAATGTGCAGGCCGGATCAGACTCTACCGCAATTACGCTTACTTCCGTTTTCTACCATCTCTTGAGAGACCCTGAGTCAATGGCTCTCATACTGGAGGAATTGGATCAAGCAAATCTGCCCTCTCCCGTGCCTTGGGATATTGCCCACAGACTCCCCTATCTTGACGCTTGCATCAAGGAGGCGCTGAGGATGACCCCAGCAATTGGCATCCCACTTGAGCGTGTAGCCCCTGCTGAGGGCATGGAGCTTGGTGGGAAATTCTTTCAGGGTGGAACTGTTCTTGGAGTTAGTGCTTGGGTCGTACAGATGGACCAAGGTGTCTATGGAGAAGATGCCGCATCGTGGAGACCAGGACGATGGGTCGAAGCGAGCGAGGAGAAAAGAAAAGAAATGGACAGAACATTATTTGCTGTGAGTATTCTCGAAAATTTCATTAGAGGTATTTCAAGGCACTGACATCTGGCGTGCTAGTTTGGCGGAGGTTCGCGAGTTTGTATCGGGCGGAACATCTCATATCTTGAGATGTATAAAGTTGTCCCTGAGCTCTTGGTCAGATTCAAGGTACGTCATTATGTTGCTGAGTATACCTTGGGCAAGCGGCTAATCCTTATTCAACCATTAGTTTTCACTTCAGAGTCCACAAAAGGAGTGGACCCTTAAGAATGCATTTTTCACTTATACAAAGGGGGTTGAAGTGACAGTCCAAAGACGGTGATAGATATCGTATACCATAGATTCTTCCAAAATTGATATTGATTCGCTGGCCAAGCGCGGTCAATAAAATGAAATTCACTATGCTGCCTTAAAGCCCCGCTTGCTCAAAAAAGAAATTCGTCATCCCACCTAAAACCGAATGGCCATTCCCACATCATTTCCTACTATCCTCATTTGATAATGAACGATGTGATCAAATATTATAAGTAGAAAATTCTGGCCTATTAGTAGACTTACTTAGATGACATCAAAAGTGTCAACTATAGCAATTCTATTCCAGATGGACAGATTCCTTCAGGGGAAGGTCCCTAGAAGATGTTCCCACAAAGAACGAGTATTGACCAGGCACGAATTTCCATTTCTTAGAAGCAGTGGTCCAGATGGATAAATCATCAACGCCCAAAGTAAATTCGACCTTTGACTTGCGTTTCGAGTCGATGGCAACCTTTTGGAATCCCTTCAGAAGTCTAGGTGGTTCCTGGCATTCTTCGGGGAACTGCACGTATAGTTGGACAACTTCCTGTCCAAAGGTATTCCCTGTATTGTGGACTTCGGCCTTGATCTCAATAAATTTCTCATTCTTTCCACCAACTTTGACTGTCATCTTTGACAGCTCAAACTCAGTATACGACAATCCGAATCCGAAGGGGAACAAAGGCTTCACGGAGTTTTCATCGAACCAGCGGTAGCCAACAAAGAGACCCTCGGAATAGTTAGCCTTCAGGTTGACTCCTGGGTAACGTTCAATCTCCGCGGTCGGGGTATCTGCAAGAGCCTTGGGGAATGTAATAGGAAGTTTTCCAGAGAAGTTCACATCACCGAAGAGAAGGCGTGCGATCGCAGGTCCGATTTCTTGGCCAGGGTAGAAAGTCTCGACGACAGCATCAACTTCGTCCAACCAAGGCATCAGAATGGCACTGTTGGTGCTGACAACAACTACCGTGCGCTTGCTGTGCTTGGCAATCTTTGAGATAAGCTCGTCCTGGTTGGTGGGTAGCTGTAAAGCGTTGTTACTGTCAAGGCCCTCCGTAACCTCATCATTCACAAAAACAATGCTCAAATCCGCTTGCTTGGCAACCTTGGCCAAACCATCGTGGTTGAAGTCTTTCTCAATGTCCATGCCTAGAGTCACTCCGTAGATGCCATTGTCAACCGAGAAGCCCATGGAATAGTCAAGTCGTAGAGTCACAGCCTTTCCTGCGGTAAGCTTCACCACTCCTTGGGCCACCATGTTAAAGTTGCTTCCATTCAAGCTCGTAACCAAGTCGCCATCAATATAGAGATTACCCAATCCATTTCCATACACGGAAAAATAATACAGGCCCGTCTCGTTGGGGTAGAAGTGGCCAGCGTACCGAGAGGAGTAGACATCCGGCCAAACACTGGCCATGTTCTTGGGATAATCTCCGACGGTGATGTTCCCAGCTGTCGTAGTCTGGTTCACGGGTCCTGTCCAATCGGTAGTCGTCCAGTATGTGACGTTTAAACCATCAGGTCCAAACATTGAGGTAGAAACCTGATCAAAGGTCTGGGTACCTGGGAACGCTTTCAGGTAGCTGACCGAGACGTTCTCTTGAGCTGCTCGCTCTGTTATATAAGTGAGAGGCTTCTTCACCTTCATTGAGGTATCAAGTACAAATCCACCGTGCAGCTCAGTGACCAATGCTTGATCGTCTGCGTTGCCTCCGAATATAGCCAAGGAGTGGTATTGATCTCCATGCAGCGGCAAAGTCTTATCAATGTTCTTGAGAAGCACGGCACCTTCTTCAACAATTTCCTTTGCCAGACTTAGATGCTTCTCAGTACGGGCAATTGAAGTCTCGTTGCCCTCCACGGCTCGATCAATGACTCCAGTGGCGAACATAGGTCTCCAGAGGCGCTCAACCATATCTTCGACTCGGGAGGTGGGTACTGATCCATTATTGACAGCCTCCTGGAGAACTGAACCGTAGAGCTCTGGGAATCCATACAGGTCCATCAATGATCCACCGGGCTGGCTGTTGTCCAACCCGGCCAAAGCTGCCGCCACAGTGGTTCGCTGAGCGAAATACCAGTCTGTAACCACGAATCCATCAAAACCCCAATCGCCCTTGAGAACTTGGTACAGCCAAGGATCTTCACAAGTGTGCCGACCGTTGACCTTGTTATATGAGCACATCACAGAGCCGGCTTGACCTTCCTGGACTGCCGCCTTGAACGCTGGCAAGTACACTTCCTGCATCGTGCGTTCATCCACAATGGCATCGATGGCATCAAATCCAGGGGCCACTCCGAAGCGGTTGGTATCTTGGTTGTACGCTGCCAGATGCTTGGGGCATGCAATCATCTCCCGAGACTGAATGCCCTTGGTAATCGCGACACCTACAAGGCTGTTCAGGTAGGGGTCCTCGGACAGAGATTCTGCTGCTCGGGCCCAGAGGGGGGTTCGAACGATGTTTATGGTTGGCGCCAGCACCACATTTCGTCCCTTGGCCTTGTGCTCCTGAGCAAGGGCCTCGCCGAAACGAGTGGCGAGCGACAAATTCCATGCTGCGGTGGTCATTACGGGCGCGGGGAAAGTCGTGACATTGTTGAGGTTATTACCGACTCCCTCTGGGCCGTCGCCCATGCAAACAGCCGGCATGCTGAGTCTATCGATTCCAGGCACATAACCAATGCAACCGTTCGTCTCGAGCTGTTGCAATTCCACACGTCATGTAAGTTGAACGGATGTGTATGTTGATTGAGGGGAATTTCTGATGCTTACATTCTGGGTTCCTTGAACCATTGATAGCTTCTCAGTGAAGTTTAATTGCTTAAGGAACGACTGGAGTCTCTCTTCGGTTGGGAGAGACTTTTTCAGCCATGGCTGCTGCTCTGCAGCTGCCAAGCTGAGCAAAGACGAAATAGCAAGTAAACCCAGCATTCTGCGAATGAGAAACCCAGATGTTCATTCAATAGAGCCTCCGAATCGTTCCCGACATAGTATACGATTAGCCCTTATAAGATACCTCAGTTCAACAGCTTTAACGTGCAGCTGGGCCATCGAGCCGGCATTCTATGTTAATAACACCGGTAGACTAGCGTCGGCGTTTGGGATAAGCCCTTGAGCTGTTTAGATAAGGCTAGTGATCAAAGTAGTGGGTCCCTGTTGGTTCTCATTGGAATATTTTATTATAGGTACCGAATCTATTATTCTACTCAGAGCTCTGGATAATTCTTATCTTAAATGTCAGAGGCAAAATGTACGAAAACACTGTTTTGGTCATGTTGGCCAGACCAACTTCTACTCAGCACTGGGCAAATAATGCCAAGCTGTGATATCTGTAATAATATGGGTGGGCTTCGTAGATACTATTGAAGATAGCTTTGAAAGATGCCGCTTATATTCTATGGCCTACGAAGTGAAGCAAAATACGTAGTCATAATTGTGTTTGAACGACTTTACGCGGAGCTTTTCTGGCCTCTCCGGAATTCTTTAATTTATTCTCACTAGATCAAATCATGTGAAGCCTTAGATAGACAACCTATCTAAGGCAAAAGATGGAGGTGGAGCCTTCGAAACGGTTGGAGATGACCACTTCGAAGGTGGTTGGTTCTCTTCAGGGCCCCAGAGTGAGCTAACCTAGAGATCCCCACCTGCCGGCTTGTCTAACGGAACGACTGTAGTCTCAGAATGGTTAAAGCTTCTGATGCCGGTTCGTACAATCTTGAGCTTTGATGGACAATAAGGATCAGGGCACCCAATTAAGGCATCTGTTGTCATCCAATCGTTGTTGTGTGTCATGCGTTGTTTTGCTGCCAGTAAAGGTAAGACAGAGCCTAGTTATCTGTTAAGCATCGATCCGCACGCCAGGCCAGTGTGTTGATCCTTACCTAAGCTGTATATACTCATTCCTTGTCCAGGGGGCAAATACATCATCTCTCCCTGAAGAGTAAAGAAGTCGCCTTCTTTAGCACCGCACATGATTCGCTCTCCTGGTGGGCACATAACCTCCACGCGGAGGTCATACAATCGAAATTCCTCACTCATAATGAAATGGATTTGATTTTATCATGCGCCAATGGGAATTTATTATGCTTGATGGATGTCAGTTTGTTTACACGTCGCGCTATATAATCTTCTACGCGCATGCGAAGTAAGCATCGGTGTTCTATTCTTGCCGGTGATTAACCAACGGGCGGTAGAACGCCGGTTTGCACGTCCCTTCTCGACGCTAATCTCCCCGCTTTTCGGGAATTCTGATTGGACATTGGATCAGGGGGAGATAAGCTATCTCGTGTGCTGAACCATTCGAGTCTTTATAAACGTTACTAAACTGCTTATATCAAGGTTTCCCTCTGCATACGGCGGTCAGACTGCTAGCTATGAACAACATGGCCTCTGCAATCGAATTTCCAAAAGACGTTGAGTCCAAGACTCAAAGCATGGGGGCCGATGACTCCATCGATGCCACTGAGGGCAATTTCGAGGAGGTCAAGCGTGACCTGAAGTCACGACACATTAACATGATCGCCATTGCTGGCATGATCGTTAGTGCTCCCCCGGTCCATTGAGTTTCCTGAGAGTGACACTAAGATTGTATAGGGAACTGGTCTCTTCTTGAGCTCTGGTCAAGCCATTGCCACTGCAGGCCCGGCTGGGGCCTTCATGGCCTACATCGTCATGGGTTTTGTTACAGCTGGAGTGTCTTACACCACTGGTGAGATAACCGCGTTCATGCCCTTAACGGGTGGATTTGTAAGACACGCAACGAAGTTTGTCGAGCCAGCACTTGGAGCTGCAACAGGATGGAACTTCTGTCAGATCTCATAACCTTGCGCATTGATAATTACGAGTGACTCATAATGTTAGGGTATACTATGGCCATCTCAGCACCAACGGAAATCACAGCTGCCGCTACCTTGATTCAATTTTGGAATACTGAAGTCAATGTCGCCGTATGGATTGCTGCCTTTGGTTTCTTCATTGTCGCGCTGAACTTCTGCGGAGTCCGACTGTACGGTGAAGTAAGTCAACCCAAAACCAACCGCGCTTCGATAATGGTGCAATAATGCTAATCTTGGCAATATTACGCAGTCAGAGGTTGTATTTGCTTGTCTCAAAATTATGCTGATCATCGGTTGCATCCTTGGAGGACTTGTCATTGACCTCGGGGGCGGCCCCGACCATCATCGCCTTGGTTTTCACTATTGGAACACCCCGGGTGCCTTCAACGAATATATTGCTTCGGGTTCCACAGGCAGATTTCTTGCCTTTTGGAAGATCCTCCTGACTGCGGCTTTCAGCTACGGAAATATTCAAGTTGTGGCCATTGCTGGGTCCGAAACAAAGAATCCTCGCCTGACCATCCCAAATGCCACCAGAAAAACCTTCATCAGAGTCTTCCTATTTTACGTCCTCGGAATTTTCATTGTTGGCTTGGTTGTGTATGCTGAGCCCCTTTTCCTCTCAAAGCTTGCCAGATTCTAATCAATCGATCTAGGCCTTTCAACGATAAATTTTTGTCTCTTTCCACGGGTACAGCTTCTGAGTCTCCATTTGTGATCGCATTTACACGTGCAGGCATATCTGGGGTACCGCACATCATCAATGCAGTCGTATGTACTTCTGCCATCAGTAGTGGTTCAAGCTGTATCTTCTTGGCATCTCGTACACTCTACGGTCTCAGCCAAGACGGGCATGCCCCTCGAGTATTCCAGCGATGCAACCGTTTCGGAACTCCATGGTATGCCGTGGGTCTTAGCTCCGCTCTGATGCCGTTGGCATTCATGTCAGTTGGTTCTACTTCGTCGGTCGTCTTCGGATGGTTTGTGAATATTACAACTGTGGCCGGACTGATTGGATGGATCGTTATCGAGGCGACGTACTTGCGATTCTGGCGTGCACTCTCCGCCCAAAACATCTCTAGGGAGAGTGAGTTTCCACTCTCATTCTCTGATATTTCAATATATACTTACATTCAACAGGACTACCGTACAGAAGCCCATTGCAACCTTATACGGCTATTACCACTTTGGTCATGGTAACCTTGATTGTTTTTTTCTCCGGTTAGTTCTAACTCTTCTAAATTCATATCGCGAAAGCTCGTAACATAAATAGGCTTTGATGTTTTCACGACAGGAAATTTCACTGCGTCGGGTTTCTTGACTTGCTATCTCAACGTCGCGATCTTTGCTGGTAAGTGACGTCATTAATCAGAGAACACCCCAAGATCCCTCTAATTGATAAACAACTAACTTCAAACAGTGTTGTATATCTTCTTCAAATTATTCCTAAAGTCAAAGATTGTGCCGCTGAAGGAGGTGGATCTGGATAGTGAGCTAGCGGCTTTTGAGGAAGAAAAGGCTGCCATGCAGTATTCAGGTGAATCGGCCAACAACCAGCCATGGTGGAAGTCTATAATTTAGAAGATTCAACGATCAACTATAGTCACTTTGATTTAATAATTCTTTGTATTTATCAATGAAGTGTCTTCCAGATTCAAATTCTTGAACCGCTCTAATTGCGTAAAAGGATATGCCAAAATCAAGCTCAAAACACTTTCTACAGAGGCGAACCAGCAACACCGGGAAAGTGAATTTCGTAGAGTAGGATTTGACTGACAAGAAATTTAGGACACAACTACTGATATTTAACGTTTGGATTTGACATTCATTTTATGAAGACTCATTTAATCTTAAGGCAAGCAACTTCAAGTTGTGCAGATCCTTCAAATTGTGAAGTCGTAGTAGTGAATAGGCGAGAACGCTCGAATCACTCAAGTTTCAGGAAGCCTACTGTATGTCAGCTTAACTTGAATGCTTCCAATATATAGTTTCTGTCAGCATTAACTTTAGTATCTTCATAGGCATGTTTAAATAAGATGAAGGCTTGATATTTAGGTGGTCGAGGTTACCAGCGATCAAAGAGACAACATTTCAAAATTAATTACTCAAAATCTCGCGCCATGCGTAGTCTAAACCACTCCTATGAATTATGCTACGCGGTCCAAAAGGGAACCAAAATTGTAATCCCTTTGAAAAACCACTCCATTGAAAACAACCCATTTTCCCTATAGCGCCTTCTTCAGGCAAGTAATCTATCTATATTCACCACCACAGTCACCTAGACTCTCAAACATCTCAGTCCCGCGGCTCCTGTTGAGAATCTCTTGAATTTGCTTTTGGTCATCAGCATCCAATTTCCAGCCAAGCGATGCCAGACTCTCGTCACATTGCTGGCTGATACCCATTCTTGTACCGACAATGACCGCACCAACGTAAGGGAAGTCCAAGACCCATCTGGTGGCCACATTCGAGAGAGAAGCACCATGCTTCTGAGCAATAGAATGAAGGGTCTTCAGCAGCTCTTGGAATAAAGCCCAACCTCCCCAGCTGTTGATCATTGCGAGATACTAGATTCTCCAAATCAATCCAATGCTTTTCCAATGCCGGAACATCTCAGGGTAGCTTACCTTCCGTTGGCTGGGTGTGACTGTTTCGCCATAAAGATCAGGTGCGTCCTTTCCAATCCATCTCTCTGCTATGAGACCTCCACACTATAGCCAAGAATCAAAATCTAGGTCAAATCAAGAATGAAATTCTTAGGATACGTACTAAAGTTCCATATGTCAGCAGCTTTACATCGTGTCGCTCACAAAGTTCCGCCATGCGAACAGTTGGGCGGGAATCGATAAGGGAAAACTGTCAATATTCTTAGCGATAACCTAGGGCTCGAGATATTTGGAAACTTTACCTGAACTTGATTAGTATATACCTTGACCCCGCTGTCAATGACCTTTTGCATATGCTCTGTATCGAAGTTACACAGTCCCAAATTCTTAACGCGAGTGTCCTCTTGAATGTACTTCAAGGCCTGGATATATGAGCTGTCCTCATACTGTGAAGAAAAGAATAAGCATTGGTTTTGTAAGATCGACCTTGAAAGAGTAATGACCTACATGTTGCCAATGAAATTGAAGGAGATCAACGCTGTCCGACTTGAGCCTCTGACATCGTTCATTGATGTTGGCAACAACTGCCTCCCGTGAAACCTTCATTGGATGAAACACGCAGTATTTAGTAGCGGCGAAAATTGATTTTGAAAATGTACTATATGATCGGTATCGTCCCTATGAGATAGATCTCTTAGCTCAAGAAGTCTTTGCGGGGGGTGCTCAGGTTTATTCACAAAAATAACTTCGGCATCCCCATAGTGATCTGCCATGTCGAAGGCCGTGAGTCCACTTTCAACATACTTGGAGAACTGCTCCATAATTTTGGACTGGGGAGCAGAACCCCATGCCGGGCTTGAAAGTTGCCAAAGCCCAGTGAATATTCTTGGTAGATTGACGCCATTCACCGCAAATGATTCAGAGATGTCAGGGAGATCCTTGGTGGATGGCGGGGTAATAATGCCAGTAGAATGGGTAAAGGTTTTGGGGTGGAGGAAATCCTCGACAGTTTCAAGGCCTCGATCTAACAAAAATAGCTGCGACTGTTTTTCGCTAGCGACCTTGCAATTCGTGAGCCTATCAAGTAGTCTTTCAAGCAGCTTCCTCTCATTTTCAGAAAGGTTCCGCGATCCCGTAGAAGAGACGAGGGATTTCTGAACAGCCGTGACAGCCTGAACAATGACTCCATCCAATTGGGTGACCTGATACGAAAGTGAACTTTTCTCTGTCAGGTTTCCTTCGGTCAATGCTAGAAATCGGCCGATGGCCTCCACTGTGCTTTGGAGAACAGGGAGTGCCTCGTAGCATAGACCGCACCCAAGCATACAGCAGACATGATTCCTAAGATTCTGGATGTACTCGACTGCATCCTTGGATGTCTGGACAGACTCTGCGCTAGGTAGCGTCACGTCGCGGGTGTAACTGCGGGCTTGGTCCTCGAAGGTTGTGGTGCAATCAGGTCGGTTTGCGAGCATGCCACGCAGAACGAAGCGCAGTCCCTGCAATGGAAGATTCGCAATCAGCGAATCAGCCATCATATTGACATGCGTCGTTTTGGGCTTTGTGTCTGTCATCCTGAGAAGCTAAACGTTGTCCTGGGGAGTTCCTTGGGGGGGACCCTATGCTGGCAACGTATAGAATTAAGCAGCTAGCAAAGTAAAATTACAATGGCCGCCTTCCAATGGTCGGAACATTTGTCGTGTCGTTTCAAGAGCGGGCGCTAGCCTTATCGTACCCCGGAAGGCATCTGATCCACCGGCATTCTACGCTCAGAATTCGCCGGTATTTGCCACTGCGGGCCGGTCCAGGCTATTATCAGTGGGGAACCCCGCGCACATATCCTAAAACCCCGAGATGGTCCGAGGAGGCTAAATGTCATTCCATGGAGTCAATATCTATAATCTACGTGAGATTGAGATATCTGGAGCTTTGATTTGGATAAACTTTGATAAGCGTTGAGCATCTAAATTACAATTCTGTACGCTAAGCTAGGAATATTCCGTCGTCAATATTGAACCCAGCAGTTGCAAACACATTTGCCCAATACTCGTCACTCATAAAGGTTTCTGGCTCTTGAAGCGATGCTTCTGCCGCTGTCACATCACGTTGTTGGGAGGCTTCCTGTGTGCCGTTCTTTAGAAACCGACCGTCACGGATCGGGGTTTCAACACTATCAAGTCTTCTATTGAAAATATTCAAATCTGTAAGAAGGGGGTCATTTTGTCTCGGAATATCCATTTCAGATAGTCTTGCCGCAATATTGCCTAGGAATTGGGCCTGTAGAACACAAGTAGACCCATTGGGTGCTCCTTGGCTGGAAAAGGCCTCGGTTGCTTCTCGAATTGCTTTTATTATCTCAGGTCTTATCTGTTTCGCAATTGTTCCGGGTACGGCGTGAGCTAACTGATTTTCATGATGGTCAGTCTATGCCACGCAGAAATAGGAAATCAACCTTGTTAGTAGACGGGCAAAATACTGACCTTCACGAGGAATGCACCGCTATATGCATTCATCACATGTATCGAGTCCTGAACAAAGTAAATATGTGCCGAGAAGTCTGATATGAGCTTGAGCATTGATAGCGCACTCGAGTATGCCATCCAGAATGTTCCCAAGTCAAGTGAAGCCTCAGAAGCACCAGAACTCAGCATCACTTGCAGTGGTAACGAAGAGAGCTGAAGTTTTATATGAGATCCATAAAAGCGTATCAAGAATTCGTGACAGTTTTCTTCACTGCTTGATAAGGCCTTGATCTTTTGAGTCCATTGCTTTTCCCACTTCCTCATGCGCGTATTAATAAAGTCCAACTGCAATTCAATTCCTTGCATTTTGGCTCTTTTGCCTTCCCAGCCTTGGGGATTTAATAATCTGACTGCTTCGGAGGTCAATATCCTCAAGGTAACAAATGCTCCCAGGAGAGGGTCATGCCTGGTCGCGAGCGGATCGTTGCACCATGTCTCTATCGACTCAATGAATTCGTCACGCTCAATCATCCAAGGTCTGCCTGTCTGTAGACTCATGCTGTATTCTGTGTCAACCCCCTTCACATCTGGCTTGAAGCGATCAGCATACCTCCGGTCGTAAACGAACAAAAGAAACCAAGTTCTTTCTTTATCTCGAGTTTCTCGCCTTTCGCTTTCGCTTTCGCTCATTGAGTGATTTTGATATTGAGAAGGAAGAAACTTATGCCATCCCATGTCTGTACACATTCTGATCACGTAACCAAGTAGGACCCAGGCCCGTGTATCGCGAGGCTCCTTCCAATACGTTAGAATGAGAATCCCCTGAGCTATTTCCGTAGATTTCATGCCACTTAGAAAAATCTTTGCCAATAAAGATTCGGCATGTTCGTGAAGTCTCGGATAGAAAGTTGGGTTGAAAGCCCTTGCCGAGCTTGCGAGAATTGTACTAAGCAAAAATGACGATTTCCGGCGCACGTATGAAAAGGTATGCAAGGCAGGGTCAAGCTGAGAAATATAGGTATTGAAGACGGTGATGAAGCTATTCATATTGTTAAATTTCGTTGGATTTTCTTGACGCCAAGTCCTACTCACTGATCAAATAAACACTGGGCAATAGAGATGTTGATCAGACCCAAACGGATCGGATCGTCGGGCGAGCCGCTGTGGTCGCCTTCATGCTGCTCCGGTCTTTCATTTTCTCCCGAGCCAAGAATATATCGCAGGGAGAATCGCCCCTTCATGGCCTCATGATTGAACACACCAGAAGGCTGTAACCCATCTGAGCCATTAGTTGACCGTGACATTGGGGGCGGCGGTTCGAAAATGGGGACATCTTCCTCTGGAACTGCTGTCCTCTTGGGTCGCAATTCACTTGACAAGTTGCATCTCGGTGTCCCCGATTTTCGCTTTGATACTCTTGGAACGATTAGTTGGGAATGCTTGATCCGTGCCTGCATTAATACCTCGACTCACCTTGTTCCGGGCCTTCGGCCTCGACGGTGAGGCTCAAAGATGCATTCAATTGATTTGCGCGCGCAGCGTTCACATGCAACGGATTGCGCGCTCGGGATGCATTTCATTTTCACTCGACGACATTGTAGACACGCGTTCATTATACCGGTGTTTCTCAAGTTGATTGATAGTCGATTGATGGCTTATGTTGGCTGGAGTCGAGATAGGCGGCCCGCCTAAATTATTGCCATCACTAGTACGGCATCAGTAAGGGAACACGGCGTGTATTGGGGTGCGATCTTTCAGTTGAACCGACGAAAAGAAGTCATATCGGGATTGTAGAGGAGGGGGAGCAGCGACGAAGATAAGGGAATTAAGTACGGGAAGCCGCTTATCTTCCTATGATGAGCCGCTTACTCAGTGAGCCTGGGTCTGAGCGCCCTCATAAAAGCGGCGGCAACCTGAACAGTACGCCAACACCAGGGAGGAAGACTCCAAGAGATTGAAGATTATACTTTGATTCTATAAAGAGATATATTGCCGCTTGTCTAATTGGGCAGTAACTAGATAATTTTAGTCAGATACTATACGAGCCTATGTCGAGGTGTACATCACGACTAATAGATTATATTTCCTTCTTTTCTTCCTTCCTTTGTAACTTACCTTCAGCTTTATAAGTCTATCCTAAGGTACATGATACAATTTTATAATTAGTATAATATAGTCCTCTATCCGGTCTAGTGAGCTTTAGGGATATACAATCTCATACGGATGAATGAGCCAGCTTATATCCATATCACGGGCACACCTAGGAGTCGGAGTCTACCCACCAATAGCTCTCTTAAATGAGTTCATGCTTTGCATTGCAATGTCGTGAAAACTGCCGGGTTTGTTTGCAAGTTGGCGCCGTTTCTCACCGCGCAGGCAGGATGCGATAGGTCCATCTCGCTCGCTCTTATTTTGAACGGCCTGCTGCAGTTATCTGATGACAAGGATTCTTTTCTTGTTGAGGAAGCGGCATTCCTTTGCGATCAAATTGCCTCGATTATCGAATCGATAACTTGTTATATGTCTCTGGGATCTTCGTACGCCCCCATTTGCCCCATCGCGGCGTGGCCTGCGTCATTTGGGATGCAGAAGGAGGCGTGTATTATCTTATAATTATGCGCTGATTGAAACCGCTGAAAAAGACTGGGAATCTGAATGAGGAAAAATCCTTGCGCTATACTAGGCGCTGGACATACAGAGAATGTTGTCACGGATGGTAATTTCTAGTGACATACGTTTCTCAATACCCGGATTAAAGATAGTGATACACAAGAACACGGTATGGAAGGATGGAGAGCCATGGATTGTTTAAGTAAACTAGAAAAAAAAAAAGAATTCCGGATCAAGAATCGGGATATTGGTGAGAAGTTGAATGTCTTATGGAGATTCCAGCAACGTTCTGTCGCGTCGTAAATGCCCTTCACCTTCGGATACTCAACACCGGCATACTTCCCGACCTTCGCTCAGATCAACATCTTCCTAGTCATAAATTTTGATATCATTCGCGGAAAATATTTATTCGTATAAAGGCGGAGGTTTTCAGTGGTAGCTTGCTGGCGGCGCGCCATACTTGTGGCCTTCTTGATGAAGTTCGAAGGGATTATTGTTGTTATTATTGTGGGGTTGTTCGTTTGCGGGCTGGGAAGTCTCCGTTTGAGGCTGAGGCGGCGCGTCATACGGCGCAGGCTGTGGAGGATAGCCTGGGGACTTTTGAGCAAAAGGAGGAGCGTAAGGGTCGTATTGCTGAGGATACATCGGTTGAGGGTATTGCCCATAGTCGTTCAGCGGGGTGGATTGGTAGAAAGTTTGTTGCGCTCTTCTCCTTCGAATAAGCCACACAATAAACAAAATAACAGCTAGCAGACCGACAAAAAGCGCAATGAGAAGAAGAGCACCGGAGGCGTATAGCATGGGCTTGGGTCCTTTGCAGTCCTCGTAGTCGTCGTCATAGTCATCGTCCCAGCTGTTCCAGTGATCATTGTGTTGACAGTGTCCTTTGCGGTAGTAAGCGCCAGCGAGTGCGCCGCCAATAATAAAAAGGGTCACAGCAGCACAGAATGTGCCTACCGGCCACCAGTGGGACATCGGCCGTTTTGGTTTGGGTTGTTTTGTTCTGTCCATCTCCACGGTCGGGTCGGAGTTAAATGGTTGGGATGACATTGTGATTGTGGGGATGTGAAGAAGAATGGGGAGATTCCCTGAGCATGAATCAGGGACGAACCGGGGGTTTTATTTTTAATTTCTGGCAAAGCGAGACTAATGAATTTAAGGTGATTAGCACATTTGTTGTTTTGGGTAAAAACTAGATGCTGAGCGGGTCCTAGCCTTGTCGCTAATGTCTCGAGCCTCCAGTTAGGAGGCTGATCTGTGACTAAACTTAGAATTTACCCACTTTTATCTGGAAGTTCCCTGGAAACACTCCGTAGGCAGAACTTGGCGAGGTGAGACGAGATTCTTGAACGTTGCACCTGTGTTGTGGCTCATTTCAGCCAATGCACTCTACCCTGCACTAGCGCCCTATTCGTATTATGCTCTACATTGTGGTGGCTTGATTGAATACTCCAAATGCATTCGAAAAGCCCGCCAAGGATGGGCAGCCAGATGTGGTGGTATCACGCGAATCCCGCTTTCTCGTGTTCGTGGATGTGGATGTGGATGTGGATGTGGGTTTGTTGATTATTGCGCCCGGGGTGCAAACTCCACTACTTTGTGAAGAGGCCAGCTCTCTACGGAGCCTGGAGAGCTTATAATGAGATGTGCTCCGCTCCGGTCGGTAGCAAATGCCTTCAATAAGGAGAGAGTGTTTTCTTGGCGAGGTCAAATTAGCCCCTGAACACAACCAGCCATTGAGGCTCAGGATAGCTCAGGGTTCAAGTGGAACCTTCCTCCGCCCCCTCGTCTCGGATGGGTTTCTGCATTGACCAGATGAACCAGATAAAGCAGAAAATTGAATTAAATTGAATTTCACTATCTGGCTAGATTACCACTCTGCACCACAGGGTCTAGCTAAAATCAACTTTCATCCGCTCAGCGAAACCGTGGAACTAATACAGACACGCACGCCCCATCCCAATAGCCTGGGATCATCGGGGCCGTTTTCGTGACGAACATCAGGCATGCTCATTAATCCATGCATAGGAGTCGATTTCTCAGCTAGGTGACTCCGTATGGCTTCTCCGCGTACGTTTAAATTGATCACCAGAACCGAATCCCGATAAACCTGCGAGCTTAGCGCATACCGAATAAGGCCGCGTGGACTTCCTTCTAGTTGTTCGATCCATCCTCCTGGCTAGAGATTGCTGTTGACGTTTTCAGGCGGGATTCAAGCCATGGATGGAGCTTGATGATATCTCACTCTCTGGGAACATATCGGCAGCATCACTAATTTCAGGTTAATCCTCACCCCAATGCAATGGCAGGTTGCTATTGAACCGTGTCATACGACTTACACTGCCCAACTTCCATGTCTTGTCCCCATGTCTAAAATATTCTATGTTCGGCAAGCAAATAATCAACCATCTTCGAGTTCTTCCGCGTTATAACTCTATTGGACAATGACACACCTTTGGGTTCTTTACAGGTGCTTGGAAAAGCGGATTCGGGGTATCAGAATCAAGTACAACATTAACCAAGTGACTGCGATAATTAGCAGCCCATTCGGTAGTTTTACTCATAGCAATATCACATACCCTGCTTCGTAACTCTCGAACTGCTTCTCATCGGCAGGGCTCCTACCTCGGCGTTAAATTCGGCATTTTCAACAGACAAACAAGGAACACCAATACCAATATTCTCCCTCCCTCATGGTTTGATACCGTCGCCCATTTTCCATTACCCCTTTATATATTGATGAAGAAAGAGATGTTGTACTATCGCTGCAACAGGTCAGGATCCGGAAAACCCCCTTATCACACAGCATAACTTGCGAATGGCCTATACTCACGACTCAAAATCGCCCCTCTTGTACTCATCGCCCCTACTAACATAATAGTCCGGATCCTAAGCTCCCATTAGAACATAATCTTCCAAACCAAACCTCCCACCAAACGAGTCATACCACAGTAATAGGTTTTTCATCAGCCATATCGATCGAAGGTGTGGCCACAATATTAAGGCCAGGGGGAGATAGTTAAAGCAAAAGAGGCTAAACAGCGGAGATGACCGTCTAGGGGCTGTAAAGCACGGTTCAAGTACCAAAGAATTTAAGTCTCGGCCTGCTTCAATAGAACGCCCCCTCTCCCCCTCCGACTGCCACGTTTCTTGGCCTAGTGCATCCATGGCGTAACGGTGCGGTTGCAAGCCACACCGTATAATATCCTGGTCGGTTACCTGATTCGAGCTTTTATGCAGGGATTCAGAGCGCTAGGCATTGAACCGGTTAGTAGCACGGCATCTATTTCGTATCTTTGCATGGAATGAATGGCGAATTACGGAGCAGAACGGAGTCAAATCCCTAAAAGAAATGTGTTTCATTTGACCAATCTTGTGGGCCAATAGTAAAATAAAATAAATAACTCTATTTTGCCTTTTTTTTAAAAGACTGTAGAGCTATTTCTAGCTAGACAGTCAATGTCAATCCTCTATTCTTCATAACATCGTCCGTCATCGAAGATCCGTCATACCGCGTCCGTCACGGCCTCAAGTCAGCTCATACATGTATATCCGGGATATACTTGCATCTCCCATGTGTCTGAAATGGAAATAGAAATACGTTTCCGTGTTTCAGGTCATTTATTGGGGCAGACGGTTCTTGCCGGCGGCCTTGCTGGCGGCGAGAGCACCAGCGAGACCGAATTGAGAGGCAATACCGTTGACACGGTGGGTGGAGTTCAGGTTCTTAACAACCACCATCTGGTAGCAGGTGGCCATACCTTCGCGAGAGGCGATAACAGACCAAGCGAGGAAGAGTTCCCAGATCTGTGAATGGTTAGAATGGGAGGGAATGGGAGTGAAGGGTATTCAAACATACTCTGTACCATCTCTTGCCGTACTTGGCGTTGATGGCCTCGAAGTTTCCGACCCAGTTACGGTACCATCTCCAGAGGGTACCGGAGTAGTGAACACCGACGGTATCGATTCTATTAAGGTATTAGTATCGCTTGAGGGTGGCGAGAGGCCTTGCTGTCTTGTGTACTTACCCCTTGATTTCAAATCCAGCTTGTTCCAAACACTTAACATAGTACCAGAGAGGAGTAGAAGCATCGGCACCACGGAAGATGTACTTGTTCAGGTACAATCCCCAGATGAAGTCCTCGTATTGCCAAGCCTGACGCAGACCAGAGAGCTGGACATACATGGAACCATCGTCGTTCAGCATATCATAGCATTGACGGAAGAAAGTAGTGAGCTTGCGAATACCAACGTGCTCACCCATCTCAAGCTGAGTGATCTTGTCATACTTGGTGCGGGGAATATCACGGTAGTCCATGCAGAGAATGCGACTTTGCTGGTCGGAGATACCAGCTTCACGAAGAGCATCGTTACCCCAAGCAGTCTGGTTCTCGGCAATAGTAAGTCCAGTGACGCTAGCGCCGTAGTTCAAACTAGCGAAGCGAGCAAGAGTACCCCAGCCACAACCGATGTCCAGCATAGTCTCGCCCTTCTTCAGCTCGATCTTCTCACAAACAACAGCCATCTTGTTATCCTGCATTTCCTCGAGGGTTTCCTCCTTCTCGGTGTCGGAGATAACGCCGGAGGTGTAGATCATACGGGGACCAAGGAACCAAGCGTAGTGGTCGTTACCGCGGTCGTAGTTGGGACGAATCTGTTCCTCATCCTGAGCCTTGGTGTGGAAGATAACATCAACGAAGAAGGTGAACACGATGAACTTGAACAGGTCCAGGGTGAAGGAGAAGTTGGCCCAGTCGTGACGGTATTCCAGGACCTCGAGGATGTCGCCGTTGAAATCCACGTTGCCGTCCAGGTACATCTCAGCGAGAGCCTGGAGGGGAACCTTGTTGCGGCCATTGTACTTGGCCTTGTCCTCCTCACGCTTGAAGGTCAGGTAATACTCGATGGGACGGCCGGGGAGCTTGACTTTTTCGTTGGTACGGGCGCTGAAGGTGGAGTGGTAGGTCCAGAATGCGACGAGAACGGGGAGGACGGTAACGAGGAGGAAGAAGGTGAAGGTTTTCCAACCAGCACCGAAGAGCCACATGATGAAGCCGGGGGGAGCAATGATAGCAGCTCCTAACAGGATGTTGGAGAAGCCTTCGTTACCAGGGCCATCGGCAGGAAGAGGAGCATTGTGGATTGCGGCAGACTACAAGGTACAATTTGTTAGCAGGAGCTCAATTGAGATCTCGAGACGATATTCCAGGTACTCTACTCACGTTGGTCAATTTAATTCCACAATCTTCACCGGTTTCCATCTGAGCAGGCTTAGCTGCAGGGGTTTCGATGAAGTTGATATCGCTGGTCAGCTCGGGGCCTTTGGCGGCCATTGTCGATTAATGCCTCGAGGGAGGCTTCCTTTCCGTTGCTAAAGCAAAGAGGAGAAGGAAAAGTCGACGAGATGCAAGGTGCAAAGTTGTTCAAGGGGGAAGGTTTGTGGGATAGGCGTGCCGCGGTTGTCTCCAGGAGAAGAATGCGGTCAACACGGGTAAACGAAACAGGAGATATTGCCACGTACGTATACAGCCACGGTGGCCCCATCTAAGCTATGACCACGGAGGTTCAATGAGATGTCACTGCGGAACACATTACGTATGTGCGTGTCTATATGAATGTGGAAATAATATAGCCAAGACTACAGCTCCACTCGTTTCATGTCGATCTTTTGGTCCACGAAAACCGAGAACATGACAACATGACAACATGACAACTTTAATATGGGGATAAACTGGGAGTGGAGTGGTCCTCATTCATTCTCAGCTTATATGAGAGCTCTAATTTTATTATCCAGCTTGGAACTTTGAAGCTACTAATACATACCGGTGGGCACCTGCATACCGGTGGGCACCTGCATACTATCTGTGAAGTCAAAAGCCTAGGATGCCGATATATAGAATTCTACTAACACTAGTTTAACTTAGTAGTAGCCCCGTCCATTTCTATTTTTAATTGCAACGCTTATTTTCTACATCTTGCTGTGTAGAAAATAGGCAGGAAAGAACTACTATGAACCACTGCACTTGAATTTGGCAAAAAATAAAAAATACAAATAAAAACAAAAACAAAAGAATGGATCATAACACAATCAAAGCAAGTTCACTATACTACTGCTAGTTATATCACATGTCTAACGTTTCAAGACCTAGAAAATCACACCAATGTCCTGGATCTACATACTAGATATTCACGAATCACGCGTCCAGTTGTTCTGATCTGATTGATACCATCTAAACCCTGCCATGGTCCGTTCAATGCGAGGAGGGGGAGCTTTACCTTGAGATGCCGCTTCCGCTTCTCTGCTGATACTTTGTTTCAGAACCTACGCATAATAATGTTCCAATGACGGTCGTCGTAGTTTCCCCTCTGTCTCCGTTGTCCAATACTTCTGATCCAGTCGGTGCATTTGCCAATCATCCCATGTCGGAATTGATGGTTCATCGTCTGAATACTCTCCATTGTGCTTCTCTAACCATGCCAGATATCGCGTATAGCTTGGTGAGTGTGGCTTTTCTTCTTCGATTTCCCCAAAATTCGCCGACACATCGAATCCCTTGGCTTTCTTGGACTCTGGCATTTCCTCCGACTCTTCTTCTCGTTCTCTTTTACTTTCGTGGGGATTAAATAGTTGCTCAGTACCTAGGATTGCCTGCTCAGAATATGGTGGCTTAGCTTTGGTGTGATCTACATCAGGGAGTAAATTGATCACTTCTTGCTTAGTGGTTCCAACATACAAATTTCGATTATTATCGGGTGCTGTAGCAGTATACAGCATATGTCGCCACCAGGATCCACTTAATCGCGGAGGCTTTGCGTCCTTATGCTCTTCATCATCATTCGCATAAGCGTCCACAGCGAAGAAGATGGTCCTTACCCATCTTGTCATCGGTATTCTATCCTCGAGATTGTTGACGACTGCAACCTCAAGAGCAAACCTGTGTCCGAACATAGATAGTCCCAGCGCTTCCTTTGCTATTTCTCCGCCTAAGTGAAACAGTTCTTTACCGCAAACTGTAGTAATTGTATCTATATCATCTAGAGAGATCATAGGAGCGGTAGCCCCAGTGTCATCTAGAAACTCCAAGGTTACCCACTGCTCGCTTCCAGGGACCCTTATGCCAAAATATACCTGAGCGATGACCTCAGTCAGTATAAATTTGGGAATATGTTAGACGAAGAATTTTAGTTTGACATACATGAGGTTGACTCATACCACGGCCCTGGTTAGGTATTGGTGGAATTGTTTGGACCACCTTGGTATAGGTACCCCAGGGTGCACCGAGCTACGCTCAAAATATTATCAGCTATACAAGTTATTCCATTGATAAAAATCACGTATCATGATGCTGAAGCTCGCCATTTCTGTAGGCGGAAATTAATCCCTGCATGTTCAGTAGACAGTTATCTGTCCAGTCACGACGCTTTCCCTCCCTCCATCGGTCTTTTGGATCCGTCGGTAGCTCTTCGTCTGTATAGTCATCCTGTACGTCCTGATAGTACTCTTCCATCTCCTTCAATGCAACGAGTCGAGTAACGATCTCCAAACTGAGGTCTGGCTCCAACTCCTGGATTACCTCGGCATGCTCCTGCCTTTCAATGAACTTGCTTAGTCTTCTCTCAAAAATGTCTGGCAGAATGCCGGTCTCAATGCGTTCTTTGCATCTTTCGATATTTCCTGGAATCTAGCTATGGAAAAATTCTCAGTTTCACTCAATTCTTCATGTATGGATTTTTACCTACCTTGCATGAAGATCTAGCTCATCAAAGTCCCATTCCCAGAAGGGGGTATATCCTCTACGAATGTGATGGGTGGATCTTGTTTTGGTCATATTCGATGAGAACCAATCGGCTCAAAATCCCCTGTGATATCTTTATACATCTTGACCGGGTCATCATCGTCTGTTTCGACTACTGGAGATGGCGCCGAGATGTCTTTATCTTCGCCCTGGGCCTCTTGGACCTCTTGAGGCTTTTGGGGCTCTTGAGCCTCTGCAGACTCCTCGCGATTAATATCTTGCTCACCTTGTTCTTCCCCTGGATTCTTCTTTAACTTCTCTCTCTTCTTGTCTTCCCACATCACTACCTTCCTTTTTCTTGCGCCTGCTGTTTGCTGGTGCCGTGGCACGGAATCTTTCCAAAGTGGACGTAAAAGTGGCGAATCTTTCGCCATCTTAGTACAGTAGCGACCGCCATCGTCTTCCATGTCGGAAATACTGACAAACTATTTCAAAACCTAATCATGTGATACGCTAGTCCATATACGAATAGCGTGTGGTTAATCTATTTATATCTTACTAGAAGGTGCGTGCATGCCCTGAAACGATGAAGCGGAGAGACAAGAAATGCATAGTAAAGAAAAAGGCAGAATCAATCAGCTCCGTTGCACGCAAATTAATATTAATCAATGAAAACGGCAAAATAGGCGACTAGTACCTAAAACCTATGTTCTAACTGACTAAACATGCTTGCTCAAGCCCATCTAGCTCTCTAGATGGCATTGATTCTCTTCCCATCGTGTTGCTCAATCTTCAATGTGCTGACATCGACATTCTTCAGGGTTCGTCCCTGCATTCTTATGAGCCAATTAAAGACAGGCAAGCCAGCATGTAAAAAAACTCACGTTGATAGCCATAATACCCTTGAGTTCTCCTTCTTCGGCTCGAGCATAAACACTAGTCCCACAATTGGGACAAAAGCCGTGGGGATATTTCATAGTTCCGAAACGGTATTCCTAACCTCAGCTGTTAGTTGCTATAAGAACTGGATGATCAGATAAGACGGCTAGGAAGACATGGTCCCGACCTTAACAGCATGGTCGCTATTATGGAAAGTAATTTTTTTTTTGGGGTATTTACAAGGACATAGCCATTGGTGCTACAAATTGAGCCCATATGGGAAAGTATATAAGCACTCATTCATCCACCTGCTTGTTTTCTAAAGGGGCAGTCTGTACAATTGCATGTTTTAAGAGTCTGCTCTTCCATAGGCGAAGATAGTTGCGCCGTGAAGGTGACCTGACCACAGTGACAGCTACCATCATATGAATTCGAATCTACTGGAGTCTCGACCATGATGTGAGTAAGTGGCGATTTATTTCAGAAACGCGTGAAGAGTAGGAAGATGTTGTACAAAGCTGACATTTATGGGTTATGGCTTGATTTATGTAGTGTCGCGCCCTAGCACCTCCTGCGACCCGTGCCAACGCCTATGTGGCCTGTAGAATACGTAAGCCTCTCAAAAGCCGGGAGTAGTCCTATTAGTAGAGACTCCTTGATTAACTTGGTCGCTCACCGCAGTAATTAGCAAGTGCCTAGCCTACTCGCTGATCTGGAAGTGGTAAGACGTAAGCACTAACGCAGAACGGGATTGCCAGAATTGGTAATGTCCTGCGTAGTGTCGAAGAGAATTCCCAGTTGGCACTGGCCAGTCATTAGGTTCATAGCCGTTCCAGCCTACCGTAGTAAGAGGTTCATCCTCGGCACTATGACCCCTATCCCATTGAGTGATCTAGCTCGGCACCTATACACCTAAACCCGGCCCACCTCCGTGAACCAGCCTATGGCCATGCCTTGCGCGTATACCATCCTTGAGATTCCTATACAGTGTCATATGAAAATTTAATGGGCATCTTGCCGCGGGCTTAGTATCTTAGGACCTGTAAAAGTATATGTATAAACACATTAGTGAGTTATATACTCCTTCCTAGTCTTACAATTCACCACTGGAACGTACCCTTGCATACAGGATTAATCATAAACGGACTAGTGTATCATGTGATAAGGGTTTTAAAGACCTGCTTTGTGTTGTTTGGCATGTAAGGCAATAGCGGTCGCTACTGTACTAGTATTTTCTGAGAGAAATCTGTGGAACATTTTGAGGATACTGGTGGTATGGGTTGATTAGGACTTTCGGGTGGATATATGTAGGAGACAAAAAGGTAATATGCAATTAAGACACAGTATAGTACTTTATCTCTCAAAGAACTTGATACGTGAAGTTTCCTTGTCTTCTTTACGGATCACCATTTCCTTGGTGGCCATCCGTAGGTTCATTATGTTCCATATCATAGGAGCTGAGGATCTATTTTTATTTAACAAAAGTTGCTCTATAAAAATTGAAAGAATGAATTCAACTCGTTGAAATATGACCCTGGGTCCTGGAGGGTTGCAGCGATAAACTTAGCCATTGGGACCAAAAACAAACTTCTGTGGAAAATTGAAATTTGACAATTTCTTTCTTGGTTTTCTGTCTGTCATTCTCTACTCACTGGCACGTAAAAGTTTGAGAAATCCCAAAATATGTCTATCTGACAACTTATTTCTTTCTTTCTTGCTGGCCAAGTGCCTTTTCTTTGTGCTCACGCGACAACAGAGTTGGAGAGAGAAATGGTTGACCAACATGAAAGACAGTCTCTTGCAAAGTCCACGAGTAAAGGGACGAAGGACCCTGCAGAAACTGTATATTCGTAAAGCATGAGTACATAAAGGTCCTTCAAGGCATCCGAAATCTTACCATAGTATCATGTAGTATCTTCCTCCCCTGCGTGCAGCACGGCTTAAGTCTTACGGCGATGCTCGACTTTGAATACCGGGCATTCCTTTTCACCACCCCCGCTGTCAGGATGATTTTTTATCCCATGAGGTGACCATGTCTGTCGTATCAAAAACCCATTGGAGCGTCCTTCACAGAGAAACACTTCATTTTGATGATCATGAAAAAGACAAGAGCGAGATAAAATACCACAACAGCAGTATAGAAATCGTAGGTCAATCAGAATCAATTGATGTCTTGATAGAGACAGAGTGAATGGAAATTAACTTGATAATCTAACGCCAGGTGATAATGTTGTCTTCTAATTTTGCGACTAACGTCTCCGCACTTTGTATAATTTGCCCAGGGACCATCCGGTTGACCCACATGTACAATCGAGACCTGCTCTTGTCTCCACATCATGAAAAGAAATGATCGCAATTGGATGATCCGAGGAGAATGTGAGTGAATTGTTCACCGCTTCAATTCATCACACTTGACCCTGTTCTCGATTAAGCTCTCTGCTCCGAAATATTCTCGGAACTCCCGGGCCTGGAGCGACGATTGCCATCATCAAATGACATTCTTGACTGTGCGGGGTGAACGCCCCACCTATCCCACCGGTTGGTCAGTCGGCTGAACGAAGACAGAGTTTCTCATCCCGCCGGCATCTCATCGACAACGAGGCTAGCGACACTTTGTTAGCAATATGCTTCAATATTGCGAATCTTCCAGTAAAAGATGGTATCCTTGAATAAGACCTACATGCTATTATGACTCCGTCCACGAATTCTCAACAGCGCTTTTCGTGTAACTTCCCTGGGTGCACGTCGAGCTACAAGCGGAGAGAACACTTGACCCGACATAGAGCAAAACATACCGGTGGCCAAATATGCGTTTGTCCGATCTGTGATCGAACTTTTTCTCGGGGGTGAGGTTTCATCTTATGATCCTTTGCAATGCGTCGCAAATTTGCTAAAACTTTAATAGGGACTCACTACGACGTCATGTCCGCCAGGACCACTCCATTCCCGAATTCCACTCCACACGATCACCCACAGCTTGCCAGTCTTGTCGCTCATCAAAGACGCGATGCAGTGGTGGGGCACCCTGCCTCAACTGTCGTACAAAAGGATATGAATGCGATTTGCCGCAGCCTATATCTACATCTACAATCTCCGTCTCGTCGGCGGATGAGGAGGCCATTCAACCTGGCCCGGATTCTACGGTTCTTGAAGATCGGGACAGCGAGGTTAAACACTATGTTGAGCTTTACTTCTCCCATTTTCATCAACATTGGCCAATTTTGCACCATGCGACCTTCAGCATACCGGATGAGCCACCTTTACTTGTTCAGGCAGTCATGATAATTGGACTATGGGTGAGCGACAAGCCATCTGCGCAGCAAGCCGCTGTTGATCTGCACGACAGATTAGGATTCTGTATCCGCGATCAAATGGTACGCTGAGCGCCTACTGCACTTTCAATTTGAGATTTACTGACAGACCAGGTTGAATGGGAGAATCCACTACCACGAACCGGTAATGAAGGGGATGGCCTAGTCTCCAAGTGTCCCATTGCTACCTACCAGGGTATTCTGCTATATCTTATCTTCTCCCTCGTTCAAAACAGCAACAATCGATCTCTAAGACTGGGCCTATCGCTTTCATCATCTGATCATCAAATCCTTTCTGCACTCGTCCAAGTTTGTCTGCGCAACAAGGTCTTCCACTACCCCGATATGCTAGAAAGATACGAGGGCGATACACCCATGGCATGTATCTGGGTTGGTATGGAAGAAATGTCACGCTTGGGACTTGCAATTTACAAGGTCTCGACTTTATGCAAAAGCGAAGACTCCAACAACAATGAGTGCCGGCTGCTTCAGCTTTCGGATTTACAATTTCCTGTACCGAATAGTCGGCACCTTTGGGAAGCCGAGTCTAATCAGGAATTGGCCCGACTACTGAAACTTGACGGTAATCGTGAGAGACTCGATATTTATACCCCGCAGAACTGGATTTCAACGTCTGCGAAAACACTGGAGTCTGGAAGTGAGAGGTGGTGGCTTTGATCATTTCGGCCGGACATCAATACTATATACCAACACTTCGGGGGAACTGATTTTCTATAGGCATCCATTCATCTTTGTAACTATTTTCCGATGTCAGATACTACTACTACTAGTAGTTTATTAAGGCGAGGCCGATAGTCTCATTTGTAAGAAGAAATGTGATGTCAATGATATAATTTAGATACATCAGGAGCTCGAAGATATAGAAGCTATTCAAGTTAGCAATACCTAATTACTCTTTACGATTTGCCTTATTGTATGATTAAACAAAAATTGCGATGATCACTTGGATCTATGAGCTGATGTCTTTCGCAGAAACGACACTTCCGAATGCATCCGCAAGCTCACTCAAAACAACAGATGTAAGGCGCTCTCCATCCACTCCAGGGATATCACGATCACCCACGGCATCCTTCACAATGAGGACATCGTATCCAAGCTCACTTCCAGCTCTTGCGGTTGTCGATATGCACACATGAGCCATATATCCAACTAGCACAATCTTCTTTCCTACATCCCCCAATTCCTTAAGATAATCATCGAGATCGGTCTGAGCAAAAGAACTTGGGAAGTGCTTAGTAACGATTTTCTCTCCAGACTCAGGGGTGAGTTCTTTGAATTCCTCTGCCAAAGCCGTATTTGGGGTGAAGACTGGGGCTCCTGCTGGAACCTCGTGGACAACGTGAACGATATTTTTCTTGATGGCGCTCTGTCGGTAGCGAGACAGAAGACCTGAGATCACTCTGCGGCTCTGCTCAACGCCTTTGACCTTTAAGTGGCCTGAGGCATATTCATTTTGAGCGTCGACAACGATGAGTGTGGAGTCTTGGACGGAAGCAGTCGATGGGGGGACACCGATGATAGTGCGAAACGAGTTTGCAGTAGAAGACATTGCGTGGTGAAATTCTGATTAAAGAAATTGTATGAGACTTGGTAGTTGGAAGACACAATTTGATTAAGAAATCGCGACCTTTAAGTACTCAATTATTGGCTTTATGTCATTATGCATTGGAATTTCTAATCCGGTGGGATGGGCGATGTGGGATGTGGGATGCCGGTGGGATTAATCATGGATGTCTTGTTTTATGCTGACCCTGCAAACCTCACTTTTAATTGGAACGGACTCTTTGTCCTGATTGATATTTGAGAAGCAAATTCGACAGATTTTCAAATCTTATTCAATATAGAAGTAACCTGAACTCTTGAGCTCTTCGCGTCCTTTCAACGACAATGATGGCGCTCCACTCAAGATGAAGCATTTGATTGGTTCATTCAGAATTACTGTTAACATTTCCTAGGACAAGGGTAGGCTTTATAAGGTGTTATACTGAACTTATTTGGCTCCGAACTCGACCTTGATATTTTGAACGGATGTCGGTTTTTTTAGGGTACTAACAGATTTACCAGTCATGGAACTCTCATTGTGAACATTTTTGTGGAAGATATGATTGATCCCTTATATTTCTATACTAAGATTTATTAGTATGTATCGAAAAAGGGGATACTTATATACTATATTAAAATATTTAAATCACAAACTAGACTTAGATAAAAGAATTAAGCTAAGTGATAAAAAGATATTTTAGCCTACTTTTCAAATTATATTAAGTCTATAGTAAGTACCCTTTGTTACTTACTTTTTATTTAGTATATATACTATATTCGCCGTTTTATATAACAACAGAGAGGAAAGAAAGGTAGGACAAATAATACTTAAGATTTATTATCTTTAAGGTAGAAAAACAAAGACAAACAGGAAAAAAACATATAAAAAATAATAGTAAAATATCATTTCTGTGACTATATACCTAAGGCTAGTTTCTAGAATTCCGAAGTCTCAAATTTATGATTTATATAAAATTCTTCTGGTAGGCAATTCTACGCATTTCAAATTTCAAATTCCAGGTAGAGAGAGGGATTAGGTCCTGACATTCTCTAACTAGAGAAAACGTGGACAACCTAGAGAGAAGCGTCTTTCGTCTTTGCTTCGGCCGCCCATTGATCCACTGTTAGCACACTTTCCACAAGCGTGGGCCAAACGATTTCCGTCGCAGCATCCTTGAGCTCCGTGCTGAATCCCGCCGTGGCATCCTTGCTAAAATTATAGTCAGTTGCTGCTGCTGTAAGACGTCTTGAAGCTTCAAGTTATTCACTTACATTAAAGTTACTTCGTAACCCCTGCATTCCAACCGTCAATAAATGGGATGTCATCAAAACTGTCGCCAATAAACTTACAATTCCAGCGCAAAGCGAGCAGTTGCTTCAAGGCAGGTGTTCGCAACCATTCCCGCGCAGATGACGTGAGTGATGCCTCTCTGCTTCAGTTGGTAATCGAGGTCGGTATTCGCGAAGGAGCTTCCATGAGTCTATGTTAGATGTGGGGAAATTTCTAGAACTACCACTTTTGAATTACCTGCTATTCCAATGTCTGGAAACCACCACGTCTCCATTCCCGGCGTCTGGGAGTAGATCAGAGTGGATCTCGCCGCCCCAACTGCCCTGCTTGAATGCTTCAAGGCGTTTGAGACCGTGGTGCGCCTTTGTCATGTGTCTCCACCCATCGTAGTTCCCTTCCTTGTAAGGTTGATGAAGTCCATAGAAAATTGGTATCTTCAATCTCCTGGCTTCATCAACGAGTCTTTTCATGTTTGCCAGACTGTCGCTTGCTTCGATACTCTCTTTGACAGCAGGATACAGCTTGCCATCTTTGTGCACGAAGTCATTGAGCGGATCAATGAGCAGGATGGCGGGAACTGACGACATGATTTGGGAAATATAGTACTTGAATGATAATCTGATGGGTATGCAAAACTCTGAGTAGAAATGAATATAAGCACTACAACTGGATGGCGAGGATCTTTTATACCCTCGTATGTACCATCATGATGATCATAATTGTACGTACGCCCGGTAAATTGGTATTCAACTACCATGCGAACAGAGGACCGGAACCGCCGAAATCAGCTCATCCGTCGCTCGTGACAATGTTGAAACCCACCGAGCAAGTGGTGAGTCATCGCAATCGGCAACAGGGCCGAAAGACCCAATACGATGACCAATTTCATTCCAAATCCTTCCACATAAATACTTACCTATGTCACACTTGCAAATTTGTAATCAGCCCTCCTACCGACAACTGACCGAGAGGCCCAAGAGCCCAACTTCCGGTCTGTTGTTGTTGAGGAAAGTTACTTTGGCGTCGGCTCCACTTCATATTTAGGTTAGCGATTTTGATTGGCTCCACACAAATAATGATGACCAATTTTGCTCTAAGCCGTGCTAGTATTTCTTGCCTTCGCGATAACCAGCAAATTGGTAATCAACTCTTCGGCCCACGGACGAAGGACCGAGAGCGCGAAGTACAGTCACCAGTCGACGATCATTACGCACCGGCATATCCTCGAGAGGAGTCACAAGGGAAGCCACACTCCGTGCGCAGTACGGCCATATCTATGGGATGGTGAGGCAGCAATATTTTGAAAGAGGCGGCCTGTGGAACTATCCAAAACATGAAAAGAGACATGTCGCTTCAAATGTTCTCAATGAACCCCATTAGTACTCGGTGATACCCCTTTTGGCATATCCTGTACGGTGCGGCATTGCCCCTTTCTTGTCATATATGCTTCATATAGATCCTTCAATATCATAATTTTTCTTATCTTGTCGATTTGGTTTACGTTTATTGAAGCTAACTTGAACCATTCCAGATCCTAATCTTTTCTAGATTTATGTTACGGCATACATGCATGTTTATATTCAAGCGTTACCGTATGCATGCATATTGATATTCCAAAGAAAAGATCAACGAATGACGCATGTTGATATTAGAAGGGGCACATGGCTTACCGAGGGTTCCAGCCCCGGACCTCTCACGTGAAGCACACGAACCCTGGTTGGTATAAAATGTATGAACGCTTGGACGTAGTAGACTTCCAAGGATTAGTTTCTGTATAACTTTAAAGAACTCTATCCAATATCATTATTCTTTATCTGCCTAACCCTTTGACGTCAACCTTAACAATTTACAAATGGAATGCCTAAATACTCTCGCTCTCAAGTCGGGTTAAGTGTCATGTCCATCATGGGTATAATAATAATTATTGCAATGAATAGGATAAAACTCGTTCCAAGTCCATTTCCCACCCTTCGACGTTCATACATTCGAATCCGCTGGCCCCATCTCATTTGTACGGATTGATAGCCTTACTTGATCCAACGCCCAATGGTGGATTTCATACGTGGCTCCAAGTGATCCTCGCACACTTACTTGCGTTTAACACATAACCTATATGAATAGCTTTGGGATTTTCCAATTTAATTACATGAAGACTCTCGGTCATCCGGCATCCGATATATCCTAGGAGGGAAACTAACTCTAGACAGATAGTAGGGCTCACCGCCCAGGTAACCCACACATCCTCTATCATCTCTCTCTCCATAGCCTACATAATATTATCATCTCTCTGTGATCGTTCTATAGCTTCCTCTCTAGAGATTATAAGCCCTTTTTTCAATAGTATTTATGTTTAAAGTACATTACTATCGTTTCCCTCCTTTCGTCTAGTTTCTTCTAAAGATTGGAAGCTTAGCTTTTAATATAGAGATAATAATAACTTCCGCTTATTATAATAAATTAATACATATTTCTCTATATATATTTTTTCTCTTATTTTCTTAAGATTTATATATTAATTTATATTTTTTATTACTCTAATATTTAGATTATTTCTCAAGATCTTTATATTTTCTTTCTTTATAGTTACTTATTTTCTATATATCTTTCAATATTAATAATACTATTTCTCTACTATAGTCTTTTATAATTAATTAGTTAAGTTTAATTATAATAATAAGCTAATAGATCTCTTCTTTTTAGTCCTAAAATTAGGGAGTATAGTTAACTATATCTATTAGTGTAAGGCTTTTTTTATTATCCTTTATATAAATTCTAGTGACATACTTAATATTATAATAGATATATTAGCTCTCTAATTTATAGAATATTAAGAAAAGCTTTTTATCAATAAGATAAAAGTAATATAGAATAAAGACTTTATTCTATTACTTCTATAGTAAGTATCTTGATTAATAGATAGATAAAAGTTTATATTACTATATCTAATAAAGAACTTTATATCTGTAATGGTTACTAAGTTGTCAGGCTAGAGACCTGTGACTAGGCAAGGATATCAGATAGTAGAGATCAAATAGAACAGTTAATACATAGACTGATTCTTGTCGAACAAGAATCGTAGCTACTGTTCGTGCGTTTTTATATTGCTAGGGCTTAGGGCCGTCATGCATAAGCGGGTGTATCGAGGTAGATTCGCCCGCGGAGCGGCCATGAATCGTACCCGAGTCGTACCCGAGGGGATTCAGGAATCCCGTGACAATATCTAAGAGATCTTTAAGATATAAATATAAAGATTTCTCTATTTTATTCTAAGTAAGATAAGATTTTTTATAGATAGATTAGATAATATGATTTATAGTCTAAGAAAGTTATAAAATACTTGTAATAAGATTAATTTAAATATTATCTATACTAAATAAAAAATCTTTATAGATATTTAATATCTTCTAGATATAAAGTTTATAACTTTTAATAAAATTATACATTAGTAGATATAGTAGTAGCAGCAGAATTCATTAACCTGCTGTGGCCTACATGGGTTGCAGAATAAAGCCGGCACAAACAGAGAGCGATATATCTCAAAAGCCTCACGATAGATAGAATGTTAAATACAAAGTCCAGCCAGTCTCGTGATATAATTTGTTTTGTTTTAAATATATATATATCTTTAACTTTCACCAGCCCTCAGAAGACCAGTCACTGCTTCAGCACTCCTCCTATATGTTTTCCATGTTTACCATGGGCGCCAAAGTATTGGTGAATGCTACTATCCCGGCAAACATCCAGGAGAACAGAATAAATCAATACACCGCCAGCAACGGTCTCGCCAGAGAAATAGCCCCCCCCGAGAGATCCCTATAATTTTGTCAGGAACATGATAGCAATGTCTTTTTAATGACACGACTGAATCCCAACATCCAAACATTCCAGGCAGGCTCAACGGCTGAAGTACAGAATGCTAGTTAACAGGTTGCGCCATGATATTGGCATAAAATCGCATTTCGGGCTGTAGCACAGTAATTGTCGTTAATTCATCCATAGGTCTTAACTTTCTGCTGCGTTATTCTAGTAGTCCAGTCACCAGCGGCTTTTAGCTAGTCAGTTTTAGTGTTCTGCATATTCCAGATACAAACAAACCCCTCGGCTTGAGACTTCATTTTTCTTCTATATATGCAGGGCTAGTCCACATTGTTTTCTTTTCCTGGCCGCAGTTGCGATAGCGACCCCACCTGATGATCAAAATGCCGATATATTGGTCGGACGCCAGGTGAGACACCAGACTTACATATTAGGAAGAGGTAGCTTATTGCAGACACAGGTTATAAGTGATGATTTTACGGAGTACTGACCAAACGCCGATAGCTACATAAGTGGGACTAATATAGTCAGACTAACAGGATATAACCGAAAGCCGATAACTAATGAACTGCGGGGGCGATCGGCGCCAACCTAGTCAACTCCCCTGAAAACCGCCATCTATGGGTCCACCCTCGCCTTATGCAAATCTCCCGCTTGAGTAAATGCACGCGTAATATGAAACTAGACCGTGGCTGTAAAGCAGGTAATCCGTAAAGTGGTGCAAAATCAAGGAACTCTGCTTTTACCGCAACAATCTGGAAGGAGAGCCAATTGGGGGTTGAGGAGGAGAGCGCCCTTATTGGTCAATAGTCGAGGCCGCTGTCATCTGTGTATTTGTACTCCGTATAACTAAATCTTTTAAGAATGGTCCTTGTTGCCCACCAGAATCTCTCCACCGGTGACGTGTGAGGGTGACGTTTGAGAGAGACGTAATCCTCGTAATAACCCCCTGGTTAGTGTTGAAATACGACTGCGACAACTTGCGGCTGGGACTATTTTGGATACAAGCTTTGTCCATGCGGTCGGAAATTATCGAAGGGATTTCCAAGTTGGGAAATTGGTCCTTCTTTTTATATCGTTACTGTGGATTCACATAACATACCGCCAAGGGGCACATTGAGCCTGGAAAGAAGCCGAAAAGTTCGGAAAAGTTTACTGTCCACTGCTTTAAATTCCACATACCACAGCTTCTAAGGCCGAAATCAAAGGGATCTACGGAGGTCCCTTTCACAAGTTCTACAGTCGTTGCTTTCGAAGAATGTATCATTCCCAAAATAGACTAGCGTGTAATACCCATACGGTGTAATTCTGCCACCCCCAGCCCTTCCTTATCCACATCTACCACCGACGCCCACTATTATAACGATGGGGTAGGTTGAGAGGGGGCGGTGAGTAAATTATAATACGTATTATTACACTGAGCTAGTAATATTGGAAAAGCAAAAGCTGTAGAACTTTTGAAAGGGACCTCCGTACGGAGTCAGGAATTGACCCTTTATTGGTCTATATCCAATCTTGCGGAAGTTATCCGAGACATCGCAGCGGTCAGACGTGCAGCAGCTAATGCGGGTTTAGGCCCTTGACGTTCGTTGTGTTGTCTCAGAACACTTGGAAAGTATCCAGTGGGATAGATATATAAAGGTGATGGGCCTGCGCATCAGCAGCAACCCTCAAGTTCCTATCAAATCTGTTGTGTTTGAATCAGCAAATCCTCGATCAATATCGCCCTCCCAAGATGAAAGCAGCCTCCACCATTATCCTTTCCAGCCTCGCGGCGACTGCATTTGCAGCCACCCAACCATGGCAAGTTCGGGACCTGAAGGAAGTCGACTCGACTTCTGCCCAAGGCATTAGCCAGGTTGGATTCACTTTTGAAAACCCCAATTCCGGTGTCACCACGAACTGCACGTACGCGAACGCGCCTGGCTCCGGTCGTCCGCCAACCGTACAGTCGTACACGCCTTGCAAGAACCAGAACGTCCGATTCACCTACGAGCGCACTAGTGATAAGACTGCAAACATCGCAGTCGAGTATGTCACCACGAACGCAGCGTAAGTCAATTTTGTTTATCTAGCTAGCCAAACGAGTGCGAAGATATTGGGCTTCGCTAATAAGACATAGTGGCAATGTTCAGGGAGTCCAGAACAGCATGGGGGTTGTCGACCTTGTATCCAGCTCCGAGGGGACTACCACCGACTACACCTCTGAGGAGAGCGAGCTCTTCCCAGGTGCGGAAACGGGTGCCTAAGGGAGAATGGTGTCTAGATGTTTCATCGATATTTTCTCTGGTGAATATTGAAGATCGTCTTTCATTTTGCCGTCAATCGGTCCAAGTTGTAGATAGATTAGTTTAGACTCAATCGATCATGTAGCAGGGTTTGAAGCTCTCAGACACCCGATTTTTTGCTGTAACTAGTATTTCAACTAGATATGAAGTCACTAGCGGTTTCTAGTTAGTATGTACGCTGATCACTAGCCATTTCTGATGGATCCTCTGCGGACAAGATATATTATGTCTGGACCACTATAAGTCTCGTAAGGTAGATTATGATAAGTTCTGGATGCTAAGATTCTGCAATACAATAAAATCAAGCGAAGAAAAAAAGAAGTTTACCATGGATCAGAGACTTGCTCCCGGGAACCTTATGTCAATTTACCTACATTCTTCTTAGGCTGGGGCTTGGGATTGGCTTTTTTAGAAAATATCTCGTGATAGTAGCTCAAAGAGAGTAAGCAGCGACGTAATGTTCTTCCAAGGTTCAGCCTCGACTTCGGCACGATCTGGGTTAACCTTAAGAGCCCATCGAGGACCAATTGGGGCTCCAAAATAAAGGAGACAGAGCAAACAGAAATTACCTTTGTTTGAAGCTGGTTTTTGCCTATCTAATATAAGCACGAAGGGCTTTGCTTTTCGCTTCAGACCATTCTCGTTCATGATTCTCATTTTTTGGATTGGCTTTCATTTCACTAAGGAGCTTCTTCAGGGTCAGTTGAACACAATGGTTTGTCCTCTTGTAATGCACTGGAGCCCGAAATCCAAGTTCTCACGTTTATCTCAGCCGATCCCATCTGACAGATTCCATCTGGATTCACAAACTTGATAGTGACAATTCCCGCATAGAAAAGACAAGGGACTTCTATAGATGCGGAGTTGTGATATAATACAAGGTTTTAGAGACCCCAGAGAGGCTTTTTAAGATCGGATTTGCGTGTGAAATATGTGCTCTCAATTACCTGGCTGACAATGATGTCTAGTATTCGAGCGGTAGGGAGGTTAGATGTGGCATTTTGGCTCGTTGCATGCGGGATTTTTCGGATGAGGATAGAAAGCTTCTTGAGATAACAGGACCTGCTGATGACATCGACATACAAGAGAAGTATTACGATTAATGAAGCTAGACAAAAGTGACAGAGGGATGAAGAAGAGAGAAAGAGAAAATGAACCGATGAATTAATTCTGGCTCCATGGGATCACATGATCCTTAAAAAGGCTCTATTGAGTTCGTGACTATGTGCAGAGGCCAAGATGTCTGGTACTTTCAGACAGAACATGGTACTCCAATTATAACCATTGGTCTCTGTTTCCTTCTAAGGCATAATTATTCTTATAGTCATCGAATGAACGGACAAAGTGCACCAATGGGATTGAATGGCATTAAAACAACGATACTTTCTAAGTCATGGAGCATATTAGGCATCAGTAAAGCATGTTAATGGTCCTCTGCTTCCTAGTAATTTTGTCTTTAATCTCGGGCCATTCCCGAAAATCACAAGGATGAATTCGCTCTACTTGTCCAAAGTACGGTGAGGATTGTATTGAGTATAGAGCCTATCAATCCTTATTCTATACTAATGCGCCAGCGCTGCATTGACTGCAGCCACATCCCAGTAGAATGGCCTGAGTTCCATATGACCGATCTGCTTCGTAAAAAGCATCGAGAACTACGCGTGCTGTGTAGTCTGGCGTAGATACCATGTTGCTGGTAGGTGCCTTCTTAGTGTAAGGTAGAGGAGTTCCGGTGTAATCGGACGGTTTAATTTAAGACAGAGTATGTTGGTAGAGGAGAAAAGCTCATCTGACCCACGGTTAGCCAGCTGCGCGCACTTGCTTCGAAAGTGTATTTCATTTCTGACTGTTCGGATCTCTTCTGTTCGGCCAGGGGATCAATTTCTTAATGTGATTTTACAAGTTATGGCTTTTCAAGACCGTTTCAACCTTGTAAATCCACATGTCCAATTCCTCTCTCTGTTTCAGAGGCGGGGTAATCTTGTAAAGATAGAATGTTCCGAATTCCGGAAGGCCGACAGCTTGATCGATGACGACGCATCATCTTCATGTCAGTTATTGTTGTCCGAGGGCAGATTTTGCTGAGTTTGTGCTTGATCCGCCATGTTGATGAAATGTCAATAAAGAAAATGCTGAAAAGTCCAGTTGACCTTCTGCGCAGTTGTCAAATCAGGTAAGGTATAGTATCCTTGTCAAAAAGAAGATTCCAATACAAGATCTAGTGCATTGAGGTACAATTCTTGGTGGAACTTGATGAAATTTAATGATTCAGAGGGAGAGAAAGGGCTTTGTAATCTCTTATGGTTACTACTATGGAGGGGGAAAAGAAGAGGAAGAATCATGATCTATTCAATCTAGCAAATCCAGGGTTTTTATAAACTGGAAAAACTATCCAAAAGGCTCAGGCTACTAGCAAACATACAGCTATGCACAACTATAGCCTTAGATCTTGCACCCAATCACCCCATCCTATCAGAAGGATAGGTTGAAAGGACGGGTAGTGAAAGGCAGTTTAAGGTATGTCTTACTGCAGGCCTCAACAGTCCGGGTCAGCAGAGGTGGGGGTAGCGGGAGTCTCACACTATATTGGGTGTTAGTGCTGCTCGACAGACCGCTTGATTGCCAGATTTCTAACACTCGAAGTGGAGGGAGACAAGCGGGTTCAAAACAAGGCTTGCCTTCGCGTTGCGGCGACGCGTTGGCACAGCACGCTTACGCTGGCCGGAGCTGAGCTCACCGCACAAGACGTAAAGGTGAAAAAAAGGAATGGAAGTTGAAGAGTAGTGGGAGAGGCTGTTTAATAGAGAACGTTCCTCAATATCAAACCTCCCTTTGGCCTTCCACTTTAACTTTGGAAAGATTTACTATATGCCTACTTTCATTCCAAGGTTAGTCAAAGGGTCGATAGTCAATTTACAAGCTTCCAGATTGACCTCTTTAGGCATTAGGTTATTCGATTTTGCGTTCCTTTGGGCATGTTGATGGTAGAACATGTGGAGTGTAACAGGATGTAGGTCGTAAGGCAAATCCAATATCTTTCGAGGTTTGTAGATGCTTCATATGTGATGACTTGAATCCGGGTCAGTGAGTAGAAAATGGCTGAAGAGCCAAAACATCGTGTAATATGGAGCTAGAAGATGGCAGCGTACATGCAAGATTATCTAGCTAAGACATTTACCTGTGTCTAGAAGGAGGCCGCGAGCGGCGATTGGCCATATGCAATTGTCTAGTTGAATCTCATTGAGAAAGATGCGAAATCTATGGAATGCAATAAAAATCGAACAAGGCGATTCTCCTATTCCCGTCAGCATGGCGACTGACCATTTTTATCGGGATTGAGGGATTGAATTGATATCGGGATTTGGGCGGAACAATACGGGAAGCTTTGTATGACACCGGGATTAGGGCAGATCACCGAAGTTCTGCAACGATAAGGCCCACCTATCATGGCGTGATTTATATTAAATCGAGCCCTAACAGACCCCGGGCTCAAAATAGATAACATATATCTGCTTACATGCGGATTATTGAACGTTCCGGGAACTATCCTCTGGCGTGACACCACGTTGATGCAAACCCCGTGTTGATTTCCCGCATATCAGATTTGCGTCTCAATGCCGGAGGTGACAACCATTATTCATCGGCTTTAGAGCAGTCCCCGAATCCGAGAGCTTCCAAACCTCATGATGTTGTTAATTTTATGCATCGGGATCTGGGAGATGCAGACGTTTCAAAGTCAACATACAAGACAGCAGGAGGTGTTATAAATTGAGGTTCTTCCCGGGCTCGAGGTAGAGATTTTCATTCTACACAATATTTTCAAAGCAAACACTCGTGAAAAGACAACAAGCATCTCAACATGGTTCCAGTTCTCAAGAAGTACAAGGCAGCAGCAGTCAATGCTGAGCCTGGCTGGTTTGACCTCCAGGAATCCGTTCGCCGGACAATTCACTGGATTGATGAAGCAGGAAAGGAAGGCTGCAAGCTGATTGCTTTCCCCGAGCTGTGTTAGTATCACAGTCCTAAGTGCTAGGTATAATATACTAACAAATATGAACAGGGATCCCCGGCTACCCCTATTGGGCTTGGAAGGTAACCTACCAGGAAAGCTTACCTCTGCTGAAGAAGTATCGCGAGAACAGCCTCGCCTCCAACTCAGATGAGATGCGCCGCATCCGCGAAGCAGCCAAAGCCAACAAGATTTGGGTATCTCTTGGATACTCCGAGCTCGACCTCGCCAGCTTGTATACCACGCAGGTTATGATTAACCCAGCTGGAGATGTCATCAACCACCGTCGTAAGATCAAGGCCACCCACGTCGAGCGCCTTATTTTCGGAGACGGCACTGGTGATACTACAGAGTCAGTAATGGACACTGAGATCGGTCGCATTGGACATCTGAATTGCTGGGAGAACATGAACCCTTTCCTGAAGGCTTACGCCGCCTCGCTCGGTGAGCAGGTGCACATCGCTGCTTGGCCTCTGTACCCCGGAAAGGAGACCCTCAAGTACCCCGACCCATACACAAATGTGGCCGAGGCAAACGCTGATGTATACTTCTCCTTACTTTTACTTTTTACGAAGGGTTGATCTGATTACTGACAAGACTGCTCAGCTCGTTACCCCTGCTTACGCGATCGAGACCGGCTCTTTCACTCTTGCGCCCTGGCAGACAATTACTGCCGAGGGAATCAAGCTTAATACCCCTCCTGGAAAGGAGCTTGAGGATCCCAACATCTACAACGGAAACGGCCGTATCTTTGGTCCCGATGCACAGAATCTTGTCCCTCACCCCGACAAAGACTTCAACGGTCTTCTTTTTGTTGACGTAAGTGGATGATGTTTGTGTTTCACCAGAACATTCAAACTAATTGGTTGCCAAATAGATTGACCTTGACGAGATCCATCTGACTAAGTCTTTGGCCGATTTCGGCGGTCACTACATGCGCCCCGACTTGATCCGTCTTCTTGTCGACACCAACCGCAAGGACCTGATCGTGCACGAAGACAGAGTTAACGGCGGTATTGGTTACACTCGTACTATTGACCGGGTTGGACTTTCTGCTCCTTTGGATTCGTCGGCTACTGAGGCTCAGTCCGAGAGCCTATAGAGATATTTGCTGGACTCTAGCAGATATGTGTGTTACAGAAACAGAAATACCAACTTATTCACTCTTTTATCTTGAAAATTGTCATACGATATTTCATGTATTATAGGAATTTGATCTCTGATCAGGTAGCTTCAAAAAGTGAAGGTCGGAGAAGGTTCTTATAGTAACGAGGAAGAGACTTGGGTGTCCGCCTAAGCCTAACTAGCGGCGCCCGTTGTTATATATGGGTGTCAGGCCTACACCCTACTGGGAGAACCCAATCGTAATTTGAAAGTAGTTTCAATTTTGTTCTGTTATGACCTAATGAAAATGTTGAGCCGAATTGGTTCATTGAAGTTCAGTGTATGTACTCGTTCGCTCAGACCTCAGGGGCCTAGACCTGTGAAATGCGTGGACGCACATTCCGATCTCTTAGCATTCTTCACATTCATGAGGATTCTGTACTATGTGAGCTCGAGGTTACAAATTCACAGCCCTTGGACCTTGGTCTAGTTGCAATCATGTGCAGACCAATCCTCTACCCGACTTGTTGACGAGCCGGCGAACGGACAATGGCCCCCTGAACTAGACGGGTGTGAGAGTGTAACAGTGAAATTTTCTGGGGCACAATTCGCGTCACAAGTTTAGTTTCGTACTATATCTCAGATACAATGTACTTGTTGCCGGAAACGGAAATACTGAGGACTACACCTCTCAACCACCTTGCCTTGGCTATATCTGCCACTCCATGTTTCCAGTACATTATACATTATCTTAGGATTTGAATAACTCTCGAATTCTTTTCCAAATTTGGGAGGAGGGGAGGGGGTTAGCGTGAATTGAAACCGGCGGTGCGTATACAGTAATGTATGTACTTGACCCCCCTCCTAAAAAAAATACCGCGGCCTTGTGGGACAGCATAGTTTGATCTGTAGAACTCGAAAATGTTAAAGTTCAGTCTTACACCAAGACCACGTGGTGTAAATATCCTTAAGCTCAAGCTGGACGTCTAGAAGCTGCCAAGGAATCACATTCGATAAAAGGTGTCTAAGATGCCACGTGCTAATCACCATCACATCACGGAATGTGAGATCTTGCTGCAAACAACCAAAAGAAATTTTCCCCTGAATTATTGAATATTCAGGGCATGATGTGTCTGGAGTATATTGAAAGAATCCAGTCCCGATGAAAATGAAGTTGAAAATAGCAAAGGAAACCCTAATCGATATAGGGCAACGAAGTATGGAGTATAGCTTCCCCAGATACTATTTTGGGTCCCACTTTCTAGTAGAACACATAATGACGATGGGACGATGTGACGAATAATCTTGGAAGGCACATTCGCATGTATTTTTCGACCAATCAGAGGGCTCCGTCGCCCCATGTGCCCGCATCATACAACAGACAGATGCTCTACCTAAACTTCAACTCAACATCAGGTACGGAGTACGAAGTACCTATTTGAGATTTGAAAAAAAGCTGGTAAGGACATAGTAACTTAACTCATGTACTTGCCAGGTATATCTTTCTCCTGAGTTTTATCTCCTACGTAAAATGCACGGGTAGTGGCCCCTTCGCTTCGAAACTTCCGTACATATTCTGGCATTCCTCTCTTGACGATCTTTTCTTCTTTCTTCCTCTTACCATCCTCATCCTCCTCATTTTTTCTCATCCCCATCTCATCAGCTACATCAATCTTTCGTTGAATTTCTGCGAGATTCATCAAAATAAAGGTTGTTCTTGCTGTCTTGATGGGAGCTGCTGCTCTGGCAACCGCTCATACAGCTACCACCTCTGAGCCCGCTGTCGCGGGCATTCACGCGGCTGCCGCAACTACCTAGCCAGAGGTTACCACCTCCAATATCAAGGGCTTGGCTTTTGATCGGTTTTATCAAGTCTGGCTTGAGAACATTGTACGTAACAACCACAACATTCCTGCACTCTCCGAGATACGGTGACTAACGAGCTCATAGAACTATGATGACGCCGTCTCTGATGCCAACATGCAGTGGCTTTCTTCTGAGGGTATTCTGTTGTAGGTTCCCAATGACTTAGGCTATAAGTTAGAGGACCTATTCTGATGATCTTTAGGACCAACCTCTATGTTGTCACCCATCCTTCCGAGCCCAACTACTGCGCTGCCGCTGGCCGTGATACGTTCGGAAAAGATAACAGTGACTTCAACCAAGTCCCTAGGAACGTTTCCACCATTGCTGATCTGCTTGACCCCAAGAGCGTCTCGTAGGCTGAATACCAGCAGCATATTGCCTATGCCGGTTTCCAGAGCTACAACTATTCTAACCAGGAAAGTTACAACAATACTCAAGTTCGCAAATACAACCAATTGGTGATTTATGAATCCGCTGTGTCCAAAAGCAGTCGTGCACGTCACATCAAGACCTTTGATGACTTTGAAAATGATCTCAAGGACAATGAGCTTCCTTGGTGGGCTTTTATCACTCCTAATATGACCAACGATGCGCATGACACCAGCATAACTTTCGTTGCTAAGTGGGAGCGTCCTTGGTTGGCCAAGTTGCTCGAGAACGAGTACTTCTACAACGACACTCCCCTCCTTCTGACCTTCGATGAGGATAATATTTACATCAATGACAACCATATCTTCAGCGTCCTCGTCGGTGGTGCCGTTCCTCAACAACTCAAGGGCACCAAGGACAATACCTTCTACACTCACGACTCCACCATTGCCAGTGTCTCCGCCAACTGAGGTCTTCCTTCCCTAGGTCGCTAGGATTGTGGTGCCAATCTGTTGCAGATTGTCGCCAAGAAGTCTGGTTACGCCAACTACGAGGTCAACAAGACCTACCTCGCCTTTAACCAAACCTACCCTGGTCCCTTGTCGGTTGGTGACACGACCGTTAGCAATACCTCCACCTTCATTACCGAGTGGCCCGTTCCCATTACCGACAGCAATGAGAAGTGTTCCGCTGGTCACGGTATCCTGGATGTCGTCAAGAAAACCTATGGACACTTGAACACCACATACGACACCAAGCCGTACCCCCGGAGTGCCAAGACTCATTACGACGACAATGTCACCGCCAAGCGCTCAAACAAGACCACGAGCAGCAAGACCAACTCTACAACAGTGAGCTCTAGCCACGATAGCGCTGAGGTTTCTGCCACGGATCCTATCACTCCTGTCGTGCTCGAAGCCCTGTTGGCCATCGCTGTCTACACCTTCTGATTAAACTGTTCTTCATCCATTCTTACCAGTCGGCCGGGTGTCACTTTATCATCCGAAAACTTCCAAATGTGGTACCGATTGATTAGGAATGAATATTTTCTCCAAATTTCGGAGATATAATTTGCGTATAAGGATATAAATTCATTATCAAATTGTATCCGCAACGATACGATATGATAATTACATTTTCATTTGCGGATATCTGCGGATTATCGTACGATAACAAATATTTCAAATATGCTAAGACTCGTGACCTAAACGAGTTGCATAAATTATGCATTTTCCCCAGTATTTTCTGGAGTATTCAATGTGTAATTCAGCGACCAAAGATATACAGCTTTCTCCAATCAGAACTCTTCTCACGTAATAAGGAGAATGTGATCTGCATGTCTCAAAGTCTGTTATTCGTTTTCTTATTATTCATATTCCTTTCGGAACTCTACCGATGTCTATAATTAAATATACTACTAGCGTTTTCGGAAGGGTCCGTCCGATGGATACCTTGTCTTAGAAATCTAGTAGGAGAAACTTTACCCATCTCTTAACAAATTAAGAAAGCACCGCGAACACACTCCAAGCTTTAGGACCAGTAGTAAGGGCAACAAAACCTTGGCAATTACTTGGCGAAGAAAGTTCACGATAAGAATAGTGATAGACTTAACAATGTACACGCGTCTATAGTCTCCAATATATAAGGATTTGAGACATGCAGATCACATTCTCCTTATGACATGAGAAGAGTTCTGATTGGTAAAAGCTGTATATCTTTGGTCGCCGTATTACAAATTGAACCTGGGTTAAGAAGTATAAATGCACCCTTGAATCGGACCCGGATCGTATTATTATCTTCTATTTATCACAAAGCCATTGAATGCAAGGGTTATTCAAATATTGGCATATATTTCTCTCAACTTCTGCTATGCATTTCCATTTGTTCCTGTTAGCCTGTGTGGCAATCCGAGCGGTTGCCCACTCCGGCCCGCATGAAATGCTCCCTCGCTCTGTGGTCCAACGCCAGAACCAGTTGAGCAGACGGTGTGCCGGTCATGTGGCGAACTTCAACAAGCGTCGCATAAACAGGCGCTGGGAGGCCTTAGGTCGCAATGTCACGTTCGAAGTCACTTCTGAAGCCCCGTTCTACGAGACTATCCAGAACGACACCTGCGTGCTCATGCCGGAGGTGACTAGCGGTCCCTATCTCTGGCCTAGGTCTCAGATTCTGCGCCAGGATATGACTGAGGACCAACTTGGCGTTCCACTGTGGCTTGATATCGGGGTTTTGGATATGGCCACCTGCGAGCCGCTTCCTAATGCACTTGTTGACTTGTGGCACTGCAATGCGACTGGCTCATACTCATCTTTCACAGAACTGTCGCCAAACACGCCCTTTCCGGAGCTCTTAGCCCAACTCAACGTAACTGACTTGGAAATGGGCGTGACAGATCTGCATACGGATGATTCGACTTGGTTGCGTGGGATGTGGCCGACGGATGCGAATGGAATAATGGAGATGAAGACTGTTTTCCCTGGTAAGCTCATAAAATGCAAAAGTATAAAGAAAAGGCCCGAAAGCTATGACTGACGAATTCAATTAGGGTATTATGTCGAACGTGCGATCCATATTCATATCCAGGTTCACACCGAATGGTCCATCAGGAACAACGGAACCATCATCGCCAGCAATACCAGCAATACCAGCAATACCATCAGTACCGGGCAGCTCTACTTTGAGGAAGAACTGGAACAGAAGATCATGACTTTGCCGCCTTACGCGTCCCACACTCAAATCAATCGCACGACCAATGCTGCAGACTCGTTCTTTTCAGGGGGCATGAAGGGAGGATATAATCCTATGATCTCTGTTGTGCCTGCTGATGGTCAAGATGTGAGAAATGGTGTTATTGGCTACATCACCGTTGGTGTTGATACTTCTGCCATTGAAAATGTTGGCAATTGATAAATAAATCTATCAAGTCCCATGGCAGAGGGTGGATGTTTTCATGGCTGTGTTCAATCGCATTTGTGGATACTGTTGACTAGTTAACTAGAAGTTGCGTACTCTGCCCAATTCAATTTTGTAATCCGGTCGTGTCCCATTATGCTCTCTGACTATCTATCTATCAAGCAAGAAGATCGTGAGATTTGGCACGGCTGATATAAAATATGGGTCTTCTTCCTAGTAAAGTAAGTCGACTTTTATGAGTCCGGAGCTGAAACCCGGGCTATAACCCGGGCTATTTATAGTCGGCACAAATGCCCGATGGAAATTTGCTATGTACGTTCTGTCCAATTTCAATGAAATGGAGGGCGGAATAAATTAACTACAAATTTTTCATTTCAATGTTCAGAGTCAAATAAGCTCCGATTTGGTTCGGCATTTGATTGATCATCCGAAACGTCTCCAGCAAGAGATAAAGGTGACGGAAGATTTTTCGTACTTGAAAAATTGGACGGCCTGTTGTTTCAATGCGGGTCAAGCAGTCCGTAATTGTTGTCATGAATTTAAAGTCATCGGTATCTGATGTTGCGATGATATTGCAGAAGAGAACAAAGTATGCCGTGAGGGGGTAGACGAGAAGTGTCCTAATGTCCTAGTCAGAACTGATTCCAATTTACGCGCGCAGAACATAGATTACCAGAGCAACAAAGCCACCGTGCTTTGCCTTTCGGCAGACATACATATTGAAACTACTGGAGATATACCCTGGTCGGCTTCTAACAAACACTGTTTCCGTATATCAACAGACCGGTTTCCACCCTCAGTGATATGGAAGATGGTTCTCATAACCGAATGATGGGCGAATTGAAGAGCTGATATTCAGATTAAGCATCTAGCCCTCTCCAGGCTAGATATGGACTCGATATCTCAGTAAAAAGTCAGTGGTGCAAGTATAAATATGTGTACGAGTAATTTCCTCACATGCTCAATCATCTCTTGAATTTGTTGCATATTCACCAACCAATGTTTCCCAATTCCATAATACGATAATAAACCACCTATCAAAATCGATGAGCAAGTCTTGGGGCGATCCAGTCCCGTGAAGGAGATTAAGTCCCATTTTCCTGAGTATTGCTTCAGATATGTGTCTGAAGTAATCCCTAATAAACGAGCCAAAGCTCGCCTCCTTGATGTCTATTGAAGATATTAGAACCAGCCAGACTTATTGAGTATCACCAAGTAATAAAGAGATACCTTTTGACATCCAGATTAATAATTCAAAACAAGGTGTTCTTATTTGCTCTTCGTTGACAGTGATATCACTAACAACTTGCACGGGGTCCTCAAAACTCTCCGACAGTTGAGAAGCCAGCCCCAACCCAGAGTCCAAGATCTGATGGCGGTTGATGGTGAGCCATTTCAGATTGTCTAATTGATACTGAATGGCGGCATTAGCATTATGAAGCGAAAGAGGCATGTCGGAACCCGGAGATTCTCTATGGGGCTGTTGATAGTCCAAGTCCAGCCTGGGATATCTATTGGGCGTAGGTGCAGAATAATCGTGCAGTTCCGGTGGTGAAACCTGCGGATCTTGAGGGGTTGGGGTTGCTTGTGGTGATTTTGGACGCGTTAGTCTTCTGGTTTCCACCATCGCCAACTGAGTGCTGTTTTTGGTTCGCTTCATGACTCGCTGACGAGAGCATGTGGTTTTCCTATCCTGGCAGCTACCACATGGATTGCCTCTGTCACAATGGACCTATGTTTGGCTAGTGAAACTGACCATTCTATAGGAAGCTTAATTCGCGCCTTTCGAGAGAAGCACGAATCACACTGGACTAGGGTTTGAAGCCATTAGCATTCTTCGCACAGTACAATTATAAGAGCCCCATACCACTGGAAGAGGCCTAGAGTGATCTTTGAGTACTGTTCTTAGTGACATTCTGGTAGCAAGCGCGAGAGATAGGATATTGAAGAAGCATAAAATACGAAAAATAGTGTGATTGCCAGGGAGATAGAACGAAAAGACAGTAAGAGTGGTCTGGGATATCGAAAAAGGAATGTGGTTGCCGTTCTGTCCTTTCAAATCGAGGAAACGATATATATTGAAGCATAAATCTCTAGATTAATCCCTACATACCTATAGATTGCTGTTTTACGCTTAGCTTAGTATAGAACCCGTCGAACTTGATATTCTAGAAGTGTATGGTCCCACTTTGGTTTATTTCTGTATGGGGCTCAAAGGGGTTCTGCTGCTGAAGACTTGTTCTGGTTGGACAAGAACGATCTTATCAGTTCTTTATCTCCACTCTTTAATTATTTTAATACTATTTTTACATTTTCATACGAATATAACTGTGCTAAGCCCCTGACGGGGTTCTCTTAATAGGTGTAGTTAGTGCCTTGGTACCGAGTATATGTACAGCCCTTCCGTTCCAACTTCCGTCCTCCGAAGCCCGTGCACCGGATATAGTGGCCTATTATTAGCTACGTTTATCGACTTTGTTAGAAACTGCAACGCAACATTCATTAGAGCTGCTCACGATACGATAACGTCGCCCATTGACCATATCGTCGATCGTGTCGTCTAACCAAGTTGGGCGATGATAATTATCGTCGAAATTATCGTCGTATTGCCGATATTACTGTCAGTCAGACGATAATTATTAATAAGCATATTATTCAGCAGCATTATAATTTCCCATCTCTATATTTCCAATTTCCCCCTATTTCACGTTTAATTTCACGTCTATCTTATAATATGTCGTCTAATGAGAGCCTACCAAAGACTACGCGGAGGGCACCACGTATTGATTATGAAATACTCAATGGTGGTCCTGATTCGCCAGATCTATCATTAGACCAATTCTTTCCGCCTGATATATCTCAATATCTACCAATAGAGCCTTATCCTTCGTCTACTGACCAAGCTTCTATTACATTTTCAGACATTTTACCTCAAGACTCTATCTCGCAAACCTACCCTCAGAGGTCTAAAAAACCTCGCCCAGCGCCAAATACTGAATGGGTTTGGCAATATTTCTCTATAATAGAGATATCCCGCGAGTGGAAGGTCCGATCCGGCAATATACGGCCTAAAGACCGAGAGATTACCTGTGCTATACTTGATGATAAAGGTTATAAATGCAGTTGGAAAACCTCAGATTCACAAAGACATAGTTCAACGTCTAATATCAACGTCATCTTAGTCAAATGCACTCAATTTTACCACCGGAAAATTCAATATCTCAGGGCAAGACTCAAGTTATCCGGAAGGCCTTTCTCAAACAACAACATCTATCGACCCAGGAGTGTCTTGAGCAGTTGGATCATTCAAGATAAACAAGCCTTTCCTGTTATAAAGTCCCAGGCCTTTCAACAAATCTTTCAAGATATCCCAGGAGTTTCTTTACCGTGGACTTCTCGATCTAGTGTCCATCGCAGATTGCAGGATCAGTTCAAAATCCAACGATTAAGCCTAAAGGAGGATCTAGCCAATACATGCAAAACTATTGCCGTCTCTCTTGATATATGGACAAGCCAGACCATTATCCTATTTTTGGTATTATTGGTCATTGGCTCACAGAGGACTTCCACTATCGAGAGGAAGTTCTTGAATTCTGTCAAGTCTTTGGACCTCATATAGGAGCGGATATTGCTGATATAGTTCATCAAACCTTGGTAGAATTGGACCTTATATCGAAATTATCAACAATTACTGGAGATAATGCCTCAAACGTTCAAGAGATGGTTTCTGAGCTTCGCTTGATATTGGAAATGGAACCTAACCCTATTAGGTTCCATGGACTTGATAGCTATATTCGCTGTCTAGCTCACATATTAAACCTAATTATCAAAGATATTCTGCGGGCTTTGAAATCAGGTAATATTTCCGAAGCAAATGAGATATGTGATGATTTACAATCAAACTCAATATCCTCAATATCCTCAATATCAACTCTATCCAGGCTCCGAATTCTTGCTATATGGATATCCTGCAGTCCTCAATGGCAGCAAGAATGGAATACAATATGCAATACAATGGGTGTTGATAATAAATTTATTGAATTTGACGTGGAAACACGGTGGAATTCTACGTTTCGCATGCTTGATGATGCAATTTATGCTCAATATCAGATTGATCGATATTGCTCTCTACAGGGTAATATTCTTTCTTTTACTAAGATCGAATGGGAGTGGTTTTGTCAGATTCATAAAGCTTTAAAAACCTTTGATGATCTGACACATTTGGTATCTATATCAAGAGCTCAACTTAAACTTGCTATCCCAATTTATTATACAGTACATGATCCTTCGGAAGACACCGCCTTGGAGGGATATCCCGATAATATTTCAGATGCGATGAAGGCAGGCATGAAAAAGTATCAAAACTACTATACTTTCATGGATAATTCAGAGGCGTATTATACCGCCTTAATCCTTGATCCCCGCGTCAAAGGTGATCTTATACTTCATGAGATCGAAGATCAAGAAGCTGCCAAATTGATAATACAGGAGACTCGCCTGATGCTTCATAACAAATATCCGCCGCCAAAATCAAATCCCCAGGTGATTTCTCAGGCAATTCCAAAAGTAATACCAGAGTCAATACAAACAGGGATGTTTAATAAGCTCCAATCTCAAAGACCTCAATTGATCTCTGATATTGATCAATATTTTGATAGCCCTGGGCTTGCAGCTATAGGGACAGAAGACCCAGATTGGTTATATACTTGGTGGCGTGCCCATGAAAATGAATATCCTAGAATGGCAGAAGCTACAAGGGAATTACTTCCAATTCCAGCTTCAGAGGTATCAGTTGAGAGGCTTTTTAGTGCAGGGAGAGACCTTTTAGGGATTCGCAGATTTAGTTTAGGAGCGGATACTATGAGGATATTGATGTTGATGAAAGACATTATTTAGTTACTTAGTTTTAGTGTGTCCATATATCAAAAAAAGAAGGCAATTACTCCGCATTTATTGGCTAAGCCTTCCTTTAGCTTTAATCATTGGATTTTGAAGTGATTTTGAGCTTAATAATAGATAGTAGATCGAGAAGTGTATAATGAAAAAAACTTTGGGAGGTTTTTAAGGATTTATTAAAAAGTCTTGAACCTAATAGCACAAAAGGCTTGTTTATTTTAAATGATTTAACGAAGAGGATTCTGCTTAAGACACTCCTAAATTATCGTGAACAGCTCTGGGGTTATGGAGCATAGATAGGTAGAAACGACTCAAAGATAGTACGAAATGAAGGTGTATTAAACTGTTAATTGAACTGCGTACTCCGAGATTATAGGACGAGGAGTTTTTTATGCCAACTGCGGAGGAAAGTTCCACCGTACAAAGGGGGATCCGGAGTTGTTTGAACAACTCATGGTCGGAATATCAATAATTGTGAAGATCATTAATAGGGTAGCGATTAGCGTTGCTAAGGACATAAAGGTCCACAGCAGCCAGGGTTGGAAGACGACCTGAAGCTTGAGGATTCAGGCCTATACAGGTGATCTGGCATGCAACAGCGATCGGTTTCCACAATAAGCACAGCACAGTAGTGAATACACACAAATTGTCACCTAGCGGTTGTAACTTCTATTGCACAACATTGACCGTTGTAGCTTCTCCACCCTTCTTCAAATCACGACCAGTTACCAGAGTTGGGGTCGGATAGTAGGAGTTCTCATCAGTTTAGTTTTTGTTTATTCAAATGACGTCATGATCCAGCTTACTAGTTGTGTAGTAAGAAAAGCCCAAAAGCCTGAAGGATCTGCTGACAGAACATGTACCTGGCCTGCCTCCCGCATGCGAATCCCCATGCATACATCTGCGTTACACAACTTGCTGTACGCATATGCCTTTTTCATCATATTTGTTCTGCGACGACATAGCTTTTGGCGCGTCAGTTTTCTGGCCGAGGAGTGATTGGACGTTCCTTTTACTGTAGCCATTGACAGCGAGCGTTTCTGAGGAGATATAAGGCAGGGAGTTGAAGTAGTAATTCTATAAAGCATAGACTTTTCAAAAATGAACGACCAAATATATCATTTGAAGGTTCAAATTTGGATATGAGTTTCCGAACTATCTAAACGATCTTTGCTTTTTTTAAACGGACACCAAATAGCGTATCTTCACAAGTGGGCACAAAGTGAAGGGTCCTTATAACCAATAGGTGAGAATTTCTACTTTAATCACCACTTAAGACGGTGAAGTATTTCAATGAGGGGCTCAAATACCCTATAAATGTCTAAATGCTTCCAATTAATTTTTGTAAGAACCGCCGTCGGCAATGAGGGTCGGTCGTTCAACTTCTACGTTTATTAGTCTATGAAATCAATTTTGAGTAAAATAGGAGCATCTATAATTTCATTTCAACAATAACGGAACTTGATCAGACCTACTTATCAATACTGAAAGATTGATCGTTTGAAAAACGCGTTTGAGGGTAAAGAGCACTAATAATAACTCACCAGCGCCGTTGAGTTAACGTACATAGTCTTCGCATATAGCTTCTTAGTTAGCGCATGCCTTAGGACATATGTGGTAGAACAGCCTATTAGAAATCAGAGATTTCCGGGAAAATAGTCTTTTGGAATACCTGCAACAAAATCCATTTCTCTCATGACAACCAACAAGTTGGTTTGTTAGCCTTCTTTCCTCTTGTTTTTCCTTATAAACTTACATGTTTAACAGTCATAGTTGGTTCCTACAGGTTATTCAAATAGTGATATTAGATCCATAATTTGCTCAAAAAACGCATATATGATTATTAATTAACAAGAGATAGCTTAAACACTATTATTTGAGCATATTTGATGGCACATACAGCATGATAAAAACAAAAACATGAATTTCTATTAAAACCAACAGCCTTTAAACCAAAGCACAGATAAATAAGGTACAATATTTAGATTTATTCAGGTAGCGCATTTTTCGACCGTTGAATAACAAGACAGGATTTGAACTATCAGTTAAGCAAAAGTGAACAGTCTTAAATAGAAGCTGATAGGGCGGTCATAAGAAAAAACACAATTTTGACCAACAATTATCCTTAAACTACAGTACAGCATAGGCGAACACAAGTACGTTCATCGGGATAAATTTCAACATTTGGTAATTCCACCATAATCGTTTAACGAGATCCAAGTTAAACAGTCGTACTTGATGGGATTAGTGGAAGCCCGCATCTTGCTACCTTGCTATAAGTCATCGGTCACGTGGAGTTCAGGGTATATGGGATCTCCCCAAGGAATAGGAAACCTGTCCCTTCGTCCTCAGAATATGATGTAACATAGAACTATCTCCTCACAAGGCGCTAAGTCTGAGGTGGCTAGCTCTGAGCCAAACTAAGTTATACTAAAACACACTAGTCTATATTAGACTTGATAGAAACTCTGCTTTCGCCAATTTCCAAGACAGGAATAGCCATCTGTTTTAACTGGTGACACACGCTGTGGCATTGAAACGAAATATTTACGAAAAGCGAATCGTAAATTGACTAATAATATGGAAGTCGATCGTTTAGTTTTGACAAGGCACCGGAGAGGTACACACTTATGCCCGATAGGATCAGCTAATTACATACGTACCAAGTAAGCAATGTATAGTACTGGATAATTAATGGTTCTGTCATCCTCGTAGTAAATCGAAGTCATGAAAAACTCCCGTCAGAGTAGCCAAGCACAGACCTCTTTACCTTGAACTTTTCATCATTTGGAAGAAATCTTCACTGCCTCTCAGACCATTCTTTTCAGCTCCAATACGATGCCCTACGTTCCCTGCGACCGACCTTTCCCCAGTCGACATGCTTTGGAACAGCGCCTTCAGTCTTCCAAGCATCGGTGCGAGCTTTGCAACAAATCCTTTAAATCCGTTCACTCGAGAGTCCAAAACATAAAAGGCTCAAGGAACCACCTCATACAAATGCATGGCGACATAGTTCATACTGTAATAAGCACCCGGAGACGTCACTACAGAAGCACGAGATTACAAGCCATCAAACACCTGTGTTGATGCTCACAGCTGTCACTAGTCCGAATCTCACATATAGTGGCATACCTCATACTATGATCACACCTGTCTTTCAATGGCCTGTCGCCTCCGTTACGGGAGACCCGATGTTGACACGCTATTAAGAGGCATCGATACGCAGTTATACCATACGGTCATCTCAGTGCTCATTGAAGCTACTCTTTGACTACCACTACCACTTGATAACACACCCGAAGGCAGAGCAGAGGCGAAAGAAAAAATGCAGCAACTAACATCAACAAACAAGGTCTGTGGCGGCGAGGCTCTTTAAATTTTTTGCGCTCTTAATCCAATCCATTATTGCAAAGCAGATCTAATATCCTCGACTGATTTACAGCTCATAAAAGGGCCGCTAGAGGGTTACAGTCGCTATAAGCACTCACGAGCTCCTGGAAAGCCCATTATTGGCCCTAGGATCACAAGTTGAGGCTCCTGGAAGCTAGAATTAGGCACCCAGGAGCAAGGATATCTTTCATTTGTAGACTGATCTTCCAGAGTCGTCGCCAGTACAGTACTCAAAAGATTAACTATTCACAAGTTATAAAGGTCGGTTCACCTCTGGGCCATACCTTTGTTTCACTAACTGAGTAGATCTACATTAAAACAGATTCTATCTATTACACCTAAACAAACAGAATTACCCTAACAGTTCTCCATTCATCCTTTCCGCGTCGAAGCAATAGTATAAGCCATGATCTAATAGACTGAGCTGTGATCGCTAAATTTATTGCAGATTTCTATTCTTGACTTGCCGGTGGAGATCCTCAAGATCATAGCCAACACCTTATGTGCAAGGGATATTGCTACTGTTGCCCGAACAAACACAATACTCTTTCCTAAGCTACAATTATACCTTATCAAATACAACATTAGGCACCAAAAGAGCTCTGCGCTGCACTAGGCTACCGAAACCGACAACATTACCCTTACGAAGGACTTGCTTGCTTATCAAGCTGACGTTACTACATTAGTCAATAAATGCTCTACTCTGACCACCGCCTCAGAGTATGGCGCACTTCGGGTTGTCGACCTTTTGTTGTGTCAACAGCAGCTCAAGACTAATCAGAGAGATCGGAAGGGCAAAAGTACACTATGGTATAGCGTGGAGAAAAATTCAATCACTCTGGTCAATCGACTCCTCCAGGATCCACGTGTCAAAATCGACCATCCCAATCACAAAGACCAAACAGTACTCTGGCGGGCTATCTTCCAGGGAAACCAGGAACTGGTGGACCTACTCCTTTTAGGAGGTGCCAATCCAGATACTCAGGACCAGAACGGAATATCACCATAGATCCAGTCGTGTATTAGCCTAAATAATATCATCATCTCTCTGTGATCGTTCCATAGCTTCCTCTCTAGACTAACACAAAGATTTGGACAGAGAATTGCTTGCGGCATCATGTTTTGCCCTGCCCTTAGCCTTATTCCTAGCTCCCCCAAGTCTATTATTCTCACTGGATTTGCGGAGCTTTTGTTCTATCATTTCATCGGGAGGTTAAAGCCAGCAATTTCCATCAGATTGAATTCAGGCCTCTTTAATACAATAAACCTCTCTAGCACAAGACTGACGGATCGGATCCATTGTTATACAAAGATCAGCTGTGGAGACATGTGCACGCACCTTTGCGGGCTGACTAATCTCGTTATCCTCCGCACTCCATTCACGCGTCAGGGCTATCTTTACTTCAGTACACAACTGAGGCATGGCTGGTCGCGAAACCACCACCCGCTCTTCAAAGCAGGCCCGAATACAAGGAAACCAGACTCGCGGTCGCAAGAGGGATTTGACTACCGCCTTCTCTGCCATAAAGGAACGACAAGAAGATGATACGACGGGCACGCAGGCTCAAAATGCGCTGACAAATCCAGAGGTCGCCGGATCCCACGGGCGCGAGCTATCAACAGCGGCACAATACAGGGCCTGGCGCAGTAGGTTTCTATGTCAGTCGTTGTTTTGTTTTTTTCGTCATTCTAATCATTCACATAGAGAGGGGCAGTCTTCACAACTCTACTTGCTTCGAGTGCGGCCTACCAGACGATTTAGAGATATGCGAAACGTGCCCCCTAGCCTGTCACCAGTCCTGCATGCTAAACAACAGCACATACGCGAATCATGATGGCCTTCGTCGATGGTTTTGTCACATTTGTGTCGGTCGTGGTTGGCATTTGAATATTCCTCCTTTGACTCCGCCGCATTCCCCTATACAAAACCCGGTTGACAATACGGGACCGACCCCATCGACCCTGCCAGCAATCCAACACGACCCGGCTTTAGGAGGAAATTTAACACACTCTCAGACTGTGAATCCGGTCTCTCACCCGGTAACTGGGTTGGCTGATTCTGGTAGTTCTCAGCAGACAAAGCCGGGGGCCTCAACAAAAAAGCCAGCGGCGCGAAAATCCAAGTTTACCACGTTATCCAATGATGTGGATTCTGCTCTCCGGGTTCTCTACAGTGAATTAGAAACGATTCAGCTTCTCCGACAACAGGTTTCCAACCTGCAATTCGATAACACTCGTTTACATCAAGATTTGAGCATATGTCGAAACGAGGTAGCATTAGCAAGAGGCGGCATCGAAAAATCTCGCCATTTAGAAGCCGAAGTCATGCGGCTTAAGGCCACTATCGCGGATCAACACAAGGAGACACATGACACTGAAGTCTTAAAGAAGGAGAACGAGGGGCTGAAATCAGAGGTTGAGACTATTCAAAAGCAACTTGAAGATTCCAACAAGACACTGGCAGAATGGAAGAACAAATTACTGAATCTAGTCGGTGACTGATTGAACAAGTCATTCATATACCTTTTATGTCGTCGACCTCAATGACACCGGCCTCACGCGCTCGCAGTCTTCCAGTCTGGTTTGTATAGGCATCTAAAATGCCTTCCAGATCTGCAATCCAAACTGGTATAGGAGTTCCGTCGTCTATCCTCACCCGACAATTTTGGTTGATTCCGTGTCATTACAAGCTGGTGTCCATCTTTATACTGCCGCTCACCCAATCATTCATATTACCATCCATCAGAGATCGCCGCTGTGGACAGTATTAATAACACCCTGCGCGACGATAGGGACGATGCCACCCAACTCACCTAACCACGGGCCAGTAAATTGAAGAGCACTCGTCCAGCAATAAGGAGTCTGAGTCTGCTGAAGCCAAAGAACAATAAGCCCTCCCCCCGTAAGTTGCCGCTAAGCGCTGCACGTCTTCTTCGATAGGACCACGAGGCACCACACCTGAGTATGACAATGGGCTGGGCGCAAACGCATTCTTACTATTGCCGTGGGGGAAAGAGAGCCTTCTAAGGGATATGCGAGCTTTAAAACTGCGGAGTTGTCGTCATGGGCGAGAGTCAATAACAAGGAAGGGTTAAAGCTGGATGAAGCCAAGGTCCTTGAATTGTGCACCTTTCCTCCAAAGATTCGTCAAATTTACCGAGATGGGTTTACAGAGAAGAATGCTCATGCTGGACAAAAGCATTGGCAAGCGATCATATCATCAACTTTGAGTCCGGGTCACAAAAGATCTTGCATCCCAAACCGCCAAGTTGTGAGCCAGGACCCACATTTTACCATCGATTCTTTGATCTATGTTTCTATCCGTTCTCCACCTAATTCTTCTGCTTGCTTCTTACACATATTCCATCTATTCTCTTGGCTTTTCAGTATTTAAAAACCAAATTTAGATCTCATTTTTCAGGGTTTTCTGATATAAGAGAGCGGTCAAGAATGTGCATCAACTATCATATGTAGCCTGGTTGACGGCTATACCAGTAGCGATATCTATACTTTCAGCTAACCCCGACTAGGAAGACAGGCGCATGCTCGTTTAGTATGCAGCTCAGATGCATTCTGTAAGGGGTATTATGATCACACATGTGGGCTTTGTTCTCCATGTTACGTACTAGATCTGTCGGACGCTCGGAATGAGATCTGTTGAAACCCCGAAAGGCCGGCGAATTTGAGGATGCTCTACCACATGGGGATCCACCCGCATGGTTCACGCCATGCATGCTTCATGTGAGCCACTACTAGAGCAGGACCGTGCGGAAGAGGCCGAGGTTGTTTTCCGAGATGATCTTAGCTTACAGCCTGGCTTTCCACGTCGCCGAGCATGACTCAATAATGCCTGGGGCTTGTGTGGACCTCATGAGTGCTTCACCTGATTTGGCAAAGGAAATGAGGCTCAGTTCATATGCCCGCAGCATGATATTGTCTTGACCAGTGTGGATGTAACTATCGTGGCCTAGTACTTCTGTTCTCTTCAAGTTTCCGATAATGGAAGCGACAACACATGCTGTTTCTCAAGATCTTGTCCAGAAGAAAACTTCATTTCCAATAGAGGCTAACTAAAATAAAATGCATCAAAATCCATTCATTCTATCCAATGTCCAGGTGATTCAAATATTGATTTTTACAATTCGAATTTCTCATACTATCAGCCTTCAATGGATATATTTTTCCTGGTTTCTATCCACTGCACCTACTACTATTTTCAACTTGAAGTCCGCAAATCGATTTTCTAAACATTGGAGGGCTACATCCTTAGGCAACGAGTATATCCTTTAAATGAAAATTAATTAGGCAGCATGTAGTGAGCATGATCATGATAGCGATTTAGATTAAAATAGAGTCGTAAAGCTTGTAGCGAACAAAGTTGTGAGTATCCATGGTTCACTCGGGAAAGTAAAGTCGGATTTCAGCCTCACATCGAAAAATAGAAACGAAAAAAGATAACAACATAATGTTCACATTAAAGCAATCATGTATATGTCTACTACTAGTATTAAGTACCTAAAGCGACCGAGCCTCGTCTATAGTAAGATAATTCCAAAGATCCTCACACGCATCCTGCAACGATTTCTCAGTTTTCCATCCCAATTCCCGCTCCGCCCGGTCGGGAGTGGCAACACAAGACCCCACGTCTCCAGGCCGTCGACCAACTATTTTAACAGGGATATGCAAATCACTAACCGCCTCCAAAGCACGCACAACCTCCTTAACGGAATGACCCGTGCCGGTCCCCAAGTTGAATGTTCGAAAAGAACCACTGATTCGCCCCTCCTGTGCGGCAGACAGCGTGGCAACATGGCCCCTCGCAAGATCGGTGATATGAATGAAATCCCGGACAGCACTACCGTCATGCGTGTCCCAATCTGTTCCGTAAATGCAGAGTTCAGTACTTACACCTGTGAGGGCTCGGACTGCTGCGGGAAACAAATTAGATGCGCAGTCTCTCGGATCTTCGCCGAGGAGTCCCGACTCGTCGCAGCCGATCGGGTTGAAGTATCGGAGGCATAGGACTGTCCAGGATGGATCGGAGTTGCATACGTCGGAGAGAATGGCTTCTCCGAACCATTTGCTTCGGCCGTAGGGATTGGTTATTCCTGTACAGCCTGGTTCGACGACGACATGTTCTCCGTGCTCTGTGCAGTAGGTTGCTCTTTCGTGGACACAGTTTTCTTCTCGGAGATGAGGCGTGTCGTCTGCTATTGTTCCGTATACGGCTGCAGATGAGGAGAAGATGAATGATTTGATTCCGTGAACGTCGAGAAGACTGAGCAGATCGATAAGACCGCGGACATTATTCTGATAATATTTCAGTGGGAACTTGATGCTGTCTGCGACGGCTTTGAAAGCTGCAAAGTGAATGACACCGGTGATTCGGGAGCTTTGAATCATGTTTCCTGGATTACTAATTGAAAATTCGTCGAGTAGGCGCCCCATCTCTGACATGTCCTGGTAATCTGCACGGCATAGCTTTGCCTTGGGACGTGGGACGCCAATGCGGTCATAGTGCAGGTTGGCGGCTGTGAGAATACGCTCAAACACCGTTTCGTAGCTGTTGCTGAAATTGTCCACAATGAGAATGTTGTACCCCGCCTTCAATAGCTCCAGGGACGTGTGGCTCCCTATGAACCCTAGTCCACCTGTCACGAGGACATAATGGTCATCGTCACCTAGTGCTCGATCGAGTGGATCGTCAGCTTCTGTGGCTGGAGTGGACGGGTCCGAAGAAAAATGCGGCGAGTTTGCCCTTGTAGACAGCCCAGTAGGAGGCGATGACATGGCAGACGAATAATGAGAAGATGAAGAACTTGAAGAAGGTAAACCGATAGAAGTAAGCTCTAAAGGCTCCTTCAAGGGGCGTCCATGATCCATTAACACAACACAGCACACCGAACTTAATGAAACGCAGCACTGTAATTACAGGTAGCATGGGAATCCAGGGTCGGGTTACGACAGTTGTGGATTTGGGATTTGATACGTTCTTTTACATTGTCTTAGATGAATTCTTGCTCGGGCATCCTTGCCACTTCCTAGCACTAGGCGCGGGGCTTTCTTGGAAATCTTTCTGATGCAAGCAGTCTACATCGGGCTCGACCCGTATACTTGATTCTTTGCAGATAAGCGAGTAGAATCGCATGCTTGTCTCACTTCTTATGCCATCTTAGTCTCGCATCTTTTGACTTTTCGCCCTCAACACGCCATTATCATAGTTGTAGACTCAGCCACGTGTCTGGTTCTGTGGATTCAGATCGCGACTCGGGGACGCCGGATAGGTGGCTCATGTCAGAATAGTGGATTAAAAGTCTTTGGTGTGTAAAAAGTCGTGGCCTCAGAGCCCTGAAAAGCCCGCTTCGGCTAGTTTCTTACCGATGAGGATTGACATGATTCTTTGGACCCTTGGTACAATTTTAATTCTAGCCTTACAGATGACCGGGTTGAATCGGCTCAAAGCTCTCTGTGTTGCCGCTCGGCAATGAAGTGTATCAAAGTGATATACAAACCTTGGTACCCCTGGCAATTGCCATCTGGACTGGCCGCTCCTGTCCCATTCCAAGGTTCACGATAGTATATTGGAAACTATATTCCCCGTCGGTTATAGTTCAGCCCCAAGTTACAGCTTTGGAACGTATTACATTAATAGACTTTTGTCCTTTGTCCTTTTGTTCGTTTTGTTCGTTTTGCCTTTGGTTTTCCCCGTCCTGCCCCTTACATCACCGTTTACGAGGCTGAAATAAAATTAAAAGATGTGATAAGACAGGTTTCGCCCGTTGTCTGCGGCTTAAGCTATCCGAAACTCCCATTCGAGCCATCTAGTCAGATTTTTTGGGTCCGACTAGGGGGGCCACATTAACCTCGATTGGTCTGTAATATTTCGGTCTGGTCTAGATCTCTTGTGCCTGAGAAGTCAATGTATATTTAGCCCCAGACATACATTGAAGACACTAGCATGGATTACAAAGTACTCAAAGATACAGGCATCTAATTACTACTAATACGAACGCCACACCGGCATCTGACACAGCGGTATGTTCCACCCCCAAGGCCCCAATGTTGTATACGAAGTGTACATTATGTACTCTGTATGCATGTTGCAGATGAAAAAGCAGGGTAAAAATCAGATTCATCGAATTGCATTGCCATTACTCGTTCTCGAATTATTCATATTCAACGTTGCATACATTTTTCCACCCTGGCCTACCTGTACATCCAGGGTTACTTTAAAGCATGCATAAATGCACCCCAGCTAGTGGGACCGAAGCGCTCGTAGAAATCCCCAGAAATTTCAGTAATGAAAATGTACTTGGCCTTGTGGCGCAGTTCATGAACTAGATTTTCCAAATCATCCATTGGGACTTCATTGATCATGACTCCGGCGCGGGTCCGGTCATAGTTAAACCGCCCCAACCACTTCTGGACCTCATCTGATCGGTACCGTGGGTATGATTCCTCGCAGATAAAAAACATATCGGCGGATTGGGCAATTGTGGCGTCCGGTGGGGTTCCTGGATTGTGTACCACCTATAGTGATTTGTTTGTGATTAGTTGGATTGTCCCCAGTTACCACTGTAGAAAGAATTTGGAATAATAAAAATGAGTTCTTACAAAGCGATCGGCAAGTAAACCAGGAGTGTTCTTAATGAACTTGGTCAATGCCTTCAAATACTCGGCACGGTCCGGGGCGTAATGATTTGGAGTCTCGTCGACAAATATACCGCGTACACCAAGGTGAGTTGTCTCGTACTGCTTGGACCAACCGGCGTAACGCTCGATCTCGGCATAAGCCTCGGAGTGGGGCTTCTTGCAGTAGTCGATCCGGACATAGCCCACGGTGTGCACGTTGGAAGAGCGATTTAGCCGGGGAATTTCCCGAGAATAATTCTCATCAGGAAGAGGCGAGTCACCAGGGCCACTGTTGGGGTTGACAATGACCAAGAAATCGAGATCGGGGTTGGATTCGATGCTGTAAAATATTTACATCGTTAAAAATATTTCTTCTTTTGACCTTTGACCGTTTTACCCCTGCGTTCTTTGTTCTCATGGAGGACTCGGATACGGAAAATTTCCCGTCCTTATGTCTCTCCCCCTCCCCTGTCATTTTCGATCTCTCTTTTTTATTTCTTTGTCCCGTCTCGACATTTTAGCGACTTACGCTGCATAAAGTGGAGCCCAAGTTTCGGCCGTCAATGGATAGATATACAAAGGCACAACAACAGTCGACTTAGGTGCAGATACCGGTAGCTCATCCATTTTGCTGGGTGCTGGGCGGCTTTCGGACACCGGAGCTTGGGAAGGAAGGGGGAAAAATAATAAATAATGAGCTCTTTCAGGACATCTTGCCAAAGAGTAGCCAATAATATGTAGTCAAAGAGGGGAATAGAATGGGGCCTGACTGTATACGTGGCTGTGCCGCTTTTATAAGTTCCCGCGATCACATCCACTAGTGCTGAGGGGCGTTATCAGCAGGTAAAAATATCCCCCCCAACCGAATCGCTTTGCTTGAGCTAAAAAAGATAAAAAGGATCTAGCCACGCCAATCAGGGGAGATCCCGCCACGGAAAGCGGCAATCACCCGATTTGACCTAAACTTTGAACAAAACACGAGGCTGAAAGGGGAACCCTGGATGGATGATAAGAATAATAGTAGCATCATTAATTAAGGATGTAATCATAGAAACAATCGATTGGTTTAGAAATATTAAGAGAAATGAATACACTTGATTAACAAAATTTACAATCCGACGGGGAATATGAGCCATCACAGTCATTACCCACCATCACCCGCACTATGTCTTAGCATGCATAATTAGCCAGCACATAGCGTAATCAACTGCTGTACCTAAGAGACAGCCAAGACTTTCTCCCTCCCTTTTTTTCTTTTTTTCGTTGTTTTCTCCTTGGCGCTAGTTTTTTGTTTTTTTCTCCCTTGTCGTTTCTTTCTTTGCGATCGTAGCGTGGTCTCCACTCGCTACTTGATACTCAGATGTGGATCCCTGTCACCGCATACCACACTGGCATTGGCGCTCTTCCGGCGAGAACCGATGCTGCCCAAGCTAGTCTCGCTCTCGCATTATGTCTGACTAGTTGGAACCAGGTCGCAGAAGACCTCCAACTTCGGATCGAATTTTTCATAGTAGTTCGCCTCTAGCGTGGTTAGGAACAGATACTCCGCCCGATCGCTAAGATCATCGATGAAATTTTTCATGGTGTTATTGCTCATGGTCGGCATTGAGTGAAGCATGTAGGAGTAATTGCCACGGCGCGAGGTGCTAAGATCATCTAGCGCGTTCACTTGAGTTTCATAATACGAATATGATTGTTCAAAGACCACGGTGATATCTGTTGTGGTGTCGTTGTATCGCGAATCTGGGATTGTACCTGGATTATGGATGATCTATTGAAACGATCAGCGTTTGCGAACTTGAGCTAAAGGAAGCGAACCACGGAAGCACTGGGGGCCCCGATCCAACTCCACAACGTGTACCCGCGATTGGCAAGATACAGTATAGCACAGTGGAGGATTCTAGATCGGAAGCCCCCACTTTTGCCGGCTCCGTGTCAGACTTTGGGTTCTATTCTGTTTTTCTTTGTCTGTATTCTTTCATGAAAACTTACCAATTGTGGCGATCCAATGCCGCTGGAACTTTTAACCGCCTCATTGATTCGAGTCAGGTACTCGGACTTTGTGGAGTTCCAGTCATAGGGTATTTCGTCGAAGAAAATTCCGTCCATTGACAAGGTGCTTGACTCGGAAGTCCAATTGGAGTATGTCGCCACGGCCTCTAGCACTTCGGTGATATTCCGGTCCGCATAGTTAGTAGGGATGTATCCTACTTTCTGCACATTGGAGTACGTGCTCAATCTCTTCACAGCGACTTGATATTGAGTGCTTGGGGGCGATGATCCTGGCCCGCTTGAAGGATTAACAATCACAACAAAGTCAAGCTCTGGATGAGTGGTAATCCTGGTAGTGAAATGGTAAGCCAAGGTCATAATGCTAGATCACTTTTTGATTCCTTGGACCGTTGTCTCAAAGGGGGCCAAGGATTGAACTTACGCTTCATACAGAGGATCCCAAGTAGTGTTTGTCTCCGGATAGATATACACAGGGAACAACACTTTGGCAGCCTTGACTTTATGGTGATGTTTCTTTGGTAGAATGACAGCCAATGGCACCACAATCACAATAATCACAACTATGATTACCGAGATCAATATTGCGATCAACCAAGGGCGTCGCAAATTGCATCTACGCCGCAAAGGTGGGGTGGCGCCCTCTGTCGTGCGTTTCAGAGACTCCATATTACAGGAATGAGCGGCACAGGCAAATAAAAAGAAAGCAAGGAGGAGCGAAGCGAATGAGCAAACGAGAGGGGAATGTAGTTGTAATTATGGATATTGTTATAGTAGATCTTTTGCCTAAAGTCACAGTGTAAGAAAAAAAAAAGAGAGATAGAGGGTAGAACCGGATTCCCTAGAGTCAGAATGGGAGGCAATTGCACACAGAAAATTCGAGGCGCCTGGGCACTTCTGGGCAGAGAAAAGCGTCAGACGAAAGAAAAAATAAAAATAAAAATGACAAAAAGTGACAATAGTCGATAAGGCGTGAGACAAATAATTATATTTTTTTGTTTTTTAACTGCTGCATCTGGATTAGTATTGTTCTGTTGGTCTCGCCTATCGTGGATTCATCTCGGCGAACGAATCGGTTCAAATGCAATTGAACATCGGAACAAATGGCTGATTTAGCTAATAAATCTAGGTCCCACTCATCGGTCAGCCCCAGCACATGGATTCTGCGCTTTTACGGTAAGATGAGTCTCAAGTCCCGGGAGTGGTGAGACTTGCATATGGTTCTCGTTTAAAAAAATTCTATTTCTGTCCCGTCGTGATAGCTGCTATATGCCGCTAAGTAAAGCTAAGAAAAAATAATGAAAGATTGAAAAATTAAAAGGGCCAAAACACATGAGGCTAGTCTAAGCCCTAGGCGATTGGGCTTTCTAGGTTTATCGGATCGGTACTCCTAATTTCTTTACTTTGAATGACAGGTCTCGTATATAATCGGTTTTCACCGAAGAGCTTAGACTTCGCCCCAGACGTGTCAAGCAAGTGGTGGCGCTGTACCCTTGTTCAAGTTGTGTATACATAGTCTACTCTTTCCACTCTTTCCCCAAGTGTTCTTAGAGACGGGGATATTCGATCACACCGGGGCATTGGACCCTTTACTTTCTTTGTTCGCTCGTTATTTCGGAGAAGTGCCTTCAACATGGGCGCAGAATATCTGGGCTTGGAGGCGTCGGGATGGAGTCGAATGACATCCACATGGTGGGACAAGGTATTTATCGATTGATCAACATGGAGGCTCAGTTGAAGGTGAGTATCATATCTAACTTGATAATAGACAATCGCTGCTGGTCTATTAGCCACCATCGTCGCTGGCTCCTTATACATTATTTTTCTTATTGGACGGTCCGTTCATCGGCATTGGCGGGTAAGTGAACCCCGGCGATCGGCCCGATCATTACTTAGTCGGGCTGAAGACAACTTCAGACAACGACACTTTGCTAACAACTCAAAATTCCAGGCTCGTCACCAACTATCAGAAGTTCCAACTGCTGTCACGCGGTATATTGATCGACTAAGCACTGGAACGCGACAACTTGGCGTACCACGTTCCGAAGTCAAAACACCAAAGGCCTTCGGTGTTTACCTGGGCAGCTTCTCTAACCCTCCGACAGCGGACCAAAGCCGTCTGTTGTCGCAGTGGGATGTAATTGTTCTCGATCCCCAGCAAGATGGTGTCATAGAGGCGTTATCTGCGGGCTCTTCTGCCTCACATATTCTTGGAAGACTCGATGTGCGCAAGCTCGTCGCGACCGCTGACAGCGGATCACACCGTGATGAAGTTGTTCGCGCAATTTACGTTCTCACTCAAACTATGGTGAATCACCTCAAGCACCCTCAGGATGTTCAATCGAAATTCACCGGCGTGCTTCTCGCGGATTGTAGCGCATACTTTCAACCGGTTGTGCTTAATGAGGTTGTCAAATTCATTAACAACCTTGGTCTCGATGTTTGGATGGAATTTGGACCCCCTGAGTACCTGGGTGAACGTCAATGTCGCGAAATCGACTGGACGAGCATCCGAGGTGTTGTTTACCGCAATGGGGCTATTCGATCGGACGGAGATAGATGCAATTATTTCCAAATGGAGAAAATGAGAACCGTTATGCGTGTTGTTGCCGCTCAAAAGCCTATCGGTGACTCGACTATCGCCATGTGGGAAACCATCGACAACGGAATCGAAATTAAACACGATGTTCTCCACCGTAGCTACAAATGGTACAACTACAACAGTGCCATGAGCTGGATTGGGCCGCAAGCTGCTTTGACCGACGCAAGAACCGCAACTGCAGAGACTGTTGTCCACGAACCGATCGGCGCCTTGATGTGGATGAAGAACGAACAAACACTCGCATCTCACGACATTTGGAGACAAAATGAAAACATCACTATTGGATCTACTGGGAACTCGAACATCTATGATACCCTTGAATTATTCGTACCTGGTCTTAAGGAGAAGCTCGCATTGGTCGCTCCTGCTCTGCAGCCTGAAACCGATGGTGAGCTGACAAGTATTGATGAGCTTCAACTTTCCTCGCCAAATGAACCTCTTATGACCAACCCATTCTCCATGTCTTCCGATGGTGAGGACTATACTGGACTAGGATGCTTCCAGCTTGGTCTGGATCTTACTCCTCAGGATATCAAGGATCTTCTCCAGGCTCAGCGTCAAGTACGAGAACTCAAGCTTCTGGATCCCATTAAGCCCGAGCAACTTCGTCGCATGGCTGCCGAGCTCCAATTTTTGCAAGACGCTCAGAAGGATTCCTCCAAGGTTGCTGGCGAGCTGCATGATCTTCTTATTACATGTGACGGAACAACCAACGACCGCATTCGCATCTACTCTGGATTGCACTCTGGCTTCCGAACCCGCATGGAGACTCAAGTCTGGGGTATGTACGACAAGGCCCCCGGCTACAGTCCTCTCGACATTTATCTCTCCGGCAAATGCGAGGTAGGTCGCACCGGCGCTCTCTTGCACACATTCATGTCAAGCAAAGGATACTCTCGCTACCAGTGTCTCCTGGCTGAGATTGCCTTATCCGCTGCAAACAACAAGATGTCTGAGAAATGGAACCAGCTTTCTCCCAGAATCGTCAGCGATATCGAGCAACTTACTCCCATCGAGGCTTTGCTTTGGTTGAGACGCCTTTCTACTAGTCTGAACAAGGACTGCGCCCATCTTACTTCTCAGATCCGCGCTTGCACCGAACATCAACTCATTAAGGTTCCTTCTCTTGCTCAGCTTCGTGCTCTTGGCTCTAGCGAGTACCTGAGCGGCAAGGTTTCGGGCGATGAATTGGTCTCCGCTCGTCTGTCCTTCTACCGCGAACAAGGATGCTGGGCTCCCGAGGCTACTGCTGCCAAGGCACTCTTCCGCGAAATTGACGAGCGCCTTCCCCAGATCCTCATGGGAGGTGACTCCCGTACTCTCGAACAAATCGCTGAAGTTGTTCAAACCGTCATCCAAAAGGGTCAAATCGATGCTGGTATTGATATCTTCTGCTTGGCTGTTTTCTGTGCATTCCGTCGCATCTCCATTGATGAAATTTACTTGGAAGTCCTCGATCGAAACCCTCTCCCTAACCTCCACACTGTCCAGGCTGCCTGTTTTGCTGAGATGTATGCTCTTGGTGCCCGCTGTGAACTTTTCCTCGACATGACTCCTAAGCTTCTGGGTAAAATCATCACTGCTCGTTATCGCGAGTACTACACCATTCACCAACCTACTCGCCGTGATGAAGTCTTCACTGAGATTCCAACTGCCTACGCATCTATGGATATGGACTTGGATCCTCAGGGAGACAATCTCAGCATCCCTTGGTACTACCGAATCACCTTCCTGGGAATCTTCGCTGTGCCTGCTCTGGTCGATATCACCATGCTGACCACTGTTGGACGCGGTCTGTACCTCACAACATTCATGAGTGACATTGACAAGACATTGGCCACCACTGCACTCATGGTCGCCCTTTTGGTTTGTGGTGGATTTGGAAGTTGGATCACCTCCGGTGGAACCTACTACCTCTACGCAATGGCTTTCCCTGCTATGAGTATGTTCGTCATGACCCGTTTCATTGCTGGAGTCGCTGTGGCTCTTGTTGGAGGTCTCATTGCCATGATCGGTATTGGCATCGTCAAGGGATTTGCCGCTGGCGTGCTGTTCTTCCTATACTTCTTCTTCCTGTCGACATACCTGATGCTTCTTTCGGTTCTTTCTATTTACCAACTGCCGGGTTTTCACTTCCAATCTGGTCGAACAGTCATTATTTGCTGTATTCCCATTTTGTTCATTTCGCCCCTCGTCACACTCTGGGTTGGCCACGACTCGGTAATCTACCTCTGCATCGTCGGATGTTTCGTGACTTCTCTTCTTCTGGGTGCTCGTCGCGTGATCTCAGCCTGGAACAGCTGGTACCTTAGCATTCCCACCATCACCGACGGCGAAGTTTTCAATTGGTTCGCCTCGAAGCAGAGATCTCCTTCCCCTGAATTTCTTAAGACCATGGCCTCATCCACGGTCCCTCGCAAGACCATGCTCGAGGCAGTGAAAAAAGAGCGCAAGCGTGCATTCTGGTCGAAGGCAACTACCGATCCCTTCATTCGCAAAATGGCGGAGGGCTACGATTCTACTCTCTTCTTGCTTGTCTGGTACTGCCGGTACTCGCGTACTGAGATCCCCCTTGCTTACAGTCCCACGTGGAATCTTCAGCTCAAGGCTGCTGTAGATACCATCGCCGATATGCAGAAGGGTATCCGTTTGCACAGTGCTTTCCTTCACTGGCGTCATACTGGTTCGGACGTGTGGTGCGGTATTCTCTACTTCATCATTGCGCTAATGGACAAGTGGACTGCTCTGGTTACCGGTGAGGCCTTGGTCGGTCTGTCAACTGCATCCAGTTCCGAGTACCGTCTATCGGTCGGATTTGGTTTGGGATACTATCTTACTGGTGCTGTGATGCTGGATGCGGTCTCTCAGCCTCTCTGGACTGCTGTCACCCAACGAACAACCGAAGCCATCTCATCTTTGGACAGTCTTCGCGATGTTCTAAAGCACAACCAGAAGGACCGCCAGGCATTGTACTGGAAGAATCTGACAAAGTTTTTCTTCCTCCACGTTTGGGGTGGATCTATCACCATGGCGCTTATGTGGGCTTTTGAGGACAGACAAAAGTCCACCATCATGTATCTTGCCTACCTTGGTGCATACAGTGGTCTTCTCTTCTACCAGTACAACCGTATTTTCACCGGACCCGAGGCTGCAAAGGCTCTTGCTTTGGGATCAATCGTTGGTTTCATCGTCGGTGTTCTCCTTCACGTTTGCATTCCACCATTCACATGGAGCAGTGTCATTGGCTTGGGCTCTGGTACTTGGACTGCCGCTATTTACTCCATGTTCATGGCCGATATTGGATTACCAAGTTTGAAGTCTAAGCTCGAGATCAAGGAGGATATCAAGGACCCCCGCGACCGCGCGACATACACCTGCAGCTCTCTTGAGCCATATCTGGATCTTTCACAGACCACCATGGCAGAGACATTTGACAACATCAGTTCTCTTTCGCCCGAACTTCGCTTCTGCCTGGATCCAGCAACTCATCCCGGTTCCGAGGTTAAGAACAACATCTTGGCTGGTGCTGGATTGCAAAACTCACTTCTACTAAAGGCTGCGTTCCCCAATGCCGATAACTTGCTCCACCAAGTGGTTCGTCTGTGGGAGACTGGTCAGACCGCAGTCGAGTTCGTTTCCGCCGAACATCTTCTCCAAAAGGAACAGCGCATCCGTGCTATCACTCGCTTGCAGGGTGACAAGCTTCAGATCTTTGTTATCATCGGTCGCGGAGTTCCTGGACAAGACTGGTCATCGAGCATTCGTCGCAACTGCCACGCTATCGCCGAGGCAATCGTCCAAGGTACTACTGAGTCCACACTGGGTCTGTCTCACGACCACTCCTTGATGGCTGAGCTTTTGGTTGTCGAGCATCGCGAGAGCTTCGAACTGTCTCTTCCTGAGGGTGTCAAGTATCAACTTGAACGCAACCCAGCTGAATGCGCACGTGTTGCTAATCAAGGTCGCAAGACGTTCCTTCGTCATCTTTTGCTCGGTATCGATTCTGATCTTGAATGGGATAATCTCCCGGAAAGTGCCCGGTCGCTTTTGGTTCGCCGCTGTGCTGGAAAGCCTGGTTTCATTTCCTCAGACGAGCGCAAATGGCTTACTAGAAGAGCTGGTAGCGAGAAAATCAGCGATATCTGCACCTACATCGCGCGCTACAACTTGGGTGTTGGCATGTCTATGACTGTCAGCTTCTTTGCGCAGCGATGGATGGAGCAAGATTCGTACCCTGACCTCCCGATTCTCTTGGACTCTACATATGAGAAGCCCTTCCAGCGTCTTTTGCCTCCTCCCATTGCGGCCAATTTGCCTTTTGGTGAGGCGTTCAAGCTGTCATTCACTCGCTTGCACCATTCGATCAAGACCATTGTGAAGTTTACTTTGATTTGTCTGGTTGCCGATCCTGAGTACCAGCGAGAACTCAACTACGTCTTGCGAGGTCAACCGATCTTCTTCGCTGTTCCTGTCAACCTGTTCCTGAACACTATTTGGTCCATCTCTAAGCTTCTGCAGAGAATTCTGATTCCACTTGTCTTGGTTCACGGACGTGAGAATGTCTCCGAGCTGCACAAGGCCACCAGTGGCTGGAAGACAGTCATTGAGAAGGACCGTATCGTGGTTGAGAGTCTCAATGGCCCTATGACTTGCTTCCACAGGACTCTCCCCGACAACACGGCCCGTCTCTACCAATACTCCGGTAACCACGACCAAGAGCCAGAGGACCAATCCAAGCTCATTGCCATCAACACTTACTCCGACAAGCTTGTTCTCTCTCGACGGGAGGAATACAAGGACAAGGCAGTTGTTAACGATTTAAAATATGAGTACCCTCAGGTAAACGGAAAGTCTAGTGGCAAGCTTCCCATCCAGCGACAGTGTATTTCCGGTGAGCGAAACGGTGAAGTCATTCAATACGACGACCGCGGCTATATTGTTTCTGGATCTGCCATGCAAGGTGTCAACCCTGTAAAGTTCAACTACGCTTTCCGAAAGGATGCCAAGTTCGATGACGAGCTGCTCAGCGGTGAATATACTTTCCCTCACATTCGCATCCAGGTTTCTTGGTGTATGCCCCCTCCTTACAGACCCGAGCGCCTGAACAAGTGGATTCCTTATCCTCGTGTCAGCGAAGCAACCTTTATCCAGGGATCTGACATTCACCACGCCAAATGGACATACGATCACAAGTTTCACCCTACAATCGTCACCATGCTGAATGGTGAAGAGGTTCCTACCCCCGTCATGATCCGCGAAGATTGGTTCCACGTCCTCGATAAGCCTACAAAGAGCAGCTTCCTCCACGACAACCCGCTTTACTTCTTTAACTCGGTCAAGACCAACTTCGTCAGCCGTATGCTGGGAATGAACGTCAAGGCCCGTCCAATCCCTACTTCGCGCGCCCGTACTCATCTCTGGAATTCATGGAAGAGCAGCAAGAAAATCGATGCTGTGACTGCTGTCTTCCTGGATGAGCGTCTCCTTCGATCCGACCGTGTCCTCCGACCATATTGGCGAAAGCGTGACTTCGGTCGTCTTGACTCAGCAAAGGACTACATTGACGCACAGGTTGACACTATTCTCGCTCGAGTCGATATCGATCCCGACGTCAGTTCATGGACCCCAATGGCATACAAGATCAGTGATCTCTCTTCTTTCGGAAAGGGTGGTGATTCCAGAATCAATACCCGAACACTCTCTACTCAGCTTCAGGATACCGATACCCAGCTCCACGTTCTCGCTATGGATACGGCTACTTGGCCCAATGAGCCTGGTGGTGTTTCCTCGTGCCGCCGTGATATGATCAACGATCTCAATGGTATCAGGTGGCACATTCTTTCCGAGAATGCGAACGACTACGGTGTACCAAAGTTCCAGATTGAGCGAAATGTCCAGTCCCTCACTTATCTTCCTCAGTGGGGTCTTGATTTCCTTAATCCCACACATGGTGTTTTCCAGAACGTGCTTGATTCCGCTGTTGTGGAACGAGCTCAGGATACTCGCGTTGAAGATATTGAGAAGCATTTCCTTCCTATTTTGACTAAATTGGTTCGTTGTGCTCGCACGACTAATCTCACTCGCCAGCATATTGAAGAGGCTACCAATGCGCTTGTGGATCTGAATGAGTACTTCGAGTGTGGTCGCAGCTGGAATGATGTTTGGATGAGCGATACGGTTAAGAACGCTTGGAGACAGCTTTGGTTGTCTGAGGATGTTGAGGATGCCATTCCTGCTTCTCAGTGGTGGGATGCGGAACTTCCTTCTCTGCACCAGCTGGATAATGCTTTGGACATGTGGCATCGCTGTAAGTTGACTTCGCCCTTGATTAAATATCTCATCGCTAACATTTTTAGACCTCTTCATCTTCTCTATCCCTGTTCCTGAGCGCATTCCGGATGTCTTTCAGGTCTCTCACCATTTCACTGGTGCCACATACGGTGTTCTCTGCAAGGCTAAGCGCAAGTGTGCCCTCCACGTCTGGGATCACTGTGTCAGTTTCCGTGAGATGACCGTCTTCCTGTCTGCCGCTGTGTCTTTCGACTCCACCTTCGTCAACTCTACCCTCATTTCCCTGGGTCATCTTTCCTGTGTTCTAATCGAGCACCACGCTGATGTCGTTCTTCCCTGTGCGGAGTACTTCAACCCAGGCTGGGAAGTGGAACTCGGTACAGCCGAGGGCGCTCTTCAGCACCGTCGCACATTCGCTCGTAAGATCGATCCAGTCGTCAACGGTATCACCAACATGGAGAAGTATAAGCCTATTGAGGAGATCAAGACAAAGACACCTACCTGTGTCATGTTGTCGCACGTTCGGTATGTCTTCCCTTTTATACAGCTTCTACATCAATCTTTCTAACATTTCCCAGTTATGTCAAGGATATCAAGACAGCCATCATGGCTACAGATCTAATTGTCAACAAGTGGGGATTCAGAGACTACCAGCTCCACATCTACGGAGATATGGAGCGCGCCCCAGCCATCGCCTCACAATGTCAAGAAGTCATCGCTTCAAAGGGTCTCCGCGAACACGTCATCCTAAAGGGTCTTGGTAACCCATCCCTTGTTCTTCAAGACGCCGTAAGTACCCCTCCCATATAAGAAGAGATACCCCCATCTAACACTAAACAGTGGCTCTTCATGAACTCCTCCATCTCTGAAGGTCTCCCCCTCGCCATGGGTGAAGCAGCACTCACAGGTGTCCCCGTCGTCTGTACCGATGTCGGCGCCTCCTTCTGTGTAGTAACAGACCGCGCAACCGGAAAGCGATTCAGTGAGGTCGTCGCACCAAACGACTACGACTCTCTCGCTCGCGCCCAAATCCGCGTCATGGCTCTCCTAGAACAATGGGCACCATTCGGCGAAGATGCACCAGGCGATATCATCCCCAAACTAGAGTTCGCTCCTACACCCGAGGAAATCAAGGCTATTTCCGATCGCATGTACGCGAAGCAGGACCAGCGAAGAGCTCTGGGTATGAAGGGACGAGATAACGTTTTGAACTCTTTCTCTTCTCATCGTTACCTGAGAGAACACGAGCAGATGCTTTGGCTTGGTAAATACCAGAGTCATTCTTATATTGCTCGCAGTGCGGTTTCTTCTTCCAATTCTTCGGGATTGTTGGTTAAGGAGAAGGCGCTTTATAGAGCTTCTTATCTTGATTCTGTGCCTAGTACGCCGGAGTCGAGTTATCAGCCTATTCCTGCGAGGGCTTGGAGGACTTTGAGGGATTATAGGAGGCCTGGGTCTGGGTCTAGGCCTGGTTCTTCCGGGACTGCGACGCCTGTTTGAGCTCATTCTTCAAACTCAACCTAATCCTCATCTTTTTTTATTCTAATTTCGTTTGAGCGTCTTTCGTTTTATTTGTTTGTCTCATACCTCCTGTTTATCTTACAAAAATATCGGGCTCCGATTGCATATAGAGTAATGTTTATGCACTTAATGTGTCTTGATTAATTTACTGTTTACTATTCTTTAATATCTTTTGAAAAAATTTATAAACCCACGGCTTAATAAACAATTTTCCAATTCATTCTCAAGATCTACCTGTCTAGTCAGCCCAACTTGAATCTGGGGTTACGATCTAATTTGCAATTTATGCTATATAGTGCGGTGGGCTTTCTCTGTCTGATTGAACATATTGGCTAAACGGGCTATAGCTTTACCCACTTCCCGGCGAAAGCTATTGTCTACCCAATCAAACTTATGATCCAAGCCAGAGGGAGAAATATAGAACACATCACGGACGGTATTGATAATCTTGTTAAGATTATTGCGGTCTCTCTGTATACCCCCTGTAATATGCAAACGATTCGTTAGTAAAAGGCTATCGAAACGCATCCTTGCAGCCACCTACTTGACAACAAATCGAATTTCTACGGGCATGATACTGATAGGATAGGACGCTTGCAGCATCCCAAACACAGGTAATCTCGAAAGGGCCTGCCGGTGTGATATCAAACTTGTTCACGGGTAATTTTCTACTCGCGAGTACTGATCTGTTCATTGACTTCAGTATCAGCAATGTAAACTTAAGATTCTGAAATAGACATAACAGTATACCCGTTGTCAGCAAACTCGCTCCGCTCCATTCAGTGAGATTCACGTTCTCAGGATTCTCTCAATAGGAGCTGAATTTGTCTCCAGTCGAGTAAAGGTCTGACATCGCGTTGATTTCACCGATTTGACTTACAATGAATTGGCCTAACTTGAGGTAATTGAAATAAAGACTCACGGTAAGCTCAGATGTTGCTTGAATGTCGAACTGGAATCGCAGATGCTAAACCGACGCGTTGGAAATTCAAGTTGCTGTTCGTTCTGATCACCAACCTTAGGTTTAAGAACCCGAGTGATGGGATTATATAATGGTTCTTCCTTAAGGAACTCTGTGATATCGGGGTGTTGAAGAAGGAAAGTTCTTTTGAATGATGAAGGCCTATTTATACTCTAGGCAGCCAGTGGATGAAAGTTGACAAATTGATAGGGGACACGGGGAACAATAGGAATTATTAATAATGATTTATTCCTGCCTATTTTCAGGCTGCAGGAAAGCTTGATATCGTAAGATACTATTCAAATTCTTACCTTCAAGATAAAGACTTTTCTGTTTAAATGAAATTACTAGTGTAATCTAAAGTATTCAGAGAAGAAACCATTCCTTCAATTACTGTTATATGTGTGCTTTGACTTGTTTTCTCACTTGGTTTATGTCCATGTAAAGCTTACATTACAGTTAACAGTGTAATAGACAGTGAATTTTATACTATATGGCCAAAGCACATGAGGGTCCGAGTCTGTTCTCAATGATCGCTACTAGTACTAGTAGTTGTTGATTACTCTCTACAGTGCACGCAAATAAATTCGAGCAGACATCATCCGAGTCTAGGCAGATACATTAATGCTAAAGTACTAAGTACTATCGGAATACATCCGACTCCTGAGCCAGGGGAATCACAAAAAAAAGACACAGAAGACACTTTTGTTGTCACCAGGACCCGAAGACAGGATGAGATGGGAGGACCTATAACCATAACAGAACCAGCTATAACCGTAACCGTAACCATAAACCTCAACGCCAACAACAATGCACCATTGACTCCGGCCTACTCGGCGGCTCTATGTAAATCACGTCATGACATGGGGATAAGAGAAAAGACGCGTAGAACCGCTGACGGCTGGCTGAATAGCAATTGAAAAAGGAAAAATAAAGATAATAAAAGGAAAGGAAGAAGAAGAACAGTAGAGGGAGGCGATATGACTACCCTCGTGACTGTTTCTGTCGCCACATAGGAAGCATATTTTGTTTCAACACCGAGAGCTCTTTATGCATGGATTGGTTCTCTGTCTGAATCGCCTCAATATACGCAAGTGCGTTACTGAGTATTTCTGACTTTTTGAGTGATCCTGCACCCACACGAGAAGACTGTTTATGCACGCTTGCGGGGGAGATAGCTTTCTCCAGCGACAAGAACTTGGAATTCATATTTGTGCGATAGCGCTTCTCGATGATATTATGGGCTGCTCGTTTAGCGGCATTCCGGCCTTGTTGATCGCCCGAGTGGCTGGATTCTTGAGAAAGGCTGCGTGTTTTGCGGGTTGATTTTCCCGCTTGGGAAGATTGAGATTGAGATTCTTGGGGCTTGATTTCGGGACTGGAGGACCATCTTGTTGAAGATTTGGAAGAGGCCCGGGTTGAGATTTTGGGGGTTTCGGTTGTTGTTGATGAGGTTTGTTCGGGGGTAGAGAGGTCGAAAGATTGGCGGAGGCCGGACCATGATTGGTCGTCGCTGAAGTCCTGAAGAGTTCATTAGTATCATGTATTATGATGTGGAGTTGAGGTTGATATTGATATTGATATCCAGTGGGGGATTGCATACTGAAGCTGGGGAGACGGCGTCGTCGGTGATTGGCATGATAAAACCATTGATTGAAGATGGGGTTCCGAATGGATCCATGAAGAGATCTTTGTCCGCATCGGCTAATCCGTCATTGAAGTCGAAAGAGACAGGATCCATATCGGTCGATGTCAACGAAAAGAGATCGAGGGTGCTGTCATAATTCCAATTTCCGGGCATCGCATCAGAGGACTTGGAGAAGAGATCCATCTGGCGCGATTGGGGACTCAGTTGTTGACTGAGATATCTATCGTCGTCCATGCCTAACCTTGGGGCTTGATTGGATCGAGTAAATGGCATGATTGGATCAGCTGAAAGCATCGACAGTGGATATGGTAGTTGAAGTGGAGTGTTGGCAGTGTTGTTTGTGTGTAGTAGAAAGATAGATAGTATAAATCTTGGACAATGTAGTGGCGAAGATAATAAACAGATTTCAATGTGTTACCAGGGAACAGGAGACTCGGCCGGTGTGTCTTTATATATGTGGCCGAATTTCGTCACCAGGGGGTGGGGGCGTGGATAATCTTAGTCTTTCCTCTTTCTTCCTTTAACCCCTAGTGTATTTTCTGAACTGTACTTTTGTGATTCCGAGATGGGCAGCCGAGGGTGATGTCAGGCATGATCTTCTGTGGATTTCCGGGTCGATCCTCGGGGTGGTTGAGCCGAGATCACCTTTTCAATTTCACGGCGGTTTACGGCCGGCTCCGAGGGAAATAGGACATGCAGGGCGCACAAGTTGAAACCGTGAAGAGAGAAAAAGACCCCAGTATCAAGTGTGGAGCTTCAACGGTCGGAAAGGTGGAAACAACCGGTGGGTTGGAACTGCCAAGTTCACGTCAGTCGCAGCTACTTGTTTCGGCCGAAGGTCGGAGCCGACTGTGACTTTCTTGCCTGAGGGTTAAGGCAGAAAGGGCCGTTCCTGCCATGCATAACACTACATAACACTACATCACTCTCTTCGCTACCAATGATTAATCTGTATTAGCAATCCCTCTTCTCTAATTGATTACTGTAATCTACCTTAATTCATAGCTCTCCCTTCATTCACCTAGTCTCGTGACTTCCATCCCCCGGCAAAAATAATATCCCGGTTTTCCCCTTGCTCCCAGCGTAGATTTTCCCTAGATCGTCCTAGCGTTGAAGATCCTGCTGTCACGTTAGATTGCCACGCCTGCAGTTCTCCTGGAACACTATTATGGATATCTGCATAACAGCGTTAACCAGGGTCGTTCCGAATCTAGACGTGTCCATTGACTCGAATGCCCAACCTCTACAGCCCAGTCAAAACGAGAAGAATAGAACAACATAACATAACAATCACAATAACAACCAGGGCCCTGTGCAATGTTATCCTGCACTCTCCTGAAATATGAATATGACATATGCAATTTAAATCACAATATCGCTTAACATCCGCCATCAACGCCATGACGGCAGGGGCGTGGCAAACAGGTATAACAATGGAACCTATCCGCCCGTCCGCTCATCCTCAAACACGAAATCTCGGATAGAACACGAATACAATGTATACCAGGCACCTGGATAAATTTAAAAAGCACGAAATAAGCCACTATACCTCCATTGCCCTGCAAACTAAATCCAATCCACTAAAAACAAGCATGGAAATGGAAATGACATGATTCCATCGGTCCCATCCCGATTTCTACCCTGTGGATATAGTGGATCCAAATCCAAAGATAAAATAACAAAAAGAATAAAAATAAACAAATCAGAAATACACAAAATATAATCCATGATTTAAATTAGATTGTGATTATCCCAGATCGTCCTAGTGCAACCGTTGTGGCCCCAGCTGGCCACTCCGGATGTCCACGATTGCCGCTGACCCAAATTTGTTGCCGGACAGACTTTTCTGCTCCGTTTCTTACCCTTTATGGTCGTGGGGTGATTCGGATCGAGTCTTTCCTGACTGCTCTGACTGATTTTCTGACTGCTTCTAGGTTTGAACCCGATCTCTACCGATTCTGATGCTGGCCTCGTGATATTTTCTTGAGCACGAATTCTATACGGGAAGGAATTGATATCATATCCTGATTGTAATTGTAAATTGTAGAATAGATGCTGTAGATTGCTTTCGGTGTCCAATTTTGTCTTTGTGTTCCGTGCATCTCATGATGATTCTGATGCCTCTTTTCCGGATCACGTCGTGATCTGTTATGTAGATATCTACTTCAAGTTGTCAGCTTGAACTTGACATACCTAACATCTATAGCATACTTCCGAACAATTGATTCAATTGCTTCAATTAGACTTCCTTCTTCCTTGTCTCTTTATTTCTATCTATTCACAATATCTCAATATCTCACAGTAAAATCCTTATCACTCTCAATCAACCTTCCCCATCCAGAACAGCTACTAATTTCTAGATCCACACCGGACTACATACCGAGCCCCTTCCCGTAGTGAAGCCACATGGAAAATCCGGACACATAACTAATGCAAGTCCACCGTTATGACATTGTCATTCCCTTCTGCAGCGCTTGTATTGAACTACCGTGACCCTGGCTGACAGGTGCCTCGGAGTGGATCCGCGCACTAACTTGAACTGAATCCGCCTTACGCGCCAAAGGCACGGGTCAGACTAGATCTAACTGCCGATTTATGTTTCTTTGTTTCCCCGGATTCTTGCTTCTGGAACACTAGCACGGGATCCGACTCGGGATCAAGAATCAGGGAATTATGCTGGGTCTGTCTGGTAGGGTCTTGCTGAGCCCCTAATCATGGATGATACGGGGGGATAATACTTTTTGCCTGGATTGTGTTGCGGGTAGGATTATACCCGCTGTCAGTTTATGTTGATCTTATCTTGTGTTAGATTGGATCTGATGGTGATGGTGATGATTTATTCGAGGCGTGATTTATTGACGCCATGGCTGACTTTGATCATTATCCTCGTATAGATACTGGTTATGGCGCTTGCAAAGATGAAGATGCATGGAACGTCCCAGCCACTTTTCTCAGAAGGTTCAACAAGCTTATTGTATGCATTGGTGCTACAGATGAGAAGATGAAGACAGGAAAAAATGACCCGATCTCATAGTTCCAGGCTGAAGATAGCATCGAGTATGTATCTAGCACAATTCTCCCTCCTTCACTTCTAACAAAAGAAAATATCCTAATACATTTACTCACAGTCTCAGGATGAACATCACCCTTCTCAATTTATAAACGCCTCATAAGCGGTGAAAACATGATGCCGATCTACCTGATCAATCCGACGCACGGTGGAACATACAGCTGCAGCAACTGAACCTTATCCCCCTCCACGAGAACCGACCAAACCTTAGACAAACTATTATTTAGAATCGAACCTCCTCGGCCTTCTCCGAATAATTGTCGATCATCCCAGCCCCCATCAATTATGTTGTGTTCCATTGGCGCAGATATTAGATATCGTGGGGCAGCCCTGGCCCCAGTGGATCCGACCAAACTTCCATACTGTAAGGCTCAGCTTGTTCCGAGTCCGCGAGATGGATGAATTCTCCATGACTACTACCCCTGCCGACCGGTGCGGAACTATGTTGCGAGTATCGCACAGATTGATGAATCTGGAGACTGCAAGAAACAAGAAACCGAGTCCCAAATCGCATGCTCGTAGCGAGTTTCTAACAAAGCGCGATGCTACAGATAACATTGCATCATTGCAGAGACCGACCCGATACGATCCACATCAGTGTTCTCCACCGTTCGCAAGAAGGCGAATAGCGATAAGCTTTCGATGGAGGTGTCGATCGTTTTATTCCCCTGAACGAATCACCGTATCGTATCAATAGTGACGCACTTTTTACGACTGGAAATACTGGATCGGGCCCCCATTTTTGCTCCATTTATGGGTCCCAGCACTCAGCTGAGCAGTGAAAGAAGTGGGATCTCCGACCGACCACTGAATCGCGAATAAATACCCCGCCATCACTCTTATTTTCCTTCTTTGTTCAATCTGTTCAGAATCTCTCGAGTTAATCAATCATCATGCCTACGTAAGTATCCAAGCTGAATTAACTCGGTCGCACTTGGCCTGATTTGAACACCCGCTAACAACCTGTTGTCTTGATGACAGCACACCTGAACAACAATACATCGAGCTCGTCGCTCGCCAAAACATCACCGATGAAGAATACCTGTCGGTCTTCGATAAGCTGAAGCCTGTCTCTGATGAAAAGTTCCTCGGAAGTTGGAAGGGAGCCAATGTCAATACCAATCATCCTACTGAGAAGAAGCTCTCGGATATGAAGTGGGCTGGTAAGGATTTCCGATCCTCTGAGGATGTTGATCCGATTATGGTGTATAAAGAAGATGGGTCTAGAGGCTGGAATGAGGACTGGGGTCATGCTCGCGTAAGTAAACATGAACTGGTACTTGAACTTGCGTGGAAGTGTAGCGTATTGAATCGGATATGGCTAACTGGTTCTTTTTTTTTCATTTAGCTTCGCCAGATTGAGTGGCGCGGTGTTTTGTCTACTGCTATGGTTTATGATGATTTCCCTATCATTGATTATTTCAGATATGTCAGTGAGGATGTGCTTGCTGGTGCGATGGATGCGAAGAAGGTGGAGGGCACTTATTACTTTTATTTGCATAAATAGGGTAAATAGAGTACTTATTATTTCGGGTATGCACGTTGTGCTGTGATCTGGCGATAGATTGTACAATTAAATCCTGGATTCTCACCAAACACTTTTCTTTTAATCAGTCTTTATATTTAATTAGGATAGCTGCATTCTATGGTTCGTTGTGGAATTCTATGTAGGTTCTCAAAAGGCGCCGTTTGAAACGTTTTCGCTCAAATATTCTGTTGAATCAAAATGTCGCTTTTCTTGTTTGAAACCTCTATGACCGTGATACACGCGATAGCATAATGATCCCTTGTCTATCATGATACATCGCCGAGTTCCGATCCTCCGAAATAAGATGCTCATCTCCATTCGCAATGAGAGCTTCAACAAGCGTCGCCCGTCCAGCATGCATAAACCCAAGTCTCCGATACAACTCAACAGTAATATCATTCCCCGCCTTAACGATGAGCCGAACTTGAACATCCCGAGGAAACGTCCTATACGATCGAAGATATTCGATGGCCTCCTGACACAGCTTACTCCCAAGGCCATGGCCACGGTGTTGCGGGAGGGTAAACAGACTCAGCATCTGCCATCGTTCTTCCTCTTCATCGGACCTTTGAGGGGGTTGCCCTGCTTCGACTGGTAACTCGAAACCAGTGCGAGAGGCTGGTCCTCGAACGGTGACTTGACCGATCCATTGAATGTCATTTGGGCATGATGAATTCAGGCCCACCGGTGTTGCGGCACAGATGAAGACTTCGCGATCGGGGACAGTGAGGCGATCGACCCAATCGGCATCGCTGAAGGTGGATTCAATAGTGTAAGTAGATGAGAATGAGCCAGGTGATGTCTTCAGTGCTTTTAGGCGCAAGTCTCGATATTGTTGAGCTGAGGTGTCGATTCCATTGGTCTTTGAGACGCGGAAGAACGAGTAAGTATAAGTTGAAGCCATGTCGAGGATTGGAGGTGAGAACTTGAATGATATCCGACAAGTATGCTTCTCATACGACTATTTATATCTATTCGATATTTCTGTGAGTCAAAAATAGGAAAGCGAAGCTACGGCGAACTGAAAATTGGCCGGTATCCGTTGACGGTCGGGATCCACTGTGACTCGCAGAACTTCAAGTTTAGCCTCGCCGGTATTAAGGTTGTCCAGCTCGGACTCAATCTTAAGTCATAAGGTAGTAGCCGAATAATCAGGGGGTATTTAAAATAAAGCATCACGATGCAACTGCCATTCGGGAGGAAAAAGACAAAAAGAGAGAAAAGAAAAAAGAAAGGCCCGAGCCCGGGATTGAACCGGGGACCTCGCGCAGTTTTGCATAGAGTTGACCCTAAGCGCGAATCATACCACTAGACCACCCGGGCGGATTGGATGAACACCTGGCAATCTTTGGCTCTATGAGCATCGCTTGAGGAAAGAATCAAGGCGGGCATAACTAGACCGAGCTAGCTTGTATACAGCAGGTTAACTAGTGCCTTTCTCTTTTTATCAGAATAAGCACACACGCTGTCTGTTGGATCCTTATGGCCAAAACTGCACCCGAGAAAGATAATAGAGAAAAAAACCTTCAAGTTTCCAGTCGGAGCGCAATTCATCAATCCCACGTGGCATTTTTGAAGAACTTCAGGTGTCTCTTGGAAAAATGATTTTATGTAAAAAAGAATGGGGAATTGCAGATGTACATGTCGATCTAGTGACGAACTTCGATAGTGTGTAGACCAGCGGATCGTAGATTGCACTATCGTGTACATATTGTATGATCTGTCACTTTCATCAACGACATTACCCTGAAGCTTGCACCACAAGTCAACAAGTTAGCGGCTGACCTTAATGAGTTCCCTGCTAGTGGTCAAGAGGGCGCGGCAGTAGGGTCATCACTATCTAGACTCTTTTCTGTATAAATACTAACACCCTTTTTAGACTATTCACGATACTCCGCAGGTCGTGGTGACTGATTTTGTAACTGCTACTAGAAATGTCAAAGTTACAGGAAGTTTTGGTGTCGCTGAGGGAACAGAAAGATCCGAAGATTTTGATCCAGTAAGCATAAGCAACTCACTTGAACTACCAAGCTCCCTTGCCAATTAAAAAAATGAAGGTTATCAATACTTTGACCGACCTGTTGGCAAAGTTTACTGCCAAAAAGAATGATTTCGATACACTAAAAGACTCAGCGAGCTCGGTATCCTGCCAGACTTTCAAGATTTAGACCGAGTGTCTGGGGTAAGTCCCATCGGAAATAGCTCGATTCTAGTCTATGGTGCAGAACATTAATCAACCTATGATTCCACAGGATTACACTGGTGCGCTCATCACAGCTGCACCGCTTCTTCTGGCGCCTTCTTTCACAGCATTCGGGGCTCAGCTTGCAGGTGCTTTTGAGGTGCCTATTGGAGTGTGCAGGGTATAGCTGTGACCTTTGGTCGGCCTTGAGCTGTTAGCGATGTTGAAAAACATTACCATGTCATATAGCCCACGTAGGATTAATGTTGAACGTTTGCAATTAAGAATGTGTCTGTCCAAAAATGAGCTGCTTTTCTTCAAAATCGTCACAAATCCAAATAATAGCATTGCTCCCGAGTCTAGCCCACATGGTAAAGATCGGCAGTGGCTTGTACTTTAACTTGCCCAATGTCGAAGTCGGCTCCACATCGGTTAAATATGACCGGAGACTTCGGATGCAGGGTCTTCAGGGTCTTATTTGCATTTGAATAGGATGAAATATAGAGTTTCTTTTGCCCAAAATCGAGAGAATGCGTTTCTTCGTTTCTCGATTTCTAACATATGCTTAGAAAATTGTAGTAGACATATCGAAAAGTTGAAATAAGCGGTCGGTTAAAAAGTGGAACTCATTTTTGTGTATGAGGGGTTGCAAGACATGTTTCAATTCTGCCGGATGATCGCCGAATAAGCAGGTTAATCCCGGAAAATATGCTTCTTTTATTCGCGATTAGCTTATATGCCAAGCTTATGAGATGAATATTCTCGGAAATGTCTTGGATCACCAGGGACAGAAACGGGCCTCGGTTCTGACGAACTAATATAAAAACCTCGAGTAATGCCCGGTTCGATTGAGAATATACTCACAATATTTGAACATTAACTACTACATTCTCCCTTCCACCAATCGCCGATATGAAGTTCTCCATTGCTGCTATTGCCGGTCTAGCCAGCGCTGTCAGCGCCAGTCTCCCTGCTGCTTTCACCCTCGTCGCTGATGGAGGCTACACCGTTCTGACCGATGGCCGTAAGCAATATTACATATCGAGCTCGGGAAAAATGATCTAACACGCAACAGAAAACCTCTGGGTCGGCGCCAACAGCACCACCCACCCCATTGCCATCCGTGAGTCCAATCCGAACATCTATCTACAATTATTCACAACTAACAATTATCTAGTCCGCTCCGGTTCCAGCGGTGCTGTCACATACACCTCACAATCCGCTCCCCCAACTGCTTGGCAGAACCTGTACATCATCCCCGATGAAGTCAGCCCTCCTGCCCTGACTGTTCCTCACTCTGGTGCTACCCCCCGCGGTGCCAACGAGACTGCGTTCGGCGTCAACAAGGATGGCCTTTTCGCCCACGATGGCAAGGCTTGGTTCGCTATTGATGGTGGTCACTACAGCCAGCAGGACCCTAAGGAGATCTTCTGGTATGGTGCTCACAATGCTGAGTATGGTAGCATCAACCTCTATGTTAAGGAGTGCAGGGGTTGTTAGATGGGACTCGTTAATCGTGTAAAATAAATTTATCTCAATTCAACCCGACGCTTTGAACATTTCATTACCCCCAGCTTCCTCCTTTACTTGCGTACATGGTGGAAATTTGGATCACGATATACAGATTATAACTGCACATGTGCTAGGTGTCTACAGATAACCAATTTATGAGCATGACGTGTATGTATGGATGTTCTTTCTAGATATCTTTGGGGTACATCACGCGGTACATTCAAAATCCCAGGCATCAACTTGAACATCCAACGGGAAATACCCCTATTGTAGAAGAGCCTCAATGGTCTTTTCATAACTCTCCGGCTCGCGGCCAAGAATCTCCACCAAAGCAGGAGAGACCGCCGCAGTCTCCCCCTGCTTAATAGCCTTCCAAGCCGAAGCCCACTCCCTCGAAAGATTTTTCCCATGATAAGTATGCTTATCTCCGATCTGCGGAAGCTTCACGTACTCATCGACAGAAACCTCCCGAATCGTCAATGGTTTCCCAATCGCACGACCCAAAATCTCCACAGTCTCTTTCAGGGAAATTTCCCTCTGTCCGGAAAGCAAGATCTTCTGATTTAAATAGTTGAAACCCTTGAGGTCTTTTGAATACGAAACAATAAGCTTGGCAGTTGCTTCACCTAGCTCATCCTTCTTTACCCACGCAACACCGGGTGCTGTCCCAGAGTGCGGGATTGTGATCTCCTCAACGGGGTTCTTTGGATCGAACCATGCGGTGTATATTGGGAATGACTCGGAGTATATTCCTTCACGCACAGCGGTGTGAGTAATCTTGTCTTCTTGCTCGCGGAGATACTCCTCAGTTGCGACATGCGCGCCCATGACATGCGCGACACTGTCATCTGTGAGGTCCCCAGCAAAGGCAAGTGAGGAATAGAAGATGTGTTTCACACCGCTGTTAATAGCTGCGTCTATTGCCCTTTTGTGGACCTGTGCGGGGGTTAGTTTCTATTGCAAGTCTCTTCGGGTGCGAAAGTCAGGGGTCCGTTGTAAAAACTCACATTTACGCGATGTTCGATTTCAAATGACGCATATGATATTAGCATCAATATCTCGATGCCCTCAAATGCATTGTAAAGACTTGATGGCTCGTCGTAATTCGCTTGTCTAATTGTTGCGCCGGCTGTCTTGGCAGCTGACAGCTTTTCGGGGCTCCGCGCGATAAGAGTGAGATCTGATGCTGGAACCAGCTTGAGGAGATGGTCGACTATACTCGAGCCAAGGCCGCCTGAAGCGGGGAATACGCCGATTTTAGACATTGTGATCGGATCAAGCGATGATGCAATGGGTTCTCTGGTCTTGAAATTTCTTGTCGGTCGGTGTTGGCGGGGTGGATTGGGATATTCTCAGGTTCAGTGTGGAAAATTGGCTGACTCTTTCTACTTCAAGCAGGGAGTTGGCGTGTAAATATTCGGAAAGTGTGATGTGGGATTCTGATGTTGATTATCAATCGGAATGCTTAGTAAATTGCATCACCACCTCGGCTTTCGGCTTCATAAGTTTGCGACGGTGTTTAGCCTCATGTACTTTTGTACACTCCAGGCTGCATAAATACTTTTATCGCTCTCAAACTACCCCCAAGAGTATCTCATTAATTTCTGTTTTTTATCCGTTCAAAATGGCATTCGAACACCGCAATATTTGTCGTTTGGGGGGAAATCGCAGCTCGGTCGGAGAGCTTGATTTTAAGATCCTCGAAACATATAGAGAAACCATTGCTATCGAGAGAATTTTGTACATATTCTTCATGATTCATTTATACTAAATAGACCTGAGATAGGTATTTCCAAAATGCTGTGCAAATTAACAATAAACAAAGTTGAAACAAAGTGATCAGTTTGAGACACCACCAGTTCCAAATAGCTCCATTTTGATACGGTCGGCACTGACCCCTTGAGCCTTCAAACTGGCTTCAATATCTGTCATGAATGTCTCCGGACCACAAATATAATAGCTTGTCTCTGGGACATCGACAAAGAGATCCTTCGAATCAAGCTTGCTCAGGTCAACCCTCCCGGCATAATTATAGTGGACACCCTCTTTATCTTCCCCAGAAGGCTGGCTTGTGAAGAATGTCGTTTTCAGATTGGGAAATTGTTGTGGTAAAGCGCTGACGTGATCTTTGAAAGCTCGCGCACTCGATGTACGAGAACCATGGATGAAGTGTAGTTTGCGATCGGACAATCCAGGCTTCGAGGTCAATGTGTTAAGCATGGAAGTGAGAGGCGTAAGACCGACACCAGCTGATATCAGGACTACAGGAGAGGAGACCTCATCGTTCGCAAGGAAGAAATCGCCGCCCGGGTGTGAAACCTTGATCAAGTCGCCCTTGTTGATAGAATCATGGAGCACATTTGACACGTACCCAGGATGGGCTGCGGCATTAGAGTCGGAAGCATCCGGACCCTTCTCTTTCTTCACACTGATACGGTAGTAGTTTGGACTAGGCTTATCACTGAGCGAATACTGACGAGGCTGCAAGTATTTCAACTCAGGCACGTAAACCTGCACTGAGATGTACTGCCCCGGACGAAAAGCAGGCAACGGCTTGCCATCAACAGGCGTGAGGTAGAAAGAAGTAATCTCGTCAGATTCCTTCACTTTGTCGGAGATCTTGAAATCACGCCAATCGGTCCATCCATCATTACTTTCGTAGATCTGTTTTTCGCGTCCGATCATAATATTGGCTAATTGCCAATACGCTACTCCCCAGGCGTCCTTGATTTCGGGTGTAAGTGCATCACCGAGGACCTGACCCATTGCCTCAATGAGATATTTGCCAACAATTGCGTAGGCTTCGGGCTGGATGTAGAGTGATGCATGCTTGTGGCAGATCAGCTCCACTGCGGGGCTTAGTGCGCCGAGATTGTCGATGTTGGACGCGTATGCGAATAATGAACCGGCCAGTGCTCGGGGTTGGTGACCATTGCGTTGGTTGGGAGTGTTGAAGACATTGTTTAAGTCGGGGTTTTCTCGGAGAAGGTTTTCATAGAAAACGGTGGTGATTGTGTTACCGTGCTCAACTAAGACTGGGACTGTAGCTTTGATGAGCTGAACCTGGTCGGGTGTTAATCCTCCAACGGAACCCATATTGAAATTATTTTTTGCGGTGAGGCAATGCTAGCAGTTGGCAAATTCTGCAGGGGGATTAGAATAAGAATTTATTCCCCACTACAGTTGATATGTAGAGACTTGAAGTTGTGTGACTGTATGATGTCGCACTAGGTATAGAGGGGAGTAGGCCGCATTTATAGGTCAATTTTCGTCCTATGGGGACCGTTCGATTTTCAAGCTTGTAATTTGTATACTCAAAAAGAAAAGTCGTTAATGTCTATTTCGGGATTTTGGTGGTTCCTAGAAATTTCTACAATGTACCTGGGCGGGATTTGCGGTTGTGACGGCTGGAGAGAGTGAATATGGATCTCCGCGGAGCAATATGTTAGCGTGATATCGGATCTGAACGTGGTTTGATGGCTCTTTGCACCGACAGCTGGAGGCGGGAATAATTAAGCACAATCAGCGAATGGTATCCATGACAATGATTCAATTTTTGAACGACATATGTGTCTCGCCGTTGCTTCAAATGTTCTACATGTCTCCCGCGTGTCATCGTAGGCTCCTGGAGAGGAGGATCTTGATAGATGAAACATCTGGACACTTGCTTAGAATGGCCGCCGCCGCTTTAAAAGTGATTGCGACAACAGAATCCTTGGTTAAGGCTTCCAGGTTGTCTACATTAGACATTCCTACATCTCTGTGCCTGAAAAACAATACAATCCCCTACCAAAACATATGGCTAAAAGCGGCGAAAGTAAAGACTAAAGTAGTTTAGTTCCCATTCGGCTCCTCGCGGCCCCGATTTTCTTCTTTTCATTTTGATCCATTCTTCGGCTTGTTCGCATCGGGTGGAGTTTTCTCGGTCGCGTCTCTGTATAAGCCACACGAAAACCTTTCGGGTTTCACAGTCACGCATCATGGAAAATTTGCATCTCGGGATTCAAAATTGAGTCACAGTAGTATACTGGACTCTGTATAGTTTCTTCGAGGCGTGCTCCCCAATACTTGAACATTTGAATCCACTCATGTCCCCAGGCGCATACATAGCTGCTGTCAAAGCGCCTTTTGCGTATCAATCAACCTATAAAATGAAAAGGATAAGAACTATAACGCATAACGCTTGACTTTATACCTAGAGATGCAGTAGTGCATTTGATAGAGAGCAAGCTATCTGAAAATCGCGATAACCTATTAAGCTCCGGCTTCGTGGTGTAGTGTACACCCAATCCCGACCCTTTGCCACGCCACCGACAAACCCTCTGCGTTAGCCCACAAACGATAATCTTTAGGAAGGGACATCTCCGAAGATTATTGGTCTCATGATGCTTGGACTCATCCAATAACCATCTGCCGATTAGTAGTCACCATTGGCTTTGCCAACAGCCGGGGTGGTACCTTAATAGCTAGGCCGATCGCGTTTGCGCTAGGCGAACCCTTGGGGAGGGCTTATCTTGTTCTCTCATTCCAATTCAGAAACTGAAGATTGTATTGGGATCCATCAATAACTGATTTGAGACGGTCGCTTATTACAATTGGTTAATTCGAGGGGTGGAATTCCCCGCGCCTACATTCTTATCTCCTCCATACACCTCCCTTTCCTCTTCACCATCGTCTTTCATACCTGGGAGATACAACGGGATATCTACCGGTCTGACTTGTTAATTTCTTGCACTATTTCTGTATCGCCCGTAATGTGTCTCATAAGATAAAGTTAAATTCTCGCAGTGCCCTTCGCTGTACGATGTCCCCAGCTCAAGTCGCTTGATTCATACTGGCTTCTGATACCCCGTTTCACATAAAACAAACAAGTTATTAATCCACAGACAGACCGTCGGTATTTCCTGATATTAAATTACATAAGTTATCTTTTTTCTAGTTGGCCACAGGGAACCCCGAAAAACTCCGTTGCTGTTCTGTGGTCACTCCAAGCCAGTACACTTCTGTTTAAAGGGCCCATTTTAATGCCCTTTCCACCAATCAGGGAGATAACCGCAGTCTATAGAGTCGATCGTTGTCTGGAAACCCCAGTTTCTAGGTGACAGAATTGTTCTAGACACCCCCGATGTCCATTTCCGGCGAGTCGGATAGCCCCATTTATCCAAAACTCCGGGGTCCTCCATCCTAAAAATGGGGCTGGAATAGTAATTGACCTCATCACTACAATGAGTATTCCCGAATTGGAATATCTGTATAGGGATATTTTATCCATGAGACGGAGGTGCCGAGGCTTCAAGAGCTCTTTACTGTGAGTTTTTGAGCTATCGATCAACTATCTACTCCGTTGACCTCATCACTACAAATTCGTGTCCGAATTGAGCACTCGTATTAGCGATTCAAGGGGATTAGCCCAATCACAGTGATTTAGATGTATTTAAAACCTCTTTAAATGAACTTAGAGGTCCTCTTTACCCTGACCCTGAGCCTAGGCTGTGGTCTATGATCCATTGAGTTTTCGTATTACTGCGATTCAGATCTAGGATGACGTTCTACATCAGATATCAGTAGCACAGGTAATAATCCTGTGAGCAAGACGTACCAGAACAGACTTATTTATGAACTAAATGACAAGCTCAGCTTAGAGAGCTTGAGGGTTAACCTGTTGATCGATCTCCATACTTAATCGAACGATTCCCTAGAAATACACTAAATCTGAAATCTGAAATCTTACAACCATGAAGTTCTTTCACAAGCGAACAACCTCTCAGGCCTCTACGCTGGCTGGCCCGCCTGGCCCCGGTGGGCGCGGCCAGCTGCCCATGCTGCAGAATTCAAACGCTTTACGGTATAACTTGCTTTGCGTTATGGGGGAGTTTGTTGGCACATTCTTGTTTCTTTTCTTCTCTTTTGCTGGTACTCAGGTCTCAAATACACCTATGCCTCCTCCTGGCTCGTATCCGAATACTTCCAATCTGCTCTATTCGGCGCTATCTTTCGGCTTCTCTCTTACGGTTAATGTTTGGACGTTCTTCCGCATTACTGGAGGGCTTTTTAACCCGGTGGTAAGGCATACACAACCACATAGGAGAATAGAACTCTAATTTACTATTCCTAGGTTACCTTGGCTTTGTGTCTAACGGGTGGAATGCCAGCTCTCCGTGGAATCCTAGTCTTCCCCGCTCAGTTACTTGGCGGGATTGCATCGGCTGGTGTTGTGAGCGCCTTATTTCCGGGTCCACTAAACTGCGGAACAAGACTCGGCGGCGGTGCTTCCATTGCCCAAGGCCTGTTCATTGAAATGTTCTTGACCGCACAGCTGGTGTTGGTTATCATCATGCTGGCCGTGGTCAAACATAAGTCAACCTATCTTGCCCCTGTCGGTATTGGCTTGACGTTCTTCGTGACTGAAATGATCGGTAAACCTCACACAATGATCTTAAATCGGGTTCATTTTCTAATTCAATCTTTCTTTTAGGCGATTATTACACCGGTGGATCTCTGAACCCCGCTCGCTCTCTCGGCCCCGATGTCATCAACCGCAGCTTCCCCGGATATCACTGGATCTACTGGGTTGGACCACTTCTGGGGTCTCTATTGGCCTCGGGATTCTACCACCTGCTCTGCTGGGTTCAGTGGGAGAATATCAACCCTGGTCAGGACTTTAATGAGTGGGAAGCTAAGGCTCGCAAGGAGTCCCAGGCCAATTCGGATAACACTTACACTGATCAGGTCCACTCTCCTCCTCGCAATGAGCCGGACAGCAGGGATGTTTCTGTGTCCCCTGAGCAGCAGGTATAACCACGGACGGAGTTCAAGCGCATTATATGATAAATTAGTGTATTTGACTCAAAGGCTGTGAATGGAGAATCTATGATTCCGAGCTTGGGGTCTACCTTTCAGCAGTCATTGAGCTTCTCCGGGCTGGATCATGATGATGGAGCTGAATCTTCAGGTTGTCCAAGATGAACTTTGATTTCGATTTGGTCATTCCATATCGATGCATCTAATTAACGGATACAATTATAAATAATTTTATGATAAGCATTCATATGAATCACTAACAATTATTTAGTATACCACGACTTATGGATAGTAGACTCACGCATCAACTTTTATTTGACCTCGCGCGATAAAAGGAACGCATCTATACCGCTAAATCTGGATTGGTAACTGCCCTTACGTACTGGTCATATTTTTGATTACACTCACTGGAAACACCTTCAATTGAGATAAATCTACATTTTGATTCTGAATATTTACATGCCTACCGTGGCATTTGCATGATTATTCTCTCCCATGCGAATGCCATTGGGCTGGGTAAGACGTTGATGCCTAACAAATGAGGCACCCATGCATGGTTAACTAACTAGTTATCCTTGGCGAGATGGAAGATGCATCCCTCCTTTCTCCCCCTCATTGGAAGTCGCAATACAAAGTACTCTGACCGATTCATACATTTGCATTCGCCGCATCGAGACGCTCAATCCCCTATTTTCTCAACTCGTCTTCAACCGCAGGCATAATACCTCAGACAATGTTCAAGGACGCGATCCTTCCAGTATCCCAGGAAATTACATTCGATTTCGAGGAAATGTGGCGCATGAAAATAGCAGCCAAGCAAGAATATAAAAGCTTCCATGATGTTTAGTAAGCGGCTCTGTCTTCAAGAAAAACGGATCCTTCCTCCGCCTATGTATGTGGCTTGGGAAAACACCTCCAATTGAGCGCCACTTTATTAAGTAAGTGCGAAATAGCTTTCTGTAAGGATACTGGCTAAACAAAGCAATAGGCTAAATTCCGATAGATTGACTCGTCTTATAGGCTCACGCTCGCTCACGCTCCGCCTATGCGTCCCTTTCGTACCTTCTCTAGTACTTACAACCCCGGACTTGGGGCAGGCCGGTGTGACAATGCAGACGGACCAATCCGCGTGCGAATGCTCTAATGGCGGTACGGCACTCGCTTATTTGTATAAATAGATCTGAGGATACCATCCAGATGGTGGGTGTTCACCAAGTCCTAATCCCTCTCAGGGCAATTATTAGGATCGGCTGGCCGTGTCGGCTTTGGATACACTCGCTCATCGAATTTTGTGCCATACCTAGAGGCTTTCGCTATTCATCAGCTTGAGTCTGCAGAATCGCACGATGGACATTGAAGCAGAGGCTATCTCTCCCGATGGAGCAACACCGGGCTTGACCAGCACCAAGAAAGACGAAGACCAGCCTGAAACTACATATATGGAAGGATGGGCTCTAGCATCTTTGACTGTGGCCTTCATGGCCATCTGCTTTATACTGGCCCTTGATAATACGATCCTCTGTTTGTTTCCCCATGATTTTGCAGAGATCATCAAATCTAACGTTATCTCAAGCGACCGCAATTCCCCGTATAACCAGCGAGTTCCACAGCATCAACGATATAGGCTGGTATGGGTCTTCATACTTGATCGCACAGATGGCACTTCTACCAACATGCGGCCGACTCTACACATTCTACAACATCAAGTGGGTGTATTGCCTCTCGCTAGTGGTTTTCGAACTCGGTTCTATCATCGCGGCTCTCGCCCCAACTTCTGTCGCACTTATTATAGGACGAGCCGTTTCTGGTCTTGGCGCTGCTGGTCTGGTGAGTGGGTCGACAACTATTTTGTCTTACTGTGTTCATTTGAAGAAACAAGCGATGCTTTCGCCGATTGTGTTGGGGGTGTATAATATTGGATCGGCTATTGGGCCACTAGTTGGTGGTTCGATAACTGATAACCCGAAGCTGGGTTGGAGGTTTATTTTCTGGATCAATCTGCGTACGTATCTGGTGGCCGAAGTCTATACATTCCCAAATAGTAACTAACTAGAATGTGAAGCTTTTGGAGCTGTTGGCTTGGTTTTGATCTGGTTCAGTTTAAGAAAACCTCCGCCCGCAGTGAAGGGAAACTTACCCTGGAAACAAAAGCTACGTCAGCTAGACCTTGGAGGGGCTACTCTATTACTGGGATCGACATCGTGTTTGTGTTTGGCATTACAGTGGGGCGGCATCACCTACCCATGGTCTGATCCAAAGGTATTCGGGTGTCTCATTGGATTCGGTATACTTTTGGTTGCTTTCTTGTACTTGCAGTTCCAAAGTAAAGAAAAGTCAGTTCTTTTTTCTTTCATCCTCAGTCTCTACTTTTGTAGAGATTATTTCCCCATAATGTTTGCTAACATCATCAAAGTGCGAACATGCCTCTTCGTCACTTTCAAAGCCGCACCGTATCAGCATCATGCGCCTTCACTATGCTTATACAAATTGCCATAGTCACACAGTCATACTTTTGGCCCATATATTTCCAGTCAGTCAAAAACACCAATGCCAAACAATCAGGCATCGATCTACTTCCATTGATCGTATCTAACAGCCTTGCAATGCTCTGCGCGGGCTCCATAACGTCAAGATTCGGACACTATGTTCCTCTCATGTGGTTCGGACCTATTCTCCTAGCTCTTGGAGGTGGTCTATTTCAGCTCATGAGCCCCAACAGTTCCTTCGGACAATGGGTAGGATTCCAAATTCTGTCTGGGGCTGGATATGGTGCTTGTAATCAAATGCCTATCTTGGCTGTGCAGGTCGTTCTCACCAAGCCGGATATACCAACCGCCCTTGTCATTATCATGTTCTTTCAGATGCTTGGCGGTGCGCTGGCACCTAGTGTTGGTCAGAATCTTTTCACAGATGGACTTCTTCGAAATCTTAATAAGGTGCCCGGAGTAGATGGCGCGGCTATAGTGGCGGCTGGTGCGACTGATTTCAGGACGCTTGTTCCGGCTGAGCTGATGGATGCTGTTGTAGCTGCGTTTAATTCTGCTTTGAGAGATGTGTTCTGGTTTGCGTTTGCGGCACCAGCTCTTGCTTGGGGAATAAGCTCGCTAATGGAGTGGCGGAAATTGCCTGATTATAGCAAACAGCCTGAGGCTGAGGGTAACGGAGTAAACGACTCGGGAACTCCAGTTAAGGGGATTATGAAGCCTGAGAGATAGCATACATACTACCCACTGTCCGCTGTTTTAATCTATCAAGCATCATTATTCATAATTTAGTAAGCGTGGATGCCAATGGGCATGGGCGCTCACGGCCGACCGTGATGTCCACAATAGTACATGTGCAGTATCTTTCGAGGAGCCTCCGGTGAGTTGAAGAAGACACATTCCTTCGTATCTCAAGTTCTATTTGACAGGACAGAAAATGCACGACTAGAACTATTGAACACCAATGATAATCTATGGAGTGGATAATGAAGTAGTTGGACAGTTATCATAATAATATTTTCAGGGTCCGAAGCTAAGAAATTAAAACACATGAAAGTCGAAGAAGCAAGTTATGAAGCGCATCCGCGGGGTTGTTGGTCGTGTAAAATCCTGGACCATGAGGAAGATGGTAACCCGTTCGATTGTGCCGGGGTGCACCCACTAATAGAACTCTGACAAGATCGGCGACGAATCATACCCGACAATAAATGTCTGTTGTTTCCGCCCAGGCGCTTGACAAACCATTTTCAGCCCATGTGTTTGTGCTTCACTGACTTGTAGATATTATCTCGAAGGTCAAACAAGACCTTGACCCCATTAACAGATGGTGTTAAAAGAAAAAAAAAGGCAATGCATGATGCCTACTATTCCCAGAGGTTCTTTTTCTGTCAATTCATAAAGATAAATCTATGTGCTGTCTAAGTTTATATGTTGATGTCGGCGCACGAGGTGATACTTCATGTCTTTGTGAAGCCACGAGAAAATAACAAAGAGATGTGGCAATACAGGATACCATGTAATTATGTACAAGCTGAGGCCTTGTGTGAGAGCATACCATATTTTGAAGAAACCTTATACGATTCTTTTTCTCTATCTCAATAAACGACCGGGACCAAATTGACCCTGAAAAAAAAACATGATTATGCTAGAAGCACTTACTCATGAAGATTTCAATCGCTTCCTCTTCTTTTTCGAAGCCACTTTAATTCCTATTAATACCTGATCGTCACTCTTCCAAAATCCAGCTCAGTAATTCTCGGTATGAGAATCTTTCCCCTGTACTTGCGTTCCTTTAAGCGTGTTTGATTGGGAGGAGGCTTGTATGTTTGTATTTGTCGATTTCTGATCGCTGGGTTGTACTTGCTTCCCTATATTCTCAATGCTTTCAGCTAGCAATGATAACCCGCTGACTGCAAGCAGAGCGGACACGTCTGTTGTGCCATCTGAAGCGAATTTGTCGCACTGCTTATAATCCATTAGAACTTTGTCGACCAACTCAGCGCGGGCTGTCATGGAGAGAAACTTCGCGATTGCAGTATGAACAGCGAGGAATATCGGGTCGGGTAACTCAGCGTTTCCGTTTTGAACTGCGAAAGCTCTATACCGTTGTCGTTCACCTTGAGGTAATAAAATTCGTATTAGTCTCGCAATATCGTCAGGGCTTTCGTCGGCTAAATAGCTGTACTTTGCCGACCAAACTGGACGATGGCCTCCTGCTTCTAGTTGATGTGGGTCCCTCTCGTTGGGATACCCACGGTCAAATCCCGCGGCGTAGATGCGGGTCATTTGGCTAGACTCTGAGTCGGGTACCTCAGGGTTAATCTTGGCGAATGGGTGATGGCTGAGGTAGCGAGTGAGTGAAGATTGATAAGGTCTGGATATTTCTATGGAAGAGAAGAAAGGAAAGAAAGAGTGAGCTTGCCAGTCTCACTTATAAAGAACAAGTAAGGGTGTCAGGCGAGTCGAAGTGAGTGAATCGTAAATTGAAGTGAGACCCCTTCATCATCACTGCTACCTCTTAGTCTTCTTCTCCGTCCATCGTGTTCGCTTAGCGAGTCAGATCCATCGCTGAATGCCCTCGATCGACAAGAATTGCATTTCGGGTCCACTCAGCTCCAAGAAATAGTCGGCGTTCGTTTTGCAGAAGGGCAAGTTGTCGTTCGAGTCCGCTTCCGTAAATCGCGTTGGATGCTTTCCTTGTTGGCTCCCATCACTTGAAAACCCGTTGGTGAGGCATAGGCCAACTCGAAGTCGCGTGAAGAACAGGGTGCCAGCTAAGACTAATCAAGCGACGACGAAAAAACACGTCGTTGATGCTCGTGTTCTGTTGATTCTCGGTTCCCAGCCGATAGGGTATTGAATAGGGCGGTACTGGTTGGTGTTTCGCGGCTAAGAATTGTCGAATCCCTGATTTCCTGTGGGAGAATGATCCCTAAATTTCTACCGGGAGAGGAGAATGGTGTAAATAACAACAAATAACAACGTCAAGGAAGGAAAGAGAGAAAAGAAAGAGAGAAGGAAAGAGAGAAGGAAGCTCAGCTACCGTACACGTAGGCTTTCTACTCGGTCTACACCCGAGAGTCAAACCAAGCAAACATATAAACATACAAACATATAAACATGTCCGCCTCCATGTAGCTATACTACAAGAGTTAGAGCGGGCCAGGAGAGTGACTGCCGATATATTTGAAAGTAGCAGGTTGTTCTTAGGAGGGGGGCCTATTTAGGCCATATATAAGCTCGCCTAGCCGTGAGTAAATCATAGATCATGATTCACTTTATATATGAACTATTGAACGAATGTTAGTATTGGTATGTAGGGAAAGCATTCGGTAAGATAATTGGAAAGATGAGAGTAGAGTACTGCTTGACAAAATTGTAGGTGAGAGTATAGTAAACTGAGTAAAGCGAACATGATCTTGCATAACGAATGATGAATTGTCGATGGAGTGGTATATGCCATCGGAAATTGGACATCTGGAGGCTCCTAAGTCAGAGGAGGCTTTTGATTGGCCTAATAACATGAGCCGTAGCTACTCTCCTACTACTAAAAGCAAACAAAAAAACAGATTGACCACATCATCATTGATCAAGCACTACTATCACTACCTGACAAGCCACTCTTCGCAAAACAACCTAAGCAGGAATAGCCCAGTTTCAACACGATGAAAGTACGATGCAGGCCCATAAATCTGTCTCTCGATACGCACCGGATCATCATACCGCTGGCAGTACTCAATACGTGCCACATTACGGGACTTAGTAATAAATTTGCGTGCAGTGACCCCAGATGTGTCAAAAAGAATATTCAGCTCCTCGTGAACGAGAGGTGAAGACCACCGCTCCTGGCCAATAAAGCACTGTCGAATATGCTTATTCGCATCCAGTGTATTCACGGGGGAATATCTTCCGAAGATTGAACATCAAAGAACAAACACACATCGCCTTGTTGCCAAAGTCTTTTCCGTTCTTGCCAACAAGCTCAAATTATATGATGCCTATTTAGGCAGTATACTGTAAGTTCGCCTAAAAGTAGCCGTTGAGAGTCAGTCATAGACTATGATTTACTTTGTAGTATATAGCCTATGAGCAAACGTTAGTCAAATCACTAGGGAAAAGTCGAAGATATTTGGAAAGATGAAGATGAGAACAGAGTACTACCTTAACAAGATTGAAGATAACTTCAATCAATATAGTATCTTGAGGAAGCGCTGGAGGCGAAAATGTCCAGGTGATCCTATATAACGAATAGACCGCGGATGGCGTGGAACAGCCATGGCTCTGCAACTCCATGGGGGAGAGAGGAATGAAGGAAGAAGTCCATGCCAGAGAGGCATGGCCCATATATATGGGCCGTAGCAAACGCTGCATCGGGAGACTCCGTACGGAGATCTCCTGATAGCTGTCACAACGCATCTTGATGCATCAAAGTAGACAAACGGTGACGCCGGTTCACAATCAAACCGAGTCACTTAGCCATCGCTGCAATATCATTCGCGAGCCCTGTACACGTCAGAATAATCATACAATAGGTAGAAAAAGGGGTGGAATTTGGCCGGACTGCCAAGGCGTAGTTGCGAGTGATGTCTCCACTAATTATTGTCCAATAAAAGCTTCAGCCTTCAAACCTTGACGCGACACCAAAATATGTGAGCATGGGAAAGAAGAAGAGAAATGAAACTGCGGTCTGCTTTGAATACTCACAATGCAATATAGAGTACAGTTTTACGGAAACACGCGAAATTTCCCAAATTCACATTTTTGCATCCCGTAGCATCCCACTATTGCACCAGTTCGTACTAACACACACTAAAAATGAGGATTTGCAGATCCAAGACCATTTTTGCACCCGCCTGGGCAACCAACGAGAATCGCACCCCTCGCGTCACTATGGGTCCATAAGCAGCCTTGTGCAACTTACCCCGATCTCAAGTCCACCTTGAAAATCCGCACTTCGCTCATAAACAGCATGGCTGCCCTGCTCATGTCTGTCAATTTGCTCCGCGTAATTTCACTCTAAATTATCTCCTACCATGGACGACTCTGGCGCGTCGGCCCGCGACACAGAAGCCGCGGTCGCTTCTGGAGCTTCTAGCGTCGCTGATGCTAGTGACTCGGCTTTATTGGGTATTACCCCATTCCTGAATCCCGATCCGATCATTTGAGCTTCTCGCGTGCTGACTGTTCTAGCGAAAATGGGGTATAAGCAGGAGTTGAAAAGGCAGTATTCTACGCCGCAGGTTTTTGCTATCGCATTTAGTATTATGGGCTTGGTGCCCTCTATTGCGTCGACTGTGACGTTTTCTTTGCCTGCGGGCCCGGTTGGGATGGTTTGGGTATGTACCGATCGTGATGGGGATCCTCATGGTACCTTGTATATTAAAATACTGTGACTGATTATTGATTAGGGATGGTTTACTGCCAGTATATTTATTTTCTTGGTCGGGCTTGCAATGGTATCTTCAGTCTAGTGATCCATCTTTCGAAGGGATGTTTCTAACCTATTCAAATAGTCCGATCTTGCCTCTGCAATGCCCACTGCTGGCGGTCTTTATTGGTGGACACATTACTTCGCAGGTCCAAAATGGAAGAATCCATTAAGCTTCTTAATCGGATACAGTAACACTCTTGGCCTGATTGGCGGCGTGTGTTCTGTAGACTGTAAGCTTGACTCTTTCATTATGAAAGACCATCTTACTAACAACAGAATATACAGACACACTTGCGCTTATGATAATCTCATGCGTTAGTATCGCGCAAGACGACGGATGGTCTCCATCGCGCGGCGTCATTTATGCCCTCTACGTGGCTCTCATCTTGATACACGGACTCTCCGCCGCCTTAACAGGCCGCTTAATGCCGAGGATTCAAACATGCTGCATCTATATCAACATTGCGCTCGTAATTGCGACTGTGATCGCATTACCAGTTGGCAAAGTTACTCGTGGAGAGCCCCTCAATTCTGGCAGTTATGTCTTTGGTCATCTTGACAATGAAACTACTTGGCCGACTGGTTGGGCATTCATGCTTGCGTGGCTTGCGCCAATCTGGTCTATCGGTTCTTTTGACTCGTGTGTCCATATGAGTGAGGAGGCGATGCATGCTGGCAAAGCTGTTCCTTTGGGAATCATGTTTTCTGCTGGCTCGGCGTGTGTTCTTGGTTTTCTCGTGTTGACCGTTATGGCTGCTACGATGAATCAGGATGTTTCGCATACAATTAACAGTAAATTTGGCCAGCCGATGGCGCAGGTAAATATATTCTTCTTTTCACCAGACCTTTCCATTGTGCTAATTCTTATTGACAGATTTACTACGATGCCTTGGGTAAAAATGGTGCGTTAGGTTTTATGATCGTTCTGTGCATCATACAGTACCTCATCGGTCTCAGTCTTGTATGCATTCCCTTCCTAAACTTTTATCGCAAAACCCCCTCCAACTAAAGTATTAATTGCAGCTTGTCGCTGCATCCCGCCAAGCATGGGCCTTCTCTCGCGATGGTGCGCTTCCCTTCTCAACCTTCTTCCGCCATGTCAGCAAGCGCATCCAATACCAGCCTGTGCGCATGATCTGTGGCCTGGTCGTTGCATGTCTAATTCTCGGCCTACTATGCCTAATCAACAACGCCGCTGCAAATGCCCTATTCTCACTCTTCGTCGCGAGCAATTACTTATCCTGGGGCACACCTATATTCTGCCGTATAACATGGGGCCAGGACCGGTTCCGACCGGGCGAATTTTACACAGGAAGATTAAGCAAGCCGATAGCATGCATTGCTGTCATTTACCTCATGTTCGGCGTGATTTTGTCCATGTTCCCAACTGGGGGTCCTAATCCGGCCCGTAAGCATCTATACTACCTCCACTATTTTGCATCATACTAACATCCGAACTATAGCTACGGATATGAATTATACTGTCGTCATCAATGGTTTCGTGTGGATCGGATGCATGCTGTATTACTTCTTTTTCGCCCGACATTGGTATACTGGGCCCCTTGTGACGATGGAAGAGGATCGATCTGCTGATTCGGAAACGTCTGGTCATGATCGCGCGAATGTAGATCAACAGGATACACCTGTCAATATTAAAGAGGAGTAGTAGCTTTGGACCCAGTGGCGATCTCGTGGTGTTCTTCTGTACTTATGCATATAGCCCATTTCCAAATCTAGTAATATTATTATTGAGATCTGTAGGGCTGATACAAAAGTTGGGGTCTGCTTATTTGGAGCAGACGATTTGAAGTTGCTGATTGGGTGAGAGATAGTGGGGTCTACGCAGTTATGCACGATTCTCGCATTTCGTATTCGGTGTTTCATATAGCTGCCGTTTTAGGTGAGCTTAGACAATTTGAAGCATTTTATGTCGATCGCTACATTCGAATACTGTGGTGGGATCCAGCTGCACTGTGTGAACAAGGCAATTTTGAACCCCATTTCCACAGATAACCCAGTGATTTATACGGCTCTATTCTATGTTGCTCGGAGCCTGAGACTTCAAGTAGGAATAATTGTTCTAAATTGTATAGATATCATGCATAGTGTATATGTAAGATTCCGACACCATTCTCCAGCATATCCAGGAAAATATCAAAATAAATAAAAGAAATGCTCAAAAATCGCAAACATAGAGTTATACATAAGAAAAAATCATATGAAATCGTAACAAAGGTATCAAGTCAAGAAGCTACCCATTTTATGTCCCTTTACAGAGCGACCATAACGTAGACAACACCAGCAAGACCAGCAGCGGCAGCGCCCATACCAGTAACCTGAGGAGCAGCGTTGGTACCTGTTGAGCTGGATCCTGAAGCAGATTGGGAACCAGTACCGGTACTAGTGGCAGCGGGAGCGGTTGTGGTCATAGTAGTAGGAACAGTGGTAGTGTCACCATTGGAGTTGGTGGTGGTGTGTTCGGCGGTCCAGATAGACTTTTCTCCAGAAGCGAAGGTCTGAGCATCAGATGCGACACCACTACCGAAGGTCTGGGCGTCACTTGCGATGGCACCGGTGTCGCCATTCTCGGCTGCTGAAGCAATTGTTTCGCCGAAGGAGCCGGCGTCGGAAGCCTGGCTCTCGCCGTAGGATTGGGCGTTGTCACCGCTGTCGGCAGCGACGAAGCCGGCGGTGGCTAGAATAGCGGAGGCGAGGAGAGTGAACTTCATTTTGAGTGGAAGGGAAGTTGGTGATGTAGATTGGAGATGAGGATTGAAGGTTGAAGATTAAGAGTTGAGAATGTAAAAGCTGCTGTGTTGTTGATAGATGCTGATGGAATTCTTCTATATCATTCCGGGGAAACCAAGAGCATTTATATGTCCCTCATCTATGTACAAATTTCCACCAAATATAGAATTTCACCAAAAAGGAAATTGTTTCGATGTGGATATTCCCGCGTGGCGACATAACCCCGTTTGCTAGTCGGATACATTAGGAAAGGCACCAGGCCTCCTCCTATGACGATCAGCACCAAATGTATACGGGGAATAGGCAGTCGTCATTTCCAGGGTCCACCTTCAACTCAGGGCTGAAAGTATGGGAACCAATAGCTTATTTCGTGGCTTTTCCGCCCGGACCCTTGGCATAGGTCAACTGCTGGGGTATATCTGTTTCGGAGACCTGCTTGAGGCCGTGTAGTTTGTAGATCCGTCGCGTGTGAAAACTTTCCTACTTTACTGCAATCTACGAGTGTACACAGTAGCATGGTGTTCAAGTTTAGGAAAATACATTATGCGATGCGATGCCGATAAAGCCGTAGGATCCGACAGAATCTGACTGGTGCAGTCTCGTTTCGCGGAATGTCGCGCAATCAACCATTTACCGCTTTAATAGAGAAATTTCGGCCGTTACACTGCTGCCTTTGACCCAGCGGATGAATGTATACTTATGTTGGGAAGGTTATTTTGGTCACCGCCACGTTCAACCCCTGGTTCACATGTCGCCGTACTAGTCCATGTTGATGGTGAGATGTACATTTCTTCGGGTTTAAAACTCGCCCCGGAATTCATTGACAGCTTTCGATTTCTTGGCATTGTTAAGCAACAAAGACGCATGAGCTAAATCCTGGACTAGATCCTTGATCAACTCGCGCGATCGAGTTGGTCTTGCAACTAGCGCAAGCCACTTACATAGATTTTGCTCCATAATACTGTATTTGATCAGGGTTTCTTTGGTGGGTATAGTTGGGAATCATGATGTAGAGTGGAATTGGAACAAATAATGGGAAATTATCTCGGCCGCCACCGAAGGGGCGAAGCAGTTGGGTAGTTGAGGAGGATGGAGTCAACCGGGTCAACAGAAACCAATGAAAGCCACGCACAGCCACAGTCACGTGTAGTTTCTAAAAATGGTAATGAGGCCTGATATGTAAGGCATCGAATTCAAACCACGAAGACACTGTTAGTTGCAGTAGACTGAGTGGCACTTCGCTGGAGTGAGTAGTGCCTAATACATCTCATAATTCGCTATAGCACTTACGATTCTACCAGAGCAGCTCCATGTTAAACTCCAAGCTCATTATGATTATGTTTAGTCTAAAATAATATGCATATGTTCAAATGCCCTTCGTCATTCAACGCACCGAAAAAGAAAAAAACCAACCAAATGCCAGAAAATAAGTCTTAGAAATAAAGAAATAAGGAAAATCAAGAAGAGAATTCCGCATAAGCCTGAATAATACCCTCCCAGCCACCAGGATGCTGTTTCTCGGTCGGGTTGGTCTTTCCATCCAGCACCATTACCTCGGTCATCCGGGTGCTAATCGAGTACCACACCAGGTTCTGCGGGGCATTGGCCACGCGCATCATGTTAGCTTGACACTTGCCATTGCAAGGCTCATTGTAAAGCCCATTCCAGTATCCATCGAAAAATGCCCATGCAGCTGAGTTGTAGAGTGCGATGTTTGAGCCGCCATCGACGTTGGTAGCTATGGCGCTGCGGCACTTCTGGTCTGTTGGGGCACACCATGTGAAATCCGGATCACCATACTTGGGATCTGCGGACCAGGGGGCGGGGGCGTTCTCGTATTCGCCGGAGCCTTGCATGTATGGGGTTTCAGTTTGCAGGAGACCGGCGAAGAGATTGGCGGCGTTGTGGAAGTTATAGTTGTATAGCCAGTGGTGCTCGGAGCCGGTTCCTGTAAGCCAGGTTCCCTTTGTTGCTTCAACGAGAATACCGCGACCGGTTGAGACGATGGTGAGCAGCGAGGTGCTGTCAAGGTTATGGTCTGCTGTCCAGCCCCAGAAGTTCTCGATGTATGCGGAGGAACTCTCAGTAAGATGCATAACCATGAACGCGGCCATGCAATCCTTTGGATCTTGTGACGTGCAGGAATTTGAGATGCTGGTCTCGGCTGTGCCTCCGATCAAAACCACTGTGTTCCACATTCCGACGTCACCGGGCTGGGATCCAGCGGCGTTGACTTCGACCACCTTTGCGCCGGGCAAGACCTCGCCGACTGAGAAGCGCATGTCTTGAATTTCAATGAGACCGACATCGCCGGGGTTACCGACCTTCACAACCGCCTTGGGGTTTTTTTCATCCTTGAACGCATCGCCGTAGCCAGAGATAACAGACCAAGCTTCGCCAACGATACGTGTGCCAACCGGGATGAAGACAGTATCAGAGACTCTGTAGACACCATAGGGGATGAAAGTGATCTTGCAGTTTTCAGCATTCTGCTTCAGAATAGCATTCAGCGACTTGGTATCATCAGTGGAGCCATCACCCTTCACAGGGTGTCCAGAGACAGTCTTGACATTAACCACATCAGCAGCACCGAACTCCATGTAAGTAGGCTGAGCCTTGGTGAAGAACTTGTCGCCAACAAGCAAAGCGTTTGGTCTGTTTGTTTTGTGGGTTGCACCTTGCTCATACTCTCCCTGAACAAGAGTACCCCAGAGCCAGGTGTCAACGTGCGACATGGCTTCCAGTTTTGTCTTTCCCTCATCATCGACGGCAATGGGGTTCGATCCATCGTGTACAAGGTTCTGGATGAGTATTTGGCTGTTCTGGTTGCCAGTATCATGGGATGAATCATGGAATCTAACGACAGGACCGGAGTTGGTAACAGTGGAATCAAGCAATACCATACTTCCCAGACCGTTGCTGGTCATGTTGATGCCTGTTCCACATGACTCGAAGTACGCATCTTGCAGGAGAACGGTCCATCCACCCTTGGCGTCGAAAGCTGTGCCGCAGGCGACAAAATGGACATTCTTGAAGTTCACTTGCTGGTTAGAGTTAATGATACCAGTGGCGCCACCGACGATTCGCTATAAACGGTTAGTAACATGTTCTGCAATATTGTAAGAATGAATAGAGGTACTCACCACATCCGTCACTGCGATGGTGGATCCAGCGACGATGTCAATACCAGTATGTCCACGCGAGTTGGTAGGCATGTGGATTTGGACATTTGTCAACCCAGATCCTTGCGCAACCCCCCATTGCAGGGCAGTAATCTTATCATCCTTTGGAATGGAGGTTGTGTCCAGAATAACATTCTTCACCAGCATCAAAAAGCTAGTCTCGGGGTTTCCGTTTTGCTTATCGTATCCCATGATGAGGAATTGACCTTTGAAGTTGGCGCTAGCCTTAATAACAGGAGGGTCTGAAGGGTCTCCAACAATGATAGTTCCAACTGTGAGTGTCAAAGTACTTCCAAGCACATATGTGCCACCGGGAAGAAAGACCTCCGCGGGATAACGAGTAGTGCCCTTGCCTTTACGGCTACCGCCGTTTCCATCATCATCTATAGCTTGCTGGAGCTTGGCTGTCTGGTCGCCCGAGCCATCATTTGCAACGCCATAGTCTTTTACATTCCTGTAAACCGGGTAGACCTTTGTACCACCAGCGTAGGGGGCGTATCCTGAACCACCTTCTTTGTGGTCCTGGGCATCTAGCCAGTAGTTGCCTGAAGGCTGACTCCCAGATGCAGGGCAAGTCTTCGTAGCTGGGGCATTTGCCGCACTGCTTGTCTCGCTACTTGTCGTCTTGCTGGAAACGCTTTGTGTCTCAGGCTTGGACGAAGTGCTTGGTGCCGGGGTTGAAGTACTTGGGGTCGGGGTTGACGAGCTGGTTGATGGAGACGGTTCTGGGGTTGATGAAGAAACTGCCTGGTGGCTTGTACTTGGCACATCAACTGGGATAGCAGTAGGTGAGACTGATGATGAGCTTGATGGCGTAGTCGATGTAGATGATGTTGGTACGCTAATAGACGTAGTGCTTGGGGGAGGCGGTGGAGGTGGCGGCGTCGACACCGTTGATGTAGTAGGTACTATAATTGGAGTGGTACTTGGCTCAGCAGCTGGAGCTGGTGTTGGCTCATCATCCCTGGAGTATGGTCAGTCATTTTTCATAGTAAACAAACACGATAGACCTACGAGCTGTCACTGTCCGTAGGAGTCGGAAGAGCTCCCCTATGACATCTCGTTAACAATTGCATTAGATTCATCCCGTTAACACAAAACATACTCTAGCAAACTCGCAAGCCATGGCGGAATGATATGAAATGCATTAGACGGAGGCTGCGCGGGAAACTGTGGTCCAGCTTCTTTCGCAGCACGATCACCTGGTATAGGAATGATAGCACACGATGCCGTTGTGACAACAGCTACCAACACAGTCAAAGTCAAAGGGCTATGCATCCTCAATCCTGTATTCCCAACCACAACCGAAAGGAGATATGAAGGAGGAAAGAAGAAGAGAACAAACAAACCGCGCCGGTGAGAGGAAACCCGGGGATAAAAGAGTTTTGGATACACATACCAGACATGCAACACGCACCTCAATTGCGCGGATAGCAACAGTCTGGCATGGGCGCGTTGCGGAGATGTTTGTTTGGAATGCTGTTGTAGCTGTGTGGTTGCTCTGCGGCGAGTCTCGGCAGGCCGCGACGATCCTCCCTTGCAACAACCAGGTTTTGGGAACGTGCGGCCGATCGTGTAGGGAACGTCACTTTGAATTTGATATTTGAGATCTAATTTTATGGTTGAATTGATTGACTGGTTAGTAGTTTGCCATGGATATAACCAAGGACTCGGAGATGTTCAATGTCATGCGATCGTGGTATGTTGTTGACTATACCCGATTAGGAATACTAGTATAGAGTTTTGTACATCGCGACGTGTCTTGGTTGCTGCAGTCCGAAGTGCCCGAAATCAACACAATTTACATGGAAACTGTAGTCTGGTGAGTTTACTGAAGGTATAAACCTTGTATCACGAGAAAAAAATTGTTCTGGCGAGAATCAAAGTATTTTCCTGTTTTTGTCTTGACCCGAAGATGGATATATATACGTACTCGGTCCCGTCTGGACATAAACTTTCGGCAGCAACCATGCTCCAAAGATGCATTCTCTGCTACACGAAACTAAACAGAACCTCACAGGTGGCAGATCATATTCAAATCGTTTTAAAATAGAAAAAGAAGGCAATGTCATTTCTATATGCTGGAGCTCGCTGGCTATGGGCCTGTGTGTTACAAGATGAGATTATATCCCCCACATAAGCGGTGCAAAATTGACTGACCGCCTGCCTAGTCAATAATGTTATTTAAATTCAAAAACATATCGACTGGGCGAAATGACCTTAGAATAGCTGTAGCGCCTATCACTATACATTGTCTAGACACAGATTGCGACAGTGGGCCGGGGTGCCCCTCCCAATCGCGGTATACATTAGTAATACACCTAAAAACGGTAATAAATGAATTTTGTGCACCTGAGCGGCTATACAGGACATAAACTGGTAACAAAATGACAGGACGCAAAGGCCGAAAGTAGTAAAGCGGTAATGTTCCTTTCCAAGATCGTGTCTCGACAGTGTAGACTTCACCTCCAAAAGTATACTACCTAACAACCACTGTTAACCCGCAAACAAATTCTGTCTCAAAATCTTCCTTTGAACACAAAATGGCCCTGAAAAGAATTGGTAATGGTCTCAAAGATGTGCAAATGTACGTGTCCTGATTGTCTCTTTAAGGGCGTCAGCCGTAACGACTACGGAGTCTATATGATCTAGTGAAATATTGATAATGACAGGCATGCCGAGGTCTCTGCTGGTCCAAAGGCTGATGACTTGATGAGTTTACTTTGGAAGATCAAGGCCAAAGTTCTCTCACAGAACAAAAAAGGATAAAATACTGGTCAAGCATATATATACTCATGATCAAACACACTCCCAAGCACTTTCATCTTTATAGGATCCAGGCCCAACATACTTGTTGCGTTTGGGATACTTGCAATGCTTACGACGGTATTCCACCGTGGTCCCATTAAGCTTGGCCCCACGCACAAATTCAGGTGCAATACCCTCCTCAACCCATCGCACCATCGCAAGAAGTACATTATCTTCTGGGTTGTTATCAACAAAAGTTGACGGTCCTTGACCAATATATGCTGCGCCCGTGCCAGGAGTACAGTGACCCATCCCACTAATTGGGAAGAAGCGGTAGAAGTCATCCAAATCGGATGGACTAATCCCCATAGTATCAACGACATGATGGTACCATACTTTTGAGGTGTCAGAGGTAATGATTCCATCTTCGAGTCCATGGTAGTGGAGCACTTTGCCCCTACTCTTCTTGAATGGCGAAATATCACCCTGGAAAGTCGAAATCTGGTAAGGATCTTGGGCGTTGGCGACAGTAGCGTCTTCAATTGTCCAGGTTGCAGGATTCCACTCTGGATTATTATATACCACATAGCGATACCAGTCTTCTGCGTATTGGAATGGTCCATTGTAGTAAACAGAAGTTAGTTCAGATCCAGGCTGCATGCGGGGGAACAAGAAAGATCCGTTGTGTCCATACAGCGGACTGAAGACTGTGTTCACAGTCTTTATTTGAGCAGCCGTTAGACAGATGCTATCAGCCGCCGCGGTCGAGTTGCAAACCAAAGTCTCAAATATCGGTTGACATAAATCGGTATCTTCAATAATTCCATCTACAGCACCATCCAGAGAATCGCACTGTCGGAGAATCTCACTGTGAATAGCCGTCCACTGGGCAGTGGTAATAAATGTATCAGCACTTGAGTTTCCAATAACTGGATAGAATCGAGCGCCCCAGTTGATCAGATTAATGAAGTTGAGCGCCGGGGATCCTGCAACAACACCATCAAAGTCGTCGGGAAATTTTTCGATCGACTTCCACCCCTGACGACCACCAGTTGAGCACCCTAAATAGTAAGATTTCTTGAAGCCCTCGGTGTAGAACTGTTTGGTGAGTTCTTTGCCAACGACCACACCGGTATGCAGGGCACGGTAGGCAAAGTCCTCTAGCACTTCGGTATTTTGATAGAAGTATTTCCCAGTATCGCCAGAGTGGCCATTGTTTGTGCCTACAGTAGCAAATCCGTACTGGGCAGCATATGCCATATCATCATATTTCACACCTGTTGTTTCGACTGTAAGCTAGATAGACTTTGAAGCAAGGGAGCAAGGGAGGAAGAACATACAGCCGCCAAGACCTCCATTTCCAGTACTGAGGAATCTTCCAGAGTAGTTACTCGGCAACCAGGCTTCCATGAAGAAGTGACTCTTAGCGGAGGTCGTCACGTTGAGGGTAACTCGACAAAAGTCGAAGGTCGCGGGGCTGCTGTCCCCATCGGAGCAGGTAGATGCATCATACTCCTTAGTAATATTGGATCCGATCGGAACGTATGTCACGTCGTGAACGTGGGAATTGGCGACTTTAATCTTGGACTTGAAGGCATTGCATTTGGATTCAAAGGAGGGTTGCTTAGCTGTGACAGCAGCGCTGACGATGGTAGCCAAGCCAGCGCCCGCTAAAAAGTCCGAAAATCTCATGGCAGAGAGAGAGAAGAATTAAATAATAGCCTTGAGTCAAAATAAGAAGAATCCATGACCGGCAACGTTTGTCACTTTATAGATTTTTTCAACCGGTAGAAGTTCGGTGGCGTCACTGCTCGGACAATGTAAGGTTTCCATACAAGATACCGTATCATCTTTTCTAGCTCGGTTTTCTTCTCCGGGGCCCCGCATTTTGAATCGGAACGCGAATTAAGGCGGGGATCGATATTATTAAGTGAAAATAGCTTACTCTAACGGGGAAATCGCAGAATAATATGCCTCGGCCCCTCCCGCATCGTGGCAGTTGAGATCGGCAGATCACGGTACTGTACATCCCGGGGCCTTCACCTTAGTTTAAGCAATTCTCTCGCACCCCGCTGGGCATTGTAATTTACCAGTCATGTAGTTCGGCGCATAACCTTGGCATTTCCGTCGCTTTCGTTGATTTGTTTTTACTTCGCGTTGATAGGGAATGGCGCGATCGATCATTCATCCCTTAAGAGGTTCACCATGAGGAACTCTACTGCATCCTATAAGACACGGCTTAAGCTACTGAATTCTAGAAGGAGAATACCCCTAATTATCTCTTTCCGGGGCTGATTACCGTCGAAGAAGCGCAGAACAAATGGCGGCAATATTTTCTTCACAACACCATATTAATTCAAAGTCTGGGAGTGCGCTCAGACAGTTGGTGTTTACGGTACACCGTCAGATATGTCCCCAGGCTTGAAGGGGACACTCAGCTTGCGCTTCGCGGTTTGGAAAGTCTGTCAGAAGCAAGCATATCGATCTCAGGTGGAGTCACATCGACATAAGCCTAAACCCCAACACCTCATCCACAGTATTCATCAACATCAATAAACACGCCCCGCAATTTCCCTTCCCATCACTACTCTCAATCAGCCATCTCCTCAAACCCTGGGAAACTTGCCCTTTTCCCTAAACTAGTATATCTTGTCGATATTATATATTTGAACGGAGATGTACGTTATTGTAGATCTAACCTAAGCTTGGAAATTTGATTACAAAAAGAATTCAATTGTCTATATACTCGCCATTATAGAAGACATTATTCTGTCCAAGTGCCTTCAACGAATGTCTTCGTGGGAATGACTTCAAACGCAACTTCCCAGAGTCAAGGCCCGAATCAATCATACCAAATTTCGAATTATTCAAACCAGCCAGAACTCGAATCGAAACTAAGGCAAGATCAATTGCCCTCCCCAATATGGTGTCTCAACTACTCACTAGCGATCCCTTTGGCGAGGTACCAAAACTAGAGGGAACCTCAAACTACTCTCATTGGCATACGACACTTCCTACCGTTCTTGAGACTTTCTCAGGAACAATTTAAGAAGTGGCGACCGGAAAATTGCGCCCTTTGAACCATTTTCACATGGTTTACCGACAACTTTTCGCAACGAATTCTTTTACATGCTACCGCTCGGGGACATCAAAATTTTCCACCTGGTATCTAAAAGCAATTGTGGCATTGATGAATTTATTTTTCAGACTTCTTAATATGATGAGGGAAAACTACTCTCCACCTATTCGACCACTTGCTATATACCCCTGGATAGTTTCTTCTATTTTCTTTATAACTTGAAGTTCTATGATTATGGTAACCTGATCAAATAGACAATCAACAAATTAGTCTGCCTATCAAGTACCATTAATCCATGGAATCATTTGTTCCCCATCTCAGGCGCGTGGAAAAAGATACAACGTATGTCGACTCATAGTTTCGAGAACAACTTGAACACCTACCGCATCCGATGCCTATCACACGTCTAGCCTACAGTATATAAAACCCACCTCAGAGTATCCAGGTGAGATTCTATTCTTCCATTCCCATCTCTCCTACACTCTCCCTCATCCTCTCTCTACTCTCCAACATCTCAGGTTTGAACCTAAGCCTCCAGGGTCTCTCAAAAGTTCGCAACCTGAATACAGCCACCGCTCACTGGATTCTCCTCAACAGCACCAGATTAGAGGCTGGGATGAGCTGTAAAACTTTCCTCGACAAATGGAGACGCGCCATCGCAAACATGGCGGTATTTTGGGGGTGAGGACAATGCACTTCCCGAGTCCGAGTTCCGTATGAGATAAGCAATCTACGGGTTGGATATATCCCTATGAAGTGCTATAGTCCCGCTACCAGCACTACTATCATCTTCCGTTCGTTCAACGTTCTCGATCGCCCCAACCTTGGAATGTTTGTGGCTTTGATCTGTCTTCGATGTGAGAATCTGACAATTAATACATGTGTGCTTCTTCCACGGTTGCCCAGCTATTCTGACTGTGCGACCGAAGTTCGACTTGAATAGTGGCTGTCGGATTTGCGTTCCACCGCAATAAGTACAAATCTGCCAGGGAGAACTCGCTAGATACGCTTATCAAGCTCATGCTCACATTCAAACTTCCCGCGACGGTCACTTGCAGACTCTGCTGGCTAGCTGTCACACTGATGATGAAGTCTGGATAGGCAGGTTGTGTGTATCTGCCGGTGTAGTCAGCCAACAGGAGTGAATGAGGGCGGCCAGGCAAAGGAGCAGATGGATACAGGCGTTCACAAGCAGTGGAACGTTGCTCTTTGGATTTGGCGATATTTTTATGCGTCCTAAGATGTATCAATATTAGTCCTCTCCCCAAAAGAAGAAAGAAATGGCATGGAGTTTACAGATCATAGAGTGACCTATGTAAGAGGCAAACTATACCAGTCATTCCACCATTCATCTTTCGTCTTTCTAGGCCACAAACGATGCCAGATGACTTCAAGCCACTCAGGGATCTCAGAAGGCAACTTATCATATAGCTCTCTTTCCACTATCAACTCATTTTGACAGTCATCACGAATGCACCTTGTAACCCGCAAAGGCCGGCTCAGGTATTGCAGGATCGGAATCAATTCCATTGGACATCCAACTTCCCCGAATTCTGTCACATTTGTCGTTTTTATACACAAGTTCTCTAATGAGATAGAGCCTTCCGGCTTGCCCGCTGATATCGCACAAAGATAGCACGCCCAAGAGCCGAGTCAAGCGCACAATTAACAAGCCGCTCGCGAATTGCACCATTGCACGCTTCAGAACCGCCGGCGGATTGACGAACGGCCCATTGCACTTGGTTGTCGAACTCATTATCAAATTCGGTGTTGACGAGATCGTCTGCTTCCCCGGGACCCTCTATACAGTCCCAGGTCTTCGAGACGTGCAACGTCAAGGAGACACATTTCAGTTGTGGCAGTGTCCCTAGTATCCTGTATACAGCGACCTCGGAATCTCCTCCTGTGCGATCTAAAGTCAGATCTAGATATTTGAGCCGAGTGCAATTTCGCGCAATTGCCGATAGGTCATGCATGTTAATAGAACCGACGGGGTCATTATCCTTGCTTGCTGCCAGCTTCAATTCGATTAAGCTGGCTCCGTGGGAATATATGCCAGTGACGATGTCCAATGCAGAGCTAACCATCCAACCCTTTAACTCCAAAGAGGACAATGGGCGCAGTCTCTGGAGAAAAGTGCCGATTTGCTGGTAGGCATTGTCCTCAATTGTATTGGGAATGAGGGCCAATGATTTCAAACGTGCAAAATCAACTTCCGCATCCAGATATTGTAGAAGATCGGTGTTCAGTGTCGATTTAAGCTTGAAAACCTCTAGAGCTGAAAAGTCCGTGCAAGCCGCCCAATGCTTAATATCGTCTTTTTTTATGAGAGACGTATGATCAAGTTGAAGGTACCTTAAGGCGCCACACTTTGAGTGTCTCTCCGGGGTTTGTTCCTTCTTCTGAGGAAATCCCCACCAAGGTGGCAGAGGAGACTTTGAAGGCGTTCCGCTACCAGACGGGCGATATAGAGTGACCTCTTTCAGATTGGGAGCAATTCCAGACGCCATGTGCATGATAGCTTCATTGAGGTAAGCACCATCTGGTAGTGGTTCTCGTTGTGGTATTATACGTCGGTCTGGATATCCTGGCCAAAATGAATCTTCGTACTCCCCCTTGAGGCTGAAAAGGCATGGGGAAGTGGCCAATTGGAACTCGTATGGATTCAACTCAGGGCTCTTCAAACTCCGTAAGAAGAAATTGTGGATATGAAGCTTGCATTGTGGATGATGGCGGTGAAGGGCCTCCAACAGACAAGAAGGAAATTGATGACGGCATAGGAAAATCAGATCTAGTAGCATGGGCAGTTGTTGGATCAAATCGGCTAGATCTTGCCAGACGTCAGGACGTGGGGAATCTGCCTCCGGTGGATAGTGCGTCCTCGCCCACCGATAGAGACTCTTTTGGCTGTTGAAGCGATCCAGAGATCCATGCAGATTGTTTTCTAAGACGGCCGTTCGGTTTCGGTCGATGCCTTCTGTGCCGCAACTTGCTGCTTCTCTCAACGTCGGCTCCTGGCCCACCACAAGCTGATTTACGTATCGGAAGCCTGAATTCTGTTGAAGGATCTGAGAAATAGATTCAACACGGTTTCTCAGGTTGTCACTTTCAGGCGCTGGGAATTTGAGAGTCTGGTAGAGAACAGGTAAAGCCAGAGCACGACAAGTTCGACTGGCGCCAGCAAAGGCACGGACACTGGGCTCATTTTCTTGCCATAGAGCCTGTAGAATTATATGATAAACCTCAGGGGGTAAAGTTTGAAAGCAGAGTAGCATGGTGAAACAGTTGTGGCAGTTGATTCGTTGAATACGACTGAGGGATAAGAATAGGTGAAGAAGGGAAGAAGAGAGAAGAGACTATCATTGATATAAGAATGCTGTAAGGCACGTGATGCTGACACAAAGTCAGTTCTGTAACTTCACTGAAGTATTCATATGCTGCCATTGCTCTTATTTGCGTTAGTCTGCACGCATAAGGGGTATTGCCTAGATAGTGAAGAGAGGAAATAGGCCTGTATCGGAATACTAGTCAGAAAAACCCACAGCAAAACATCAATATCTTTCCCTGGTCCACGCAGGAAATCAGAGAAATCAGAATTGCAGGACGTGATCAAAAGAGTCAAAGAAGCGTGTATTCTCTATGTTCGAACTGATCCCAACGCGAGACTATATATAGCCGGAAGAAACAAAAAGGGGATAATAGCTCCTCATTCCTGATAGGGTGGAGGTTTTCCCCACTACAGCAGGTACTAACTGATTGTAAGTCATGTGATATAGATAATGTAAGCCATTAAGTTTAATTTGGAAGTACGGGATATGGAAGGCGCGACCGACCAAAGATGCACTTCCCGAGTCCGAGCTCCGTCAGCCGTCTGTTCGTTCAATGTTCTCGATCGCCCCAATGTTTGTGACTTTGATCTATCTTCGATGTGAGAATCTGGCAATCAATATATGTGTGTTTCTTCCATGGTTGCCCAGCTATTCCGTGTGCGAAAATGACTTCCGCATTGGCGACAATGCCGACCGGCGAATCCCAGCGCAAACGCCGAAGACCCCCAGTGTACGCGTAGACCCCGAATCGGACATTGAAATTGCCGTGCACTGACTCCTCCTCCAGATCATGTACTGTGTGCAGGAAACGGAAAATAAAGTGTAATCGAGAATTACCGTGCAACCATTGCGTACGCTCAAGGAACTCGATTTGCGAATATGCGGATAGCTCGCCGCCTCCACCACGACGTGCGAGGCATAATCACCCTACTCCGACAAGTCTCACACAGGAATCCGATGAAGCTCAACCCCCTACCTCTACATCTGAGGATGTAATATGCCGTCTGACCAGGGTCCCGCAAATCCCAAATCATACATCGTCATCTATTGTGCATCACTCGGCCAGTCCATCTACTCCCGCCAGCCAGTCATCAGCTCGCGAGATCGAGGTATTAAGATCCAAGATTAAGCAGCTCGAAGATCAACTTGTCAAAGCTGAGCAGGCTTCTGCTCCATCTAATGTGGCGACTTCAATCTGGGATTCGAGAGCTAACTCTACCCAGATCGCAGGCATGTTCCATGTGCGCCGCGAAGCTCCGTCCGAGGGCGAGGAGCCGACCATGTCACGTTTTATTGTACATAAGACTCGCGTTTTGGGTCAGAGTCATTGGATCAATGGCGTTGCCGAGGTAAGTATCCTCAATTTGAATATGGGAACGGTCAACTGATGTTGGCTAGTTTTTGGATATCCTGGAATACCTCGAACCCACCCTTGCCAGTGGTAACTCGACTGCATTGTTTGATTTACAAAAGTGCAAGTATATAGGGAAGCTTATGAAAGCTCAAAGAACACCACCGTGGCCGACAATAGCAACCAATGAACTGCCGCCGAAGGAACTGGCGGACCAGCTTGTTGATATCTATCTACACGCTTTTGAATCCAGGTACCGTGTTTTACACGTCCCGTCGTTCAAGAAAGATTACGAAGCATTATGGGGCTCGGATTCGCCGCCTGATATGGGATTTATCATTCAGGTCAAGCTGATCATGGCGATCGGCGCTGTGTTATACGATGAAAATTATTCTTTGCGGACCCAATCTAATCATTGGGTCTACGAGGCACAAGCATGGATATCAGAACCGGATTTCAAAGCTCGACTCACTCTTCAGTTTATTCAGACCTCTATCCTGCTCCTAATAGCTAGGGAAGCTGTCTGGGTTAACGGGGCATTGATCTGGATCTCGGTCGGAGAATTGCTTCGAACAGCAGTCTACATGGGTCTGCATCGAGATCCTTCATTTTTACCACAAAGAAACACCTTTGTATCTGAGATGCGCCGCAGGCTATGGAACACGATACTGGAACTTGCAGTGAATACAAGTATAGATTCAGGTGGCCCTCCACTGTTACATATGGATGACTATGATACGCATCCGCCCGGCAACTTCGATGACGAAGATATTACAGCTGAAGACCCGGCACCAAAACCAGAAGGAACCTTTACACAAATGTCTATTCCGATAGCTCTTCGAAAGACTCTTGATGCCCGACTCGCTATTGTGGAGTCTTTGAATGGAATTGGCGTACATTGTTCCTACGAAGAAGCTCTACGCCTAGATACAGAGCTTCGCTCATCCTACAAAGCAATATGTCGCACACTACAAGGATACAGCTCTAACACCACATCCGCACTGTCACCATCATCATCCCCGTCTCAGTTTCAAATCCGAGCACTCGACTTCTTAATTCGCCGCTACCTCCTAGCTCTCCATACTCCATTCTTTCCTGCATCTCTACACAAAACCTCATACGCATTTACCAGGAAGATAGTCGTCGACACAGCACTTCAACTCTGGTGCCTCGTCAATCCTTCCAAAGATATAATGACCGTCCGACCGCATTTCCCAAACCAATCATCTACGCCAGATTATCTCGCTCGACTAGCACTATGTGGGTCTGGACCCCTTCGAACAACAACAACACAAGTCTGCTTCCTCATGGCAGCTGAACTTAAACGCCAACTACAAGAAGAAGATACCATTGGGCCCGTACCTTTGCGACGAGATCTTTTATCTGTCGTCGAACAGTCCATAGAGTGGACCTGGAAGTGTCTGGAAGCTGGCGAGACCAATACAAAGGGGTTCCTGTTCTTATCGTTAGTGAATGCTCAGCTTCATGGGCTTATGCGTGGGATTTCGGAAGAACAGTTCCCAGCTTTGTATGTTGAGGCTGCGGAGAAGGCCCAGTCAAAGGCTGTAGCTCTGTTTGAGGAGAAAATGAGCGGCCATGAGAGGGATATCCAGGTGGAGTTGGCTGGGATTAATGACATGGCGTGTGAAGATTTACCGAATCTACTAGGTGACTGGGACTTTATGGTGAGATTTACTATGCCCTTTGATTTTGGTTACCATTGCTAATCTCGATTTTCATAGATACCTGACCAGTTTGACCCCGTTTCGGATCTCAATTGGCCCATTTACGGAGAATTCTAGAGCATTCTAGACGTGCTATGAAAATATGACATCTGCATATTTCTGCGTGTATCGCGCATTTTAATCAAAATCCATGCAAATACTCCACCCATACTCCACACTGGAAAGTTCTCCAGGACATTTCCGAACCCACGTGCATGATAGCCTGGACAGGAAATGGATACGGATAAGTTAATGAAGCTTTTCAGTTTAAAGCTTACGCAAACAGGAACTCCTGAACAAGATGAGATCTACAGGCCCGGTGTCCAAGCGGAGCGTGACAATCTCGGTAGTCAGATGCGAAAAGCTTCTTCGGACTTTACCGTGATATTCCAGAGAACTGGAAGACCTGGAAGAACTACCAGATCATCCCCCGATTTCAATATCACATATAATCAATCACTTGTACATAAAAAAGAATTGAAGTATATCCTATTAATCAATGAAACAAAGATCACATCCGGTTCATAATAAATTTCAGGACTCATGCATAAGCATCAGGATCAGGATCAGATCATCAATGCGGGGCAACCCGATCAACACACGAATCACATCCTCGCACGCGCCCATGTCGTGCCGATCCCAGGAACAAATGGCACAATGTAACATTCACCTGCACTAGCTCCGTTCTACAGTGCTTACTGCTTACTCTCCAGTCTTCACTGACCAGTGCACTTGTGCGTGATTGGTACCCGCCAAGAGGGGAATTTATCGACCTAACCCGAGCAGCGATCAAGATCAACATCAAGATCAAATATAAAAGACAAGAAATACCCAACTTGACCTCTATTGATTATCACTAGGTATAATCCAAGTCTCAAAATCCCTACCGCATCATGTTCATGCACAAAGTCTTCCCTCTCCTCCTCGCCGCCCTGGCAACAGCAGACCCAACCGTCTACTTAATTCGCCACGGCGAAAAACCAAGTAACGGATCAACGGGTCTAAGTGCCCAGGGTCTCGAGCGGGCGCAATGTTTGAAGAATGTCTTCAGCGCTAGCTCCGAGTATGATATTGGGTATATTATTGCTGAAGAGCCGAAGAGTGGTACGTTACTTACTTCCCTACAAGATAGCTTGTTAATTACTTTACTTTAATGCCTCTCCTATTCCTATTCCTATTTCTATTTCTATTTCTATTTCTTTCCTGAATCAACCCTCTGTCCATATTTCACTTAACCAACATACATAACCTTAGATGGAAAACGCGACCGTCCCTACGAAACGGTCGAACCCCTCGCAACCGAACTAGGACTTACAGTCGATACATCCTGCAGCAAAACAGATGCGAAATGCGTCAAAGACCTCGTGAAGGATTACGATGGAAGTGGAAATATTCTTATCTGTTGGGAACATGGGGAATTAACAGATATTGTTGATGAATTGGGGGATGATAATGCGCCGACTTATCCTGATGATAGGTATGTTTTCTTCAGAGACAAGACGAGATAAGGCCCTAAGATCCATTCAATGTTGTGAGTTTCAAATTGAATGGATGAATGGCTAATGTCGTTGGGGTTTAGTTTTAACATTATCTGGACTGATCCTTCGCCTTATACGAATATTACGGCTGAGACTAGTGAGGATTGTCCTGGGTTGGATAGTTGAGCTGTTTATGCATTTATCTATGAATGTCTGATGACTCCCACTCTAAAATATCGGGTCTGTTGTTCAGTATCTAATCGTGGATACTGTGAACAGATGATTCAAAGTTTGACTGGGGTTACCTGAGCTGGTTCTAAGTAAATAGAACATAGAATGACATTTATCATGAAGTATATTTGATGATTGGTCTTATCACTATACGGGAACTTGAACGAGGTCATTCCCACACATTCCGGGGACTAACTTATGGTATGTACAGTTTAGAGGGACTTTATTTGTCTACCATTTACAAATTTAGGAATCGGACTTCAAGATCAAAATATATTTGAGATTTATGATACATTGCTCTTCTAAATGGCTAGTAATAATCTATATCAAGCCTAATACAAACATGCGAACCAGTCGCACATATGCTCTAATTACATACACTCTTGTCTTCTGTCTTCGACAAATCCTTAGTCATTTTCGTACTACTCGTGCTCGTAGAAGCAGATGTAGTACTCGCAGTGATACTCTCAGCCATCTGATCCTGCCAAACAGCATACCCCGATAACTCAAGTAAATGCCTCTCCCGATAAGTGAAAAGTCTCACGCCATCCGTGCGCAGAAACCTCCCTGCATGATCTAGAAGAAGCCGCGCATGATTTTCCTTTGAAGCAGATAATCGCAGAAGAACATCATATGTAATGATGTATTCTGGATGATGTAGTGTTGCAGACTGTGTAGGTGGGATTTCTGACAGAAGAGTAGAAGTCAATTTATCATGTGCCAGTGAATCAACGTATGTTTCCAGCATACGGTTCCGGACAATGAACTGGAGCATTGATTCTAATGAACATTTATCGATGAGCGGTTGTGGAATGGCATGATCTGGTTCCGATAATGCCTTCTGCATGGCAATAGCGTACTCCAGATCCTCTGTCAATGGAGTTAATTGTAACTTTGCAAGACTGATATGGTCTAGAATAGGCCGATCGTATCCTAGCTTCTTTCGCCAGAAATAGTTGCACATGATCAGTGAGATAATACATGGTATTAGCACGACATACCCCTCCCAATGTGTAGCTGTAACCATTGATGCAGCACCGGCTACTAGGCCATTCACTCCATTGACGATAGCGTGCCATTGGAAGCGACGGAATCGGACCCGTAGTCTGCGACGAATATCATCGCTTGGTTCAACGGATACCACGGCTCGATCGTGAAGGTAGAATCGTCGAATGAGATATCCGGACCAAATAGCATTGACGAGTCCAAATATAGCTGCAAGTGCATTTCCAATATATCCTGATAGAAGATTTGAGGCCTTGTACACATGGCGATTTGCACCTCCAATCGCCATTAATGTTCCTACTCCGACGAGGACGGACCCAGCGCCCATGAGTAGATCCATAACTATCCGGTCGACGACTTCGGTTCCTATCTCCCGTAGTCCAACGCCGAGTCTACTATCCAGGACTCTTGTCATCTCCACATTCCGACAGTGATACTGCTTTAATCGTTGGAGGTGTCCCCGTTCTTCTTTGAGGAGTTTCACATTCCGATAACTTAGTTTGAAGTCTTGAATTGCAACAAAAACCATTGCAAGTGCTAATGTACCTCCTATTCCCATTAGGACTGCTGCAAATCTCGGAACAGGAATATCATTCCATACGTTTGCGGCGAAGTCTCCTGCATTTGCGAGCTCGAGGTATCCAACGCTCGCGAGGAGGGAGTTTTTAAATTGTTGTTGGTGGAGGAGTTTGAATCGTCCTCCTCGTCGTCGGATGAGGGGGACTTGGTCTTTGGTTGTTTCTAGTGCTTCTTGCCAGGTTATGTCGCTTGCTTCGCGGAGGAGTTTTGGGATTGGGGCGTTGTTGGATCTGAGGTTTATGTCGAGGGGAGAGAGTTCGAGGTCCGATTCCATTAGGGGGGATGGTTTCTTAGAGGTAGAGGGGTGAATTGGGGACGGAGGGGAGATGAGTGTGTCGGAGGAGGAGCTTGGGTGGGCCATTTGGAGGATCATTGGTTATGGATGATTGAACATGTCGAGTAATTCGATGACTTGGGAGCTGATAGGTTTCAGCTGGTAGGAGAGAGAGAGTGAATGAGGAGGAGAAGGAGGAGGAGGAGGAAGTTATAAGAGAGAAAAGAAGCAGGAAGTCAGTTTGGGGGGAAAAGACGGAGACGGATAGAACCAACTTTGTGGTTGGGATCCACTTGTGGCTTGGCAGCCCTGTAGGGCTGAACATCCCCATATTTAGCGTATATTCTTAGTACGAGAGTATTATTTAGTATTGTAAGGGGTTGTTTTATTATTTATTTATTTTTTAATTTACTATTAAATTTCCTATTTCCGGTAGTGTCTATTTATTGACTTGCTTCTATTGATTCATGTTGCCTACGGTGGATATAGTTATTTCCCCCTTAAATTATTATGGGGCGGCCGCGTGTGGCCACATTGCCTGCCCGGTGACTATGAAGACACTAATAGGTAAATGGAGTTAATAGAGATATATGGTCTAGAAATAATTTGAAACAGAGGGATTTTTGATACTATTCATAGTTCGGTTTATATTTTTCACAGCCAGAGCTAGTAAACAAGGAAACCCGTACCCAATATGCGGTCTACACGCAATGCAGCTAATAGCAAGGAACATATAGCAAAGACAGAAATAAATAAATCAACAAATAAATAAAAAGACCGCTATGCTATGCCTCTTTTGTCCACTTTAGTTCATCCCCTGCTTTATTTGCACTGAGTGCGCGGATCATTTTAACGCCTGCATCTGCTGCGTCACACGACAGTCCATTCCAGAACTCTGCCTCGCAATCAGATCCCCGAAGGACCTCATCCTGTGGCTTTTCAGTACTCGGTGGCGCACTCCCATCACTATTCTCGGATGATTGTTCATTCTCCGATGTCCCATATACATTCACTCGTTCGTGGAAGCGAACTCGTTGCCGGACCCGTGAACCAGGGGAACCAGGAGATCCACTTTGAGCAGCGAGGGTAGCCTCCATGAAGCTCTTTCGGACTGAGTAGCGCTGAGCTTCTTCTGTGCGTAGTGCATCGGAGAAAATCTTCTGGAGAGCAGTGGCGGCTACAAAGCGGAGAGCTAGGTACGCTTGTTCTGCTAAGAAGACAGTCAAGAGTAGAGACCAGAGTTTTACCTCCGACATTGGACCGCGGTATAAATGGACGATAGCTGCTGTTGATAATGTGCCCATCCATGCGAGGAAGTCGAGACCAAGTAGGGAGGGACCAATGGAGTCTGCTCGAATTGGTGGTGGACGTTGACATTCGAGTGTTAATTTGAAGAAGTCACCTCGTAGCTCGAGCCAGTTGTTTAGTAGGAAGCCTAGTGGTACAAGGGGCCATGCAACGCCGAAAAGTGCCAAGTAGCCGAACTGGACACACATTTCCAGAATGTCGTCTTCGACTTTGTATTCCTCTGCGTCCGTTTCGCTGCGTACTCGCTTGAGAAATTTGGCTTCCTCGGGTACATCGATCAATAAAAGATCAGTTGCGGTGGAGAAACTGCGTTTCCGAGTTAATCCGAACTGGCGGTCACGGTAGTCACGCCATTTCTGCCATAGGACATGCTTAACGTAGGGGAGGACGATCTCCTCTCCGAAACCGACGACCTGTGCTGTCATGGAGAGGTAGATGACTTCCTGTTGGAATCGAGAGGTATCCACTTCGAAATCTTGGTGGGATGCTAGTTCGGCGCTGAGAAGACCCGCTCGTCGGAGAAGATCTAGATGGGGAACGATTGATTTGCCGAAGGGGACGTAGATGTATGCTGTGAGGATTGTAGGTAGGAAAGAGGTGATGAAGTTCATAACGAAGGTTTTTTGTGTTTGAGCGAGATCGAAGAGGTCTTGTGTGCGGTAATTTTCGTATTTGGTTAATCGGGTTGCGATGCTAGTGAGAAATGATGTAATGGCGGGTAAAGAGAGGGAAAAAAGAATTGTAGGGACGAATTCCAGATATCCTTTCAGTGGTCCGTTGTATACCTCTGAAATGAAGACTTCGGATGCGAATGTTGCCACGATCAAGCCGCCCAGTGCGACCGCGGCAACTAATGCGAATGGGATTAGGAGTAGTTGACGTAGGAACTGTTTCCACCCGGGAAATACTTTCATCATCTGCCCGGTGACAGGATCCTTGACTTCTTTCTCCCAGTGGTATTGGGGTCGATTCACTTTCAAGCTTCCGGCCCCTTTTACTCCCCATCGGAGAGCGAGGTCATGTTCCCGGATCTTCCAGTACTCGACAAAGACCACGCACCAGATGCAAAGTGCAGCACCGTTGATGATGGAATATGCGCCTAGGTATAGCCATGCGATGATTCCTAGGACTGCAGGCACGATTAAAAACAGCGAATAGCATTGAATGAAAGCGAAGTAGAAAGCGACCTGAATCGTTAGTCAGTCAGAGCTTTAATAGTAGAACTTTCAATGGTGACCTTGGACCTTACCTTTTCACCAAAGATTGCGCGGATCGCATCCAGATCCTCTGTATTCAATACAGTTTTTCGATTCCATTGAGCTAATAATTGCGAACAGGCATCCTGATCATGTAATGGGAATGAGGCCGTGATATTCTTCCATTTGCCGTGGTTGGGGGTGATACCGGCACCGCCCAGATTCTTCCCCCAAGTCACCGCGTGGTATACGGAGCGGAGTTCCTCTGCGGCGGTCTCCGCGTGCGCATTGGTGGTGTCATCGCCTTCGGGGAGTGTATGTATGAGACAGTACAGCCAATCTTTCATTCTAATCCACCAGCATTAGTATATGTAAATGCGAGATTGATTTTGAGTTTTGAATTCTTGGTGTAATTATAATTGTAATTGCGATGCGATGCGATGCGATGCGGTGTAGCTTACCGTGATTGATGGATCATTTTCCCCAATTGATCCCTCGGGACTCGAATACAAACTAGTAGTGAAGAACCGTGACCGTGACGAACTTGCACACGAAGACCAGCTTCGGTGAGATCATTGACTAAGGCGCGGAATTCGGAGACAGCCTGTGCTTGGTCTGGAGACGTTAGTATGGCTGTACTTGGTCTGTGTAGATTGGATTGGGTTCTGCAGTCGTGCTCTGCAAGAGTGATGCAGACAGACGTACCGATATCACTAAATTCATATTGCAGGACCCAGTCAATGCCTAGGTTATCGTTTTCCTGGTCATCGAGGTTGCCGTACCCCGCGAGCCAAGACATGGCTGGGTACAGCCGGGTACAGCAGAGAGAGACAAAAGAAACACAAGGAAATAAAGCTTAAGGACAGAATGAACAGAACAGAAAAGACGGTGTAGGGATGGAGTTGGAGGGAGAGTGGGAAGAAACAGGAAATTGAAATCGGGGGGAAAAGAGAACTATGTGGGGGGGGGAGGAAGAAAGGCATGATACGCAGTGGGTTCCACCAAGGGAATCGGTTGGAATCAGCCGCTTACTGCTGCCAGCCAGCCTTGTTAGATCTGGGGAATTAATTCAAGAATGAATGGTACAAACTAATTAGTAAACTATTTATGGTTTTTTATTATAATACTATAATCATAATAACAGTAATCTCTAAATGAATGTAAACAATGCGATCATGGGGATCCACGGCCAAGCTTCAGCCCTACAAGGCTGTATTACCCCGTCCCGTACTACATAATACACGAGATTTCAATGTTGCCACTGGACTCCATTGTAGTTTAATATTAATATTCATCAATCTATAATTCATCCATTGGCTATAATATGCTCCTCATTGTTCGATGTACTAAGTACACAAAGTGTAGTAGTCAATGCACAAGGACAAACGAATCGCTGTTTTCTCTTCTTCACGTTGCTTTGTGTGTAACCCACCCGTGTCTTCTAAGGCGCTAATCTGTACGCGGACCTGTACTTGGACCCACTCTCTGCGTGTTGATCCGTGACTGGCTGGAGACGCAAACTTGAGGAGAAACCGCAGGGAATCGGCCTGGATTGCCATCCCTGGATTAAGAGTGGGGATTTACTCAGAGTAATTTGCTGTAGCTGGCCTTTATCACTGGGATGGCAAAGAAACGTATTCCGTACAGGGAGGGAAGTGTACGTGATATACACGTATTATACCGTAATTTACAAAATACTGCTGCCTGCCACTATTAGCGCCAAGACACGGGGCAGTCAGGAGTGAATGCACTTTACACTCCGACAAACACACAGTTCTTCTTCTTATTGACAGGGCATATCACAATTATGATATGGAAAAATCCAGAATATCCCGAATACATACCACTTTGGGCAATCAAATGATCGTCAGAATGAACTACCATCACCGACACTAACACCGACTTTTATCCGCCAAGCCCCGAATACCCACGAATACCCACCCTTGGGTATAGCTGATCCGGTTGGCTCATAAGCCAACTGGGTCAATGACGCTGTCCCAACGAATTCTGATCTGAATTTGCACTCAATTGCGGATAAAATGGACGCGGACGCCTTCAAGGCATCACTTTTTGTATGCATTAGCCACTCAGCCTTCATTCCGTCAGCCACACTCGCTTTGTAAGGCTGTGCCTATCCGCCGCTTCCATTGTCTGAGCTTTGTGCATTACCTGCTCGGCTTTATACCTATATCATGGTAGTCTTCCTACCTGATATGCGATCATCCAGTTTGAGTTTCTAGGAACTATCCCTGCGGATAGGAGGTTATCCCAGCTTCTCTTTCAGCTTTGTCCATTATCGCTCCTCCCACTGCAATATCGAAGCTATCTAATTATATCATATCGGATCTTCGATCTTCTGCCAACCCAACCAGTTCATGTTCACCACTTTACTTGACCTCATGGCCCGCCGTTTCCTACGCGGTCAAAGTGTCACCTTTGGCTTGAGTTTATTCCTCTTCCTCTTCATGTTTATGCCGACTTTACTTGTTCTACTTGCTGTTGTGGCCTTTTTCTTGCTGGCTTATCCCCGGCTGCGGACATCTTATGTCGACGATGGCGAGCAGGGTGTTGAGCCTGAGTTGAAAACCATTGATTGATCTCGTTTGGCTCTATGGTTGAATTGGTTCAATTGGATGAATTCAGGTATTTATTATCCAGAATTAGGCATGGTTTATCATTTTTGTGATGTAGATGGAGTATTGGCTAACTTACTCGTTAGACCGGATCAGCATGAGTTATGCATTACGAATTGGGTATGATCGGTCTTGACTGATCGGAGTTAATTGAAGCTTGTTTGATCTTGTCTCTCCTTATTTGTGTTTTGTTGAGGTGCAACCATTGTTTGTTAAAAGCCCTGTCTACAGTATCTTATTCAAGCGGAGTCTCCATCCGTACTCCCAATAATACAACTCCACTTCATCCAGGATACAACAAGTAATCACTCGCTTAAAATAAAGCTGCCTAGTGCCAAGAGCCACTCGACTCGGTCCAATTTCAACTTGACCCACCAGCCCGAAAGGGTGAATAACCTGAGAAGCAGAAACAGCCTACATACTCAATTAATAAACCGACAATGTAAAACCTCAATAAATCGACCCTTACATTATTCTACATTCAAAATATCACTTAATATAGTGAATAAAATACAAGACTGGCTCGTAGTACTCCCAATGTTGTAGCTGTTTAAAACGTAAAAGATTCTTCTTCTCGGCATCTTCATCCCGAGCCAAACTTTGTCTTTGCCCCTTCCACGCTTGGACCCAATCCTACCAAATCATACGCACCATGTACTGAGCCAGTTATCCACCATCAACTCTCTAATTCGCTGCCTTATTCGCTCTCAAAATTTGCTTCCTTTCCATTTGGGGACCCCCGACGTGGGGCAACGGGTAGGGCTGAGGATGAACTTGCCTAACGACGTAAGCCGCGACTGGACAGGGTTGCAATGCCAATGCCAATGCCAATGCCAATGCCCAGGTTGATTCAACAGGTTCTGTGCCGGAATTTTACATCTAAACTTCAAATTTCAAGTTCCAAACTCCCTCATCTTATGCATCATCACCACATCTGCAGCTACACCGGGCACTTACGCTTACCACGCACTTGACTCTTCGATGAATGTGGATTTCTCTTCGCACACTACTTCTCTTACGGTCACTGGAGTGCCCGCTTCTTTCCAAGGTAGAATGGGCTGAATGACATGATATTTCTTTGCTCTTTTTTCAGAGCTTACTGCAGAGTTCCATCTATACGTCGACTCTAGTCTACTCTCATCCGACTTTGAAACCAGTCACCAGTCACCGGTCGCACTATCAACTTCTGACTTAACATGTCTCAAGAAAAGATGGCAGAGATCCCCCGCTTCAGCTTCTTCTCTTCAAAGACTCAACAAGCAATCACAGCTTCGTCATGGGATAATCTCTTCCCCGATGGTAAGCTGGACGATGTCATTCAGGAGAAACTCAAAGCTAGACCCGAGCCCTCTTGTCCAGTCTTCTGGTTTGATATACGTGACCCGACCGATGAAGACGTCGACCAGGTTATGCAAACGCTGAATATTCATCGATTAACAGCTGAGGATATCAAGCTGCGTGAGACGCGAGAGAAAGTCGAGGTGTTCCGGAACTACTACTTGATTTCGTTCAAGACGCTCGTTGAGCCGTCAAATCCCGAACATGAACGGCCCGGTATTCCCTCTTCGGCATCGATGTATATCCTCGTTTTTCAGTATGGCGTTATTACTTTCTCGCCGAGGGGCTGCTCTCATGTTCATCGTGTTCGCAATCGGATTCGGAAAATGCACGATATTCCTTTATCCAGTGATTGGATCTGCTATGCTCTAATGTACGTCAAGCCCACCGGCACACCCACCTTAAACAGTCTGGTGAACACGATCCAACTAACTGAAACCAGCGACGACATAATCGACAGCTTCCAACCCGTAAGCACCTCTGCATCAACCGAAGCAGAAGCAATAGAAGATCAAGTCTTCATCGCCCGCATAGACGACGTCCAAACCCTAATTCCTCGAATCGACGCCCTCCGCAAAAAGATCACCCACACTCTCCGCTCTCTCCACGGAAAACTCGACGTTCTCAACGGCTTCGTCAAACGCTGCGAAGCAGCAGATAAACTCCTCCCTATCTTTCCAGACGGAGAACTCATTTTGTACTTAGGCGATGTACAAGATCATCTGATTACTACTATTTCCACATTAGCTCATATTGATGAGATTATCGGACGGTCGCAGGGTAATTGTCTTGCGCAGCTTAGTGCTACTAATCTTAGGATTAGTTTGACTGTTAATTCGGTTATGAGCAAGGTTACTATTTTGGCTACTATCTTTGTGCCTTGTCATCTTGTTACGGGGATGTTTGGGATGAATGTTGTTGTGCCGGGGCAGGAGGATAGTGGGTTGACGTGGTTTTTTGGGATTGTGGGTGCTTTTGTGGTTTTTATGATTGTTTGTATGGGGGCTGCGGCGAAGTATAAGTTGTTGTAGATTTTTATAGATGGAGAGAGATATTTTACAATAGATGGATAATGTTAATGCTCTCTATACTAAGCTGTATATGACTAGGCTGATGTTCTACTTGGGTACTTACATTGTTACAGACATAGCTGAAAACTAGGAGGAAGCAACTTGATTCTCTTCTCCCTTGCAGAGGGTAAGAACTAACTAGATAGACGGGTCGGGGTTGGCAGAACGACTTGGAGTACAGACGTAGACTTGATAAGTACCTTCCAACTTTCACACTTTAACACTCTTCAGCTCTCCATCTTTGTTCCTCAACTTCCCCTTGCCCTTACGAACGCCACGTGGGTTTTTAAGATCATGGTTCTGATGGCGCAACAGAAACGAGGGAAGAAAACAGCGTGTGGTGGTGGGAGGTTATTCCTCCCAGCCCTGTGGCTATCTAAACTAGGCAAAGGGCAGAATGCACCGCCAGCCTCATCGCCGCGCATGGATGGATGCATCGTCTCATCCCATCAGGTTCTACGGCGCTATCACTAACAGAGTTCGGACCAAGGAGACGCTTCATTCTGCATATCCTGTAGATGCAGAATGCATGACAGTCCTTCTTCTTCTGGTCGGAGCCACCGCAACTATGGGAACTCCCCATCGTCGAAGACCTACTAGAACATTACAGCTTTCAAAATCATGCTTGGGGTCAAGTCCATCACCATGTATGTTCAGTTAAAGTTATTCCTCATCCTATTACCAGTACATACGACCACAGGGTGTGGAGAACAGGGCTTCCCGTCCGCTCAGCCGTACTTAAGCCACACGCCGGTCAGTTAGTAGTATGGTGGGTGACCACATGCGAATCCTGACTGTTGTATGTTTTTGCTTTTGCTTTTTTGTTTTATTTAGTTGATATGGAAAATTTATAAGCCTTGCGCCAGTCGAAGTATTGTCAGCTAGAGTTATAGCACCGTAGCCGTATACCTGGGCCTCTTCGATAGTAGCTTTATCTCCGATCCGGTAGCTAAGGTTAGCAGCGACTCCCTTAGGTATGTATATGTAACTATTATATCGAACTACGGTAAACCGTTGGAGTAGATGACGGGGGATGGGCCGAAAGATAGAGTTCTAGAATGAGGCTTATCAGACTTGGTACTTGAGGGCGCAGCGGAAATGACGAGGACGTTCGCTGCGACGAAAGACTTACGAATGTCAGCCGGAGATATTAGTGGTAAACTTCGCAAGATTAAACTGTAAAGTTATTGAAGTGGTTCTCTTCAATTGATGAAGAATGTGAATAAACTAGGTGGAAGGGATATAGTTGGAGGATGGTGTATATCGGTAGCTTTGAGAGTTTATTTCAGCTTGTTGTATATAAGTTGCTATATGCAGTTGTTAACATATAGTTGCTATCTTCCTTGGAAAGGTTTGTGTTGGAAGCTACTTAGATATATGAATACTTGATAAACAAAGCAGTAGGCTATATTACAGTAAGGGTGTGTTTGGTTTATAGAAGTTTTCTATCCATATGCACGTGATGTAAGGCCCCCCGAAGGTGTAAGCTGAGTAAGACGAATAAGAATGAGCGAGATCTCTACTCCTTCACTTTCTCGATTCTTCATCCGTCATTATATCAGTGTCACTGTACCTGTGAAATACCTTACCATGCCGCAGAAATCACGATGGAGCGTTTCTGTTCCGGAGGTGGACATTCCCACCTATCTCTTCGGCTCCCCTACAGCTCCACTCGGCGATGCTCTCGCCTTTGCTGACGCTGAACACCCGGAGACGCTGTGCATGACATGGACTGAGCTCCGTCTCTGGTCCCAGCGTTTAGCCGCAGGGTTACAAGCCGCGGGATTAAAAGAAGGCGATCGAGTCGTTATCCTCAGCGGTAACGACGTTCTCTTCCCCGTCGTCAACCTTGGCGTTATTATGGCCAGTGGCATATATCAGTCCGCGAATCCGCACTCTAATGCCCGCGAGTTGGCGTATCAGCTGAGCCTCACCACGCCGAGCTTCATACTGGCGAGCGAACTAACTCTAGCCTGCGCTCTGGAGGCCGCCAAAATGGTAGGCATGGGACGGGAACGTGTTTATGTGTTTAACGATGTTCCGCTCATCAAGGATGGCGGCGGTGATGATGATTTTAAAAATGATGTGAAGCATTGGAAGCACTTACTAGCGCCGAAAGATGTCGGTAGGCGCTTCGTTTGGAAGAAGCTAACTCCGGAAGAATCGAAGTCGACAACCGTCTATACGATAATGACATCTGGGTTCGTCACCGTAGCATTTCTTGTCTCCAATGATGCTAATATTATCATTGACAGAACTACTGGTCTTCCCAAAGCAGCAGAGGCGTCACATTATGGCATTCTCGCAAACTGCGTTCAGACAGATTTCGTAATGAGACTTGATCCCAACCTCTGTACGAAAGAGCTGGCGGCCAAAAATTCCAGGTGGCTGTGCACCATTCCACTCTACCACGGCCTGGCACTGTGCTATTTCTGTACCATTTCCATCGCGAGACGGGTCCCCTCGTACATCATGCGGCAATACGAGATCAACAGTATGCTGGAAAACATCCAGAGGTTTCGTATCACGGAGCTGCACCTTGTGCCGCCCATCATCGTGGCCATGACCAAGCATCCTGCTGTGAAGAGTGGAAAATATGACATCAGCAGCGTCACTAAGACTTTCTCGTGTGCAGCACCGTTAGGTCCAGAACCGACTTTCCAGTACGAGTCGCTTTGGCCCAAAGGACACGTAAATGTTAAGCAGGGCCTTGCATCGACAGAGTTCGTCTCTTCTCTTCGCTAAGTACCACTTGGCATAGCTTGGAGTAGTGGCCTGTACTTACTCTGCCCACAGATCCTGCTGCAATACTATCGGTTGGGATCCTACCCTAACGGCAGTAGCCGGCTCCGTTGGCGAGCCCATGCCGAACTGTGAGATAAAGCTGATGGATGACGATGAGAATGAGGTTGCGCGAGGACAAAGCGGGGAAATATGGTTCCGTGGTCCGAATATTATGAAGGGTTACTGGCAAAACAAAAAGGCGACTGATGAGAGTATTACCCCAGACGGATGGTTGAGGACAGGAGATGTGGCACGCCAGGATGAGAAAGGGTGGTATTATGTCGTGGATCGGAAGAAGGCAAGCCATAGTGGACATGTGAGTAAAGTCGAGGACAACGGCTGACATCTTATGGCAGGAAATGATCAAGGTGAAAGGCGTCCAGGTCTGGCCCGCTGAGCTCGAAGCACTCCTTCTTGATCACCCTGCTGTCAACGACGCCGCCGTCATCGGCGTGAAAAAGTGAGGCTCGATAGAATTCTCTTAGATGGGCCTTATTCCATAGACTGACAGAGACAGGGGAGACGAAGAGTACCCTCGTGCCTACGTTGTGGCAGCGCCAGGGGCTTCTGTCTCCGTAGACGACATCATGCAATTCGTCAACAATAAGGTATCAACGATCAAGAGACTCACGGGCGGTGTTGTCTTCACTGACGCCATACCCAAAGCTCCGGTATGTTCTGCTTAAATACTAGCAAGGGTATATGATAACACCTAATGGACTGTCTAGTCTGGGAAGATTTTGCGACGATTGATTAGAGATGCTATCGCGAAGAATTCGAAATTGTAAAGCAATGTAATCAAGACGGTGATGTGCTTGGTTAAGAAGCTCGAAAGGAGGAAGCTCGACTAGTCGGACTATATTGACATCTACTCTTGCCTAAAAGGGTAGAATGTGGAGTTTGTAGGAGTGGGTCTTGGTGTAGACATTCTTTCATAAGCTACGATGATAGGAAGTTGGCCAATTTTGTAGTAGCAGAATATTTGGTTAAATGTTAAATGTTGGAGGTGTTTTTGATAGGTAGATCACAGTAAAATATATCTCTGTGCTCCTTATAGAATGCGAGAATGAAGTCAAATATAATGATAGGGGATACTTAGATAGATCCTTGTGCCTTTTCCAGCTCCATGGGCAGATTTCATGTAGCCCAAACACTGGAGACGATGAGAATGCCTTAAACTTCTGCTGTTTGATTTGGTGGTTGAGAGTCTGGCGGAGACTCGTCCTAGCGTCATTAGGGACAAATATTCTTCTCGTTTTGTTTAAGTTAATAGCGAGGTCATTAAACGTTTTTCGATACTTTAACGTCGCTGTACTGGAGTTCGTGAATTAATCAAATTCTTCGCTGATCTTTGAATTGGTTGTTTCAATCGCTTAGTGTAGATTCATTGGCTCCTGGAGCTGCTCGAGAGCGTCTGAGAAAATGGTGAATTCTGACTTCTTCGGCATTGTCGGTTAACGCAATTTTCGACTTTCACCATGCCAGATTTTGATATTGCTCCTGATAAAAGTCTTCCTGCAGCGTGCACTTCTTTTTCTCATTGCCTTCTTCTTTCTCTTCAAGTTTCAAAAAGCTTGAGGAGTTTGGTCCACCTTGATTATAGTGCATAATCTTTTTCTTGGGTTACTATCGATTCGCGTTCTGATGAATGATGGTGTTGATCAAGCGGCGGTTTTTTCTTGCAACTTGAGGCGCGCGTTCATCTTCTTTGTGACTGAGTCAGTTCAACCACATACTTGGTGATTGCGTTTATTATCTCTCGGCTTGTTGTAGCTGATTCTGAGCTGTAGCAGATGATATCCGGTTCTCGATTACTTCACGCACATTTTTCTCCAGTTTGTAGGGGGTTGTTTGAAGAAGAAGAAAGTGTAGGGTTGACGGGGACAGAAGAAAGGAATATATTCTTTATATAAAATTTCTTCTTCCGATGCCTCCTCTCTATTCGCTTGGTATGTGAAGATGTTGAGTGAATTCGAAGTGAAGATGTTGTATGAAGGAAAAGGAAGAAGGAAGAAGGAAGGAGGAAGGAAGAATAAATAGATAAATTTTTATACTAGGCATCTTCTTCAGATTGATGAAGAAGTTGAATAGATTCGGAATACTGAGCTGCCTGCCGTATATGGAAATCAAAGCTCAATTCGCCAACAAGCTTGCGAACATTACTAGGCAGAGTAAGTAAAATCGTCAGATTTCAATAGGAATAGGCATCAGGCATCAGGCAGACGTAGAGGTAGATGTAAAGATAAAACTTACTTGATCAAATCTTGTAAACTGAAACTGACAACGGACCTCAAAACCTCTAGTGTTACAAAAGCAGAAAATACCGGATCCGCCACATGCCGAATACTCAACAACTCATCGTCAATTTTATGCATCTGCTTCGCGAGTGGAAATGAGTCAGGTGTAGATAGATAAGGCGGTAAAGGTTGAGCATTTGAGATAGAAGCAGAGAGATGACAGAGTAATGACGTGATACGGTGAGAGTTAAAGTCTGTAGACTTCAGTGCTATCTCTGCTAGACGGGATTTCCATTCTTCGCCATGCTGGTCTTCGACTGGAGATGGAGACGAATCTGGTTCAACGGATAAAGCATCTAGAGTCTGGGTTATATGAGCCATTAGTGACATGCTTGTGAGAATTCGTTGGATCTCTGAGATAATGTTGTCGTATATAGGCTTTGGGAACTTGCCACCAATTGGTGGTTCAAAGGTACTGAAATGACTGTGCATTCGTAGACCGGTCAGGAGCATCATTTCGTCTTTGAAGATCTTATGTCTTGAACCCTGCAGTTGATAGGCTGGTGAGGTCTTGTCTTCGATGTCACCTAGTTCGTTGACGAGCCAGAGCTCTATAGTTGCGTGCATTGCACTGTAGAATTTGGCTAAGACGAAGAGACTTTTTCCGAGCAGTTTGCGCAGTTGGGATTTTGCTGTTATTGGGTATGGGAAGATTACCCAGAAAAATGAGATAGCGCATCCTGCTGCTACGGCTGCGAGTTTGTATGGGCCGAATATGTAGATTGGGTAGTATGGTTGGCCGTTGGACTCGGCTTCAGTGATACCCAATTTGCGGACCTGTAATTCATCAGTTTGTGATGGCGTGTTGTAAAATCTTGGGGATATCACCTGTAGTTCATAACCAATGATCACGTTCAGAGTCACTATGGCGATGACTGAGGCGCCGAAATACTGTGGCATTTTGATGTAGAAATAGTACTGTAGAGGTTTCGGTCAGCCATCATAAAAAAATAACTTGCCATGGGGGATATCGGTGTTACCTCAAAAACATTTGCCAGATAGAGGAATATAATAACTCCAGGAGTCTTGCCATCGACAATATACCAGACAATTAAACTGAGCACAAGCGAAATAGCCGTTGCGATTATCCGGGCAACGAACCCAAACATAGTTTGTCCACTAGTCGGGTTCATCCCGATAACAATAACAATCATTGCCCAAATGCATCGTTGCCGAATAAACCAATCCTGAGTCTGATGCAAAAATGCCAGAATAGCAACTGAAAATGAAGCTGCCGCGACTCGAAACCCAAACAAGCTCTGCTCAGACCTGATAACACGAGAAATCGTACTGAGTATTGCGCTTCCTTTCTCCCATACATTCGTCGGCGGGAGGTGTTCCGGATCAGGAAATCCAGTAAATGCCTGACTCCGATGTATAGCTGAGGGATCCACATGAGACGACTGTCTACTATCAGATTCTGATTCATTCCCCTCTTTCGGTCCTGTGCTAAGCGAGAGCCATTCCCGAATAGATTTGTGCTGTGGAAAAATAAACCGATTGTGCTTCATCGTCCCATCAGCAACCTTGCTATCTGCAAACTTGACCAACTGCAACGTGGCACTGAGTAGATCATCTTGCAAATGCCCCATGAATAGAATCAGAAAGAATTCCTGTCGTACATCGGGGTCCGAACCCAATAATCCCGCACCCTCAGCGCCATCAGCCGCCGCAGAACCAACTTTCTCAGAAGCAGAAAATGCCTCAAGCGACGCCAAAGCTTCAGGTAACTCTTTTCGTCGTGCGTAATACCGATGTATCTCCCGTTCAAAACGTGACGTAAACCCAGGCAACAACGGATTCAAGCTTTCACCCCTTGCTTCTTCGTCCCTGGCATGGGATCCACCCTGATGCGTATTCTTTTGCTTGTCTAAATGCTTGGCCTTGATAAACTCCAGAGCTAACAGAAAATAGTTTAACCCCTGCTTCACCAGCACGGAGGCATCTACCAGCCGCGCGTGGTGAGTTTGTACCACTTTTTGGATCTCGGATTGTTTTTGATTCTGTTTCTCTTTCTGTTTCATTGCCCCTTCGTCTTGATCGACGAGGAGATCGTCCTGTGCGTCGTCACGAGGTCCTTCATTCTTGATTATTGTCTCCAGGATCTCGGGCAGCATTGACATTCCTGAAAGTGGGAGAAGAAGACTTCGGAAGAGAGAGGCTATGCTGCTTAGATCTGTCGCTGACAGTTTACCCCATGCGATCTCGTCTTTGGAGTAGAAGAGATCGGCATGCAGCTTGCTGTGCAGGCCGTTGAGTTTGGACATGCTTCCTTGCAGCCGTTTCTCCTTGGCTTGCGGGTCTGATTCGCCATCTGCCAATGGCTTCTGTGTATCTTTGGTACTCTTTGTGGTCTGTTCTTCTGGAATAGCGCGTCGGTTAAAAAATCCGGTGAGGGAGTTACCCTCTGCAAATGATATTTGTGATTCGAGAACATCGTCCACTGAAGCTATGTAGTCTTTCAGGTCGTGGAAAACATTCCCCCGACTGGTTATCGGGTAAACGAGTAATGAGACACCGGTCGCGATCGCAAACCCAATCATGAATCCCTTGAGAAGCCGCGCAATAAACTCCAACCCTTCGGAGAGACTTGTGAACATGCCTGCGCGGGTAATGGTGACTGAGGCAAAAATGGAAAAGGCAACCATCGGATCCTGTAGTTCCATAGGCTTTAGTGCGCGAAGGGAGTTCGCGCCCCTGTTTCGTATTAGCTTTTGATTCCTTTTGTTCTGATATGGGCATTCAGTACCAAATCATGAATATCAGCCATATCGCAGATACTGCACATGCATCGCTGTTGAACCCATTACGTTCACTCTCACTGGCATCTGGTGGTAGATCGTGTTCTCGTGCTTTGACAGCGCAGAAAATGGCTAAGCAACAGAGTGATGCAGACACGCAGGTAGATAGTAAGTCGTAGAAAACTATCTTCATAAACTTCGCACGGGGCATCAACGCTTGAGAGAGGACGGAGATCAAAGCCGATAGATAGCCAATCGTAGTGGTGATGTCGGAGATTGCACTACTCTGGTATCTGGGGGGTATTGGTACCAGGCAGGATTGTTTAAGGTTCACAGTTAAAGAAAGACATACATTGCGATTGTAATGGTTGGTGCCAACGCGCCTTTCAGCATTGTGAAAACAGTTCGAGAGTCTAGCTCTAGTTTCGGCCACCAGTACGCTGGTTTGACATAGCTTTGAAATTCCAGAAATTAATAACATGTTCATACCCACCGTTTTGATATTTATTTACCTGAGTACCCCAGGCTGAGATGGCCGGGGTTCATTGTGAGCCATGATTTGGCGTGTTGATCATAAATACACCACTTGCATCAGGTGGCAGATGCTTAAACAAATACAGGAGAGAAACCCATGTATTGTGAATCGAGATGACAGATCCTGCAATGAAAAATCCACGCGAACTCGGTCTGGCTATCGGCATCGAAGTACTGTGTGGATCGGGTTGCCGTGATTAGATCCGTGCCGAATCAAGTGCCGATGCGGCGTATATAGGAGCAGATCGCTGCTTCTCGATTGGAATCATCCAGTTAGAAGCTTCGATTTCTTGAACCTGCAGTCGCTGGCCTTTGCTTTGAGACAGTGTCAATCTGCGGCACTGATATTTTGGCAAAGTTAGAACAGAGTTCGACGGTCGATGGTTCCGGTCATCACGTGAGGCTGGATCTATATCGGATCGTGGGTGTTCAGAATGGAATATGGATCATGAAGCTTGGTTCATGTTGATTTGATCAGTGATATGATGATTGAATTTGAAGGTTGAAAATCTTTCACAGATCTGCATGATGAAGTTCAAGTTCAAGTTGTTTGTGGGGTTGATCAGTGTGCGGAGTAGATCTTTCCCGCTACGAAAACGATAAACCATAGCCTAGGAAAAGCCGGCAGAAACCTGCGATACCTGTAATACAGTAACACCCCCATAGCTGGAGGCCTGGAGGCCTCTGCACATCAGGATATCACAAAGTGAGCTCTAAATCCATTATATTAAAATATGATTCTTTTTTTCTTTTTAGAAAGATTAATCTTATAATACCAAGTATTTAAAGAAGATACTAATATCTCTATTCAGCTTTACGTTGGTCTTTCACAGTTGTCTTTCTACTCGTTTTCCTATCGATGTGGAGCTTACAGTACAGATAGCGGTGTCTAGGCGGTCAAGATTAATGTACGGCCAAAGGGGTTTCTTTTCGCTGGCCGCTATGATCTACAATTTGAAACAAAACATAGTACAAAATACACAATTGATTGATTCTAGTAGATTGAGGCTGCTTCAAGGTTGAATGTGTCGATAAAGAGCAGCGCCACCTGTACATGAACAATATTAGGATTTCAAGACGAGATCGTGCAACAACTTGCGTCAATATATTCTATCTAGGCATCAGAAACAGGCAATGCGGTTACGGCGATGACCGAATTGCATGACGCGATAGTCTACAGTTGTTACAGTGTTAAACTAGTATTAGCATATTTTAGAACAGTCCCAGCCCTAAGAGCTTGTACTCAAGAAATTGAACCTCGGAAACAACAGAGCATCATGATTACAGTGAGTCAAGAGTCAAGTGAAGACACAGCCACAGCCACAGCCACAGTGGGACTTGACTGTGGCTTAGATCGTATCCGTACAATCAAACTGACACACACACACACAAACTACAAAAAGAATGAACTAGAAGAGATATTCTATTATTCTTTTCTGGTTTAACGCATATTCAAAAATAGTACCCTGTTACATGTACATGTACACTCTCACTCAATCCTGTACATATGTCAGTCCTGCTGTACAAGTTTTGGAACTACAACGCAGAAATGACATCATGTGGAGCGCAGGGGCTTTCTGAGTGGACGTGTCTAGACGATCGACCTCGGGATACACTGTGGCTTTCCAATCAGTTTCCCTCGTATCAAATTCTCCAATGGAGTTAGGCTCCATTTATTTCGGGAATCGGACTTGTGTGTTTCTGGACGCGCCGGAGATATCCCGCCCGGAGTCAAGTCAGCTCCAGGGTTCGGGGGGCGGAAAATTGAGATCTGAGTCAGGAATCCATGTTCCCGCACAAAGAAAAGAAATCAAAGGACCGGTGCTAGATACTCGTTCAGGAAAGTATTTCGTGATTTCGGCCTTGATCATCTCCGTCGGGATTACTTGTCTTGCAGTCCCGACACCTGTATTACTACAAGGTAGTCTGTAGGTAGGGTAAAAAGGTGAGGCGGAAGCAATAATTTGCACCATGGCCAACGTCGATCTTGTGGGTACGTCGCACCAATCAAACGGGATACCCAGTCGTAGCCCGGATAAGTTGCAGGTGGATCCGGATTCCCTCTAGGGCGTTGTGTAAGTTCTCCCTACAGGGCGAATGCGTGCGAATCAAATCAGAGTAGATGTTGAGAAATGAACGCGTCATTTTGTGCCGTTTGACGGCTCCTTTTTGAACGAGGTCTTTTTTATTGTCTCTCATAGCTGGTCAAATTGTTTGGGCTTGACATCATGCGCCAGGGATAGTTAGCTGACGAAGCTTGTGGATGCGGAGAATGGGGAATGGGGAGTAAGGGTCGCTGTCAATTGATAAAATTTTTGGATCTGCAGATTGCGTGGTACTGACCTGCGATATGTAATAGGATAATAATAATGATAATAATAATAATAATAATAATGGAGAAGATCAGACATATAATCCGGAGTGAGGACGTAAACTGGGCAGTGTCTAGATGTCAGGATCCGCCAAGTCGTGCCAAGCTTATTCCACGTTCATAAATACGTTTGAGTTCCGCTCCCTTTATTCACTTTCTTCTTCTTCCATTCTTTCTCTCTCTTCTTCCTCTTCTTCCTCCATCGGGCCAGTCTATTTAGGCTTATTCCCTTTTCTTGGCTTCGCTGCCTTGCTTGAATCAGCTGCTGGTTCTAGAAATACATGCGTGAGTTTCTTATCTCGGTGCTTTTGCCTCAATCTCTACTGACCCACTTGTCTAGACCGTATTAACTCGTGGGCGAAAGCTCACGCATCTTCTCGCGGTCCTCAACCTCAACAAGATCCCGTTGCCCAATCCACCCCGGCAACAGCTATAAATCAAAAACCCGAACCCTCGCACGATGTACAAGTGAATTCCTCTCCCGAGGCCTCGTCCGCCACTACCATCGGATCGGGGCCAGATGATGAAAACAAACATAATGCCAAACCACCCATGCTCGTGCGCATGCGCAATGGCAGCGGTCGGTTCTACACCCATACCAAGGATGCGCTCTTACACAGCTGGGTTAATGTCCTCTTGGTCTTTGTCCCACTCGGTATCGCCGTTAAGGCTGCTGGTCTAAACCCGAACATTGTATTTGCAATGAACGCGGTCGCGATTATTCCTTTGGCGGGACTTTTGAGTCATGCGACAGAAAGCGTGGCCAGTCGCCTTGGTGATACCATTGGCGCGTTGATCAACGTTACCTTCGGTAATGCTGTTGAGTTGATCATTTTCATTATTGCACTGGTTAAGAATGAAATTCGGATCGTGCAGGCTTCTCTGCTAGGTTCAATCCTGGCTAATCTGTTGTTGATTCTGGGTATGGCGTTCCTGTTGGGAGGTCTTCGGTTCCAGGAACAGATCTACAATAGCACTGTTACGCAGATGAGCGCTTGTCTGCTCAGTTTGAGTGTGACTAGTCTTTTGCTTCCGACGGCTTTCCATGCTTCCTTCTCGGATACTAAGGATGCTGATTCCCAGACCTTGAAGGTTAGCCGTGGTACAAGTGTTGTGCTTTTGCTGGTGTACATCTTGTACATTATCTTTCAGCTTAAGTCGCATTCGTACCTGTACGCTAGTATTCCTCAGCGCATCATTGACGAGGAATCGCACCCTGGTGTTCTTGCTGAGTTCCTGAACAGCTCTTCGGATTCTTCTTCTAGCTCTAGCGACGACTCCGTCGATACTACTACCTCCTGGACTACCGCGAAGCGCATCAAGCGCGCTATGAAGCACCGCAGACACCGAAAGTCCAGTACAAGCTCCAAGGGCACGGCTCGCTCAGTCCGCAAGAATGTCATGGTCAACGAGAACCAGAGTTCCCTCGGAAACTCAATCGCAAGCAACAATGACAGCAACTCGTGTGCTATCGACTTTGAAGAGGTCCGCTACGACGCAGATGATGACGCCAATCCCCGTTCTCGCGATTTCGGCGTGGATGTGAACCGCGTCGAAAGCCCTCATCCCAGTGACAAGGAGCGCAAGAAGGAGCGCAGGAAGCGTCGTTCCAAGCGCGCGGAGAAGGCCCAAGCCAAGAACGAAGCTCAGAATGAAGCTAAGAACGAAGCCTCAAGCTCGAACGGTGCAGCAGTGCAGGAGAAGTCAAAACCTTCCATGAAGGGCTTTGCATCCGCACCTAACTTTGCAGGCATGGAAGGCGCCGGAGAGAATGACATTGCTAAAAAGCGCTCGCCTTTTGGTCCCATCCCTTCTTTGCTTTCGAACACTGTCTTCAGCTCGCAATCTCCGAGCAACTCGCCTCGCATTGGTGACTCGCGCCCAGCCATTCAGCGTAGTAACTCTTTGCCTGCCCATATGAATGCTCACATGAACGCGCCTCCCGCAGGTAACCCTGTACAATTTGTGCGTGGTGTCGCTCGTATGCCTACAGCTGTTGATCCCGTCACTGCGGATGTTACCCAAGAACCAGAAGCTGCGATGTCTCGCACCGCCGCTGTCGTTCTACTTCTGATCTCCACCGCTCTTGTTGCCGTCTGTGCTGAGTTCCTGGTCGATGCTATTCCCGACATGCTTGCCACCTCTAATGTCAGCGAGGCTTTCATCGGATTGATCATCTTGCCTATCGTCGGTAATGCTGCTGAGCACGTTACCGCCGTCAGTGTCGCGACGAAGAATAAAATGGATCTTGCCATCGGTGTATCCGTTGGTAGTAGTATTCAGATTGCTATCTTCGTTACTCCCCTTGTCGTTATCCTGGGCTGGTGTATGGACAAAGATATGTCCTTGTACTTTACTCTGTTCGAGACTGTCTGTTTATTTGTGACTGCGTTTGTGGTCAACTTTTTGGTCCTGGATGGACGTAGTAATTATCTCGAGGGTGCGCTGCTTATAGCAGCATATGTTATTATTGCGTGAGTTGACCTTTCCATCTTTCTTCAGTCCAAGATCCAACCTGCTAACTTTTCTTTTAGTCTTGCATCCTTCTTTTACCCTGGCAGCGGTGAGGCAAGTAACCTAGCCGGCTCCGATTAATCTACCTTAGGCTGTTCTGGGTTTTTAGCCGGTCGATAGAACTGTGTTCTCAGCACCACTAGAAACAGAACACAAGCTGATATGTCTTCCTTTCGCTTTACTTCTATGTACTCAGTTCGCTTTGACTACATATTTTGAATACCTGCAATACCTGCTTTATATCTTTATCGCTATCTGCATCTGCCAGAAGACAATTATTACGGATAGGGCGAACACTCTTTGACCCCTTCATTCAACCCCTAATTTCCGTCTCCGATCAATAGCACATATTTACAAAGTAAAAATAAAATCTAGAGTATACATGTAATTAACGTATGCACGCTTCCCGCCACGTGTATCACCATTAGTGGCTATGTCAATCCTGACGAGCCACGATGTGGCTCGGCAGATGCAAACACAGCAAATCAATCCCCACTCGAGTGAGGGGTTCATTGCACATTGATGGAAGGTTCAATGTTGTATTGAGGCATTTGTTCTCCTCTTTACAAAGATGTGGAGCTTAACACCAACAGCGTTTCATATTATGACTCCATCTTTAGTCCGTGGATGCCTTCTAGCGACTGTCGTTATTCTCCCAATGCAACCGCCGTCTGACAAAGGTGACACATACTTTCGCCCCCACAACTTGATGCTGACACACTCAATCCTTAAGGTAATCAGATTGATGTTATCCTTATTCTCTTACGCAGATTGATTACTATACAAGACCGTAGATAATGCATAGTCTAGCTGGGCATCTCTTTCATTTCATCAGTCTTATGGATGCCTATTTTCGTTCAGCCCTGTTTCTGTTTCAGGGGAAGGTTTCGGGATGTTCGGGCGCCAAACTCTGTGCCACATGCATTATTATTACATATCATGTACATGTATGTACATTGCATCTGCCTAGTCCTGAACACTTGAAACATAAACACAGGAGTGCTTTGGTACATGTATTATGGTTGTAAAAAGAGTGGAGAAGGGAAACTGCTTAGCGCGGGGTGTTTCGGTACGCAACGGAACGTTGACATTGACAGCTGGCCAGGTTGATTTCATAACAATACTGCAGATGTGAATTAAGGAATGGAAATAAATAATAAAATACTAATACTAATACTGATACTCATACTCATACTCCCCTTACCATTATCAACTTAGGCGCTACTCCCTTCTAGTCTTAACACACAGTACTCCACTCATATAAGAAACTCCCCCCTCCAAACCAAACTTCCCTTCCTTTCTTCCCCTCCCCATCCACCACACCTTCCCCAAACCATCCTCAGGTTCTCACAATGGCCTACTACGGCGGCGACCCCTACGCCCGTCCACCCTACGAACAACAACCCTACGGCGCTCCCCCTCCAGCACCATACCAACAACAACCTTACGGCGCACCACCATACTCCGGCCCTCCTCTCGCTCGTCCACCCCCCGGTCCCCCGCCCCCACTCCCACAAGGATGGGTCCAACAATGGGAACCTAACGCCCGTCGCGCATTCTGGGTCGAAGAAGCCACCGGTCGTTCTCAGTGGGAAGCTCCTTATGCTCCTGGTCCTGATTATGCGCGCGGTATGCCTCCTGGTCCGCCGCAGGGTGGATATTATGCTCCCCCTCCTGGTCCGCCGGTTGGATATGGTGGTGGTTATGGTGGAGGTGGTTATCAGCAGCAGGATCAGCAGGATCAAAAGAGTAGCAGCGGTACTGGGAAGTTGGTAATGGCTGGTCTTGGTGGTGCGGCGTTAGGTGCTTTTGCAGAGCATGAGATTGGTATGTTTCCATGAGTTTAATTTGTTTGGTTCTACTTTGTGGTTGGTTGTTTGTGATGATGCTAATGTTCGTTTTCTTTCATTACAGAGAAGAGTGATTCTAGTGATGAGCGTGAAGCCTACGACGAGGGAAGAGAGGACCAGGCTTATGAAGATAATGATGATGGTGGTTGGTAATTCATTTACCTTTGAATGTTGTTTCTTCGTGGTTTCAATTCTGGCTTTGTCTTTTTTCGTGTGTTCAGTTCGGTTCCCAGGTTCAATTCGGTTCGGTTCGGGATTAACGCAGGTTCACATTTATGTTCACGTTTCGCTTTTGCATCGGTTTATGGGACTCGAGGTTAAGACTTGCAGCATTGTTACCGCATCAGGATCATCTAGTCTTTATTTTTTACTTCTTTCTTCGGTTATTGCGATTGAATCAAGCGATGAACCTGCCATTTGTGCTCTCTTAACTCAGCATTGCGACTACAGCTCTTTTTTATTGTTTAGATCCCTTGCTCTATTAGTGTCGCAATCCGTCGCAGTCTTTTCTTTTCTCTCAACGCGCATATTTTTCGCATTATGAAGCATTCTTTACAATCAGACTTTGCTGGGAAATGGATCCTGGAGGTCTATAGTTCATGTCCGATCCTCGGTTCAATTGCGGAATTTGTGGGTCTGCCCAGACCATGCGATGCTGTTCCAGGGTTTTCAAGGATCTGCGACAACGGATCTTCCGAATCAGCAAATGAGATTATGATGCTTACTGTCGCGTAATATACGAGGCTATGCGATCTGCACTGATCGTCGAAAGAACTTCATTATCGCTACAACACTCTATGTAGTCTTCACGAAAGGACACCCATTCTTCTTCCCAATCTGATTAAACATTTCCATAGGATCATACCAAACATCAATATTCTCTATTTGAAGCTTCTCATTCACCTTCGCCACTATAAGTCCCTGGATATCAATCGGGTCTCCATGCGCCTGGACAGTAACCTTTTCACCAGAGCTACGTAGATCGTTAGCGGGATCGAGAATTCCCAGTTCGAGATTGGAAATGGGAAACGATACTTATTATATCCAGTATAGTCATTCTTCATCTCACCCCAATGTCTCCATTTGAAAACCACAACAGGCGGACCAGAGTATACCTCTAGCACCTCCCATGCAAACGTCGGCATCATTTGCTTAAACGACTTATGGGACTCGTCGAAATCATTCTTCACCGGATCGTAGTACTGACTTGCGCTTAGGAGGGCATTATACGTTCCAACCTCTAGCATGTGGTGACCTGTTCGCTTCTCGCCGCCGTTCAGGGAGAAGGTGTATACCTTCTCGTCTATGGTGCGCCAGTCGGAGAGTTTTGTTTTGAAAGAGGCTTCGATTTCCCAGTTTTTAACTAGGTTTTCGACGAGGAAGGGTAGACTGTTGGCTTCGTGGGTTGTTGTTTTGGCTGGGTGGTGTTAGCTTTGTAAGTGCGTGTGGGTGTGGGTGTTGGGAAGGTGCACTTTTCTCAAAGAAAGCTTTTGTTTTACTGTAATCTGGCGGAGCTCCGTGACGCCAGGAGGAATTTTCATCCTTAAGAACCGCATTGGGATCGAGTACATAGTCTGGAAGATCGGCCATCGTCTGCAGAAGCTGGTAAAGAGGAGAAAGAAGAATGTTAGTGTATGACAAGGCTCGAGTATCGGAAGTAAGAAGGATATTTGAGACTCAGTTCCCATGGTACTTACCTTGTACTCCCTTCCAAGTCCTCGGTCTATAATTCATCCCCGGGACTCGACTGTAACGTAACCTAGTCCACATGCGATGTTCATGCTAGTCCACTATCCTCCACAACAACGAATCAGAACGCGGACTGATACTAAATTTGTGCTTTGGTTTGAAAAGCGTCCAATCAGCTCGAAGGTGTATAATCCATATATTAAACGGACAGGGTAGATTTGGTCGTGGTCGGATGCGATTATTTCCCGGACCGTTTCAGCCGCAGCGGGTGTCCGATGCCCAGGTGGATAAATTAAATTTAATCAAAATCCATTGAGCCGGTGAAGGGGCCCACTCTTTTTTGGCGTATTGGAGGGCGCATAGTTGATGATATTGAACTTAATGTAATGAGGTTCGGTGTGGGCGAACTGTTCGTGGTTGCTGGATTGGGAAGTTTGGGTCTGTGGGGAACTGGAGTCGTAGAGAGGGGAACATGTGCTAGTAGTGGATGGAGGCCTATCCGTAAGGCTCCGAGGATGATTTCGAGTAGACGAAAGCGATAAGCCGTTTTTGTAGGATTGGGAGGAAGATTGTACGTGGGGGATAATTGCAGAAGGTTGAGACCGGTTGACATCTCAAAGGCAGTTGGTGCACAAGCTCCTGGTTGGGTCTGGACTGTAAAAGGTTGCTTGTAGGCGATTTGCCGAGTGGTAAAAAAAGCTTTTTTGAGATGTGTTTGGCCGTAGCTTTAATCTTATAACAAGGCAGTATGGAAGCTCGAGATCCGATGAGTAGAATATGAGTCAGTGGGGTATGGATTTGATATAGAACAGCATTGATTAGCAGGGGATTTATGCATATAAACATGCATGTGACTGGCACTCGATATGGTAAAACTGATTGACTTTGAAAGCCTCAAACATCTGCACCAATCCGATATTTGTTTAAACCCTGCAGACATGACATGGTAGCGATGAGTACAGTGAACCTTCGAAAGCACAGAAAAGACCAAGAATGGCGACAAAGCCCAGAGTTGGATTCGAACTCACAAGCACCATTGATTCATCTGGTTTGAATTAATAATACTCACTTTTGCAGGTCGTCGGCGCCAAATGAGGAAGGTCCACAGTACTTCACTTTGTCCCATCGACGAGGCACCTTTCAGCATCACGAACTTTCATCAAGCAAGCAACAGGTAAAAAGTGATAAAAAGAAGAGAGAAAGGCTGATTGTATAAAACATCTTATAAATAATAAAAAAGTAAGGTGTCATTTTCCCCCAGGGAGGCACGAGTCCCTGGGTTTCCCACCCACCCTCACTGTGGGTGCAACCGCCGCTACCTAGGCCCAGGACCAGCCTAAGTAGAGTCTACAACACAATGGCCGAATGGCTAGCCACTCGACCAAAGGAGACGGGACCGATGAAGGGAGGGGGTATCGGGTCTCTATCTGTTGACTTTTTTTATTTAGTTTCATCATTCCTGGCTCCGGCATTCAGGTTAGACACCTGAAATCTGGTATTCTGTCTCTTTGAGACTTAATCTTTCTTATTTTCATATCTTCAATTAGTATTTATAACTGTGCATGGTAGAAAATGCCAATTTAATTTGACCATAGTGAGCAATGCTCACTTCATGGGCAGAAAAGTGTATAAGATGGCTTCTTTCCCGAATGGGATGCGGCCACCAACAAGCCTCCCCTCTTTTTCTCATTTAATGTCTTATTCAACGGTTCAGCTTGTGTCTTCTCCACTCCAGCCACAATTCACGGGATTTTCAAGACCCCCATTAGAACATGAACTCGTTTGTATAAGATTGTCAAATCCCAGTCACAACCCCAGACTCACTCAATATTCATCATTACTGACACTCTTATTTTTACAACATCAAAACTTCAAAGCAAACATGAAACGCCCCCGACCAAGTGTCCGATGTGATCTGCATTATTCACGATCTCGGCCTGTCATTGACATCCAGGGACCTTTGTTGCCCGCATTGATCTCCCCGGATTCTGGATTTTCCGACTGTGGTCACACAGTACGCTCAGACCCTTAATTTCGCTCTCGTTTTTCTTTCTTTTCTTTTCTTTCCTTCCCCTTTTATTGAACGTGTTATCTTTCGTCTCTACAAGGCCGTTTACGGATGGACTGGGATTGAGCAAATGCTGAGGAAGTTTCATTGTCACTCATATACGGAACCCATTTCGAGATTTCCAGTCAGCCGAAACGACTGTGCTCACTGCTACTGGACATGGACTCGAGAATATTCCAGGTCGAAAGCAGAGACACTTCTACGTGCATCATATTCCAGTTCAATATTAGTTAACAGCTCGGTATCAAACCCTGGCGACGACAAGTCCCACAACTCGCTTTATTACTTTGTGCGGCTGTCGATCGCTGTTTGCCTCTAGATACCAAGATCAACGAAGACATAACAGCATACTGACACGATTACCGTTTGTGTTTGCGTGAAAGTCCGTCTTCTACATTCCTCTTGTCTACGTCTTATATCCCAGTTATCATTCATATCTACAGGTACCATTGCCATCCCAGTAACCAAGACTAAACATTGAACTCATGATTCATTTCTAAGTAACTTCCGGTGATACAAACGTAATCAATTACGAATCACATTGCACAAAGTCATCGCCAGAAGCACCAGTGTGCGTAATCACACCCGCCAGCTCCCCGGAGCCATTGAAGATAACACGGTCCGCACCGGGGGAACCACCATCGTAGACATCGCCGCCGCTCAGAATAGGAAACTCGTAGTATGTGCCTGAGACGGGGAAATCGAAGCCCTCATAGTCATGGTACTCGTGTGGGTAGGAGTCGTCATCGTTGCCGGCGGACTCGAGCTTGTAGCCTGCTTTTTGGGCTGCGCTGACAGCGCTGCTGCTGTAGCAGTTTGAGCCACAGGTATAGGCGCAGGCGCGGGTGAGCTTCTCGAGGGGGATGGCGAGGGTACCGGTGAGGAGGGTTGCGAGGGCGAGAAGCTGGACTTGGTTAGTGAGGATAATAGATGGGGCATCAATAGACAGAGAAAACGACATACCTTGGTGTACTGCATTTTGACTGAGGGTTCAAGAGAGATAATTGTCTTGATGCTATTCTTCAATCAATGTCAGGAATTAACTAGATTTAAGTACTTCTCAATCATCCTGGAATCTCTCATCCAGCCTCGCGTATACCCCTCTCACAGACGATGTTACATTTGAGTAGAACAACTCGACAAACCTCTGTGGAACCTCATTGGCGTTCGCCGTTTAGCGCATTCAAACCAGCGCAGTATCTTATAAGGCCATTCCTTAATAGGAATGTCCGCCGATCTGCACCTCACATCCTAAACGAGATTAGAGGTACGAGACTCCGATAAATGGTGTCGCTCACTGGCGTGAGAGATTGACTGGCGTTTGCCGTATCGAGGGCTGATCGACCGGCGGAGGCGGATGAGTGGACCCTGAATTACCCTGATGATCATGACTTCTGCAGGGTTTATCGGCCCAATTGGGGGTCGTGTTTGGGGGCACGATGAGGGGTCTCGGGTTAGATGTGGGGTTGTGAAGAAGTGGGTTCTTTCTTTTGGGCCCATTTATCAGCTTCGCGCCATATTTGTATGTTGCATAGGTCTAATCTGTTATTTAGACTGAATTATGAGCATGAGTTAGTGTCAATTGTGTATTGAATATTACTATTCTGATTATTTCGATGTTTCTTTTAGCTGCTCGCCCTCCACCAGCCACCGCAATGTATGAGTGTGTTTTCCCAGAGCCGGCCACCATTGAGGCAGTGAGGAGAGCACATCCAGCGCCCATCTATTTTCTGGTTGATGGAGCTGCTGTTGAAGAGTGGCAAATGCTGTGCTGTCAAAGGATAGGGCTTGAGGGCCGAATAGAAGCAGTTGATGCGGAGTCATGATAAAGTTCACGTGATGGAAATAGTGACACCTTATCGAATGGTTATTGTGTTCCCATATCCTTCCTAGAAGTCCCCCTTCTATATAATTTCTACTCTTTTCCGGATTTCTACAATTAGGTCTAGCGTGCATCATCGGGCTCCAATCAAGATGCATGAAGTGGCCAGGAGACTGATTTACGCCCATCGGCTTATTTTGACCCTACAGCTGGTCAAACTCCCAGTGATAACTCTCCGGATAGTAGTGTTTCTGGATGATGCATATGCACATAAGTACGAATAATGTCAGATTAGAGAGATCGCCGCTTGTGGACGATGGCTCGATGAGGCCGTCTCGGGTCCATTCCAGAGAGTTGCAAAGGAGATTCATGACGACCTTGGGATTCGTCTCCAAGGTCCGCTAGATACAGAGCGTCGTATTTCTTGTAATATGTTTGGTAAATAGGAGCATTGTTAAAGTATTTTATTCAGCTTTCGGTACATTCAAAATCAAATCAAAGATGGATAAGAAGCGAAGCGCTGGCATGTGCATAATGTGCATACATCTATGTAACCAGGACCAAAAGCAGCCCATTCTTCCTGTGCCTAGGTATGGGTAGATATTATTCTTTTTTCCCGAATGAAACCTCCGTTTCAATGGCGAGCTTTCGGATCTGAGAAACCACTCGCGCCACATCGTTGGCTTTCAGAGGTACGCGATGATCTCCATCCCATGCGATCACCCGGCGACTATGCGGATCGCAAAAGTCTTCAGATTAAATTCTATGGAGATCCACTCCTGCGTCCTGCGGGCCATGAACATGCAGCGTGGGGATACGTAAAGTCGGTTTCTGCGCATCGTAAACTTCTCGTTGAGGATGGGGGTGATATGTAATTTGTGACGCGTGGGGGAAGACTAAGCTCGTGTTCATCCCAACATCTAGCGCAATGAGCGGTGCCCGGCCAGCCAAGAGGACAGCGAAGCGGAATTGAGCCCCGGACGTCGCGTTGCCTAGGATCTGCTGTCGGTAAAGAAGACTGGCCGCGACTTTGACGCCTTGACTGAAGCCCAGCAAAGCCACCCACTCCCCCGTTGCACCCTCTGCATCATCGCGGGCCATTGCATCTGCGAGGCTGTCGTCAATTCCGCGAATGATTTCGAGCGGCGGTAAGGAAGGATGCTCGGGTCGCCAGCGTAGCCATCGTCGAAAAGGACCCCAAAGGGTCGAGATATCTCGGGGAATTCATCATTGGATCGGGGGAATGAGAACGAAGTCAACGGGCCAATAAAGGCTTAGACTGATTTGAACGGAGATAGGGTTGAGACAGGCAAATTCCGAACTCCATTTGTCATATGTTTGTTACTTGTCTGTAGCGCAGAAAATCAACCATGGATGCACATGTGCGGAGACAAGAAATGTAACCTTAGGAGGATGGACATGGGTTCCACGGCTAGATCACGATGGCGCGATCGACTAAATCGCTTACGGCTCTAGCGTCGGCCGCCGACCCACCATCCGCGGCCGCCTTGGCGGAACACAAGGACGATCTCGATTACCAACCAGAAGACAACATTGAAGTCTTTGAGATCTTTGTCTCATTCGTCAGAATGCTTCTCAGTCATGATACTATCCTCGATGTGTGACTTCTAACTGGAACTCTCATGACACACTCCACTGAATATGATATATATATGACCTTGGGAAGTTCTCCGTTAGATGGAACCTAGGAAGTAACAATCCAATATCTTTCGACCTTCTTCAAACTTATCTCGTTTTCAAACATTTCGCTTGCTAGAACAACCATGACTTCATCCGTGGACTCCAGCAACATCTTCCGGGTGGATGGCATTGTGGCCGTTATCACCGGTGGTGGCAGTGGTTAGTTTCCTTCATCCCACGCTCTTCATTGTATCAATCATCCTCATGTGATTATACAGGAATTGGCCTGAATATGACCCGTGCTCTGGCGGCCAATGGTGCCCACAAGATCTACATCCTGGGCCGTCGCCTAGAGGTTCTCGAGAAAGCCGCTGCCGAATTTCCCGATGTGATCATCCCCCACCAAGCCGATGTGACTACTAAGACGGATCTTCAGGCAGCCGTGGACCGAATCAAGTCGGAAGTTGGCTATGTCAATCTTGTTGTCGCAAATTCTGGAAGCATCGGACCCTCCGTGCGATTCAACCCTGCGGCCTCTCTGCCTGAATTGCGTCAATCCCTTTTCACCGATTTCTCGATGGATGGCATGAATGACGCTCTCAATCTCAACATCACCGCTGCTTTCTTCACTATGACTGCATTCCTCGAATTGCTCGACCTCGGAACGCAAAACGCCCTTAAGGGCGGGTTCGGCAAGCCCCTTAAGGAGGGCAGCGATGTGCCCTCGATCCAGAGCCAAGTCATCTTCACCACGAGTATCTCGGCCTTCAGCCGTCACTGGACCTCGTCTCCCCCATATTTGACCAGCAAGGTGGCCATCATGCAAGTGGCCAAGCATGCCAGTTCCCAGCTGGCCCGGTTTGGAATTCGTGTCAATGCCATTGCGCCTGGCCGTATGTTCTTCCTTCTTCAATATGCGTGAATTTCAATACTAATACATGCGATTCAGTCTACCCTTCGGATCTAGCATCAGTTCTCATTTCAAGCCGCAAGCCTGAGGAGGAGGCCGCCCATGATGATCGCTTCATCCCAGCTCGCCGTTTCGGAGGTGATGAGGAAATGGCCGGTGCCATTCTGTATTTGACGAGTCGTGCAGGCAGCTACTCCAATGGACTAATCCTCACTACCGACGGTGGCCGCTTATCAGTCATGAACGCTACCTATTAAGCTCACAGTGGGGTGACTGTCTATTGGGTTTCTTGATGATGGCTATCTCGATGGCAGTCGAGGAATATTTCAGATTGCTCTAGCTTTGCGACTGTGGGGTCTAGTAGTGTGTAAATTTCTTGAACATATACAGCAATGCGACACTGTATTTTCTCACTTGGATTTTCTTCTATAAGAAATCAGTAAGCAACCCTCTGCATTTCTTGGCCTGGATAATCAGAATTATAAGTTACCTAGGTATTATCGAAGCAGAAAATATCCCAGAACCAATAAAATTCTCTAAAAACCAGCCAATGAATGTGAATTTAATATGCACCGGGACCCTCAACTTGAGCTACTGGTCCGTAGGGAGGATTTCCCGCCGTATAAATGGGCCGGTCCTCGACATTTGGACTTTTCGTCTCCTCCATCGAGGGCTTGTAACATTTTAAGCTGCATTCCTACTGCTTATATCGTCTCTCACCACACAAGACAGGATGCAATTCCCATTATCTCTTTGGATAGGCTCGTTGATGCAAGGCGTCGGATTTTGTCAGGCCCCGTTTCTTCTCACCTAAGTCTATTTGAAGCAGACTGTGCTAACATTTCCTCTCTCGCAATTTGCAAACGTACCAACCGCAAACGACATCACCGGTGCAAGCAGCCCAGCGACAGTAGTAGCCTTCGTTGGACAAGAATGCCTCTAAGAGTACCTACTAACCAAGACAAGCTTATCTCAAAGATTGCTAAGCACAGTAAGTGTACAGTAGTTGTTGTTAGCACCAACAGCGCTATTTTGATACCTTGGTTGGACAAAGTTAACACTGTCGTCGAGACTTTCTACCCTGGCTAAGAAATCGGACCTGCGATCGCTTCTGCGGGGTTTATCGGCCTAATTGGGGGTTGTGTTTGGGGGTACGATGAGGGGTCTCGGGTTAGATGTGGGGTTGTGAAGAAGTGAGTTCTTTCTTTTGGGTGTATTTATCAACTTTGCGCCATATTTGTATGTTGCATAGGTCTAATCTGTTATTTAGACTGAATTATGAGCAGGAGTTAGTATCAATTGTGTATTGAATATTACTATTCTGATTATTTCGATGTTTCTTTGTGCTTCGGTTCCCCGACGGAATCCGTGCCGCTATCTTAGCACAGACTGGAAGCTTGTTTCAATTTTGAGACTGAGTACTTTGTAAAGGTAAGATTTATTCAATTCTATCATCACATAATTCTCTATCCGACCACGATGGAATAGATCTTTGACCACCATCCTGAGTTGTCCACCTCATCCGCATCCTCTTCGACAAACTCCCTTCTTCCTGTCCAAATATCCATATCTTCCAGCCGGACAAACTTGGTCTTATTCCACACTTTGTACACCACGAAGAATAAAACAAATACAGGCAACAAGATATAGTTGATCACAAAGTCTGTAGAGCTGAACGGGTTCAAAAAGCATGTATACCCCTGGAAAAAGACGAGGAAGATATTCCCCGCCAGAGCAAGATATGTCCCATAAGGATAAAACGCGGCCTGATATGGAAGTTTCGAAGGGTCTTCGCCCTGCGCCACTAATGCACGACGAAAGCGGATATGGCAGACCCCTATCACGGACCAGACGATAAATGTGGCCACTAGGTGAAGAAAGGTTAATAAACGACCCTGCTCGGAAACTTTGAACGATGAATAGTACATACCACCGGATAAAGTAATAAGAGCCGAATACACAGTTCCAGCACTGGATGATTGTTCTAGGAAAACAATGCATGCAAAAACGTTGGTGAATATTAATCCAACCCAGGGTACGCCGGCACGATTCGTGCGACCGATGAATTTCGGTGCTTTGCCATTACGAGACATGAAGAGTAGTGTTCTTGACGCGACGTATAGCGAGCTGTTTCCTGCGGAAATCACACTAATTACGATGAGGGCGTTGATCAGATGTGCCGCTGGGAGGATGCCGGCATCGGTAAGTGCGATTGTTAATGGCGAGCTGGCAGTTTTTGAGCCATTGCCCAGAAGCTGTTTATCATTCCATGGGATGAGAATACCGATGAAGAATATTGTGCCTAAAGATGTTAGAATACTGCTGGCACTGGACTTTGGGAAATGCCTACCGATGTAGAAAATTAGAATACGCCAGAAGACCTGCTTGATAGCTCGAGGAACTGCTGTTTGAGGATTCTTGGATTCACCAGCAGTGATACCGACCCTAAATATTCAATATTAGCTCTTGCTCAATTTGCGAAGTAGTTCAAACATGCATTTCTGTTCCAGCGTATAGAGTACCGGCCACCACGAATGTCTTCGCTACACCATTGATCCCATCTGCAAATGCTCCAGGATGATCCCAGTATTTGAATCCGATGGTTTGTGGACCGATTCCACCGGTACTGATGCAAATTGCCAGAATGAAGAAGACGATGAGAGCAAGAACCTTGATTCTACTAGTTGTTAGTAAGTCTTTTCTCCATTTTCTCGGCCTCAACGTACACAGAAAGCCAGAATTCCATTTCTCCGTATGCCAGAATTCCTAGGTTCGAGAGAGTTAAAAATAAAAACCAGAATATAAGAATCCATCCCCATTGTGGCACGGCGGTGGTCCAATATTGGATGACTAGGGAGACTGAGTTGTATTCATTTGCGAGAACCTGTTTTAAGTCAATCGCAGAGCTATCTGATTTAATTTTGATCAACTCACAGTCACCCATAAATACCAATATGCCCACCCTAGTGCAAATGCTAACGCATCGTCGATAAAACGGGCAGCATACTCTGTGAACGACCCAGTAACAGGAATTATTGTTGCCATTTCACCCAAAGATTGCCTGCAGAGGTTAACATTTTTCGAGTCACTAAGATGAGAACCAGGCAATCACCAACATGACAAAGAATACAATTATACCAACCAGGCAAAAGCTGATTAGGGAGCCCGCAGGCCCTCCTTCATGCAGCGCATTACCAGAGCTCACAAGTAATCCGGGTCCAATGATTCCTAGAAAGAACTAATCAGCTCAGTTCTTAAACCATCGTCACTGTCAGTCCATTTCTGACCTCCGATCGCAATCATCTGCAAATGTCGCGATTTGAGCTGCCGTTTCAACGGCGCCGCAAATGGGTCTGTCACAACATCTTCCTCATCTCCAACTACTTCTCCACCACTGGCAGTTTTCACCGTTTTATCCACATCGCCATCCTTATTAGGCATTCGATAGGTTGAGGCACTGAATTCGTCGCTCTGGCTCATTGGTGATTCGGTACCTGGATTTTGGGCTGTTTGACAGTTCAACTTTAGGATCACATTCCGGAATGGGATTAAAGGAGAATATTTTGCGTTAGTTCCTTACGCCATCGGGCGGGGGATGATGAGCTGTGTGAGCTCTGAAGACTGTGGGTCACTTTAATTTGTTGGCAATGTCGTGATTTGGGTTGGTTCAAACGCCAAAACGCCAATGTAGATCACGGGGCGCATGTGGCTTTATACCCCGACTTTGGATATAAAAAGCACCTAGACATGAACAGGTGCCGGTTGTTTTCTGAAACAGATCGTTTTCGAATATTTGAATTTGTTTGTGGCGTTTTTCGCATTCTTGTCGTATTCTATTCGGGTGATTCCATGTTGATTTCAAAACTCAAACTTGTGGATCTCAGATCTGTGGACGGAAGGTTACTGTGGATCTCTTTTAGATGGCCCCGCCATTATTAGGGCTGCACACCAAGAGAACCGTGGATATTAAGAGCAAGGTACCATGATTAGATATGTCGAGGACACTGCAGAGTTAAAAACTCAGATGTTACTGTAGGAAACGCGGAATTCAGATAAGTCATAATCCAAGAAAATCAATGTTTAGAGTACAATTTCAGAACAATTCCATTAGCCAGTTCCCATCTATTCGACCCTTGCCCAAGATAAGAGAGCAAAACTCCTCAGTATTTTCACCAGCATGTCTGAGATGCCACAAAGCATGCCCTGCCATGCTTTGAACCACCTGGAATTCACTATGCCTGGGTTCTGGGTGTTTCCCTTCAACCAAACAACCAGTATATTCGCAAGTCCAAGATTTCTTCCCACGTCAGGTCTTTTACTAATCCTCTAGATGTGGAGTCTGACTTTAATATGGGGCTCTTCTGGTCTGATGTGCTTGTACATTCGTCGTTCCATCAACCAATATCTGCAAATACACTTGCAATACTGGGCAAGTTACCCAAATCCGAAATGATCAGAACATTAGATTCATGATCACGTGGCTGTAATGTTCGAACTTCCGACTGTAAGTATGTCAATATGTAGGTTTGTGAGGGGTCGAGGCGACCCAGATAGGCAGGAGGGTCGAATAGTACGTCGTGCTGATCGTCCATGGCATTAGTAGATGATGATCTAGGTTGGACTCGGGTGGTTCGTTGGGAGCTTTTAATAATTCAACTTCAATCTTGATCTCCTAATCACGCAGTATGTTAAGAAGACAAATAAAGGGCCGTCTCACTCAGATACCCTCATATTGGACTATTAGCTTACCCTGCCTCTTGTAGCTTGTACCTGCCAGGCGGCCAGAATCAATATGGGGGCTGCCTAAGTAACACTACCCAGCTCTTCAGTATTCAGAGCTGATTTATAGCTGGCCATAATGAAGATAATTCGGAATACATTCGCAAGGACAACGAGAAGTATGATTAGAATAAGAAGGCTAGTTCAAAAAATTTATAATTATTCATAAACCATTAATTCGTCACCCATCGCTCAACTAGCTCTATCAGACTCTATTTCATCGTAAACACTTTTCTCTTAACCCTTGTTTCTTCTCCTTTGAAGAATTTTCACCAGAATAAAGCAGCTAAGTCCAGCAGCATACGCGCACCCAGCAAATGCAATCAATCCCCAGTACTCCCCATTGCAACGATGCAGAATTTCCCCTGCAATAGGAACGCCAGTCAGAGCCCTAGAAAGATATTAGTTTATATTTGAAAAAAAGCGGTAGCAAAGCAATATAAGTACTTACCCAAAGCTAACAATTGTATACACAGTGGTATAGTATCTCCCATAATTCTGAACAGGACATAGTTCGCCTACGCAAACAGGAACAAGGCTGATATTGCTCCCGCTGGCAAATCCAAAGACGACAGAGAATATAATGACTGCCACTAAATTTCCACCTCCTGGTAGCCAGATCGCAAGCACAGAAATAAGACATAGGATATTGGTTAAGATAAGTGTGTTGAGTCGACCAATCTTATCAGCCACGATACCTGGTATCCAGCGACCGGGAAAAGAACCCGAGTTCAAAAAGACGATCATCAGGTATGAGAGTCTTGGTGAGATACCGGTGGCTAAAGAGTACGAGGCAATGTATTCCAGGGGAATGAAGAAGCCCCATTCAATGAAGAAGACGCCAAGTGTTGTAAGAGCCAATACAGGATCTTTGAGTATAGTCAAGTCCGGGAGGAAAGTCTTCAGCGATGGAGGAGATGGATCCTTAGGAGGAAAGTTTGCACGGACGAGTAGACATCCTGGTACTAGGAGGATGAGAGTTATAAGGCCTATTATCCGGGTTGACCAGGCGAATCCTATCTTTGGAGCAAGGTTCTCGAGCACGAGAGGAAATATGACACCGCCGATACTACCTCCACCCAATGCAAGGCCAGTTGCTGCGCCACGTCGACGACAGAAGAAGTGTCCTATACTTGCGACAGGGACAATGAAAATAAATGATGTCCCCATTCCACCGAGGATTCCAATGACAACTAGGAAATGCCAGTATTCGTAACAAAAGCCCATAAGAACAAATGTAAGGACTATAAGTGTTGAGCCAGTCCACATCAGTAATTTAGGACCCTTGATGTCGAAGATCGGTCCAATTTGAATACCACAGAAGAAAACGAGGAAGTTGTATAATCCGAAGATCCAGCCGATCTGCCCTTCGCTCAGGTGGGATAGTTGGTGTGTTGAAATCCACGCTTGGTAGATGCCGATACTATTCATCAGACCTAGCCCTCCCATTATGGCGCTGAAGCTACCTACCACGACTAGGTTGGCTCTTAGGCCACCTTCTGGGTATATGTCTGCACTGACATCGATTTTTGGTTCGTGGTGCATTTCGATACTCAATTGGTTGAGATATGCGATTGTAGATTCGATTTGCTTGATAGAAGAGGAATTTGTGCTTAGGGAACTTTTTGCCTAGCTATATAGGTTTTTTTGTTGGAAAATTTCTCATTGTTTTGTTCCGTATAGTTAGATTCTTGGTTCGGCTTGGGTCTTCGCGGCGTAGAGAGTATCGGCGGTGGTTCCAGTGTCTCTGCTCGGCCGTCGGCGAAAGTCCGATATACTATGCTCAGGTGGTAAGCACCTGGCTTGAATGTTGCGATGAATGGGTAAACATGGTAGGAATGATATAAATGTGCGACATGGTCAATTTTGAATTCATGTAGAGAACATACGCTAGTTCGTGTTGTGATAATACTTCGCCTCTTGAGGGAATCAATACTAATGACCAAGACCTAGGATAGCAGGTCTAACGACTATTGCCACCGGGTTGGAGTAGTGACACGAAGTAAGGCGAAAATCCACATTCACAGATCACTGCTGAACTCGGCGAAACATCAAAATCATACAATGTCGACATCCGGAAGGTCTATCGGGTTCTGTTTGCCTGCATACAAACTTTGCCGTTCCGTTGCCGACTTGATGGCCGACGGCCGCTCGGCCAAGTCAAGTGGATCGGGAGGCAAACTTGGGCAGCGGAAACAGATGAAGAGACTCACTACTAGCGATACAGTTCAGCACATGGAAAATTCGACAAGTTCAGTCCGAGTAATCTTCGGATCTACATTGACTGGCCAAGGCACGGCCGATAAGAAATCATGATCGAGACCCGAGTGCTGGGCATTGTGATTCAGCACAAAGGCTAAGATGCAAAAGAAAAAGAATAGTACACGAATTGCACGAAGGCTACCGGAATGTATACATAAAAGAAAATTAAATGAAAGAGACACAAGAAAAAAAAATAGAAAAATAGAAAGACACCATCCTCCGTCCCATCCATTTCCCATGGGTATGCTCAGTAATCCAAGATAATGCAAATGCGCCAGGCAACGAAGACACGTGCGTATATCAAAACTATGCGAATCGGCGTTTTGACTTTGATGGGCTCGGCGACCGGAGAGTCGCATCTGGATCTCGGCTGCGCTCACGGACATAATCCATCGCTCTTGCGTTTTCCAACATCAGTGGAGCATCTTGTTTCTGGGAAAATTTGTCGCTCCTTTCCTGGCGCAGGTCAGGCTGTTGTTGTCCGTAGTAACTGAAGCCAGGATTGTGTTGCAACGGGAGTGGTTGCCCGTGCATGAATGGATTATGCCCTTGTGGTTGGCCGGGGTAGTTGTTCGGGTGGTGGGAGTAATCTTGTTGATTGTGTTTGTTTCTGAAAGAGCGGAATGACCAGTTGCTTACAACGGTCACGGTAGAAATGGTGGCGAGGAAGATTAACTAGAGAAATGTTAGTAGGGGATTGGATTGAGTGTAGGCCATCGGTACATACCACTGCCTTCCAGCTGATCGGATCAATAAAGTTGTTGATTATAACGGCCATCGTGTGCGCAGAGACCTTGGCGCGCCCAACTTTAGCCGGGTCACGATTCATACAGCGCTCCCAATTCTCGCAAACAGTCTCCAGTGCTGGTAATCGGTCCCCACCACCACACTTGTTATCCACGTAGTCTTTGGCGCATTTCGCCATGTCTGCCAGAATACCATCCGAAACCTCTTCAGCAGCGTGCTCGAATTCAGCGCGAATGGCTGAGACAAATGTGAATACGATCCACACGGCGAGGGAGAATAGCGATAGGTTAACCAGTAGCTGGGCCCACCACGATAAGATGCTGGGAACATTTGGGTGCGCCTCCAATAAAGCGAAGAATTCACGGAAAGACGACATCCGCGAGGGAACGACTTCTGATCCATGCTCATTATCTCGTTTTAATAATTTGCCCCCCCTCTTCTGGCTGTTGCTTGACCCATCGCTCTCATCATCACTCTCCACCTTCACCCTTCGAATCAGCTCCTTGTCTCGCACTTTATCTCTTTGTAGCCGTCTCTTTTGAACTTTATGCACCGCTCCACTCGCAAAATGTGGCACGCGGGTAATCTCGCCTCGACCAGGGCTAGAATGACCATGTCGCCCGAATGGATTGAATATTGAATTCCTCCGCTCCGTTCTTGCGGGTTGTTCCGGGGTATCTTCATTATCTGCGTTCTCTGGCGACGAGAAGTTCTCAGCACCGGATGAGAAATCGACATCAATCTTGCGAGGGGTCATAAAAGCAGGTTGTCCGAACTTGGGAAGGGACGAAGGCCGGGATTGTGATTGTTGTTGTTGCTCCTGTTGGGAGAAGAGGAATGGCTTGGAATTCGGAGGACGAAGAGCATAAGAGTTGTTCTTGTTCGGAGACTCAAATGAGCTATGTGGACCTAGCAATAGTTCTATTAGTGAGAGTGAAGACATTGTAGGGATCAAGAAGCTCACGTTTCTGGCCGCCCAGGTGCTGGCTCACTTGAGCGAAGGGCGAACTCGGATCTACTGCTGGTTTTGCTGTCCATTCGAATTCCATCGGAGCTTCACCTGTTCGGAGTTCTGCAAGTCGCGCCATGATTGCAGCAGGTCCCCAATTACTTGGGTGGATCGATCTGGGGATGATAGAGTGTGGAAGCGGGATGGTGGAGCAAGCAAGTTTTTTGTTTGGGTAAACAGACACCGGAGCAACCCGCACGGCACATGCAGATAACACCGATAGCACCGATAACTACAACGCGGTGGTTAGTACTATTTTATTTTTACAAGATGCGAGTTATGTGTATATTGCAGGGAGATATTTTATCTTTTGAAATGCTATCCTGAATTATTTACGCTCTTTGGCCTCGAAATTCGAATCTAAGACGTGTTTGATCACTCTGACATGGTACAACTTCCCACTATATATACATTTGTGGGTCTGCATGCCAACGTGTACAATTTTTACCGTAAATTATTATATATGATCCCAAAAACGCTCTAAGACAGATGATACTAAGCGATATACGATCCATAGTCTTGAATGCTTTAAAGATGCGGGGACTCTAGATCATTTGAGTCACCGAATACTAGTAGGCAGTAGCGGCCCGAGATACGCATCCTCGAATACTACTAGTAGTATACCTGATGCAACAAAGCTTGAACTGGGTGCCAGCACCCAAATATTGTCTTGATTATATCTACTCATCCATCTGCCATTGGTATTCCAACGACTCAATGCGACTCTTCTTATTCCGCGATGCAAACCAATCCTTTTCAAACCCATTCGCCCGATCAACACCATCCCACCGATGTCCAGGTCGAATACCATAACGATTCGGTTGAGATGACCCTTGATAAAGTGGCTTTCCAGTAACACTAGCTCCAGGCCCTTTCTTCTGCGTCAAAAACTGAGCAGCAGGGTCATTCCACCGGCCGCGATCCCGCAATTCATCGTTCAGAGCCTCGTCTTCAATTCCACGCGCAACAGGCATAGCCTTGATCTCCTGAAGTTCTTGTCGGCGGGTCTCTCTCTGTTGTCGCTGCACATCACCCATTTGGGCCTCCCGTTCTTGTTCCTCCTTTAGTCGTTTTTCTTCTTCGGCGCGTCGCGCTTCCGCTCGTTTCATCGCTACATTGATAATTCGTCCGGAGGCATCACGGTAGATTGTTTCTTGCTCCTTTTCATCTGTAGCGGCTGGGTCTTTAAATAGCGCCTCCTCAGCCTTGCGACGGCGTTCTTGTGCTTTCACCATCGCAGCTGTTTGTGCTGCTGTTTGCAGACCACCACGCACACCGGACTCCATTTTCGGTCCATCGTCTTCTTCTGTTCCTTCGACCATAGGCGCGTCTTCATCGTCCGCTCGTTGTGCTGCACGCTCTGCGGCGGCTGAAGCTAGGATTGCATCTGCAGCTTCTTGTTCGCCCTTATCGGCACCGGGTGCTGGTCCACCCACCGTCTTCCAGCCTGATGTTTTAGCGCGACGGAACTCGGCACTCTGAGCTGATTTATCGACGAAGGGACTGTCTTCATCATCTTGGAGCGTTGTATTGAGGTGTCGGAGGTCTGGTGGGTCGTCGTCGGCGATGACAAGGCCGGAGCCTGCGGTGTCTGTTGTCTTTGTCTTCTTGCGCTTTTTCTTTGGGCGTTCGGGAGCCGGGTCCGCATTAAGGTAGTTCTTTGCGAGGTAGTCTGCCAGCGATCCGGGCATTGTGAAGTGTGTTGTCGTTGCAAACTCAGCTATTCAGTACAGGTATAGAGCTTCAGGCTTAGCAGTGATTTACAGCTTATCGATAAGCGGCGGAATGTTGTTCCGGTGTTTGTACATGGCCTCGTATTCGGTGCATGAATTAATCAGCATCTCTGTTCACTTGAATGATAGATTTTGATATGCATTTGAGCCGATTTTGAGTCATTCTAAGATATGCCTCGGTCGGAAGAAGCCGAGTGGTGGGCAAATGCTGTTTATGCAGCCATTCAGGAGATTCCTCTAGGCAAAGTCACCTCTTATGGCCATATCGCCTTGCTTCTGGGTGAACGTAAGATATACCCTCTCTTATGATGTAGGGAGGACTGACGTGACTGTCAATTAAATAGCTCAACGACCTCGCCAGGTTGGTGTTTGTCTCAAGTCACTGCCCGCTGCAGACTCTGGCATGCACTTCAACGGCAGCACTGTCCCTTGGCAGCGAGTTATCAATTCCAAGGGGATGATTTCTCATCGGTAGGAACACCTGAACCGTTTCAAATTCCATGAATCAAGTGGCTTTTATGTGCATTACGCATGACCGTTCAGCTGATAAATCTTTAGTGGTCCTGGTAGCGCTGCACGCCAAGCCGAAGCTTTGCAAGAGGAGGGTGTTGAGGTGACTTCTGATAGTATGGGTGAGATGTATGTGGACTTCTCCCGGTATGGCTGGTTTCCAAAGCAGCTTCCGAGTGGAGAAAACGATGATGGTGAGGAGGAGGATGATGACGATGATGTGTGATTTGAAGGGTATCGTGAGATCGAGTTTCATTTGACGTGCATGGGTTTTCCGGACTCGGTGCCGTTCTACCTCACAATCTATTAAATGATACCTTTGTCTCCGGATCTTGACCTTTTCTTGAGATTACTGCGCATATGCTACTTTGTCACTGGTGGAAACGTAGATTGAACTAGACATTCTGTGATATAGCTATGGCGTAACCAACAACCTCCCATCTCACAAGCAAATATACTACCACGTCCGGAAAGCAAGCAAGAAAACTCAAACGAGGCTAATAATAGTTTGCACGCACCGTCCCATAGCTCATGCCGTTGAACTCCAAGTCGAAAAGCAAGGACGCAGATAAAGGTGTGAGAACCAACTTGTAATTAATTATGTAGTATTCTTGACCAGATGAGTTCTTCTTCTTCTCAAGAAGGCCTTCCGGTACTTTGCTCAAATCTGCAACCACCTCACATAGTTTGAAGACGGCTGCGAAGTCTTCTTAGTATGGACGTAACGCTTGAGACAACTGGGCCAAGCTTACATTCTGAGCTTTCGAACCTTGGAGCTGTGTCTTTGATGCAAAACATCAATTTGTCATGGAACACCCGTGAACCTTTGAGACTAACTATCCTATAGACGTCAAGTTTAATGGGCTCGCTCTCCGAAATTGAATCACCCTGTGAGCTCCAAAGAGTTGATTGTTAGGACATATTGTGAACAATTAACCGACCATGTTACCTTTTCGATGAACCACGACATTTGATTATCCACCCTCCAGAATTCTTCCAGATGATCCCATTCCTTGTTTTGTTCTGAATCAGTGGCGGGGTCATACTTCATCGAGCAGACTGTTCCATAGTGCGATCTGGCCCTTCGGCTTGCAATCTGATTCCCTTCTAATCCTCGATCAATAGCTCCCCTACTCTAGTTAGCAATTATATGCCTATTGAGTTCAATCGAGCTCCTGCCACACATCGCGTACCGAACAACGGCAGACCACCTGTATCATACGGAATAAGTAAGAAGCTAAATTTGCAAAACATTGGCGATCGACTTACGCATTAAGAGGCTGCATAATCTCCATATACCTAAAATGTCCTTTGAGTTGCTTATAGAGATATTCGGAGCTACCGAGCCCACCAACGAGAATAACAGCCTTTGCAAATTTAGAGGATTTTCACTGTGAAAACATTGACCTGACATTATATGCCTACCTTTGGTGGAGACCCCACTTGAGTTGCATCCAAATTTTGGCTGGCGATCAGCTCTTTGATACGTGAAACCACTGGGTCGAATATCTTCTGAACCTGGTCACTGTACAAAGTTTAGGAGGGCTAGTAATGATAGACAGATGTTTTGATACCTGTCAAGATGAAGCATGCCATTTTTGATATGCATTTTTGGCGAATCCTGTACTCCGGCGACTGGAACAAAATATCCACCATCAAGGTATCCATCATCATCATCTTGGCCCGCGAAGTATGGCTTGATATCATTTATCCATCGATGCATTGCCATTCGCTTCGATTCCTCGGATAGGCTCATGTAGTTCATTTCACCAATCGTTTCCATAAGGAATTTCTGAAAGGAATTGTCCAAAGTGGTGGATCCACAGAGTGCTCCTAGCTCCTGTCAATGGATATCATAAATCTGGTATAGCATAATTTAACAGTACCTGTTCCCACGGTGACCTCTTCCATTCTCAAAGGATTAGTCTGGATCACTTCGTAGGTGATAAGATCCTAACATGCACCGCGGATATGGTCAGAAAATCACTGGGGAAATAGTAGAATGCTTCTACTAAGAAAAAAAAAAGGAAGTGGAAGAAAAGCAGAAAGAAAAGAGTAGATCACTAACAACAGTGCCACCACCCGCATCACAAACAATGAAACGGTCATTCTTCTACTGACTGTTAGAACCATGGAGAAGTTACGTATAGAATTGAAAACATGCCTCAATCGTGTTAGGCTGAAATGTGTGAAGCGCATGTAGAGCAGCTGCTTCAGGCTCGGAAAGCAAAGACAAATTTGATTCTGGAATACCAGCTTGGCAAGCAGCTTGCATGGTTAAATCCTTGGCCTTGTCAGAACACACGGCCGGAACGGTCACAGTGTAATGAACGTCCATAGTCTTCATCAAACATCCGATTCCTCGCCGATCCAAAATATCCTGCAGGTGGGAAATCAACTTCTTTAAATAATCGGCGGTAACTTGTACGGGTTTCTTTTCAAGCTTCCTAAGAAGATCATCACTCTCAACTGCAGGGTCGTACTGAATGTCCTGGCTTCTATCAAGGAGAACCTTGACTCCTCTGATGCACTCTTTCATGTCATCGACTTGGTAGCCCCATAGAGTTTTGTTTCCATTATAGGAAATCAGGGTAGGAACCTTTTGCGATGTGCCTGTTGATTCATGAGATATAAGCCTGAGCCTCCAGTTCTTGTTAAGCTATATAGTGTATTACTGACCGTTTCCTCCTGCAGGCCAGTCTTGGACTACTTCGATTTCATCGGAGCCTTGTAATTTCCAGCCAATTCTGGGATAGAAGTATCAGATTTGAAGTATTAGGGTGTTATAATGGAGTACATACCCACTGAAGGTGGTTCCAAAGTCTATTCCAACAGAAAGTCGGGTTCGCTCACCTCGCGAGAGGGATGCTTTGTCTTCTTTAATCACCATGGCGGACGGAGATTCGACGAGATATGAGCTACACAAGTGAAGAGGAAAATAATATTAGGTACGAATAGAAAATTTCAAGAGTAAGGAACGAGGAGGGAACTTTTTTTACATAGGCAGTTAGTTATGTGTTGACTTAGTCGGCCGATGCCGTTGACGGTGGCGGCTGTCCTGAAAGAGCGTCGGGGTTGACACACCAGTACAAAAAGGAACAGTCATGTTGTCATACTACATGCAACCCGGCGATTTCCAGTTCCAATAAAAACAAGAAGAACCCAAAGCAAGAGAAACGAGGGCGACAGACCTCAAAAAGATTATACGGCAAATCATCATCCTTTGATCTTTATCACTACTATTTCCCGTGGCTGTCTTGTGCATACCAGGATGTCGCTACATTGGGTTCAGAATTTCTTCGACAGTAACTCGGACAACTCTCCCACACCAGACCCCTCAGAGTTAGAAATGCTAGGTATGAGAATTCCAGCGGAGTTGAATTATACAACTAACCATCCGATGAGCATAGAGCACTTGGCAAATCGTGGAATTATCACACCATCTTATCAAATGCGAGTGCAAGAGTTGCGAGAGACGAAAAAAGAACTCAGGCTTTTGAAATGCGAGAAAGAAGGTCTCGACATGGCCCTTGAGCTAACAATTAAGGAATCTGCGGTCCTCCTTGAAAAACTTGAAAAGTCCTCTGGCGAATTCCGAAAACTTGAAAGGGCATACCTCGGCGAAACCGAAAAACTTCGCCGCCAAAATGAAATACTGGGTGATACTCGTAGAGAGTTAATTGAGACAGTCGATGAGAATGAGCAATTGGTGAGGAGACTGACAAAAATGCAGAGCTGGTCTGACCGTCTGAATGATGAGCAAACAAAACAGATTATGCGCCAGTTGTATCACGATCTTGAAAGGTGGGCTAAGAATCACTTCCACCGTCGCAATTTTGAGGGCCTCTCTAGATCTGATGCCTTATCATGGTCCTCCTCTGATGACCTGAGCACTTTCTATGCCATATACTCGACTGTCTCGCACGGTATATTTGAGGTTTATCTTTCGCGGATGATGGTGGGCGTCATAAACTTTGAGCTGCAAGATATCTTTCGTCAAATTTATGGCGAGATTCGCCGCGCATGTTAGTCCCCTTCAAGTTATAATCAAACTACATCCCCCAGCCCGGGTATATACTAAAAATGTCTAGGTCCAACGCACGTCACGCAAAATTGGCATTCCGCAATGAGCACAGCGTTATCTTCGATTGGGGCTGAAGAGGTTGAGGCAGATTATAAGGCCTTCATTGATACCTTTGAAACTCAGTATGGTCAATACTCCTCGACTGACCCTGAAAAGCGCCGAGAACAATTGGAGGTATTGCTTCGCAGATTTGTGGAGTTTAAGGGAAGATTGGAACAGCAAATTTATCTTTACACCTTTGAATGGATCAGCCCTGCTTCTCAGTTTAGCGAAGGCAAGATGAAGAACTTTACTGGGCTCTGTTCGTCTGCGGCTGTTGTTCAAAGGACTCTGTGCCCTGTTCTTTATAAGGTTCCACCTGAGGGTGAGTTGATATTGGTAGAGAAAGGGGTGGTGACCGTGACGCCGTATATACGGCCTCTGGAGCCTGAGCCTGACGCCACCAAGGAAAATATAGAGGTTGCTTATTTGGAGCTGGAGGATGGCTTTAAGATGGATGTTACTCCAGAGCCAGATCCAATGGAGGATTCTCTTATTTCCCTTCTTTAGATGGAAGTATTTGGAACTTTGCTTTTGCTCGTAATTCAGAATGTAATGTTGATGGGTTCACGTGTTCATTTATTTTGTACTCAGCTAGTCATTGAATAATAAATCTGCCCGAAGAACTTTATGGCTGTGTTCAATATCTTTCATGATAGCCTTATTGACTTGCCACAGTGTGACTAATTTCTCAAAAGTAGATAGGAAAGGAAACCGTTGAGATTCTGATTTGAGAAAAAATCAATACAAATTTCGAAACGAAGTTTAGCCAGCAACTGAGCTAAATGAGCGACTCATCTATCCCTTGAGAAAATACATATGGCTTGACAATTGCCTTTTCCACCACTACTAGCTCACCCCTTGGTAGGCTCTTGTATAGCGCAGGAGCCAAAGTCTATTGAATGAGTGCACCGGATTGGCAAATATCGAATTCTGACAAACTCCAGTGGTGCCGTTTATCGGGGATTGGAAGGAAATCAAATGTGAATCGAAAGGCCAGGTGCCACTATGGAGTAAGATATTTGACCAAGTTCGATCCAACTATCCATTGTTCTTGCGACAAGATATGGGATGACTTGGAAGAGAAATAGAAGGCAGACAACTAGATGGAATGGCACATCCATAAGGTACCGTTCTCTTTGAGCTCTAGATTGTGTGATATCATCATGGTTACTTGGTATGAAAAATTCAACTCGATAGGGAGAATCGTTCTCAGAAACAAGCCTATCAATCAGCCTGTCATTCCAGAGGGATTTGAGAGTTGATCAGCCCCTGATGTTCACAGAATCCCTGAGGGTCTCCTCTATGCATGAAGCTCCCAAAACTTGCTTGAAAAGACGTCAGTCTCCTCAGAAATTTAGCGGACTCCAATCTTTATGACTTAACATCTTACATAGATTCTGAAGTTACGAAAATCTGTAAGCTTACTACAGATCTGAGCAAAATTCCAAAAAGACTCTTCACGAAGAACAGGAATTCATGTGGCGAAGAGTATTACACCATCCCTTATAAGTTGGTTCTTACACCCCTTTCTGCCGTGATGCTTTTTGAATTAAAATCCAATGGCTTGAGTTACGGGGCGATCCGAGCCAATTACTGCTAGTTTATGATGGGTTTGTTGAAGAATGGCTTGGTTTGTTTGGCCGTCTTGGGATATTCTCTGCCTCCATATTCTCTGCCTCCATATTCTCGAGATTGACAAAATATGAAATTTCAAGTTCTGCATGGTACTCTATTGTTGTCCCGGTCAATAAATACCGGTAGATTGTGCATTAATCATTTAAGGGGTTTTCACCAATAGTGCATGGAATTCTTTGGTATTTTTAGCAGAAATATGGTCTTGCGTAGGGGAGAAATTTCATCTTTCATCATATATATGATACTGTGCTTACCAAGGTTTGTATAGACAACTTATGATCCCTCGTAAAAGCCCCGGAAGGCCTGCTTATTGTATGTGGCGCGATGAATCCACTTGTCACATCCACTGCGTCGTACTACTACCTAGACATGCTCTAAAGCCCAGCTAAAATGGTAAATAGAAAGATTATCCCAGAGCAAAGGTCATCATCATGAATCTTATCTAAATCGCATCACGCGCACAAAGAATAAATAGGATAGAACAAAGCAGAAAAGTCGCATAGCAGATCGCCAGAAGAATCCGGATTTCATTGGGTCATAAGGTGTAGCTTGCAGGATCTCAGACTCGAATCTAGAAAGCTGATATAATGATTGCAGATCCCGCCTTGTTGTCGTGTACATGCAAGGTCACTTCTGGTGGGATCAGACAGGATGGGATGGGGTGATGAATCTATGGGCATGAATCGAATCGAGCTAGTGTTGGTGTTGTTATTGGTGGTGGAGATGGGAATGGGAATGGGTTGGGTTGGGTTGGGGTGAAGCAACAAGAACATGGACCGGAACAAAACAAGCATCCTCTCCATCCGCCGTGCCAAAGGGAATCCCAGAGAAATAGGAAATGGGGAAGTGGAAATAAAAGAGAGACCAGAACCAAACCAAACCAAAACAACCAGCATCCCATAAGTGGAGAAGAAAAACGAGATCGTAACTCACATCATCGCTGAAGTGGAGGGAGAGGATAGGAGAGAGAGGATAGGAGAGAGAGAAGAAGAGCAAGGTGTCTTTGATGATATGTCCCATCTAGGGCAGATCGTCAAGAAGATAGAAACATAGACCAAGACAAGACATAGTAAAAGAGAAAAAGATAGGAAAGAAGATGGAAAAACAATAACGCTGAAAGAGAAAACAAAAATGATGTCCCACTCTCTTAAGCACCATGTTTAATTTCTTATTCAATTTCGTAGTCTTCATCGTCGTTTCACCTCCATCGCCCATCCATCAATCCCATCCCCTTTCGTACCGGGTGCTATTCCAAGATCGACCTCACTCATACCAGCTGTATCTTGCATCCACTCGTGCGAAGACATGCCACCTGCATTGGCACGTTTCTCACAGGAGAGATCTAGCATCGGTAAGAGGAATTCAGCGATTCGCATAGCCTCATCGACTGTGTAGTGGTACTTTTCACGGAGGACTTCGGGAAGTGCCCAGTGGCGGAGTCGGTGGATGTTTCGGAGTTCGCCCTTGCGATTGAAGATTTCTTGCGAGTATTTTCCTGATAAACACATTGATTTTGGGAAGGGGCCGAGCAATTCGATGATTTGCGCGATGTGATCGTCGTCTTTGCCATATTTGGTTCCGGATTGAGGATCGAAGAGATAATCTCCAGTGATGAGCTCGAAGGTCTGAGTATGTTAGTGGGCTTTGTTGAAGGATAGAGTGGGAACGGGAGTAAGTAGTTTGATGAATACGTACCATGCATGCCATACTCCATACATCAGTGCTGGCGCCCCATTTCGCACCCAATATAACCTCGGGAGATCGGTATTGCCGTGTCTGAATGTCGTTGGTGAAATGGTGACCCACCCAGCAAGCGTTACCCAGATCAGCAATCTTGACCGAAATGATGCTAGCATCGATCTCCTCCTCGAGGGATTTAGTTGATGAGCTCTTGTCCAGGGAGATACCAGACACCTCTCTCTCCAGGAGATCACTGCATGAATTAGTACCGTACCACGATAGACTGGGTAATTGTGGGACTTACGCTGTCTTCTCTCGCTCCTGCTGCTTATCACCTTCCTCCTTAATACCAAGCGCGTCCCTCATCGATGGCAATTCCGGTGCTGCAAAACAAAACATATTAGTTATCGAAACACAACCGAGCCCAAACGACTGCAACTCACTTGGATCATTGACCATCTGGCTTAAGCTGCTATGTGAGTGGGAGGAGCTGTGCTTGAAATCATAGCTACTAAAGCTAGTATTCAATGGACTGGGCAGCGGTTGACTACCCGTAATCAACGTGCGTCTCCGTCGACGTCCATTCCGGTTATCTTCCTTATTCTCCTTCTCCTTCTTCGCCTCCTCTTGCTGCACATGCGCCTTCACAATCTGCTCTACATCACCAATCTCAATCAAAACATTCTCCGGCTTGAGATCGGTGTGAATAATCCCACACTCGCGATGGAGATAATCCAATCCTAGTAGCACCTGCTTCGTGATCTGCTTGACCAGCGGCATGGGGATACCGCGATGGTTCCACCGCTTGATCAGACCTAGCAGATTCTCACCCAGTACCTCAAACACCATACATACGTGTACGCCGTTGGGTCCCTTGTGCTCGAATGAGTCCAGCAGACTGACCACATGCTTGCGGCCCGGGTGAGATGGTTTCGCTTGCACGATCCGATTGAGCAATTTGATCTCATCGATCGCGGTCTCGGTATAGTGAGCTGCGGAGCGCACAACCTTCAATGCAACGTGTTTGCCCGTTGTCGTATCCCTAGACAACCAGACTGTGGAGAAATGGCCCCAACCTAACTTGCGAACCACCACATACCGCCCATTGTTATATGTCTCGCCGACCGCGACCGGGTGATAGCCACCCTTGCAATAATCCTCGGAGTCTTCTTCTTCGGCGGTAGTTTCGGGTTCTTCTCCTGATGAAGAGGAGGGGGATCTAGATGCTGTCGCACCGGCGGCTTTGGGGTTTGCGGGCGCGGCGCCACTGCTGGAGAAGAAGATGTGTGAGCTGAAGTTCAGTTTGCTTTGCGCATTGATTGGGAGTGGTTAATAGAGAATGGGTTGTGTGTGGTTAGATTAGGGTAAATGGATAAGGAGAATTGGCAATAAATGATTGAAATAAACAGTGGAGGGGGTCCATCGCATTAAAATCAAACAGAAGAAAAAAAAACATACGCATCAGTGGCAGCGGCTGGGTTTGCATCATTAGTGACGATCGGCTTCAGATCGGTCCCCTTTCTCCTCTTCTTCCCACCGGTGCCATTGGCAGCGGAGGCAGCAACAGACGCCATCTGTTTACCCTTGTTCAATACAGCTTTGGTGAGATCAACACCTTCCATGATGGATGAGAGAGGTTCACTTTGGAGAGTCAAGGCGGGGCACCGGGATGCAAGTTGGTTGGCGGGAAACGGGGCAGATTGGAGGCGGTGCGCGCTTGACCGCAGAATAGTAGCAGTAGCAATAGCTGGATGTGATAGAACACAAAATATAAGAGGAAAGGGAAGATATGAGACTGATCACAACTCAAGATTCCAAAATATTAGACAATCTCAAACTGAAAAGAGAAAAGTTCAGGTTCCAGGCCACAGGTGGATTAGCGATGCCCAAAGATCCACGATTCCGCAAGCAGCCAACGTTGTGAAGCCGGAAGTGGCAAATATGGGTTGCATGGGCTTGGGAGAATCAGGGGGAAAATTAAAGTGGAGATTAGATGGAATCAGTAGTCGGGAATCAGTTATACAGAGAAGAGAAGAGCAGTAGTCAAAAGAATAAGTAGATCGAGAGAAAAAGGTCGATCTGAGGAAATGAAGGTGGAGTAGATGTAAGTGGCTGGGGCTGAGGATCGGGTAGAAAGACAGTATAGACAATACATGTATACAGAGCATAGGGGGATTGTGTAGGAGATGAATAATAGAATCAGGTTATAAATGAAAGATGAAATACAATAGAATCATAATTATGTATTTCATTTAATTAATTTATGTTAATCTCTACTCTATCTCCCTCTATCACATATACTCGACACTATGTATACTACACTAACTTATAATGTACTGCTGACTAATATCACTACTCTGATGTCACTTCTCCCCGCTTTGATGACTAACACACCACTAACAGCTCAAGTGCTACAGTGAGCTACACTACAGTACGTCAACACCAACTGGACTCTCTCTTTGTACCTCCACATCAGTCGAGGTCATCACCATGCCGGGTCCCTTTGACCGCCGTTCAATACCAGAATACTTCGTCTCCTCCCCGCTCGTCGCTCTCCTCTATCCACTTCATCAGGTTCTTCTTCGTCTGCGTGGTCCACCTCGTCTCCCACCCCCAGGTACAACCCCAATCCGCGTCGTCTGTATCTCCGACACCCATACCCTCGAATGGCCCGACATCCCAGACGGTGACCTCCTCATTCACGCCGGTGACCTCGCAAACGATGGCTCCGTCCGTGAAATCCAAACAGCCGTAAACTGGCTCCGCTCTCTCCCACATCCACACAAAATCGTCATCGGCGGAAACCACGATTCCTACTTCGATACCCGATCACGCCTCGAAGAAGACCGCGAAGACACAACCACGAATGGAACTGGAAATGGCTTCGCGACCGTCTCCGCTTCAACTGCCTCGATCCGCTCTCTAGATGAGATAACCGGTTCTCCCTCAAGAATCGACTGGGGCGATATCCACTACCTCCAACACTCATCCGTTACATTGGAATTTACGGCCCCCGAATCTGAAGAGGTAATGAACTCTTCTACGTCAACGCTTACCGCCACTAATCCTCGTCATCTTACGATCTACGGTGCGCCACAAGTCCCAGCTATCGCAGGTGCTACCTGGGGTCCTGAACATGCTTTCATGTATCCGCCTCATCACGATGCCTGGTCTCGAACTGTACCCCCCGAAACAGATATTCTGGTCACTCATACCCCGCCCCAATCTCATCTTGACCTCTCCCCAATCTACTCGACCGGTTGTCCGAACCTCCTTGCTGAATCATGGCGCATTAGACCCCTCCTTCATATCTTTGGACACTGTCATTGTGGTGCGGGGTCGGAGCCGATCTTCTGGGATGAGGCGCAGAGAGCTTGGGAACGATTATGTGCTTCTCGCCGATCACGCGCAAAACATAATCGCTTCGTTATGTTAGCGGGTTTCTTGAGGGATTTGTTTGATCCTCGTGGTTGGATTGATGCGGCGCGTGTTGTGGTTTATGGTATGCTGGGTGTGGTTTGGGCGCAGGTTTGGGGTGGTGAGAATAATGGTGGTGGATGGTTTGTTAATGCGGCGTGTATGTATCAGTCTTCTGGGAAGCTGCGTAATCCGCCGCAGGTCTTTGAGCTGTGAGCTGAGCTGAGCTTAGCTTGAGCTGAGTTTTCCAGTATCTTTTGCTTTCTTAGTTGCATGGTTGTCCTATTTCTTCGGATGTTACTAGCGTGCATAGCGATCATCTTTGCTATTGTTGATCGCGTTTTTGCATTTATTCTTCTCCTTTCGTCATCCCAGCGGTATATATGCGCTGACGATCCTGCCAATAATTGAACATATTGATCCACGTGATGCCTATTAGTGTGATGATCTGTCCCAGGGCTGTCACTACTAACACCCATCGCTTTGGACATATTCCTCCGATAAATCCACAGTCAACCTCTTCCCCTTCCAAATATAAGAGAATAAGTAGTCACGATCGTCGCTGCTTTTAAATACAGGGTCTGCTCAGCATGCAGTCAACGTTACAATGCTAGGGTATCCGGGATGACCCTTGCACATACAGATTCTAGACGCAGTCACCACCTTATTCTACTTTATTCACACCTAATGCAGTATCCTTGCTAGTATAGCCAGCTGAGCAGGGTGTGTCCATGTTAGCCTATAAGGTAGAGAGCTGCGGTGTTATTGGGCACAAAATTTGGAAGGGGAATATGGTACTCCACATCATGATTCCCTTGTCAGATGGGTACTGAATTATGGATAACGATCATAGAGGTTGCGGCGAAATGAGTGTCTCAAGAATGTGATATTGGTGGGAAGGATTTTACGTTGGCAGTGTATCTTATTGTTCGGCTTTACTATATGTACTGAAATAAAATCTAGGGCTGTGGGGCTATATGGTTCAAAAATGGGACTAGTAATGAATACTTCAGAAAAGAACTGAAATTGTCATTTCTTGCTGCCTTCTTGATATGAATTGAACAAAAGTAGAAATCGAAATCTTTGTCTGTACCTAATAGCCCTCTTTATTCAAATTGAAAAGCAATCAAACGCACGCCTAACTGAAGAACTATCATTATCTCAGATCTGTTCGCGAAAATCACTCCGCAGCCTCGAGGGATGCACAATACTTTGTTTGGAATAGACGATCCCCAGTGTCCCTACCATCCAGTGTCCCTGCCATCCAGTTTCTCTGGTCGATCATTCGAAAGACTCAGTGCAAAGAAACTGACATTGATGAACTCTTTTACTTTCCGAATGAAGTCATCTGTTGGTGTGTAGATAATCCCTGCCATCACCACAATCCGAATCTCGTCATCCAGGCTTCGGATACGATCGATGTAGAGAAATATTCTGTTTTCGGTATTCATGACGAAGTCGACCAATACAATAGTATCTTTGCCATTCAAGTTGACTTCATCAATTATCATCCACATGTATGAACGATGATTCGGGGATCATTTCGGTGACCCCAAATGCCATCATTTCGCCAGTCCTCATAATCGCTGCAATGGCGGTTCGCTTTTGGCGGAGGAGGAATGCCTCTTCATCCAGATCTCCGTTAGCCTTCTGAATGGAGGTACCCTCGGTGTCTAATATCTTGCTGAGATATTTCCCAGCTAGGTATTGCCCGGCTCATTGGTGTCCTGCCCTGAGGAAAAAATCTAGAAATCGATTCATCGGTGGCTGTTTCCAGAATTTTCCTAGCCTCGGTCTCGCCATTTGCGTGAATAATCGACAGACATCCAGGGAAAATATCATTGATAACTCCTTGATCTGTCAAGTTCACCTGGGGAAATCTCGTTTTATCCAGAGGACAAAACGCGTCCCGTTCTAAAACCACCTGGCTTCGCTTGACAGATGTGGAAATTAGTTTCATAGGGCGATATTGTCCCAGTGTTTCGTCACTGCTTTTTTGGCTTCTGATTCTGTTTTGAACGCTGTGACGACAACAACAGCTGAATATGCATACGAAAGCATGTGAACATCGCTTTCATCGCCGAAAGCCCATGTCTGAATGTTGTGCGTGTTCTTCAGCCCAGCTGCTAGCTTGGCCATTTCGGATTGTGTCACGACAAAGCCATCGCTCAATCTTGTTCCACCAATAACATGAATATTCCCCCTGAGGCCTTCTCTCTCTAAGACACTTTCCCAGAATTCGTGTGGGCCGGAAGTCATAAGTATGCAGCAAATATTTGAATTATTGGTTGCTGTTTGAGGAAGCTTGTGGAAGTCTGGATGGATGCGAATTTTCCTGGCAGTCTGTTCGCAAATGAGTTTGAAGTTCGCCTCGTCAAAATGCTCCTCGCAGAGAAGCATTCCCTGTCGGCAATTGAAGTAAGTAGATTTGTCTTCACCATGGTAGAAGCCCCCATGGAAGGAATCATAATTTTCGATACTCCTTGCGTCGAGCGAAACTTTCTCCCAAAATAGTGAGATGCAGTGTTCGTCCGTTAGGAACGGTGTCGGCATTGAAGAACAAAATCCTCTGAATTGGAGATGTGCTCCCTGCTAAAAGTTTTTCGAGATGTTCATGTGCCTTCTGAATATTCCAGAAGTAGGTGTGGCTTTCCAAGTCTCGCAATAGGCCTAATAATTCTGCCTCATAGAAGTATGGCGTACCGAGTGGAGCGAAGTACACACCCCGTTCACGGCAGAGCCCACGAAGCAGGGCTCTGAAAGCTTCTTTCCGTATTACAGGATTCTTTGGATGAAGGTTGTCGGGATACTTTTGGCTGGCTCGGACTGCGATGGTTGAATTCGAAGTTCCATCGATACAAATGATATGGCTGTAGTGACGCAATTCGTCGTCCGAGATATCAAGTTGTAGAAACCCGGAACGGTCATATTCACCAGTATAGAGTGCAGCGTGATTCTCGACGATCACTGCCTTCTCATCATCTTGGGCAAATTGCTAATCTTTTCATGGCCTTCTCTCTGTAAGTCCTCTGGGCATCGTTGTCAAGCCGTAGGAATTTATCAGTGCTTCCAGGGTGAACCTTGTTGAGCATCTTGTCGAATTGCACGACGTTGAACTTATCACGTAACTTTTCTTTGACCTCACTGCGTAGGAGAGGGCCCACAACACCCTTCAGACCGAAGAGACCTAACACTGTTGTCATGCAGCCGAGTTGTCGGGTATTGGTTTTTAGCTCTGGGGAAGGGACGACGGTTGCGATTTGAGGAAGGCGGGTGTGGTCGAAGGGAGAAAAATCTTGATAATATGAGATTTATGAGGGGGCCTAAAGATCAAAAAGATGAATTCAAGGCTGCGATGGTTGGGAAGAAAGAGGAAGAGAAATGGAAGAGCCGCGAACTTCAATTTATAGGTGGTTCTCTCACTTGGAGGATGCTGGAAACCGCGTGTATCTCGTGACTGGCTTCATTTACATGAACCTCATGATTTGGTCCATGGCTCTACTCTCGTGCTCCTAAAATTACATTCGTTCTTATGATATTGTACTTGAAACAATCGATCCTAGATGAATATTCCAAGGTTTCATGTCAATAATTTCTTCATCATCTTCAAGATAGCTTCAAGTTGAGGGGACTATATAACCTTCAATGTGCCAACATTGAAGAGGTAGTATGGGATATTTCAGTCTGACTGGCCATAGATGCACTGGTTATATCATATTTATCATCATGATGAAGCGAATAGTCAAAATTAAAATATTATATACCAGAAGGAAACATATATGTAAAATAGAAAACTTGAACCTCCAAGACCGGAGCTTGCCCACGAGCAGGTGGAGCCCTAGAGGACATCATTGATTGAAATTTTCGGACTCGGAGAGAAGATACTATACTAGTCCCAAATCTATGGATAGCACACATAGAGCAGAATCTTCTAACATTCAAAGTTTGGATGTTCAAGTTGAACAGGGCGTACAGACAAAATTGAAAGATCCGGCTTCAAGTTGCTTGTGTGACAAGCACATTTAAACATTGGGTCAGTAGCAAACAAAACCTCCAGTGCTATAAAAGGCCCACTACGATTGTTTACGCAATAACATGATCATAAAATCTCTCTCACACTCTTGGAGTATCTCGAGAAATGGCATCTTGTCTTTTAATCTTTCATAGTTCTGCTAGTATTGGATTCCGGTCCACAGAACAACGATAGTCGGTAGAAGGGCCTCCTTGAGTGAACTTGAGTGGTTTACATGCTAGTTTCGGAACAAAGCAGATTGACAGTCATTTAGTGAACTCTTCTTTAGTAGGGAGTGCACCGCTTCTTTATTCCTAACAGCGTCACTTCTATTTTCTCCTCTTCCAAAGTCAGGACTATTCGTTTCGCGCACTTTACTCTTTACTGTGGATCGGTATCATGACAAATAGATAGATCTTACATAATAGGGTATCGTGCTCATTTAGCCCAGATAGCAGCAGGAACATCGCCATCCAGGGTCAATTCAGCAAGCAGCCTACCAGGTTCACCATTGCGCATATTCCACTGGATGACACCGACCTTCTGGCTGTTTTCAAGAGACACGGCCAACTCTTGAGGACATCCACCAATATCGAAGTGGCGCACCGAGGAACCAAATGCTGGGTAGAGCCCGACAAAGCGAACACCAGTAAAGCGTTCACCATTCTTGTCCGCAATATCAAAGATAGCAATGGAATCATTATTGCTGCCAAACGTGTTGTCCAGACGGTTGCTGATAACCAGTCGGTTATTGTCGGGCTGGCAATGGACACTAAATTAGCGAAATTGACCCAGAAAAGAACAGAATGCAGTATTGAACTCACCGATACTTTGATCTCGGCAACCTTGGAGCTGGACGGGGCCGTATAGTTGCCATACGATGTGCCATGGAAGAACCGATCGAAGGACATGCCGCCATTGGTATAACCCACGCGAAAGCCACTCACCACGTTGGTAAGTTCGTGAACAAGGAACATGTAGACATCACTGGTGGTGGCATTATAGGTCTTGGGGGTCCAAAAGGTGAGGTGACGAGGACCAGAGCCGGGCGTTGCATGGTAGGGCTCCACAGGTTCAAGGTACCCGGTGGAGGGATCAATAGCGAATATGCGCACAAGATCTGTCCCCAGGTCGGGAACCAGAACGAACTTCCCAGTCGGGTCAACGAAAACGCCGTGCGGATGGGGAGCGTCCTGTCGAGTAGTGTTGGGACCAGGGTGAGACATCTCAAAAGTGAAAGTCTGTAGGTTTTGGAATTCGCCCTTGGCACGATCCACGGCGTAGGTGGTCACGGTAGATGTCTCACTGGGTAAAAAGAATAAGTATGCGATAAGGGGGGATGGGTTTGTTTTTTTTTTTGCGTACTAATGAGCGACGGCGAAGAAGCCCGAGTCCTTGACACCAGCAGCGGTGTATATGGCCGACATAACCAGACCAGCAGGAGTGGTCAGTTTTTCAATAGTGTCCAACGATCCATTGGCAAATGCCTGGAATGAAGTGATACTACCGTTGGCAGTATCGATAGCCTCATTCAAGCAGTAAAGAATCCCGTGTGGTTGATCCAGCATCAGCCATGACGGACTAGTGCCACAGTCCTGTGACTTTTCGAGGGTTGACAACGACCCATTGGCTTTATTGAAAGCCAGTGAATATAAAGAGCCCCCATAAGATGCGGCATATAGCGTGGAAGCAGTAGCGAAGCTGGTAGACAGCGCAGCCACGATGCCGAAAATAGCGAATTTCATCATGAAGTGGCCACCCAGCTGTATTCAAACGCGAGAGGTGGATGCCTGAGCGGGGAGAGGAAGAGAGGTGAAAGTGCTTGGGTGCGTCTCAAACGGTGATCAGGAAAGTCCGACCGCAATGGAAGACTCACTAACGGCTTCTTATTATCCCGGTGAAACGCCATGCTCTTCTTCAACATAGCAGAGTTGTTGGAAACCCCCCCACCAGGCGGATTACTACTGGCCACAAAGGTCGGGTAGATTGGCACGCGTTCTCGTACCACCTAGACGATCAGGATGCACGCGCTTTCCCTTGTTCGAAATCTGGCCGTACTTCTTGCATCATGAACCGATTGCCGGAAGGACCTACTCCGGGCTTGGCGCCGAACCCGGTGCTCATCCAATCCCGATACTTTATCTCGGCATGCCGAACGTGCAGCGTGATCGGCGCCTGACGGTCATTTGTCAACTTCATGGCCCAGACTTCCACGTCAAGAAAGTTGCCAAAAATTATGAATCATGCTTGGTCCAGACTTGAGATCTTTGGGTTCGACATTCAGCAAACGCTGTCTAGGCAATCCACTTATCCATAATCCATGCCAAGCCACCATTTCCATTTCTAACTCTTGGCTCACTTGTAAGCATCACCGGTGACCGTTCTGAAATTGGCTTTGACGCAATTCCTTGATATCAGATGAATTGAGTTTGAAGCTTCTCTCGGATCACTTGGTTAATCTTGATCAACGTGTTTGCTCATTCCCTTCTCGTTGTCATCTACTTTCCTCCTCTTGGCTTTCCGGTATGGTGGATCCTCTAGTCTAGTGCATCTGTCTTCTTGGCGCTCTAGAACACTGGATCTGTGCAGAATTTAGTGAATCCTATGTTGATCAACCATCGGTTTGTAACTACATTTGAACCAGCTGAGGCTTAGCTCTTGGCATTCTACTCCGAGAACGTGGGAGTGTGCTATTGATCTGAGCATCCAGATAAATTGACTTGAATTGGTATCCGTTGCAGACGTAAAACGCACGTTGCAACGTGCCTACTCACTAGGGGCAACTGCATGTGGTGGATATAGAGTAAATCACAGCTTTGCTGAGGTACACCCGCACATGGCCGGGTGCCCCACTACACGTGTGCAGTATGTAGATCACTGTTATATCTTCACCGTTTAGATTGATTGGGGCATAGCGCTCAGAGAAATTCAAGTTACATCCAAACATGTACACGTACATATACACGATCCAAGGAAAGACAAGTTGGAGTACGTAACACGAGTGAATCATCGCACATCTTCAGGATAAGACATGGCCCCCGACATAAGTACGAATCCATTCCTTTGGATCCTACGAACCTGTAAGCAGACGAGAATTGTAAATAGCACTCAGATGGAGATTGCCACTCGCTCCCGATTTCCGTCTTGGCGTCACGCCTCAATATGAATGTTCAACAAGCTTCCTCGCTTTCCCTGCGTAGATCGTACTAGGCAGGTACCCATTGATCAACTGTTCTTGGCTTTCGCTTATCAGCATGCTCCTTTCCATCGAGAATGAATGACTGGCGGTTCTTCACACCGGGCGAACTTCTAAGCTCTTGGCTTTCCCACGATTACCATATTTTAACAGACTAACCCTATATCACCATGGCATCAGCATTCCTTCAAGTGTTAGAGTGGACTTTCAGGATTGAAAATGATCCTAAATTAGGCCTTCGAGTAGACCGTAATTTTGGTGAGCACGAAACAACCGTCGGAGCATTTGAATCTGGGAAGTGAAGTATCCACCTCCCGAGATACTGTAGCTTTCTTGGTACGGCGTGAGTAGTGCCTTCAACCTATCATCGTGATTCCCAGTCTCCCATGAAAACATGCCTGATGAAGAAACTCCACTAAGCTCAAAACAAGAATATCTATTATTCACACTCTATTGGCGTTTCTGAAGTTAGTTTTGAGTGGATCTTATCTACTCCTCTACTCCTAAGGTCCTCGGGGTACTGAGAGCTTCGGCTACCACTTCAATTACATATGCGTGAATGAAGAAGTAGCGATCAAATCCCCATGGTTCTGGCTATTTGATATTGAACATAAAGAGTGCGCATCAAATTTCCTTGGTAATGTAGGTGCACACCTTCACAATACATTGCTGTAAACTAGATCTTTCATGAGCAAAATTAGCACATACAAGCTGCCAAATGTAACATATCTCTCATTAGGGTTTGCCGGTGTACTTCCCAGCCATAATGCCAAGGCAATCTTGCATTAGGCATCTGCAAATGCAGGAGTGCGTTCATGCTGATCAGCCGCCACTAAGATATGGTCGTATGCAGACTACATGGCATTATCTCGGGGCCAAGGTGCCAAGGGGAAATCGTATTGACATCTCATGGTAGGCGGTTCGTCTTCTAATTAGCTCCACGTGTTGGCTGCAGGAATCCCTATGGCCCCTTTAGTCCCTATCAATATTGGTAAACAGTTCAATCTAGATCTTTATGGAGAGGGGTGAGGAGGCTTGCAGCCGATCTCATATTCATATGAAAGGCATCTCATGTTTGTCAGGTTGGGTGATCCGAACCAATTACTCATTGTTCCATTCTTGTTATCCTCACATACCACGCTCCCATCGCAATGAAGCTCTCTCATCTGAGCGTTTCTCTCATCGTTACCGTGGCCGCAGCCCAGTCCTACACTCCTGCCGACCAGCTCGATGTTCAATCCCACCTGATTTCAGACCCCTACGAGGTTTCCAACAAAAGTTACGATTACATCATTGCCGGTGGTGGTCTGACCGGTCTAACAGTTGCTGCAAAGCTTACCGAGGACCCGACGATCAGCGTCCTGGTCATTGAACGTGGCTTCTACGAATCCAACGATGGCGCTATAATCCAAAACCCAAACACTTACGGCGAAGTCTTCCTCACCTCTGCTGACGCCAACTACGGTACCGTCGATCAGGCCATCAACAATCGCAGTCTAGCTATTAAGTCAGGTAAAGGTCTCGGTGGATCTACTTTGATCAACGGTGACTCCTGGACTCGCCCTGATAAAGTTCAAATCGACTCTTGGGAGACGGTCTTCGGTAACAAAGGATGGAATTGGGATACTTTGAACAAGTATATGAATCAGGCTGAGCACGCTCGCTTCCCTACTGCTGCTCAGATCGCTGCAGGTCATTCATTCAATGCATCCTGTCATGGTTTCAATGGGAGTATTCCTTCTGGTCCTCGTGATGATGGAGCTGACTATACGCCTATTGTTCGGGCTCTGATGAATACCACCGCTGCCATGGGTATTCAAACTCAAGTCGATCTTCTCTGTGGTCATCCCCGTGGTGTCTCAATGCTCTATAACAACTTGCACGAGGACCAGACCCGTGCTGATGCTGCGCGCCAGTGGTTGCTGCCCAATTACAAGCGCCGGAATCTACAAATCCTCACCGGTCAAATGGTCGGCAAGGTACTATTTGACAACTCCGTCAAAGCTACTGGTGTTAACTTTGGTACCAACAAAGCTGTCAATTTCAATGCTTATGCCAAACACGAGGTTCTCCTTGCTGCCGGCTCCTCGGTCTCTCCTCTTATCTTGGAATACTCTGGTATCGGGTTAAAGTCTGTACTTGACGCCGCTGGCATCGATCAGCGTGTCGATCTCCCGGTCGGTCAGAATATGCAGGATCAGACCACAACCACTGTTCACTCTCGTGCCAATGTGAAAGGCCAAGGACAAGCTATCTATTTCGCCAACTTCACTGAGGTCTTCGGTGACTATACTCCTCAGGCTACCGAGCTTCTCAATACTAGACTCGAGCAGTGGGCTGAGGAGACTGTTGCCCGTGGTGGATTTAGCAACGTGACCGCTTTGAGGATTCAATATGAAAACTACCGTGACTGGCTTCTGAATGAAGACGTTGCATTTGCAGAGCTCTTCATGGATACCCAGGGAAACATCAACTTCGATATATGGGATCTTATTCCCTTTACCCGTGGCTCTGTGCATGTCCTGAGCAGTGAGCCGTACCTGATGCAATACGCAAATGACCCTCAGTACTTCCTGAATGAGCTCGACCTACTCGGTCAGGCCTATTCTACCAAGCTCGCCCGCGATTTATCCTCATCCGGCGAAATGAAACAGTATTTTGCTGGTGAGACTGTCCCCGGTGATAACCTTGCCTCAGATGCTAGCGCCGATCAGTGGGTCGCTTATGTCAAGGATAATTTCCGCCCTAATTATCATGCCGTTGGTACATGCTCCATGATGCCTCGTGAGATGGGTGGTGTTGTGGACTCCGAGGCTAAGGTCTACGGTACTCAGGGACTCCGTGTCATTGACGGTTCTATTCCTCCTACCCAGGTTTCTGCTCACGTCATGGGCGCTTTTTACGGAATGGCATTGATCATCGCCGAGTCCATTGTGGCTGATTATCAGTCCTAGATCCTGGGTACTGGAACGTTGACTATCCCATCCGTTGACTATCCCATCCGTCAACATAGAGGTGTCTTTTACAAGTGTGAATGGAGATGGCTCATGATGCAGGCTACTTTTGAGTACATATGTCATATGTGTCATGGCTTTGAAGTCTTCAGTTGTTCTTGGTTTTCATTTGGATAGAGTTACTATCATGTACTTTCATAGATGGAGGGCTATAGATAGAGATAGACATAGACAAAGAACGTTTGCTAGTGCTTCGTGTGGTCTTTCAACCGTAATGCGACCAGTTGACTATTTTTATAGCACAGAACCTTTTGGATCCGGCAAACTACTTGCGTAGACAATATCGCTATCCTGAAGCTTCCTAGCTTCAGTCAAGGGAAAATACCCTAGCATCGAGAAGAAATGTATAATGAATTGTCTGATTCGTATGTAGATGATTAAAATGCGGCATTGAAATGGAACGTATAGGTCCATATAAACAAATATCAGTAGATACTAGCAGATAGAAACCAAATCGCCCGAGAACGCCAACCTGTAAATGCACAAACAACCTCCAGGATATCAAGAAGACAATAAACAAACGCACATAAACTCATAAGATCAGATCAGATCAACATCAACATCAACATCAACATCAACCCTCTTAAATCCCCTCAAAGCCTCAATCAACAACATCTCCCCTTCCTCTTCGCACTCTGCATAACCTGAGCTTCTTCCACCTCCCCAACAACAGGCGTAGCAAGACCCAACCAACTCCTCCTCTTATCTCCATATCCCAACCGAAAACTTCCCCCCTCAGTAACAGCAGACGGGAAGGGAGTCTGAATATCCCCAAAAGGCGTCCCCATCAAACTAGCCGCAGCATCAGCATCCCTCTTATTCCGCTGCTCAACAAGCTTCCTCGCAATAACTCGGAAAACCTCATCGATACCCTCTCCATCCTTAGCAGATATCTCATGACAACAATCCCATCCGATTTCCTGGCCCCAAAACGCTGAAGAGCGCTTACTATCTGGACTCTGTAATGCGCCCGCACTACCCGACGCTGCACTTGATGCCTGCACCGCTGCCGTGTTCCCAAATACCCCACTGCCGAATCCGATGCCTATTCCTCCCATCCCCATTCCCATTCCAGCTGTAGGTGGTGGTGTCGACGCGCGACTGGGATACAGTTGTTCCGCGACATAGGCGATCGTTCGTTCAAATGGTACGCGTCGTTTACTCGGGTCTATCGCCACAATGTCGGATTTTGTACCTACGACGTGAATGACGAGCGGTGGGTCGGAGTCGTTGTCATCGCAGAGATTCTTGCGGAGTTCGCGGAGCCAGCCCGCCATTTCTTGGAAGGAGTTTTCATCGGTTATGTCGTAGCAAAGGAGACATGCGTGTGCGCCGCGGTAGTAAAGGCGGGATATGCTGCGGAATCTTTCTTGACCGGCTGTGTCCCATATTTGGAGCCGGACTGTTGTGTCGGATGTTGTGTCTATGACGCGTTTGGTTATGAAGGATGCGCCGACGGTGGACGTTGTTGTGCTCGGGTTGAAGGCGTTGCGGACGTAGCGGTGAACTAGGGAGGTTTTTCCCACGCCTAGGAGATAGTTAGATTTGTTTCTGCTCGGTTGCTTTTTTTTCGGTCTTACCTTGTGCGCCTAGGACCACGATCTTGGCCTCGAGAGAGGAGCTCATGGCGCGGGGTTGAGGTGGGGGCGGGTTGTTGTGAGCATGATCTCTGGATTTGCTTCTTGGTGTGGGGTTTATACTAGGTATGTTGAGGATGTAGACGTAAGATGCGATCGTAGATGGTATATAAAGAGAAATAAAGAGGTGTATGTGGATATGCGTGAAAGATGTCAAAGAAGAAGGGTGAGCGTTTTCTCTCATACAAAAACAAGGCAACGGGGATCAGAGCGGGGATCACCCGACCAGAGATGGCTGGGGGAAGTCACGTTGTTAGTAAGTAGATCACAGTCATCCCGAGGTCCATACTAGTATTGTCCCCTTGCACGTATATTTATGCACTGGTGGGGCTAGTCTGTAGGGTGTTAATGAATAAAAATAATAATTCGTGTAGTTATTATTATTATTTACTCCTGGGGACTCACATATGCAGGGTCTTTTATTGGGATCCACACTGCGCTCGTACCTATGGGGTCAACGGATTACTGGATTAGGATAATAGTACTCAGTACATACTAGTACATAGTAGTAGTAACGTAATTCCCGGTCGGGCTGTACACCCGGCCGAGCTGTACACCCCAACCCATTAGAAAAATTTAAATCGATATATATTGGCCAACATATATTAATTTAGCTAAATAACGCGATTTATACATCGATTGATCTTATGGCCAATATTCCCACATCCACTACACCGAGGCGGAGCCCTTTTGGCTGGCTGACCTGGCTGAATAGGCGTTTTGCCCTGTGTATTCGAATCCACCGGAGTAGCTTCATCTAGTAAATTTAGCTGCGTAGCTAGTTGTAGGCCCTCTTCGACCGTTAGGCCAGTATCACAGGGTATCTGCCTATTTGATCGATTGCGTTTTTGGCGTTTTTTCTCATTGGCTGTACGTAAATTTGCGTTTTCCTGTGCGAGTAACGCTGTGTTGTGTAGCGATATATAGTGACCTTTGATAATTTGATCTAACATAGTCTTCGATGGGCTTGGTGGGCTATTTGACCGTTGTTTTAATAGATCTTTCATCATAGAAGCTTGTTTTTGTAGTTGAATGACAGTTCTCGGCGTTTTTGGTGTAAATTGGCTAGATCTGCTGCTTGGTCGGCTTCCTGGGGGTGTTGGTGTTCGTAGAGAGATATTAAGCTTCGAAAGCACTCTTTCTGGATCAATAGGCACTAGGCCAGCAGCTATAAAGCTATTTTGAATAATAATTGGCTTTTTGAACACTTCCAGTCTTGCGCGTTGGTAGTCATCCAGAAAATCAAACTTATCAATGTGGTTATAGCCTACACGCGCAAGATCACTTATAAAGCGACCGTATGCGCGTTTAAGCACTGCGAAACATCCAACATCAAGCGGTTGTAATAAATGCGAAGAATGCGCAGGCATACAAAGTGGTATAATATTGTTTTCTGCGCAGATTTGGTCAAATTTAGCCGTAAGATGGCTACCATGGCCATCAAGAATCAATAGCCGAAACCGGCCATGTACGCGCGAATTTGTACATGGGATGAATAGTTTCTGTAGCCAACGTAGGCCAATTTCATCGGTAGTCCAGCCATTATTTGAGACCTCAAATCGCCAGTCTTTTGGTAGATTATCAAACCAACCAGCCATAGCAACTTGGCCTTTAAAAACTATACATGGCGGTAGCGAATAGCCATCTGCACAAATAGTTTCAATAGCAGTAACCCATTCGCGGTTTCCTGGTTGTAATATAGCTCTCCGACCGTAGTATCCAGCCCGCGTAACCACTTTCTGTGTTGAAATAAGACCCATTGCAAACCCTGTCTCATCGAAGTTGTAGATATCCTCCATTTGGATACCGTTATCGTCAATAGCACGTTGTACGGTCGCAAACCACTCTCGTAGCGATTTAGGATCTTCGTTTAATGCGCGTTGATAGTCGTAACGCCTAGAGAAGCGTGATCGAATCTCTTCGCGTCGATTTATGAAGCTTGATGGCCAATTTTTACCAACTGTTGGTGGAGGGTAGCTACCACGCGCAGCTAGTAGTATATTAGCCATCTCTCGTACAGTAGCTGGCCTAGGCGCTGCTCCACGCGTATCCATAGAGATTATCCATTCAACAAGTGAATCCTCTTCTAATTGTGTCAGTTTATGGCCATTTGGACGTATATCGACGCGTGATTGTACACCATTGACGCGCGTAGCCAGCGTTGTATGGGGGATATCGTATAGCTTTGCTGCTGCGCGGAGAGAGTTGATACGGCCATCTTTGATATCTTTAACGGCTAATAAGATCCTACCCTCTTTTCCGGCAGAATTTCGAGACGATTGGGCGCGAATTGGTGGCATAGTGGCTGGTTAAAGTTGGTATATTGGTAGGAAGATGTGATTTTTGATGGGGTGTACAGCTCGGCCGGGTGTACAGCCCGACCGGGAATTACGTTAGTAGTAGTTTAGGATAATAGGATTAAACGGTTGTGTAAAATGTATGTTCTCATGATATTATAATAAGAGCACACTATATAAAATCCATCATGAATCATCTCATGCCGACCGAATCAACCAAGTCATCAATCCGAGATATAACATGAACTCATCACACGCAGTCTGGACTTTTGGAATAGCATAAAACAATCGGTCATTGGGTATAAGAGAGACGGATCCAGGTAGTTTTAGCCTGAAATCCTGGAACATGCGACCGTATAAATAGGAAATATATAGGAGAGAAGAATAGGAAATAGAAGAAAGAAAAGATGATTGATGGAAACAAAGCAGATGTCACCTCAAGAGAAGACACGATGAACTAATAGGCTCATGTTCTGCATTTATTAAACATTTCCAATTAATTCCGTATTGGAATTAGATGTTTACTCGTGCAGAGTGGTGGTGTGCTCCTCCTGGTAGTTCTCACGCTGCTCATCCTCAGAAGAGGAGTTGGGGTTACCCTTCTCCATATCCTCAGGATGACCGAGATCACCGAAGCCGTACTCAAGAGCCTTCTCTTCGACCTGCTCATCGGTGAGCTTGGGGAGCTCTCTGGCAGCCTTGACGTAGCTGATCTTCTCGCAGAAGCCCTTGGCGAAGATGATGTCGATTTCCTCCAGACTGCGACCAGCGGTCTCGGGGTAGAAGAGGTACATGATGGGGATGAAGACGGCGTTCCACGCAGCGAAGAAAAGGTAAGTACCCCATCCGATACGGGCGACCATGACAGGAGTAATCATGACAACAGTGAAGTTGAAAATCCAGTTAGAGCAGGTGGAGACAGCGTTGGCCTTGGCACGGGTACGGATAGGCGAGATCTCAGCAGGGTACAACCATGGGAGAGGAAGAATGGTGGCACCGAAGAAAGCGATGTACAGGAACAGACCGAAGACGGCACCCTTGGCAGGTCCAGCACCGCCGGGAATGAGACAGGCGAAGACGATGATCATGGAAACACATTGTCCGGACATACCGACAAGGAAAAGCTTGCGACGACCGATCTTCTCAATGAAGAACCAGGAGAATGTGGCGAAGATGGCGTAGACGATCATGTTCACACCGGAGATAATCAGGGCAAGGGTGGTATCCATACCAAGGGAGTTCTCCATAAGCACAGGCAGGTAGTAGATGACAGCATTGCAACCAGATAGCTGCTGAGCAATTTGAGAGGAAGATCCGATAAGCATACGACGGAAATGCTGGGTGCGGCCACCAGTGAACAGGTCGGAGTAGCCAGCACCGTTAGCAACACCAGCTGCCTCGATAGATTCAATGACGAGCTGCTTCTGGAGCTGGGTCTCGGGGGCATCGATTTCAGTGCCAGCCAGGGCAGCAAGAGCGTACTCACCCTCGTGGACCTTACCGCGAGAGATCAGGTAACGAGGAGAGTCAGGCATGTAGAACATACCGATCACAATGACGAGACCGAAGACGATCTGGAAAGCGATGGGGAAACGCCATGTGAGATCGGCAGGTCCGTAAGAAGCACCGAAATCAATCCAGTAGGCAATAGCCGTACCGATGGCAATCACACCACCCTCGATACAGATAAGCAGACCACGGTTGCTGGTACGGGAGCACTCAGCCTGGTAAGTGGGGATAGTAGAGGTGTTCATGCCGTTACCGACACCAGTAATGATACGGCCGATCATGAATTGCAGGAGGGGAATGTGATCGGCGAAAGAGGTGACTTGGATAACGACACCAAGGATCATAACGGCGCCACCGGCGATAATCATCCAACGACGACCAATAGCATCAGCAGTGAAAAGGGCGAACATGGCACCGAATAAACATCCGGCTTCGTAGACAGCGGTGATCAAGGCTTGCATGACGGAACCCTGAGTACCAGCCTCCTTGGTAACAGTGAAGACATCGTCGAAGGGAGTAGCGTTAATGATACCAGACATAACACCCTGATCGTAACCGAACAACAAGAAACCCATAGTGGCGATAGTAGAAACGGTCAGGGAAAGCTTCCTGCCGGACATACCAGCGTAAGAAGGAGACGACATGGTGAAGGTTGTTGATAATGATATGTCGACAAAAAGTAATAAGTATTATCCACCCAAGACTAGATCAATAGATCTTTCAAGTTCTCTACCGCCCCTATTGTAGTATATAATAAGTGGGACAGTAGGGCCGACTGAAGCGAGGGGTAAAACTAGGTCGGTGGGGTGGGAAATGTCGAAAGAAGCCTGAGCATAGACAAGAAAGATAAAAAAGAAATCAACCCCGGGGGGAGGGAAAGGGGGATTATTTGAATGTCTCGAGACACTCCAACAATACATACGGAAGTGGCAAGGAGATGCATCGTGGGGCCTGCATGTTCTCCATCCTTTTTTCCCCGTGGTCTCGCTCTCTTTTTTTTTTTTTTTCGCGCAATGACGAAGGAAAACAGAAAAATACAAAAAAATAAAATAAAATAAAATAAAAACGGAAACTCTCGTTGGGTTCCAAACCGAGTGCGTATCCGATTTCCAATGTTCGGCTCCACTCACACCCAACTGTGGGCGTTAACTGGGTCCGCTCCGGTGGAGTCAAGCTTCCGGATGCATCAATAATAATGAATTAAGCATTGCGAGTAATCCACCAGTGCGCGGCGGAAGTTTGGTGTCCCTGATGACATCAGAGCCGAAGATGAATGGAAAATGGAAAAAAAGAAGAAAATTATTAACTCTGTCGGGCTGAATTTTCATGTACTTTGATGGATACTGTGGATAGATGTCACTGTTTGACACAAAGTAAATGGATGAGGCATAAAATGTCGAACCATACAGTCTAGAAATTGTGGTTCTCTTTCAAACTTAATGTTATTCTGTCCCTTTTCAAGTACGGAGTACAGTGGACACTAATCTTATAACATGCAATCACATCCATCGAGGTTAGATTTTAATCGGGTCTACAACGAGACACGAAAATGCCTTCTGCCGCTCCCGTTTCCCTTTCTCCAGAGTCCAGAGTCCCTCGGTACCAGATCTGGGGCCATAAGGTAACTAATTGCTTTGTTCGATCTATACTCCGTACTACGGAACAAATTATCAATCGGATGTGGTTTCATCCGGGCTTCGGTGCTTCGGTCAACTCCCGGCCTAGACGCACGGCCATAGAATCCACAACGTACTCGATGGATTATCCGAGAGAGTACATTCGGGGTTAGTATATATGGTTTAGTGCTGATAGATGCATGAGGTGTTAGGCGGTGGTCATGTCGCTAAGATAAAGAGATCTTATAGGCTCATCTATATCTCGTGACGAGGTGGCTTAGATTTTTCAACTGTGATCGAGTCTAACGGCTTCAATGAGGGGAAGGGAAAGAGGGGTCTTTTCTTACATACATGCACGAGTTACTTGATATCGGTACTACTCCGATATATACTCCATATATGTACAATGTAACGAGTGTGAGTGGTTATAGAGGCAAAATTCTCGGGATGAAAACTTCGCGGCTTCGGGATCCCGTCACCGTACTTCCCGAACGAGGGACTCCGAGCAGGGAGTGGGGGAGGATGATGCAAGAATGCGCCGTGCGCGAACTAGCGTCCTCACAAGCGGATCAGTGGATCCATCATGGACCCACTCCTCGATCGTCATATCCCTGTTTACCGGTCGCAGACGAGAGGGGTTGGAAAGGAAAGTAATAATGAAAATACAAAAGTAAAACAAAAATAAATAGTGAAAATTGAAATCTCTGTCCTACTTGACGCGAGCTAGTGTGGCTGGCCTTTTTGTGCTCCTTGCTCCTTACCTAACAGTACGAACCTGGGGAGTGTGGGTTAAGCCACTTAATAGACTATTAATTAATAGAGCACAAGCCCCTGTGCACATGTAAGTACTATAGTTAATCGTAATCGCGATATTCAAATTCAAATAGGCAGCTATACCGAGTTCCTCGTGTCAAACATCCCTTCATTGAGGTTAACCACGATGTTCAAGTTCTTCCCGTCTTTCTGCAACCGTCGGGCCAAGCCTTCATAGTGGACAAGCCAAGGCAAACTAGATCTCCCAAGCTCCGGCGGTAAACATTCTGGATGTTTATTCTTATTTCTGATCAGAGACATCTGTTTCAGTGCTGTTGCAATGTTTTCGTTGGAATTTCCATTCTATGTACATACTGGACTTGTACATCTATCTATGCAGGACGGTCGCTCTACTTACTATTCGTAGCAAACAATTACTACCGTACTAGTATTTACAGTATCCACGTCTCTCATTAACGAATAATCTTTCAGTCAACTTTTGTAGCCTAGTCATGAGGATGCGCGAAGTTCATTTACAACTCATATGATTCGTTGAAGGTTGACCCACGTCGCTCGAGTGGTCCAACCATAGAAGTTCTCTGAAAATCAAAACGAAAAAAACGAAAAATTGAAAAAAAAAATTCCAATATTCAACAACTTGAATCAAGAAACCTGCATCAGGCCCGCCCGATGATGTAGTAGAACCACTTTTTTTTTCGGCCGCATCGAAACATTCTCGAAGCGAGGGTATCACAGCTGGTTCAGATAAAAACTCTTCTTTGGATATCATTTGAAAGGAAAAGAAAAGTGTCAATTTGTTTTTTTTTCCACGAGAACCTCATGACACGAGAAGCGACGAAAACGCGGGGGATAATGTTTAACCACTCGAGGCTCAACTAGAGCGACTAGCGACCGCGGCGTATAGTCCGAAATTACATTGCGCGTCGTTTAATCTCCCATTGCCGATGGAGAAAGACTGGTCTACTGGACTGGACCTCTCTCTGGACGATGATTGGAACAATGAACAGCCTGGGGCCAGGATGATACAGCCTACTTGACTGTCTCCATGTCTAGGATTTTCCCCAGTCTATTCTCCTCTCTCCTCTCTCTCCTCCCCATTCCTTCGATCGTCCATGCACGACGCCCTGGCCCCCAGATCCCCAGCGGGTTTTTGTAAATACATACGTATACTTCTACTTGTAGAAAAGATTGAGGGTACCTGGGAGCCCATGACGCGGAAATCATGATCAAAAACAAGATTCTTCGTTCTGGCCGTGACCCGCTGGGACGATCCCGGGCCGACGTCATTTCATCCCAACACCGCGGCTGTCATGAATGAACAAAGGAAACTCTGCCGTGGTTCAGCCGGAGAGAAAGTATATAATTTAATTTATTTAATTTTATTTAATTTTTGTCACATTTAATCAATTCATTGGATCGTACAAGATCTTTGTGATTGCCAGGCCTTAGGATACCGAATACCCGGGTTAACGAAGCTGTTTTGTTCGGCCGAACTGAACAAGGCTGACAGCGGATTGCAGCCTGAGTGGCATAACTGGTATTCCTAACCCTTACACTTCCAGGTACGGTATAACCTTGGTTTCTCGAGGGGCAAACGCCACAGCCGTAATGTTGGCTGCTTTATCCGGTCCGGAGAAGAAGGGACTCAGACTCGGATTGACACGCGGGAGAATAAGGGATGAGGCTCCCCTTGTTAAGTTAACCACGAGGCAATGAATGGGGTTCTCCGTTCAAGTTCTCCATCCTAACCGAGCAAAGCTGGAGAAGAGCGGAGACCGAGGAGAGTGATTACGCGTCGGATGCCTCGGAAGACACCGGCATTGACGGAAAAATCTTTTCAAGCTGTCTTTACTACATAGATATGTTTGGAGTTGTGGCTTGATGAGATACCGATGTAGAAACTTTGGTCGGATTCGTAGGTTTGCTTTTCCATCTACTTGTATACTGGTTCAAGTTAGGATTTGGATGGTTTCTGGACGAGAGCTTAAATTGATCGACGGTGGCGTCTGTCAGCCAAGAGATGATTTGCGAGTTCACGAAGAAAAGAACTTTCTATGAACCGTTCTACAGGATGGTGTTGGGATCCATCCATACCAGTAGAATAATGTGTTTCTGGGATTGGGAGGAAGTAAAACTTTCATTTTGTAGATTGCCTTTGTTTTGATCCATGGGTTTGCGGTCGGGGGCAAGCAATGTTTGAACATCGCCTAGGTGATTTTTGCCCCGGCCCCAACTCAAAATTGAGACTTGAAGGATCTGATTCAAGTTTTAAGTGGGACATTCAAGTTCTATCTGCCAACTGGTTGATGAAGGATTTGTGAATGTGCGGCCTGAGGCACCGATATTTATTGCTGCCTCAGGCTCTATTCCATGTTCATGTTAACTAATACCAGCTTACTTCAAGAAATACTTTGAGTTACTGAAGAAAACTCTACTTGATACATTCCTTACTATTTACGGCAGGTTCTGATAGTACATTCCAGTATATTTGAAAGCATTACTGGGAATTCATCAAAATGTTAAATTGTGATCTTGGATTTTGGCGAAAACTGGAAGCCTGAATATATATATACAAGTGTCGGCCGGGAGTAGTAGGCACAGGCATGTCCTGCAAGATCGAACTTGAATTGCGGTTGGTACTTTGATCCATCTCGTTCAAGTTCCTTGCGGATTTGTTTAGGTCTTATAGGACGTGATGCTCATGATATTTGATAGAATTTCCTTGTAATAGGCGTTAAAAACTCGAAGGCTTCACATGCCGTGAAAATGCGGGAAACATGAGTTCCGAGTCTGACCGACTTTAATCTGAAGGCCACGGTGATTTTGTTTGATATGAGGAGCTCGTGATGACGGGGCAAAACCATTATTTGGTGAATTGATTTTGAATTGGTGGTTTCGTAGGTATAACAGTGATCTCCAGTTGAGATCAAAGGATCTGGCTGACCGCTTTTCTCAAAAAGCCACCAGGGACATGATCTTTATGAAGGAATCATGTGGATCTGGAGTTGTCTCATACTCCCTATCTTGCAAGTTCGGTACTTCCTGTTCTTAGGGTGGTTTGGGACAGAACTGCAGCTCTTGGGAATTTGAGCACTTAGTTTACACATTCCCCATTTGGATTGAAAGGAATGATCTTGTCGTGAGAATAATTCGCGACTCGCAAGAAAGTTCGAGAGTTGTGTCCCTGTTTATCCCTCACTGGCAGCGGGAAAATTTCCTTGAAAGCGTGCATTTCGTTTGCGTGTTCCGAGCACTACTTGGTCGTAGGCTTGTTGTCGTCAGGTAGAAGAAATCGATTTCATTCAAGTTTTTCACATGGAGCTTAAAATTGTTGAGACCGTGGATACGCTGTGGCAAGAGATGATCACAGAGAGGAAACCCGTGGGCTTTTATACTGACAATAATCAAGTGCAACAGTGAGCGGATAGTAGGCAGCAGCAACAGGAAGTAGGTAGCATGAAGATACAGTCATCCATATGTGAAATCACAGGGCTTCGTAGAATCATACGCAGTAGGCAAGCATTATATTCTTTGGTATCGTGGCGAAATTGACATTTTCAACGTAAGATTGAATATTGAAATGCAGTAGAAAGCGTCACAATCTTTCAGAAAGGTGCCACTCCCTCATAACTGCATTTTGAACCTCAACAGAATAGGTCGATATAGTACTTGTTCTAATGGGTAAATGCAGTATTTGGATCAGCCCGAGTGCCCTGTAAAGTACTCTCCAGTACCATTACCTAAAGAGATTGTCAGCGCATTCTCTACTTACCCTAACTCCCTTGTGTACCTCTTTGCTATAAATACTCACATGCTTTTCCTCTGACAGATTCTCACGATACTCTTTCTGGCGCTCAGAAACCGTCGCCTTTTCTTCTTGGCTTTTTGTTAGCCCAATAGCTCTTGGAATTTGCCCTTCCCAGTACTCTGGTGTCTGGATTGTGACAGCCTGAGTCTCGATTTCAAGTCGACTGGTCTTTGCTTTTTCATGTTTCTCGCATTGTAAACTTGAATAAATAGACGTCCAATGGTACACGTTCTTCAAGTTTCAAATAATTCAACTGGCCTGAAGACTAGTACTGTTTGAAAATTTGATATTCACAATCAACACAATTGCTTTTTTCATAGGACCCGTTTGATAAATTGAGCATCCACGAATTCAGCATAACCCTTCAATATCTCCAAATCATAACCTTTCACGTTAACAAACTCTTCTCGCGCTCGAAGATCCCTCCACGCAACAAGTTCAACATACTCCTCCTTATCACGATTCACATCCACCTTCCAACCATTCAGAACTTTCGCATCAGTAGCACCATCAAACCCAGAACGCACCTTAGTAACTTTATCAGCGAAGCTCTCCTTCTCATCCTCACCCATAGAAAACCTCATAACTTCCAAAACACCTTGGCCAATATCCAGATCCAGATCGAGATTTAGATCCTCAATTAAAAAATCGTAATGCGCCATCCACTGAAACTCAAAATACTTCGACATAACCTTCACCCGTTCCTTCCACGAGCTTGATCCATGCATACCTCTTTAATGCGACTCAAACCTCTCCCACTGTCCTAAGAGGTAAATGAAAGATGGATCCTCGACTTGTTCAAAAAAGTAAAATTTGTGGTAGGTGAATTCATGAAGGCCGTTTTGGACTTCTGTAAGTCGGGTTTGAAGCTCCGGGTCTTTGATTGTGTAGGATGGTTTTAGCTTCAGGAGACCTATTTCGGAGATTGGCATTTTGAATAGTACGGATGGTCTGGGGTTAGGCGTATCTTTATGATGGAATATTTGGATTTACCTTGAGGCTTGTGTTTATTATATTAACCTCGATCTCATCGGATTTTGGTTTGGGCTGTGATGTCATTTTGTGGAGTATACAGGGTTATGATCTTGAGCTTGGCGTAAGCATCATGATGCAGGGTTGGTTTGAAGTGTTATAGTTGTAGATAAGATCGAAAAGCTTGTTATATGAAAGAGACGGATCGGTTTGTATTATGATAGTCACCATTAAAAATGGGTTGATTGGTTTTCTTCTGAATGATGGAGTAATGATTTTGTTTGGACCCTGAAAATATGTACTATTATTCTCATTTTCTTAGTTATCGTACCGTTCATTTGTCTGGTGTCTATATGCGCTGCCTATGTAAAACTGCCATCAACTTTGGGTTTAGATTGATGCCCTGGCAGGGTTATCCCTGTTATCCTGGATATGGATCAGCCTAGATTATCTGGTAGGCTGACCGGGATATCGTTGAGAGGGCTGGGCAATTTATTGGACCAGCTCTAGATTGTTAATGTCAGTATTATTAGTTTTCTAAAAGCGATTATTATAAGCGACCGCTAGAGCATATAGGAGAAGCCATCAAATTGCCGACCGGCGATTAATCCTGCAAACGTGAAGTTATTGAAGAGGTAGAAGGAGCCAGTGTTCAGCGATGTTGTAGTACCATGGCGCAGAATTTGCGAGTCATATCATGCGTGGATGTCATTCTTCTCCGATGTGGACTGGCAACGATGTCGCCTGCTGACCCTACTGGATCCTTCTGTTCGCGCATCAGCTTCAGGGGAAACTGTTCATCGCAGCGGAAAGAGTCGGAAAAAAAAAGAGGGACGTTGGAGGCCTGCTGTTTCTGTGTCGACAAGGCGTACCAGATGGCGCGAACTCCGCGGAAGAGTCTCAGTTGAGACTAAGTATGATTAGATCGTATTCAAACTTTGCATTTCCTGTATACGAGACGTGGGGCTCGGCTTTGGCGCAGGTAGTGGGTAGTGGGTCGTGGGTCTTCTAATGCACACCGTATGTTCCACCGCGTGAGAGTCATGTCGGGCGCCTGAGTAAGTTGTTGAGCGTTGAGCGTTGAGAGGTGCAGGATCGCGGGATGGATTTTGTGTTGTAGAGGATTGCACTAGATCAGAAAAAGGATTAAGATTAGTCCTTAGTCCATGGTTGACTTTGGATGAACCAGTGGATGTGCTTTTTTCTAGATGTTGTGGACGCTTATCGCATGTTTCACCCTATGACCCTTTTTTAGGGCTGTCTGCGCAGGTGTTTGATAACACGGTGGTAGGAACGCGGAAGGTCATGGTGGTCAGCAAGTGGTCCCGGAGGTGCCGGGGTGATCAAAAACGGATGGCCTAAGCTTTGGCACTGTGGAGTCTTTAATTCTATGGGTTGAGGTGCAATTTCCAAAGGATCGGTCAATCTCCCGCCACAGTCAGCAAGTGCAATTTAATTTCGCTTGTGTCGGGATCCGATTAGTGGCCAGCTTGGGGCTTGCGGGCGTATTTCTTCCCCTGAATCTGAATCATGTTCGCTTGGGAGGCTGTTGCCCAGGTGTGCTAGTCATCCGTAGCTCGGAGTCAGAGCGAGAGTGATTGTTCACAATGATTTTCATGAGCTCCCGCGATCGACAGCAGAAATGACACGGAGGTTGCTGTAGATATACTTCCGTGGATGGATGGTTGAAGATCTGTGATCGGACAAAATCCATGGTAATGATTTTCTTTCCCCCTCGCAGGTTTGTTCGTTTTGATCGTGTCTCTGACATCAATTGCCATATGTTGATGGAATGTTTGCTTTCCCCCTGGCGTCACGGGGTTTCCCCAGTGTCCATGTACGCGGGTAGATGCACAACATTAAAGATGCTTCCCCTTGCATTTGAATGCGAAAGAACCGTCACCACGTCGAAAGACTTTCAAATTTTGTGATGGAATTTTTTGCTGCTGTACTCCGTATCTTGGAACCCATTTTTCCCCTTTCCGCCGCTAAGAGTACACAGACTGTGTCTGGCCCCGCCGATCGCAGTGAACTAGATGTAGAGTGGGATCGGGGCGAGACTGAGAGGGTCCAGGGGGAAAGAAAACAATGGATCGGCAGATAAGAGAAAGGGTTCCTTGCAGGTAGATTTAGTATGTGGGGACCATAGTAAATCTACTTATCAGGTACTTCCATCTTGTCTTAAATGCAAGTGTATGGCATTGACCAATCACAACCCAGACATGTGGTCGTTCCTTCCTTATTTTGTTGCATTAATTTTACTCTCGCTCTTTCCTGAAGTGTACAGCTCTTGCCTCGTGTACACACTTCACTCGTTACATTCCTTCTTCTTCTTCTTCTTCTTCTCTTTCTCTTCTTCATCTCATCTTCTCAATTCACACTCGTTATTTTCTTCCTCTGGGGTTGTTGTTTTCCTCTTATCGAAACTCTTGCACTTTTCTGTGCCGTCGACCCTCTCGTTCCCGCTACTCCGCATGGGGATCCGCCAAGTCTGTCCCTGAGATTCTCGTGTCTTTTTTCCCCCTCGATCCACGGACCTTGTGTCTCGGAGAAAAAAAATTAATATTCCTTTTTTACTTTTTAATCTTCTTCTTTCCCTCCCCCTCCCCTCTCTGTTCTACCCCCCAACCTCCTCTCCCATTCCCTCGTTTTCTAGAGTTGTGTGCATATCAACGGGAGATGCAATGAGGTTGTCACTCCGAGTCGGTTTAGCTACCGCGCTGATCATTTTCACACTCGCCCTGATCAACCGGCAACTCCACTCAGTTGGCCGCGACCCTCAATCGTTCTGGCATTTTGATACCACCTCGTTCCGCGCCGCTCTTCGTCCACAGTCCGGATTGTCACAGGATCCCTTGCACCGAAAATGGGGAAGTGGAACCAGACACGAGAGTGGCTTGTCGTTCCGGCTTACCAACATCGAAGTTCCAAATGAGGGCGTTTTGGTTATGGGCAAATTGCGCGACGAAGATACCGCATGGGCCTCTGCCGAACTCGCTGAGTATGTGTCTCACTTTTTCTCTCGCTAGATTTCTTTCTGTGTCCCCCCTCGAAGATGTCTTACTATCTCGGTGCCTATGATTATGTGGATATGGGCCTTTCCCGTTCAGGGGCGCTACCAGAGAGATTGCGACTCGGCATCTCGGCGGAGCCCTCGTCTCCCCCCAACAAAAAAAAAATAAAAAAAGAGCTAAGAAAGAAAAGAAGAAATTTACTGACGCGAATTCCCCACAGATGGCGCAATTACATTTACACCGTCGACGATACCAATGCCCCGACGCATACTCCGAAAAACAAAGGTCGCGAAGCTTTGCCTTATCTCCAATACATTGTCGATCACTACGATGATCTCCCCGCAATCATTGTTTTCTTGCACCCTCATCGCGACGGCTGGCCAGCCGGCTGGCACACCGATACCCAGGACAACAGCAATGTGGATTCCGTGCGGGCCCTTCAACGCGACTTTGTCCAAGAACAGGGCTTCGTTAACCTCCGCTGTCAATTGAACCCCGGTTGCCCAGAAGAGATTCGACCTTTCCGATCACCCCCGAAGCCAGGCGACACCGGTGAAAAACATTATGCCGCTGCCTGGAAAGAATTGTTCGGCAACAACAATGTTCCTGATACTATCGCGGCTCCATGCTGCTCGCAATTCGCCGTCTCTAGGGACCAAGTGCTGAAACGCCCGCTTTCCGATTACAAGCGCATGTACAACTGGGTCCTGAATAACGACTTGGCTGATACAGTGACCTCCAACATTATGGAGTACTCATGGCACATCATTTTCGGACAAGCGCCAGTCTTGTGAGTTGATTCCGACTGCATCCTCCGCAATTCATCGTCTTTACTAATGATTATTCTCAGCTGCCCCGATACCTTCCAGTGCTATGCTGACGTCTACGGCGAGGAAGTCTTCGCCATTTAATTTTACGTCTCCCTCAACTAACATTTCCACCTTCTCCACCTTCGACTTTTACTCTTCTACCTTTCTCTTCCCCCTTTTAACCTTACCCATTGTATTTTCTCACGCCTTTCTTCTTTACATTTTTTTTTCTCTCCCCACATTATTTATTCCTTACGCCTTCCTTTGTATTATTTTCAAGGATTTCACTTCATTATGGCGAAGGGAACGATGAACCGCGCCAATGCACATTTTTATGACTTGCTTCACTGTCTATTCGTTTGGGAGCAATGTACATGGAGTTTGAGATATCGGACGCGATCGCGTCATTGCATAGCTCTACGGGCATCGATCAGCATTTGATTGTACTGATGCACTGAGAGCCGGACTCGGGGAATGGGTTGCTGTTTGCCTTTGCTGTACATGCATAAATTATGATGCAAAAATCAATAACGATTTTACCGTCCCGAATTTCACAGAACGAGATATTCCACAAATAAAAAGTCTATCCAATTATCCAGTTGATTAACTGTCATCAGCTGTTTTCAACTCTATATCAACAAATCACTTCATTAGATCCATTACGCCCCTCGCTGCATCCCACCGATAAACAGGCCCATATCCAACATTATAATGATAATAATTATTCGTTCCAGCAGGTACAACAGCCTTCCGAAACGTAATATTAATCCGTCCCCGCACCGCATCACCAGCTCGTCCTCTTTTCTTCGGAATACTATGCAACCAATTCGACTGCGTCTCTCCCCGCATAACAACCATATCCCCCGACCCAAGCGGCATTTTAATCTGCTGACTCCCAGACCCATCCCGCAGTCCTGCAGGGTTCTGCATCTGCATTGGCATCTGTATACTCCCACATGTCCGCGCCTGCGACATCGTCCCGCCCAATTGAGAATGCGTCGTACCTGTCCCACAAAATACACTTTTCCCATGAGACACCGATCCTCCTTTACCGGATACACTTGGTGTTCCGCTCGTACCCTGAGGAGGTTTATGTTTCATTTGAAACTCCCTTTCTCCGCCTAATGATAATGACGCTATGTTCGGGTTATCACCTAGGAATCGCTCATCGTCCGAATGAAATGATATACTATCTTCGCCGCTGGCGTAATAGTTTACTAGACAGAAATTGTAGGTGGAGCCGGTTGCGCTTTCGACGCTTTGGCGGAGGTGTTCTAGGCAGTGTGGGATTGGGCGTGGGGGGATGGTGTATTTTGTTTGTGAGGTGAGTTGAGTTTGTGTGGTTATTAGGATTTTGTTGTTTGTGGGTGATTCAGTGTCGAGTTGGGTTTTTTCTTCCGCTCTTGAGGTAGATGTAGATGTAGAGGTAGATTCAACAAAACGAGACGAATCATCAACGCCAAAAACGGTCGTATACCTCGGCGTATTTATCTGTGTTTCTATCCCCCCTCTTTTGATTTGGTATTGGACCCTGTAAAAAGGGAGTTCGTTTCGCAAGAACTTGAATAGTTCATTTGCTGTTGTGCGCGTGATATACGGTTGGAAATATAGTAGGTCCAGGTGTGGTTGGTTGGTTATGCATCGGCCTTCTCGGGCTGGGGTGCCGTGTGTTAGAGAGATAGAGATGTGGGAGGGTAGTTGGGGGATTGGAATTGGGTAGGTTGGATGGGTGCTTGGTGGTTGTTCGGGCTCTGGTGGAGTTGGGGTGGATGTTTCTGATTGTGCTTCTTCGTTGGAGGGTTTGGCTCGTTTAGGTGGTGCGGGTGGTGAGATTGGTTTGAAGAATGTGTCTAGGGTTCGTTTTGCCATGTTGTGCAGTGGCTTTGAGAGGGTAGTGTAGGGTGTTATGTGAGGATTGGATGCGACGCGTTCTAGACACGAAAATAAGAAGATCGAAGGTGAGGCTTGTGGTTGTGATGTCATGCCGGGCGGGTCGGTACGATCTGATCTATGACTTCCCGATTTGGAAGTGTGATGGATTCGACAGACGAGCATCTCAAGGGTTATTCCATGCTATTGCCACGATATCAACACAAAAGCCATCATGTTACGCACAGCACCTTGAATGCTTACGCCGGTAACTGAATCAAAATTTGCGGTTGAACTGTACTAGCCGGCGACGACTCTTGTCATCTCTAAGTAGACAGAAGTAAATTCCTTATTTTCGTTGTTTTAATATGATTTTCACAAACTCTATAATGATGCCTGGTGAGTCAGACGTGGAGCATATTAGCAATAAAGCACAAAGGAACATCACGTTCATCTCTTGCATAGTACTATTCCATTTAAGCAGTACTATCCCATATTGATCCAATCTTCCCAATCTTCCAGGGTCAATCCCGTTATGTGCTCGCAACGGTCAACGGGAGTAGAGAAGGGTAAGAGTAACTTCACCGTAGAGCGGTGGCCGTTATCCCTTGCGCACATTAATGCGGTTCTTCTCGTTTGATCACACTGCGACAGATCCGATCCCTTCAAGAGGCAGGAGACAACCTCATTGAATCCTTGCGCCGCTGCATAATGTAATGGCGTTTTCGAAAATTTATCACGCACTTTCGGACTACTTCCACTCTCAACTAGTAAAGCAACTATGTCCAGTTTGTCACATTCACTTGCCAAATGTAGAGCCACCTTGCCAAACTCCCCTGGGATGTCTGTGTAAACTCCGCGCTCAACCAAAAACTTCACAGCAAGCCAGCACCTTGCCTGAGCAAGATCAGCGAGAGATTTTTCGAGTAACAATAGAGAAGACCCGTAGTCCAGATGAGAATCAGTAGAAAATGTGATAAGATAATCTATCAATGTGTGCTCCAATTGCGAGCTCTGTCGAGAAAGGACAATGTGGAGAGGAGTGACGCGGTCCATATTAGCCAAATTCAACTTGCCACCTGCATTCAGGAGGCATCTCATCAAGACCAGTCTGTCTATTTCGACGGCAATTTCAGAGTTCATATCTAGATAAAAAGCCATTACAACCTTATGAAGCGCCGTATTGCCGTTTTTATCACACAGATTGACGTTGGCCCCAGCAGAGACAACCGCTTTAACGGCTTCCAATCGGCCTAGCTTTGTAAGCGTATGAAGCACTGTTGTCCCATTGTGATCTGGCGTGTCGATGATCGCACCCGCAGCAAACAGGCATTTTAACAATTCTAGATCGTTTCTTTGACCAGCCATATGCAGAGGCGTTTTGCCATTGCTGCTGTTTTCCAAATTTACCGAGGCGCCGATTTCGATGAGTTTTTTTTACCAAGCTAAGAGAGCTCACTTGAATGGCTACATGAAAGGCTGTTTCGCCCGACTTGTTGGGCAGATTTGGGTCAACGCCATGACGAATGAGTTGCTTTATCAGCGTGGGTTGCTTTGTTGTGCGAAGTCGAGGCGAGGCTGTCAATCGTAGCGATAAATGAAGGGCCGTGTTGCCAGTCTGAAAGTCAGAAATGTTGGCATTGGCACCTGATTCTAGAATCCTTTCTGCCATAGCCCAATTTTTCTCGCTTGAGACGCAGACAATAAGTAAAGGGCCTCTATGTTTGTCTTTCAATTTCTCGGGAAAGGTATCGACGTAGAATGTTGAAGTCCCGTGATTGATCACTCTGTCCTCTGGGTACAGTAGTTTATCAATTTTCAAAAGAAGAATAAATGTTTGAACGAGATTTAGAAGGAGTGCACGTCTTAAGGCTGCCCCGAGAGCAAACCGTGCTTCCCTTGCTGCAACATCGTTCATTCTGCGTAGTAACCTGAGAGTAACTTCGTGCCTTTCTCTTTGCCCTAGGCTCTTATCTACCACCACAATGAACAGTGCCTGGGCCCACGCAAGGCGAAAGCTTGGGATGTCAAGTAGCATTTCGGCCCATTTGTGGGTGCTACCGTCATTAATCAACGGAGCAACATAATAATTTGTCGGCAGATATGGGTTGACTAGTGGTCTAGCGTTTAAAAAGTACAAGAACAAGGCATAATGTTTCTCATTCATTGTCCAAGCCAGTTCTGGTCCACTGACGCAGAAAATATCCGAAAGCCAGGAAAGAACTGACGCATGGTTTCGCGCATACGCAATAGCGCCCTGTGAAGAAGACTGAGTTTGTAGCTTCCAATGTCGGGTTAAAGACAGGGAGTCATCTTCCATGAACTTGGAAAAAAGGGACCACATTTTGGTCTCTTCTGTTCTTAGATCGCTCAGATGTAATGCCCAATTCTCTTTAGCATAAACGAGAAATGCAAAATTTGGCGTCCTAACTTCGGTATTGAACCCTGGAGAGCGCGATCCCCCAAATGATTCTGAAGCTGTTTTCTCCAGTTCGCGAAATTTGATGCCTGGAGAATGCCCCATCCAAGACGATAGTACATGTCGCGCCGTTCTATGAACTCGTGGGTTTTTGGAGAGGGAAGATGTGCCGAAATAAAGGGGATCCACAATGGCTTTATCAACTTTGATTAACTGGGCGTTGAAGTTTGAGAAATTCAAGTATGTCAAACATAAAAAGCCAATGTGCTTATCAATACTTTTGCCCTCAAATCTTGCACTCTCTCGATGTTCAGTGTGAAATAAATGGTCTTTGACGCTTTGGTGAATATAGTGAATGGTATGTTCCTCGTCATCGATGAATGTCAAGCCAAAGCAACCTCGGACAACTCGGTTCATGTCGTTGACTAGTCTCTTACTGTCAAGAGATGTGTCGTCAATGGAAATGCTTAGAATTTCTCTATACTCCGCAACGGTAAGAGGCCGCTTCAAAACACCACAGTATCGAAGCAAATCCATTGCTTTGGAATAATTCTTCCCCTGCTGAATACGGCTTATCTTGGAATCAAAAAGCTCGGTCAAGCCAGGTGGGAGATGGTTTAGCGCTTCAAGTATCTCCTCGTCGCTGTTTTGCTCGCACAAGTCTCTGATGCACAAGCCAGCCCAAAGAAACCTAGATAAATGCTTTGAAATTAGATATGTTTCGACTTAGTCACGCGAAGTGTACTTACATCCCCTGGGAGCCGACGCGTAGAACGTCAGCGATTGTTGTAACGATTGTTGGATCCCCTAGAACCAGCAAGCCTTCCTCCAGACAGTCATCGAGAGTTGCAGTGATGTATCGATCAATATCAATGTTGAGCTTGCCTTCGTCGATAACAATGCGCTGCTGTGGTTTAGTCCACTTGAATAAATTATCCTCTAGCTCAGGTCGACCGGCGCATATAATTTTGAACATGACATCCTCTTGCTGAACAAGCGCTTTCAGAGCTCGAGAGACTTCACGGATTTGGTCTGATTGGCATTCATCCAGACCGTCGAGAACGATAAAATAGGTTCCGTCCATGGGAAGCTTAGAGAGTAGAAAATGAACAGTCTCATCTGTGTCAAGGTTCTGACTCTCATCGTGGATAGAAAGCAGATCTTCATGGCTACTCCTCTCGATCAACGAGTCGAGTATTTGACGGGTAATGCTACCAATAATGTTTTTTGCCAACAGTGATTCTGCATTCTCGGTTAAGCAAAAGAAATGAGAAACAAAATCCCTCTTACGGCACGTGGTATGTAGATACGACACCACACTGGACATCACAACAGACTTTCCCATGCCCATCGTTCCCGCACACCAAATAATCGATTTCAGAGAACATTGGAACCATTCAACGAACGCGGGCTCGTGGACTATCCATTGGGCTGTTAAGTGGACTCGCTGCTTCAGAATTCGTTTCCAGGGTAGAATATGGTCGACAGGAGAGAGGTTTTGTCGGATTTTGATTTTCAAGGAGGCACTTTCCCGTTTTGACCTATTCAATTGCCATTGTTTTGCCTCTTCCTGTTGCTGAGAAGACTTCTTGATAAAGCTCAAGGCAGATGATCTGAACAATGAGCTCTCTTGGCTCTCAAATTCTACCAGCTGTTTCGTCTCCTGGTTGGCTTGGTTCAAGGCGAGAGATATCTGATCGTCTATCTGGGCCCTGGCTGACTTGAGTGTATCCAAAAATTGCTTGAACTCGGACTCGAAGGGATTCCAAATGGAAGAAATAGTTTGGAGAGCTACTCCTCGCCGTGACACTTCGATAAGCTTGATACACAGCTCGACTACCACGGCGTAATATTCACATAATGCGTGTTGGAGGCCAGTATGTCCATGGTATAGCTGCCCAAATTGCTGAATGGTCGGGCAAACCAGGCCAATATCTTTGAGGAGGTTGGTAACCTTGTCGAAATAGGATGCTATATTGCTTGCGACTGTTATAGCAGTCTTAATTCCTCCCCATATTAGCGCTGCGACTTTCGGATTTGAGCTGATGAATGTTTCCACGGCGCCCGCGAATTGTTGCGTGGCGCTTAGAAAAGTACATAGTCGTGGAGCGACGCTTCTTCTTGTCTTGATAGCTTTTTCAGCATCAAGTTGGGCCACAAAGAATGCAACACCCCCGGCATCTGGGACTGCTGTAATAGTTTGGAGCTTTTGTTTCTCTTCCGTTGTCAGAACGTCTTGAAACTTGGTTAAAGCTCGGTTAAGACATTCTGTAGGATCGTCGACTTCAAGTTGCTGGCGTTGCTTTCCTTTTTGCGATGATTGGAGGGCCATATGAGTAAACGGGGGTCGCAAATTAAGCAGTCCAAGTCACAATAGCACTTCTGGCTAGGTCAGAAGAACAGGGAAGAGTTGAACTGTTGTCATCCTCAGACGTTATGCGGGGCAGTGCTTGCGTAGCGTCTATAGGGATATTCCTATTGGACGAACTCCACAGCCGCACTTACAGTGTTAGAGGAGTCAACACAGTGGGATATTTGTATGTTTGCTTTTTGGGGCTTTGCCACGCTTCACTTGCCTTGCTTTTGTAGGCAGCTGGGTCGTTCAGAGTTTAGACAAATCCAATAAAGCCACGGCTAATGATAAGCCCTGAAATCAACTGACAATGTTGCTTGCATTTTGACTGGATTAGCGCGTACTCTTTCCAAGGCTCTCATGGTACAGACTGTGACTCGGGGCCTTGGATCGTATATAAGCCATGGGATGCCCGCCAAATAGGTGCTTTGCATGTATTGAATTTTGATTATCGTAGTATTTATATTGAATTTTCAATGCTGTTCAGTAAACATGGGTAAACTGCTGAAGAGCATCGCTTAACTGTCCAAAAACTCCATCATACCAACCTGCGAACTCCTTCCACTCATCCGCAGGCAGAGTCATTTTCGTCAACTGCAACCAACCACCAACAATGAGATCTGCGTAATTAGGCTTTTGTCCCAAAATAAAGAGACCAGAAGGATCCTTCTTCAACAAATCCGCTAACCCCTCCAATGCCTTATGAAACGAAGCTTTCGTCTTCTCTCTAGCTTCCCCTTCAACCAAAAATGAATCCCAAGACGGCACACCAGCTCTCCTAACAAATTCCGCCTTCACATCCTCCTCATCCGAAGGATCAAACATATACCCACCAATCATTAGCACACAATGCGCGCTAAACACATTGTCAACATTGGTATTAAACCGAACATATTCCCCATATTCCCCCTCCGCGTGCTCTGACAAGGGCGCCGGAAAATCGAACTCAGGTGTATATGTGTACTCCAGCTTTTGGGCTGGGAATAGATCCCCCGAACCAGTGTCGGGATATGTTCGCTGCAGGTGGATGGCGATGTCAATCGTGTCGCCGATTATGGAGTTTGTGCTTGAGTCCGTGAGAAGAGGTAATGTGTAGAAGTCTGATCCGTCGGCGAACTTGCGACCGGGCGCGATGCCGAGTCGTTTACGTGTTTCGGGGATTTGAAGCAGGGGAATCCATTCTGTTTTATGAGGGAGTGCCTTGAAGTTTAGGGCGAGACGGGACTTCCATGGGTTTGGAGCTGTGTTTGTTGTGTTGAATGGAGCTCGAAATGCGATGTCGTAGAGGGTGATTGTGGGTGATGAGGACATTTTGGAATTGGGATTGGTGAGTGTTTGGAATGATATGCTGGTGTCTGTTGTCATAAGTGGCTGTTTGATAAGTACTGCTTTTGTGCATGGGTCAATGGCCCTTTTATATGTCGAGCTTGAGGTCTTGAGAGCTCGATTTGCTTGAGTGGAGACTTGGTCTGTGATCATGATGAGGCAGAGTTTAGGCATCATGAGTCACGCTGTGTCAATGTGGGGGCGGCGCGACGTGTGTCCGTTTAGGGACGGCGCTAGGCTGATATGGGTTAGCGTGAAGTCTATTCGGGTTGATCTATTTGATCTGACGAAGTAAATCTCCCAGTTTGCTATGAAAAAGGAGTGCTTACATGGTTATTTTGAATAAGGTGATGACCATTTTTATGCTTATATTCAAGTACTAAACTCTGCCTATGAAAAGTGTGGCGATGGCTTCATATTGTCCCGATTTGGAAGTAAAATTAGTTTCGGATACTATATCCATCTCTCTTCCAGTCAATGAAACAATCCACTATACAGTATCCACTTCCAAGGTCATGGTCAAGTTCTTCATTTTCGGTCATATCCCTCGTATCTACTGCACCACAAACTGCGTCTTATGCGACTTATACAGAGTACTGCTATCCAAAACCTCACCAGTGGAAGAGCGAATGAAATCAATCTGCAGGTTCTGCTCATCCAGCAGCTTCAGCGTAGCGTAGCTCCAATCATCCGCATATGCAAACTCAGTATAAGAAGGCTCGTCTCCGACACTCGAAAGACCTTCAATGTTACCAGCACCTCCAGCAATGATATACATAGGAGCCTTGGGATCTGTCAAATTGGCAGCATCAACAGTCCCATTGTAAATGGGGGTGAAACGTTGGGAGTTGTGAACATGTCCAAACACTCCAAGATCTACGCCGTAGGTATAGAATAGTTCCTCGAATGCATCCTGGCATGAATCGCAGATATTGTCTGAACCACCGGTTGAGTACCACGGACGGTGGCCAGCGACAATAACCCAGGGGGTAACGGTGCGATCAACACTTGCAAGATCGGCTGTTAGGAACTCAAGTTGTTGGCCCTGGCTACCGAAGGGGCCACTGTCAAGCTTGGCTGATCCATCGGTTCCGTCGGGTGCATCGGTGAAGTCGGTTTCGGTGTTGATCATCACGACGTGGGCCATGCCGTATTCGAAGGAATACCAGAATGGAGGCAGGGCTAGGCTGCGAGCCTTGCTGGCAAGCGCTTGTGCTGTGGTATTTGTGGAAGATGAATCGAAAGGAGAAGGCATGGTTTTATCGAAGCGATGCAGGAAATCGGTAAAGTTCTTCTGACCTTCTGGGCACAGTTCAAGGATGTATGGGATTTCCGAGCAGTCCGCTTCATGGTTACCGGGGCTGGCCATGTAGAGCTTTCGTCCGGCAATGGGTGCCAACTGGTCGTAGAATTGTTCTAGGATAGACTGGTAGGCTTCTGTGCCGTCGAAAAGGTTCTGCAGCTTGAGATACCAGTCATCTGCGTAGCCGAAATCACCGGGGTGGATGACAATTTCGTAGTCGTCGACTGTATCGGCGAGGCGACCGATGGTGCTGTGGTTAAGTGATGGCTCTATGTTGGGGATGGTGTCTCTCTTCGTGGTGCTAGAAGAGACGGTGAAGCCATCAGTGCCGTAAACACCAAGGTCAATGACAACGTCCATGCTGAAAGGAGTCTTGTCACCTGGGGTACGGGGGCTCAGGAAGTGATCCACTGTGGAATTTGTTGACACAATCTTGTAGTAGTAAGTGGTGGCTGCTGTGAGATCACTCAGGATTACGACATTGGACCATGTCCGCGAAGTGGCATATGTGGTTGAGCCAGTGGAGCAAGTTTGAGAGCTCAAATCGTCCGCTGATGTACCGTACTCCACACAGCTCTGGTTCAGTTGTTCATAAGTATTCCAACCAACAGAGACGGCTAAAGAATGTTAGATCACGCAAACTCGGTGCAATTTATTAAGAGTACTTACAATCAGGGCCGTACACTGCCAAGCGTTGTTGAACAGGAGTTGTCAAGTCATCTGGAAGAGCTGGGTAACTGATACTAGCAAGAGCACCAGCCGCCAGGACTGGCAGAGACTTGATGAAAGAGAAAGATCCAACCATAATGAATGATCCAGGTGTCAGCCTTAAGTTGTACCGCCCAATGGCTTAGCTGTAGACTTATCATGATAAACATGCCGATCAGCTACCTTTTATATTAAGACTACATTCTTCACGTCTTATCAAGCGGCATAGAAAGGGAATAGTCATCCCCTCTTGGCCTGCAGATCAAGCAGATCAAATAGACCAATCGATCTGAATAGGCAACCCACGCCGGACTCTACATACGACTGCAGATCGAAAACTCCCCGCCATTCTCATCTTGGTAAACACTCCGATCTGTTCCTAGTTTGGGCTTCGCTTATGGACACGATTAAGCTTTCGGGCATCGGAGAAAGAAATCCTACCGAAGCACACGTGGAGCGTGCGGAGGCTATGAATCGTTCACTGTTAGTGGGTTTATTGTTCCTTGTACGGATGCTTGAATAATACCGAGGCTATGATTTGACAGTTTACGCAACATGCAATAACTTCCAAGGCTGTTTAATTATTTTAATCAATATGGCGTACTTGCATGCCGACTTCTGCAGGAACTAACTTTCAACGGTCTTCACGCTATTCCCGTTCCTGCTTCAACTCCGCGAATGAAAAACTCCATTCTACCGCAATCCGACGGATTCACCGAGTAATTCCCTCAGTCTCTCCAATTCGAACCACATATTTGTTACTGCCGAAGCGTTTCCGGCGAAGAGATCTTCTAATACCCCTTGAAGCCCGCCTAATTCGCTCGGTCGGACTTTATAAGGATGACCCGAGAACCAGCCTTGCGCCAAGCCCCGACCGAGGACTGCAAGAAAGATAGCGCCAAACTCGATGCTTTCAATTGCTTTCCCTTCTGCGGGGGGTTTGTCAACTGTTCCTACGATTTTCATGTTGATTGTAATATCTGCAGGTGGTTTGTATTCCTGGTGCCTTGTAATTCTTTGATATTGCCAGGTGTTGATAATACAGCTCCGAGATTCAAGTTCTGGTAATGCCCTTCTCACTGATTGCATCATACTAGGCCCAGTGGATTCGTTTACCGCTAGAGGCGTCTTTTGATTTTCGCGCGAATGGCCTCGTCGCCTTCACGATAATCGATGATGTGTCGCCCTTGTTGCGGTCGATCAAGGTCTCAACGAAGGAGCTGCCTTTCCAGCGAAGACGATGAGGGGTTGGATATTCGAGAGCTTGGCAGGTTCGATCACGAATGCACCATCTTTTTCGATGATCAGTGGCGTATTACGTGTTTGGTTGATCTCGAATGGGCTTGCTCCATACCTATTCAAGAGGTAGATACCATTGACGGCAGAATATGATACTCTTCGAAAGGAATCTGTGACAATCATGAGTGTTGAAGAGACAGAAAAAACCCACGGCTCGCTTTTGGGGGATGCTGGGAAAATACCGCGATTGTCGGAGGTTATGGAACAGGCATGCGCGAAATGAACATTTTGGTACACATTAGCCCTCTCCACCCCAACAGGCCTTTTTACCTTGCTCTATAACCCCATTCAGCCCCTTTTGTCCGATCATATCTATGAGGAGATTGATCGAGTCATGCATTTTACTGGGGAAGAGATGCGGGCAAATTTGTCGGTATCAAGCTCGCTGATTAGAAGAAATATGACTCTGATCTTCGACAAGCTTTCGAGGCATGCAGCTCTCCATGACCACTCTGATAAATAATGCTCAATTGCGAAGAAAGTGTGAACCACCAATTGTATCACATGCATTGATCTAAATAGCTGCGACTCTGAATATTCACATGGTTGAAGTTATCATCGAACAGATATTTTGTTCTGACAGGTATGATACACATCTCGAAGATATTCCTTTACCAGTCCATGATTCCATCATGCACAACAATCTTTCCAACTGATTCATCTCTCTCTCCTTCAACCACACTGCGGAGTATTCTCCCCCAGCACTCGGATGCTTAGCTCCCATTTCAAGAGCCTTCTCAGGTACACCACCCAAATTGGTTGCCAAAAAGCCAGGCCCAACACTCCACACCTTAACACCATCTGCCTTCAACTTATTATTCCAGTCCAACATCAGCATGTTAAGAGCAATCTTGCTACAGCGATATCCGATAACCTCGAAATCGCCTTTCGGTTTAGGCCATCCAGCCGGTTGAGGTGGAGTGGGAAAATATGACTGGGCAGCTTTGTTAATTTGCGAAAGACCAGCCACGAAAATGAGGCGCGGGTCGTTTGATTTTAAAAGAAGTGGAACGAATGTATTTGTCATTACATGCGTGCCTGCAACATTCACATCATAAGCGTTGGTGAAGCTTTCGCGAAGTGAGACTTTCCCAGCAAGGTGGGGGATGTCGAAATTTGCGCCTGATGAGCGTTAGACAACAAATTAAATTTTCTGGTTGAGGAGAAATCTTACCGGCATTGTTGATGAGTGCATCGATATATCCTGGTCCGGATTGAACTGTCTTAAATGCTGCTTCGATGGACTCGTCGCTTGTTAGGTCGACTTGGAGAGGTTCGACCTCGTTGGTTGCATCGGGACATTCCTTGTTGAGTTTTTGGATAGCCGTCTTAGCATTGTCTAGAGATCGACTTCCCATGAATACATGGTAGGGTTTCTTCGATTCGAAGAAGGCTTTCACTGTCTCGTAGCCAATTCCACCGTTTCCTCCGGTGACGAGAACGATCTTGCGGGCGGCCATTGTGGAATTCGTGATTTTGTATTGAATAATGAATATTGAATACTTTGTATTTACTTATGCTTTGAAATGCACATAATTTGCTCATTTTATATTGAAAATTTCTGGCACTAATCCATTATTCATGACAAACCTATAACCAAACGCCGATACATCCGTTGCAACAATCCGCGCGGGAGGCTAAATCGTGGCGCCGGAGATTAACTTTTACCCCGGGATTAACCCGGCTTTTGACGTATGGCTTGACAGGTGCGATAGTCTAACCAGTTAGAATTGGAAAATAAAGACAGATCAAAATTTTTTAAGCATATCTTCTAAACTACGGATTATTCATACGGTAATCGGCGCACTGGTCGCTAGTTGCGGCATTTGGATTCGAAATTCGCTACTTAACTCCGCAATCTAGATCACCATCAATAGATTTATTCTCGGGGAAGATAAAGGTACGATCTCTGAGGGTCAAGGTTGGACTACCTTATCATGAGTAAATACCAAAATGATGCATAGCCTCGGTTAGTTGAAATGCGCTAGTTGATTTAGTTGAAATGCGCCCCTCATTTCTAACATGGAACGTTGACATTACCATTTGAACCCGTATCAACTCCAAGATTTCGCACATACAGTCCAAAGCGAACACTCTGTACTTTACAGATATTTAAACTAGTCAATATACGGAACTATAATCTCAGTCCTATCGAAAATGGCACCTACTCTCGAATTCGCATTCAGGCTTGAAGTCGATCTAGCCGAAGCGCTCGACTTTGGCAACACTCCAGCTGGTGATAGACGTTTTATTCCAATCAACGGTGGACGTGCCGAAGGGCCTAAGCTAAACGCTACGATTCTACCTGGTGGAGGCGATTGGAACGTCCTCCGAGAAGATGGTGTCGGGCATGTATTTGCCAAATATACTATTAAATCAGACGATGGAGTCTTGATCAGTGTCACCAATGAAGGATGGATCCCTAAATTTCGGAAAAGGTCTCCTGGGGACCCGGAAGATGGAGCTGAGGGTAAATCTGGTATGGTGCCTGAGGAGAAGTGGTACGCGAGGACAAATCCACGATTTGAGGTTCAAGATGGTCCGCATAATTGGTTAAATCGGACGTTGTTTGTGGGAGAGTTGCATAAACCGGAGATACCATTTCATGTTACTATTGATGTTTACTCTGTTGAATGAGTATATGCAAATTTTCCTGTGATTCACCAACGAAATTTTAATTTATTTAATTGTCCAAGTACTAGTATAAATATTGGAGCCTTGGGTACCCGGGTTCAGGGTGGATTCTTGCCAAGATCATGAATGGATACTACTATATGTTGGGGACCTCAAGATGGGCTCTGGATAATTGTTTATAATATTTGCAAATTGACTTTTTGGTGATTACAAACATAGAAATGAATAAATGCAGTAGTAAAGAGTAAATGTGGTTGTTATAGATCGTTTTGTACAATTCTGCGGCTTAAAAGTGTATTACGTCATAACCCAGATTGGCAACGGGCTCAACAGGCAACAATTAACGATCACGGAGAATGAAAGACACAAACTTTAACTGAGATTTTGAATTTTCAATCTCCTGCAGCTCATCAGAATCCCGGGCTGATTAAAAATAATACATCTAGATGTCGTGTCGCAAGATCAATCCTTAGTACCGATTATGAACCACAGTGGCCCATTATTCGTCGCCCAAGAAGCGCTTTGCTTCTACCCTATCAGCACAATCTACGACTCTTGTCCAAGGTATCTTTTCTACGCCTTGCTTGTTGCGAGCTGTGTTACACGTTGGACAGGATGGTTGGCCGACGTGTTTCTCGGCGCCGCAGCGACATATGCTGGCACTGCAGCTATTGAAGCTTTTATCCTTGTGGCGAGTTATTCAAAGAGGAAGGACTTTTCACCTGTCACTATTCCCTATATTTCAAATGATACTACTTTAAGAAATGACTTTCCTCAAGTTGTCACTCAGAAAGACACCATATTCCTCCAGCCCGGAGCTATGGAATTAGACGGTGACGCCGTCATGGCAATAGTAGTGACGGGATACCTTGTCTTCCTCCCACTGCAATGCTGGTCTCGTATCTTGACGCATGAAAGGGCACGGAATCTACTCTTCTATCTATGGAACATCCTGATGCTAGCGGGATCGATCTGCGCGCTGGTTTACGCAGCGAACAAGAACGAGATCCCGACTCAATACATGTTCTGTTACCCGGACCTCCCACCATACCAGTCCACATCAAGTGATGGGTGGCAGGCTAGTTGGAGAACTTCATCATGGAATAACAGTGTATGGGAAATATTCTCAAATGCCACAAGATGGGCTGAAATTGGCGACATTTGCTATAATCCTTGCTTCAACTCCAGTCAGATATTACGAAAACCAGAAAGTCTGGAGTCGTGGACAGAGGGAAGCGACTCTGAAATTTCACAGGGAAGTCGATTTTGGAACAAGCTCATCTACTCGAAAAGATACATTTACAGCTTGATTATCCTTTGTTTTATCTTGAACTTCATCCTTCTTACCTTCAAGTTTCTGTACAAATCGCGCATTCCCTCAGCTCAGATCGTTGTCATTTGGAGAGAAAGGAAGAATATCTGGAAGAGTTTCAAATATGAGTTACGGGAATCTCTACCAAAACGGTCTGAGTCCGACCGCAAAGATCAAAGATCAGATCCGACCGACTCTTCATCTCGCTGGAATCGAATCAAACCATTTTTCACCCTGCGATTCATAAAAGCTTCATCCCGTGTCCTAGCAGATCTTTGTATCTTATTTGCTCTCGTTTTCAGTATGATCATCAGTCCATTAACAGTCATCGCCTTCATCGCCTGGATCGAGTGGTGGATACACAATGATGGGCCTTCTAAGGAAAGCCCGCAACAAGTTGGACAGTGGTCTTATCTTGTTGGGATCGCTCTACTGGCTGTTTCTGCTGGGGTACTTACGCTGAAGTATCGTCTTGCATCTAAATCGGAGTTGGAAAATGAGATATCGAGGGTTACGGAGCATCTTGAAATGTTGGAACGGAGAAAGAGTGCGAGGATTGAGTCGGAGACGACTACTTTGATGCCTTGAAAACGAGCTTGATGAATTTATTTACCTAAAGAAGAGAGATAAAAGTAGACTCTCGCTTCCAATCATTACTTCGGATAATTAATCTATACGTCCTCGTGTGAAGTATGAAGGGGTTTAGTCTCTAGTCGGAAAGCATCCCAATTGAGCAGAGACGTAGCCGTTTGATTGGTGATTAAGGCAGTTATCACCACTTCTTACGCATTCTTTTACATGGCGTTGCTCAGGGCTTTTTTATCATGCTCTTACTGTACTTAGCGTTCCCCGAAAAATCGGCAGCAGCACTGACCTTCGTCGTGGCGCTGACCTGGTAACCTTTAAACCTTCACCAGGAAGCTGTGCACAGGCCAGTAAGTTAATTTCTTATTCAACCACTATTTTGCAATACCTAAAATAGGACCGCATTACGATAAACGAGATAATATTCAAATCAAAGTGTCATTTCTCCTTTGCTCTCGCGATTTTCATCCCGACGTGAATATGCAAAGATTCCAAGGTTAGTTGATCTTGCACTACCCAACGGCCAATCAAAGGCACCGAATTCCAAGTGACTATCCCTATCCCCGCACATGCATGTTTATTATAGAATTTACCAGGATTTACTCCTCCACACTTTACTTGTCGCTTGGCATAGTGCGGGGTGGGCGATGTTTCAAACCTTGATTGGTGCCAGGATCGGCAATACCTCCGCTTTTATTCAATCACCAGGCGCGGCAGCCCTGACACAACATCTTGATTTGATGGAAGTTAGAGATAGACTGGGTGCTCGGTTATAGACTTTGAGTATCAACGTCAAAGCTCATGTTGCACTCGTCAATTAATCAAAAGTGCCTCGGTCGCGCCATTCCCCTCTTAGTTTATAGGATGTCCTGAGGCTCATAGTGCGTTGAGCAATCTCTCTATTTGGATAAGACGTCGATGTTTGTGAATAAGTTATTGAAAATGACTGAATATACCTCTAAGCCTACACATGAGTTTGGTGAAGATGTTTCGCGAGCGCAGACGAATGATAGCCCCTCACCAACAACGCACGTTCCATTAGGGAAAGCGATCAGGCGATGGCCGAAGGTTGTTATGTATAATCTGGCGCTGAGCTCTGCGATTCTCTTATATGGATATGACTTGGTTATTGTGGGGACGGTTTCTGCGATGCCGGCATTTCAGTAAGTTCAAGTTGGCAGTTCAAACAGTATGCGAGACTAACAATCCATGTTAAGGCATAAATTTGGAGAAGCCCTTGGGGCAAAATACATTATTCCCTCGATGTGGCTCTCCTTATGGAATGCAGCAAGCCCGATCGGAATGATGATAGGGTCAATCTTCGGTGGCTATTTTCAAGATAGACGTGGCCGTCGACTAGCCCTCGCAGTAGGTAGCTTCCTTTCTGCCATCGCAGTTGCTATCTGCTATGTTGCTGATCTGCCTGATGATATCGATTCCCGTCGCGGCGTCTTCCTTGCGGGAAAGCTGTTCCAGGGAATCTGCATTGGGATATTATTATGTGTTGTGCAGACGTACATGTCTGAGGTTCTGCCAGTTGTCCTTCGAGGCCCGATCATTGCTTTCTTGCCCATTTTTACACTCCTGGGACAACTACTCGGTGCCATCGTGGTATATGTCTCATTGAAGCATAAAGGATCCGAGGGTTATAGAATATGCTTTGCATCTCAGTGGCCGTTTTCTGCGGTTCCTTTTGTTCTCTCGATTTTACTGCCTGAAAGTCCGACTTGGCTTTTGAGACAAGGAAATATCGACAAGGCACTCAAAGCACAGATGAAGCTCGACACAGCTGGTATGGACTCGAACAGTATCATCGAGGAGTTGAGAATATCGATTTTAGCTGAAGCGGAGGAAAGAGCTTCTTATAAATATATTGACTGCTTTAGAGGGATTAATCTACGGAGAACTTTGATTGTCTGTCTGGCGAGTGCATTGCCACAATTCTTTGGATTACAGTTATTGGCAAATGCGTCATACTTCATGCAGATCGTCGGAATGGGATCTGCAAATAGCTTGATTTTTTTGATTTTGGGTATTGGACTCGGTTTAATTGCAAATATTGCCAGTCTTTGGTCATTGAATGGCCTTGGAAGAAGAATTCTTTGTCTACTAACTCTGGCTACCGCTATGATCCTGTGGCTAGCTATGGGGATTGCCGGCTGCTTTGAAGGGGTTGTCATGATATGGTATGACAGTTTAGCTCAACTCGGTCACTTTTCAATGCTAATAATAATTCAGGTACACTGCCGTGACAATGATGATAGTTACCATGGTCTGTGGATTGGGTATTTGGCCAGCTTCACATGTCGTCGCGGCTGAGACCTCGTCGCTACAACTTCGAGCCAAGACTCAAGGAGTTGGCTGGTTTACCAGTGGGATTGCGACCGGTGTCTTCTCGATTGTTCTACCGTATATGTATAATGCCGACAAAGGGAATTTGAAAGCGAAGACGGGTTTTGTAATGGCTGGGTTTGCGGCTGTCGCAGTCATCGCAACTTGGTTCTTTGTCCCAGAGATGAAAGGACGGTCGCCTATGGAAATTGATCGCATGTTTGCACTGAAATTACCGACCCGGCAATTTAAACGTTGGAAAAGCGATGTTGAGGTTGAAAAATCGCTTTATATGAGAGAACAAGTGAGCGCTGCGTGAAATAGTAGGCAGGTTGTTGAATTGATAGCTAAATTTATATTATTGCTTTCCCACGTCATGCCATGGTTGAATGAAAAATAAGCATACTTGACTAGCTCTAATTTGTAATCGAAACTTGAAATCTTTGATACTCCGGGTCTCGAGCTGAACATGAATCTAAAAAAAGGATTTGAAAGCCAGGACTGTGCCGACCTGGTTCACTCGCGATTAAATCTTGGGGGCTCATTGAAGTAAGTTTGAGCATGAAAGCTACCGAGTTTAATGAGGTCCCAAAAGGCAAAAAAGGTCTACAAAACAAAGCACAAGTATTTCATTAAGACCACTAACGTGTGTTGCATAGTATCCAAACCACCCTTTGTCTCATCATTAACCCACCCTTTCATTTTAGAGCCTCGTCAGTATATCTACAGTGCCTCCCTGGCGGGACGTTTCCAGGAAACTTTTGATCATATACAATTCCTCCCCTCCTTTACACACTGCACACAGAGTGCCCCTTCGTCATCATGGCGCGCACAAGAACGTCAACGAAGAACACCGGGTTTGTTGCTACGGGTCCTGCCGTGGAAAAAGAAACTGGTCAGTCACGGAAAAGAGGCAGTAGGGGTAAAGGTGATGACAAGCCCGCAAAAAGGGCCAAGAACACGAGGACCACCACTGATTCCGACCCCAAGGAATCCGGCCAAGCACAGAAATCTAAGAAGAAAACAGAGAAGAAGGACAAAAAGGAGAAAAAAGAGAAACCTAAGAAAGAAAGTGGAACCAAAGGGGACGAACATCGTGTTGTGACTGCATTTTCTGTTCAAGAGCGCGTAACGACTGTAGCTCCTCTTCGCCAACCGCGTGTGAGGGGTGAAGGTTTTTTTCCTGAACACCGTGTAGTGACTGCATATCATGTTACTCGAGAAGGTCAAGAGGCCGAGGAAACGGAATTCGATGTAACCAAGGAGGAGATAAAGAAGTTGCGTCAATCGGCCAATCTAGCTGACCGCGTGACTTCTGACCTTTTGGAGGAAGAGGTTCAGTACGCCGAAAAAGACGCCCAGAGCGCTGAGGCAGTCACTATTAGCACCCAGCGAAGTCCTCATAGACTGCGGCGTCCCCGAACGACGTGGAAGATTGATGGGCCGCCCATAACTAACCCCGAGGACGTTCCCGAGGACTGGGATATCAATGAGAGCGACCTGGACGAGTTGTGAGTAAATCTTTTCCCCGAATACCTTGATACTTGTCTATTTCTCTTCGAGATTCAAACACTCATATCATGCTAGTGACATTGATGCAAATATAGAGAGAAACGTTGTCAGAATCGAAGAGGGAATTCTCCCTGAATTGTTTGAACGTCGTTTGACGCGATACCAACAGATGAAAGATGAACAGAAGTCAGTATAATGAAATTCATAATGTTTTAATGGCAATTTTAACCCGCTGCGTGATAACAGTGCCATGATCGCATCCGAGCCTGACCTATCGGGAGATACTCTGGTTCGAGTGGATACGTTGAAGAAGATCGAAGCCTGTCTTCTTAAAGATAGTGACCCAGATAATCAGCTTCTAAATGTTAGAGCGATTATCAAAGCCTATCGCCAGAAGGAAATTACCTTCAACCCGCCCTACGTCACATACTGGGTCCGTGGGAAGCTGTACAAAGGACCAGAAGTATTTGAGCTACAGAATCCAGCTCAATACCAGCGAGAGTTGAAACAAGCAAGGCCCTTCTGGGTAGAAGGAGTAAGAACCCTAAATAGCAATTACAATCTTATGTTGAAATCAATGACTAACTCTTAACAGTGGGACGGACCGGCACCTTCATCGTTGAATTTCGTGGGAACTATCCCGCCGATATCAGCAAATACATTCACGCACACTGTATGACTAGAACTTGAATTTCCTCGGCTTTAATTGACCATGACTCTGACTTTTCATATTTCACAGATTCGGCTTGCAATGCGTCCACCACATATTCCGGATTATAAGAGCGACGAAGTTGGCGACCTCAGCACTGACAGGGGTCAGGTAGAGTTTGACTTCTTAGATGATACCGGCTGCAAACACATGCTTATCTTTGACCGAGATCGCTGGGAAATCGAGGAGAAATATAACTGTGAATGCCCCGATATGGGAACAACATACGTGTCTACTGCCGCCGGAGTAGCAGCACTGAAAGCCATTCATGTAGACGTCAGCTTGTTCTGGGATGAGGGCTATGCAAAACATCAAATCCTTCCATGGAGTACTGTTACCTGTTATGTTGTGTCAGGTAGTGTTGCACCTACACAACCGCGACTTAGTGGAGTATGGCTTAGGCACTTGCTTTACACGATGACGCGGCCTGATAAAGAGGGCAGCCTCTTTTTGAGTGACGAGTTCTTTCACGATGGCCACAAACTCGATTCGTCCACGATGCTAAAAAGAAGAACTCCACTTCCTGTATCGTTTAGGACTCCCCAAAGTGACGTCGCTGATAAGAAATACGACGACGAGCTGCGACGGAAAATTAGACAGCGCATTTGGGATCGAGAGGATTATGAGGCGCAGGAGGCTGCCGACGCCAAGAGGAGTTGGTGGTTTCGCTGGAACAAAAGGCGTACAGGAGAATATAGACCACCACCCTCGGAGAGTAATGCTTCATCATATGCAGAGCTAATACTGCCACTGCTACGCATGCCGCACGGAGTTGAAGTTCAGGATCAGATTGGCTTCGGCAATATGGCCCCTGGGGAAATAATGAAGGGCAAAAACGCCGGTGCCCGTCGCGTTAAGCCTCCTCCCAGCGAGAGTTTTGCCTCCGAAGATTTTGATGGAGTTGACTACGAGGATGAATATGAAGATGACCCCGAACTTGATGACCGCGAGGACGACGAGAAGGAAGAGCCGGGGTTTTTCAGTAAGTTGATAGGTATGGTCTTTTGAAGTTGTGTGATGTCACTGTCTCATATTGTATCTAAGAAGTATAATCGTTTTGTTTATTGCGTGAATAGGTAGCTTAGGGTGTATTTTTCTTGTTGGCAGTAAACTGTCAAATTTTGTCGATACGAGTTCAAGTTCATTCATCGCTCCGTTTTCGAGAACATTTGTAGTGTATATGTTACCTCCCGTGCTGTATTGCGAAACCTTTGAAGCCCTCCCGTTTCTGGGGTGCGTCAATCGCAAATCTAAATTCTGCGTGGCATAAAGTATTGAGTGTAGGACTTAGGATCCAGGGAACTTGGTGAGCAAGGCGGGACTCTCCGACCCTCCACCCGGAGGGTGCGACGGAGAAAGACGAGATTGGCCCCACTCTCCTCAATCTCAGCCCAATCGCATCGAACCTCGCAAGCTTTGACATTGGCCGGCATTCGGTGGATCTATCATGCCGCTGGTTATTGGTGGCGAAGCGGAATTCACTAATCCCGCTTATATCCGTCAGCTAAAATGTATGAACTTCATAAAGCTCTGGAATGATGACCCTTAAATTCTGGTAAATTTCAAATCTCGATTAATCTTGCATCTGATCGCTTGAATGGTGTCTCTATCTGAAGTCCAGGTCTCGAATGCCAAAATCGCGACCGCGCTCCCAGCGGGCCTGGTCGCAGTTTTCGTTGGAGCGACTAGTGGCATTGGCGAATATTCGTTGATGGAGTTTGCTAGAAACGCCAAGCAACCTCGTGTGTACTTTGTCGGTCGTTCTCAGGAGGCTGGGGATCGTATTGCCAAGGAATGCAGACAGTTGAACAAGGAGGGAGACTTCAACTTCATTAAAGCGGATGTCAGTCTGTTAAAATCAGTTGATGATGTCTGTCGTGAGATCAAGCACAAAGAGAAGGCCATCAATGTTCTCTTCATGACATGTGGCTCGGCATTGGCTCATGTTGGTTAGTTAATTCTGCTTTGATTCTCAATTCCTTTGAGATCGCATTGCTGACGCTCCTGAAGATACAAGTGAAGGCCTCGAATGCTTCATGGCCTTGGCATTTTATGCTCGGGCTAGATTTATCAATAATCTACTACCATTGATCCAACAAGCATCAAACCTCCGCCGTGTTGTAACCGTCCTCGCTGCAGGCAAGGAGGGTCCAATCTTCACAAATGATTTCCAAGGTCGCAATATTCCATTTAGACACGCTCGAGGACACCATATCTCCATGGTAGACATGATGCTGGAGATATTTGCACAACGTGCCCCCGATGTTAGCTTCGTCCATGACTATCCAGGGCCTGTCAAGTCAGGATTTGGACGAGAGACGAACAGCATGTTGCTCTATGTGGCATTAACGATTTTCAAAATTGTCGGGCCATTGTTTTACATTCGAAGTCAGGAATCCGGAGAACGTCATTTATTCTTTGCCACCAGTGCGCGCTTTCCACCATTAGAGGGTGGGGAGTGTCAAGGTGTGCCTTTGTCAGATGGCTCATATGTTTCGGGGGGTACGAATGGTGACACCGGGAGTGGAGTGTATGCTATTGGTTGGGAGGGCGAAAGTGCAGGATCCAAACAATTGGAATTATTGGCGGGATTGAGAAAGGAAGATATGGTGAATCAGGTTTGGGATCATACTGTTGGAGAATTCAAGCGAGTTACTGGGTTTGAGAGCATAAATGATGAGTAGGAAAATCTGTTTATTGATTTAAAGCGATTTAGATAAAAAACACATTGTGGCATTTCAATGTTAATTGAAGTGGGTCTTGACTATCGAACACTGCAGCTTCCGAGATCCGAGGTTTCCTTCAAGTTGTTCACAACTTCAAACTTCACCACATTTGAAGCTTGGAACCTCAAACAATTCAAGATTTAAAGCCAAGCCTTTCTTACTAGAAGGGCCTGTTTTGAAAAGGAAAAGAAATATTGCCTTGTCTCTCAAATGGCCGAATTCATCCCTCGCCCTCCATCTCCCTCCAATCCGGGGTCATTCCCACCCGCAGAAGGCGTTCCAGTTGCTCCACCTCCTTGGACCCTCAAGGCCAAAGCGTGGACTTTTCTCTATTCCGATGTCGACCAAGGGAACGAACCCCCGCCTCAAAATCCCAATAACACACCCGCCATTCTACAAAATGTCCTTCCTCCAGGTGCTTACCACCCATTTGAAACCATTCACACCGAGGCCCTCCAGAAACTCCCAGGGGGCGAGCCCCAGTACCGCAATGGATGGATCAAAGGCATAACAATTATTCGATATGAGGATTCTGACGTCGGGCCATACGATGAACTCATTCTTGTACCTGGCAAGGCCGTGAATCCACACACAAGCAAAGCCGACCAGCGAATCAGCACTATTTATGTCTCGACCAATGCTAGTGTTTGGAACGGAAGACGGAATTGGAGTTTGTTCCCCCTTTTCCCACTTCTTTAGCCCCCGCTCCGCCCTGCTCTATCCACATGCTGTACCCTGGGTCGATCGAATATTATGCTGATGCCCCTTTTAGATATTCCCAAGCACCGTGCAGTCTTTAGCTTTACACCTAGCGGAAGCTCGAGCTCGGACTTGGAAGTACGGGTATTCTTCCCCGAAGACTCGCCTGCCCCGCTAGATCCTAAGGTCCCGTTCTTTACCGCACTGCTGAAAGGCTCCTCTCTACCGAAGATACCCTTGCCAAGACTGGGCCCCGTACCTGTTGTTCAGCCTCCACTTTCGAAATCAAGATCGCCTCTCGCGGAAGACATGGTGATTGCGACCGATGACCCGGAAAACGGCCGCGAAAATCCGTGGTTGGCGACAAAGCCATCGTTCAAGGGGTCATGGGGGCTAGCATATCCTAGCACACTAGAGGGTGAGCTGGAACACTACGGCGATGGGATTGGGTTCCCAAAAATCAAGCTTTGGTCGGTTGGAGGTGCATTCGAGGGATATATTGGATTTGGGGTACCGACTGCAGTGAGCTAAGCATGCCTTGAAGCCTCACTATACGGATTTCAAAATTATAGATTCATCTCGTGATTTTGATTTTTACTCGTCACTTTCTTGATTAAATACGAGCGCCAACAGAAGAAGAAGCTTGATTTCAAGAAAATGAAATCGGTAAATGGCTATATATATGCTCTTAGATTTCTCGTCCAAAAACAAAACTAAAGAAAGAAAAGAAAAAAGAAAAAGAGGGACAGGTGGGGATCGAACCCACGACCGCGTGATGTTGATGTTGGAAGTGTTCCAAGATTGCAATCACGTGCGCTACCACTGTGCCACCGCCCCAAGGCGCTGACTAATTTTCAAAATTAGCATTATGTATAAGCTAACAGCTGTGGATCATCCCGAGGTCAAACCAGACAAACACCCCGCCTAGCCTCCACAACCTCCTCTTTGTAGCTATATGTACTACACTTTGGATCGAAAACAGTCTCACCACTTACACACAGAGATTCTATCTCGAACCCTTTTTCGAAACATACTAGACCTATTACGGTCACTCTACCCCTGACCCTATGTCTTGGCAGTATCGCGATACCAGCGTAAGAAACAGCCTGAATCTAGATTCTGTACTGAGCTTGTATGGCTTTAGCAGATTCTAGAATGTCGATCTTGCAAACAAGGCAAACAAAGGGGGAAATCCATCTGGCCTGAATCTTTCTCAACCAGGCAGTCCACACCTCTCCAAGAGTTGGACGGAATAGGTTGTGCTTTTACAGTACTGTAGTAGTGAGGTATGCTCTTCACTTCATTTGGAAGACTCGAGAAGCGACAGGCATTTGAGAGGCTCTGATCAGGCAGGATTGTGCTGACGTTGGAGTTGGATCCCTTAGGGCCTTGAAACGAGAAACGATGACCGTTGACTCTTATAATTGCAATGACCATGGCTTTCACCCCCACGACACTTTGTATGAAGATTCGCAATATGCACCCACTCCAGGCTATCCTTGTCACCCGCCTGCCTCGAGATGTGGGCGTGACTATCCGGGTAATTTCTCCGAGGACAACGTGGAAGACCAGCCCCAACACAACCCAGAAAGCCCCAGACTGCTTCAGTTACCGGAATAGCATATGGCAATGTCGAATGATGAGATTCCGGCTTGCTGCATCCAGTATACGATAGAGTGGAAAGTCACGGTCAACAAGAAAGTGATCTCACGAGACACGGAACAAGACGTTGCCCTGACGCCAAGTGCTTACTGGCCAATGACACTGAGGGGTAAGTTGGAAAAGTTGCTCGCAGGCAAAACCTCTAGCAAAGGAAGGGTCAGGTCGGATGATACTTCGATCGTTGTTTATGTGAACGACCGCTCCCAACGCGACCTAATAAAGCGATTTGATCATCTTGATATCGACTGGACGGCTGTAGAACAACAGCTCCTCAAGTGGGGGCAGCCCTTTTGCCAAGGCAAGAAATTAAGGTTAAGTATTACCTTTGAATATGTCGAGGAAGACTGTCTCTCCAAAACTACCTCTGGGCGAGTTGAAAAGAGAGGCCGGTCTTCGGCTACTAAACGGATGCTCAACGAGCGAGACGCTCAACTAGATGCTGAAGAGGCCACATCTGGACAAGAGTCGATTTGGCGAGCTGTGTACAATCTGATGCGTTGTCCTTCATCATCATGCCATCTTGGTCGACATTGCTGGCAAGATCCACATGGGAAAAAACACTATGGATTACGAACTCATCATTTGAAACGCTTGATCGCGTTAGTGGAAAAAGGCGGCACGTTGCAGTCGCACGAAGACGTCCCTGAAGATTTCCGTGAGGATTTATATATCGAAGAGCAGCACAGACTAGAGAGTCAACAATCCAAGAGCAACAAGTCCGTTGGCACCACAGGAAGCTGCCATCCTATAAATATTCATTTCAATGGCACGTCTCACTCAGAATCTCATAACCCCACCGCAGCTCCGGTGATGCTTCCACCGCCAATGGACCAAGGCCAAGGTGACTTCATCATTCCTGGGCTTCGAGATGAGGCAGTCACAGAGTATAGCGCATGGCATGAAAGCAATGTCGCCGACGATAAACTGAAAGCGCAATTCCGACAAATTTGCGATATCGCACTTGCCAATGGTTTAGATCTTCAACTGATCTATCAGGACCAAGATCCATCATTTTTCGTCGACCAAGGAATTCTTGTGGGCATTGCTCGTCAATTCGTAAGAGATATCACGAAATGGGCAAACTATGTGAGCACTGTTTGACCGAATCATCGAACTATAGGCCAGTGGTAGGTTAGTGGCGTTTCAGGGCGTTTTCTACGGCTCTCAATGACTTGACCCGCCCATTCAAGCATATATGTGCTTGAATTTATTTATTTATTATGGAGAAGCTATAGGGATAGATCAATTCAACTTGATAGCTCAATTTGGTAAATCTTGGAATATATGTATAACGAAGTAGCAGTATTCAGCTTCACGGCACCTCGGACTCTAACACTCAATTATGGTTAATTGTCATCCATAACATCCACGCCAGCATGTCTAAAATGACCAGATGCACTTTTCTTCCGCGCGCCAACAACTTGAATACACCGCTCAAGAAAAGATTGAAAGCCTTGCTCTTAATCCTCTTCATACCACGTCCAATTGCGCCGGACGAATGCCTTCAGTTCCGAAAAAAACTCCTCAATAGGATTCAAGTCCGGGGAATAAGGCGGTAGATACACCAACTTTACACCTACATCATTGCACATCGCTTCTATACGAGGCGAGTGGTGAAACGATGCATTCTCCATGATAAGTACAGACTTTGGCTCAGGCCACCTCCCACAATACTCCAGAAGCTGTTCAATGTAGCCCTCAAAGACCGCGGCATCAGTGGAGCCCTAGAATACCCGAGATAGTATAATCCCATCCTGGCAATAGGCCGGCAAGATCTAGTACCGTTGATCTCGATGGAATTGGGACACCTATAAGGGTGATACACCTAACGGTGACCAGCCTGTCCGCCTAAAACCAATCCGTTTATCGCATCCAGACTCATCTACATAAACCAATTGATAAGACTGGAAGTCTGACAAGTTGTGCAAATAGAAGTCCCGGAGGTCGGCATTTTGTTCCTTTGCTCTTTGCTTAGCCACTTTCTTTGACCAACCAGCCGAGGCAAGAGCCCGCTTAAGGCTAGAATTGGTGACCTGGATGCGGAACTCGTCCCACAAGAAGACGACCATTTCGTCTATATATAGCCCAGGCTCTACGAGGAGGTGATCGCACAAGGCTTCCAGCATAGAGGGGGTGATGCTTCGTCTTCGGCCGATGCGAGTTGGGGGTGCTCTTTCCGAAACGGCGAAGATTGTTGCTGATGTTGATGATCGAACGCTTACTGCATTCAGCGGCCTTGGCCATCTGCGACACCGTCAGTGATTTACTCGAGACCATATCCTCAATCATTTCGAGCTTCGCTTGGGGAAGTCTTGGTGCCATGTTGTGAAATCGAATCTCAAAATTGATGGATGGAAGGCGCAGCGTCGAGATGTGGGAGATTCAGAGCCGGGGGAACAGGAGGGCATGAACCCACCTCTCTGTTCACCCTGCTCACCCCCTCTGCTCAGTGAGCGGGCGAAAAGTTTTTGGTCCAAAGGTCTGGGGCATGCCAGGTATTAGGAAATGCACATGACTTGGCAAATTTGGAATCTTGGCTAGCTTCAACGGCGGACCTCAAAAAAATGATGGCAGCGAAAATTGAGGAATTAACAGCATCACATCTGTGGTCGAATGTGATTCCGCTAGATGTTTAGGGAATCGGTGACAGTAAGGTGATTTTCAAATGAGAATTACCATGCATTCCTACGGGGCAGAAGCAGCTTGGATGGCTGAATTTGATCTGACCAATCTGGCTCGGCTCGATCCGTTCCTGGAGATGCTTTACCGTGCCCCACATTGATCTACTGCGCACGTGCGTGCCTGTCGGATTAGCCCCTAAGTCACCTGATGATCACAACGTGGATACTTTACCCCTCTTTAGCTCGGCGGCAGGCAAAGTCCCCTTCATATAGAGTCTAAAGGACCTACTTATCGATCATGGCATCAACGTCATCTGGTGGCGAGAACTATGGGATACAGATCGGAGATAACCGCGGCTCAATTTATGCGGAATTCCATCCTCCTAGTAAGGCGCAGGAACTCAAGCATCACCTTCACCCACTGACCTGTGCCCCAACTAGAACGACCAGAAACCCCGCCCGGGCCTCTATCAAATGTCCCATTCCCGCGAGACCCAGACTTTGTTGCTCGTGACACTCTGCTGAACCAGCTTCATAATAAATCCTTAGCCCCTGGGACAAGAATCGCGCTAGTGGGCCTCGGTGGTGTCGGGTAAGTGAAGAGCAACAGATTCACCGTTCATTGCTCACAACTTGAAGGAAATCGCTACTCGCGAGCGAGTACACCTACCGAGTCCGATCTGAATCTCCGGGGACTTGGGTTTTCTGGGCCCATGCAAGTAATGAAGCCCGCTTCGAGCAGAGTTTCCGGGACATCGCTGACGAACTGAAACTCCCTGGGCGTCGTGACTCGGGTGTCAATGTATTCCAACTAATGGAGAATTGGCTGCGAGAGGAGAAGCACGGGAGGTGGATCTGTGTCATTGATAATGTCGATGACGATTTCCTTTGCTCACTTCCGGCGGCGAAAAAAGATCACAAGTCGCAAGGGCTAGCAAATACCCTGACCAAACCACTAATACAATACGTTCCTCGAAGACCGCATGGATTCACTATTCTAACAAGTCGAAGTCGAGAAATCGCGTTGAAGATGGTCAATGATAAGGATCTCATCGATGTTCAGCAGATGGAAAGATTCGAGGCCTTAGACCTCTTTCAAAGGAAAATGGATCAGCCGGAAGATATAAAAGAGTGCCAGCAATTGGTAGAGACGTTGGAGTTGATGCCGCTGGCAATCGTGCAGGCAGCCAGCTATATTCGGCATCGCGCACCTCGCTATTCAGTATCACAGTATTTATCGGATCTCCGAAGCGATCGTGAAGCGACAGAGCTGCTCCAGGAAGAGATCCGCCACACGTACCGGGACTGGGAAGCGAGTAACTCTATCCTATTGACCTGGCAAACATCATTTCAATATATCAGCCAAATAAGGCCATCTGCAGCGGACTTACTATCCCTGATGAGCTTTTTTGACCGGCAAGGAATAACAGCGCATCTTGTCCAGCCTGACTATTCAAGCAAAGCCATCTCACCTGCAGAGGTCGGCAGTGACTCTAGTGACTCGGAATCGTCGACGTCAGATATCTACGTTGCGTTTGAAAAGGATGTGGATACGCTCAGAGACTTTTCACTTATATCTGTCAATGAGGGCGGGACTTCGTTCATAATGCATCGGCTTGTGCAACTGTCTACACGTGCATGGCTGAAGTCAAATAAACAGGAGGAGCAATGGAAGGAGAAATTTATCAAGAGCTTAGCCAAGGATTTTCCAAGCGGTGATTATGAGACGTGGGAACAGTGCCGGGCTCTTTATCCTCATGTTAAATCCGCAATATCGCAACGGCCAAAGTCTCGGGAGTGTCAAACAACATTATCTGGATTGCTCTATAGAGGTGCCTGGTATGCGTTTGGATTAGGGTTATTTGGTGATATGGAGGAAATGGCATCAAAGTCCAAAAAGCTGAGGATCAAATTGCTTGGTCACAGAAGTGAGGTGGCTCTCGAGAGCACAGCGATGCTAGCAATAGCCTATCGAAGCCAAGGTCGTTGCGAAGATGCCGAGCGGCTGGAGGTGCAGGTGATGGAGACTCACAAGACGAAGCTTGGCAAGGAACATCCTGACATGCTGGCGAGTATGGCCAATTTGGCAGCGACGTACCGGAATCAGGGCCGGTGGGAAGAGGCCGAGCTGCTGGAGGTGCAGGTGATGGAGACTCATAAGACAAAGCTTAGTGAGGATCATCCTGACACACTAAAGAGTATGGCCAATCTGGCAGCGACGTACCGGAACCAAGGCCGGTGGGAAGAGACCGCGGAGCTGGAGGTGCAGGTGATGGAGACTCGTAAGACGAAGCTTGGCGAGGATCATCCCTCCACGCTAACAAGTATGGCCAATCTGGCATCGACGTACTGGAACCAGGGCCGGTGGGAAGAAGCTGAGCAGCTTTTTGTACAGGTGATAGAGACGAGCAAGATGACGCTTGGCGAGGATCACCCATCCACGCTAACAAGTATGGCCAATCTGGCATCAATGTACTGGGATCAGGACCGGTGGGAAGAGGCAGAGCAGCTGGAGGTGCAGGTGATGGAGACTCGCAAGACGAAGCTTGGCGAGGATCATCCTGACACGCTGACGAGTATGGGCAATTTGGCGATGACCTGGAAGACTTTGGGTCACGATGTTAAAGCCATTGATTTACTCCGGAATTGTTTGACCAAACAGAGAGAAAAACTTGGCTCAAGCCATCCGGATACTCTGTCTTCTTCCCAAACTTTGCTCGCATGGGAAACGGATGAACTTACTATTAGTTCGTAGATAAGCTAGGTGATAGGAGACGTGTTTAAAGACCCATAACTACCTCAACTTTGAAATTCTGATGATCATCAGTCTGTTCTCGATCACTCCGAAATACATCTCAAATGAGAACATTGTCAGATCAATCATCAAAGGATCTAGTTTTAATGATGTTAAGAGCGCACGAGTGAGTAGCGTACCGCAAGGGGCAATTACAGAGAGAGTGTGTAAACGCGTTTCACGTAATGGATTAATCTTATCGCCTTATAATACAATATTTCAATATAGTACCAGATTTAAAACTACCCTAGCCCGAATACAGACTAGTATATTTTGACTAAGGGTTCGAGATAGATTCTCTGTGTGTAAGTGGTGAATCTGTTTTCGATCTAAAGTGTACACACACCCGCCGCAGTCTTTTCAAGACCAAACGGAACTTTATTCTTTCAAGTATTCCTACATTACATAGATCAAAAAAAGCAATAAAAATACAACGATACCGGGATTTGGCGTATCGTTACCAATGGTATAAGCCACCTCCTCGTGTCCTACTAAGCGAAAGTAGTAATGCGATATAATGGTGGTGTTCGTTCTATTTGTAGTACAAGATCGGTGATTTCAAGTTTTCCGCCGATGGAAAAACAAAAAGAATGAGGGACAGGTGGGGATCGAACCCACGACCGCGTGATATTGGCGTTGGAGATATTCCAAGATTGCAATCACGTGCGCTACCACTGTGCCACCGCCCCAGACTTATAGGGAAAGCTTAGAAAATATAGTATTATAAATCATGCGGACTTGATTTCGGGATATATAGAGGAAGTCAAATTCCTGTTCCGTATTGGATTGCATGCTAGGAAGGTCAATTGATGGGATATACAGAATGACGCATGAGCGTTAACCCCGACTGCACAGAAAATTGGTGGACGTCATCCAACTCTCATCTTCACACATTTGTTTAAAATACAACCTCCTGGGTGCTGTACATGCTTAGCAGCGCAGCTCTCTTCTGCTTATCGGACAGCTCTGAATTCATGATCGCGTCAGGCTTGTTCTTGGCTTCCTCTTGTAACTTGCAAGCGTGCTCGTTTTCTTCCTCTCTGTCTTCTTCTGTTTCTCCGATGGATTCACCAAATTCGATATCCACATCTTCCTCAGCATCACCATTCTCTACCGACGCCTTAATTACGTCTTCCGTTTTCTTGGTATTGGCAGCTTCGTCGACCTTCTCCTCTACAATTTGCACTCCAGCCTCATCGTGAACGGGTCTGTAGGTCTCAAAGCCGATCTGCTGTCCATTATCATCGAAAACAGGTTTTAGGACTTCGGCAGCAACGGCCCTTTCTTGGGTTTGCTTCAGTGGCTAAATAGTCGTTCAGTCAGTGGTCAAATCATGAGTTTAGCACCAGAGAAAGCACTGACGTTTTTAGTGAAGAACTTAGTGAAGCTGGAGAGTTTGAAGCCATTTCCACCGTAGGAAACGACTAATCCTTTGTCCTCCTATGAAGAGTCAATATCGATTTTGAAATCACTACGCAAGGTCTCAGACACATACCTCCGATGCTTTAAATGTTGTCCAACCCTGGTTCTCACTCTTCGACTCCGATGAACCATTGACTCCACCCTTCGCAACGCCAGTAGCGCCAACATCGAATCCACCGCTTGTGTCCCGGTTATGAGCGCTGTCCATGGTGATCTTGCATTCCTGGGTAGACCAAGTCTTGTTAATGGCCCAAAGGCCATACTTCTTGATCTCTTCATTCCAAGCAGAGTTCACAAGAGCCTTGGCATTCTTCTTCACCCAGTTCGTAAGTGGAGTTCCCCAAGGTCCACGGAATCTCTCGTGAATAATAACATGTTCAGCAATGAGCGCGGCCTTTCCAGTCTGGCCCCATTTGTTCTTAGCCTCTGCCGATACATCCACGGGTGCAGCGCTCAGGGCTCCGGAGAGTCCTCCAGTCACCCCAAAGCTGTGCTGGGCTTCACTTGATGAAGCGCGAGTATCCCAGCTTGCTGTCTCTGGTGTATCTCTGATTAACTCGAAGCCGAAGCTGGTGTATCCGTCTTTTTCGGCCTGACCCGGGATGGAAACGTCGGTGATTGTGGTCCAACCGCCATGTCTGTCGAAAAATTCGACAACACCGGGGTGAAGCTTAGTGCATGGTTGGGGCTTGTATAGATAGTAACCGTCGCCATTACGGTTCATAAGTGCAGCGTATTCTTCAAAGGGAGTGGGAGCCATTGTTCTTGATGTGAATTGTTGATTTTGTTTGAATGAGTTGGAAATATTGTCAGCTCTTGGAAGAAGGGACAAGCTGCTTTTTACGAAGATAATATGTGAATCATTGGGATTGTTACTTCGCTAAATGGCGCTTGAATCCGATGACGACAGTATGGTACACACTCTCAATTATGGATTGATTTCTGATATCTCTTCATTGTGGGCGCGGAGGACCTCTAAATCGATTCCAATAGAGATTTGGCCCACTCAAATGCTGTATGCAGGTTGATCAACAGCCGCTCTTGTCGATTACAGCTGGCTGGCGAACCGGTTGTGGGTCTGATCTCTGGGTTGACATGAACTTGAAGAAAATGACAAGGATCCATAGCGGGCAATGGAACTTGGCAGCTGCTTTTAATATGCAGTCATGAGGACTTCGTTATTTAGTAACAAATCGTCGCTTTCGCTAGATAGTTTTATGCGGACTTTGAATGTTTATTTTGATCATGATGCGACTTACTTCTTTTTCTGGTTGGGTTCCGCATAAATGTGGGTCTAGTTCAGATAATGTGGACCGGATGACATCGAACGCTCCATGCGAACCGTGAGGGAGGGGTCCACGCGAAGAACTAAACCAACGGACTAATTTGTTTTTCGCCACGCAGCTAGACGCATTGACATCTGTCAAAACGAACTGATTTTGGACATGGACTTACCTCGGTATTTGAAGAAATCCAACACGCCCAAGTCTGCGAGGAGATCCTAGGACCATGTTCTGATCAACAGCTTGATGAACATAGTTCATCCATAGGAAGCGTTGCACATTCGTACAGGTAGAGTTTGTATGAGACAGAATTTCTCAAATAAGGTCCGTGTGGTGATTCAGTCCTTGCTGGAAGATTAAGAGCCGAATATCTCAAGCAAATTGTTCATGCATTTGTGTCTGAGGCATTCAGATATTCCATCATTTTCGTCCATCATCATCACTTTGCCATGCTTACATTTCTTTCTTTTGAAGCAAAGTAGTTCTTGGTCTTTTTATAGTGTTGGGCTACAAATCGGTTAATGGCTCAAGTGCTGACTTCTAGTTAGTTAGTAGCTAAGCTGACTAAAGGGCCCCTGCATGATCAATGCGGGGCTGTCTCGCGGGGTTGTCCCCGTAAAGATGCAAGAAACTACTGCCCCCGCTTTCATCTACATTTGGTAGTTTCCCCTTTAAATATACCTGGTACAGATGCTGAATTCCAACTACGAGCATGATGACCGAAACACAGTCATGGCGACCAAAAGTCATTATATTCGACCTTCTTACCGCCCTTCTTGATTCTTGGACACTCTGGGATGCATCTACACCATCCGGCACCGCAACCCAGGGTCGACCTTGGCGCGCAAGATATTTGGAAGTGACCTTTGGCCAGGGCACTTACGTCCCATATGAGCAGCTCGTTCATCAAGCCGCAAACGACGTTGGTCTACCCGACTCGGCTCCCACGAAGCTATTGGAGAATTGGATAAACCTACAACCTTGGCCAGAGGTTCCTAGAGTTTTGAAGCAACTTAGATTGCAAGGATATATGCTTGGTGTTGTGACCAACTGTTCAATATATTTGGGGAGGCTTGCATGCAGTAGAGCTGGTCAGTTTGATGCTGTAGTTACAGCGGGGGAGAGTGGGTTTTATAAACCTGCGCGGGAGGCTTATCAAGCTATTCTGACGGCCATGGATGTTGAAGCCGAGGATGTTTTGTTTGTTGCTGGTAGCGCGGGAGATGTGGAGGGGGCAACAAATGTAGGCATGAAAGTTGTTTGGCATAATAGAGTAGGTCTTGCCAAAAAGGGGGATGCTGTGCCTTTAAAGGAAGGGAGAAGTTTAGATCAGGCTTTGGTTGACTTTTTGTGATTATTATGAGTACTGATTTGGAATTGAAGAATATAGAACAAGATAGGGGCGAGAAGCTAGCGCGAGCACTTACTTTATATTAACATATTATCTGCATTTCCTGTCTACGATCGTAACTTAATGAATAAAACTTGTGGTTTAATGATGTATTTTCAATGTGCTAGTATCTCTCATTAGTAGTTCCTAGTGTGCCAATTATGTAGCAAGGTTATACTATAGTACTAGTCAACTCGATAGGTAATCCCAACCCTTATAGTACTACTATATACGAAGTACTAGTAACACTCCGAAGTATCTCTGCAGTCCTTGTTAGCATAGGTACAGATTTGGGTCGTCTGTCCAGTAATGAGCAGGAACTGATCACCTCCATCACCTCTGGTGGTGCATTAGTCGTCGCAGTTACCACGGGATTTACCTGCGATAAATTCGGGCGGAAACTTGGTATTTATTTTGCCTGTGTGCTGTTCCTGATCGGCACCATAATCCAGGCCGCTGCTTTCTCCCTCGCACAGATGTCAGTAGGCCGCCTTCTTGTTGGCCTGGTCGTCGGCATCGCTGCGATGGTTTTTCGACTCCATATCGCTGAACTCGCCCCCGCACGGTATCGTGGCTGGATGATTGTTGCGGAAAACCTCTGTGTGGCTGGGGGTCAATTCATCGAGTACGCCATCGGGGCTGGGCTTACTGACGCACCCAATGGTTGGCGCTAGATGGTGGCCATCGGGGGTTTTCCGGCGATGCTGCTGGGGGTGCTGCCCTCCTGCCCGGAGTCTCCGCGTCAACTGATCTCACATTCTCATTTTTATCAAGCCAAGGGCAAATTGAAGAGAATTTTCCCCCACGCAACGCCGGAACAATTTGATAACAAGGTCAGATTGATTGAGTGAAATATTCAGGAGACCAATGTCTTCATTGAGGATAAAAGCCTCTGGTGGCAGACGAAGCAGCTCTTTCCGGTAGATACCAACCGTCGCGCGTCAACATCGTTCTGCACCGTTATGGCTGGTATGTACATTTACTCCGTACCCCACAATATCTTAAAGCCTCATAGTAATATTGACGACGTCCAGTGGCCCAACTCGGCGGGTTCAACACCCTAGTTAGAGTGAAATGATATTATACTAATGATGATGCAGATACTTTACACAACGAAGCGGTACTAGCCCGAACTTGAATAAAAGGGCCAGTGCAGCTGAAATGAAAGGCTTGTTTCAAGATACCAGCCGTGATGTTCACCACTTCGTGAGGACGTGTCGACCTATTCTTTCGATCAACACTGTTTGCAGGTTTCGGCGACTTAGTACAAAGCCTTAGCGTGGCCAAAATTCGGAATACAGAAAAAAGGAACCTTCGCCAGGGTAGGGGATGGAGTTGATGTGGGTGACGCAAATACAGAAACAATGCAAGAGTGGGGAGACATCAGGCGCGTCCACAATATGGGGGTGAGTGCCTATCCGCCTATCATAGCAAACTGTAGGTTCAGACGAAGGCGCATACCCACTTCATTAGAGCACGCTCCGATACTTGTACTAGTTCTGGGAACGTGGTATTGCGTGTGAATTTACTGAGTCAAGTCTCTTGATTGACTGAAGATTTCGCCCAAAGGTAACTTTAGCCGACGGCCCCACCTTGATTGGAATACCTTCCAGGTTTAACGTAAGTTTCGATACTTACAAAATGACGAACATCCCATGATTGCGATGAGCCCTCCAACTGGCAGGCGAAACTAGAACGAAAGAGAAAATTAGTGGGACGAATGGCTTGCCCAGCACAAGAGCTACAGTGTATTCTTGCTGGGAGGGACTCTGTGGCGACAAGGGACATCGCCACCGGCTTAAGCCCTGCAGCTAACCCGAGAGATAAAGTTGCGGCCCCAGGTCCTTTTGCTGCCAATCGGAAAATGAATAGCCACGGGCCCCGGCCTATCCCGCATGCGAGCTAAGAAACGAAAACAAGGAAAGTCATAGTGTCTATTTCACTCTAGACTTTTCAAAAGTAATTAGTGGAGCTAATTGATGAACCTCCTGCACTCGACGGCCGCCACGAGATGATATCACACGGAATATCTAAAATAGGTAGTTTCATCGCTCTCTTCGTTTTACTGAGACCTTTTATACAAAGTCTCCGCGACATAGTGAACCCTGCGCCGGCCGCTCTTTGCAATATTCTGAATCAAAACCTATCGTGAGGCTTAAGTCGAAAGAGCATGGGGGGCTTTCCCGAGGCCTATCTGTCGGAATCAATCAGGCTTGATGAGGTATTCACATATAGTATGTCCGATAAATTTAGATTCTCCGCCACTGTACCGGATCTGCAGACCTTGCCAATCTGGGTGAGTTTGAACCTTATTTCACAAATATTCTTCCTGGTGGCAGATATGGTAATGATCAACGCTCTATTATTCCGATCTCTGTGCCTAGAGGCCGATCGTCGATTTGCGTTCCTTCTCAAGTTGACATTCAGTAGCCTGGCGTGGATCCGAATGAATTGATCATAAGTTTCAGGCTGTTGTACGCTTATAGCTTGATATTGTCGATTACAGAATTCAATGACATTACTGTGCAGTAATTGAGGTGATATGTAGAAACATAAGCAAATATAAAACCTGTTTACGTAGACTCGGATGTGATGTGATAGTGGCTGTTTCCGATTGTGGTGGCAAGACCGAGAAGGTACCCGCTATGTGCCTCTTGCTTACAACTAATCGTAACTTTTAGCGAGGGAACCAATCCGTCCCAATCTCTGTCCACAGGGTTTCATGCTGTTCGATACTGAGTCAATATATCCCAAAAGAATTTAAAAATTAATTTCCCTTATCGTTTCTGGGAAGATGAAGTTCCGTCGTTGTTTGTCACTTGGGTCAGTCATAACAGTTTGAGACCCACATCATTGACCCAAACGGAGAATTAGGCAATTGCAATGATGCATCATTGGACTGGGGGAATAAAAAGGCTTTTCTGGAGGCCGCAATCTCTACAGCTAAATCTGACCCCGTTTCAAGAAAAAGACTAGCTATGAAATCATTCAGAAATGAGGAGTGGGGTTGGCAGAACTTTGACTTCGGGATCAAAGGATGAAAATTAGCGTATGCTCGTTCTAGCTACTCCTTTCGCCCCTGCATCATGACCCTCGTCTGACGAAGATGCCTGTCTCTGCTAGGTCCAAGTATCCTAGAGATAGCATATTTCGTTGCGCGTACTAGAACCGCGAACCATTATCCCAAGAATTATCTGTCTCTTGAGAATTACGAATAAACTCATTAATCAGAGATAAGTTTCTAAACGAGCTACAAAATATAAGTTTCATGAAACAAATGTTAGCAGAATAGGTATTCAAACTTTGTAACTGTAATAAGGCCCAAGAGAAATTGAAGCTAGTATACATCAAACAAATCCTAGATATCGATATATTATCAACTAAAGACTCTCCTAGTATCTCATCTCCAGAGTGACTCAATGAAAACGAATCAGAAGACCAATCATGGCAAGTTCGATCAGCAAACTGCTGCAGCATGTCGACGACATGATTGATGGATTGTTCGCTTGGAACTACTTGAAATCGCGAATTTAGACTCAAGTAGTTCCTGCGTAAAGTTGCGCTTCAGAACGTTTCCTTGTGACGTCTGTTGAGGATGCCCACCATGCAAGCCTCGACCTACTAGTCACCAATCATTATTCCGGGTCACATCAACTAGAAAGAATCATCTAGAGAAAAACCATAACAATTCATTGCCTTCGGTAGGCAGCTAAAATGAAAGACCTTTGGCAAATATTGGCATGTTGTCTGTCAAATGCTTGAAATATAAACTGTGATCTTGGACTGCCTAGTTGTTCATATGAATAATAATGACAATGATAAACCGAATGAGGCGACATTGCAGTCAGAAACATTGCAGAGCACAGAGAAACCATCAATCAATAGTTGGAAATTAGAAAACTGATTTCAATTTGTCAGTTTTAGAGTTGCGAGCAAGGCAGATAAATTCATCGGTAATAATCAGGAGACTGCACGTTGACGTACCTTGCTATTGAACAATCCTGCGTTCATGGGTAGTAGCAAGCTCTGCGGGGCTATATGAAGATAATTCGCCACGACGCAAGATTTTCACGTTTCGTAGAAGGAAAGTGCTATGATGATCAAAGGGCCGTTGTTAGATCAAATCGATAGCAAGTTTCCAAATTGTGGACAACGATTTCATTTCATTCTTTTAGATCACTCCTTAGACAAAAACATGTTTTGCCTTCATTATTTATGACTGCGTATCTCAAAAATGAAACTTATGATTTGAGTAGTAGGTTCATCCTGTTGCCTGGCAAAATGGATATGTACAAATACTAGTCTCATATGCGAGTGGTCGCAATGGAACATCTGGCTTCAAGTATCTAGGGGAAAGAGGCGATTAAAGAACATCACTTTCAGGCAAGCGAGATCCCTGCCTTGCAACCTAGGCCGCGATTCAGAAAAGCTTACTTGACAAAATACAGAGTATTTTACTTATTCAAACGCAGCGAGGAATCCACATCAAAGTGAGCCCTCATACTTGAGAAAACCCAGATTTTGGATGCCATTCTTTAATATTCACATATAATACATGTGTCAGGATCCCGAATCTACGAAATTATCGGATTACGATGATATGAAGATATCTTTAGAAAAATGATTGCGATAAAGGAGAGGCACAACTAATTCATATACAATTCGTTGGTGGATTCACGCCATGTTGAATGGTGAATATCCAAGTTATCAAGGAATGTTGTGGGCAATATAGGCCCTTGAAAACACCAGTCTCCTTCGTACTCCCGAGCTGACTGAGGACACCCATCTGTAGACTGGCTTAATCCTCATGGATACCGCCACGCAAGGGGAACTTCTTAGACCTGAACGGTGAGACAATTCAAAAGACCCTGCCCATCGTTAATGCTCAGAGTCTTTCACAAGCTCAAATAGTGACTCACCACTCCATTTGTTTCACAGCACGCTGCCTGGTTGTTGCAGCTCCCAACCAATGCTAGAGAAGTTAGGATGAGGAAACTAAACGGGTAAGAAGACTCACGAAGGCACAGCGCAGGGAGGATTTCTATGTTCAAGATACCATCCGTAAGGCCGGTGCAACATTTGTTGGCCTGCTCAGTGGTGCATTGAGATGTTCCGCCACCAGAGGGGATGGCAGTGACCGTTGAAGCAGCCATAAGGATCACGATCTTAGACAGAGAGTTCATCTTGGGCAAATATGGATTAAGTTGAAATTGAATCGAAGGTGTCTTGCAAGGTATTGATGAGGGGGCTTGCAGAATGGAGATTTGATGAAGAGAGTTCGTCACTTATATACTTTTCGATAAACCTAGGATTTCATTCTGTTATGATCTCATTATTCCAAGTTTTTTTCAAAATACTCCGTAGGTCACATCAGCAACTTTGGTACTTTCTTCCTGATCTAATCGTTTGCTTTGACTGAACTAAAATGGCAAGTGAGTCGCGACCTGGCCAGCACAAACATCAGCAGGTAATATGACGCGCACAAGGGAAGCTGCTCAAAATACAGAGGATCTGGGCCTACAAAAATGTTCCAATCAAAATAAAATTTGTCAATAACGAAGGAGAACTGATTCAACTCGGCATCGAATGCCACCAGCTACTTAGATGGGAACGGGTAAACCCCTTCTCTTTCAGCAGTTTCAGGCTTTCAATAATGAAGATTTCCACATTCCTGCTATAATATGGTCTAAAATACGGTGGGCTGGAGATGAAAACAAGGTTGATAAGACTTTTACGTCTAAAAGGATTCGGCCCGCCGAGTCCCTATCAGAGGATCGAAATTTGCGAGAACTTCACAAAAAGCCGCCACTGGAATGATAGGTATACTCTCGCTTTCCAAAAGAAACAAAAGGATACATTGTCTTGTTTTCGCAGTCTAAGGGCCTTCAATTTTGGGAAAGCTATACGGGATGGCGTGCGGGGACAAAGAGAATAGCTAGTTTTTACGTAATTTTGGGTATCTTCCAAATACTGGGGCAAAGTACTCATTCCAATGGAACCTTTCAGGGAGCTGGTCAACTGTAGCTCTAGCCCTTATCTCCAAAGCACTGGCGCCTGCTCGCAGGTGCGAACAATTTTAGATTAACCAATTCACGGAAGGCCCTCAAACGGTAAAATGAGTAACTCACGTGTTCACATTTCGAGACCTTTCAACCAAAGCTTGTGGGAAGCAGCTCATCAAACTGGTCCTTTTGCGATCCATTGATGGCGACTCGGGATCAAGCACGTCGATACTGACAAGCAGCAGAGCGCTCTTGGCTCCGTCAAATATTTTCTGTAAGATTTGCCACTGCCGCACCATGACACACCTATTGAGAACAAGATCTTGTGCCTGCTGTGCGAGGGGCCCCACTCATGCGAAAATTCCTGTTCTAAGACGGCCATGGCTGCAAAAGTGAGAGAAGGTAAAAGCGCCACTCACGAACCAGGTGGGAAGAAGTGAGACGACGTGACGAGTTAAATGAAATGATTTTGCACAGCATCACGAGCACGTCGTACGAGTCCTGGCATTTGATGCGAAACGCTCTCATTTCACCATTCAGATACTTGCTACAAGACTATCCCACGCTTCTATTCGTCAACCCTCTACTCAGCTCATAAATATTAATGGAATCGCGTCATTATACCAATCCTTTAGAGATGTAGTACTTCATAAAATCCGTCTCTGCATTAGCTGAAGTGTTGCCAGTAACGGGTGACATCTCATCTTTTTGAAATTTCTGGTGATAGGGTTGAGACTGTGAACCTTATCAGCAGTTATGCAGCTCGTAATAACAAAACACACAATATAAAAATGGAAAATTTAAGTAATTGTAAATGTCAAAGTACGGCAGGAGCCTGAGTATGGGGAGACTTGAATCTGCAGTAGGTAAAAGTCTAAATAGGCGACAGAAAAGTTAAAAAGATAAACAAACAAAGTTTGGGAGATTATAACCAAGGATATGCATAAAAGAGAGGCATTGACATGGTTGATCTATCGAGGACCCCGAGATGGCTATAGGAAAACGACTGTGTAGAAGCCCCACAGTAAGTTACAAGTAATATAATCGCAATAAGAATATCACTGCTTGTTCGCGCAATCCTCGTACGATATACTTAACTTGTCATGTTTGCGCTTTCGCTTGCTTCCAATCACGTCAGCAGTGGTGGGGATCGCTAATTGTATTGTTTAAAGCGTGGATACTCCAACACTTGATCCATATATCCATGAAATCACCCTGGCGAAGCGCAACATAAATCACCCCGATATTGGACCCGATCGTCTTCTTGCCCGGCTCGCCTTCAAGAGCCACATATGTTGGGTGGTCGACTAGATTTGTGTGAATTGGCACGCTGAGATTATCACGAATAAAAACGTATAGCAATCGTGATGATCCACAGAGGTAGTCACGAGTTGTTTGGTGTTTAAGAACTACTTCCCTGGCTTGATCATATTTATGGACGGGTACGGTCTGCATATCTGCTTTCCATGCCTATATGGCTGCTGAGACGTCGATAGATTCGAGGGTCGCTATGTGCTGAAATACAGTACCAATGGTCGCGTCAACAACAGCCAGTCTGGAGTACTGAAATGGTGTAGATAGGTAGCGGTCTTGATTGCTAAAAAATGACAGACCAAGTTGTACCATCTTTCGTCAAGTAAGATGCTACTCAGCGTGGAGCTAGATAATCATGGGCATGTGCGGGGGGATAAAGTGCCAGCAACATGGACGAAACGATATATTCAGCCGCAGCCATAATAACAGGCACTTATAGCCGAATAGAGTCGCTGGAATAAGAGGTGCGTTTGTCGATAAACGCGCAGCGCGACGGAATGGAGTGCGGGTGAGGACCTTACGGACATGATCGACTCTGCACCAATGAGAAATTCCAAACATAAGCTTGATTTTAGTTAGTGGTTGACCCCGGAAAATCAGATCGAGATGTACCAACCTTATTTTGACGAGTTTGACATGCTTGTCTGCCAATCCAGCCACCTAGCTAGGTGAAGGTGACCACCCAATCACCCACACGCATTCTTTCTAGTGGTAAAACGACTCGGAAAAGGAAGATACCAGATTGAGTGATACAATATCGTAGAATGAGCATTGAGTAGGTATGGAGAATCTCGCTGGTGCTAGGTTAGACCCTGGTGATAATGTCAGCATGCACGGAGCGTGAGAGGTTTCATCCAGATGTCCGGATGTCTGATAGAGGTCGTGGATTTTAACTAAGTAATTTTCTCATACCACTGATATCGAGACCATAAAGGGTTTTGGTAAGCATGGGGGAGCGATTCGCCAGCCACAGAAGATCGGCAAGGGAAGCGGGACTTCATGCTTGTATATGAATCTCTCGGTCATGCAAAGCTGAGCGAGGGGCCCAAGCCTACATCGTGATATACACATCGGCATAATAAGCTGATTTTAACTATAGTCCATGATATATGACCCTGGGCTCCACCCTGATGCAGTGATGCAACCCCTCTTATTTACCAAGAAGGCCATTGTCTGTTTGGATCAGCCCCTCGTTGTTTCTACCCTTCTGCTGCTTTTCTCGTAAGGAAAACAAGATGGCAGACTTTTGCTTCTTTTGAACCAACTACCAACACAGTATTTTGCACATTCACTTGGTAATTATATCAATTGCCCCCGACTCAGTATTCGATTGATTAACTGTATGCAGTATTAGTAAAAGTCCTTTGATGCTCACAGAATGGAGAAGGTTTCCCAGTCTCTCTGGTTTTATATCTGTCTCCAAGCGCAATATTTAGTCGGCGTGTCTTTTCGCTTCTCAACAACGATTTTGAAAGTGCCGTCCCCATACTAAACCCAATTTATTGAAAAGGTAATATGTGGTAACTGAGGAAGCAAAATTTGACTCTAGTCCTGGGACCGATAGAGCTACGAACTGAGAGGATAGCGCCATCCCCGTACTGAAAGATGAACTGCCATCAATATAGATGTATGTAAGAGATAATCCGTCAACTGTCTTTCAAATTGTTGGTCTATTCATGTAGAACTTACAGTACAGATAGCGGTGTACTAGGCGGTGATGTTTACATATGGCCAAAAGGGTTTATTTAAGTTTACCGCTGACCGCTATACTCTCTCGTAGATTATCGTGATCATCATGTGGATCTAATAAACATCAATATTTTCCCCACTTGTCTCCATCCTTATTTTTTTCGCTGATGGGTTGATCGCTACCGATTTATTAAATTGTCTAATATTCTCTTTTCAATTATATTTAGATTCACCTTAGTGAAGGCTTCAATAATCATAAGTTGCCTAGTATATATATAATTCGCTAGGTGGGCGCAAAGTACGCTCTGGAGCCTGGCCTTCCGTACTTGGATTCACTTCAAGTTGGCCACTCTTTGTTCTTCCTCCTCTCATCACTTCTCTGAGAGTAGCTGATATCATCAACTCTTATCAACTCACATCAAATCTCCAACCGTGCAAACAGACCGGTTTGTTTCCTACACTACGGAAGTCCTATCTACGTTGAGGCTGACCAAAGCTAACAAAATGAGGTAACAAAAACACTGGTTGAAGGCAATTTGAAGTTTAAGAGTTAAGAAGAACGCAGCGACAATTCAAATTCATTCTGTGTCCGGGTAAAGGCTGGGCCACATGGGAAGGTCTTCCTCTTCAACCCAGAGTCCTTGATCGTCCTCCCCGGACGAGCTCCGGGCCTTTCGTTGCAGGGTGGGTTTGGCGACAGGCTTCTGGATTTAACAACATTCGATGATATTACCGTTCTCAGCGCAATGAATTTTCTTTGCAAGCGCCATTACTGCCCAATCGACACCGTCTTCGTGTCACTACAGAGCGTCATCCAAGAAGAGCATGGCGACAATCCAGGTAAGTCTGTCTCAAGAAGTTGAGATTCCCCTCTCCATTCCACTCTCTCATGAATGATACTAAGTCAATCGCACTGCACGTTGAAAGCTCCAGCGATATCCAGGACGCTGTGCCTACCGCCTTGATTCCTAACTCTCGATTGACGACCGAATCCCCAATCAACAGCACAGCGGAAGTGCTCGGCGAAATGGCTCTCATACACGCAAAGGCTTTTAGCTTTGCAAACGTCTACCTAATCGAACAGTTAGAAGAGTACGCACTGCGCTAACTTCATGATAATCTGGCCTGTGTCCACTTCACCCAAGTCGGTCTTGTGCCTGAACTCGCCGAATTAGCTCGCCATATCTATTCAGCACCGCCACCCGACTATTTAGACACGGGCCGCATGACCCTGAAGAACCATGTCATTGATGTGTGCAGCACAATTGATTCGCCTGACTGGGGCCCCATACTTCGTGCAGGAGGAGAGTTTGCGGTCGATGTTTATCAAATCATCCATTCCGCGCAATAGTGGGCGCTCTTTATTTCAGGATGAGAACACAGACAACTCACGGATATGGCAAGGACTTCTTTGAGGACGGGGATGGCTTTTTGAGATGTCATTTTGATCAGACTGGGAAATAGGAATAGATACATGGAGATTCTTTGATCGCAGCATTTCGCTTGCTCGCGTTCTCTGTCCCTTCTGCAAATATGTAGTTATTTGTGGAATTTCACCAAATTCTCGATCGTTTACGGAAGGCCATAGCGGCTAAAGCTCGTTCTCAATTGACGTCTTAAGTTTCCCGATGGAAGGACGTGGAAGGTCTAGGTTGAAAAGGAAGGCTAATAGAAGAGAGAAGGTAAATGTTTGATCAGACTGCTCCCCTGTACAATGGTAGTATTCGATTGACACAAAAGCTGATCACTGATCTTCCCATCCCAGCTCTCACGGCGATTGTACTATTACATTATACTATCTACTAAGCCATAAGAGTCCATGCTCCGCACTGTATGCAGATTAAGTTCTTTAATTCAAACGATTTACTGAATGATGGTACAGGAGAAGAAAGAGTGAGAAGAGGGGGAAAGAGGAAAAGATAGTGGAAAAGAAAAGATTGGGTAATATTGAAATTAAATACCCGCAGGGCTCTTGTAAGCGTAAGTGCGCACTATGTAGTTAACTTTGATATAGCTGACATAGGTGGCTGTCTAATTAGGGACAAGATAGCTGGTCAGGTAGCTCCACTATTACTTTAACTGTAAGTGCAGTCTCTATATAGCCTTATATTCCAGGAATCAATTTAAAACGAGCTTTGGCCTCTATCACCTTCTGTAATCGTATCCTCTCCTTCTAACGATACTCCTCGTCAATCTGAATGAGTGCCCCCATTCCATCCCGTTCAAACTCAGCCGTATCCAAAATCATTGAAGCAATAACAACAGCAGGCTCAGTTTTACTAGCATTGTTGCTAATGCGATGATGACAACCCGGAGCTTCATACCAAGTCCCACCCGTCTCAATGATCTTCATCGGATCATTGTTCATCTTGTTCTGGACCGCGCCACTAATGACGTAGGCGGAGACGGAACAGCTGCCATGTCGGTGCGGTGGGGTTGCGCCGTCTGGTGGAAATGAAACACGCACACCAATGATGCTTTTGCCAGGGCAATTTGATAGTTTGTAGCTGTATGCAACGGCGATATCGGGCATAGGCCGGCTTGGGTAGTTGTTAGTTGTGAAATAAGGCTTCGTGGGGTAGAGGTTCGTACCTGGAATCATAGGGGGGTTCTTCCATTTTAAATTATTGTTCGATTTTTTGGGAGATTGAGAATGATTGATTGGATTGCGAGATTGTAAATTGCTTTGAATTAAAATTGAATGAAACAATGCGATCGTGGGTCTTTATAGCTGACTTCGGCCCGGCAATGTGGCTGCATATGCAGGGGTTCGTTCAACTGAATTCGATTATGTTGGGGTTCTACATTCGAACTTATTTCCTGCCTTAGAATGTGGGTTAGAATGTGGGTCCGGTTAGGCTATTGGTGTCCTTTGTAGGGTCTTCAAAGGATCGTGCATCTTCCAAGGTTGCGATTCCCCGATAAGGCTGGATAGGCTATCAATAGGCTATCCACGGATACCCGACTGCAATTTGCCACGAAGGAATCAGACCACACTTTAAGCTTGTGAGCAACACAAGAAAGAATTTATAGAAATTGCCAAGGTAGATATCTCATATTAGTGCAATTGTAAACTCAGAAATTAGAAATTATATTTGATGTTCAGAAAAGAATGCGCCATCAAAGAGTTATGCTATCTAGAACAAAATAGGCTTTTACATATACATTGTGGCAATTAAAAGTATCAACGCCAGTCCAAGAACAGATAAGGTTTGAGAGCTACGGAGCTTATTCAAAGCGTTCTCATACGAGTCCGTACCATTATACCCAATGTTGGCTGAGTTATGGTTGAACCCAACAGTTCTCTCCCAAGAAGGTGTGGAGCTATCGTTGACAAGGACATCAGAATGATACGTGTCGTGTTTGCTTGGCGGCTGTTGTGACGGCAATGGCGTTATTTTGAACCCAAATTTCGGTGATCAATCGACATCGAAAACAGACAACCACTCAAAAACATGCTGGCGGATGGATTGAGGATAATGATCTGTTTGTCTCTTTACTAAGTTAGTTAACTTATTTAACTTAAAGATGATGTCGGAACAGCAGCAATGGATCTCGGAAGAAGGAAATACTATAGATCCGAAGTATTAGTCATTATTCTTGCCCACCTAAATTGCTACGGGCTTGCTATACAGAAATTAGACACGTTGACATTCTATTGGTGCATCCATGTTCCCCACTCACTAATTCCGACAGATGATCTCGTGCCTGATATACCAGGCACCACAAGCACGTGATCACCATGCCGATTACCAATCAACGCGGTGAAGTTCAAATGACCAGTAGCTACATGAGACATTATATATTGTATTAAAGTTACAGAAGAGTTGTGGCTAATACCGAAAGGTTCGGAAGTTTGGCAATCTCAGGTTGCCAGTCAAACGAGATTCGTACATTGTTCCCCATAGACTTTCTGCCTCGCCGCTGTTCTTAGACGCGCTTTCGTCGGTCGTAAGTTATATCGTCCTTTGCTGTTACCCCACGAGCCACTGTTGTTTCGGTCTGTAAGGGAGCGCTTTCGTGGAGATTGCATCGCCCTAGATGGGTTGTCTGAATTCTCGTCCGAGATGAAGGAGGCCTGCTTGGACCGGTGTGGTCGTGCTATTTTGACGGAGTAAATATCCCTAAAATCAGTTAGGTGCAACTCTTACGTTTTACGTCAAGGGTATAGTCTGTCCCAGTGAGTGAACAATTTTTTTTTCTTCGTATTGATATAGCTGCTTGGTCTGGATTAATGGGTCTCTTGTGAGATGAGGGTGGTTTAGGCGAAGGAGACGGCGATTGGTACGGTGACTGGAATTCAAAGTGAGTCTCAAAATACGATGCAAGTCGACTCTCTCTTTGTATTTGCTTGGTATTTATTCGGTTCAGGGCATCAAATAGGTCTGAATGATGGACCATGGTTAACTTTGAGAAAGGATTAGATATCAATAGAGATGGTGAGTAGTACTATCATGTTACCCCTGGCTCGAGACTGGAGGCGGTCTGAATTCTTAGTTCCTACACTCCATCCAGAACTTAATACAATCTCTACTCTCTTTAATTAGCTTCAATTCTACAAAGTATATACGTTGATTGACCTGTGTTTAAATATAATGTTATTGGTCCTTCAATTTAGTGGCTTGGGCCGGACAGTGATAAAAGTGATGACGTCCATTTTAATCAGTATATTGGAATATTTGGTCTGTGATTTCACAGTTGGTTGGGAATCCAATCAAGGTAGATGAAATTGGAATTTAGAAATGAATGAGTTATTTGTGCCATTTGGACGGCTCCTTTTTGGATCTCGATCTCATAGCTGATCAAATTGGTTGGGACTTGACATCATGCGCCAGAGACTTAGACACCGGAGTCGTGCTGAACAAGGTCGTCGTCAACAGTGTAGCTCTGCCAATTCTTAAAGGTAGAATTCAAGGTACTATCGTTGATCTCGATATCTGATTCACGCTCCAAAAGCTGAACACGAATCCTTCAGAAGTATGCCAAGCAATGTGGCAATGCATGAGCCAAGCCTAGAAAGTTTGGTCAGAAGGGATTTTATTGAAAGGCGGAAGTAGAGAGAGAGAAAAAACGAAAAGGGAGAGAAGAGCAGGGGGATCATGGCGGAATAGGGAATGGAATAATAGATACATACGCCGGGGTTGACAGTCTTCAAAGCAATCACAACATATCCACTGGCAGGCAGCATGACAACATCTCGGCGCGGAGCATCGACCAGTATCAAGCTATCCTTCATGGATACATCGAAATTTCCGTATCCGGAATCTAGAACTCAGAAGTCATGACCATGTAGATGCATCGGATGATCTTGTGCAAAAGGCGAATGGATCACAAAATACACCCACTTGTCAGCCTCGGGGAGATGGATTACAATCTGCTTTCCAAGCCAGGTCTGGTTTCTTTCGGCCACCTGCATCAATGTCGGATATTCCCATTGAGTATCGAAGGAAGTTCTGTTCATAAGCCAGAGCATTGCGTTATCGGTAACTTGGACCTCAACATTCTCCTTTTCGTCGTAGCTATGGGTCTCAGAGGCGTTGACCTGAAGATAAGGCACCAGGTTGGACGATTCCTCATCAGCGCATGAATCTGTGTAGCTGTATGCTGATGTAGTTGGATCGGCGGTCGATGAATTATCGTATCGGATAATTCCCTTGACTAGGCCAGTAGCATCTGTCTCCGAACAGGCTGATTGGGGGATAGCGCGAAGCCAAAAATTACCACTACTGAGTCCTCTCGCTGTCACAATAACATCGTATCTTTGACCCATTCCAATGCTCAGCTGAGTAGTGTTGAATGGGTGGATGGCCACGAAGTCGTTCGCGATCACTTCGAGGGTGTGGTTATCGATCATGAAACGGAAGTGTTGGTCTGCAGCCGCATTCAAAACTCGCATTCGGTATCTGGTGCCTGCTTTGAATGTTGTTTCGAATCGGGATCCTTTCTTTCCCCATACATTTGTTCCGCTGATTAACCCATTCGGAGCTGTGGGTGGTCCACCGGTGGCTGCTTGGAGAACCAACTGATCTGCCGTTTGCTGAAGAAAGTTAGTTTCTGCCGGTGATAGCACTGATTGATGAAGCTTACATGGTACCGGTCATTCAAAAAGACATGACCCAGATCAATATCGTAGTTAGCGGTCGCCGGGCCATTGATGATGATTCCTCCAAATACTCCGTTCCAAGCTTGAACGTAAAAGTACGAGTGGTACCAGCCCGTCCCATACTCAATGGCGCGCCACCGATAGGTATACGAGTCACCGGGTGCAATGGGACATTGGGTGATGCTGGGTACTCCATCCATCTGGTTTGTGAAATTCTGTCGGATTCCATGGAAATGAAGGCCGGTTCCGTTATTTTGAAGTGAATTGGTAACATGAACAACTAATGGAGAAATGTTAATGACAGGTAAGAATAGGCAGTTTTTGATCTCCCATACCAACAGTGTCACCACAGTCCGCTATGATCGTAGGACCTGGGAAAGATCCATTGATCAGCTGCACGGGCATCTCAACACCATCAGGGGCAGCTGTAGTATTCTCGACATTGAACCAATATTCTCGAAAGACTCCAGTATCAGGAACTTTGTCATAGTGATTGGTAGATATATCGAATCCGTCACTCCAGCATGCTCTGTCAGACGCACTGTTGACGCATGACGTGTCTTGAACATGATTGGGAGATACAGATATCCCCAACACCCCGGGCAAAATGACAAGAGGGGATATGATTAAAGAAGAGAGCCACATCCTGGTTTAAGCCCTTGAAATGGCAACCTCAATGGATAAACCCAAAGAAAACAGGAAGTAGAACACTAAATAAAGAGCAATACTGAAGATGAATCAGTGACTGAGAAACTAGTCACGCATAACACCAGTTCTTAGCTTTTGTGCTATTTCTATGGGCAATTCCCAGGACGGCGGTTTCGGGCCTAAACAAGAGAGAGCGGTTTACTCCTCCGTTGAATATACTTTTTCCATTATCAAATTTTCCCGTGGGATTCCAAAATACAATGCCCTGATAGGTTGTGATCTGCACCCCTAGGTCTCACATTTCAGCGATCCATGGCCTTAGTTCGGTCCGTTCAAGTTATCCAGCTGGTTTGTTTTCGAAATAAAGTTTTACCTGGGATCGGTGGGTCTTCTAGCAAACAGAGCAGAATCAAGGTCCTCTACACGGAACAGATCTAGGCATCCATCGCGTGATAATCAACGTGCATGGAAACTAGGGATATCGTACGAGTTTCCGCATTCAAAGGATCGAGGGACTGCGTCATGGATTCCAAATCGTGCAGCAAGAAGACGGAATTGAACAGGGAGTCAAACTAGCGTATGTCATCAAATGCTAACAAAATACCTTTATCTAGTATCTGTGCAGCTACTGGTGAATCGGCATTTGCGTGGACGGACGGGACGATCACTTCGGCATATATGCTGTTGTCGGAATTTCGGTCACTTGGCATATTAGCGTGCAATGCATCCCTGCAAGTCTCTAAATGAAATCCTAGGGCTGAATCGAGGCTTACGTCGCGTCCATCATCGAGCTGCCTATGAAATAAGGTGGGCCCTGATCCGCTCGAAGTAAACCCAAAATAGATACCGTTAGTAGCATTTCATATGACCTAAAACAGATAAACACCAATAAGAAAAGATCAAAAGTAATTCACAGTTAAGCCACGCCGCAGCTTACGACCAAACTTCCCGGCGAAGTACGTAGAATCGGCGGAGCAGATAAGAAGCCAAGAACTACAGAGTGGGGCGCCATCGTGCCTTCACGGTTGAACCTCGGTCCGCGCCAATAAAGATACACGATGGTCTACTTCTGGATACGATCGGCAGCGCCTACATACTACGATCATCTCAATAGCAGATTAAGACTCGAGCTTAATTTTTAGTTGCCTGAATTGACTTCTGGTACAATGTTCTCGGAGAGTACTCTCCGAGGGAGAGAATCGGTATTGGGAGAGGTTGAACGAGATTTGTATCTGTCTTCGGCGATCTCGTCGATTGTTGTACAATGAATAGATTCCGTAGGCTCATAATATCGAGTTTCTCTCACACCCTTGGTGTTATTGTAGAACATTATCTTGATCGTTACAAACAAAACATCTCTCTTCAATTTCTAGCTTTCTTTCCAAGCCTTTTATTCGAAACTTGGACTTGGTTCCCAAAAACTTGTTGGCTAAGTCAGGAGTTAATATCGATATATTTGAAGTTCTCTGGCACTGGGTACCCACCGACCACTGGAGCTTGAATTCATACAACCCTTTCTAAGCCTCGCTGAACGGCGTGTTTTAGAAGGTTTTGTGAATATATACAAGTTATACACCTTTTAGAAGTTGCAAAATCCAAAAATGCACCTTCGCACTACTTTGGCATGTCTTTTCATGCTCCAGGGGAGCCTTGCATTGGAGCTCCACGAACATGCAAAACGCGGCGCTGAAACGAACGCTACACTCTTTGCATACGGTACCAACAGCTCTGTGTGGCCAATCTCCTATAGCGTGGACGATGGTATGTGATTTCTCGAAAACTTTGAACTATTTATCGGAACCTCTCAAACAACTGCAAGGGATTACTGACCCTCTCATAAAACAACAGGCCTACTCTATGTTGCCGAGAACCCATCCAACGAAGAAGCCAATCTTACCCCTGTGACTTGGGACCTAGCCTCTATCACAGGTGAATGCTGGATAGCCAACGCGACAATGGTGAACGGCACCAACGCTGGATCGATGTATATTATGGATAAGGAGGACTATGCTGTTGGTATTTTGCCACAGACCCGAGCTGCATACACTAACGGGACTGTTTCTGGATTCGCGCTGTTCGCTACACAGCTGGTGTGGTGTATAACAATCATACTTTGCTTGAGGCGCAGTTCTGGGCGAAGGCGACGGACTATGATGGGGTTTATAGTTTGATGTGGACTTTGGACGATGATGAGCCGAATGGTGATTTTCCTGTTGTTGTTAAGGCGTCTGAGGATTCGACTTGAGGTGTATGCTGGGGATGTGCGTGCTAGAATGCGGCATGCTAGGATCACGGTCTTGTTGAAGCTTTGGTGAGAGGAAGGGTTGGGGAGGATGTAGGGGTGTTAAAGTAGATAGGTATATAGTCGTGAACGGGGTCACTTATATTTCCAACAATATGTCTTTATATACAAGAAGGTCTTCTAAAAAGAGTTTCACTCTAACCCTTGACAGGTACGCTGGATGGCTCAATATTCTGAGTCCCAGTTGCAGATGCGAGATCAAGATCGACATTCGACAAATTCCACTCCATACCAATGTAAGAATCGCTGATGAGTTTGACATTAACCCGAGCGATACCTTCAGTCGTGACAGAGCCTGATTCTGCTAGAGCAGCACCAGGGAACTTGACCAAAGAACGAACGGATAATGAGCGCGGCCCATTGTATTTAGAGGATCCTCCCTCGACACGTCCCTTGCCATGTCGGAGCTTGGAGGCGGAGGGCCACGACACTCGTTTCAAGCCGAGAAGATCACCATCACTGCCATCTGGACGAGCAACACTAACAATCAAAAAGTATCCCTCGGTCTGAGGCTTGGGGAATCGAGGGGCATAGATTCTGTATTCTTGGTTCGTGTGTGTGTTTCTTCGGATGAGCGAGACGTTCATTCCCTTGGGTGAAATGCCTTCAACTGAGATGGAGATGTTGGGTAACTGTGAAGCGGCACGGGTGAAGTGAGGAGGAAGATTGAGTTTCTTGACCAGCGCAGTGACGGAACCGGAAGGTTGTGAAGCCAGCGCTACCAAGGATGATGGGACACCATGAGGTTTCTCGGTCGGCACTCCTGGGAGGATAGACAATGGGTGATCTTCCGGCCAGCGGGCTGACTTGATGGATTGTAGCAGTCTCATGAACATATGGCAGGCAGGTATGTATCCTAGTTCCGCCATGACATCGATAGATGCTTGTATGACACGAATGCCTTGATCTAAGACTGATGTTTGATCACCAACATAGTCGGAGATTGGAAGATCAATCCGCGACATATACGCCTGTAGCAAGAGGAATGCCTTGACATGGGGATCCCACATGGGTAGATCACCCATAGATTCAATGGACAATGGTAGGTTCTGGGCGAGCTCTGCGTTAATAAGATCTTCGTTGTGACGAACAGGAAGCTCATCAAATTCAGTAGCGGAACACATCCAGCTAAGCACATCTTGGAAAGTGGGATCGCGCTTGGCATGGGAGACCAGGTAGCGGATAGTCTTGTGCGACAAGTAGTAGTAACTCATAATTTTGCCGAAGGGAGTGGAATCAACTTCCCCGGTGGCGGAATCCACAAGAACACAAGATGACTCCGCGAGATCGTCAAGCGACTTGTCAACCAATTCAACCATGAACTCTTGAGCAACCGCCTGGGCAGCCATTGTGTTCTGCTCTTCGGCTGAGATCTCAAGGCCGTAGTAGGATGGATTCTTGTGTAGACGACGGAAGAAAAAGGTCCAAGTGAGATAGTCAAGGGCGTCTTGCTTGGTCGTGATTGTGCCAGAGGAGACTTCGGCACCCAAGTGATTGTCGAGAACCTTATGCAGCGTAGACTCCACAGGGAAGCCAGTGTGTAAGAAGTGCTTATAGAATGCCTTTTTGGAATCTTGGGTGAAAATGCGGGCGATACCGGAGGTGTCGAATTGAGGACGACCAGCACGACCAAGCATTTGTAGCACATCTGTCAAATCCATATCGCGATAACCTTCAATCTTGGCGTCAAAGAACTGAGTACCCTTCACTACAACAAGGTGAGCTGGAAGGTTAACACCCCAAGCCAAAGTACTGGTCGCGACTAAAATCTGAATCTTGTTATTGGCGAAGAGTTCTTCGGAGAGTTGTCGGTCGGACTCGACCAAACCGGCGTGATGGAGACCAATACCAAAGCTTAGAGCCTCCCTCAGGGCGTCGTCCTTGACCCGCGTAAGATTCAGCTCCAGATCATCTTCAGACATGCGAACGAAGCGACGGGGGTTGTCTTCCATTCCGCAGTAGTTAATCAAATCTTTAGCAGTAAGACGAGTTTGTCGGCGAGAGGCAACGAAGACGATGACAGGCTTCTCAGGCGAGTGGTTTTTGATTGCGAGGAACGTTGGGCGATTCATGGACTGCATCAATGGACAGAAGCCACGCTGTTCTGGAAATCCGTCGATGAAGATTTCAAGGGGTACAGGACGAACGGAATGGCGGAAGTTGAAAAGACCTTCCTTAACACCAAGCCAGTTTCCTAGGTCGGATGCATTTGCGCAAGCAGTAGACATACCCATCAGACGGACAGAGCCTTTGGACTGAGAGGCAATGTAATTCATTCGAGACACAATAATTTCCAAAATAGGACCTCGATCGCCACCAAGCAAATGAATCTCATCGATGATCACAAGGCTAACTTTCCGGACGTAGTCTCTTGTTTGCCAGCTACGGGAGATACCGTCCCATTTCTCAGGGGTGGTGATAATGATGTCGGCATCACGAATGGTTCTTGTATCAGGTGTATTGTCACCAGTCAACTCGACAAGTTTCAATCCCATGGCAACGGTGAGTCGCTTGCGCCAATCTTGGACTCGTTCGCGAACAAGCGCCTTCATAGGAGCAATGTATACTACTTTGGAGCCGGGGTTCTCACGGAAAGCCCACCACATGGCCAACTCAGCGGCCACGGTCTTTCCACTACCAGTGGGAGACCCGAGGAGGACATTAGCTGACGTGTGATATAACAAGTGGAAAATCTGGGTCTGCATGGGATTGAAGAACGGGAAGCGTTGACCATAGAGTTCTTCAAGAATAGGATTTTGAAGAGCAGAGATGGGCAAGGGTTGAAGGTTCAACAGATCTGTATAAACGCTCTCGGTGTCTGGGCGAATCAGATGCTGGAAGGAAACAGGGCTAACTGTCTCCGCACCAAGCCAGCGATCGGAGATAACTCGGACATAAATTTGACTTGGGAGTGGGTCGGACAAGGGAATGGTGAAGTTAAGTTCGTGTTCATCGTAGAGCTTTTTACGACTCAGGATGAAATACTCATGATGGTAAATCTCGCTTGTCTCGGAGTTCTCAACCCAAACCCAGAACGACTCAGATGCGCCATGGTGGCGATCATTCCATGTGAATTCGGGATAGATTGATAGGCGAATGCGAAGGACATCGCGGTTCAGTGGGGCAATTTCAGTCTCAACGCTCAGGGTTGGAAAGTTATCTAGGAGCTTGGATAAGACCTTGCCCATCTTCTGGTTGTGAACGAGTTGGCCAATCTCTGCAGGTTCCATCTCTCGCATTGATTCAATAGAAGACGATGGGAGTTTCTCATCAAGATTGCGCAAGATTGGCTGAGGAAGATCAAATTGATGGAAAGGGTGATCAAAGGGCCAGATTTGTTTTTCAATAGACTTGCACAGCGACAACAGTACTTGGCATTGGTAGCCCCATCGGCGATTCAAGGCGATCATAAATAGGGAACGACAGATACGAGCTGCATTTTGAGCTACATAACCTGTATCGGAAACCAAGGCAAAATCTTCGAGCTTTGCTCGTGAAATATAAGATTGGAGCAAAATGTTTGTTTTGGCATGTGGGGAGTCGTTTCCACCTTCGACTTCAGTTTGAACAACCTCCTCTCGGAGGCGTTGGAGCTCCTTGGACTCTGTCTCGCGAGCTTGAATATTATCGAATTCACCGCTCATACTAATCATTTTGAGCACGTCCGCTTCGCCTGCGCGCGCACGCATCATCTCGTTGAATATTTCAATACTGCCCTGCAGGACATAGTATTGACTAGCAATACGCCCGACGTCTTTGGCTCTGAGATCTTCAGTCTTTTCATTGTAGATGATCATTTGGCTCTTCTGGAGAGTACGAGCAGCCTGGATAATTAAGGCACGGCGTCGCTGAACAAGCATCGGGTCATCTCGTAGTTCGGCGTATTCAATACCATAGTTGCGAGGCTCACGTTTCATGCGAACGAAGAGATATGAATAGCCAAGCCATTGTACAGCCTCAGGAACCGATGTGACGGTGCCGAGAGAAATTTCGGCATTGAGGTTGTCAACTAGTCGACTAGAGAAACGAGACTCGATGGGCTGTTGAGCTGTCACGGCCGACAAATAATGTTGCAGTTTATCCTGCGTGGTACAAATAAAGCCAATGCCGGTATCCTGGAACTGAGGACGGCCAGCACGACCGAAAATTTGCAAGACGTCGAGAATACTAAGATCGACAAACTTTCCTTCTTGCGCATTGTATAACTGCGTTCCCTTAATGACAACTGCTGCGGCAGGAAGATTGACACCCCATGCAAGTGTGGCTGTACAGCAAAGAACCTTGATGAGACCCTGAGAAAACATCCGTTCCATGAGATTGCGATCACTGCGACTCATACCAGCATGGTGAGCACCAAATCCACTGTTAAAGAGTTCTCGTAGCTCACGCGCACGGCACTGTTTCATATCACGGAGAGCGGATGAATAGTCCTCGTGCTCATGGCAGCTAAAAAGATCCTCGCAGCCATCCTCTGCAGCCAGCTGCTTCAACATACGTGCTGTCATGACAGTATCCTTCCGAGAATGCACAAAGACCATGATTTGATGACCTCTTTCCAGCATGGATCGCACCTTCTCATACGCGACAACATCTAGGTTCTCACGCGACTGCTTGGAGCCTGCTTTACCCTTGACACCAATGAAATGCTGTTCCAAAGGAACTGGTCGGAACGACGCATCGAAGAAGAATAAACCAGCCATCTTATTCACTCTTAAGAAATCGGCTACATCAACATAGTTGGGGAGAGTGGCAGAAAGACCGACGATGCGGATTAATGATTGCGTGCTTTCAACTTGTCGTTGGGTTCGAGCGACCAAGGATTCGATGACAGCACCACGTTCATCATGAAGCATGTGGACCTCATCAATAATAAGCAGCCTTACTTTTTGAACAAGCTCAGTGTCACCAGTACTCTTTCGAGTAACAACATCCCATTTTTCAGGGGTGGTGACAATGACTTGCGTGTCCACAATCTCACGCTTGGTTAACTGCATATCACCAGTCAATTCTCGGACGTGAACTCCCAGCCAAGCAAGCCGCTTGCCCAGCTTCTCCGTTACTTCGGCTGCCAATGCCTTCATGGGAGCGACGTAAACAATCTTGAAGTCATCCACTTGAACAACGAATTCAGTAGCATCAGGTTCATCTAATGGGTTGGGTGTGGTATTTTTTCCGATTGTGTTAAGAATAGTAAGCATGGCAGCATCAGTTTTACCAGCTCCAGTAGGGGCACAAATAAGCATGTTCTCGCTAGTCTTGTATGCAACATCATAAAGTAAACTCTGCATACGATTGAGACTTTTGTAGCCCTTGAATGTACCACGACAGAGGCCATCTAGTCCAGCAATCTCGACTAGTTTCTGGTTCCTTGCGAGTGTGCCTACTTTCGAAGCAGGGATTGCATATTCTTCGTACTTCTGTTCGACGAAATGTTCGCTACCGACAGGCAAACCATATTTGCGGCCGCTAGCTGAGAGAAGATTTCCGGAGGTATTTTGTTTAAAGACATGTGGGTATGCGGGTTCCCCTCGGGTTTGAGCGGCCATGAGCGGGGCATTCTTATGCTCGAAATTGCGCTGCCATAAAGCCTCCTCCCTTTCAGATTTTGTGAGAAGCTTTGAAGAAGCGAGTCCATCCGTCTGTGCCTCCACGCGTTGAGGTTTGTCCGACAAGATCTCCGTTCGGTGTGCAATCAGTTCAATGACCAGGTCGAGATCCTCAAACCCTACAATTTCGGCAAGAGACATCTGCAGTTCGCCATCATCGCTATCAGCTGCCAGAGTGGCAATTATTTGTTGGCTGAGCTCCGCCGCATCCATGCTTGATCGAGCTGCAACGCCTTGACATTTCTCTTCCAGCCAAAATCGGTCGTACGGTGAGCTTTGGGCGAAGGACGTTTCATTCAACTCTGCCAACTCTTCCTGATCATCGCTTGTCTCATCGTCCGAGCTGATAACATCCCAAACATCATCTATCGTTCCTGGGGAGGAGGAGGAGTCATCGAGGTCCAAATCCATATCACTTCCATATCCAGTCGTATCGTGGGGTAGGTCTTTCGGGAGCTTTAGATCGGCGATGGCCTGGCGCATGGCCGCTAGTTGGGTAAGCCACTGCGACTCTGTCGCTGCTATATTCTCCATGGCTGAAATCGGTAAGGCGGGGTATCAAAGGTGGTTATAGTGGAGTCAACAAGTGAAGGTAAGTAAAATCCCACTGATGATAAATTGGGGCGGTGTGGAGTTCTGCCTCAGGCCCTAGTGCGGAGACCCGCAGTGCCATCATCGCTTGTTATCAGGAGAGGGTTCAACCTGCATTATTTCTCAGCTGACCTCTTTCTGCTCTTATTCGGCCCCTCAACACTGCCACTTTACAGTCATCTTGCTTTAACTCTGCCGCCTAGTGCTCAGTAAAGCTATAAGACTTGCTGAGCGTTCTTCTCCATCTCTTGTCGTCACCGCCAATTGTGCCAAGCAACACGACTTCCCCGCCACTATGAAGATTCTCTATATGGGCGTACGTTGTTTTATGCTAACCGGGCCAAATGGGCTCTAAGCTGTCGCACTTTATATACTAACTACTCTCTCGGCTATAGGTTCTCCGGAACGATTCTCAGCCCGCTCTCCAACTTTGCGCCGAGAAAGACCTTAACTCGTAGGTACCCACTAGCCACAAATGCATCGTTCGAAATGACATCGCTAACAAAGAACTAGCTTTTCCCGTTTCACTCGCCAGAAGTACGTTACCGAGTCCTCCGATCTAACTATCGCCCCCAGCTTGCCCTCCCCATATTGACAACATGTTCGCCCTTTAGCTATGAGGAGTTCTTGATGCTCTTCACCCGCACGGTTGCCGAGCGAACGAAGCCCGGACAGCGACAGGACATTGAGGAGAAGGCATACACATTCCATGCATACGGCCGGTCTGAGGGCGTGGCTGGTGTGATCGTCACTGACGGCGACTACCCTGCCTTGGTCGCTCACCAGCTGCTATCTAAGATTGTGGACGAGTTCCTGGCCAAGCATCCTCGAACCTCCTGGTCGGATCCATCCCTGCGCGAGAACGCATGCCCTCTGCCGGCACTGAAGGAATATATCGTCAAATACCAAGACCCCAAGCAGGCCGACAGTATCATGAAGATTCAACAGGAGTTAGACGAGACCAAGATTGTGCTACACAAGACCGTACGTGCTGTGCTTTGGCGGGTTATACCAATAATTTCACGTATCAGTTGGCTAACATGTGTGTGTAGATTGAGAGCGTGCTGGAGCGTGGCGAGAAAATCGATTCATTGGTTCAGAAGAGTGACGGGTTGTCTGCCCAGAGTAAGATGTTCTATACCCAGGTACGTTGAGAGAACGATCGGCTTTTGGCATGTCTTCGGGATTCTGACTCGTTTGTTATAGGCCAAGAAACAGAACTCCTGCTGTATTTTGATGTAAATTGTCTTTCATTGTTGATGCGACCGTGAAGACGGCCCTTACTAGTTGCCCTCGGGTTCAACTTTACCCATGTAATCAAACTTGTCAAGGTAGCCTTGTCTATCCTTCCTACTAATCCATTTGAGTTACGCTTGCCTACGATGCTGTTAACTATCTCCTGTTTCTTGGTAGTTCCCTCTACGGTGGATGACTCGGATTTGCATTATTTTCAGCTGGTATCCGGAATTCTTTTAGTATTCCGAATAGAAGGCATCCAGAATTTGACTACTTGAGCCTCTTTCGTCATCAAGCAAAATAGTAATTAAAGAAAATGTTTACCCCGTGATTTGCTCGCCTGACTATGTACTAGGTGATCCATGGAACCAAGCAATGCTCACCCAGAACATTTGTAAATATCGACATGGTATTTATAGTAGTAATATATTATGCATTTCATTATCCATATCCGTTCTACTAGTACTAGTAGTAGGTACACGATACCTTTTCCAACCTAGAAGCTTAGAAGTACTAGTACTACTAGTACCCGATGCTAAATTTGGTTATGGTTCTAGGAGTGATGACCGCAACGGGTACCGGCGTAAGCCACTCGTAGTTGGTGCTAAGCCTATTATGATATCCGGATCCATGCAGCCATTGTCTGCGATCTTTATACTCTATTGAACAGTCTCAAGCCAAACTACCGCATCCCCGTCGTCATACTATCGAGCTACATAGAGAGACATATCCAGTCGCTGGGAACCGAAAACTGTCTTCAACATTAATCATTGCTAATATTCAAGTCAAAACATGGACGAGAATTCATCAAGCAAGCCCCCCAGTGAATTTCATCTTGGGAAAGCTCTTTACGAAATGATAAAAGATACTAGGCGCTCTCGTCGTGGAACAATATTCGTTCGTACTTCTCACGGCGCCGACATCAGATTTACCCACGAGAATGATCCTGGTTACCACGACAGAATAGCAAAAGATAAATTCAGCGCAAGTCTGGCTTCGATGAAAATAGCGCTCACTACCTTTGATCTGAAGCGTGAATTTCGCAACCCTAAAAAAAGGGCTGTCTGTGAAAGCAATATCCTGGAAAGCCTCGCTCTTATGGTCTATGGATCCAACATTATCGCAGGCGTTGGTGCTGGTGCTGGTGCTGGTGCTGGTGCTGGTGCTGGTGCTGGGTTCGATATCACCCGCAAACTTTGCTTGAAGATATTCAAAGGTAAAGACTCGAAGATTACCGAATATCCTGCCGACGACGACGAAAACTCCCTTTCTATCGGCAAAGATCGCCCCGATCAGTTCATTTGCGCTGGACCTGTTCTAAGTTGCCGGCGTGAAATTGTCCAACATGCCAAAGCAGCTCTTTTTATGATAAAAGAGCTCTGTATCTTCCACAAAGACCTATCTGAAGATATTATTCTGGAAGCACATCGCATCTTAACCTACAAAATAGATGGAAAAGCGACACCATGGGCGCAGTATAGCGGGTTCTATCGCACCGTCGATGTCAGTATGGGCTTGCATACGTTCACTACTCCTCTTTTGGTTCAATCAAAGATGAAAGAAATGATTCTTCGACTGGAAAGAGATATCCGACAAGCCAAAAAATTCAAAAAGCTCGATCCTGTTATGTTGGCAGCGAAGTATGCACATATATTTAACAACATCCGCCCATTCCTCAGGGCAAATGGACGTATTTCTCGTCTCATATTGAATTCATTGCTACTGAAATACGGGTATTATCTGATTTGTCTCGGAGAGGATAAGGAAAGCCGTAAAGACTACGTAGATGTTGTCTGCGCTGCGTTTCAACTTGAAGCCACTTCTGATGGTCGCGAAGAAGAAGAGAACCCGATGATGCATAGGGAGCTGGCAAGTCTGTTATTGCGGCAACAGCAAAATAGCATGTGTGCATTGTTGGATAAGCTTAGGCAATAAGGAAATGACTCGACGTGAAGTATAAAATCGCATGAATACTTATGAAAGAGCGTTTCAATTCCCAAAACAGAGAGAGATCAGAACTTGAAGAAAATGCGGAATATAATAAACATTGAAACGAATACAGACTATTCCAAAAGCTGTCTCAAGGTTCCTTATTAGTCTGATTCAATGTTACTGGGACAAACCTTTAGAGGCATTTATAAAAGCCCCTTGAGACGACATTTGAATAATATGTATCTTATAGAAGTGCCTAGTATCAATGCAGAGGATTGAGAGTAGTGCATGATGAGAGTGAATACCCTGGAGACTATTAAGCAGGTTCGCATTCAAGGTACTAGTATTAGGTTTCAATATATATACAGTCTTGAGTATCAACTTGCATGCCTAGCTCACCAATGATAATAGCGTTGTAATTTCGGGGCTGGAAGGGCCCGGGTTCTTACGGGTGGAGCATCATAGAAGCCCAGATAGAATCAATTGCGATAAAAGGAATTATTAGACGATCCAAGGAAACGCGCATGCCATTCACTGTACAAATAGGTTCCCATCAACTACAAAGGAGAAAGCTCTAACAGAAATTGACTAAGGTGAGGCTCATCACGGTCAGAGCACAGCCAATTAGAGAGGTGGCAAAAGACTGACCAGCCCCATTATTTGGAGTGGCCGTTTCGGTGCCATTCGCGCTTTCCGTAGCGGTTTCGGTACTCTGGGTAGGCGAGGAAGATGTTGTAGCATCACTGGTCGAGCCACCAACCCTTGTGCTTTCGGAGCTTCCTGGGGTAGTAGTAGCTGTTGTGGAAATTTTCGCACTGGCTGAAGGTCCCACTCCGCCGTCCTGGGGGTAGTCATAATTCAAACAAGAGTTGGTATCTTCATAGTCGCTCGAATAAGATGGTTGTGTTTTCCAGAGCTGATAAAGTGTGTCGTTACAAGGTATCCTGGGCGTATATGACAATCCGACAGATCCCAAATCAATCATGTTGGGTAGGTAAATACTGGATTGTGAGAACGTCAGCTAAGCAATAAAGACTCCTAAGACAGGGTTGCTAACCTATGTAATTCACCCCAGACATAGAAGTAGTTGGCGGTCTCAATAGTCGAATAAAAGTCGAGAGGCGAACTCATAGTATTCAGGGTGGCGCCCACAGTGGTCTTCCCTAAGGAGCCCAGGCTAACGCTACGAAATTATTAGTACATCAAGGCGGCGGGGAGTGTATATTGTATTAACAAAGGAGTACGGGAATTCGAACCTGGCGACACCACCATATACCTCAAGAGTCCCGTTTAGCGTGTGCAGTTTTGGGGCGTCGAAATCAAGCTTTTCGTCATATCCATCTTCCATGTTGATCCGTAATCCTTGATTGTGGTATAGCCCTACCGGCTCTATGTATCCGACAACTTCCAACTTGGGCAGCGATACGCTAAAATGAAAGATTATGTGAGCGGATGTTGCTTGTCTAGGGAGAGAGCACAAACCTTCGTACTGCCCCAGCTACTTCCAATTTATCTGCCTTCTCAAGCAATGGGAGATCAACGACTATGTAGGGAAATTTTCGTTCATCGCCATAGATTTGACAAGCCGGCGAACCACAGAACTGACACTGCACAGTGACCGTTCTAAGCGAGCTGAAGTCTGTACTGGAGAGGGTGTGAGATCAAAATTAAACCAAGCCCTGCTGAGTGTACTCATACCTTAGCCAACTTCCCTGAACGGATACATTGTCAGCCTCAGCCAACGATGCCAGGTCAGCATTTCCACTATTCGAAGTCTGGACCAGCTCGAGATCTCCCAAGGACTCTAGATTTGGGAGGCTGACATCGCCAGATGTGCCGAGGAGGTGGATATGGTCGATCTTTTCAAGATCCCGCATCTCGAACAGGGTCAACCAGTCCGCGCCTTCATCAACTGTAGATATATTTCCATTGAATGCAGTCACACTATTCAGGCTAAAGTTACCATCATACTCAGATTGAATGATAATATGGCCGTTTAGTGTCGTACATCCAGCGAATGCGTCTAGTTGGTCAGGCGTGTGTAGCTCAAGGACTGTTGCCAAACCCTCCCCTCCGCCGGTAGTAGTGTCACATGCCTTTGTATCAGCGCCTAGATAATTTTGGCGCATTAATAATAATAATCACATGGCAGTGCAAGTAAAATAAAATTACCAAGGCATGATGTTGATAATCCTAACGCGACTGCGAACAAGGCGTAAGAAACCCTCATTGCTGCTGATAAAGAACCAAGGGAAGCGCAACGGAAAGCAGGGAACTTAAATATTAAATATTAATAACACGATATCTGCCCATAAGCCGGAGGGGAATCGAGACCCTGAAACCAAGACAGCCTCACGCTTCACTAGACTGCAGCGGATGGTCTTGGCTGCCGCCGCATCTCTTGGTATTCCCCGTATCCGTTAGCGGGGAGTGCCGTATGGGGTGTCGTCCAGCGCCAAGATGAGACGGGTCGCTTGTGATTTGCGGGGTTTCAGGGACGCAGGGACCGTCTCTTGGCTCATCATTTGGTAATAAAAGGCGTTTCTGACACGGGCTGAGCAGTCTCTTTCTCGAATGTCACCTCATGCGTGCAACGAGGTCGTTCATTCGCCCCAAAAAATTCGCTCCTAATACTGAGCTGAATGTGGATTTGCTGTCGGCAATGCACTCCACAGGACGACTGAGGCTCTTGAGCAGAGAGACACATATATGGATAAGAATTTTGCACATCTAGTGCTGCGTAAATCGCACACTAAATCTTCGACACTCAGTTTAAAGGATTTGTAATTCCTTCTGTGAATTTAATATGGAAGACACGAAAGAGTGACCAGGATCAAATATGGTAGATGACGATTTTGGGACAAGAACCAATGCCAAGAAGAACGTTTGAATCTAGGTACATGCTCTATCAAGGTGATTTCAACTGCCCAGGTGGGCAATAGACTTGTCAAGATATACAATTGGGGGTAACTTGAATTGAAGGGGCCCGGCCGCGTGTGAAAACGTAAGGTTGACCTTGAGAAGTTCCAGATGGGATCAACAACCTGTTCTTCATTAGTTTATTCTTCATATCGCTACAGTTAACCCAATCATGATGGACATCTTCGTGCGGTGTTAAATGTAGAGAACGCTTTTCTAAGCTGTAGTGACGAAAAGCCGTGTGAATCTTGTAGTTCCCGCAACATTCGGGAGCCATGTTACTTTCCACCACGACGACACCTCACTAGGGTGCAACAGAATTCACAATTCGGTGACTACAAACCTGAATTCGAGCGGTTGTCACATTTCTTGCATCAAGAGGCGGTGGACTTGTTAAGGAGTTATCCAGGAAAGACTTTAGATGAAATCAGCAAGATGCCTGCGCCGACGGAAGTAGAGCTCAGGCATAGAAGTACGACTCAACTTGAATCCGCCCATAATCGGAATTAGCTGACTGTAGCTGTGTCTATCTAAGCCAACGCTGTTTTATTGTGCAAGATAGTCTCGGTACCGAAAGACCTGCATTCGCGGCCCGAGGCTGCCGTCGATCAAGATCTGTCTACTAGCAGATCTGGTCCACTTTAACAGATTGCTGACGACCTCAACGTGCTGTCCCTTACGGAGACTGATGGCGCCACTCTTGGACAAAACCAAAACTCACTAGCATACGATAAACATACCTGTAGGATATAAGTATAGATCGTTTCAAGCGAAAGGGTGACAATATTCCCCAAGATGAAGCATGCATGTTGACAACAGCTTCTGTGGGTTGAATCAATTTAGCTATTTATTTCGATATAAGGATTATACTAAGCTGCATGGCCCAGTAGATATTGCAGTCAAATGCAACATCAACAGCAAACTATCAAGTCACTTTCTGCACCTCGGATCACCATGGGCGCACTTTATAGCAAGGTAGACACTTCGACTTGCCCCATTCACATGGTATTGGGACGATCAATGCATTGACTGGCTAATTTATCTATTCCTGCAATATATCACAAGAGACTCTGTGTATATTGCATCCTGCGCGCAAAACGTGTAGGTAATATCCAAGCTACCCGCAGACTCTCCTCCCATGACTTTCAAAAAGGACAATGCCTCAATCCTTCGCCATGCAGGGACCTGTTCCATGCACTGTATCATTGCCTCCCTTTCATTCACGCCCTCTTCAATTTCGATTACCCGCGCAATAACCATGGCTGTAGAGACGCTATCCCAAGACGCCTCCCGTATAAATTGCCGTCGCAAAATGCTCAAAGTTGCACGACGAACAATAGGATCTCGGCATTTTGCTCCAATTATGTAGAGAACAGGAAGAAGTCCAATTTCAGGCGTGAAGGTCAATTTAGTTGAGCCGGAATATTGCTCGTGTGCTGCTGCTACTTCGGTTGCGAATGCGATGCATTGCTTGAATTGGGGCAAGAATTTGTCGTAGCTTGTTTCATCACCAGTTCCGCCACCACTGAGAATGATACATGCGACGGTATGTTGCAGGCGTAATAGGGACACGAGAGGGTAGGTCTCAGAGATTGACCGTGAGGCGTTATATTGTTGCAAGATTCTTTCAAAGCGAATCGACCAGCATTCTAAATCATTCAGAGTGGTGCCTTCTAGTGAAGAAGGGAGCGGTGGTATTGTACCCGTCGGTGACAGTTGTCGTTCTGTGCTGCGCAGTCTCATTACCCGAGTGAGGAGAATCTGGAGGTGGTCGGCAGCTTCGTCGAGGGACTGAAATATACTGTCGAAGAGCCCAAGTGGGGTCATCGATGTATTTTGAATTTCAGCTGGACTCCAGTCGACAAGAAACATGCCCGCCTGCATGTCAAGGCGGCGAATCTGGTATGTGGCCTCGCGGATAATACCCTGGACCCCGGAGGTTCGAGTGTAATCATAGGTATGGTTGTTGAATGTAGCGTTTTCAGTGTTTTGCGATAGAGCCAGGCCCCCACTCAGGTGCTTGAATGCTTGCGCATCGTCTCCAGCCAGATGATCAAAACAAGTGAAGAGATAACAGACTAACAGCGTGACTGCTGTTGTTTCAGCGCTGTCATCATTGTCAAGCTCCAGCAAAAGCTGAATCGCACGGTTATAATGAACCAACGGAGCCTTATCCACTGATTGGCCTTTCGATAAAGACAGCTGATGGGTCGGATGTATAGTAGAACGATCCAGGTACTTGCAGTGCATCATGGCCAGGGCAATGGCAGCATGTCGCACCGACGGTACTGTTTGGGCGAAAAGCATAAGGTTTCTCCGCCATGATTCGCAAGGGCGGTATTCATTCAGATGCTTGATTGAAACACACTCGAAAAAGTACATTGCTTCTGCATGTGCCGAACCTGTCATTGGCAAAACCATGAGAGATCCTAAATTCGGCCAAACGAGCTCATGGCGTTGGGAGTGCCATCGTCCGGCGTCGTCCGCACTGGTCGTCGCACACTGGTGGTAACTGGTGGATTTGTCTCCTCTGGGGGAGATTATCTTGTACGGTCGTTTTTGTTGAACAATATCGGCCTTCTCAGTATAGCCATCGCAAGTCCGACCAGTAGAAACGCATCTCGAGCATGATGGTTGAGAGAGATCGCATTTAACTCGCCTTATCCTGAGGAATGTCAGCTTCTGAGTCTTTGATTAATTGTTCTCCCTAGCGCAGAGCGAAGAGTGAAGACATACTTGCATGTCTTACAGCCTAGCCTTGACTTTGGAGCAAATTTGCGAGGACCTTTCCTCCATGCTTGATTGATGATCGCTGTGTTGGTCTTGTCCTTCATCGCATTCATTAGTGGGATGTGAGTTGGCTGATGTTTGAAGTGCACAATGTTCCGGAGAGAGAGAAATTCGACGCCACCACATCCACTTAGTTAATTATTGTATGCATCGGTTTCGGAGGTGACATGTTTGGTTGTGTCTTGATTGTTTGACCAGCTCCTAGAAACGGGGCATTTTAAACGGAGATTCGTAGTGGCGAGGGAGAATTGGAGAAGCAGCCTAAGATCCCCGGGACTAACCGCGCTAAGGACGGTAAAAGTGGGGTTTCTCTCGAGTTCTGATTGGGCTGTTCGTACAGGTGGAGCATATATTCGGAAGATGAGGCTGTACACTCATTTGCGATCTTGCCCTATAACCCACAAATAGGACCAGTTACGCAGTACGCCTTTTCTGGTTCAGCTAAATGGGACAGACCTACAGGTAAGAGTATTCATCTCAACTGGACCGTGGATCAAATCAAGCCCCTGACTTACAACTACATGCACAGGTGTAATATCCCGCCCCCAGGTTTGGACACCCGCGCGATACCTTCTAGTGATCAAGAGATGGCGATTGGCTGGTTCGTACAAGTGGAACAAGAATTCGTTCTCAGGAACAAAATGGGTCGCTGTAACGCAGCTGCCTGCAACAATTGTGAGATGTGATGTCACGTCTATTGCGATTCAGCGAGCATAAATAGCTCGGGCCTGTCCCGATTATATGAGGTCTTGCAGGCAGCTAAGAGGGAAACTCAACAAGCAGCCCTCCAGATTCACAATGACTCGAATCTCAGCTTTTCTTGTTCTCCTGAGCTTGGGGTTAAAAGCCCATGGCTTGTATACCCAGAGCATGGTTTATGGATTCAACGATGTAAGAACAGGACCTTTCAAATACACACTATGAAGATATTCCAAGCTGTCTGACAAACCAAATAGATTCAATCATCGCCAAACCTTACATGGACGCCATGCTTCGATCAATTCAATTGCTCTCGACTAGAAGTTCCTGTAGATTATTCAAACAGGAGTGTTGGCACGACGTCGATTGCCTTCATCAAGATGGCCGGAAAGAATGCCACTATAAGCTCTCCAAACATCGTAGTGATCCCCGGTAAGTTACAATTCTCATCGATAATAACACTCCTTGAATCTTGAACTATTAGACTAACTCTCTGCTAGGTGGACCTGGTAACTCGGGCGTCGATCTACTCCTCGGATTCCCAAGTCTCCTGGGCGAAATGTTTGGAGAGCAGTACAACTTCGTCTCGTTCGATCCCCGCGGGGTGAACAACAGCGGTCTATATTTAGACTGCTTTTCCGAGGATACAAATACAAGATCGGCTTTCAATCGACTGCACAGAACAGGTCAAACCAATATCTCATCAACATCATTTGAGGAACAATATTATTCGAGCTCTATCTATGGCGAATGGTGCAACGATGCAGTTGAGAAGAATTATTCTCATTCTTACTATGTCACTACGCCCGCAGTGGCTCGTGACTTGCTTACATTCACTGAGGCCGAGGCTAGGCTGACAGGACAGTCCCCATCACACGCCAAATTGTGGGCATATGGTGTGAGCTACGGCACTGTCATAGGTAGCACTTTCGCTTCTATGTTTCCTGATCGTGTTGGGAGGATGGTACTGGATGGTGTCCTCAATGCAGAGCAGTATTACGAAAACTATTGGACAGACAATGTCGATCAAATGGACGAGGCTATGGAGACATTCTCAAATTTCTGTCATTCTGCCGGGGTTGAGAGATGTTCGTTTTGGGGACCAACGCCTGCTAATATCACGGCGAGAATCGATGCCATCATCAGTCAGCTTTTAACCAGTCCAATCCCATTAAGTGGAGTTGAAGATTCTAGCCTGCCGACGATGGTTACATATTCAGATTTGAAGACTCTGTTTCTTAACACAATCTACCAGCCGATAGCACTGTTTCCCACCATGGCCGACATTTTACAGGATGTGGAGCGTGGAAATCCGTCTGCTCTTGCAGGCTTGTATGAGGAATCAGCACCAGTGACCGATGCTCGTCTTGCCATTACATGCATGGATTCGTTTGCGAGAAACAATCTTACAACCATTGATGAGTTCAGGGCGTGGTCCGAGTACACAAACTCTAAGAGCAAGTACATCGGTGATGTGTACCCCACTTTCTTAGAGGGTATCTTGTGTAGATCATTCCGACCGCAGTTACCTAATACCATGCTTGTTCAAGGTATGTACCGCTATCTTGTCATTTTGTCTTCCCCCAATAATCGGACATCTTCCGCAAGCCAGTTTATCATGTTAGTGGAAGAAAGATTCTAATCAAATATCATACAGGCGAGGTAAGTGCGCGTCATCCGCCTACCTCTTTCCCAATTCTCTTCGCAAGTAATACCATCGACCCTATCACACCATTGGAATCGTAAGTTACAAAATAATTCCACTCCGTGCGAATTCTCTATATTGTTAACGGCCGACTCTAACCCATCATAGGGCTCGGAAGATGTCTTCCCGTTTTGCTGGATCAGTAATCCTAAAGCAAGAGGCTGTCGGGGTAAGTTGACATGGATTCCAAACATAAAATGTCTTGATCTTGATGGTGGGCTTACTGGTGAATGTTTTCTTTCAATTTAGCATACGGTCATCTACCAGGGAGGCTCGGACTGTTACTTTGAGCACGTCCAGGCATATCTGCAAGGGACAATTCCATCCCCTAACACTACATGCCCACTACAGTACACTCCTTTCATAGATTCCTCTCTCCTTTAATGTTTCTCGGATGTTTTTCGACTCAAATTGGCTCAATTCCATGAAGCGGTGACCCGCGTCAAGCTATGGATTTGCAGTGCAATATTGCCAACTTGAAATTATAGTACAACTTGCATCATATTATATACTTACTGGCGTTCCGAACTCAAGCTCCGACACTCAAATTACCTTTCTTTAAATCAATTCGAATTTTTGGGTCCAAGTAGCCAGTTTGAAAGGTTATATGTGTCCAGCACTATGTGCTTCGATATTCCAAAGGCGAGAGAAGATGGGAAAATGGAAGATGATACATTTGGTGAGACTTTTGCCCCTGATTGTAATTTTTCTAAATGTGTTCTCTTTGCTGGAGCAATAAGGAATATTTGGGAGCTGGAAGAGCCGTTGAACTCTCTGAGCTTGACTGTGTAAGGCATGCGGCTATTCTGACGCCATTCGCCCCGGTACCAAGTCCAGATGTTTCTGTACTGTTCATTGCATATCTTTGAAGATATGGTTACTTTACCGAAATGTAATATCCAGGTAACGGCGGACAGCTGCTACTAGCTAACCGCTTCCACGTAAGTGGGGCATTCACAATGGCCCGTGCCCTCGGGAATACCCGACCCCGCGGCGAACACCGAAAACTCTAAGATAAAGTTCAAAGGTGCTACACGGGTAACGGGAAAAGGGCATTAGTGTTTCCAAGGTTGCTTGTGGCTGCTGACTGCATATACCCCTGGATATATTGGGAATTTTAGTTGCGGGTGATATGCAACTAGCCATGCTCTTGGCCCTAATTCTTTCTTATTCAATCTAGGTACCGGTCTTTCGCCCTCGAGCCACATATCCAGTCTACAAGTTGACACATGCGGCTTATCAGCCTCCGAGATTCAATCGAGTGATACCCCGGCCCTGTGTCGGAGGGACTCGGGAGAGTGAAAAAGAAAAAAAAAGATACACCGATCCACCTGTTCTTCAAATCCATGTTCCAACGTTGCCGAAAAACAGATGAGCAGCAGCGTGGCTTTGTGGCAGCCGCAGAACAGGTCAGAGGACGCGGAACAGAAGGGAATACGCTGATCTACATTTGGTTCAAGTTCCTGGTCATGCTCCAGGTAGACTCGCGGATTCGATAAAGGAGCAACAGCGTGTTATTGTGGCAGACAGCATCTAAGGGGGCCCTAGCAACCGTCGGGAGAAACTCCACTATTGCTTGTTCCAATTTGAGTGGACAGAAAACGACGATACCTGTACTACAATCACTTCAAGTTCTATTTAGGCCCCCAGACCTTCGGGATACCGCCGAGCAGTGGTATTAGAAGCTTCAATGCTGCTATCTTCAAATATTCTATCTTTAAGGTGTAGTTTTTCTGTCTTTTTGAATGAACTCTACTAGCATAATCTAAAATCTTTGAAAAAGAGACATTTTTCTATCTTCCTTTCCATACGTCTTTCCACTTGCTTTTCTATAGATATTGAGCTTGAACTTACAGTACAGGTACAGGTGTTATAGGCGGTAAATATTATCTATGGCCAGGCCAAGGTGGATTTCTTGATCGCTACACATTGACCCCCGTAAACGTCGGTTACGCAGAGCCGAAGAACGCTAATCCGCTTTTGGCCTGATACACAAATTTGATCACCACATGAGATATAGAAGAGCCAGTGAATGCACCGCAAGGGCTAACATGAATGACAAAAGTATTCTATTACCCTGTGCTTGTGTTTATTCTCCAAGCAGCTTCCTAATCGCTTAGTTGGACCAACCTAGCTTTCCACTACACTTCACTGCGGTTGGGGTTCCGTTTCATGAATAGCTGTCTCTATAGACATTTATCCTTGAAGAAAGTATAGAAGTACAAATTATAATGGAAACGTTAAAAAATAGCTAGGAGTCCTTTGAATTTGTCGCCTATGAATCCCAGCCTGCTGAAGCACATATAACTTGAGGCATTACCAAATTGGGCTAAGAAGAGTGAGTCAATTGGAAGGTGAATGTATCTCATCATGATACCTTACCAGGCTACATATACTGAGTAGCAATGCAACCCTTCCACTACTGCAAAAGATTTAGCTCATAGGGTATAGATATAGACAGAAGCGATCCAAGGTTGCTTATATATGAGGGGACCAGCCCGTCCATCATTCACCTCGTTCTTCATGCTCTTAAAACCACAATTCTCTTCGGATCTCAACCTTTGATTTCGCTTCACACCATACACATAATATTGCTTGGAACCGATCACCCCAACCAACATTCAAAACAAATTTTCGCAACGATGGCCAACCAAAGGCTTGATCCTAAAGGGCTTGATCCTGACGGTGTCCGGCAGGTGAACGAGTTCCTAGATGCGGCTGGCCCAGGGGCTGTTGAGGTAATGCTCAAAGCCGCACAAAGCGTCAAGACGAATCGTGCCGAGAGCAAAGCAGCAAAACAGAATGAAAAAAAGAAGCACCGAGTGGAGGAAAAGGCAACACTGCTGAACATCCCCATGAATGCGTCGATGACCGTTGCTTACCCTGTCATACGAAGACCAACTCATCCGACAAGACCAAAGCATCCGGCAAACCAAAATCACCTCATAGGGCCAAAGCATCCAGCAAGAAGTGAGATGTCTCCTTCACCCACCAACAGCTCTTTCTTCATCAGTTATCACGTTCTGGGCTGCTATGGGGAATAACGTGGAAAGGCAGAAAGTTGACGGCGTATGGGTTGAATTAGCTGAACTCGCCACTCCTATGATTAATGTTCGCCGTTTGAGATTCTAGTGAGATTCTAGTTATGAGAATGAGTCATTGACATTTTGCCAGCTTTTGCTTTGTTGAAGGTTATCGTAAGATGGTAGCCGAAGTGAGAGATTCAGCAGATGCGGTTACCCAAGGCGTACGGGGGACCATAGTGGCCCGTAGATAATAACCCCCTAGCCCGATATTAGCTTTTACCGCCTAGTATCCATCTGTACTGTAAGCTCTACTCAGACAGAAAGACAATGACAAAGAACAGTGGAAAGATAGATAGAGAAATATATTATTATGTTAGCAAGGTTATTTTAAAGAAACAGAAGTTATTTCATCTTCTAAAACAGTGTCTCCAGAAACCTTGGAAGTAGGTGCGAGGCTTGGTGTTACTGCATTACAGGTATCGTAGTTTTCTGCCGGCCTACAAATAGGGCAAAATGGGGGTTTCTTTCATGTGGCGGCTATGGTCCCCCGTAAGGGCGGAACGGTGAATGATAAATATGTCGTAGGCACTCATGGACCGTAGTTTCCTCCCTCATTCATCCATATGACTTCACAGAAAGATTATCTCCCAGCTGCTCATATTCCGCTTTTATCTCCATCTAGAGTATCTATTTCCCTTCATTAGTGATGGATACCAACGGGTTGATCAGTGGCGTTCATCACGCCGAAGCGTGGCTGTGGTGTGCAAAAACCCTCGACGCCTGGCTCAGCACAGAATTTTGTCCATGGGTATCGACTTTTCATCCCAGCAAACTCAGTTGTGAGAGAGAGCGTGGTTTCTATGGCGGCTCATTCAATATGGGGACGAAAGTGACTTTCAGTGATGGCAGTGCATGGTTGGTTCGTTTTGCACGCGGTGGAAACACTCGTGACGCGTATGTCGACGAGAAGGTCGCCATGGAAGTCATCGCTCTTGGTCTGCTCCGGAGCAAAACAACTATTCCGGTTCCAGAAGTGAAGGCATGGGGTAATGCCGCTAGCAACCCATTCGGTATAGGTCCTTTTATTATGATGGAGTTCATTGAAGGTGTCCGCCTCGCTACACTGGCGAAAGACCCCAATGTCGACAGTAGCAATGTACCCATGAGGGAGGATTTTCCTATGGAAAATATTGAAGCCGTCTACAAGCAAATGGCCAACTTCCTTCTCCAGATCTTTGAACTGGACTTTGATCGCATCGGGAGCCTTCAAGCGACATCTTCCGAATTCCAACATGATGCACCAGTGCGACCGTTGACATTTAAAGTGCACACAATTCTGCAAGACGGAGATGTTAACACCTTTGGTACGTAAATAAAACGCTGTTGCAATATTAGTGTGAATTCAATGGGCTAAACATTTCTTGTATAGGCGACCGAAGCCGAGGGTTTACGACAGCGACAGAGTACTTCTCATACGTGATCGACCAGGATTGGCAGCAGCTCATCAAGCAGCCAAACTCAGTTCCCGGCCCACTCTGTGCCAGGGACATGTACAAAGCGTTCTCGGCCATGAGAGAACTGATGCCCCAGTTGGTTCATCCGGAATATGACAGATCCAAATTCAAATTTATTTGCGATGACTTTGGCTTGGCCAACCTGATTGTTCGCAGTGAAGAGGACATGACCATTGTCGGAGTCATAGACCTTGAATGGTCATACATCGGGCCTGCTCAGATGTTAGCATCTGCACCGTGGTGGCTTCTTCTAGATCGACCTGTCAATCATGCATGGGACTATGATGAGGACGACGAGCCTCCCAAGATCATTGAGAGATACTTCAAACACCTGGACATTTTCACCCGCATCCTAGAAAAAGAGGAGGCAACGCGACCAGCTCACAAGGACAAAGAGTTTTCTCGCCTGCTAAAGTGGTCGCGCGAGTCTGGAGCAATGTGGCTGCATATTGCTGTGACATGTGCCGGCAATGATGATAGCAGCTTTATTTTTCGGTATCTGCGAGATTCTTTGGAGCCCCAGTGGACGGAACACACAGATCAAGTTGACGATGAAGAGATTGAAGCATTCAGAGAACTAAAGAAGAAAGAATTGGAGTTGTACAAGGAGGCTTATGAGGATATGCAGAAGAACCTCAAGCTGATGGAAGACGGCGTTATCACGAAGCTCGAGTTCGTTGAGAAATACTCGGCGAAATAATCTTGTTTTAACTGTTCGTATGAAAGCTTACCCATAACATTTTTATCACAGACCTGGGCGCATGAATGTGAAAATTTTTCAAAAATGGAAGTCAGACATCATACCTTAGCGTAGGAAGTAATCCCGCTTCTTAGAGGCCATCCGGCTTAAAAACTATTTTTCAGTAAGGACTTGCCAAAAGCTCACAAATTATTCTACAAGGTCTCAGTAAATTGGGTACTTGAGTGGTACCTGAACATCTTGAATATACTCACCCCCCTACAACATCAACTTCCAGCAAGATCTCCCCGCCAGCCTTGGGTCGGGAGGCGATCTGTGGGTCATTGTTGACTCTGCTGTTTTCCAACAGGGAGAATAATGATCTCCGAATGAGCAGATGTTAAAATATGTTCCACAGGAAAGAGACATAAGGAAGACACTGAGTGCAAGCTTCACGGTCAACATCTTGTTGCTCATACTGTCAGTTCGGTCAAACACAAACAGAATCTCTCGACGCTCGAGCGGTAGCTCAAACTTAGAAACAAGAGTTACCATCAATTCTTGCTGACCAGATATGATATTATGCGACTCGAGCAATGCGTGGGGGTTATCAAGGCCATCCGCCTTCACGACGGGGACGAAATCGCAATCCAAAAGGCCGTTGTCGTTCTGTGATTTGGTTTTGATATAGGCAGCCACCGAAGCTCGAGAATATTTAAACGGTGTACTCTCAATAGCTACAGAAGTTCCTACGAGTGAAGTATTTAAGGACTGACTTGGTGAGTAAGGCTTATGGATAGTGAATGTGTTCCCATCTGAGCATCTGTCGTAATAGAGACGCCTTGGATACCGGGGCCACGATGGCTATCATTGGCAGTACTCCGAGCATTCTCGACCATGCGGGAATAGCAAGGAGTGATGCAAGTTGGGAGTCTGTAGCGAATATCGCCCATCCGTGTATCTTATTTTAGCTGGCCAACGAAGGTGATCTTAATGGTGATTGATTTGTGTGCAGGAACCTTACCGATGCGAATGAGGAAGATGCCATCATGATTCCGACCGGAATTAGGGTCTCTCGTAGCTGCTGGTTGGTTTTCCGCAAAATGATCCGGATATATAATGTTGGCCTGATCTTTTGCTTTCACTTTGCTTTGAAAATTCCGGGTCCAGGTGGAACATTCAAAGCACACCACGCTCACACCATCTTGGAGGGGGAAGGAATGTTTGACTTCGTCCAAATTCTTATGCTCTGTGTTCTTGAAGCTTTGGGTGAGAGTTGTTCGCGATGCTGTTGAGATGGTGGTCGCGTGGGCGGTCAGAGCAAGTTGAGGCAAATAGGCTCCCCGGAAGTCAGGTCCATACCGACGTACGACATAGCAGCCACAAACTCCAAGCGTGATGGACTATATCCTGAGGTTCTGTCAGCAGAATACAATGTAAAGGATCAAACTTGATGGTGATGAGTGTGGATAATGGGCGGATCATAAGGAAGTTTGCGTGTGAGGAAGGATGTGAAAGGAGAGAACTTGAAGGTCTTTACGGAAGACTAGTAGGTTTCTGTGGGCAAAAGTTGAAACTAAACAACCTTGATATTTTGGGGCTAAATTGTTAAAATATTGAACGAAGTAATCTAAAAATACTTACTTCAAGTGATTGCCAATGCCCAAGGCTTTATAAATATTTGTTTCGTGGCCTAAACACTCATACACCTGGTAGACCCACTTCATGATATGCATACGGCGGCTCATAGCGCTCATGTTCAACACTGAATCGAAGCCTGGTAGTATCTGATTTCTATAGTAGGTCATAGGCAGAAATTAAAATATATAATTGAAGATAATCATTTAGCAACCTTTCAAGGTTCAACTATTGGAAAGTAATATATCTCAACTTGATTCCAACGTTGAGTTCTCTAGTGGAAGACATAGTACTGAAGATGGGGACACTTCAAGTTCAAGTTCAAGTTGGTCTTGAAGTTGAAAGAGAATTAGAGCAAACAAACGGACTGCCAGTGTCTGGCATGGGATCATTGGAAAAAGTTTACATGTTGTAGTGGGAAAATACTAGTAACTTGAATGCCCTGCTGGGAATACTATAAGTCAGCATTCTGTATATAATATGTGATTGGAGCATTCAAGCAACTCAGACCTGCTCTCCTTCGGATTCACCTACAGAGTCTATCTCATTATTCCTACTATCTCCCAGAGGACGATCCTGGTTCGCGGACAGGATACCCTCAGGATATCCGGATGGTGTGGGTGTTGTTTCCTTCTGATATATGTAGTTACAATATCGATCCATGGATTGTACTAGTAGTAGGATAATCCCGCATTACTGTGCTTGTATCATAGCCCCATGGATCTGTGCATCATGATATCTTCAAGGAAGGGCAGTTTCTCCATTGCCAGTGGCCTCAACTTTCAGATACATGTATAACTTGAAATTGCAACCGAGATATGGCCTTGTATAAAATTTTACCGCTTATTATGCAAATCTCCGCACTGCAAGGTCGTCATGGACAGAAAAAAACAAGTCAAAAGACGATTAGAAAGATGAATGGAGATATGTCTCCAGGTCTTTTCACAGGTGCATGAGATTACACTACCAACTTGAAGTTCATTTAAAGGTTATACCTCAAGGATATAACTGAAGACTGTACCTCCTACTGCCCAAGTTGGCGATATGACCAAGGGTCTATATGGGTTCTTACTGTAGTATAGCTACATGGAGGAGGTCGGCCGGCGGGCATGTTTGCATTTTTGGACGTTTGCTTGGTTTGACCCACCCTCGGATACAAACCAATCAGATGATTGGTCCGAGAGTGGGCTCCCTACCAATTGACATGTACGTAGTACAGCTCCCCTCTCCCTTCTTTCCTTTTCTTTAACGTTGTTATGAGTTGTTTTTGCACCCCTTTCTCCATTCCAGTAGAAGTGTAGGTACCCTATCACACTTACCCTCTGGGCGCTATGGTTCCCCATATTCAAGTTCATGGTTTATCAACACCACAGATTGTGTAGTACTCTGGTTATACTCACTTATTTCCTAGAAATCATCAGGTTCGAGTCATAAATCAGCCTTTTATCTCCTGTCGCAAAGTTCAAGCTTCACTACCCTCAAGGTATAAGACTGTTGAAGAGGACAAAGAATTTGCGAGGCCCTTTCAACATGAGAATAATAATCATTCGTGACATCAGTATGAATTTTCCAAAATGACTATAAACAAATATGTGGTAAAAGTTCAACTGAAGTGCAGTGACATGTAAACATCAACGCATTTCAATATACGGACCTTCCATCATGGAATTCCGCAACTCGCCTCCTTTGTAGGGCTTCTCGGGCCTTCCATGTGTAAACGATGAGGATGGGTGGAAGATATTGAAAACTATGACCGCAGGAGCTATCATGCCTCCATCAAGAGCAACAAAATAGCTTTGATGAGTGATCAGATAACCTGTCCAGCCTTGAAGAAGCTCGATTGTTCGATAAATGCTCCGGATATAGATCAAGACCACTGATGCCGTTGTAGCTATGAGCAGCCACCTCATCTCTTTGGTGAGCAAGTGTAAGAGATTCTGTCGAACCATTCGGCGAAGAAAGTCTGCTGCACAGGCAACAAATACTGTTATAGATAGCATTTGAAATATGATTCCAGTAACCATAATGTTGGTTCCTGGTTTGGTATCACCATTCGTCTCGGAAACAGCAACGGATGCCATTCCACCACCCACCGCTTGGACCAAGAGTGATATCACATCGCAGGTACAAAAGACCCACAAATATTGTTTTGGGGTAAGGAGGGATCTAACTCCAGCAAATTCAATAAATCGTCCGAGGATCACATAAATACCTGCCGTTACAAATGTAGGCGCTGGTAGCTCGAAAATCATGTTTTAGCTCATGGAGACGACATCACTTGGGTCAATAAAAATTCATACCGATAATTAATGTTGATATTTGCATAAGGAACGCATCTTTGTTATATGGGCAGACAGCTGACCAAGTTCGTCCAGCCCATCCGAGGAGTTCAACTAGAGTAAATGGATTCAAATTAGGATCTGCATAATGACGATCACTCCAGAAACTTGGACTTTCTAACCTAAAGCCCCAATTGCGAACAGATTCGTCCACCATGCTCTCTTCCAGCACGCTTGGATGATGTGCACTGTCATTGAGAGGCCAAAAATTGCGCTGAGCACAATTCCTGCTGCTAGTGATGGCTTGTAGCCATACTCGCCCTTAACACCATCCACCCAGGCTTGGCACGTTTCCGACTTTGAACTGCTGCTAGACATGGCTGATTCTGTTGTCTGTCCTGGCGAAAAGGAATGGAAGCCAGGAGAGTGCCATTGAGAAGAAAGCAAAAGAGAACAGAAATGTTGAGTTCACTAGAGATCCTGTTGTGTTGATCGGCGGGGTATTTATTTTGCCCACCACTCTCTGGCCCGATCACTCCATGCCCCTTTTTTTTTCAAATTAAACTTTGATAAACTGGGTCCCAAAACTCATGTTCGGCACACGGTTTGCTTCCTTTGATCCCACGAACACGTTGTACATACGTATCAGTGCTTTTGAAACACATAGTATTAGCTATCTTAATATTGTGACTTGTTTCGGTGTTTTCTTGACTATACACTAAGCGGAATCTCCCGAGACATGGCGATTGAGCCTTGACTGCTTTGGTTCGTAGTTTGTGATCTACATGGAGCTTTTAATGAGTGCCGGGCCAATCAATCGCGTGGATCGCGCTAGCAGTGGGGCATAAGGCGGATGACATAGCCATGTCCCCAACTCTACCCCTTTTTGAGCACGAGACATGACGCTAACCATCCAGTCAGGTTCATCACATTGAAACGATCGCGTAAAAATTCAGATGATCGTCCAATTTTAATGTCAGCCACCACGTAACAGGCTGAAATTTGAATTGGTTAGCATCCACCTATGATGGCTTCCAAGGTTAAAAGTGGAATACGAGCCTCAGAGTATAGTATAGCTACATAGAGGAGGTCGGCATGTTTGCATGTTTGGACGTTTGCTTGGTTTGACCCACTCTCGGATACAGACCAATCAGATGATTAGTCCGAGAATGGGCTTCCTACTGTACATGTTCATAGCATAGCTCTCTCTCTCTTCTTCCCTTTTCTTCAACATTATTATTCATTGTTTTACACACTTTCTCTTTCTCGGCAGAAACGTAAGTACCCTATCACACTTTTAATATGTCCCTTGAAGATGGTTTTCTCCCTGATTCTTCAGTCCAGGTGAGCGTTTTTTTTTAAAAAAGGAAAAAAAGAAAAAAAAAAAAGAATAGGCCTCTAGAACCTTTTACGACTTTAGCAATGCCTGATATGGTGCCCCTGCTACGGGAAAGTTGAATTTTCAGCCATCACAGCTCTCCGTCGCAAATCGGTCGGAAGTTCACGACGGTTACGTTGGCCGAATCTGTCCGCATCCTACACCAAGTGGCCATTGGGTTGTTTAAGTGCAATATTAATTCGGTCGTGTACTACTATGATCTGGGCTAGCGATACTGAAAAAATAATGCTTATATACCGAATACGCGCATGCCAAGAAACAAATCTGCACAAGCCACACGGGAACGGTTCTGACTTGTCTAACGCGTGGCTGGAAGATGCCCTTGACGCTATCAATGAAACTCGGTTCGGCATTTATGCCCTACTGACCATCCACAATCTAAACCGCCGATCATTGGCGATGATGGCACTAAAACATAGCAATCGTCGATTTCCTTGGGCTATACAAACCAAGATATCATTTGACTAAGCAAAGTCCCATCCATGGTCTGCATAAAGTTTATGTCTAGTGGTGACATCAAACCTCAACTGTCTACGTCTAATCAGATTGTGGGGGTCTTCGTTCAAGTGGAGCCCCAGATGCAGGGGAAGTGATCAAGCTCCGCCGGATATAGAAACTTGCTATCTTGATTTGAAGCGTAAGTCCATGGTACATTTCTTCCCGCAATTTCCACCACATAGGAAGAATGCGGAGTCAGAGTTCGCTGGCTCTCGCTCTCGTTCTCGCTCTACTTTATAACCAAGCTTTATTATCTGACAACCAAAGTTCTAATTACTTTATGAATTCTTGCAGCTGTAATGTTTCTCTCAAATTAAACCCAGGTTCACATTTTCCTCTCCAAAGTGGATCTCGTTTCTCCTATCCCGGAATAATACACGCCAGTTCTTTTTTCCATTTCTTACTGAGACCGGAAAACTGAATCCACCCTCTGATATGGCCAATAGCCTCGTGTAATTAAACGATAAAACTCTCCCAGAAGTCTCGATTTCCTATCTTTGAAATGATACTTGGTGTCTAGTGAGGTTTCTATTGTCAAAAGTGGTGACGTGAAATGGAAATAAAAATGTACTGAGGATATACTAATCGAGGTCCCAAATTTCGTGTTTCCGTAGGAAAAGTTTTAGTGAGAGTCAACTGACCTGAATAGATTACTCTAGAACAATGAAAGTCATACGGGGGTTCATCTATCATAGAATATATATTTCGGCTCTGCACACAGGCTCAACCAGATATTTATTCATCAGTTGCCCCCTGTGAATTTATTATTTTGTCCCGGCGTCCTTTCTGGAAACATCAATTCCAAAGATTTATTCACCATGAAGATCAGCAGTTGTGTATTGCTTGGAGCTACTTTTTGTCTTGTCCAAGGCCGACCATTTGTTAAGAAACGTGCAGTTAATGATGGTACATATCCACTCATCCCAAAAGAATTCCCTTGTTCTTTCTAGGAATTCCTGTGCTGATCATTTGTAATCGATAGCTGCTATTCTTAACTATGCCTTGACGCTTGAACATCTTGAGGCAACTTTCTATCAACAAGGCCTACAAAATTACTCACATGAGGCCTTTATGAACGCTGGGTTCCCGGACCCTTTCTATGCAAACTTACAGGAAGTTGCTTCAGATGAGCACACTCATGTGACTTTCTTAACTAGTGCGCTAAATGGTACGCGAGTACAAATTACAATACTTCTTACCAGGTACTGATGATCTGCTTGTAGCCGTGGGTTCTCCAGCAGTCGCGCAGTGCAACTATGCATTCCCAGCGACCGATCCAAAGAGTTTTGTTGCACTAGCCAATATTTTAGAGGGTATTTAAGCCCCATTATTATGTCAGTAAGGTGTTCAATAGATATGCTGACGCTTTCTGTCTAGGTGTCGGAGTTAGTGCTTACCTTGGGGCAGCTGCTTCGATCGCAAACAAGACATATCTTACCGCAGCAGGTAGTATCCTTACTGTCGAAGCTCGACACAATGCCTACCTTCGTGAAGCTCTAGGACAAGTCCCTTTTGCTCAGCCCTTCGATAATCCGCTTGATTTGAATGAGGTTTACACGCTTGCCTCGCCTTTCATTACTTCATGCCCTTCAACTAACCCGCAGCTTCCAGTGAAGGCTTTCCCTTCTCTGACAATGACACCTAGTGGGAATGTTATGAACGGATCCACAGCGACTTTGGTGACTGGTGCTGGTTTCAACGCCACGGGTAACTCCAATTTGTCGGCCGCGTTCATCACGGTCACCGGGCCTGTTTACGCACCACTTAAGTCCACTGGAAACAATCAATTCATCGTAACGATCCCCGAAGGGGTGGAGGGTCAGAGTTATATTGTCCTGACGAGTAGTATGAGTGGCGTGAGTGACGATAATATCGTGGCTGGTCCAGCCATAGTTGAAGTGATGGCGATGTGAGAAATTAAAATGTTTCTTCCCGTTGAGAATGTTGCTTGTTAAATACGGCTGGGTATTGAAATCATCTTGTTTGGCTGCCGCTGTACTGGGTTTTCTATTCCATCAAAATAATAAAATCTGATTTGTTTGGCCTGTTGAAATATCTATTAACAAATGAAGAATTGATCTCTTTTCGCCATCTTTTCTCTCTTGCTTCCAAACATTGTTACTTCCTCTGACTCGGTTGAAGTGTAGTGCCAAAATATTTGATATTCTACCCGTTACCATATTGAGGTAGGCTTCTCATATTTGAGGCCAAGTAATATTAGAACCACTGTCGCAGTTCATTACATAGCGCACATGAGTGTTTGGTGTAATCCCAAGACCCCATGCTATCCACTCAGGGGATTCAGGACTGTCAGAGTTAGGAATCGGAAAAATCCCGTTAAATTTTAACACACAATGGGTCAACCTACTCAAACTTTCATCACACAAGATGCCAGAAGAAATATCCTCTATGACGATCTTTTGGAACCAAAGCAAGCATAGCGTTATTATAACTATTCTTTGCGGTATTCATGCCGCAGACCTGGAAGCATGAGTTCAGGCAGATCTGGATAGTCGTCAGGGAGTTTTCTTTCATCTATGACTTTTTCAGCTCAAAATTCCTCTTTTTTAAAAGCCGATGTCTCAGTGAATGGGCTAATTTCAATGACACTGAGCCTTAAAATCCTTTGCAGCTCGAAGAATCCTGTGTTTCCTCGGAAAAGTCGCTTAATACATGCATGATGAGTGATTCAGACAGAACGAAGAGCTTTTACGATCACTATGGTTTTAAACCTAACATTGGTACCAATAAACTTAAACTACTAATGGAGGCGGAGTCAAAGGCGACAGATTCTTGTTCCAAACACGGGTGTGCGAGGATATTGCGCGCGAGGCACTTCATAGCGGAGCTACTTTGTAAGTGTGAGACTGCTCCTTTGGAATATCCACGCTCTTCCAAAGAAATACCTAAGCTCTTCAATTAAATCCCTATTTCTTGAAACCGGTGCGGATAGGTTGTAATCATCATGCGGCAATATGTGCCCGACACTACCATGTCCACTATGCAGCGAGGCCAGGTCACGCTCGCACAAGAAAAAAAAATAACTTCGATAAATAAATCAATCTCGATTCCGTCATTTGGTGGAACTATTCTCGGGGAAAATAAATATAAACAAACCCAATTAAAATTTATCAAGGAGACTGCTCCCATCAGAACATATCTTGGAAAAGTGAATGCGGAGAAGCTAGATACTTTTGGCAGAACCAAAGGAATTTGGACCCGCATCATGGGGCATTCCTTGTATTCACCGGCCCGCATTCAATTGGTGCGTACGTGGGGGACGGAGTACAGAGTACCAATTACCATATTTGGCTAGAAATGTTGATCTCAAGTGTTAATGCCGCTTCCGAGTTAGAAAGTATACGCATATTTCCAAAGCCAAATCAGTAGTGCTGTCTGTGGACGAAAGCGCGAATATCTAATCAATTGACTTTTTCGATTCGGTTTCACTATTGATCTTTCCTAAGAAAAATTCTCCACGCTCCCGGCTTATCATCCCATAATCCTGATTTTCCGTGGGAACTGTATGCTCCCAGAGGACCTTTCACCTGAATAGGTACTATGAGATTATGTTAAACGGCAAGCTCGACCCGACCACAGAAGCCTACAAAGGCGCATGCGAAGGAATGTTCCGGATCATGGAAATAAGATCATTCACTATGAAAGGAGCCTGAGGCTGTGGAATGAGCAGGTACTTTCAGAGCACGCAAGCAATCAGGAGGGAAAACATCCCAGTTATTCTTTGTCGCTGCTCCCAAGATATATAAAATGGAGATTGCATCCCTATTTTCAGCGTCAATATCTTCTATCCTTTTTGCTTTTTGTCTCACTGCCATAACATTATCGAACGGATTCTACAATTGCTTCTCCAAGATTCCAATCATCATATCCCTAGCCAATATATATTCCTTTCTTACCCCTCCACGATGAAAACAGCTTTTTACGTTACTGTGGGAGCCGCTGCCGCGGTTGCCCAGGCCCATGCGATTGCCAAGCGTGCCGTGACTGATGCCGATATCCTCAATTATGCCCTGACACTTGAGCACCTGGAGGCAACCTTCTACGCTGAGGGTCTCCAGAATTACACTAAGGCCGACTTTGTCAATGCTGGATACGCTGACTCATTCTACGACAACTTGATGACAGTTGCCGCAGATGAGAAGGCGCATGTCAAATTTCTAACTAGCGCTCTCGAAGGTACGATTAGCCTTGCATTGAAGTATCGAGATTTCCGAAACTAAGGCTGACATTTCACCAGCCGCTGGTGCTCCTGCTACTGCTGAGTGTACTTATGCTTTCCCGGCCACCGATGTAGACAGCTTTGTGGCCCTCGCCAACGTCCTTGAGGGGGTGGGTGTCAGCGCCTACCTCGGAGCGGCTGCTTCCATTGCGAACAAGGAGTACCTCACCGACGCGGGCTCTATCCTAACTGTTGAGGCCCGGCATAGCTCTTACCTCCGGGCTGCTGCTGGGGAGGTTCCCTTCCCCCAGCCTTTCGACAACCCTCTTGACTTTGATGAGGTCTACACTGTTGCATCTCCATTCATTGTGTCATGCCCTAACAGCAATCCTGCTCTGCCTGTCAAGGCATTCCCTTCTTTGACTAGTACTTCCCTCGGCACGCTTTTGCCAGGTTCCAAGGTCTCTCTCGCTACCGGAGAGGGTTTCATGGCTAAGGGAACTGTCTACGCCGCCTTCATCACTGTCACTGGTCCAATCTGGGCTATTGTCACTCCTTCTGATGCCGGCTATTCCGTTACAATCCCCCGTGGAGTCGCAGGTCAGAGTTATGTCGTACTTACCTCTTCCAATGATAAGGTCTCTGACGATAATATCATTGCTGGGCCTGCAATTCTCGAAGTATGTTAACAAAAATCTCCCTCTCCCATTGCGTTCTCTTAGCCGATTAGGATGATTAATCATTACTTCGTTCCGCAGATCGGTGAGAAGAATGGCCGTCTGTCCACTGACTGTACTGGTGGTAACAACAATACCTCGTCTTCTACCAAGTCCGCTCATGCTGGTGGTTCTGGACAGCCTACTGGGAAGCCCTCGCGTACCTCTCAAGCTAAGGTCTCATCCGTCCCTGGGGCCGGCCCATCCAGCTCAGCCTCAACAGTCCCTAGCGCTGGTGCCTTCTTCACTGGTGCTGCCTCAAGTGTAAAGCCTACCGCCGGCTTCCTTACTGTCGTGATGGGTGTTCTCTATCTTCTGTAAACGATTGGCTCGTCACCAAGCGAGTTTTATTCATCAGTTTATTTTTGCTACTTGCTGGACTCAATCAAGAACCTGGGCTACTCTGCAATATCTCCACGGATTCACTTGGGCCGACTATCCATTGTGCGAGTCGTCAAAGACACAACTTTGATTTCTGGCTCTACGGAGCGAGGGTTTGCTTGGTCAATGTGATGATCTTTTTTTGCCGTGAACTACAAGCACACGATGTATCTTTTTAAAAATAATGGTTGGAAAGTATGTGGTCGACACTTAATTTATCTGTCCTTGTTACCGGGAATTTATCAATTGCTCTGAAAACTTGCATGTTAATAGGCGACATCTGGGATGAGTCCATCATTTGACAGTCTGAGCTGAATCAAGGAAATTCTCATCTAAAGCACCGAAGTTAAATTGAATTGTAAAAGTACGTATCGTCCTTAGTGGTATTTAGGGTCAACTGGGCGTTGGCACGGACCCCGGGACTTAAGTCGGAACATTCCAGGATTTCCTTGATTGGTATGTTGTAGGAGCGAGACCGAGAGCGATGGCGGGAGCGAGACCGACAGCGATCTCTGCTCCATATATCCTGCTTTGGAATAGCTTACACGTTATTTGCTATCTATCACACTGCTGTATGGAAAGCTCAGGATTATAGACTTTCTTAGTTGAATAATGATTTGGAAGATTGGGGCTGTGGCAGGGACCGTGCTGTAAAAGGCCTGTCCGATTGTCCAATAGAGCAGGGGGTATTCTTGATGATTGGAGAGCTCTACTAAGGCTGGATATGGAAGTTGCTCGGGACTATTCCATGAGTTGTGTTACTTTGCAGCTACTTAAGCCCGTGATACCCCTATTGTATTCAATTACTTCTGCCACTTTCAGTCCTTATTGCCTAGCTCCACGTTTACCGCCATCATGCTGTTCAAGTCTGCTATCATTACATTGGCTACAATCGGCGCAGCTGTAGCCCAACGCCCATCAAACGAGTCTATCTGCGATTACTATACCACTGCTTTGTTAAAACAGAACAATGCCACCAACCAGTACACCCTTCTGACCCTGCTGGTCAACACTGTCGTCATCGGTAACTATACCCAACCGAACGTTGGTGTCAGCGTTCCTGGTATATTGAGCCCGAAGGGTATGTACAACGGCACAAAGGTCAATCTTATGCCATATTTCGACGGTGGTCTCGCTTCTAGCAACAATGGAAGCAAGATGGGTGTCGCGAAGAACTTCCTTGACGGAGGTGCCGCGGCCCCTCTGATGAAGAATATGCCTGCTGATGACAAGTCCTCGAATCAATAGTATGTTACTATCTGCGTTCTTTCCCAAGCTATTTACCAAAATGTCAAGCTGACCGCAATAAAGTAAATTGATGACCCATCTCTACCAGTTTTTCGGCAGCCTGCTTGGTTGCTCTGGTGTTGGCATGACCGGATTCTCCGCCTACTCTGGACACGCTAGCATGTATGAAGTTCACAAGTAAGTCGCGCTGAATTGCCTTGAGATCTGTGTGAATATTTAATGTACTCACACTCTTAAAAGATTCATGGTTCTCGATCCGTACGAGGTGGGCTACTTCATTGAGCAGGTTGGCCTGGCGGCTGCTTCATTTGGTGTGGCCAAAACAGATATCAACGCTGTCGTTGGAGTCCTGGAAAGTATGTTCGACTACCGTTGTGCACCCAAGAGTACCGCAATAAAATCCCAGGGCCTCCAATATCAGAGCATTTGCTCTGATGAGAAGTGCCCCCTTGCCATGAACTCTACTTGCGCAGCTCAGCCCTCCTTGAGCCAGCCTCTCGTCGCGAATTCAACTCTCGCCGGTGGTGAAGGTAGCAACAGCACATCAATGTCTGGAACTCCCACAAGCTCTATGTCTAGCTCGAATTCACCCAGTTCAACACCCAATGTTGCTGTTCAGTATACTCCTGAACTGACTGGTCTGTTTTCGGGAGCCTTACTCCTCTTGGCCCTTTGATTTTATTTTGTACACTACACAGGGCCCGAAGCTTAATTGTAATGATCAAAAACAAGGCCACGCTTATTAATTGCTAACGACGATCCGAAGAACAAGGTGCTAAAAGTACCTTGGATAGAGAGGCGAGCCTATACTATTCTATTAGAGATCACTTAAAAATATTAGTACGTCGCAAGGAGAGTATGATTCTTGCTCACCAAATTAACAACTAACCGATGGCGGGATGAGAATCCCTTTCTTGGTCTACTCACTATGAGCGCCCCCAGGATAAGCTTCATATGCTCGCCCCGACTACGTAGCTCGGCTTCTGCCACTGACGAACTTGTTTCGTAAGGTCCATGAAAGTGATCTTCGCGTTTTGGATGCGCAGCTGGCTTACATCCGCAGCTCGCTTACCGAATACATTATGTAATATATTGACACCTCACAAACGAGGCAGAAGGGAAACATTTCGGTTTCCCCCGAACCTCATCCAGGAGGATGGATTTGTTGGACTCTGCACGGTGCATTAAAACGACATATCTATCAATATTCAAGCTATAACTATCTGACCATATTGATATACCCTATATTCCCATGGCACCAGTCACCGACGCAGTTGATCAATACACGTCATCTGTTGTAAAATCGTGTGGTAGATGCCGCACCAGAAAAGTCAAAGTACGTGTTTGGGAGCCATGATTGCGAAGATTGCAATCATCTGATAAACGTAAACTAACATGATAAGTGCGATCTGAAAATACCCCAGTGCTCTGCCTGTGCAAGACACAATGAAACGTGTAACATCACTGATTATGTCGCTTACCCATATTCCGTAGTGGAGAAACTCCACGCGCGAGTGCAAGAGCTAGAGCAGAGATTACTTGGGCTCAGATCGACAAGCCCGGCTGCCAATGCCGCAGAGCCAATTCAACCGTCTACGATTAATCCACTGGGTCAACAGAGCACGACGAACCGACTCTTGTGGTCAGCGGATGTTACCAAGGAGGCCGAAGAAGTTGGCGTTTTAGCTATTGGGTTCCAGGATCCGTACTCACACACGAAATATGGTTAGTATCAGAGACACTTTATAGATGCCATGATATATCATGTGAGCCCAAATGATCTGGGCCTCTTCTATATAAGAGACCCCAGCTTCTGGCATGGGCTTCCTCTCCATCTCTCCATGCCTTCCATGCGGATGTCTTCTGTTGTCTAGCAGTTAAGGCTTCATTCAAGGGTTTCATAGCTACAGCTTTTATTATTACTAACTTTTGTCACAGTCGGAGCTGCGGCAGGATCTACTTTTGCTCGAATATTTTTCAAGCAAATAGGTCTAGACGGCACAGCAGAATACGACAGTAGATATCACGATACACATGATGCCGAGTTTCTCATTTCAAGAGCTGCTCTTCCGCAGCAAAATATTGCACTGACGTATATACCTGTGTACGTCGCACGGGTCCATACTTGTTGGCCATTTCTGTATCTCCCGAGTATAAGGTCATGCTTCCGTCGGATATATCAGAGCCCAAGGGAATGCACCGACTATGATAAGTTCATCGTTTTCATGATCATGGCTCTAGCATCCCGAGGGGTACATAATCAAAAATATTACTCGACTACAGTGGACTTGAATAACCCTACGGACTACTTTCAAACGGCACTTCATTTCTTTTCCAGGTTTCGTCCTGGACCTCGAGATTTTCAGGGACTACAAGCGAGTGTTCTCCTGACTATATGGATGCTACAATCTCAATCCTGCAACGATAGCAATGATCTGTGGCAAGTTACTCGGTATTCTATGTCAGTTGCTATTGAACTGGGTATTCATCGACATAATCCATCGTGGAACTTTACGTCGGAAGAACTTGAAATACGTAGGCGAACTTGGTGGACCATTTATAGCTTAGAAAGGTTAGTCATGAAACCCACTTTCTTGAACTATTCTCAGGATTTGTTTAACTCTGTCACAGATTGGTGGCACTGAATACTGGGCGTGTTCTCTCGATGCGAGATCAAGCGATCGATACGCCACTTCCTTCCCAAGGTCCTATTGACAGCCTATCTGCTCAAGAAGCTCAGGTGGCGAGTCTCTTTCATTCCAAGTCAATTTGGCCTTTTCTACACATGATTAAGCTCCGGCGCATGTCAGGTCAAATTTTAGAATCAATATACATAGCTCGAGCACAGAACGGGCATTGCTCATCAATATCCTTTCGTGAGCTATGCTCCATATCTGACGAGTTACATCGAGAGTTAGAGAAATGGAAAATTGAACTTGATGGCGCTGGCCTGGAAGGATCGCTAGAGTACAGATTCATGAAGATCGAATATTTCATCATGCTATTACACCTCAATCGTCCCTCACCGAGCTTCATGATTCCTTCACAAAACATGGTTACTATATGCTCTCATGCATCAAGTAGCTGTTTGAGTGAGTGGGAGGCCATTGTTGCTGATCATGGAATAATGGCGATTTGTCGATGCTATCGACAGTTTCATGACATCTTGATGGTGGGCCTCGCGCGCCTATACTGTGACTGGTAAGTCCGAGTCTTTTCTATTAGTTTATGGCTCAAACGCGGATGGGACAGCGTCTGACAAGAGATCATGTCAACTAGGCATATACAGAAAGTAGCACCACATTCAGTCATTACTCTTTGCTCTGAGGAGGCCGCCATATGTACAAGTCTCCTTGAACAGAGCATTACCGGTCTTCGCAACTCCTCACTCAACAAGTTCCTCAATCTTTTCAATATTTTGAGATCAAAGATATACAGCATTACCGACAACCATATGGATGTGGATCCCACTGGATCAGTTAATGCTATGAATACAACTAATTGGTCTTCGGAGAATACCCACCAACATTTATCCAACCCGCAGGCCGGGCTAACGACTCACTTGGCTTCTCTGGACAACAACAACAACGACGACGCGGAAGAGCTGCGACTTGGATCTGATGGCTTGAATGCATATCTGTCCCAAATTTCAAACATCTTTGACAATGAAACGCTTGATTCAGATGAGATGCTGACGGCATGGTACGGGTCTCTTTTGAATGATATTGGTGATTCGGGGGACCAACCAACAACTGGGTTGTAGCAAAAATTATATGGAACATGACCAAGAAAATAAATACAAATTGAAGAAAGGAGATATTTCTCCCTCAAACCCCCTACCAAAATCGGAGCTCAATATGTATATCTGAATCGAACATTTTCACGGTCGGTCAAGTCATCGATGTCGGCTTCGAACCCGGCAAGAACACGTTCGGAGCCCTGGTCTATCGTTCCGTGCAGTCTGTCTCGCTTTCGATTTTCGGACAAGCAAATGAAGAAATAAACAATTCCGGTTACTGCCATTATCGCGAAGCAGCAAAGCATTGCTCCAATACCAAGTGGATAGGTAGGCGACTGCGACTCCAAGAAAAATTGCGGTCCTATGATATTGCCAACCGCTGAGGTGATCTGGTTAGTGACTTGGCTAAATTAGTATAAAGTATACCAAATTAATTACTTACCATAAAATATTGCGATAGAGATTGACACAAAGCTTTTCTTTCCTGTTCCTGCAGTGTTGGAGGTCTGCAGGCTTAGTGCAAGAACCCAAGGTACATTATAAAATCCCATGATATAGACACCAGCCAGGGATGCATTACGATTGGCTTCCTGGTCAATGACGTGGACCATTATAGCTCCCGCCATGGCAACTAATGACGAGAATACCCAGAGCAGAGATCTGATGTTAGGTACATAGAATGTGAGCGCTGTGATAAGGGCTTGGGCTACCATTGCAACTGCAGCTTGGGGGGTAGCGAGCAAAGTTGTTTTTGCTTGTGAGAATCCATAGCCAGAGATAATCAACGGATTAAAATTGGTAATTCCAGCATTGGTGATGGCCTGTGCGATCACAAATATCATCAAGATATAGTATTTTGGGTCGGCCAGGGCGTCGATGATTTGATTCAATTTGATATTCTGGAGATTAAGTCAACACACGATTCCAGATAAAAAGACATTGTAGCGCATTGAATACCTTGTGCGATCCGAGTCCAGTCTGGTTCTCAGATACCCTAATAAGTGCAATCTTCTTCTCCTTTTCTGATAAGAACCATGCTGTTGCGGGACTATTCGGCAAGGTGAAAAAGACAGCCACGCCAGCTACTATCGTCACCGAGCCATAGATAAGGAAAATGTACTTTTAAATGTTAGCGATGAACACTGTATTATTCTCACAGAAAGTCAGAAACTCGCCCATACCTTCCAGGTTGCTAGACTTCCACTGATATGCCCAATCGCATAGCTCAGAATGCCTCCAAAAACACCAGCCAAAGTATTATACCAGAAGGCAGTACGCAACGGCTGCTCCTCTCGTCTATACCAGCGCGTATTCACGAGGAGAAGGCATGGCAATAGCGCCGCTTCGAAAGCCCCTAACAAAAATCTGATCGTGGCTAGTCCTGCAAAATTCTTGCAAGCGGCTAGCAAACAGAGGCATCCACCCCATGCTACAAGACAGCCGCCCATGTATCTTCCAATGGGGAATCTCGTGATCAGCCATAAATTAGGAAACTCCATTCCAAGATAACCAAAGTAGAATATGCTTCCAAGCCAGCTGTACTCCTGACCTTTTAGGTGTGTGTCTGTTTCCAGGCCGTATATCGCTGCATATGCCAATCCATTCTGACGAGTGTTAGAAATGACGAAAAATCAAAATTGCAGAAGGAAGTACCTTGTCTAAGAACGCCAGTGTCATTGAAAGCACAATCAGCGGCATTATGACCAGATCTATTTTCATCAAGACGCGCTTTGATTCAGCCTTGGGGATTTGGGTGTCGAGTTCCCCTTGCCGGAGATCGGCGACAATGTCATCTGCGACCGTGTCATGGCTTTTTGAGGGTTGCTTTGAGCGTGTCTCCATATTAAGAATATCGCAATGAAGACAACTGATCTATCGCGACCGGACGGTCAAGCTCCAAAGCCAAGTTACAGAGGCGTGCGCAGTAGGATGAAGGCCTCTTTGGAATCGCAGTGAGGACGTCTGGTCAGTGACAGATATTTTCTATCATGGAGATGGCTAACAGGGGCATTTTTAATCTAGAATCTCTTCCTCTCTCCCGAACTTTACATGCTGTCGTGATCGTCCCCGCATGCGTTTGACCTCTTGTAAGAGCCGTTCGATCTCCACTTCCGATAAGCCGCTCCTTAGTTTCGCTGTGTGCCGAGCAATTCTCGGTCAATTAGCCGGAATACTTCGTTTGATTGGATATGAACCAGCCACTTTTGAGCATAATTACCCCACATAGCTCGCGGCACCCCGAAATCAAGTGAATTTCGTGAATAGCATCCCGAAAGTGGAGTGGACTTCTTCTACGATAAGAATGCGCCACTCGCCAGGCTGATTGCGTGATAAATTCAAGTTGAAATAAATCTTCAATTATCGACTTGGTTTCACACATTGACGATATCTAAAATCGTTATGGCAGTCAATCGGACCGCGTCAGGGGCTTCGCATGCCGTAGTCCCAAACGAGAAAAACAAGCACATTTTAGTAAGTTTGCAAGGGAAATATACATATATCTTACATTAATCCATGATTTGGAATAATCTATCTAATCTTTACATTTATGCAGGTTGGGATGAGAGATGGAGTTACTGCAGAGTTCAAATTGGTACCCAAAAAGGATGCGGTTGTCTCTGTCTTTGACTCCAATTTCTTGATTGGTGATGGTATATGGGTATGACTCGGGCGCGCCCCATCAATATAAAATAGTGGCCAATCTGCTCACTATCAGACTACAGGAGGGAATCCGTGCAAAGAATGGTCGAATTCAATTCGCAAAGGAGCATATCGACAGGCTGTTTCAATCCGCCAAGGCAATGATGATGGACCTTGGTCTATCCAAAATACAACTGCTCAACCTCTTACATCGTACTGTCGACGCGAACAATATGTCAAATGAGCCACATGTACACATTCGACTTGTTGTGAGTCGAGGACTGAAGTCAACGCCATACCAAAACCCGACCGTGAATATCGGACTCCCTCTTATTGTCATCATCCCCGAGATTAAAGCCACGGATCCAAATGTCAAAAGCAAAGGTCTCAGGCTAGTCACTTCGCATATTCGTCGTGGACCTCCAGATGTCAAAGATGAGATGTGGAATCACATCTCCAAAGCGACCGATGTGCAGGCCTGCATCAGTGCCAATGTAGCCGGTGTTGATGAGGCTCTAATGCTTGACCTTAATGGCTTCGTGAAGACTTGCAACTCAACGAACTTCTTCATTGTCCGTAATGGAGAAGTGTGGGCCCCAACCAAGAACAACCAAATGCAGGGAATCACGCGTCAAAAGTCCATTGATGTTTGCCGAGCAAATGGGATTCCTATTCGCGAGTTGGACTTTACCTTAACGGAAGTCTACGGTGCTGACGAGGCCTTTTGTACTGGTACTTTTCCATCCCAGCTTCATGTAGTTGAAGTTGATGGGCGTCAGATTGGTGACGGGATGCGAGGTCCAGTGACGGAAAGAATTCAACAGTTGTACTCTGAGGCAGTGCAGCGGGATACAGAAAGATCCAGGTCGGAAATCGAGACTGAGGTTCAATCTCGAAATTTACGGTTATGAAATTCGGCTTAAAGTGATCCGAGTCCTGGTACAGGTTGTTGTGTTTCTGCAGTCTCGCGTTTCGGAGCTGTTGGATCTCTACCATTCTCAAAAGGTAGGATACATAGATTCAATCACCGAATCCTATGCCATCAAGAACAATGAGATCCGCCGGGCTATTACCCCGAGTATTATACGACATGTTGGAAGACAAAGTTCAAAGTCTGAGACGGGAAGTTCGGGTCGACCGTCACGCTTCAAGTCTAAAGGCGAAATGAAGGGATCTGAGAGGCTTTGAAACTTTGCATTTGAGATGAATGATGTGGACAGGCTGCGCGAAGAACATGACAACGAAAAGAAAATATACGGATATTAGAATTAAGCATAATAGTGCCGAGTTTGAATACTATTCGAAGTCGTCGATCTCGCTACACAGTATATAATGCATGGATATCTCACAGCAACCCCTTAGGACATCACATAACACCCCCAACTGGGCAGTAATACAAGATCCTTCCAAATTCTTGGATTATCTTTCAGTCCGATATTTTGACTTTGATCTCGCATTATTATGTGAGGAATTAATCAACCAGCATGAAAAGCCGAGGCTGGTTTTTGAGGCAGGCTGGGCGTGAAACAAAATTATGGAATTGGAATATCCGACACACCATCCATCAGACGCTGTGGATGTAGATCCAATGTACTAAGGCTGCAGCCGTTCCACCACGGCCTCCCGGCCATGAACACCTGCCAGTTGAGCTGGGGCCACCACGGACGTTAATCACCGGATTGCCATCGCAACTAGCTTTACAACAAGCAACATAAATCCAATATAGACATTTGGCCACGTAGGCTTGAAATCTTCGTCTTTCAGTCCGCGTAGGCCTCTCAACCTAGTGTAGGTGGGGGTGAGTACATTTGCCGGTTTGGCTGGTACGGTGGAAGAATGCTACGTTGGCGAATGAGACAAAAGCTTTCTTGAAGAAAGCAAATGTATACTATGGTATTTAATTATGAAAAGAGAATGCATTTTCTAGCAGACCGTCCCTGGCAACTCTACTCATTCACTGCTCGCACTCCGTGAAAAAGTCTGCGTTTCTGGTGTGCGCGCCGGTTTCAGAGTGAAGCCTCGCCCATATCGTTCCTTAAATTCGGCAGTCATTTCGCCTTCTATCACATCGCCTGAATTTGGTGTGGTGCCATCATTTGAGATAGGTACTTCACCCCTCACGTGACTAGTATTAATAGTAACGAGGTCTCGCGATAATTGCTGGATCGACTCGTCGCTCATATAGCCTCCCACTTGCCTGCTCCTCCAGCCCAAGCCCCGGTTCTTCCCGTGGAGAATCTTTCCATTTGTGGACACCATAAACTGCAGGGCGTCGCCAGTGCCGTGGTTTTCGATGATGCTGACGGTATCCTTTAAATGATTATCGGCTCGAGAGCAGATATCCAAGCACTGCCGAGCTGTTTCCCACTCATCGCGCAGCCTCGATAAATCCTGAGTATCCTCATCAGAGGAGGCCGTAGTCTTTGATTTGGCGAGAAGCCTATCCATGACATCTCGCATATGCTTTTCCAATTTAAAAGTCGTCGCAGTCAAGCTAATTTTGCATTCTCGTAGGCCCTCATTTGTGACCGATTCGGGTGAGGCTTCAGCTCCGCCTGATCCTCGAGATGAACCCGCCTCGTCGGATATCAGCTGAATCTGATCGATATGCCTCGACAACTGGGCGCAGATCTGAAGGCACTTCTCTGTACTCAGGCGCTCTTCTCTCAGCGAGCGCATCTCTCCTGCATCTGCTCCAGGCTGAGTCGTATCCTTCTCAACCAGTTCTGCCAGCTTCCTATCGATGCTTTCGAGTCGAGCTCCTAGGTCCTCTTTCGCATCTTGGATAAGACTCTCGTACTCCTCAATATTCTCAACAGCAGCCGCCGATAGACGCCTTGTGAATAATAAGCCCCAAAAGTCAGAAAGGGGCCCCACCAACAGAATAAGACGATGTCACAGCTAGAAGTGACTTACAAGTTTGCATCGGTTAAGGCAATATTGATCGTGGCTTTATATCCTGCCAGCAAGTCGCGGAAATCGTCAATATTATTACCCATAAATGTCAGCTTAGCCCAGTCACGGAAGATTGTCCGGTTACTGTTTGACCGCGATGCGCATTGAAGGACCACCTGCTGAAACTCTTTGCAAACATTACCACATCGCAATAGCGGTAGGTCCAACATTGAGAGATCGACACCAGAGTTCGATTTAACCAAGTCAACGAGGCCTGTCAGCACATCGCTAAGGGCTCCCAGCTCGCCGAGAAGGTCGCGCACACGCTTTGGATGGGAACGGAAGCTTTCCACTGTCTCATAAAGTGAAACACTGCATCGAAATGCAAACGTCGCTAAAGCAAGGATTCCAGAGGCCACTCCGATTGGTTCAGCCATATTGTTGTTCGTGTAGAGTAGAAGATAAAAAGTGGACGAAGAGATTTCTCGGAGCAGAGGAGGGGTATCAGTATTATAGAAAAGAGCACCAAGTGGCGTTGTAAGCGCCGGGTTCATCTTACATTGTTCTGAGATGAAGATTCCAAGGCGGTGGGGTCAGGTGGGGCGGCGGCTGCTCAAACAGGGCGTGGCGGGCGGGGTAGTACAAAGCGCGTAACTAAAGTGATGACAGTTCCTCATTTAAACTAACAGTTATCGAGAAGTTCGCCGATTAATCACTGAATGAGCCACTGTTTCGCCTATTTATAGAGCGCCCGGATCATCAAACTATGGACTCTTGAGTCTGCTAGTACACCACGTCTTGTTCTACTAATATGGAATATTGACGCAACATCGCCTCGGCCTGAGGAACGTGTTACGGATATATCACTCATATCACAGGGTTAGACCAAGTGGATATTGTTTTGTTCCAAGAAGTGCCAAAGCTAGCACTGCAGCAAATCTTAAAAGACGATCACGTTCGCAAATTCTGGCTCTCAAGCGAGTGTGGCAAAACGAAATAGGGCAAACAGTCCTTTATAACAATAACTTTGGGTCAAAGGCGCACTTTACTAGTAGCCAGGGGGTAGCGAATACTACTCTAGGACCTATTTGGAGAGCTAAATTCTCTAGCTATTTCACTAAAGACGCCCTCTGCTGTAATATCTTTGTTCCTTCGCTTAAGCAACCTCTCTCATCTATAAGATCTACCTCTATAATACAAAAACAGCTAACGAATGTTCACTTGTATTCTTTGCCTATAAAACCTTCCCACCCTCCGCAACAGATATCTATCGCTTCCTTTTTCCTCCACGTCGCAGGAAAAGGGCTAGTTGCGGGTGACTTCAACCCAGTTCTGGATGAGGATAGTAATTATCTAGAGAGAAGTGGCTTAACAGATGTCTGGAAATTTCTTCACCCCGGGGAACCCAGATTTAAATAGGGTTTAGCGGAGAACAACCATTCCCACCAAATAGGCTTGATAAAGTTGGAACTCTAGGACTGCGATCTCATAGTATTAAGACTTTGGAGCCGAGAAGACTGAGCGGGTCTTCAGGGCCTTCCGAAGACCGACCTTTGTGAGGTGATCGCCATGGTTTGGTCTACTGCTTTAGCCTGGCCAACGAATAAACATCTCGTACAACACCATGGCATACCGTGGACTGAATACGAATGGTATTTCTTTTCCATAACAGGTCAATGATTAACAATTCTGAGTACCGATAGCGAGGGGGCGATAAAGATTGAGTGCTCAGTGAGAGTTCACTCTAGTTAGGTGCTCAAGTCAGACTGTATCTACCAGTAAATTGAAAAATAAGTGCTAGAGATGGTGGACTTAACCGGTCAACAATTCCGACTCAATACACTACGCGGATGGTCTTAGAAGCTACCCGTAGTCGATTTGGAGTTTTCTGGCCCCCAACCTGAGTAGCTCATCTTCTGGTGTCCTAAAAAAAGGGGGATTCGATCAAACCAGTCGGGCCGGATAGCGAAATCTTCGTTTCTCCGGGATAATCCCAATTTTTGAACCTATGAATATATCAATATATGACCATGACGACGCGCTCGCCGTCAAATTCCTCAGGCCAGAGCCTCTATATCAAATCCAGCGTTACGGAAAAAGACACATCTGTCCGAGAGAGAGGAAGAGCCAAGATCTGGCGCAAGTGGGGTCACATTTCAGGGGCAGTCGATTTACATTTTGAAAATGTATGGGACCTCATCAACCCACACCTAAAGTATCAAAGATGGCAGATGAGGGCATTTTTGGCGACGTGTCAAGTCAAAACAGGAGACTCTTTCAATTATGAGCCACTGCCTCCCAGAGAACAAGCAACGTTTCGTCTCTTGACGATTCTTCCTGGAGAGGATCTTGAAGAGATACACTGCCAGCTTACTGTTGCCCTTATCCATAATGCCCAATACGAAGCTCTTTCATACTGTTGGGGGAATGACAAAGGCTTGCCTGCAATTATTTGTAATGGTGCGCGAATGAACGTCAGTCGTAGCTTGAAGCGAGCTTTAAAAGACCTTCGTTATACAGATCGCCCGAGAATTTTATGGGCAGATGCTGTCTGTATCAATCAAGGGGATCTTTTAGAGAAGGAAAGTCAAGTGAACCTGATGGGAGACATTTACCGACATGCACAACGTACCATAATACACATGCACATGACTATTGATACAATGAGCGTTGGGAGGTTCTTCCCCGTGTTACAGGAGCTACACCGTCTGTATCAATGCCTTTTGGCTGGGGAGATAGATCTGGTCACAATCGTTGACGCGGATGAACTGACGCCCAAGGGGTATGACAAAAGATTGCCCGCCCGTAGGATGTTATCCTTCATGGGCCCACTAACATGGCATTCATACTTCAGGCGTATGTGGATTCTTCAAGTTAGTTGACCTATAATAGTACAAATTCTCCCTCTCTATGCACTAGAAAAGGTTGGATGTTGCTTCAGAGTTCCAACTGACAATCTCGCAGGAGGTCGCGCTAGCTCAAAACGTTTCAGTATCCTATAATGGGCACGAATTTGAATGGGACTTATTCAAGGAAGCCATTGTGATGAAATCAGTCATTTTACTTGAAGAAAAAAAAGCAAAATTGCCTACTTCTTTGTACGATGTGTTCGTACTTCAGTTAATTGCAATGCGGGAGAATTTCCAAAAAGAATCGGCTGCCCAACATTTTGATCTATTGAGCCTTCTGCACTACACACGCGTCTTCAACTCTACAAATCCCCTAGATAAGGTTTACGGAATATTAGGTTTGACTAATTCCGACCTAGGGTCAATGAATCTGAGGCCCAACTATACTCGCCGTCCTGAAGACCTTTATGTCGATGTCGCTCTGGAGGTATTGAAAACATCCCCCAGCCTTGATATCCTGTCGATTACAGTTCACCCTCAAGCCACAGCTAGCATTGATAACTATCCACTTCCATCATGGGTTCCCGACTGGAGCAACTCTTTATACTACCCACGCTCGCTAGTCTTTCGCAAAACAAAAAGAAGTGTCTATGAATTCCCGCCGTATAATGCCTCAAAGGATTATGTGTACAGTTTCAGTCTCCCACCTGGCAATTTCCGTGAAAGGCTGCTAGTCCGAGGCTGCTTCCTTGATACAATTTCGGAGCTGACTACGATATTTCGCCCGACATGGAATATAGCCGACGATTATGGCGATCACAAAATACGGAGGCATTCTAATATCCTAAAGCTTCCATACGAGCTGGGTGCTTTATTCTTCACAACCGTTGCTCGTGGAACGAGAGAAGGGATTGAAAAGAAAAAACTGCGAGACTTTTTCAAAAATATTTCGGGCGAGCGGAGTACTTACAGCCCCACAAATGAGCCAATTCAACTTGCTCAGATGCGGACTTTATGCTCCGGCAGTTTACCATTCGACGATGAGACCAGATCTCTCATAGCATTCAAAAACTGGTTGAAGACCGACTTCGGAATAGAACACGACATTCGATACGAGCTGGCGGAGGTCGGTCTCCATGTTCCTTATTCAGGTATGCGTCCAGATGTCTTGTTTGAAGAGCTGTGTTGTATGGTACTGGGTCGACGGTTACTATGGACTCAAAGCGGGTATCTCGGCCTCGCACCACCAGGCGCTAAGAAGAGCGACAATGTTGTGATTCTTGAGGGCAGCCGCGTGCCCTTTATATTGAGAAAGGTTGATGGTGGATTTTGGAAGGTTATTGGCGAATGCTATATTCACGGGATCATGTATGGCGAGGCCTTCGATAGTCAAAAATGCATGAAGATCATTCTTGTTTGATGAAGCAGTGATCAATATGGGTAAGCTAGCAATATAAATGATCTTTTAAAGGCTAATGTGGGTATTTCGAGGCGGTCGTTGGTATGCAATACGACCCTACCGCGTTGACTCAACTTGAAGCCCTTGGGCTGTCATGAGAAAGAAAGGAGACGCGATGGTAAGTGGGCTGGGCAAATGAAATAATCTAGATCCAGCTAGAAGAGGGAAGAAATGATGCATTCCGGGACCAATTGATATATCTTCCCTACTATGCCTATGATAGCCAACATAATCTACAATATGTCATGATCACGATTACTTTGCAGGGAGGCCGTGGCTTGCCGTTATGGAGTCATTGGGGTCTGATGATAAATGGCTGTAGAATTCATTGATATTCTTAGAGTTGAACACAGGAAATGTGGAAAGATTGGATGGGGGTCACTTAGGCATTATGAAATGGACTTAAAGTCTAATTCTAGGGTCACATTACATTCCATATCCCGAATGAGGACTGGGAAAGACGTTTGTATACAATCTAATTACCATATTTTCACAATTACTGCGAATTCAAGTACTTGCTGTATAAGCCTACCTCTAATAAAACTCCTCTAACCAGACTGAGGCGTTTTTAAATCTTCAACTCGAAGCTGGCCAATACTCCATCCCTGTCTTTGCAGCTTCTTTGCAAGAGCTCCCAAGTTCCATTCAGGCCCCCGTTAGATCATCTTTTTCCTCTTCTTTTTGCTTCTTCGCCAACTTCCGTCTTCGAATGTCTTTGAGTAAAAATACAAGGGCGAGAACAGAGCCAAATGCCGTCAATCCGACAGAAAACCAGAGGGTACCCCGGTAACCATAAAGTAAGTCTGCCTTGGTCTTACCGCCATTATTTATCTGAAGTTCAATGGTACCAGCAAAACCAAGACCTAGCGATATACTGTAGACGACAATCGTCATAATCACACTGGATCCCATACCCTGGTACGCCCTAGGGACTGCGTTCGAGAAGATGATCGTAGCAGCAGGCAACGATGAATCCATTGCAAAAGTGGCGATTATGGTGCCGAAAAAGAAGTAGGTCCAGTACGTCGATTGTACCGGTCGCAAGGCCATGAGAAGGGAAGTTAGAAAGTAGCAAAGCATCGCAAACAGCATGATGAACGAAGCGGGAACTTTGTTAATTACTTTTCCAACGACTACTGCTGTTGATATGCCGGTGATGACTACTGGGGAAAGCCATGCGCCCAGTTGTATGGGAGTTTGGCCACCGACATTGAGGCATATTCGGATGACGTAGAAAAGCTAGACACATCGTTAGTTTCACATAGTTTTGTGATAGTAAATGGGTACTTACCCATATTCCAAACGTGGACCAGCCCGCTGCCGTACAAGCAAAGACGAAGGCAATGTCGGAAGTGAGGATGGCGACAGGTAATATTGGATAGCGAGCCACCCGAAATTCGATGTAAAAGAATGCCGCCATGAACAAGAAACTGAGGATCAGGCATACATAGACATAAGGTTCGTCCCACGTAGTGACCAGGCTCTGATTCCAGGAAAAATTGAAAAGAACCAGAGTTATGACACCACTTGCACCTCCCAAGATATCAAGGCGATCAAAAGTTTCACGAATTGTTCGTGGTTGCTTCTGTTCATTCTCATCAGGAATGTTTGGGATTGCAATGATAGAGAGGACGAAGAGAAAGGCAACTCCCAAAGCCTGACTCCAGTAGATCCATGGCCACCAAGCCATGGCAAATAGGGGCCCAAAGAGGAGACCTGCCATCGCACCGACCGGGGCTGATGCAGCAAACCACGCGAATCCCATATTTCGAGGCCCCTGGGAGAAGCATTTTCCCATTATAGCCAGTGCATTAGGCACAGTCAAGGCGGGGCCAAGTCCTTGCAAGACGCGAGCAAGGATGTAGACGGGGTAGCTGGAGTAGACAGAGACTCCTGCCATCATGCTAGTTAGAGCCAGCCAGCCCATCCCGATAAGGAAAATTGCCTTATTGCCAAACTCGTCACCCAGCCGTCCTCCGATCAAGACAAATGTTCCTAAAGTCAAACCGTAGCCAGATATTGCCCACGAGAGTTTACCAGGCTCGGTGACACCAAAGAAGTCTCCGATTATTTCGAGCGTCGTGAGGCTGTTGCATAGGCCCATCTGATTGGTGAACATGGATGAACACACCGTCGCTATGAAAATTATTCGCCGAATCAAGTTGTAGCCATCAGCAATGTAGACGTATTCATCTTCCGTGGTCTGTGCGGAACCTATACCTGAATCTGTATCAGTTAATCAACGCGTTTAAAGGGCCTCTACCTCGCTTTTGCAGGATCCTTTTGAGATTTACTTACCATCACCAGGCCTCAATGGTGGAATTTCGGAATGATCATGGTGCGATGCAGCTTCCTGCCCTTCTAGCATTGGGAATAGAATTCAATTTTAGTTGACTGTAGTGATCTGAGAAAGGGTTGGGGATAAAAGAAATAGAATTAATTCAATTCAATATTTTGAAGATGAGGAGAGGGAAAAAGTAAAGAGGTTGCCATTAAGCCAATCTCTTTAAAAGTGCAATGCGGTCTCATTGTTTTCTTTGATGCTGTTCGCATCTCGATTTGTCAGGATCCTTTGGTAAATGTTTCCGGGGTACCAGTACAACACTGTCTACAGTAAAATCAAAAGTCTCCGTTGTCCCGATCTCCGACTCCTTACATAAACCCTCCCTTATCTACTACAAATCAGATTCACACATTTTTTTGGGATATGGCCCCGGGGTCCAATTCAATCTGACTCAAAATGTAACAAAAATCAATTGATCTCTATTTGCCATGTTCGATTACCACGAATTTTTAATATACTAGCCTTGTGGAGCGAATGGACTGGTCCAACTAACCATACCCTAGATCCTTCCATGCATCCTCAATTGCATCATTGAGGGAGAAGATTCATAGACTTTACTTTCCTTTATCGGTCACAATCGAACCTTGCACGTCGTGTCGCGTAGCCGGGAATACAAATGGAAACTAACGTCCTGCCACCGTACGGGGTATATTGAAACTGTATTGTTGGCATACTTGGAGACACACTAACACCACACTTGAAAGATATTCTATTATTTACGAAGGCTACAGCCGAGCACTAACAAGAGGCTACCAGAATTCATGGATTATCAAAAATGCGATTGAATATCGTGGTCATCACTAGATGGAGTCACCCGCACACGATCTCCGACCGGACCGAGCCTTAGGGCAAATCGAAACTATAGTGGGATCCACCCAATTTTACGCAGGGTCTGAGGACGCGTCACCTCCATAGATCAGGTTGTCGCCGCTTAAGCGGATTGATTCCATGACGCCGTAATCTTCCCATGGTCAAAACTTTTTTCCAAGTATATTGCTTTAGAAGCGTGAAGCACAGAGTAATTGCCAAGTATCTACCCATCCCTCGCGCCCCAAACGTCACGGTATTCATCTTCAGGCGAAGGTTTGCGAGGGCCTTGTTTGCGGAAAGCATCGAGCCAACTAAACAGCGCTTTAGTCGCTGATCATGATCTCGAAAGTACTATTGTGGCTAACGACATGTGCCTTAAATAGTAGGGCTGAGTAAACGAGGTGCCCTGTTGTCCACGCCCTTGGCCTGATATGAATGTTCTGGAGGAATGGAAGAATATTATGATATTGGATGTTGTTTACATTCTATTTAGACAAGTGGGTTGAATATGTATTCATCAACGTCACCGTATGCATCAGTCATCTCCTCATGCACGACAAGATCATCGCAATAGCACTGAATGCTATCGAAGCATTCGCGACGAATCCCAGGCCAACTCATACCACGTGCCCATGAAGATGTGCCCAAGCCACAAAGGCTCGGCTTCTTCTTTGATCTGACGACAAGTACGCAGAATGGCAAGGGAATGAGGCGCGGGGCTAATTGTTATCTTATGATTCACGTCGATGTCCGTTTCGCCGAATGTGAGTCTGGTTGAAGAAAAGAGATAGATCCATATCATAATGCGGATTTCAGTTGGAAGTCGCAAAATACCAAGTAGTGGTTTACGAGGGGGTTTTTTGGACTTTCGCTTCGGAGCACGCGATAGCGGCTGAGGGTTATTGCCCTTCACTTGTGATATCCGGAGCACCAGATAAAGGGATCTGGAGTCCATCCGATGGGCTTTTCATCGGTGAGATAAAAGCAAGTAGAACAGCCGTGATTTGGTTTGTTGCAATATGAACAATTGCAAAAAAACCAACAATCATGTCGCGTCTCCCTTACCCCATAACTGATAAGGTTCGCCTATCGATATTATGCTTATCTCTTATCTCTCATCTATTGGGCTACGGAGAATCAAGGAGGATCAAGGAAGACTAAGAAGGAATAAGAAGGAATGAGGGGATCTGACACATTAAGAATAAAATATGGACCGTCTTGAAATGTCCCTCTCAACAATCATAATACAATACTTCTATATTTCATCATGCGGCTGCGAATCTCTGCCGTGAATACGTGTAATGATTAAGATTTACAAGCCCCAGTCGAGTTCAAGTTTGTCAAGTTATAGACCTCGGAGGCCTAAGTAATGAATCCCTAAGTAATGAATCATGCAGCCTTTTCTACAAAACAGCATACTATTGGTATGGGGTATGCTCCTCCAGGGCTGTAATTCTATCTTCGCCGGTTCAAGTTATTCCGATATTATAAGGTATATATTGAAGTTGAGTGTAAATACAATTACTTGAAGAACTTCAACCTTCCAAGGTTGAAAAGTTGCCCAGGTGGCCTCGAAGTTTTCAACTCAAATTGAGGCTCTCCCTCGCATTTGGCTAATTTCAACTCACGGTGTATCTGGATTTAGTTCCCTCCTATAAATCTGGCCATCCCTTTACTCTGCTGCATATTTTCCAAGGAATTCCATAGAGTGGGGCATGGTCCCGCCTGATTGTATTTTCAGCCAACCACCAGCCGCGCCAGACGATGACCTTACCGCATTAGGTTAGTTTCTTGTCATCAAGCAGAGAGGGCCTTAATTCCTTCTCAGCCGCGCGGAATTAAGGACATAACGGATTCCCCAAGTTTATAAATATATGGCAGCACGGCTTACTTCTTGAGCATTTAATTTAATTCTTCTTCACTACCTCTCAAATACACCCGAACTGTTTTTTGTGATCAAAGTCCTCCAATATGCATCTGATCCTTACCGGTGCGACCGGCCTAGTCGGCTCTGCCGTGCTGGATGCCATGCTCAACAACAGCGCCATCTCCAAAATCTCAATTTTGAGCAGAAGACCAGTACAGATGGCAGAGGATGCAAAGGACCCACGAGTAAACTTCATCAGTCACAAAGACTTCGAATCATATTCACCAGAGTTACTTGAGCAATTGAAAGATGCCGACGGTTGTGTTTGGGCCCTGGGAACGAGTCAAAACAACGTGAACAAAGAGTATGAACGACCTCCCTTTATGAATTATGTCAACGACAAAATTTGAAGTCTAACCCTGAGCAGACAATATATCAAGATCACAAAGGACTATGCCCTAGCTGCCGCCAAAGCATTTTCCACTCTCAAACCCTCCAACCCTCCTTTCCGTTTTATCCATGTGTCAGGCGAAGGAGCCACACAAGATCCAGGATATTTTTCACCAATTTTCGCCAGAACCAAGGGTGAAGTTGAATCTCTACTTGGAGACCTGTCAGCAAAAGACCCGAACGCTTTCAGAGCTGACAGCGTGAGGCCCGCGTTTGTTGACCCGGAAGTCCATCATGCGATCAAACCTTATGTTCCCGGTGTCAGCTTCGTGCAAAAACTTTCCGTTACCCTCCTTGGTCCTGGAATCAAGTATATTTACAAGTCCATGCATTCACCCACCAACTATCTCGGTCCCTTCTTGACGGAGATGGCTATGGGTCGAATGGATGCGAAATTGTCTGGATCGGGAACTTTCGAGCTTGGTGGTGGCTGGGTTGTGGAGAACAAGGGTATGCGAAGAATGTTGGGTCTGTGATTACCATACATTGATTTTGAGGAATAATCCTGTGTATATCACTATATATTTAATGCATCTTACAACTGATAATGCCACCTTACTCTGTTCATCCAAAAATCGATTGAATTGATTATAGCTTCGGTCCCTCTTCATCAGTCAACCACCTCACAAGTTGATCATCCCTCAAAAGTCCCATCATCTCCGCATCTAGGCTCAGACGAATTTCCCAAGGAGCAGGTTGACTTTGAACACGGGCGGGCATAATCCATGCCACTCCAGAAAATTGTGTTTCGGCCATATCAAGCCTTGTCATACGACCAAGCATAGGCCCAAAATCAAACCTATAGAAGCCCAAAGACCTTATACTGCTGATCACAAGATCGCCAAAGCGAGGGGGCTGTGACCAATTCTGGCTATTGACAACGTGAGAAATGAAATCGCGGACGTGATCAGCCGTCACGGTCTTATGGGATTCTTGGATGTAAGTCGCTAACTCGGTAATATGTGGTATATCGTCGGAGTCGAAACGCGTCAACTGTGTTGAATGAGGGCTTGGCGATTTCATTGTGGATGTGATAGATCCGGTGGAAATGTGGGCTTCAGTCACTGCTACCGCATTGCCCATATAAGAAAGAGGAAGGTTCGGTTGTAGCTTATTGCGAATATCACAGGCTAGCAGAACCCCTGACTCAGTTGAAGAGGGTTCATCGTTTTTCATTAAAAATTGATGGCGAGCTCGAATGAAAGATAACCAGATCACGGCCGATGCAATAGCGTTTCGAGAGAAGTGTAATCTTGACTCTTGATCCTTATTTTTTAGCAGAAGCTCCGTGCATGCTATCTTAAGTTTCTCAATCTTCATCGCATTGAAAGAAATGATCCTGGTGAGTGGAGATTCCGACTTTAAGCTCATGTCACCAACCCAAGTATTTGATCCACGGCCTGTTTGAAACTTCTCCAAACCAGATGAGGCCGACGAGGCGTTCAATATTATTTCTCGAGACTTTTGCTCTTCCGCAAGGCTTGTGGGAAGAGAGCCTGAGGTTGCATTCAGATCTCGACAACAGATAGAAAGAGCCTCGAATACATTTGCAACGCCCGCACCATCCATGACGAAATGGTGGAAGGAGAAGCAAATAATAATTCCATCGGGCATAACGTTGATCTGCACTCTTGAGACAGGGCTGAGCTCCTCCAGAGCCGTCGTGAATGAGCTTGAAACAAAACCATCGTTGAGAAGCAAGTCATTGTTGATGACAGGACTTCCGTTCAGAGAATTGACATATTTTTGATGATGTTTGACCTTGATCATAGGATACTCCTGCAGGAAATCCGCTGTTGAGGGTCGGACTTCAAAGACATTCTCCTTATCCTTCAATTGAGCTGATGATGCAACATTCCCAGCCAGAAATGGTAAAAGCTCTATACAACGAGTGAAACCCCGCTCTATGAGAGTTACAGACCCGGTCACATCTTCCGGCTCAAACGTGACAAACGCCGAGAGATAAAACAAACCAGTTGAGTGATCAAGAGGGCTGAGCACGTAAGGTTCAAAATTAGGAATAGAAGACATGTTTAAGAAGAAATTGAATGAATCGTTTGAAATAATAGGTCCATGACGAACAACTTTAAAAAGATTGATAGGGGGTAAATTTCGTATTTAACCCGACCCAGGCCGATGGTCGCCAGACAACCGCCCATGATACTAAATCCTGACCCCCTGAACGAGACGTCAATTTTTGAACAAAAGTCGGTCTGGGGCCGTGGGGCAGGATTTAATAAATGGCGAGGCTAGTTAAAAAGTAGGAAAAAGTAAGCATGAGGTTTTGCGGATATTGTGGATACTCGAAGGCGTGTTCATCGATGCTCCCCACTTGCTGCATAGAAAACTCTCGATGCCCACAATGCCCAACTGAGCTTTGCTCTCTCTAAACAGGAGAGGCTACCTATATGATAGCCAGAGAATGCATTCTCCGTTTAAAATATAATACGCTTTATTATTAGCATTGCTGTCCGGCTGCTTTGGAATTATGAGAGGAAGCCACCAAAACCCACTTCAGGCTCCACCTGTTCGCAAAGCCAATCGATGATCTTTTCAGCTGCGGTGTGATAGAGGGGCATGTTTTGTGGACTGAGTATAGATAGACAGAAACAATTTTTGCTCTAAAATTTGACCGTTTAAGCCAAGGGCACGTATGAGCTTCGGACGAAGAAAGTGACACCTTGCAAGATGATCAACTTTAATGAATGAAAATCGGTGACAGACATGGGCCGAAGAGATCCGATTAACTTCAGATAGGTGATCGACGCTAAGAATATGCAGCTGACGTGTCACTGCAGAGTGCAGAATATTTATTCTCAGATCCACCTGGCGTCAAAGTCCAAATCTCGATATACAGCTAGTAGGTGTCTCAGCTGCAACATGAACTTTGGGTTTTAACGAACAAGGTCCTGTCGCTTATTGATTGCACATGTGCTCGTGTTTCTTCCAAGTTTCTATATGATAAGATTATAATGTCCTATTTAGAGGATCGGGTAATGTTCCCTGTCGAAATGTCTTTTACTATGTTTACCTAGGCTCGGACCCTATGATCCACAAGAATATTTTCTTATCGAGTTATTATGTGTGGGTTGAGAAATGAGCTGAATGAGCGCGGCTGGGGCTTCATCACGTATAGATCCCCACACAGGCTCCATGGTTGAATCTTGTATGTCATACTTGTAGATCAGGTCTACCGACTTTCGGTAATGCCCGAGGTTCTTGCCGATGTGGTACTAGTACTCCATCGGCGATGCCGAGCCGTAGGGGTGGCTGTAGATCGCCAAAATAATCCACTCTTATCTTCAGGTGCAATACAAATCAGTGATTACATGGTGGAGCACTTGATATGGGAATTTGAAAACGCACAAAATTATAAATGTGGCCCGGAGTATTGATTATGATCGAAGCCCAACAAGTAACTCACAAGAAGGCATTTTCTACAAAATTCTGAATATTACTATATGGCGAAGACAAACGAATTCAGTATAAAATGAACAGCACACATATCGCCCTGCGGGAATCATTGAAGGGTCAACATGTCACCATCCCAAGCATCTATGAGTGTTTCCTGGGTGGAAACCGTAGATTCACCCTCAATACATTCAAGCTCGAGAGGAAGTTTTGAACTCATAGATTGATAGGTAAGACTATTCTTTGTTGATACAGACAATACACTGGAGATACCGACTCTGCTCAGGTGGGTCCTGAACAAGCGCACAGCGAAAGGCTTGAAAACCGCAGATTTCGCTGTCTTTGCTGCTGTCTGGATTCCCCAAAGTTCTTTTAAGGTTCTTTGCGCTGCTGCCTAACTACTATGCTTGGGTATGACTTTTCGATTATCTCTCAGGAAAACTTCGAACAACGAGCTAATCGGATCTAGAGAGTGGTAAGAGCGTTGCAAATTTATCTTCTGTTTTTCATCAAATATTACAAAAGATTTCCTTCCATCGAGGTGTATCGATGTTACTATGATTACCAATGTCACACGTTCCTTAATTATACTTCTTTGGGGTGTTATAGCCAGTATCCATGATGAACCTGAAAGCCCTACCCATAAAATCGACCAAATCCTGGCCTAACCACCCAGGCATCATTTTCGCTCTCGTTAGCTCAAGCTCGCGAAGATATTTTCCAGCTACCAATATACAGCTTCCACTCGGAGAGTCATCAAGTGCAGATTGGGCGATAATATTCCCAACATGCTCGGGCGTGTTGGCTTCCATTCCGGAATCCTTCCACCGCACAGCAAGACCTGCAGTAATTCTAGTCGGCGTAAAAAAGGGTGCGATACCTTTAACTTTAACTCCGTATTTCTGTGCTGCAGCCTGTGACCCCCGGAGAAGGCCAGTAACCCCATGCTTGGAGCCAATATAACCCAGAACACCAGTTCCTCCAAAGTATCCCGAGGTCGAAGATACCAGAATGATCGAGTTTGGAGAGGAGCTTGTCGAATTCAGACTCTTCATATGGTGCATTCCAAGTCTGATTGCTATGGATTCAGTTAGGAGAGACGAAAGCCAAAGCTCCAATTAGCATATTAGACATACTATTCAAAGTTCCCTTGACATTGACATCAAAAACTTTACAAGCCTCATCACTATCTCGTAGATCTCCATTCTCATCAAGATTATCCATATCAAGAAGCTCTTCAGACTCCATAATGCCCGCGTTCGCAACCACGATGTTTACCCCACCAAATGTCGCTATTGCGCGATCGAAAAGGTTTTTCATATCATCCCATTTTGTGATGTCGACTGGAACAAATAACGTGCGCGATGGATGCGGGAACGATGCAATTAGATCATTTGCATTTTGTTCAAAGATAGGCAGATCTCCAATAACTACATTGGCACCGTGTTCGTTGAAGATTCGAGCGGTCGCACCGCCGATTCCCCCCGCGCCGCCTGTGATGATCACCGTACGAGACGCGGCGGATTCGAGGATGTGAGGGTTGAACTCGACTTGATGATGCATTCCGGTAAGGTATTGAGTGGAATTATGAAGAGACGTCTGAGATCTGATCAGATATTGTCAAGGTTATGTATTCTGTGTCTCTTATGAGCATCGGAGGTTATTTGTTATGGATTCTCGGAGTTTAGCCCGGTTCCCCGCACATCCTGTATCCCCAATCCAACCCACTTTACTCCTCTCAAGGTGGAGCCAATCATTTATATTCCGAGGTTGGACTGTGTCTTTTTGACCTTGCGGGTATTTGAAATAAGGTACTTACGATATGTTCGATTATTGTCCATCTACGGGTATAATAAGAGTCAATGACCTCAATACTAGATAAGCCTCCGTATGAACAAGTACTATTTCAAGGCCAACTGAATCTTTGTTTAAGTTAAAAATAACCTTCAAGCTTACATGCAAGTATAAGCTAGAACTGTACATGAGATTTCCCGATTTACTACTACATCACTCATTTGTGGTAGTCGGACAGACTAGGAGGCAAATCCTCGATTTGAGTCCCCCAATCACTTTCCTTGCTGCCCAGCTTCAGCTCAAGTACACCTCCTTCAGTGAAGAAGTCATGAGTAACCCAGTTCTTTGACCATGCCTTGCCATTCAATGTCACACTCTGAATATAGATTGACTCGTATGTCGGGTCAAAGTTCACATTTCGAATAGTCGCGACCTTGCCGGTGATTCCGTTTGTCAGATTGACTTCTTTGAAGTACGGTGGAGTGATAAGATAGACATCCTGTCCTGGTACTGGCCAAAGTCCCATCATGCTCAGAACGATGAACGAGCCCATCGCACCACTGTCATCGTTGCCTGCCAGTCCTGCGACGGTAGTGTTGAACTGCGATGGGATGTAAGAGTGGCTGTATTTGGCGGATAGAGCTGGACGTCCAGAGTAGTGGAATTGGAAGATGGTGAGGAAGGATTGCTCGTCGCCCACGTAGAGCAGTCCGGACTCATGGAAGAATTGGAGTCGGGACGTGAATTTCTCCATACCTCCTAGACTTTGGACTAGCGATCCCATATCATGGGGGGCATAACTGGTGAAACAATATTAGCATTTCCATCTATGTTGGAATATTCGGATATTCGGAAAAGGACACATACAAGCTGTACAGCCAAGCACTCCCTTCATATGTCTCATGACCATCGGGGTTGAGATAGCAGGAGGAGAAATTGAGGAGAGGACTGCAAAAGATAGGATCCTGGTATCCCCAAGTACCATTTGTATAGCGCGGTTGTAGGAATCCAGTGAAGTTTGTATCAACTCCACCAATCTCGGACTTTTGATCGGCCTTGAACATATTCACCCAGTTTCCGGAACGCTCGATATATTTCTCATGGTCGGAAGAATGTCCCATCCCCTTTGCCATCTCAGCAATGCAGAAATCGTTGTACGCGTATTCAACTGTTCGCGAAACGCTGCGGGTATGAGTGCCAACTCCGTAGGGGTCATAGTCATCGGTAGGAATGTATCCCAGGCTCTTCCAGCTATGCAAGCCTCCACGTCCCTCGACGTTCCAGTTTTTAGGCTCGACTTCGGCGTCTTTGACAACGGCTTCGTAGGCAGTGTCCCAGTCAATACCGGGTACCTTTTTCAAATAAGCATCTGCCATGAGAACATCTGCGTTAGATCCTCCTTGGGTGAATCCCTTGCAGAGGGACATGCGGCAATCCGGTAGGAAGCCTTCGTGTCTATAGATATCGATAAGACTGCGCATCATGAGTGCCTGGGATAAGGGGTCCACCAGTGTTAGTAGTGGGTGAATACTGCGATAAGAATCCCAAATACTAAATGGCTTTTTGTTAGCAACAGCACATTGCTTTTGTGTTGGGTTGTCAAAATGGGCACAGTCTTACCAGTAATAACTGTCGTAGTATGGCTCATCACTCTTCCACAGAGGATTTTCACCAGTATAATCCTGGGGACTGATAAAAGCGCGGTAGGCTCCACTCCAGAAAACAGTCTGTAGATCTTTTGAAACTCCTCCGGCATCTACTGAAACAACGTTCAGCTTCTTCCTCCATGCATCCTTCGCTACTTCGACTGTCCCCTCAAAGTCGAAGTCAGGTTGTTCCTTCTCGGCATTTTCACATGCTTGGCTAACGCTCATGAAGCTGACACCAACGCGGGCCAGAACAGTGTTGTTCTGAGGCGCGTGGAAGCGAGCAAAGGTACCGCCGGATAAAGTTGCAGGTGTGTTGGTACCATCAGCTTCCATTGAAACAACGTTTCCGCTGATATTGGCACGATTTTTGGTCCAGACACCCGTGTCTCGTAGCTCGGCACCCTTGAAATCAACACAGAAATGGAGATCGTAGCTTCCAATACCAAAGCTAGGATTGAAAGTTCCGTTGCCGCTTAGTCTTCCAGTTGATGTGTCGACGGTGGCGGTTCCATTTGTCCGCGATTGCGGTAGATCCATCAAATCGACCAAAACAACAGGGCCAAGTGAGCTGTTGGATGATTTGTCGAGGGTGAATCTATACAAAGCCGATCGGTTGGTTGTCGTCATCTCGGCGTGAACACCATTGTCTAGCTTGATACCAAAATACCCCGGTTGTGCGACTGGATTGCTCCATCCCACAGCTCGGTCGCTTTGCTCCCAAACACATTGATTGATATCATCGTGCGGACAAGCGGGCTGGGCAAAAATGGGGAAATTTCCCAGAGAGGGAGACTATTGTTTTTAGCGAAGTGTATGTTAATATGGGAGACGAAATTGAATCGTACACCACCTGTGCCAGAGTCGTGCATGTGAGAGAAGCCCGTGACAGTTGTATCGTCGTAGGCGAAACCAGCTTGGTTCTCGCCCACGGTGTCGGCAACAGCCTTAGCCATACCTGGAGATTTCTTAGTCTAGCTATCGAGAATGTGCTCTACCCTTACTTACCAAATGGCAATGTTGCACCGGCAAAGACATGTCCTGTGATAATTGTGTTCCATAAGTTTCAGTTCAAAATCAATTTCAAACAGACGCGCAACATACCTCCATTCGCAGTCCCAATGAAGGGATCCACATAATCTAGAACATCGAAGCCTTCAGTAGCAGCAGCATTTGCCGGGCTTAGAGCAGACGAAGCGTAAAGAAGCGCTGCGATAGCACCGAGCCGCTCTTTGCGAGGGCCAAATGATGGCTGCAGCATGATGAAACCCAGTAGTTGAGCAGATGGCCAATGGTGATATTTTTTCCGACCTTAATTTCCCAACACACGCCAGTTTTCGCGAACTTGAATCAAAATCACCCATGATGCGATCTGGAATTGAGCTCCTTTATTTACCCAGCAGTCAACCGCGGGGAAGCATTCCCCACGCGTTGATCGGCATGTTGGCTCCCCATTTAGTAACGGTCTATTTAACCATATTATGGGCTAGACCGTAACAGTAAAGCAGGTTGTATCGGAAACCTGCGCCTGTCGGATAAGATTCAAATACACCGTAGTGTGACATCAGTGTACCCCATAGTGCAAACTCGGTCGTGCAGCCTGCAGGATGCAATGTACGTTTGCTTCCCCCACAGTACGGTCGCGTATTCACAGCATCGTCAGCCGGGGTGACTGCGGAGAGGTCCACGAGGGGTAATAAAGAGTTCGACGATTGAACGACAGGGAATTGGTAGCACGGTGTTCCGGGTTCCTGACCGAGTGCCGATCCTTGTAGATATACGGTCGGAGTAGCGAATCAGTAACTCCGAGCTGCGGGGAACGCGAGTGGACCGGAAAGGAGGAGATTCGTGGGTTTTCTCAAGAAGTGGGGAAATTGTAGTACTCGGTCCTCATCGCTATGTAACCTTTGTACACTACGTCGTCGCCAAATGGGCAGATTAACGCGGGGCGATGTTGACGGTTGGGAGTAAAACATTCTTGGAAGCTCGAAGCTCGAAGCTCGGTTGTTGACAGCTTGAGTTGGTACCAGCTCGGCTACCCGCATTTCTATTAGTTAAGTTCACGTTGCGAATCAACAAACCATGGAACTCAGTGGTGTTATTGGTAGTATTCTGCCATATTGCTAGCATTCCTCTCATATTTTCCCTAATCTACTTAAACTTCTCATTTGGTTCGAATTTCATCTATATTCAAGTTGGCCTCGTCTGCGTCTCTGGGCCCCTCGGGCTCAAATTTACCGATAATTTGCCGGACCAATCTCCAGAGGGGAATCAAGCCACCGATTATCTGTGTTACTCTCATCGGCAACTCTATTTGAGATGACGAACTTTAAGGGCCATAGGCTGAGGAAGTTGTTTCTTGGGTGTTGATTTGGTGATTTGTTTTATAGCAGAAACGCACTGTCGGAAAACCCTGCTAATAAGAAGTTAGATTAAATCAAAGTCCCTATTGCCCCAACACAATAAAAGTTTTCATCTACTTTAAATACATAGTATCTGTTCTTGACTCTTTTGACTTCAAGGTGCCGCAGTCTTTGGCAATTACTATATCAAAACCCTACTATACTTCATGATGTCGCGAACTCGGAGTGGCCAATCTCAAACTATAGGTTGCGATGCTAGGTAGGAAACTATGGTGAGTTCCATCTGGCAATATTTCGCAATCGAATGCCAGTGGATCTTTAAGTAGGTTTATATCGATTGTTCTTTCAGCACTATCATGATGTATACACTGGCAGTTGTTGTCTGCCGAGGCCGCAAATGCCGATCCAAAGCCGAGATTATCCCGCTCCAGATGCTGACATAATATGATCCCTCGATGAGGTTAACATCTGGATGCTGGCTTTTCTCTACAATTCGCGCCAGGAATCCCTCGTCCGATATGCTCTCGGGATATAACTCCGTAGAGATGATATGAAACCTTTATATTCAGCGCCAAAATTGCATTGATCTCGATAACCACCCTTCGCAGGTTGAAGATTCTCACTCAACATGCCCGGGGTTCCCTCGAATAAGGCATGCGAACGATGCAAAAAGAAACACCTCAAAGTTCGTTCTAAAGATTGAAATTCCCGATGATTGATAGTTAGAGCAAGGTGACTAATAATGATTAGTGTGACGAGACTCGGCCACATTGCCAGCGCTGCACTACTGCGGACGTGCATTGTCCGGGCTATGTTCAAACCCGCAAATTCATTGACCAAGGAGCCACGGTCAGGCGCCGGTATGCTCCTTATCAAGATCCACATTCAAAGACTGGACATGCATCGAATTCCGAGGTATGCGCTTAGCTTTTGTGAATTGACTTTGAGAGCACAACCTCATACTAGTTTGAGCAGAGTCCAGAGATTACCAATCAGCCAGCCCCGTTTCAATATCAATCGGGAGCGGACAGAGAGCCTGTACAAACACAGTTATACAAGGATGACAACGCTATACATCAAAGAAATGATATTCAAATGGCTGTGAGCTTAGATCCTTCTGCTGAAGAGGGCCTCGTGGCCTCATCAAACCAACTACCCGCCCCTGCTGGCACTAATACTGGGCTTCAACCCACCCCCGAGGGAAATTTAATGATGGGCAATGGAGAAGGTCTTATAAGTTCGCGAACAATCGATCCAAATCCAGTGTCACCAAATGTACCCCTGGGGTTTACGCCGCCGACGTATGGGAGAACATATACCACGACCCCAAGTTCTCGATCAAATCATCACGGACTCGACCCCTCCGAGATCCAGTCTCAACAAAGCGAAAAGGAAGAGTTCCACGATATATTCTCCGACCTCATGACAGACAGTGAGCACGAGGCAGCGTTTCTAACTCGACATTACACGGAAGTCATTGCACCCTGGTAAGTCTACGCCTTATCAGTAACCAAACGTGAAGTTCGAATTCGTAACGTCTTCTTTAGGCTCGATTTGTCTGACTCGGGAAAATTCTTTTCTGTTTATGTTCCTATCAGAGCAATTAGTTGTACATCACTCAAGTACGCAATCGCTTCATTGGCTGCAAAGCAGCTTGGACGAGTTAAGGGCGCAAAGTCTTCCGCTACCGGTGGCATGTTTACCAACCCTGCCGGCACTGAGACGTATCCAAATGCTGCTGATACGGACTGGTTCCTTAAAGCTGCTAATTATTATTACATGGCGGTTTCGGATCTTAATAATAACACCTCGGGCGGCTATGATGCTGTCTCTACGTCGGCTGTTCTTGAGTCGCCAATCGAAATGTTAAGCCAGTGGTTGAATACGCCGTCAACCCAGGAACATTTCCAAAATTCTCAGGACAATTCTTTTCTTCGCAAAGTGGAGGACACTCTCGCGACTGTTACACTTTTAACTACATATAGACTGATTGATCTTAAAGGGAACGAATGGCACAAGTAAGTACTGCAATTGTGCCTAGTGAAGAAGATACATATTGACAATTCTTTTTCTAGGCACCTTTCAGGAACTAAGTCATTATTTGCCGCGCTTTTGAATTTTAATCAAATTCAGTCGTCCTTTTTTTCTCATGGAGTTCGCGCATCATTCTGGAATTTTGCTAGGCAAGACTATCTCGGGTCATATTTCACACGATCACCCACCCACTTCAGCCCAACAGACCTCTCCCTCTGGCGCGCGGCGGGGCTGCCAACGAACGGCCAGGGTAAATTCCAAATAAGTTCAACGGGAACAGATAGTTTAAAGCAGGAGGATCAGGCTTCAAACGGCTTAACCTGGCTGCTATCAAAAGTGCTCAACTTTCTATCTGAGTCAAAGCAATCACAAATAGCTCAATGGGCCGGATACTCCCCCGAATCCGCCGATAGGATGCAAGTTGCATCCACGGACCTTAGCACGAATACATGGTTAGATCTTTCTTTTGATCTTCAGACCTGGTTTGAAGGCGTTCCGGAGACATTCCGCCCATGCATTCGCATCGAATCCCCACGGGACTTTTCTAAACTTCCAGGCGGTGGACAGTCGCCATTTCCCGAGGTCGTTTACAGTCACCCGACATGTGCAGCTACGATGCAGCATTATCATTTCGGTCGCATTGCTTTACTTCTTAATCGACCGCCTGATATAGTCAGCGCACCTAGCACAGCATTTGATCGGTTACAGGGATACCGGGAGGTTACGAAAGAAGTTGAATACCGCAGTCGTGAATTGTGTGGTATTGCCTTGGGCAGGCCGCTGGGTGCTATCCGAGTACATATGGTTCCCCTTTTGCTTGCTGTTGGTCAGTGTGTGGAGAGTCTAGAGGAGCATCGCATTATTGTGGACCTTTTGCGTGGTGTTGAGGCGGACCTTGGCTGGGCAACGGATTACGTGGTACAGAATTTACAGGCGATGTGGAATAGATGAATTTGCGAATAATGATATAATGATATAATGCATCCTTGACTTAGGATTTCCCCGTCCTATGCTATGATCCTGGGGCAAAATAATGGGGCTGATGACGATGCGGAATTTCTCCGTCATAGCTCCTCTTATGCTCCATGTTTTCAATGCAATATGAACGACATGAACTGGCTTATATAACATATCATGGGGCCATGAGTCTTGTTTTATCAAATCAACCGGCTTCTTGACCCATCCTCAAGTCCCACCGGTACTTCCGGTGGGGTTTCCATTCTGTGCGGAGATAATGCCGGAATCTGGGGAAGTCGATACGGGGGTTTCCGCTCACAGCTCCCTAAAAGCCTGGATTCGTTGAGATCAGACCTCTACCACGGCACTATTAAGCCATTAAACTCTAAAAGAACTATTACGGAGCATTTCAATGGCTGTTCATTCTACTATCACACAAATGAGAAAGTGCCACCAGTCCAAAGATGGAGATTGGTCCTAAGATATTTTTTTCACCCTGGTTAACTCGGGTGTTTTGGTCTTTTTTATCTCGGTTAACATTGTTCTAGCTGACGTACCTCAATTCCGCACTTCTCCCATCTTCATCAATGCTTATTCTGACAAAATATAAATGTGATAGTGCTGCCGGGGAGTTCCATTTGCACTGCTTTGCACGCATGACTCTTGAAGTTTCTATTTGAATGAGATAAGAAGAAGGAAATCGGATCAAACGTGCCTACAACGGCTGGCTATCGTTATGGAGCTAAATTGCAATGAAGGCGTAAGTTACCAGGAGCTCTTTTCGAGCATTAAAAAATGGAAATCATGACTGACTGCTACTATCTATAGGTTCTCCACCAGTTAGTGATCGGATTCTTTTATTCAGATGCTTTGTTCGTAACTAATTCTCATAGGATCGAGGAGGAGCTGGGCACTACCATTGTCCCCGGCACAGAGATTATGGCTGACGTTGGCACACACCACTTTATGAAGTCTTCATCAAAGTCTGATCGCGTCCTGGTGCCCCAACCCTCACAAGACCCTCATGATCCTCTGGTAACTAGTACTTCAGTCCCTTCAATATATGTCTTCATTGCTGATCCTAAGTCTGGGGCAAAGAACTGGAGCCGTTACTGGAAAATGAGCTCCATGGTTATTGTCACATTGACCACCTTTAGTCAAGGTTTCGGGCCTCTAGCTCTAGCACCAATGTTTCCAGAGATGATGGAAACGTTCAATAGCAGTTTATCTGATGTTGTTCAGTTCACTGGTGTTTGTATCCTTGTTTTGGGCTTCAGCAATTTCTTTTGGTAGGCCTACCTTGCATGAAACTATTGACGAATGCATGGATTCCCTGGCTAAACCGATACTCAATACAGGATTCCTCTATCTACTTGCTTTGGAAGGCGGCCGGTGCTTATATTCTCAACTCTGATTTGTCTTGTCAGTAATGTGTGGCGTGCAGTAGCCCCTTCTTATGCAAGTTATATGGGGGCTTGCGTCCTCAATGGCTTCGGTGCTGGTCCTGCTGAGGTGAGTACTTGGATACACGAATTTTGATGAGATCTAATCGTTGCCTTTCTTCAATAGACAGCGCAGCCTCAAATAATTGCCGACATGATGTTCCTCCATGAGCGTGGAGCTTATAATACTCTCTACTTTACCTTTTATTTTGGTTCTCTCATGGTTGGGCCGATTGTTGCAGGCCCAATGGCTCAGCATATTGGCTGGCGAAGCTTCTTTTGGCTTAATGTTGGACTTTTGGGACTGTCCCTTCTTCTCTTGATATTTCTCTTCCCTGAGACTAAGTGGCATCGAGTACATTCCGACGAGATACGCAATGGGGAACAAGATGATACAACGACAGAAACAAAGATTCGGGATGGCGCTGACCATGAGAAGCCCATAGAGGTCGTTCAGAAGGAGAACATGGAGCCGGAAAATGATGCGCTTCACGATCAGTATTTGCATTGCGGATCTCCCTCTAAAGGGCAGTTCAAACTATGGCAATGGGAGACTATCAGCATGAAAGATGTTCTCATCAGTTTTTGGCTCCCTTGGAAGCTACTTGCGTTCCCCATCGTCGAGCTTTCGGCCTTTGTGGTTTCTTGGTCTGCTAGCTGCTTCTTAACATTGAATTTGACGCAAAGTCAAGCTTTCGCTGAGCCTCCTTATAATCTCGACAGTCAGACAATTGGTTTCTTCAACTTCGCGATTCTTATCGGCACATTTATCGGCTTGGCTACTAATGGACCTCTTTCAGACTGGGTTTCGATGCAAGCAACTAGGAAGAATAAAGGCATTCGAGAGCCTGAGATGCGACTTCCAACCATGATCATCTATGTGGCGATCATGATTATAGGTAACTTTGTTGTGGCTTTTGGCTACCAGTATAAATGGGACTGGAGAGTAAGTGATATCGAGGGACATTCGAGATTTCTTTTTTTTCTGACCGTGGTCTTAGGCAATTGTGATCATCGGATATACTGCAGCTGGTATCCAAGTCGCTGCAATTCCTGCGATTGTCAGTACTTATGCGGTCGACAGCTACAAGCCTGTTGCTGGCTCAATCTTTGTGGCAATCACAGTTAACAAGAATGTTTGGGGTTATGGCTTCAGCAAGTTTATCACCCCTTGGGTTGCAGAAAGCGGATTTGTTAAACCAATCATGTTAAATATGAGCTTGGCAACACTGTGGTGTCTCTTCGCGATTGTGTTTTATTTTTACGGGAAGAGATTCAGGCGATGGACAGCCAAATCTTGGGTTCATAAGATGTAGTAGCACGTTGCCCTTGTCAAGGATCATTGATTGACAAATGAAGAATGATTCTCAATATAGCTTTTATTCTTTCATGAAAATGTTGAGCTAGATTCTATTGCTGGTATCATAATGAAGAGTCATACGCGGCGCTGAAATGTTCAAAAATCGTCATCATCGGGGTCGTAGAGATCAAGATCGAGCAGAGCACTTGGCTTGGGCTTGGGCCTTGGCGCAGGTGCTGCGACTGATGCCGGCGGTCGGACTACGCCAGTAGCTGCCGACGCAGCCTGCGCAGCAGCATTAGCGGCCTCTTCCTGTCTGGTATCCACAGGCGGAGGCGGCGCAGGAGGCTCAGCTGCCCCAAGGCCTTCAGCTTCACGAATCAATCGCTCAACCTCCTTATCTGGATCACTGCCAGCTGCAAGTTGGACCTGACCCATCAATCCCATTCGTATTCGTTCCTCCATAGGGTATGGCACCATGTATACCTCTCGTGTCATATTTGCCGACTCATCCAGCCATTGTGTTGCGTTCTTCGTGACTGATGATACCGGCTCAGCACCTTGTTCGCCAACCTGTTCACCATTGGGCCCCGTCATCGTCACATCTTTGTCTAGTATCTGCGGTCGCGATCCTGATCGGTTATCAGACGCAGCAGCACCTCCTGCTGCGTCGGTAGCGGCTTCGTGATTGTATTTGCTAATGCGACGTGCAAAGTTCAGGAGTAACCGGTAGTCGATCTCTTTGTGCTGCAGCTTCTCGCCCGTTTGGCCCTCGTCACCGGAATCGAATTCACTGTCGCTTTCTCCATCGTCGCCGCAAACTGTCCGGATCTCCTTGTCGAACTCTTCTATGTTCTTCACGATTTCTTTCACGCGATCTTCCAGTGTCTCGGCCTCTGCGCGGAGTTTTAAGATTTTGGCATAGTTCTCTTGGTGTTGCTGGAGGGTCGTGATGGAGGAAGATAGGTCGTCGTCGGCGTTTAAAAGGGCCACAGCAGCAGCTGGAGCTCCTGCTGCAGTCGGAGATGTGGTCAGGGATAACAAAAGCGCATTGAGCTTTGACTCCACATTGGAGAGGGAGGACTGCACGACCGTGTTCATCGTAACGCGACGGGTAGCCGAATTTCGCGACTAGTCGGCGATCGAGCAAGTGATAACGAAATGATCCACGTTGAATTCTATCGGTCGGCCGTAGTTGTAATTGATATGGTGTTGATGTTGTGTTTCGTGTTTTGCGACGGTTGGCCCCGTGACTAGCAGCCAGTTCTCCACGAGGAAGGAGCGAGGGTGACAGCAAGAATGAATGCGGAAGGTGCGAAGTCGGTCAACACAGGTCACGTGCACACATACAAAGCGTGTATGGCAGTTGACTTTCACTCTTAACTCGCGGTTAATAAATATATAAGCAAGAGATGAAGCTTGAGATAGCAGACCTTTGCGTTCCCCGAATTCGCTAGATCAGCCCCGCTGAGTTATGTCGCTTTCGCTAGTGGCCTAAAGCTTAGGTGGGGTAAACCGGAGATTGTGTCGCAGCATCACTTACAGCTTTTGGTTTCTACTTCTCCAGTGACTGATAGGAAGAAATCGCTGTCAAATAAGAAATTCATTAAATATGGCTCAGCCAGCCGAATTACCATCAGCTAAGCCAATTGCATTTGGCTCTCGAATAGTTGTCCAGCCTCCGCTCACACGCCTCGGCACTGGGCCAGGACTTGTTATCATCAGACCTGCTGGTTTCTCTGACTATCAAGCGAAAACCAAGACTCTTGACCCGGAGCCTCTACAAAAATGGGCAGAGGAAGGCTTTGCAGTTGCACAGATAACACTGGATGCGCAAGACAAGAATACCGAGATATTGCATAGTCTAAACTCCGCTCAGAAACACTTACAAGATCTACTAGAATGCACCTCAGATAAATCTTTTGGTCTGATAGGTTCGTTTGAAAGACTCAACTCTATCATATATCTCCTTGCAGATTATACTGACTAAACTATAGTATATGGATCTCGGTCAGATTATGGTGGTCTCTCTGGTGACGCTTTCTGCACATTGGCCCCAGAGACTATCAAAGCTGTGGTCTTTTTTGACACTTGGGAATCGAAAGAAGGCCAAAAGCTGCTCTTACATGCAGCAAGCTATCAGCGCGATACCTTCACCGAAGATGACACGCAGACAGCATACTTTTATCCAGATATTGTTTCTTCCGGCTTCATTGTCCCTGGTCATCCTGATTTCAAAATATCGACAGCGGGTGTAGCTCACACTCGTGGTCTCGCATTTCTCAAGAAGAATATCGGTGGTCCGTATTTTGACCTTGAGAAGATTTGGGACGAGCATACGTACTATGAGTTTGGCGATCGCTCTGTCGAAAAGACAATGGCTACGATGGTACAAGAACCCTACGTCAACCATGTTCCTACAGTAAGTCAATAATTCATCTTCCATATATACGCGGAGAGTATACTGAATATTTCCAGATGACTGGGGGCATTGGCCGAGCTCGTCTAAGTCACTTCTATTTGCACCATTTCATTTTTAACAATCCAGATGATACTGCACTCGAACTCATCAGCCGAACCATTGGTACCGACCGCATCGTAGACGAGTTTATTTTCTGTCTTACCCATGTAAAGCAGGTTGACTGGTTGTAAGTTCCGGCTTGATTTGATTTGCTTGACTTGAGTCTCACGAGTATTCGTTCCCTCCAGGATTCCCGGCATCCCGCCAACCGGAAAGCCACTCCGTATCCCTTTTACCTCGGTGGTCAACATCCGTGGAGATCGATTGTATCACGAACACATTGCTTGGGATCAAGCAACTGTGTTAGTTCAGTTAGGTTTATTACCGGAGTATCTCCCCTTTCCGTATTCTTTACCTGATGGGACTGTGCCGGCTGCGGGCAAACGCTTTGAGTACCGGGTTCCAGCTGCTGGTGTCGAGACGGCGAATAAATTGCAAAATGAGCATGAATTTGAGTCGAATGAAATGATTGGTTTTAAGATTCGAGAGGTGGATGATCGATGATTACTGTATTATTGTGGTCATCCCACCGTGCATCATTTATGCAGCCAGGCCCACACATAGATGCGACGGTCGGATAGGCTTCTAGCCTGCGTTTCACCACGTTTCAATGCGCGTCATAGCCTTGAAACTATGGATTGATTTCAGACAATGACATTAAGCAATTCGCATCTTTTCTTTTTCTAACTCTACAAGGACCCTGCCAGTCTGTACAATCTCTTCACACCAATCAGAATCGATCTGCTCTACCCTTATACTCCACAATATGTAGCATCTATACCTTGAGTAACACAGCAGTGTCCCTCTGCAGAATTTCAGATGCAGAATTTAAAATGATTGATTGAAATCATCTGCAGACTCTGTAATTGTGGATCTTTAGCACTTAGGGTGTGATGTTCAACGTGTGATCTCTGATGTCACCCCTTTTGAGCTATACGCCGCTTGCAGTAACAAGGTGAGAAGAGAGCTTGACCGCTCATTCAACCCACGACAATTTGACTTTATATCTTGCATCGCGTTCCTGGTTTTCAAGAATATTATAGGCCATTTGGTCGTTGCTTGCCTATCTGCGGGGTGATTGGATGCAAATCTGTGATACATCAGTCGATCGTCACTGCGTCAGATGGGCAAGAGCACCGAGGTCATTGAACGGAGCTCATTTATAACATTCATTCAAAGGAAAATATTTCCCTCATTCCATTTCGATCTTGGATCTGAAATCTGAGGTCAAAATGGTCTTACTTTTCCAACTGCTGTTAATTATATCGGCATGTTCTGCATCCAGATTGCCCATCGTCGATCTCGGCTACGAACTGCACCAAGCAAGCTCCTTTAATGTCAGCATTCCTCGCGCGCAACTCACATTCCTCATTATACACAAGCTGACACATCTTTCAGAGTGAGAGTGGTCTTTATAACTTCAGTAATATTCGATACGCTGCTCCTCCGGTAGGAGATTTGCGATTTCGAGCTCCTGTTTCGCCAGCCAAGAATCGATCACAGATTCAAAATGGTACGGTCGGCCGAATCTGTCCCCAGGCCAATGGGATCTGGATTGAGAATATCATGCCTGCTTTTTTATTGAGTATAATTGAGGGCACAACATTCAACCAGTCGACGAATATTTCGTCTTATCCTTATGTGCCGCAACCGCAAGACTCGCGCACTACTGAAGATTGTCTTTTCTTGGATGTGGTTGTTCCCAAAAAGGTGTTTAATCGGTCGCAGTCGCATGGAAGACAGTATTGGAAGAAGAAGAAATTGGCACCAGTGCTGGTTTGGATCTATGGCGGAGGATACGTTTCAGGGGATAAAAACCTCGAAGATCCTTCGGGATTGGTCGAGCGGAGTACTGTCAATGGAGATGGGGTTGTGTATGTTGCGATGAACTATCGAGTGAGTGTTCTAGTCCAAACCATCTCACATTTCAATCAAACTAACGTAATATGTTAGCTGGGTGCGTTTGGTTGGCTTGGAGGTGATACTCTCCAGGCGAGTGGAACTGCAAATGCAGGACTCCACGATCAACGCTTCGCTTTGGAATGGATTTATAAAAACATTCATCTATTCGGGGGCGATCGCGATCGAGTCACGGTCATAGGTGAGTCAGCAGGTGGAGGCTCCATCATGCATCAAATCACCGCATATGGAGGCGCAGCTGGCCCTGCTCCATTTCAACAAGCGATTGTGCAAAGTCCCGGATGGGTCCCAGTACCAGACAAAAAGCAGCCAGAGGATACCCTGCAACAGTTTTTGGGAATTCTGAATGTCAGCACCATCGATGAAGCGCGTGGACTCTCATCGAAGAGGCTGATTGCCGCCAATGCGTATCAGGTAGCTACCAAATCTCCATGGGGTGAGCTTGTCTATACGCCAGTTGTGGATGGGACCTTTGTCCCCAAACTACCTGGACAACTTCTTAAGGAGGGCAAATACGATCATAATCTGAGTGTCATGGTAGGAAACAATGCGAATGATGGCATCATGTTTACCTCCCCTGACAGCGTGAAGAGTGACTATCTCTCGAAAATGCTGAAGGAATACTATCCTTTTATCCAGCAGAATATTACAGATTACAGCCTTGATGTGCTCTACCCCGCTGTGTATAATGGGTCCTATCCATACACTAACTCGCTTGAACGTACTGCTTTCCTGATTCAGGAATCCATCTTTGAGTGTAACACTGAGTACCTCGACTGGGCATATGATGCCAAAACCTTTGCTTATGAGTTCAGTGTTCCTCCCGCGCTGCATGGTCAGGATACCTTGTATACTTTTTACAATAAGGGGAAGCAAGGTAATCAGGGTGGTCTTTCTGGACTCGATGTTCATAATGAGACCATCGCATTTGTGATGCAAGATTACTTTACCAGCTTTGCTCAGTCTGGTATTCCCAGCTCGGCTCTCGGACCAACTTTCAAACGGTATGGAGCGGAGCGCGCAATGCTGGATATTGGCAACGAGACGATCCGGTCTATTCGGGATCCTACTAGTGCTTCTAGGTGTCGTTTCTGGCAGACGGCGCCTTATTATTGATGATTGTGGTTTATGGGGTACGAAAAAGCTGGATCTTTGGGGGACTTTTGTACAGAGTAGAACCCATTGATCAAGTATTGGAGCTTGATTATAGTCAAGATACGACTAATCAATATCCACGATAATTGAACGAATCTGATTTTAAGGTGGTTGATGTGCTGCAAAACTATGAACAAGCTATTCTCAAAGTGGAGTAGATGGACAAGGCTGAGTGAGAATCAATCGCAAGAGCTACGAGATCCGGTCTAGAGCGCGGCTCGTCTATGCAGACTTTTTCATTAAAGAGAAAGCTGAAACAATTGGCAGCGACAATGTATCGTGGCTTAGCGTGTGGCACGAGTCATGTAGCTGTTTAACCCTGCGCGATGAAACGACCCCGCTAGTTAGTGTTTGAAGTGTATCTTAAAATAGAAGTCGCAATGACTGATGTGGTAATTAGTATTCTCAGCCTCATCCCGGCAACTGGGCTTCGATTGTGGATACATTTAGCTTGGTCGGCGCGGAGTTGGACAAGCATCGCCTGTCCGGGCACGCAAAGTGATAGGGAAGAACAATATCAGAGGTCGGAACCCAGCAAATAAACCTTGTGAGTCATACTGGCCAGGCGCTCTGGTGGAATGACAGTGTAATCACCCATCACATTATACTAAGGCGCTCCTGTCAAACCTGTCGATTCAGGGTGTACATGAGTCCGCTGGTCTTATTCTAGGAGCTGGAAATTATATCACTCCCATTATATTCATTCGGATTGTAGGAAGAGAAAAAGAAAAAGAAACAAGAATTAAACAAAGTAATAATCTGCATGGTGAGATGCGGACCCTGAATGGCGACAAGGCAAGCTAAGACTCGCGACCCGCTGGGGTCGGATTAAAGGAAACTCTTCGGTGAAACAACATATTCAATGATGAGGAGACTATTGTTTTTGTAGATTGTGTCCAGTTGGATTAATCTATATTTTTAAGCCTGACTTTGCGATATTCTTAATATTTTTTATTCTTGCTACCTTGTTTTTGGGACCGTTGAACCTCCGAGACATCTCAGTGCATCGGCACAGCCGGTCTGCCGATCTTTTCGGACAAAGGAAAAGGGGGAATTTGTGAGATTTGGCTATTTGGGTTAGTTTTGGGCTCGAGATCGAACGTCAAAATGAGAAAGGACATGGGAATGCACACATAGACATAATGTTAGGCTATACATGTAACCCACTTTGTATGGAATATTTTTCATGGACCAGCATCATTATGATCATACCCAATCCTAGTCAGCAACAACATTAACCAACCCATGTCCAATCAGAATTAGATGCGGCCGTAAGTGTCTGATGGGCGCTACCAGCTGCCACTAACCTGATACGACTGAACCCTTGGCCCCTCTTACAGTCTCTTGCGCCAATCATGGTGTAGAATGGTTCGGGGAAAGAAAAAGCTTCTTGCCCACGGAGAAACAGTTAGATCCAGCAATTAGAGCGACAAAGCAGCAGGCACCCACATTTATGTCTTGGTTGATCGGTTATTTCCATCCTCTGGGTCTAGCTGGGACTGAGGTTTCTTCCCGTGGTAGCTTGAATTAACTATCTTCATAAATTGCTAGCCTTGTTCCTCTTTTACTGGAAAGAGATAAAACTGTTTGTTGGAGCCTTGTGTGCCTTGTGCCTTATTATGCCTCGTGCGCATCATCACTGACTCGATTTCTCCCTTTCATTTCGATCCTCGACTTGAACCTCACCCATTATAACTCTACTTCTCTTTATTCTGTCCAATCATTCCACTTCTTTTTACTTTATCATCTCCCTTCCTTTTCTTAAATCTTTACTCTCTACGACTCTTACTCCACCATGCGGCTGCCCTGGTCCGCTCTTGGCTTGGTCGGTGCGATCGCATCGTCGATCCCCCTCGCGTCTTCTCACGAGATCCATTTGGCCTATTTTCCAGTTACTACTGGGTCAGATGCCCAGACCGACTCATATCTGGTATGTGAGCCATGAACAGGAATGAATTATTAATATTGAGTAAATCCGAATCTAACAAATAATATAGTCAGTGGAGTGGTCCATAAAGGGTGGGTCCTTATTTGCCAACAATGATCGAGTCTTCCCACCATCTACATCAATGCAAGTACATGCACCTCAATATGACGGTCCCCAGAAGACCCGCAACAGCAAGCAAAGGGAACTTTACTACTCTCTCGATGCCCGACCATTATCTACCCATGAATTCGGTGCTCCCAATAGCATTGTCCAGATCAGTGTAGAGTTGCTCGATCAACAAGGCAATAATGTTACCCCAAACACTGTGGTGCTGGATCTGCTGGATCATCCAGATGGTAATATGCGCATTACCAGACTTCGTACGGAACCGCGGAAATCCAAACAATCAACGCACTCTGAGAATGAACAATCATGGCAAATGAAGTACTGGCAGTCTGAAGTGGGTCGCGTCGCCAAACACCCCAACACGCAGGACTTGTCCTCCGACTGGGAGTCTACATCTGAATCCGAATTAAAATCGACATCAACATCAACATCAACATCCGATACTACTGATGACTCCAATCCATCTCAATCTCAATCCAAGAATGCCAATAAACCTCCAAAGCCGAGTGGTGTGTCGGTAGCCTCCAAGGTCGGATATATATTCTCACCATACTTTGCTCCTGCTTCTTATTCTGAATCACACTCCCATCATCGCCATCACGGCCAGCCTCGCCCAGACCAGACGTTTATGCATATTATTCGCCCAGTTATTTTCCCTGCTATCCTAGGTGCCATTGCAGGCTTGATCGCTTGTTTATTGGGTTTCTTTATTGGACATTTACTCATGTCCGTGTCTTACCGGTTGGGCCTCTGCAAAAAACAACAACGCCAGCGCCGACACCGCCGCTCCAAGGATTCTCTCCTGGAGGAGGGAACTATTCTCGAGAAGGCCGAACTTGTCCCCACGATCATTGTCACGGAAATTGATGAGATGGATCAAGTCTAGGCATTTTTAAGCCCAAAAAGGTAGCATTTCAGGTTCGGCGCACGGCGGATTCTTCATATTCTCTTATCTTTCTATTTTTATAGCGTCTTTGCATAGCATCAATTTCCTTGTGTTCTATTTACTTTTTTTTGGTTGCTTCAGAACGTGTATGTGTATGTGTATCGATACTATGCCCCCAATGAAGATCCATGTGTAAGACCAATTCAACCTCTTCTTCCACTTGAGCCTCACTTCCGAGCATGAAGCCAATAATATCATCTGTCTTCAACAAGGCCGGCTGGCCCAATGGCAAGGCGCTTGACTACGAATCAAGAGATTGCAGGTTCGATCCCTGCGTCGGTCATCTCTTTTTGCTTTTGATCCATTCTGATCCAGTCTATCAGAAAGAATTTTTTTATAGCTTCAATATGGTTGGATGAGGTTGGCTCCACTATGCCCCATCTGCGGATCCAACCATCCGAATTACTGCCAGTTAGCGGGATTAGCGGGATTCTCCTGCAAATTTGCCTCAGCTGAAAAACAATTTTATTTTTAGCTGCTTTTATCTTATCTTCCCCTTGTATTAACGGGGCGCTAGCTTCATTGGATAGGAATAAGAATAGGCTCCGTCAATCAGAGTAATAGTACTGTAGATCTATCAGATACAACCCAAGCCTTTTGTGTCTCAGTATATCTTAGACATGGCCCCATCCTACTATTCCTGGGCCATTTTTGAGACGTTTAGCGGGCTTTTTCAAGGTTGTATGCCAAGAGAATTGGTCATACATAAGCTATGTCTTATGATCCACAACGCCCTCAGCTTGAAGCTGCCCCCTGAATCTGACGATGTTTCTTCCAAAACAAGTGTCCGCGTCATCCCCAGACCAAGTTCAGGCAGAACTCTATACTGGGGACTTTGCCCGCGGGGTTAAAATGCATTATCCGCTATAGGTGTGTCTTTGCGGGGAAAATAGGATACGGATGTGGTAGGAGAATGGTTAATCTCACAATTAGAGCAATTGTCAAGTAAATCTTGCCGTCAATCTTGCCGTCAGATCCGCGGATCGCCTATTAAGCTCCCGAGATCACAGATTACACGCAGGCCTATAGCCCTATAGACGGTAGCCTAATGGCTTCATGGCCTGGACTTTGAGCTAATTTGCTGCCTATAATAGTACGAGCCGGGGTTGTGTTTATTTTAACCTTGGGATTGCTTTCTCGGGCGTTCTGTGGCGCTGAGTTTCAAGTTGTCTCTGAATCTTGTTGCCTGTAGTACCTGAGTCGAAGGTGGGCCAGGGTATATAGTATTTAAACACTTGAGGAGCTTTATGCCGACGGCCGCTTTACTTTACTTGGCTTTCATTGAACCATGTTTAAGTTATTTTGGTGCATGATCACAACTGAAGGTCTTCGGGTCCGGCGATTCAATGCTGTACTCTGAGAACGAATATTTTGATTCAATAGACATTGTCTGGAACTTGAAATGTTCCATTCAGCTTCTCAAAAATATTCAACTTGCGATTCTTAAATAATAGGGCGGGCTGAAGTGCCCATATTTTGTAGCTTTGGAACGCAAGATTATGTCAAGTTGCTCACCGACGGCCATGGCATGCTATGAGGTCAAATCTGGAACAATGTATTCCAGTAAAAGACCTCTGTACTGAAATTAAGAGCTCGCTCGTCTTCTGGAAATTTGTACTAAATCTATATACTCTAAAGTTCGAGGGCGACGAGATATGGGGAATACTATGGAAATTTGAAAATGAAGCTATGGGACATGCGTCCAATGAAACAAGAGAGTTACAGAGGGAAGAGAGGCATACGCTTCTGAAGATCTCCAAGCATTCTCTAGAGTAAAACTCAACATAAAACGTTTGAAATTGTTAGAAATAGCCGGAGTGCTCGTATAGACAGTCAAATCTATGCATCTTGCTTTTGCTGAAGAATAGAGCCTCAGGCTGACCGCGATGCCAAATTTGATTGCTACTAGGGGAAAAGATGTGCTAAATGAACGCTGGATACCTCAATGAGAAATCCCCCATACTAGTAGTTCAAGGTTGAGATTGATTTTCTCCGGTCAGCCTTATTCACGGTTGGATGAAACACCTGGGCAGATCAAATTAGAAATCTATACTAAGGAGTCGCTGAGGATCGCCTGCAAAGGTTCAGCCTGAGCCATACTACATATGACTAGAGCAGCTTCAGCGCGCATAGAAAAAAGAAAGAAATAAAAGCCTGGGTGAAGGTAGATATATACTCTAGGAGACTTCCATGTGTATTCAAGTTGCGCACAGCGTATTCAAGTTTTATAATGCATACTAGTAAGGGTCAAAATCATATTATAAAGCTCCAGTGAGGAATCTAAATTGTGCAGTCGATATATAGTACCTAGTAATTTTTGCGCCGTCCACGGGTGGACTGTGGGTGGACAGTACTACTATGTAGTAAGCATAGCTCTTGGAGCAGCTTGTTCGGCTAAAGCATGATGAAATTGAAGCTCAGAGATTGCAGATAGTAACGACGGACCTCGAGGGACCGTTTACCACGGTATGCAGTACTAATTGTTGAGGTGGCTGGGAAATTGTGGTCGCCCCTTGCATATATGAGCCGAAGGTTTGCTGTGGAGGCTGGTTGAAGACCATTAACGGCAAGAAATTCCTGCCTATTTTAGCCTCATCCTTTTACCATCATGCATGTCAGACGGTTGGTTCGCATATTTGCAGGGAATCGCTCTGCGAACACACCAAACCAGTGGTCTTGCCTCTACTCCGTAACTGGTGCGTCAATACGAAGTATATGCGTTCCATAACAAGCGACGCGTGGCTTTTGTTTTTAATTTTTCACAGGGCCGTCATGATCGCATATTCCAACCGTTTTGTCTCCATTTTAGTTGGTCATGTCACTGGACAGTTAATCCAAGATCAGTGAAGCCCACATGGGGATTTTCAGTACAATTCTTCCGAGATGAGGCCCTAATGCACTTAATTCGAATAATAGGGTCAATTGGCCCGCACTATGCATTGTGAATGGAGATAAAGTATTACAATAAACCAGGCTTCTTGTTCATACGGGGCTGTACAACGCAGTTTCTTCCTGATAACCAGTGCCACTAAAAAGAGAGAGAAAAAACCTATCGGACGCAAGGGTGTTAGTCTCAGACGCCCACGTTCTACTTTCTTTGCCATGCGAAGATAAGCGTGTTGGCAAATTTTCAGGTAACGTGCACTATACGTCAACTATTGATGGTACTCCCAATAGTGAAGAACAAATGCATGATTTGACTGGATTTATTTTGCAGCCTAGTGGTATAGGACTTGATTTTTCGAATGCAGGAAAGAGATTACATCAGTAGATTTTGGTGTGGCTACACTAGCGGTGACAACAAATGAATTCGCTAGTGCGCTCGGGGACCCCGTTAAGTTCTGATCTATCGCGCCACAGCTATACAAGGTTGGGGCCTTTGATCACCTTGAGTTGTGCGCCCCTTAATATTCTAGTGTTTTTTAGGACGAGTTTACGCATTTGACGCCACCCGCATTTCCTTGTTATCTTGATTTTTCATTAATCCGATGACTTCAGTCCGATGAAATTCCTGCCCAGGACCCGAGACTATGTTTTAAATGGTCGGATTTCCTGGGGAAAGCTAGATGACGAAATCGAATTCTGGAGTTGCTGGACTAATCGGATTCTGCAGCGTGCGCCATATGCATCATAGCTACCTGGGTCGCAACTAAGTCAGGTTTATGCACATCAACGCCGATCAGTTCTCAATTGAGGTTTAGGTCGTACATAACTCCATAGTCCACTTCCCACTCAAAAGAAAATACACTCTCGGGCCTCTAAGCCCGGTGGTTTCTATTATGGAATTCAGATTTAGGGCTGTGGCTGAATCGAACGAGTCCCATGCTAGCCACGTTGGATTGGGTAGCACCGATGCAGGAAAGCGAATCCCATCAAGCGAACCAGGTACGTGATGCTGTACTACGCGTACTAGTATGTTGCCAAATGAACCAGCTAGCCAATCCGCTATCCGCATCTGGCTTTGATTTGTGAGTTTTGACCGCTCTCCGCACTTCTCTTTTTAATGCCTTGTTCTGATCCTTGGTGATCCCTGTTCATCTGGGTCTGATGTGGTGGCTAGTCTGTGTATCCTAGTTCAAAAACATACATGCAGCTTGCTGCATGCGTACGAGCACGATGCGGAGTAGACGTGTTTTCTGTGCAAGAAAACCTTGGAAGCTAGATAAGCATCAGAGGACGCAAAAATTTGAATTGCAAATAGTTTGCATTAAAATCGGGGCATCCCGTTTCCCAGCTCTTTCTATAAAGGACGTCGTGGTAGCTCGGCCTTCTTCCAGCCTTCGCCCTTTACTTATTTTTCACTCTTCACTCTCCACTCGATAAGAGCTTCTCAGTGGGTATTACTCTGCATAATATCCTACAATTCTCTCTTTCCTTCAGCTATGAAGTCATTCTTTGTCGCCTTGGCTGTCCTAGCCACCGCTGGCTTAGCTTCAGCCGCGGACTGTGCCGTAAGTTTCATATTCTCGACATCAGCATTGCATTAGGGACAGGACTGGTTCTAACTACGATGGGCTCAATAGCAAACATGTGTCTCCAACATGAAGAACAAGGCTTCTGAACTGGGTTGCAGCTCTGGAGATCTGGCATGTCTGTGTAAGAGCCAGGATTATGCGTGGGGTATCCGTGACTGCACTACTGAGGCCTGTTCTGGTTCCAACGCAACCCAGGTTGTCGCCGAAGCCCTTGACAGCTGTTCTTGTATGTGGTTTCTCATACCAAATTGACCTAGTGAAGTATAAGCACAATTACTGACAAGTGACATAGCCGCCCTAGCATCCAGTTCCAGTTCCGCATCCAGCGCCGCATCCAGTTCCAGCACCGTGACCATCACAACCTCTTCTTCCGGGAGCAAGGTAACTGAAACAAGCACCGTCCCAGTTTCTGGTGCTGGATCTATAACTACAACTATCACCACGTCGGTCTCGGGTACCCGCACTACTGAGACGAGCACTCTTCCGAAATCCAGCCAATCCGTTACCCGCACCACCGATACCTTGACTACTAGTGTCTCTGGGACCCTCACTACCGAGACCAGCACCGGCACTGTCACTCCATCTATCACCAGTACCACGGAGACATTCACTACCAGTGTATCGGGCACATTGACTACCGAGACTAGTACCGGTACTGTTAGTGGGTCAAGTACTAGCTCCGCTGGAGCTCATCCTATGGCTACCGTGGGAAGTGGAGCATTCGGAGTTCTTGGATTGGCCGCGATGATTATTCTGTGAGAGGGGATTGTGAAAAAGATTGAAGGGAATAAGAAAGGAGAATAGTACTGGGTTGATTGGATGGCAGATCAATTGAACGAGAACTTGAATTATAGGTGCTGGTAACGTGGATATAATGATATACTGCTTTTCCTGGTATGGGATGTTATATTTAATGAATAGTCTGAATGCGACTTGATCGTTCCCTGGAATTTTAGCTGAGGTGATGACGTGAAGGCATATCCCTTTGATCGGGAATGCTCGAAATGCCATTATCTACGATACCCATGAAACAGATATCTTAGTCCATTTTAGTACGGACCTTGGAACTTTCAAAGTTTGAGCTCAAATTTAAATACATATAGGTGTCTTCATTTTCGAAAGTGGTCATACAAACATGTTAAATCTTGTTAGTGGAATTAAAAATTAAATGAAGCCAAGGCAAGAAGGGTCCCGACTGTGGCAACCTCCCAATACAATGGACGGGTTAAGGTCACAGAGCCACTTTCGTAGCCAATATTCGCCGAATTGTTTCCAAACCCTACAGTTCTGAGCCAAGTAGGCTTGGAGCTCGTGTTGACCAGGATGTCAGAGTGATAAGGATCGATGACCCCATAGAAGGAAACCTTAATCTTTCCTTGTACCTCATCTGGGCCTAGTGTTGTTGTGGGATCAATTGGGTTGATCAGGTAGGGAAAACCTGCAGCATATCCGTTCAGAGTAAAGTTTGCTGTTTGGTTATCGAATTGGATTTCCACTGCTGGATATGTCCAATTCCAACCGGCATCGTTAGACCAGTCGCGATCAACAAGTGTCATGCGATTTTGGCTGCTTTCGGTAGAGTTATCGCAGGATTTGAGATCCATCGTGAAACTAGCTAGCATCAAGTCTGCATCCTTAATGATGCCCGTTAGGTTGTATGGAGCTTTCTTGGTTCCAGAAGATAAGGTCAAGTTAAAGACATCCTCGACGAAAGAATCGGTTGACGCGTCGCTTGCAGTCGTATTGTTATTCGCATAGTCTACCCAACTATATGAAATTAGCTCAATACCCTTGGTTTATTGTTGAGTGGATTGAGTTTTGACTTACGGGGAAGATTCGATGTACCATCGAAGAGACGACGATTCCCATGGGTTTGTCGAGAGCGATGAAAGATTCGCACCCGAATTCCATAGTGTCAAGAGGGCATTCACGGGATTTGAGCCCAGATTATAAGGTCCCCTTTCAGTAATAGCGAGGAAAGACTCATACTCCGCTGAGAATGTTTGTCCTTGGAGACTTTGGCATACAGATTGGTTGGTTGACGATCCGATCTCGGGTATAAACTCTATCTTCGTGGTGGCATTGTAGTATCTGTTGTAGGAGTTTAGTTACTGCGAAATAAGGACATGAATATGGACATACGATCCAACCCAGATGTAAATATCATCCAGCCCCGTGACATTGCTCGGTCGGAATGGCACAGATGCATTGTATTTCGCATCTGCTGTCGCAGATGCGGCCAGGGGCTCAAGAAGACAACAAGCGAGGACGTATATAGCCCGTCTCATCGTGTTGCGTTAAAGAAAAAATAAAGTGGACGTCGGCGCGAAGAATTTGCTCGGGTTTCACTGAACGCGCAAAGGAAGAAACAACCAGAATAGAAAAAAATCGCGGGTGAAAGAGCCAACGCAGTCTAACTGCTTGGGGGTAGCCGTAAGTTCCGAGCTGTCAGGGGGACCATGTCTACTCCGGGGGGCTAACAAGCCCTGGAGATATTAGCGGCAATTAGTGGCTGCAGGGACGATGTGACCCTGAACTGTACATGTGGCTGACTTCGTTTCAGTCGTTTGCGAAATTGTCTTGACTAGTACGGAGTAGTCGGTACATACTGAGAAACTCATGCTTGGCTTCACCACTAAGGCTTTAGCGTAGATCCTTTATTGAGGGACATCTCAAGCCACTCAATGTAGTGCACCTCGCTTGATAAAATATATGCACTAACTTGAAAGCCTGGCGGTGCCGCCAGAAAGGAGACATCAGTCTCAAAGTGTAATGTATTCCGCACTGGTCAGGCCGCTTTTAAGAGCGACTGTAACCCAAACTAGCCTATAGTTAGGCAAGCAATTTGATCTAATTCCAATCACCCCTAGAGCCAAGTCCTTTGATTTTGTAAAGCACTCAGCCGGATACTACCCCGCAACTGATTAGGTATTGAAAGCCGAGTTGATCCTCGGTTTTGGCAAAAGTCCACTATCCTGGTCGGGCATAGCGTCTGACAAGATCTCATGATCAGGGCCAAGCAAGGGTCTTTCCGAGCTGGCACATGGCTTAGCATAGCTTAAACCAGGTTAGCCGAGCGTGGCAAATTATCTAGCGTGACGCCTAGCGGCAGACGAGACGGATAGTATTGGTGTTGGCTGTAGCCCCAGTTTAATTAGGCCCCACAAGACCCATCGCCTCCAGGGCTCAGAAAAGTAGACTAAGAAACATTAAGGCTTAGTTGGAGGACTAGCGGCTTTAGTTGCAGAAGGAACACTATTTTAGTCAATATTTGAGTTGGCCCCCTAATTTAGTCTTCTCTACGAGGGTTCAAGGTTCGTATCCAGCGGGAATAGTTAATGGAACCACTGCATAGCTCATTTCATTTCGTTTTCTCAAAGTTTCTGGGCCATTCCAGCCAATAATAGTCTTATCTCGGTATATAATGGATCTCGTTAAAGGATTCCAATACAAACGTAGTATCCTAGCCACAAGGTGGAACAGCTAGTACCTACTTCGGTGTTCCATGCTTCAAATTCGGCCAGAGTAATATCCGCATCATCAGCAATGGCCTGGCAACCATCACCACTAACAACTTCGTGGAACTTGTCGCAATCACTAACCATTCCGGGCTGGATAGGAGTAGGAGTCGTTACTCCGTTCCCGGTCGAAGTGGTGGTGGTGGTTGTTGTAGTAGGGGTGGATCCGATAACTCCAGTGCAGACATAGTATCCAAGCCAGAGAGAAGAACACCCACTGCCCACGCCAGAGTTCCATGCGTAAAAGTCGGTAGTGGAGATGCCCGCCTCGGATGCAATACTGGCACAGGTATCGTCGCTACCAACCAGGTAGAAACTATCGCAGTCATCGACCATTCCAGCTTGAGTGGGGGTCGGGGTGCTGATTCCATTTCCAGAAGATGTTGTTGTAGCAGTTGAGGTAGTAGGGGTAGATCCAATTACCCCAGTGCAGACATAATATCCAAGCCACAGGGAGGAGCAACCGCTGCCAACACCGGAGTTCCATGCGTAAAAGTCAGTAGTGGAGATTCCCGCTGCGGATGCAATAGTGGCACAGGTATCGTCACTAACGACCAAGTGGAAGCTGTTGCAGTCATCTACCATTCCAGCTTGGGTGGGAGTTGGAGTAGTGATCCCATTGCCCGTAGATGTTGTTGCAGAAGCCACAGTAGTTCCGGTAGCCGTTTCCCCGATGATACCTGTGCAGACATAATATCCAAGCCAGAGGGAGGAACAGCCACTTCCTACGCCAGAGTTCCATGCGTAAAAGTCGGTAGTGGATATTCCAGCTGCAGAAGCAATGGTAGCGCACGTATCACCACTGGTCACCAAGTGGAAGCTGTTACAGTTGTCAACCATCCCAGCCTGGGTTGGAGTTGGAGTAGATACTCCATTGCCAGCCGTGGTGGTTGTGGTGACAAAGGTAGTTTGTGTAGATGAAGTACTCGTGGTAGACGCAGTAACTGATGAAGATGTCGTTCCATAGTTGACCTGGACACAGTAGTCGAAGCCAGATGACAATGTGCACGAGCCAGTCAAAACAGCGTCCGGGTTCTAATAATGTCAGTGTATGAACAGAATATTCATTTGAAACTGTATTGTGCACTTACCCAGGCAGCAAAGTCAGCCGCGGTAATTCCATATGTGCTTTCGACATCAGCACAAGTCAGGGTTGAACTACCTGCAACCCAAGCACTACAAGTCGAGATGGTTCCCGGGAAAGCAGTGCCTGGAGGAGCCACAAGATAGCCTGCCACCAATGGGGCACCGACAGCGACGACTAGAGGAGATCGAAGAAGTCTCATGATTATCAGTCAAGATTGAAGACGCTCTTTGGATCTATGAGAGATGGTGTGTTAATCTAAGCAAGGATCCCAGAACGAGCGATACTTAGAAAGTATTTTATACCTTCTCAGAATCCTTCGTATTTCTCTATGCCGCCTTTTCCGAGGGATTCTCGGGTGAGTCTAGCTTGAAGCCATACATGGTAGCGGCATGTCAATTTCGCATCCGTGGGATTGGAGAGTTACAATCAAAATGTGGGCTGATGCTTGCCTCCGAACTCGCTTCTGATCTAGCTTCAAGGCCTCCTGCCTCTGAAATAAAGATACAGCCTTAGTGTCAAAGTGTCTTAGACTGGGCTCAACATTCGTGGCTATAATCAGGCGTGACATGCATGCATGTATGCAGGGATCAGTCATAAATGATCTGAATGGCCAGTAAGTTCTTTTTCAAATCGAATAAACCTGTAGCTGATGAATCGCAATTATTTGGTTAAATCATTCAAATCATGCTCTTCCAAAGGGTTTGCACGGTAAGTCCGCACTGTATCTCCGCAGTCCCAAGTGAATTTTTACCCGAGGCGCATACTAGTTAGTAGCGACGGTTGACTTAGTTCCCCGCTCTTTTAATTATCACTTCATTTATAATTAGTTTCTGGAGAAGGCTTGGCACTCAAGAATCCTTCACAATTTCCGTGTATTTGCGCACTCCGACCAAGCATTGTTAACGTATTCGGTAAGCGAGTTGGCAACTCCAAAACACATAGTAAATGCGATAAATTACAATATTAAAACCGACCACTTTTGATTCATAAGGCACGATATCAGGAGACAATGCTTTGGATAGCATTTATAATCCATTACCTTGGCTCGGGTGAAAAATCAAAGTTTTGACTCAAATATATAGTTGAAGTTGAAATGCGCAAATTACAGTGTATTTTATGGTATTGCTTAAAAATAATACTCTAAACAGCGTCAGATCTATATATGTTAGTCTTAAACTGGAGATAACATAACTAATTTAAATGAAGTTATGGTGGTCGAGATTCAGCTCTTGAATTTATCGCGTTTACTATGTGTTTTGGAGTGGCCAGCTCGCTTACCGAATACGTTAGCGTTGTATACCTAGAGATCCGAAATGCCGTAGAAATACTTACCCGCTAGGCCCAGACCAAGAAACCAAAAGAGAATACGTTACATTCCTATGATATTCATTACTTAAAAACGATCTTTAGTGCTCATTATAGAGTAGAATGCAAGGTCACGCGGGGTATCCCTCCAAGTATATCGATCTAAAAAAAACCAACAGGGTCAAGATTGGGGGCGGAACGCCTTTTCTGTATGCACAGAATAAATGATAAAAGGCGACTAGTCTGCTCCGCGGACTCTGGGAACTTTAATCCCCATTGGCCACAATGAGCCTGTTAGCTCGAAGACTAGAAAAAAAGCTGCAGAAGTTCTCATGACTCCAGTATCTCCGGATGCAACAATAATATTGTGGCGCTCAAAGGATGTGCAAACAATGCTTAGTTCAGGCATCCCTTTGCTTTACAAGTGCCCATGTGGCTATTTCGGCTTTCCTAGCTTGCTTTGTGTAGTTAGTCGATCCGAAGCAATCTCGCACAAACTACCGTGCTAGGGTCGGTATTACAATGTGGATGGACAGACTTTTTCAGCCTCGAATGTAGCGAATAAAACGACGTTCACGGGATAATATGGGGCATATATGCTCAAGATACTAGCCTATATTACTGGATCCTGGCCCCCATGTTGTATAGGGTAGAACGGGCTTGTGGAAATTGGGCAAACACAAGACCCAGCCTCCATTTTTCACCTTGTATCGTGTCCAACTGGACTCGATTACTTCCTAATCAAGTTAGAATTGACCGACTCTTCATGCCGGGTGTGCCGAGCAATGATCATGATATGGTGGAGCCACTGGCATTTACTAAGGGATATAATCGATAATATAACCATAGAAACACTACTTGTAGCTTCAATGTATACTATATAAAAGCTCAATTTCCTCGTTCCTTTTTTCCGCAAGCCTCTTGAAGCAATCTCTTCATTCATTGAGGTGTTTCTGGTTTTATTTGACTTTTCTATGCAACCATTCTATTCACTATTGGCTGTGCTAGCCAGTCTCATCTGGCTGGCTAGTGCGTTGCCATCGGAGTTAGACGACTACTTTGGTTTACATCCTATCTCGACTGTCACTCGTGCTGCAACGGTCAACACCAGCCCAACTGCGACTGTCAAGGGCGTCTTTCAATCAAACCCCGCTCTTCTGCGGGCTGCGATAAGCCGATGTCCCGCAAGCTGCAGTGAAAGTGGAAGCAATCCTAGCAATTGGACTGTTTATCACAGCGTTGATCGTCTGTCATGGTGCAATGAGACTATGCTGCTCGACTTTGTACTTTTCAATTCATTGTCCAGTGGAAAAACGCAGAAAAGCATTCGAGCTTGTACTGTCGACGGTGATGATACAACACTCTCTGCTCGTAGCGTGTCGTGTGAGACACAGAATGCTGCAACCGATAGCGTCACGGATAGTTTGAAGATTTCTCAAACAGAGTCAACTGTGTCTTCGAGTGAGCTTTCCAATATTATTGCTGTCACAGAAGAGATCGAGAACTATATCCAGCAACAGGACTCTTGCAATAATACTGCTTCCTTTGCCATATCTGGCAAGGTAGCCGTTGGCATTTTTGTTGGCTCTCAGATCCAACAACAAGGCCTGGTCGACTCCATTGTCAAGGAATTTGTTGCTACTTTGAAAGAGAGCAGCACACCTGAGAAATTTCTCGTGCAGCTCTGCGACGATGATCGCAGTAGTCAATATGGAATTGGGATAATCGCTGACGCAACCGGTGATCTGTCTGCAGCTCAGGATGCTGTCCAAAAATGGGCTAATGGTAGCTGTGTCACTACTTTGGCGGAGACTTCAAGTGGCAAAGATATCACTTTCTCAATGGCGGTACCGCCTCAGGCTCCTACCTCCACACCAAAACCCTCTGCAAGTCACGTTGCTCGCGCTCTGCACCCGCGATCAACATGTTCCACTACTCAGGTTATGTATCAAGGAGACCTCTGCCCCGACTTGGCAGCGACCTGCGGTATCACTCTTGCCGAGCTTGAAGAGTACAATCCGGGTTCCACATTTTGCAACGATTTGGTTCAAGGCCAACACGTCTGCTGTTCCTCGGGTACTCTGCCTGATTATACCCCTTCGACATACTCCAATGGTACTTGTTACACCTATACTGTTGTTCAAGATGATACTTGCAGCGGTCTCTCAGCTGAGTATGACATTACTGCCACCGACATCGAAAAATGGAATACAGATACTTGGGGTTGGTTTGGCTGCAGCGATCTTCAAATTGGGAGCTACATCTGTCTTAGCAATGGATCGTCCCCGATGCCTGCACCAGTTGCCAACGCGATATGTGGTCCTCAGGTTGCCGGCACGGTAGCCCCTCCTGCTGGCACAAACTTATCCACTTTGAATGAATGCCCGTTGAACGCCTGCTGTGATGTTTGGGGACAATGTGGTACCACAACTGAGTTTTGCACAATCACTGAGTCTGTTACTGGGGCACCCGGGACCGCGGAGAATAACACAAATGGTTGTATCTCAAACTGCGGAACGTCAATTGTCATGTCTGATGCTCCTTCGCAATTCAGGAAAATCGCATACTTCGAAGGATATGATCAGACACGTCCTTGTTTGAGCAGCTCAGTAGAGAGTATTGCTACCCAAGACTATACACATGTTCATCTTGGCTTTGCTACTATTACCTCTGATTTCCAAGTCAATGTTTCCGATATCACCGCGCAATTCAACACGTTCATCACTCTGAGTACGAGCTGGAAGAAGATTCTTTCTTTTGGTGGATGGGACTTCTCTACCAATGCGGCTACGTACGACATATTCCGTCAAGCCGTGACTGAGGAAAATCGTGCGACCTTTGCCTCCAACGTTGTCGCTTTTGTAGAAGAATATGGCCTCGATGGTGTTGACTTCGATTGGGAATACCCCGGTGAGCCCGATATTCTGGGCATCCCGGCAGGCAGTGAGGATGATGGAGTTAACTATTTCTTGTTCTTGGATGAGTTGCGCGTTAAGTTCTTGGCGTCCTCTGTACCTGGAAGCTCTATCTCAATAGCTGCACCAGCCTCGTTCTGGTACTTGCAGGGTTTTCCAATCGAAGCTATTGGTCTAATTGTTGACTACATCATCTTTATGACATACGATCTTCATGGACAATGGGACTACGACAATGCCAATTCACAGGATGGCTGTCCGCTCGGAAACTGTTTACGATCTGGTGTGAATTTGACAGAGACTATCAACGCATTGTCGATGATCACGAAAGCCGGCGTAGCTTCCAACATCATAAATGTTGGCGTTACTAGCTATGGACGATCATTCCAAATGACCACGGCTGGGTGCGATGGCCCAATGTGCACATTTACCGGACCGGAATCTGGGGCATGGCGAGGTTCATGTACAGATACCGCTGGATACCTCGGCAATGCAGAGATCTACTACGCGAACTCTAGCATGTCTGATGCGAGCTACTCCTTTGATGATGATAGTTATTCTGACACATTAGTCTTCGGAGATACCCAATGGGTCGCCTGGATGGGTGATGGTAATAAGGAAATTCGAACATTGCTATATGAAGGTCTCAACTTCGGCGGCACGACAGATTGGGCTGTGGATCTTCAGGGAGATGCGAGTACACTCGAGTCACAGTGCAAGTCTTTGAAGGCAGCTAATGACACCTCATTCCCTACGTGTACTTCCAAGACCTCCACTACGGGTTGTATCGCTGGCACTGGCAGTGGTGACTATGAGGACTTGTGTGAATTCGCCTGCAAGTACAACTTTTGCCCAAGTCCTATGTGTACATGCACTGAGACAGGTACTGCTGCTGCTGCTTTGATTAACTCTACTGCGAGCTATTGTCCGGTCGACTCTTTGGATTCTAGTTATACCGGACTTTGTTCTTTCAGTTGTGCGTATGGTTACTGCCCAAGTACTTTGTGTGAAAAGGTGACGGTTGAAAATTTCTACTCTTGCGACAATACACTCATATTGACGAGCCTTTCAACCAATTTCACAAGTGATGCAAGCTGTGCAGATGTTGGAGCTCGTATGTATCTCACTATTCGCTTTAGCTTGTTATGGGGGGAATTATCGCTGACTTCCTACCTTCTTCTAGCTGGAATCATCGCGTCTTCGATTTGGGATGATATAGACGCCACAGCTTCCCTAACTTCATATCTTGATAGTTATGACGGTGACGACTTTGTCTTCGACATGATTAACCCTCTAGGTATAGGACAAAGTAATTCTGACTGCGGGAGGATTGATACTGGATCATGCACGGCACCAGATTGCACAACCACCGAAGCTGGTACAGGTTGGGAATACTGCACTGCTCTATCCATTTCTAACCTCAACAATGTAAGTCCTCAACCAACATGCATACGCAACAATATGGTTCAATAAGATGCTTCAAATGCTTATATCTACTTTCTTTTTAGGTCATGAGAGCCCTCTACACGGCAACGGGCGATATGCCGTCAAACTTCAGCAATTTGGCAGAAGACATGTACACAGCCTTCACTTGGCCGCCAGCTCCCAGCATGGATCTCTTCTGGGAAGAGTTCATGACAGCCCTCAGTACAATGCTTGTCGTTGTCACTACACTTACTGGGGATGTTCCGATTGCCGCGATGGGCGCTTTTCTTGGTGGTGTGGTCACCGAAGGCCTGAACGCGATATTGGCAACTGATTCACAGGCAGCAGAGAATCTGAGTCTGTAAGTGTTTCCTTATAATTAAATTTAGCTGACCCTACCAAGCGCGTGAGCTAACTGTATTTCAACAATAGCCTGGCTGATGATTGGGCGGACGCTCTTCAAGGTCAGTGGACGGACGCCTGGGCCAAGTATATCGATGGCGGTAGCACAGATATGATCACTCTATTTTCCAATGGAGCTCTTTTGGATAAGCGGAATATCCCTATCATTAGCCCGAAGAGCGATAACCAAATTACCTTGAATACTGTCCAGCAGCATATTCAACAGATCTTCGAGGCCACGATTGTGAATAAGTTGTGGAACGCGGATGATGTCTTCCTATACTGTTATCCGATGGATGAAGATACTTGTCAGTCCTCATTTTTTATGATGTTGATCATTCGAGAAATGCACAGATTGTCTAACGTTTATTCTAGTCAATGGGTACGCAGACAAGTGGACTGCGGAGCTCCAGGGATGGGTCGATTATGATGATGGATATGGGTGTTACTTGCAGGGGTAAATAACAAATTTATTTCCCCTGTTCCTGTCCATTGACTATACTGACTGAACGTTGTATAGAATAAGCGACTATAACGTCATCTATACCTACGGCGATCCTCCAGGCTACAAGGTGAGCTTCCAGTGGCTAGATCACTATGACCCTCATTTCTAACACAGCTGATCCCTGAATTTCCTAACCATGACGAATTTATAGGATCTGGGCACCGGGACCTACGATTTTACCATCGATGATATTATCACGGGCAGCTACAATAGCTTTGTTGCTGGAGGTTTCAACTACACTCCATCCGTGTCTACAAATATTGATACAACGTTAAAGTGGTCTTCGGCGGACCTACTGGACGGGAAGATCTATACTCAGGCCGGAGTGTTCAACCTGTTGATTTGCGACCCATCGGATGAATGGACTATCTCCAAGTTCTACGATAATATTGGATATGTAGGATATGGGTACACTGCGAGGTAAGATGATTCTGGAACTTCATTTTACTCATTCCACTACGATGTTATATGAACATACTGATGAAATATTGTATCTTACAGCGTCTGCGGTTGTCAGGATTATGCTGATAAAAATGGCAAGAAGTTCTCGGATTATCTTGGTATTGGTACTGGGTGTTCTTGCGGTGGTGGTGCTGGGTGCTGTGTTGAGACTGGCAGCGTCAGTATATGCCCGTAGTGGCCTCGATTATCTCTCTTGAGGTGAAACACACTTTTATTGGGGTTTTAAGTAGCAGGATCTTGATACAAGGTATGGAACTTCTTCATTTGAATCTGTATTGGATCTATTTTCCGAGGCTGTACATCAATTTTATTAGTGGATGTCCACTTCGTATATGCACAATGAAGAAAATGGCAATTCTGTTGACAACATGCGAATAAAGCTGAAGTACTACTGCAATCCCGCCCTCAAAATCACCTCGCAAGGACCCCGAACTGTAGCGAGAAAGCGAGACGAGTGTGAGTGGAGACAACGCGACCGTGGCTCGGTAGTTCCGGAAAATCAAGGAATCATGGACCATTCGGGTGCGCACGCATGGACCAAGTATCCACTCTGAGGCTCTCAGGGTCCACGGAGTGGACGAGCATAGTCCCTTTCCTACACTTTTTGAGCGATGGCGTAAACAAGCGCGATCCTGGATTGGTCGTGTAGACTAGCCTGCTTCTCTAGTCTTCTGCGTGAGGACTATGGCCCCTTATAGTCCCGGGCGCTGCGAGAATCCTTCCAATCGTTTGAGTTTTTCTTGGGGGCGGGCTTGGCGTGGTCAGTAGGGTCGGAGTGGAAAATCGCCGATGTTAAGGGGGAAATCTATATTTAAACCAGAAATCAGCGAAGTCAGAAATCAGCGGGTGGAAGACTGGGATGTGGTGTTGATCTTGGAGAAAGGGGACGAGAAAAAATAAATAAATCGATATAAATATTTCGAATCGCAAATTTGATCCGGACAGACAATATTCGTCCCTTTCGTTTAGTGAATCGTGGTTGTTTTCTATGGTTGATTCCAAGGTTCTGGATGATTGTAGTGGGGAAGAGTGAGATCAGTAGGTAATCAGTCATCATCAGCGTCTAACCGTCTTCGTCTCCGCTTTGCAGCATTGTTGCCTGCTTTGTCTCCCCCGAGCCTCGTTCATAAACACTCTGTCCCCCCCCGATCTCGTAAAGGGACTTCTTTCTCTCTTCTTTTTTCTTCTCTTCTCTCACAAGATTAACTTTGATTTCTTGTGATCATCTTAATCATCATGTCTGCAGTTAGCGCACACCTCATGCGTCGAGGCATGGAATATGCCTCGACCAAACTCCAGGAATCTAAGCCTGATGAGGAACAGACTCCAGGTGGTCTGGTTGCTATTTTCTTCCTCACTCTCATCCTTATCGTACCGACCATTGCAGCTGTAAGTCTAGGAGACGATAATTTGAATAGCCGACGAAAAATGCATTTCGCTAATCCAGGAAACCAGATCGACTACACATACGGCTCTGTTGTCGCAACTCTCGCAACAGTTGAAGATCCCAACCCGGATATCTACGTTCGCATCGATAACAACGATGACCCTACTAAGCCATACGATCCCAACGACCCCGAGCCCGTTGAGAATGCCCGACCCAAGCCTATCACCAGCGGGTTGCGTACGACTATCAAGCATCTTCGTTCCCGAGCTGGTTTCTGGTCTCGCTTCCGTGGTTTCAGCATGTACATGTCTTGGACATGTGTCCGTGGCTTCCTTACAGGCCTTGTTCCTATCCCAACCGGCTCATTCATTGGCCAGTTCTTCGCCCAGTCTTTCATTGGTGTGCTCTTGTGTACCTGGCAAATGGCCTGGGTTCATATCGTCATCACCGAGCCCTCCCCTAAGCGTTTCTACCAACGTATCCCCAGCTACCGCACCTGGATCAAGATCGCTCCCGCCGCTGTCCTGGAAGATGTCCTTACTGCTGCTGCCTTCTTCTTGCCCATGGCTCTCGCTAAGTTCTCAGGTGCTTTCTACCTTAGCTCTAGTCCCGAGGATAATATGAAGGATATCTGTCGCTGGGTCGGTGTTACTATAATTCCCGCTCTGCTCGCTTATCTGCTCACCATTCCTGCCCGTGTGATCTTTGTTCGTGTTGCGGCATCTATGCTTCCTGAGGAAGACGAGACTATTGTTCCCTTTGATCGCTCCTTCGGTGGTAAGGTCCAGCCTGAGATTGTGGGTGGAAGTGGTAGAATTGGTCTGATGGAGGCTTGGACCACTTTTGAATGGTCTAGTCGTGTGCGTCTGGTTAAGGTCTTGGCTAAGACTTTTGCTATGGTGGTTGCTGTGGGTGCCTTTGCTGGGATTGTTCTTGGTGTTCAGCTGTTCATTATGATGCCCAAGAACGGTGGCCAGTAAAATGGCATCAATGCCTAGGTTGTGGTCAAACTCCAAACCCCATGGACTGGTTTGAAATAAGTCATTTGGTGGAGGAGAAACGTTGCGCCGTTGAACTGTGACTTCTTGACTGATTGTCTCACTGTCAGCTTCTTTTCCTAGTATAGTTGTTCTACTTATGCGGGTGTCCTGGTATCATTCCTCTCCTTTCCGCAGTGATTTGATTAAATTGAGCAAGAAAATCAGACAGAGTAAAGACCAAAATGAAAGTCATTTCTATTCTTTTCTATTCTTTTCCTCATTCTAATTCATCTAATCCCTCTTCTATTCTCTAACTCCCTCTCCCCTCTATACTACACTATAACTACTACACTATACTGTCCACTCTTCCCCCCGCTTCCAAGGTTGCCACTCACCGCCTTCAGATCATTTTCGTATCTCTCTCTCCCCCTCACTTCGAAGCGCCTCTCTTATTTCACCCCAGTCAGCCCAGTCATACAGCACCGTGCATTAAACTACTTTGAGCCATTCGGCATTCTATTCCCCTCGATCCTCGCACAATGGCGACTTCCCCCGCCGGCCGCATGCTCAGCCGACAGCTGTCGCAGATGCAATCCGATAAGGACATTCCCGGGATCAGCTGTGGTCTGCTGGATAATAACGTCTTCGAGTGGGAGGTTATGTTGATGATCTCGGACGATGTCAAGCTTTATGGAGGTAGGGATCTTCTTCAATCTCGGACAATGAGTCCGGGATATTCCAGGCCGACACAGCACAGCCTCTTGGAATTCCTGATTCCTGATTCTAATTTGCTGTCATACATTCTGGCGAATGAAGTTACTGACCTTTTTTCTCTCTTTGCAGGTGGCTTCTTTCGTGCTCGCCTCTCATTCCCTACTGAATACCCACATATGCCTCCGAAGATGAAGTTCGAGTCGCCGCTCTTCCACCCAAATAGTAAGTGATCGCCACATCACGACGACATGGGGCCCTGCATGTCGAATCGGAGATTACATGTAGCAGGGATAGGCTCATGTGACTACATTTGGAACCAGTGCTGATCTTTGGATATTTGAATAGTCTACCCGAATGGTGATGTTTGCATTTCTATCCTCCACCCTCCAGAGGAGGATAAGTACGGTTATGAGTCTGCCGCTGAGCGCTGGTCGCCTGTCCAGACCCCCGAGACTATTCTCTTGTCCGTTATCTCGATGCTCTCTAGTCCGAATGACGAGAGTCCCGCAAACGTCGAGGCCGCTCGCTTGTGGCGCGAGGATCCGGCGGAATTCAAGAAGCGCGTCCGTCGCTGTGTCCGAGAGAGCTTGGGCGAGGATTAAGTTATGGATTCAATATAATACCCTCCCTTCTTTTCCTCCCACACTCATCTCCTTGGTCTGTTTACCTTTCCTCTATTTTCATTTTCATGTTCATGTTCACTTTCACTTTCACTTTCATTTTCATCTTCATTCGTCATGGTGCATATGGCTGGTCGTTTTCTTCGGTTGTGTCTTGTGTCTCCCGGTCTCTTTTTTTTTTTGGGAGACTTCGGTGTTGCTGCTCTCCTTAGGGAATGCATGATAGAGCGAGCGAGATGGGGGATTTTTGCTAGGGCGGAATCATCTAACCTCATGGTCATAATATTCCATCTTCAATTACACAATCTAGGTTTGCTGGAGTTTCTTGCGTGCTCTGCTCTACGCATTCGGGTTACTTACTTATGTTTTTGATGATTTACTACAGAAATGAGAATTAAACGAACTTCCACATTGAAGTATATCTTGAGCGTTCTATTAGCTTTCATGTCGTAATAAGTATGTCTAAGGTAGGAAACAGGGGAAGCGCCATAATATAATGATGTAAAGGGCAGCACTTGTGGGTGAATATTAAGAGATAGGACAAATAGGTCATCAACTTGAAAGCGCTGAGATCTAGTTTTGGCTCTTGTGGCCGGTGCGCATCGAAGGAATGAACAGGCCTGGGTGGAAGATGGTGAAGGCCAAACAGGCGAGAGCGATCATCCTAGTTCAAAGTTTAGTTAGAACTGAAAGACAAAAACAAACCTGAAGACGTATAGTTTGACTTACATTCCATCCAATACCAAGAATTCGTCCTCTTTTTGCATCAATGGGCTACCCCAGCCACCAGCCATCTCGGGAATACTATAGAAACGAGTTAGCTGAGCCATCACTTTTGTGTTGATTTCGAGATCATCACTTACCGATAAATACACCGAATCAGAACGGTGAAGTAAGCAAAGATCTCCGCAGCGAGAACCATCCGCATCCGACTAGGAGAGACGGTAGACGTGCTAGTCCCCTCGAGACTCTTCTCCCCAACAAGCCCATTCCCCTTCCGCGAAACATTCCAAAAGAAATGCAGTCCGAATATCCCACAAACAGACATCGTAGCCACCTGAAACGCAATACCAGCAATAATAATATTATCACCCGCCTTCAGCATAGCCGCATCATCATTCCCAGCCGCAGCAGCAACACCACCACCCGCAGCCTGCAGAATCAAAGACCCAATATCACAACTGATGAAGATCCATGTAAATAGTCGAGGCTTCATTTTCGAGTGTTCGGGTCCCAGATTCAGCACGATATGCTTCATTGTTAAATATACGCCTGCAGCGACGAATGTAGGTGCTAACACTAGACAGACGATTTGGAGCTTGAAGGCGCCTGCGTTCCAGGGGTTTGAATGCATTAGGACTCGGCCGATGTAGCCTGCCATCTCCATTAATGCGCCGATTCCGATGGCGACCATGAATGTCCATGTTCGGTAGTGGATTCCTAGTCCGAGTTGTGCGATGGAGATTACGGCGAAGAAGGCTGTGAAGAAGGCATTTCCGCCTAGATTGGGGTAGTAGCCGTATGTTGTTGCTTCGACGGGGCAGGTTAGGGAGACTTGGGAACAGGTTGCGTAGCTCATTTTGGTGGTGATAATTTAAGATTCTGGTCGCTTGGTCGCTTGGTCGCTTGGTCGCTTATATCGTGTGAGAGCTAAAGTCGAGTTCAGTTCAGTTGCGGAGAAAGATCCTTATATGGTAACACAGCGTCGCAGTGGCAGCAGGATCAACAGAAACGACAACGACAGCTGGTATCAGCTAGCGATAATTTATCGCGATGCAATACTGAAAGAAATAGAGACTTGAAGTTGAAAAGTCAATATTGAACTGACAAATCCCCAGGGAAAAAAGTGCGCCTGCTCCATGTTTTCTATTTCCCGCGTCAGCATCAATGGCCAAGAACAAACAGGCTTACGCTGGTCCACTGTGGGGTATATGTGTTAAACGGTCTTATATAAAGTAGTCTGATTGGTTCAAGGATTCGCTTTCGTTCTCGTTATCGTTCTCGTGCTTTGGTTAGACCCACTTGGTGTGGGATTTCGCGTGGGATGAGATTGGATCGGGGATTTAAATCGGATTTGGTCCGCGCGCATTTGCTTTTTTGGGATATTCCAAGAGGCTAAGAGGTATGTTTGTATATGATGGACGTTATGATCTGGTCTTATGTTGAGTTCTCTCGGCATGTAGTATGTATGTATGCTGTCTATTCCGGTCGTTGTCTCTTCACCCAATCATTTTATATTAGTTTTCAAGTTCTAGAATCAGCCTGATTAAATAAATATGACCTGTCCGGGTTGTGCAAAAGAGCTCCAAGGTTGACATTGATCCACCTTGACGTAGATCGACAGGGACAGTGCTGATCCCTACTGATATTGCGTTTGGACAGAGCTTACTCTTCCAGAGTCTAACGCCACTCTAATACAAATACTGGTCTCTAAATATAATCTCTCTTCTATTCCTATGAATCTTATCTTTAGTTTTGGCTAATCCGACAGACGAGACGACGATGATTTCTAACATGATTCGCTGATATGCGCCCGGCATAGAGCTGATGGATGACGAAGCACAGGATCATCTATCCACGCACGTTTTGGATGAGTTAAAGTAAAGGGATTTACTGTGAGATCATCACTTTTATTGATATTCTGCATTCATTTCTATAGCTGTTGTTAATATTCATGACTTTCCGACTTACTTCTATACTGTGGACTTCTCGGCCCCGTGCGGCTGGAGTCCTATACCTCCGTCGAAAGTGATGACGCAGATCGCCTGTCGCGGGGATATTCTCCGCATAGTATGAAACTAGGCGCACGGTCATGCAAAGGCTGTTATGAGCGATAAGTTCGCTGTGATCGCGGACTGCCTTGTACCAACTGTTTGAGGAACGGTAGGACATGTGCATATCCTACGCCGAAGATCATGGCTTTCAACCCATGGTTGACCTCGTAAATCGGGGCCTGCGACTTCTTTTAAACGTGAATGACAACCAACTTTATCCAGAAATAACATTCCTGTCGGTTGAAATCTAGTGGTTGGATGGAGATTTCCTTCTTTTTGTTTCAAAGTGAGTCATGTCGATCGATACATCCGATGCTGGATAGTGGAGGCCAACATCCCAAGGATGCTTTTCTTGAAGTCAGAAGCAAGCGAAAGAATATTCAAGATTCCTACCAATATCTGCTAAGTAGATATGAATTTTCATCGGGCTCTGAAGCGCAGAATAATCTGTTGCAAATCATGACTCAACATACTATTACCACTGCTTGTAAGAAGATGGAGTTTGTATTGCCGCTGCGAGAGGAGATCATTATCCGGAAACAAACGGATGCGCAAAACTTGGAGGAAACAACATGAAACGCTTAAGATGTCATTTAAGTTGGCCTGCGAAGCGTTGGAGAGTAGTCATGTGTTATTGAAAGAGGGAATGGTTCTTCAGCACGTACACGCAATGGTACGTCCTTGCTTTGGTTTTACGGTGTCTTTCTAGCAATCCGGGTGCCTTTGGGACAGAACGTGCGTGGATGCTGGTTGAAGAGCTTTTTCTATCGCGAGCGATTCGCCATGAATGTTCGATGGGGGTTTGAGGATGAATTTACGCATGGTATTGTTTGAAGATGGTTGTATCTGCTCCCGATATCAAGCTTTGTTAGCGAGGAAAGATGCGCATATGAGGGTTACCGAGTCAGCTGTTAGAGTGAATATCTCTAGCAGTCATAGGGGGTGTTCTTGCCAATCTCTTGCCAATCTTGGGTTTTCATCAGTGACTAGTACATTGGCGACAACAGGCGAAGCATCTTCAGCCCCAGAATTGGGGAACGGATTCATGGATACGTTTTTTTCAAAATCCCGTTCCATTCTTGGATATGCAAATTCTGGAGGTTTCATTCTTACTTGATTGGAATGCTATCCTCAATGGCTGCTTCCATGATGATGGTCATGAGATAAATATATCCTTCTTTCCCCCATAATTCACACGCTGAAGTTGCTTTTCTTCGGGGCGGTAGTAGATGTTGAGATGGATACTTTGGAGAAGGTTTATAATATAGTCCAATGAGTTTATCTCTAACGTTCCAGGGTGTTAAGGTAGTAGAAACTTACGTAGCAATCACGAATGAATTTCCCAAAGTGGATTAGGGGACTGTATTGGTAGCCCATTAAAAGTGGATTCAATGCTCGGACCACGGAAGTCTTTCTACGTACAGGCCAGTCCGGGCGCATAGCTTCAGTTATCATCAATATTATTGGTAGCCCATTATAGTGGATTCAATGCTCGGACTACGGAAGTCTTCTACAGGCTAGTCCGGGCGGACAGCCTCACAACCTACTGCGAGATCTGCCTTGGCTTCTCCGTTGGCGCCCAAGGTTGGTTAAAGGGAGATTATGATTGGTCTGGAAAAGCAAGGCTCGAGAAGACGTGCGGGCATCACGAGGGTGCGAGTGCCGAAGGAGTCAGCCAATATTTGCATAAGTATAAATAGCATCCTTTATTCCCATGTTGAAGGGCCCCCAACCCTTGAAAACTTTGTCATAACACGGACTCGGAGTCTTTGAGTTACATCTACATCTACTTCGCCCAACTGTCGATCAAACATAACTTGAACAAAGCAGCATCCGAGTTCAACAACAAATCAAAGACGTCAAGTGCAAAATATAGCCCAAGGAGAGGCCTGATATCAATAATGTCCACTTTTACACCGGTCTCCACGCCGCCGTCAGAAGTCAGACCCCGATCACAATATTTCAACCAACAATTACACAATGTACGTCTAACCACAATTCTTTTCCCATCTCTCAACTAATCTTTTGCGTTACAGCTTTTCCGTGATGCATTGTCGCTGCAAACCTGGCTCTTTCTCGGTGCTCTACTGCAATCTACACTCTTCCTGCTCATTCCAACCAGTATCGCAATTCTACCTGTCATCTTATATTTCACCATCTGTTTCATCGACAATGCTCTAATTTACAGTGGCATACGCCCAAATCCACTCATGGCCAATATAATTCCTGGTAAAACCTCCGCACAATTCCCTGGCAGCACAATTCCATCACAGCATCCGATTGTCGTCATCAAGCTCGCCGCTCGCACCAATCACCCTCTTGGAATTATTCATCCGCACATGCGAAAGATCGGAACCTATTTCAATCGCATGATTGATGATCTTGACGAGAATAGTGAAGAATATGGCTATTTAGGCGCTAATAGCTACCTGGCCAATGAGCGATCAACAGGCAACGAGCTCATGATTATGGCGTACTTTCGTACATATGACGGATTGCATGCATTCTCGCATGAGAATGGTGTTCATCGTGAAGCTTGGAATTATTGGAATACTCAGGTTATGGGAAGAGGTAAAAATGAGGAGGGGCGGATGTTTAGTATTATGCATGAGGCGTACGAGGTTCCTGTTGGGAAGTGGGAGAACATATTCATTAATTATCATCCTAGTGGGGTTGCTGCGACGACGTTTAAGGTCGATGTGGATGGGAAGGAGAAGTGGGCTAGTCCAATGGTTGATGCGAGGAAGGGACTGTTTAGGACTAGTAAGGGGCGCATGGCAGCGAGCGCGGGAGATGAGAATGAGATCTATGGGAATGATCCATATGCGAATGAGAAGGCTTGATTGGATTTAGGTACTAAGTTGACTTCTTGATGAGAAGATGAAATGTTTGAAGTCGTGTTTGGATGTTGTAATAACTGTTTCGAGTTGTATCCTCGTTAACCCCCTAGCCAGGGCATATCTGCAGCAATGAATGGATTACGAGAACATGGAGCTGTATACAATTCTTCGATCGGGTATTTCACATGCTTTGCTAAAGAGTAATAACATACAGAGGGACTTGTACAATATAAAATCCAGGATATAATCTTGAATTCAGTTCACACCTGGCATGGGAACATGAACAATGTCATGGTGACAAATTGACTCAAGAGGTTTTGGTGCCTCCACCACACCAACAACGGCCTTCTCCATCACGTTCTACCTGGACCACAATATCCATGCCTTTGTCTTTGAGATAGCTCACCGTTCTCTGGCGCACATCTTCGAGATCAGAACCACGGGAGGCAATGACATGAATCACACCGAAAAGTTTTTGTGCTTTGGCTTCATGATCATGATCATGGTCGTGGGCGTGGGCGTGGTCGTGGCCATGGTCATGGTGTTCATGGTGGTCGTGACTATGTTCATGGTCGTGACTGTGAGAGTGAGTATGAGGCTCGGCATGACCACAGCTTGCCTGGCCATGAGAATGATCGTGATCGTGAGAATGCTCCGCAGAGGGCCCAGTATCGTCGAGCCAGAACTTTGGCACAGTATATCCAACAACACCCCGTAATGTACTGACTCCAGCAAGCGTTTCACGCACATTGTATTCTGTATCCGCAGGCAAAGCCAGAAGCAAAGTCTTGGCTGTACTAATGACTAGCGGAACGGCAGAGGCAAAGATCAAAATCGCAATGAAGCATGAGGCCAGAGGATCGTAACCGGACCATCCAGAGTAATGCACAAGAATGGTGGAGATTACTACAGCCACAGAGCCCAGTGTGTCGGCAAGAATGTGCAAGAAGATACCATGCATGTTTTCGTTACCATGAGAGTGGTCATGGCCATGGTCATGGCCGTGGTGGTGACCGTGCTCGAAGCTGAAAATACCAACCAGGTTGACGAGGAGTCCGGCAAAGCTGACAGCCAGTAATTCACCGATGCGGTGCATTTCGCTACCCGAGGAGAGCCTTTCTACAGCCTCGTATATGATCTCCACGCTGATAATCCTGCTAGTTGTTAGATTTTGTTTCGCGACGAAGGGCTGACAGTGACTCACATGAGAAAGATGCCATTAGCAAAGCCAGACAATGTATCGACCTTGCCGTAACCGTATGGAAAGCTAGCATTTGGTGGCCACTTGCTCATCACTGCAGCACAAAGACCGACTACCAGAGCCAGACAATCAAAAAACATGTGAATGCTGTCGCTAAGAAGTCCGAGTGATCCAGTAATGAAGCCGTATGATAACTGGACAAGCATGAATGCGAAATTGAGACTGTAAATGTAAATGTGAGCAAGGAAGAACTGCCTAGAATCAAGAACTGATTGAAAGACGTACCACATAAAGTAGAAAATACTGCGAGAATCCTTTTCTCTAACAATGCTATGAAGTAGGGGATATGCTTCACTGCGGTGAATAAGCCATTTTGTGACTCGAGTTGTGGATTCCGGGGCTATGGAATGTGAGTGAGAATGATGATTGTGATTGTGTGATTGATCATTAAGTCGAAGGTGGCTATCATCCATCTTTGAAGCGAAGAATGAGATGCCGGTCAAGACGCAGCGTGCCGCATAAACGGGCACAATTTCATCTCGAATATGAGGCGAGCAAAGGAGAGCTGCGGCTCCAGTGCAGATGGCCAAGCCATTTTTGTTAGGAGAACGAATGCCACTTGGGAATGAGAACATCAAGGAGATCGCCAACAGTCCACTAGGCACGAGCATGTAGATCAAATCCGATGGCTCGAATGGTAGCCCACGGGAGAACATTGCAGCCAAAATAAGCAAACCTGACCCTGAAAGCAGAGCTAAAGGAGCATCCGTCGTGACCACAATACCTGCTTGGTTCACCGCGGATGATTTTGTCTTGGATATCGATTCCGCAACAAGACCAGGCTCGGGAATAGGCCCTTGGTGGCGAAGAGATGGGAAGGGCGGAGAAAGTACAAAGACGGATATCAAAAGCGCTAGATATCCCATGAATGGGGAAGAGTCCCATGGCTTGTTCAAACCAAAGAAACTCAATACCATCACGAAACCCAGAAGCGCAATTGTCAACTTCTTTCGGCTATACTTCTCAGAGGCTGCACTGCGGAGGTTTCCTTGTACTAAATTCGGGACTCCCGACGCAGTTGCAAGGAGCAACGCAAAGGCAACCAAAAATCCACCTACTTTCATTGCGGCGTAAATCGGTAAACCGATGGCAACCACTTGCAAGAATGCTGCCTGCGCAGTCTTGACCGTAAGTGCAGGGGACTTTACAGACGAAGCGGGGCCGTTTGCTTGATTCTTCCGCAGAAGTTGCACCCCTCCAAAGATTATGAGGGCGAATGCGGTCAGGACGCTAGCCTTCTGTCCAGCTTGTCCGATTCCCATTGAACTAGCTTTCGCCGCGGCGCTGGGAGCTTGACACGCTTCTGCGCACTTCCGTGGATACCAAGACAGTGCAATCCAAGGGGATGCGATAAGAGCACCAGCAAGAATCTCATGTCTAAAGGATATCAGTATGTCTGCTTCCATTTTCAATTTTTGCGAAATCCTGATAACTCACAGTTGGTTGGGACGGCTATCCGTATAGCTTGTTGTCATCGGCTTCACATCGTGATCATGCGACACATCATGAATAGAGGCTACGCTGTGGTTTTGAGCATGCGCGTGGGCATGGCTATGACTGTGGCTGTGGCTATGGTTATGGCCGTGGTCGTGATCGTGGTCGTGATGGACGTGCGATGACGAGTGGGAGTCCGTGTGCTGGTGCATATGGGATGTCGAATTGTGAGAGGCATGGCCATAAGCATAGCTTCCATTCGTGGCCGTCGTTGTCTCTGGAATAGTCGATCCGTTCACATTTGATCCTCCGAGGGACAGAGGAGGGGGCGGCGTGTGTCCATAGCGGGACCGATTGTGTCCGCGACCACGACTGTGGCTGTGAGTGTGACCATTTGATATCGATGGAGGAGCAAGGTCCGCAGCAAAAGGCGGCGGCCCCGTCGACATGATCTGAATCGAAGCAAATGCGGGATCGAGATCGAGTAGGAGATTCTAGCAAGCAAATAGACTAGGGGGGTTTGGCCGCTCGGTGCCAAGATCCGGGGGGCTTTGGAAGCTCAAATCGGGAGTCAGGTAGTGAGGAGTGTGACAAGCATTGCGCGTCGTATTCGTAGGGCTGATATTGAATTGGCCAGGTAAGTCGAAAGGTGCTCCACTCAAGTGGACGAGCACCGACACTAAGAGACTTACTTGAGTTAACGTTAGTTCTTCCTCAATTGTGTTTCGCGGACCTTGGGGGGCAGGCACGTGATTGCCTTATCGCGACCGACAATCAACAATCAACGCATCTGCTTTGGACACATCACACATTGTTAAGGCTGGGTGCTGTTCAGAGGGATGCGCCTGTGGTCACGCTCGTCATGATTGAGACACTCATCAATGTTGCCTTCTGTGTTTTCAGCGTGTTGACGCTGTTGATATTTCTACTCCCATCGCAGTATGATCCCCGCTCAGCGCCATCCGGAGAGAGCTCCTCGCGACCGAAAACGAAAACAAGCGTACAGATTCTTGTGTTAGGAGACATTGGCCACAGTCCGCGCATGCAATATCATGCATTGAGTATTGCTCGAAATGGTGGAGAGGTGGTGATAATTGGATATGCCGGTAGGTCCTCGGATTTGGAGGAAGGATGCATCTTGCTGAATCTGACGATAAATCAATTCAATTGCTGATCTCTTATGTGTATAAGCAGATTCCGATCCTCATCCTGACATTATCTCACATCCGAATATCTCCATCGTACCTATCCGACCTCATCCAGCCATCCTACAAACAAGCAATAAACTCCTCTTCATCTTATATGGTCCATTGAAGGTGCTGTTTCAGATTGTATGCCTATGGCGTTGTCTGGCATATACCACCTCCCCATCACGATGGCTGTTGGTCCAGGTATATAATCCCCAACATCGTAAACAGACAAACAAACGAGGTGAACATGTGCTGACCGGAGAAGAATCCCCCCTCCATTCCTTGCCTAGCTGTGGCCTCCCTATCCTGCTTCCTGCGGCAAACCCGGCTCGTCATCGATTGGCATAACTTCGGATACTCTATCCTGGCATTGAAACTAGGCGCCAGTCATCCGCTTGTGAAACTGTCATTGCAGTACGAGAAGATCTTCTGCAAATCAGCAACCGCCCATTTCTGTGTAACCGACGCAATGCGCTCGGTCCTCAAGAAAGACATCAAGCTGCAAGCTCCCATCTTGCCTCTGCATGATCGCCCTGCAAGCCACTTCAGTCCAATCATGGACCCTGATGCACGCATCCAATTTCTAACACAGCTCCCCGAAGCGAAACCTATGCGCGCTGCCTTGGAGTCGGGAAACATGCGGGTGCTGGTCAGCTCGACTTCGTGGACGCCTGATGAAGACTTTTCTATTCTCATCGAAGCCTTGCTACAGTATTCCGCCCTTGCTACTTCGCAATCCGACTTGCCTGAGATCCTAGCGATCATCACGGGCAAAGGCCCTCAAAAGGAAATGTACCTTCAGGAAATCAGAAGCCTGGAAGCCGCGGGCAAGCTTGGGAAGGTTACCATTCGCACAGCCTGGCTGAGTATGTCAGATTATGCAAAACTTTTGGCCTCTGCTTCGCTCGGTGTAAGTCTGCATACTAGTAGTAGCGGAGTAGACCTGCCAATGAAAGTCGTCGATATGTTTGGTGCTGGTCTGCCCGTCGTGGGCTGGGATCGCTTCGAGGCATGGCCTGAGCTGGTGACGGAGGGAGTGAATGGGATGGGATTTGGCAGTTCAAATGAACTATCAGAACAACTGGTTCAATTATTCGGAGACGACAAGAAGCTTGAGGCCCTACGCGAGGGTGCTCAGAAAGAAAGCACTCGGCGCTGGGATGATGAATGGGATCCCATAGCAGGTAAGCTGCTTGGGTTAACATGACACGGTGAACCTCTTCATCCCAAATAAAAAAAGAAAACTCAAAGTAAAGATGAACATATCAAATCAACCTGGAGAAGAAAGGATTAAGAGATCAGCGCCGAATTCTTCATTTCTTCCTGCTGGTTTGGTGGTTATTTTCGCCCACTACTAACCCTGGATGCTAGCCTGGAACTTTCTGTTGCAGTATATGCAGGTATCGAACGCCTCAAAAAGCTGCACAAATGTTTCACTAACGTCGCCGCCACGCGTACGAGCCAAAAGGTCCTCATCAAAATATTCTGTCCGGCAAAAAGGGCAAAATTTGGACATGCCGGGTTCTTGAATGGCCAGAAGGCTTAGTCCGCAGCGCACTTAAGGCAAGACACGTTAGCACCACGTTAGATAAAGTGTCGATATAGGATAGATACTTACCAAATAAGTGACCGTTTTCACACTGCGCTTCTCTCGGCGATTCCCATGATATACCCGCGTCGCAAATTTCACACCATTCATAAAGCCGGCTACCAGGTCCAGTACGGTCGTTGCTTTTCCTGGCAGATATTGTAGAAGACCCATCGTTGCATTTGGAGATTTCCTCGCTCAGATCCGCCTCTGCGTTGCTAGATGATAGTCGTTCCAAACACCTTTGAGCTTGCGCTCGGATCGATTCACTGTGTTTGTCCACTATGGCACAACAAACTGCAGCATAAGATAGCTTCTGGTTTTCAGGGTCTGCGTCGCTCTCCTGCTCTGTTGTAGATAAAATAAACGATATAACTTTGGCTCGTTGTTCACGAGCAGAATTCCCTTCATTTCCTTCAGAGCTTGGCAAGAATAATGCGTGATAATCAGGAGGCTTGCCGGTTGTTTCGTCGATGAACCCGAGGAAAGTTTTCTCGGTAGATATCATTCGGTATTCGATCATGTTGGTCGGATGCATAGTGAATAGAAATGCGATTAATCCACGATGGGCCGATAAGCCCCAGATGCGAGTGACAGTGTGGCCTCCTAGATCACGGTCCAAATCATATCCCTCCTCATAACGCGTAACCTGCTTCTTCCACTGTGGAACATGCCAATTACTGAGATCTCCAGATTCAGAAATATCGATTGCACCTCCAAATCGTCCAGCTGTGCCGAGATGAAGGGTGGAGGTGGCATTATCCTCATTATCCATATTAATCAAACCTGTAGAAATAAGCTAGATTCTAGAACATAAGGAAATTTTACCACTCACTTGAAATAGGCTGCATGTGATGAGTATTTTGGTCTGTTTCGTCTGAAAAGGGCCATTCAGCGACATCTATCTCGTCCATGTTTGGATTGCTGCAATCCCAGATACTCAGGGGGCATGAGATGGTAAGAATGCTACCAAGTGTACCCACTGAAAGTGTAGCTTTTTCGGATTGTCCCTGTCATAAGTCAAAGTCAATTAACGGCTCTCAGCTTGGAAGCTTTCTGGCTCACATACCGTGTGCAACCATTTAAGAGGCCCTGATATTCGATGCGAATCCCAATTTTGAGACGCTTTTGTTATTTCATGATCTTTGAAATCGACCATTACCTCGTGTCGAGGTGTCATTTCTTCATGTGGGTACGTATCCATCAATCCAATCTTAGCCTGTAAAAACCGGAGTTGTGACCCATAAACAACAGCGATTACAGTAGTTGCTGAGTATACATTTGCAAAATTGCTTAAGTTAAGCCACGGGCTGCACGAAATGGAGGTGATGCGAGATTTCGACTGAAGTGCCTTTTGAAAGAGTGAGCCGGCATGTACCATCGGAAACTGTTTTTCGGCTCCATCAAGAAGATGAGCGTGAAGTTTCTTTATAACATATGCTTGTGATGAAGCTTGAAGCCCGGCCGGTCGATGTACCCGTAGCAAAACGATTTCGTTGGCATCAGTTGTCACGGCTAGTAGTTGTACACCCCATCGAGATTCAGGCGGCACTTTTGAACTTGACGTATTGAGTTGTGGAACTTGAATAGGTGTGCACCATTGGAAGGAACGGATATTTGAGCTTCTGAGATCAGCTCCCCCGAGATCCTGGGACGGGTCAGAGCTTGGGTAGAGTGCGTGGTTGACAATGGTAAGTCGAATCCATTGGCCATTGGGCCCAATCGGTTCCCAAAGGGATAGGATCAAATTTGACGTCAAAATCGCCAAAACGCTCCGACGATACCTCGCTAAACCTGATGGTGACCAGGTAAGCCCAAGGACAGTGCTTGGTGATTGTTCAACGCCGATTGAGGCATCCTCTCGGTTTTGGGGGAAGACCACTCCCCACTCGTCACTTGTGAAGGCATTTACTCGCGGAATGCGGGTTGCGTGCCAGCCATTTGTTTCTGAGTTGTTTTGCTCGCTAGGCTTCCAGGTCTAGTAGAACGTCAGTAACGTCTGATGAATAATGTTCGAATATTTCCACGTACAAAGATATGGACTTGGTCACCTGCTGCTACTGCAATCTCTCCATCCGGCGACCAGTCAATGGCTCCAAAGCAAGAAGGGAAAATGCTCAACTCAATGGGCTGAGACATGTTGTTCTTTAATCTTTTCTTCTTTGGGGTGGGAGAAGAGACAAAAAGAAGATCACTCCGATCACAGAGTTAATTTGCGGTTTTAATGATGCATCGGAATAGACAGACGAAATGTGGAATGAGAGAAGAAGTTCGTGAGATCTGAACGTTTTGAACGCGATGTTATAGGTGCCCGATATGGACTAGCGTACTTCGGCCCGTCTACAAAGGCTGGAGCATACTAACAGGGCAGTGAACATCATGATGGATAATACTAAATATATGATATCATTTATTATAATAAATCTGTAATACTGTATATCAAATTTCCTATTAATTCTAGCACGTGGTTACATCCATGGATAATAATATGTAGTCCGGCCCGGGGCTTCCAAGCAAATGTTGGACCTTGAATACTACTACTATGTACTAGTAGTAAAATCACAACCTCAAGGCATATATCTCAGTATGTACTGCCTACTAGGTACTATATAGTAGACCCCAGATTATGCCAATTGATTCGTCATTCCAAGGTTCTTTTTGTTTTTTCATTATATCAAGAGTAAAAGCTAGAGGGACAACAAGATGATTCAAATGCGATTTACTAAAATTCGCGAAATATATTTTCAGGGGATATGCGTTGAAATTACAGAGAGGTGCCAAAAGCAACCTGGGTGGGATGATGAGGGTATCATGGGAAATATTTCTGAATGGTGCATGTGTTGGTTTAGTCCACGCGATCCAACTTCTGGATAACCATAGCAGTAGCTGCGCCACCTCCATTGCAGATAGCAGCAACGCCATACTCGCCTGGCTGCAACTGGTGGAGCAGAGTGACCAGGATACGAGATCCAGAGCTACCCAGAGCATGGCCCAGTGAGATTGCACCACCAAGCATGTTGACCTTGGCATTCTCAAGACCGAGAATCTGGGAGAAATTTGAGTTAGTAATTTGCATCATCAAAAAGGAGCATAATTCAGGACTTGATTTTTACCTTTTCATTAGCCTTAATGACCGCGGCAAAAGCTTCGTTGAACTCCCAAACAGCAACTTGGTCCTTAGTAATACCAGCACGCTCCAATGCGATCGGAACAGCCTTGGAGGGAGCAACAGGGAAGTCCACCGGGTCAATGGCAGCATCAGCTGTGGACACAATACGGGCTAGTGCACGTCCACCAGTACCGAACTCACGGGCAAGATCTCTGTTACCCAAGACTAGAGCGGACGCACCGTCATTCATGGTAGAAGAGTTGCCTGCGGTTACAGTGCCAGTGCCATCACGCAGGAAAGCAGGCTTAAGAGTCCTGAGCTTGTCTGCACGCAGATTCTCGAATCCCTCGTCTCTCTCAATCAGAGTCTCTCCTTTCTTGTCCTTGATAGTAACGGAGGCAATCTCGTCTGCAAATCGGTTCTCTTTCCATGCCTGTTGGGCTCGCTCGTATGAACTAATGGCGTATTCGTCTTGCTGTTCTCGGGAGATTTCATACTTCTTTGCGCTTTGCTCGGCGCAGATACCCATGTGGAATTGGTTGTACACATCCATCAAGCCGTCTTTGATCAACCCATCCTGCAATTTTATCTCTCCAAAGGGAGGCAGTTGAGAAGATCGGGGTAGGTAATATGGAACTCTGGACATGTTCTCCATACCACCTGCCACTTGGGCCTCTGCAAGACCTAGCTGGATATTCTGGGCCGCAAGAGCTACCGCCTTAAGACCTGATGCGCACACTTTGTTGATTGTTGTGGATTCTACTGTAGAGGCTAACCCTGCAAACATAGCTGCCTGACGAGCTGGGGCCTGGCCAATAGCCGCTTGCAGCACATTTCCCATATATACATCGGTGACTTTGTCGACTGGGATATTCGACTTGCTAAGGGCGGATTTGATGGCTACAGCACCGAGCTCGGGCGCCGAGAGGGAGGTGAATGAACCATTGAACTAATGACCCGATTGTTAGTATTCTGAGTCTTTTGAAGTTCCTTTTACCTACAAGGACTTACCTTCGCAGTTGGTGTTCTGGCAGCACTTAGAATATAGGCCTCCTGGATCTCCTTCAAACTCGGGCGTGCGGAGCTGAACTGCCTTTGAGCGCGGAATGCGGGGACGGCAACTCGTTTGGAGAGCCGGACGGACAGCCCTGTAGGAGGAATCATGGTGGCTTCGTAAATAGAGTAGACCTGACTGATCAGTGAAGAAAAGAGAGTCTCGACAACAATAGATGCAGAGAAGAAAGAGCAATCAACATTCTTACAGCCTTGAGAAGTAAAAGTACCACGGCGTGCATCCGTTGCCGCACCCGCCTTTAACCGCCTGGGCCGAGGCTGTTGATGATCACATGACATGACATAATGCTAGATCTCGGATAAACCTCTGCAGCCTTATCCGGACATATTCCCCATTTGGGCTGTTAATCCGGCGTTGTTCCCCTCCTCCCGCGTGCTCGTTGAGAGGAACGCCATAGTCCTGCAAACGCTGGAGCTTCGTCTTGCCTCCTCCAACAACTACCACGATTTTCCATATTCCCGTTGTATTCCTCAACCTACGCATTACATTCCGCCGTCATGTCCACATCCGCCCGTCGTCGTCTTATGCGTGACTTCAAGGTCAGTACCCAGCAGCTTGAAGCAATGGAGGAATGTCATTAGGTGATTAAAATATGTCAACATGTATCTTGACTCGAGAACTCTACATCTTTCTCAACAAATTATTTTTCTTTTCCAATTTGACGTCCTCAATCCTATTCCTCCATTGCTATCTTCGCTCCCCATCCTCCCACCAAGGTCCTTACGATCGATTTCATGGCCACCCCGCTAATGCAAACTTCATGATTATAGCGCATGCAAACCGATCCTCCCGCCGGTGTTTCCGCTTCACCTGTTGCTGATAATGTCATGACATGGTAATTGACCATTTGTTTCACCCATTTCGATATTGAGTTTCAACCCGCTGATTCGCCTGTAGGAATGCCGTCATAATTGGCCCCGCAGACACGCCATTTGAAGATGGTACCTTTCGCTTGGTGATGAATTTTGAGGAGCAATACCCGAACAAGCCGCCTGGAGTGAAATTCATTAGTCAAATGTTCCATCCTAATGTTTACGGCACTGGAGAACTCTGCTTGGATATTCTCCAAAACCGCTGGAGCCCGACTTACGATGTGGCGGCTATCCTGACAAGCATTCAAAGGTAGCGTGACCATCTATTCTGCCCTTTTCTGTTATCGTTTCGTGTGTGTCACTTTTGCGAACATAAGTCACTGACTGTACATTGTCACCTCTAGTTTACTCAATGACCCTAACACCTCCTCCCCCGCCAACGTTGAGGCTTCCAACCTTTACAAGGACAATCGCAAAGAATATATTAAACGTGTCCGAGAGACTGTGGAAAAGAGCTGGGAGGACTAAATGTCCTGGTTTTTCCTGGTTTGATACCTCTTCTGCACTGATGGGTTGCGTTTATACATTATTTTAAAGTTTGTCCGATGCTGGGGCCGAAACAAGCCCGCGGATGGAAATACCGAAGTGCATAATCGCCTTCAATCGGGCCGTTTAATCTGCACAGCGTGGGGTTTGGGGCGCCTGGTCTTCTTTTGTCTTTGGTACCTGCTTTTTGTCATCGCAGGGAAGTTTTGTTTTCTTGTTGCATCTTTCTGTGTGTGCATCAACCATTCCCATTTCGTTCCATAGCACTTTTTTTTCCTTCTGTTTCCTTTTCTTTTCTCCTCTTTTCTTTCCTTTCCTTTCCTTTTCTTCTTCTTTTTTCTTTGGTCGTCGCATTATCACTTGAATATTGCAAAATATTGGAAACATTTGTTGACTGATACATTCATGGTCTAATCTTGTAGTCTACATATACTCACTACTATCTATGCCATAGTACAAGCTTAGTGTAAATAACACTGATATCTAATTATCTGACTAGTCAATTACATTAATAACCAAGTATATTATTAGCCAACCCATAAAAATCCTCAAATATGAAAATTCGAGCATAAATGTGGCTATACATAGTAGAATGGCCGCTTTGTACTATGTAGATCATCGCGTCAACTCCGGGGCGGTCGGCAGCAACTCAAACGGGCGACTGTCAACAAATCCACATCCACACCACTATTCTACTTTTCTCTCTTTCAACCTCGGAAATCCCGCCTGGTGTGCTGGATTCGCTACGTGTTGCGGGTTTTTTGTTTGCGTTTCTGATTCTTCATTCATTCATTTTTTCCCCTTTACTTTTCTCCGCTTTAGTGGAGGAACCCCCTGACCCTGGACCCCCCCAAGGCAGAAAACCCCCCGTGACACAACTCGAAGCCCCTCAACATTGGTCTGCCCCTCGTCGGGGCTTTTTTTCTTTCGCTCATTCTTGTGAACTGCAAATATGGCGTGAGTATATTCCTCCGCTGGATTCTGCTCTCCAGGCGTCCCACTAACACCATCAACAGGTCTGCGGGGTCGAATACGATTAAGGGTATTTAGCCATAACACCGAATATTCAGTGTTTAGACAAGCAACATAGCTAACACAAAGTGCACAGTGGTCGCCCGTTTCCGTCCCCAGAACAAGGTTGAATTGGGCTCTGGTGGTACGCCGGTTGTCGACTTCGAAAATGAGGAATCGTGCGCGATCAACGTGAGAATATAATCGATCTACGAAACGACAAGGAGACGTGCTAATTTGGATTTTCAGTCCCGAGAGGGAACAGGGTCCTTCACCTTTGATCGCGTCTTTCCGATGGGCTCTGCGCAAGCCGATATCTTCGATTTCTCGATCCGACCCACTGTCGATGATATTCTGAATGGATACAACGGAACGGTTTTTGCATATGGTCAGACTGGTGCCGGAAAGTCGTATACAATGATGGGATCTGATATCGATGACGATGAGGGCAAGGGTATAATCCCGCGTATTATTGAACAAATTTTCGCCAGCATCTTGACTAGTCCGAGCAACATCGAATACACCGTGCGGGTCAGCTATATGGAGATTTACATGGAACGAATTCGTGATCTGTTGGTACCGCATAACGACAATCTACCGGTACACGAAGAGAAGGCTCGTGGTGTTTACGTCAAGGGGTTGTTGGAAGTCTATGTGTCAAGCGTGCAGGAGGTTTACGAAGTGATGCGTCGGGGTGGAAATGCTCGAGCTGTAGCTGCCACCAACATGAACCAGGAATCATCTCGCTCCCACTCCATCTTCGTTGTCACGATCAGCCAGAAGAACGTCGAAACCGGGTCAGCCAAGAGTGGCCAGCTTTTCTTGGTCGATTTGGCTGGTAGTGAGAAAGTCGGGAAGACGGGAGCCAGTGGTCAGACACTGGAAGAAGCCAAGAAGATTAATAAGAGTTTAAGTGCTCTTGGAATGGTCATCAATGCGCTCACTGACGGAAAATCAACTCACATTCCGTACCGTGATTCGAAACTCACTCGAATTCTACAGGAGTCTCTTGGTGGTAACTCTCGAACAACCTTGATTATCAATTGTTCGCCCAGTAGTTACAATGACGCTGAAACGATTTCTACTTTGCGATTCGGTGTTCGAGCGAAGGCTATCAAGAACAAGGCGAAGGTCAACGCCGAATTGAGCCCAGCTGAGATGAAGCAGCTTCTTCGCAAGGCCCAAACCCAAATGACTACATTTGAGACATATATTTCTGCTCTAGAAAGTGAAGTCAATACGTGGCGTGGTGGTGACAGTGTGCCCAAGGATCAATGGACCCCAGCTCGCGGAAATGAAGTTGTCAGCGCTGCGAAGGCAGAGGTACGCACTCCTCGCCCGGCTACTCCATCCCGCTTGCAGGAGGCAGCTCGAGCAGACACTCCACGCCCCGACTCTCGCCTTGGAGACCGCTCCAGCACTCCCAGCCTCGTATTGGAGAAGGACGAGCGGGAAGAATTCCTTCGCCGCGAGAATGAATTGCAGGATCAAATCGCAGAGAAAGAATCTCACATTGTCAACGTCGAGCGCAGTTTGCGCGAGGCTCGAGAGGAATTGAAGTCTATAAAAGAGAACGCTGGACGGTCTGGCAAGGACAACGATCGACTGAACACCGAGGTCAATGAGTTACGCATGCAACTCGAAAAGGTTTCCTACGAAGGCAAAGAAGCTGCGATTACGATGGATGGCCTCCGCGAGGCCAACTCTGAACTCACAGGTGAATTAGATGAGGTAAAGCAACAGCTTCTTGATGTACGCATGAGGGCCAAGGAGACTACCGCAGCGCTGGACGAGAAAGAGAAGAAGAAGGCCGAAAAGATGGCCAAGATGATGGCTGGATTCGACCTGGGTGGTGAGGTGTTTTCAGATAATGAACGCAAGTTACAGGATCTAATTCACCGTGTTGATGCCCTTCACGAAGTCAGCGCATCCGGAGAGACTGTTGCGCCGGATGACATCCTTGAGCTTCGTACAAGCCTTCTGGAAACTCAAGGGTTCATTCGTCAAGCCGAATTGACTATGACCGACCGAGGCGACTTACGCGAGCTGCAGGACAGCCGCCGTGTTGAGTTGGAGACGAAACTACACGAAGTTCAACAAGAATACGAAGGTCTCTTAACTCGAAATTTGGGTGAGAGTGATGTCGAAGAGGTCCGTGAGCGATTAGAAAAGTCTTTCGTCAGTCGCAAGGAAACCGAGACCGCGGCAGTTGACGAACTACGCACTGAAATCACTCGCAAGAATGAGGAACTGGCCAAAATGCGAGAATCCCTCGTCGATACGCAATCCCGCACCTCCTCGAATGGTGCAGCTAGCAAAACGTTGCAGCAGCAAATTGCTGAGTTCGACGCTATGAAGAAATCCCTGATGAGAGACCTACAAAATCGCTGCGAGCGTGTGGTAGAACTCGAAATTTCATTGGATGAGGCTCGAGAACAGTACAATAACGTCCTTCGATCATCCAACAACAGGGCTCAGCAAAAGAAGATGGCCTTCTTAGAACGCAACTTGGAACAATTGACTCATGTCCAACGACAACTTGTGGAACAAAACAGCAGTCTGAAGAAGGAAGTGGCTATTGCGGAGCGCAAATTGATTGCCCGAAATGAGCGCATTGCTAGCCTTGAAAGCTTACTTCAAGAAAGCCAAGAGAAGCTAACCCAGGCCAATCATCGGTATGAATTTCCCATCGTCTCTATCTTAATATCACCATTGCTAACCATCTACACAGATTCGAAGCGCAGCTTACAGCAGTGAAGGAGCGATTAGAGGCTGCCAAGCAAGGTTCTACGCGCGGCCTCCCATCTATGGACAGCAATGGCGGTTTCAGCTTCGGAGGGTCTCGCATTGCAAAGCCACTTCGTGGTGGCGGTGGATCGGATGGACCGATCGAAAACGCAGCTGTTGCAGGAGTGCAATCACAAGAGTCCTCTGGTAAACGATCCAGCTGGTTCTTAAATCGTAAATAGTCCCACGACAGTGACAAGAACGGCCTAGATCAACCTTTGCGATGGTGATTGTATTACTACGCGAAAGTTGACTTTTTTTGGTGTTGGAATTCGATCGAATTTACGGCAGGTCGTGGTTTGGTTTGCAATCCTTTTACGAATGTCTTTTCACGTCCTGCTACGAGTCGCATCTTATTTGCTCTTTCTCTCGCTTCTCTCAAGCAGGCCCCTTTCCCAATCTATTCTTGGGAGGGTGCTTTCGCGTTTTCACCTTTCTTTGTTACCCAGACCTTGCTCCTTCTGTTGTGATGCTTTCTTGTCTGGTTTCCCTTTCTTTCCTTCCAGTAAATTAGATCGTTCCCTGCATACCGGGGGACTGGAGACTTGGATCTTCCTGATACCCTTTGTACATCAAACCCAGATAAAATGCAGTGGAGTTGGTAAGTAAGATTCGGTGAAGCTGCATGCATGTTGTTCTAAGAACTGCTAAATGACCTTATATATTAAAAGATGTTCCAAAATACTTCAACTGCCAGCCCAGGTGCCTTCAACTTGAACTTCAACCTACTACTAGGCGTGCGCTAAAGAGTAATCCATCATGATGGATATAGATAGAAGACCTTGCCTCAGCATTGGCTTCCAAGGTGCAGATAGTACTACCAACGGCGCGTACTAGTAGTATTAAGTCTTCGAGTTCAAATTTCAACCATAGCTTCCGAGGCCCGAGCTTATTTGAAGCTGTCATCGGACTTTCTTTTGGCCCAATAGCCATCATACGTTTTGTCTTTCAATATATTTTCTTTGATACTTGTATTTTTGCGACAAAGGGCAAAGCATCTGTCTCTCCACGCATACTAGTAGCAACAAAGAACACATCTCATGCACATTCACACCAAAATGAGGCACCGCACGCATTACATCGCTCAAAACTTGAAGGAGGGTGTAAATTTGTCGGGTTTCTTTGTTTCTACGATCGTTGCAACCCACATGTGCATTGATAGAGTATCTAAATGCATTTATCCGAGTTTCTGTCTCTATTCAATCGTTCTATTCACCTGGGATCTTCCCGTGGGATAAACTGTCGAGCCTTTGATGAAGGCACAGGGTCTTTGAAGACTCTCATTTCTTATTTTCTTTAAGCCTTAGAAACGCCTATAAAATATGATTTTCTCATCGAGTTTCAAAAGTCTAGTACCTGCACATTTGGCGACTGCCATATAACTCAACTTCACAACCTAGAACCTGATCTTATTTTTGGAGTCACTGTGTTGGTTGCTGGATACTATTGCTGTGAAGTATGTTTGATGCCTTCATTTCCTTTATACACCATAGTATACATGTTCAAATTGATAAGGCCCAGCTGATTTTTTAAATTACACTAGAACACTTGACCTCTTCCAAGGCTGATCAATATGTCCTCACCGGCGACCACGACATCAACCCTTAGGGAATCCTTGGGTCGCCAGATAGACGAAATTACTACCGCTTATGATGATTCTTTCATCGAGGTTGCCACTGGGGAGGAAAGAGAACAGCTTAGACAGCAGCTGATACGAGAAACCATCGACCATCATATACAAGCAGTTCTCGATGGCATCACATCCGGAGGGCTTAGTCAAGCCCAGTTAGACATTGAGTCCGAGAAGGCCCGGAGACTAAGAGAACGGAGAACATGGATATTTAATGCCATTGATCCCTTGCCTTGGAGAGCTAACGTCTGTGCGGCACTTGCCAACCGCCTATGTCACTCGACAGGGAGGATGCCGGTAGATCAGTTGAACAGGTTCGCTGCAGTTATGAGCTGGCTACGTTGTTGGATTCCATTGCATACCCATGCATATCAAAATCAACTTGTCATGCATACTTTCGATATGATGGTAAACATGGATGAAGAGCGTGAACAAAATTTTCGAGAGGCTTTCAAGGATGATCTCAGAATTCATCCTTTTCCAACTTCGTTTCCTCTCACAGTACAGGCGGTTGATGTGCTACGTTATCCTCTCGCCACCGATATTTTCGACTCTTGGGGATCTCTGCGTACCATTTACATGACACATAGAATGGAAATTATCAGCAAGTGGAAGGCAAAGTCTAGAAGTGTTCGCGAAAAGATCTTGAAGGCGGCATGGAAACAAACTGCAGAGGAACATAATAATCGGTACTTTAATGAGATCAGATGGAATGAAAGCTTAAACCACTATCATCGGATGGATATTGAGACCTGTATACTCAAACGGCCCAACGAAGGCAAATATGACCTCCTCCGATGGGGGTTTATCAACCGAGAAGATTTATTGAATATGAACAATGAACTTCTTTTGAACATGTTCAATGATCGAGCTTTTACCATGCCATCAGCTTTCTACGGTGCTGACTGTTCTTCATGCGAATTGGACGAAATGAGATATGTTCGGGCTTGGTCCTCCGATTTTGGCATGGAATTCTTGGATCAAAACACAGCAGCGTGGTACGGCAATGTGGTTCCTGCTGATCAAATGGGTGAGGGCGGCTGTATGACTGCTACTAAGGGACTAGTCACGATGGAAATCCAATCTCGCTTATACGCATTCCTAGTTAAATGCTGCATGGGTATCATGGAGCAAAGTGAGGCTGATCTTATTGCTCCATCTCCAGATGGTATTCCAGTGGTTGCGAACGATACTATCATCAGGAGTCTTAGCGCGGCGCCACAATATCGCATAATAAATCGATTGCAAGATTTTGACGCCTTGCTGCCTCTTATAGATGCCAGAAGGAATGCTGCTATAGATCATGTATTTTTACTTCGAAATGACCCTGGATACGTTTATGAAACCATTCGTGAAATAACAGCGCATATGTATTACATAATTATCTGGGAGGGAACAGACTACGAAGTCGCGGAGGTTCGCAAGACCGCGATTATTACAATGATACATGCCGCTTTTCTTAATTTGGGTGCATGGCAAGGTTACTATCGCAGGTTTAGCAATCTCCGGAATCTGCTCCGACGTCACTACAATCAGTACACTGAAGGTGGTACTGCTGATGATAACCAGGCTCTAGGTGGGGATATCCAAGCCAGCATCCTCAGACTCGGAGCTCAATTGGAGAACGATATGGACCTCTTTCGTCGTGCATTATGGCAAGCCGTACCAGCTAGCAGCCCATTTAAAGGTAAAGTCCGTGTCCGACAACCTACGATTCCAGATGAATATGCTCCACCACTCAATGAGGAGGACTCCAGTGCCACTTGGCATTTCACCGTGGTAAACCCCAAATCCGACAAGGACTTAGCTTTACAGTATATCTTTGAGTCTTGCAAATTCATCCGGCAGACTGTAGGTTATGCGAACGCCGGGGACATATTGAGGGAATTTGTGTGGAGGTCGGGCGACAGAAAGAAAGCAATAGAAACTAATCGGTTGCTTACTGGGTACGTGAAGGCAATCATGTCTGACTTTGTATTGATGACACAATGCATGGATCAGATCGAACGACACCAAGGAGAAAATGGAAGCTTGATCTTTAGGGAATTTGAAGGTGAGACGCCTGTCGACCTACTAGACCTTCAAACCCAAGATTGGATCGACGGTCATGCAGTGGATGAAATTCGCAACGACGAAGATGTGGTCGCAGCAGCAGATTACTTTTTCACTGAGAGGCACTATGAGAATGACATCTTACAGCAGGAGCTTGGGACAGCGAATGGCTTAATGTGGAGATTTTGGCGTGTAGTGGACCGCGAAATCTTAGACCCAGCGAAGAATGTGGTTACTGGATATAGCGCGGTTCAATTTGAGCAGCTTCGGCGTAGACGAAGCGCTCAGAGGAAGAGCAATAAACGTGCCCACTCCCAGTTGGAATCAATCGAGGAAAGCGAGGAAGAGGAAGGCGTGGCACACGTGGAACAGGTTACTCCCGGGGGTTCAGGAGACGGGCCACCACGCAATAAAAGGGCAAGGCTGGACGAGGTCGTTGTGGAACCAACTAGGCTAGAGGTCAAAAATAAGACGCTTAAGGTCGTGGCGATGCTATACTCACCTAAGCCTGGAGATACATCCACGTTGCCATGGACTCAGTTCTGCGATGCAATGCACAATATGGGGTTTCAGTCCAGCCAGGTGCGTGACACGACATACCAATTTAGACCACCTGGGGGGTTGACAAATACCGCACCTATTAATTTTGAGAGGCCTCACCCTGGTGGCGATCTTAACTTCGTTAAGCTTCAGGAAATCCGTCAACGATTGTCCTTGCAGTACGGTTTGGTTGCAGAGAATTTTGTTCGCAGACGTCATGGTAACGTTGCTAAAGAGGCACTCTCAAAAGCAAGGGAGAGGTTGACTCTGAAGAAGTAGAATTGAAGTTGAGGATACCTTATTTTGTCGTGTTTAGTGTTTACGTCTTTTTTATGGACGAGTGGAGTATCTATCTGGATTTGATATTAGAATTAACACAAGGTTACCCGTGGGTACATGAATGTATGCAAAAACCACTAGTTGTGTTATATCATGAACGACTGAATTGGGGCCTTGAGATTAATTATACGTGTATAATTAAATTGAGCGTGTATATGCATGTCTATCGGCACTTCACCGAGTCAGAGGAGCCTTGAGGTCGAGCCTGAGTGTATCTAGTACATTCATGTACTGTAAGGCTCTATTTGCGGCTCCAAGAAATCGGAGCATTTTGAATTGACTTGTAAAATATCGTTCATACAGTATTCAGGTGAGAGTGGAGTCTGAGCGCATCATGCATTCCAACTTGAACTAGTATTACTTGTGTAGATCTACATGTCAAAGCTTCACTGTAAATCAACATTACAAGGTTAATAAAAAATAACAGGCAGAAAACTAGTTGATAATTTAATATTAAAAGCTTAAACCCATACACTTTACAACCCCTGTCCATCTCACGTAATAGTTCCTACTCTTCCAAGGTTGTGATGCCATCCCGACTAGTGTGGATTTCATGATGTCATGGTACTGGTCCCACGACGCACCATCATAGGATATCTGCATCCGAGGACATCTAGACGTTGGCCCATGTGGAGCCTGGAGGATTTTTCACATGGAAAAAGTAAAGAATAAAAAGATAACAAGCTTAGCTGTGTTGCTCCACTCCATAACGTCACCTCAAGGTGAATTCCATACAAATACACCTTTAATGCGCATTGATCTTTCACTTCAATTTCTTCTCTCAGATACACACACCACCAATATCCCCACCAGCAATGGCGCCCGCAAAAGAGTCGCCCATTCTGGCTTTAATTAAACATCCTTTCGTGGAAACTTTCACATGGCTCTATTTAATTGCCCAGGCTGTGCTGAGATACATTTTCTCGCCTGTCCCACCTCCTCCATCGAGTGGCAATTCTGAAATTCCTAAGAAGAGAGTCGCGGTCATTGGTGCTGGATTAACTGGGGTCTCTTCGGCGGCTCATTGTGTTGGTCATGGGTTCGATGTACAGCTTTTTGAGTCCAGAGCTCAGGATAAAGGATTGGGTGGCATATGGAGTGTATGTGATTGATCTCATATGGATTCATTCAAGTGGCTTCGCTAACAATGATTTTCTAGAGGGTAAATTCCACTTCCGCACTTCAAGTACACAGTTTGATGTACAGATTTCACCCTTCCGTCCACTACGACAGTGCCTATCCAAGCCAGCAGCAGATCAAGGAACAGATTGTGGCTCTGTGGAAACGTTACGATCTCGAGCGACGTACTGTTTTTGACACTCGTGTCACATCCGTGAAGAAAAATGACAAAGGTCAATGGATCATTAATAACAATGAGGAGGAATATGGCTTGTTTGACGGTGTCGTGACTGCGATTGGTGTCTGTGGCGATCCACAAATGCCTACATTGCCCGATCAGGAGAAATTCAAGGGTGGGATCTTCCATTCCTCCAATCTTGATGGCAAGGATGCTAAAGGCAAGAAAATCTTGATTGTTGGGAGTGGAGCTAGTGCTATTGAAGCTCTTGAATTCGCTGTCAAGGCTGGCGCTGCTGAAATTGATGTCCTGTCTCGATCAGACAAGTGGATTATCCCACGGAATGTTCTTGTTCAATCTTTGCTCGCTATGAACGTCTTGGGTCAGGAAACTTCTTTCTCTTGGATTCCGGAGTGGCTTTTGAAGAAGTTCTTCTATCGTGATCTACAAGATATCGCCCCGACTGACGATGGAATCTTCACTGAGACTCCGATGGCTAACTCGGAGCTTTTTGACCAAATTCGTGAAGGCAAGGCTCATTGGCTACGAGGCGATATTGTTTCTGTCGAAGAGAAAGGTATCTCATTCAACCATCGCGCACAGGGAGTACCTAAAGGAGGCCCTGGCAAGGAGAGATTGATAGAAGGCGATATCATCGTCATGGCGACCGGATTCAAGCGCCCATCATTGAATTTCTTGCCAGATGTTGTTTTTGAAGAGCCATATGGTCCACCAAACTGGTATCTTCAAGTCTTCCCGCCCAAGTACCCGGATATTTGTGCAAACAACAGCACCTTCATCAATGCTATCGGTACCGTAGGGAACATGCATATTGGCATTTACACGCGGTTCCTTCTCATGTTCTTGACTGACCCCTTGACTCGTCCCACCGAGCAACGGATGAAGACCTGGATTGATTTCACTCGGTTTATGAAGCGCTTTGCACCTACCAAGGCCTTTGATTTCTTTACATACGCGGAGCTTATCTATTGGTATATCTTCGTACTGGTCATTAACCCTTTCCGGTGGAAGTGGGCATTGTTTGTGTTTTTTGGTATTGGGAGAGCTCTGCCGTTGATGGTCGTTGAGCAGGAGAGTGCATTCCGTCAGGAGTTGCTTAAGCAGCGTAAAGATAATTGAGGTTGCAGCTTGCACGACAGTCATGATGTGTGACCGGTTATGAAACAGGTCAGAGCGAATGGCGCTTAATGATGTTTATGATAGTCCAATTTAGCATTTAGCAAGTTGATTGACTTTCAATGGATGTACCGATGAAAATTCCAAACTAGGATTCGCACAACTTTTCCATAATCGGGTTACAATCGTTGATAGACTCATCTGGAACCTAGGTAACTTCTAGACAAGACCAAGAAGAGACATATGTAATTCGGAGCAATTTCTTTAAACAATTTGATTAAGTAGAACTTGAGGTTCTCAACTGATATGTCTAAGATGTGGATATTCAATCGCTATCGTCGAAAGGCCAATATGGTCCTCACTGCTGCTTTATCTCATCAATCTTCCTATCCAACGGATAAGCAATATTGCCCTGTGCGACTCGACCAGGGAGGTACCCGTTCTCCTCCAGCCACAACATGGGCCACAGACACGTCACTCCAATGATACAGAAGAAAGTTGCGACCAGATGCCAAGCCGAAATCAGCCAGTGCCCAACATGAGGCAGGAGGAACTTAATAAACTCTGATGGCTGGTAGAGATCCTCTTGTTTCTTAATATAGTACAATGTTTGCTCTGCGTTAGGGGGCGGGTCACTTTGGCTCGATTCTGTGGTTAGATCTAGGACTGTTGTTAAGGTCACTGGTGCAACGTGGAATGGCACAATCCAGATAGAGAAAATCTGGGACATGTGAATGTAGAGTTTGAGGTTTTTCTCGTCGAATGCTAATGTTTATTAGTTAGGATGGTTAAGGCAGAGGATGGAGGTTGGCTAACCGATTGAATGGATTTCCATTTCGATTCGTGGAGACATCACTTTGTACCATTGGAAGATTTTAAGGACGTACCATCGACTTCCCTTGAAGCTGGGAACTCGACAGAATGGATGGGAGAATGCAGCATCGCGAGTGAAGAAGCGTTCAACGGTCTTCTGTTGTAATGATGGAACTGATTGGGTGAGAAGACGAATCACCGTTGAGATCTCTTCCACTGTTCGACTGAGTTAGCTGATATCGCAATGAAAATTACATTTCTGTAAGCCTACCTGGCTTATCCATGATGAGATTGAATGTTCTGAGTTGTTTGTAGCGGAGACTTGATCATTGTCATCGTCGCATGGAAGAGATCAAGGTTGTGTAGACGATGACATCATGCTCTTTGGCATGTGAAAGTCCAATGTCTGCTTTGCCTTGTTTCTTCCTTTGCAAGTATAGAGTTGTACATGGTACTTCTATGATGTATTTGAGACATATTCTATTAAATTGCCAATTCTCGGCTTGTCGCATACATGTGGTTCAGAGTCTGGGATAACCTTGGGAATTGATCGCCCATCTTTCTGGTTCTAGACTTCTAGTGCGTGTTAGTATGCGGCATTCGGCATGCCGAGTCGAGAAGTGTATTTTTGACCGGAGTTAATATTGGAAAATACCCTAACGACATAATAATAAGGTGAATTTTAACGTGTACTATGTACTAGGTACTAGGGTCATGATATAATTGGTTGTGTAGTAGAGGAAGTATGCATTTTTAAGGTGCAGAAGTATGCTAATAATCTCTTTTCCCAGACCAACTCCAGCGATGATCGTAAGTCTCGCAAATATTTAACAAGAAGAAAAACTTAAACATGACAAGGATATATCAATAAAAACGTCTAGATAGATTCAACACTGGTAGTTTACCGCTTCCAGTTATCAACCTTTGTCCGACGCTTGTTAAAGATCTCTCCCATGCCGACACCATCGCCGCGCTGTCCATCTTCATTCTTGCGCTTCCTGCTCTTATCCAAGGCAGCACCACCACTCTTGCCCTTGCGAGTAAGACGCTCAATGCGATCCGCGCCTTCAGTAAGGCCCTTCCACTCATCTCCACCATACGTTTGGCGATCGGTTCCACGTCGTTTGGACATCTCCTTCTTCGTCTCCTTGGGCAAACGAACAAAGTTGGATTCTTCGTACCGGTTGCGATCGGCTTCCCATTCTCGGTCCTTCTTGGTTTTGGTCTCTCGTCCACCAGCGATGATGGTGCTACCAATACTGGGCTCGGCCATAGGTGCCGATGACATCTCCGCAGTAACAAAGTCATCAATGACATTGGATCGTTTGGGTCGGCGGTCTTCGCGCTCCCGGCGTTCGGTGGTCGGTAGGGAAGTAGGCATGATTCTTGGCGGGCGGTAGATGCCATCGTTTGGCTTTTCTTGGGCGTCCGACTTGACTTGAGCTTGGCGTGATTGTTGAGCATCCACCTTGGCTTTTGAGAATGCGGAAACATTGGGGCGGTACGCCATCTCGTCCATATCCTCATCATCCTCGTCGCTGTCCTCTTCACTCGAGGACTCTCCTTCACTCCCAAATCCATTGGCCTTGTTGGTCTTGGAGGATTTCTTAGATCGAGCGGGGCGCTCTGTCCGGTCTGCATCCTCTGCTGCCTTCACCACCTTGTCAATCTGGTACTTTAGTCGCGCTTCCAATGGGCGGACACCGCGGTCAAGGAATACTCGCAGCTCAACCAATTTATTAATGGTCTCATCTTGCAGCGAGTTGTCTGGAGATTCATTCGAGCTGTTCAAGCCATCTTTCTTTTGTCGCAATTGGAAAATAATCAGGAACACAAGGTTGTGTAGGTAGGAAAGGATAATTTCGCTTTTTGAATCGAGGAGGGAAATGCCATCTTGCGGAGGTTCGATTGAGGCATCGGTCGGGTCCTTCTTATGGGAAGCAGGAAGAGAAGATGCCGCACTGGTAAGACATGAGGTGAGACCCTCCAATAGTGTCGAGAGAGACTTTGTGCGCGGGGGCGCAGACTGTAAGGAAGCCATGGTCGTTCTTGCCTGTGTTGGTCAACTAAGCTGTCAGTCGCTCTTTCCGCGGAAATTTTTTTTGTTCGTAGTTGCTTATCACCACGTGACTCCAGGCACGGCATTTATCACGTGCCAAGCTGTCCGGGCATGACGATCGTCATCGCCATTCTGTCCTGTTCTCTCAGCCCGCGCGTTTTTCAACAGTTGAGTCTTTAAAGCCTGACATTACACTCGAATTTTGACTTGGGTGTCTCCAATTGTACACGCCGTCATCGTGGACTTTGGGGTTGACTACCCATCCTCTTTTTATCACTGCAAAAAACGACCATCAACAACCCCCGTGGACCCTAGTAAACATATGCTGCTCTGAAAACCGCCCCAAATATCTTCTTTGCACAACATGCGGTTCACCGATCGGACGTCTTTTGTTGCATCCGCTTTCCTCGCCCTACCATATGTCTCATCCGCTTTTTACCTACCCGGTGTTTCCCCGACATCCTACGATAAAGGACAGAGCGTTCCTCTCTATGTCAATCATTTGACCCCTAGCCTGTCGGTCGACGACCAACTTCACTCCGTCTTCGCATACGACTACTACCACCCGGCATTTCACTTTTGCCAACCTCAAGATGGTCCAAAAGATGTAAGGGAATCGCTGGGGAGCATTCTATTTGGAGATCGCATTCAAACCTCTCCGCTGGATTTGCATATGGCGCAGGATGAAAAATGCAAAGCTATATGTGGAGGGACCAACATTGATGCCCGCAGTGCCAAATTTGTGAATCGCCGGATATCGCAGGGCTATAATATTAATTGGTTGGTGGACGGGCTACCCGCGGCGCAGCTGAACAAGGATGAAAGTACCAATACTCAATTCTATAGCCCCGGGTTCTCCCTCGGAGGGCTTGACGAAGGTACTGGCCAGTCTGTCTTGAACAACCACTTCAATATTCTGATCGACTACCACCGAGTGGGTTATGGTGGTCAGGACAAACTTCGTGTTGTTGGAGTGCTTGTTCAGCCTGAATCTCACCCCGATTCTCGAGTACTAGATGATGGGACGGCCGACTGCGGTAGCAAGGGTGTTCTCACTTTGAACGAAGATGGTGATGGTGAGACTGCTGTGACATGGACCTACAGTGTCTACTGGAAGGAGTCTTCTACCGCCTGGGCTACCCGGTGGGACAAGTACCTCCATGTCTACGACCCGAAGATCCACTGGTTCTCTCTCATCAACTCTGCCGTCTTTGTCGTCTTCTTGGTGGGTATGGTGAGCATGATCCTCGTGAGGGCCTTGAAGAAGGATATCGCTCGTTACAACAGATTGGATTCGTTCAACCTTGAAGATCTGGATGGAACTTCTGCTGCTGTCGAAGATGGCATCCAAGAGGACTCGGGCTGGAAGTTGGTTCATGGCGATGTCTTCCGTTGCCCCCAGTCACCTCTTCTACTCAGTGTATTGCTGGGTAATGGTGCTCAGCTTTTCATGATGGCTGGTGTCACTGTCGGTATGTTGCTGATCATATTCAAAAATACCCATCATCAATCCCTAAACTAATTCCTTTTTACAGCCTTTGCGCTTCTTGGTCTCCTCTCCCCCGCCAACCGTGGTTTCTTGGCAACTGCTATTCTCATGATCTCTGCTCTCTTCGGTGGAATTGGTGGATATGTCTCGGCGCGTGTCTACAAGGCATTTGGCGGCGAGGCCTGGAAACGTAACATTGTCATGACCCCTCTGTTGATTCCCGGTTTTATCTTCAGTGTTTTCTTCCTGCTTAACCTGTTTGTTTGGGCTAAGGGATCGAGCGGTGCTGTTCCGTTCGGTACTATGCTGGCTCTGGTTCTCATCTGGTTTGTCATTAGTGTCCCATTGAGTGTGGCTGGTAGCTGGGTTGGATTCCGTCAACAGGTAACATCTTACCCCCCCCCCGAACGCTATCAAGTATAATTTATCTAATCATGTTTTCGAATTTCTCTAGCCCATTGAAGGACCAACCAAGACCAATCAAATTCCCCGACAAGTGCCACCTATGGCTGGTAGCCTTCGCACCATTCCATCCATCCTTCTCACCGGTATTCTACCATTTGGCGCCATATTTGTCGAGCTCTACTTTATCATGACCTCCCTTTGGACGAACAAGATCTATTATATGTTTGGGTTCTTGTTCTTGTGCTACGGTCTGATGATCATCACCTCTGCGGCCACCACTATTCTCCTGGTATACTTCCTGCTATGTGCGGAGAATTACCGGTGGCACTGGCGTGCCTTTGCCGGCGCTGGTATGACTGGTGGCTATGTGTTCCTGAATGCTCTGATCTTCTGGGCGACCCGAGTGAGCTTTGGTGGCTTGACAGGAGCTGTCCTCTACGTGGGGTACTCTGCCATGATTGGTTTTATCGTATTTATTCTCACTGGTTTGTTCTACCTTTTCTGGTCCTGATTGGAATATTACTGACTTGTGTTTCTTTAATTCAGGGTCTATCGGCTTCTTCGCCAGCTGGGCTTTCGTGCAGCGTATCTACGGATCCATCAAGGTTGATTAGAAACTTATTCTTCTCTCGCAGCGACATCACCGCTCATTTCTCTCGACATTTCCACTTTAGTCAAATCTATTCTCTTTAACGGTTTTCTTTCTTTCTTACACCCTCTGACAGCTCTACCATCCCCTCCTCTCTCCGTTCCTCCCTTTGTGTGTGTTGATAGCCTGACTCTGGAAGCATTGTTCTGCGAGGAAATAGAAACTTTGATTTTGCGTGTGTTTTTCCATCTACTGTTTGATGTTTGTTTGATTTGGAGATATCCCTCATAATGACTGGGAACGAGGAGCTATGGAGTATGCAATGTATATAAAAGCGAAATGGACTGGATGACCCAACTTGACTTGTCCTCCAAAATTGGATATTATATATAGGATAATATCTAGATAATATCTTTAAACAGAACTCATTTCAGTGAATTGATTTATCCACCGCATAAAAGCCCACGTATACTATTGTGTCTAGTTGTGTCATGCCAAGCCCCCGGATGGTCTGGACTTCTCGCCACTTCAAGTCTTTCACTTCCTGGGCGTTTCTTCTTTTTCTTTCTATTAGTGGTTTGGACGATCTTTACATTCAAGTTCTCCCTTCTTCTCCTTCGAAATATCCACCTTATCCATCTCCTCCCGAATTGCGTCACGGTGTTAGGTCTCTCAACTCCTCCCGCCGTACACAGCCACACTTCTTCCCCCTCGTTCTACCCCGCGTCTCCCTTTCACTTTTCTTTTCTTCAAAGCCAAAGCCACCGTTCCTGCCGATCCTTGAACGACTTTTATGTCTGGAATATTGTGATTTGGGAAACGAGAACATTTAGGGGACTTTGACTTGGGTGTTTGATCATGGGCAAATCGTAAGTCCTGATAATGATAAGCTCCGCGTTCTTCCAGACACCGCACAAGACCGAGACGAAAGTTGGAGGAATCCCTGCGAAGGGCTGTTTTGGGTGTCTCTGAATGGTTCTGAAGAATGACTTTTGCCTTTTTGGAAGGAGATTTGTTTTCTTTGGGTATCTTGTGTTTATGCTGATCTCGTGCTGTGTGGTCTAGGCAATCGAAGCTGTCGCCCACTCAGCTCGATGAGTTGCAACGAGCAACTCATTTTGACAAAAAGGAGCTCCAGCAATGGTACAAGGGTATGTGAAGATCGAAGATTGAAGGTTATTGGAGAAGCACAGTCTCAGACCTGGGACCATCTGTACAACCTGAGAGTACTTGCTAACCGCCACGTATTATTACAGGCTTCCTTAAAGATTGTCCCTCGGGTAACCTAACGAAAGAGGAGTTCCAAAAGATCTATCGACAATTTTTCCCATTCGGCGATCCCTCTTCATTCGCAAATTATGTCTTCCGTGTATTCGACGCGGATGACAGCGGAATGATCGATTTCAAAGAATTCATATGTGCCTTGTCGGTCACCTCGCGCGGAAAAATGGAGGATAAACTGGATTGGGCATTTCAACTATATGATATCGATGGCGATGGCAAGATCACATATGACGAGATGCTGGCGATTGTGGAAGCGATCTACAAGATGGTTGGTTCTATGGTGAAATTACCGGAAGATGAGGATACGCCGGAGAAGCGCGTACGGAAGATTTTCCGGATGATGGATAAGGATGAGAATGGCAGTTTGGATCTTGAGGAGTTTAAGGAGGGTAGTAAGCGGGATGAGACTATTGTTAGTGCTTTGTCTCTATATGATGGATTGGTTTAAGGTCGCTTGTTGGGGCGAATCCGGCGCAGTGTGATTGTGTGATCTTTGCGTTTTCGTCCTCGTCTTCTGCTGTTTCTTCTTCTGCTTCTCTGCTTCGGTTAAAGATGGGACTGGGGGGATTTTTGTGTTTGGTTTATTTTCCCCATGAGATACGTATCTCTTTGAGATGGTCTTTTCTTTTTCCCTTTCTTTCCGTTTATATTCTTGCATTTATTGAGCATTTTCTGCTTTACTACTTGTTACAATTCGCTTTGCCCTTTGTACATGAAAGCGCCCTCTACCGGATACCAACAACATCGACAAGAACTTTATATTTCCATGCAGCACAGTAAGAATACAACGATACAAGATCAGAATATAACCTTGGAAATAAACTCATCTGGGCAAGTCTGAACAAAAGCGAACCGTTCCAGTGCATGCAGAATACGAACATAGCCCCACAGTGTCAATCCCTACTGTTCTCGCCCGCCAAGCTACTTCTTTGCTTCAAGTTCGTATTAACTTTTTGTTCATAACTGCAATTTATTCAGACATATCTTTCACTATCTTCACATAAATGTCCGATGCCGAATCTTCCGGCTGTCTATTTCATGCTTTGACCAGTATGAAGACAGCGCCCCGCCGCTGTCTTCGTTGCATCCAGTTGTCACTTCAGGTGGGTTACCTCTATCCCCACTATCTGTCTCTGACCCTGTCTCCTGTCTCCTGTCTCCTGGGAGACGTGCATCTCAGCCCAAAGTGTGGGCTGCGCCGTTACTAGAAGATACATTTCCATGCTGCACATCTCATTGGGTTATATAGCCCGAAGGATTCATACATAGACTTGACAGGTGGATCTGCGGGAGGGGGAAGCCCGCTGCCCGATCAGCGCCAATGCTGGAGAACGCCACCTGATCATGATCTCATTCATGTTTAATTTTAATTTCAAACGCCTTTTCTGACTGTTGCAGTGTGACGAAATTAGCCCATGCGTGCCATGCGTAGAGGCCTCCCGTCCTTGTCAATTGCTTGATACATCGGACTCTCAATCTCAGTCTCAACAATCCCGTTCTTCTCAATCATCTTCGTCTTCGTCATCGGTACGCCGATCCTCCAGTCGAGAAGTATTGCCATATGATCATGGCGATCGCAGCAATGCGCAATACATTCTCATTCCGTTTGATGAAGATGTGACCCCATCGCTAGTGGCGAAGGCAGCCTGCGTACCACAGACCCAACTCTATATTAATTTCGTGTTAGCTGTGTTCCCTTGTTATTTCAAGGCGACCGAGACTCGCGTTCCGATTAACTGGGTCGAATATGTCGAATCAAGACAAGGCGGAGCTGATACACCATTCGATTGGGCTATTCGAAGCCTAACAACAATTTATATGGGCAGTCTCCATAAGGATCATCGATACCTAGACGCTGGACGTGAATTATACATCCGAGGTCTCCGTGGTCTAACTTCTCGTCTGAATAATCCCACAGTCGCAAAATCAGACGAGACATTATCCGCCGCTATCGCACTCGCAGTCTTCGAAATGCTAGCGTGTACCTCGGAAGATGGCTGGATTCATCATGCAAAGGGTATTCGGGCCTTAATGCGTCTCCGAGGTCCAGATGCTCATTCTTCTGGATTTGGAGCTGCATTGTATATAGCCTACCGGAATATTATTGTTACATCTGCGCTGGTAGCGGGTGAAGATTGTTTTCTGGAGGAAACCGAATGGCAAGCTCTTAACGAAAAGATTGCGGCTGAGAATGCGAAACAGCCGAATTCTTCGGTTCATACTGATATCACGGAGAGGGCTTTTCGGGAGGTTGTTAAACTTCCGGGTCTTGTTAGACGAGTGTCGAAACTTGAACAGCCTCGTCCGAGTGGGAGAGCTAATGTGCGGAGACGGAAGAGGAATCGACCGAGCGTTTTGGTTGATGTTCTTACTATAAGGGCTGCATTGCGGGGGATTTTTACGGAGTTTAGTATGGCGGTTTCTACGCTGAGAAGTGGACAGGACTCGACATCGACAGCTGGGTTTATTGGACCTATCCCCCATCATTTCTTTGATGGGTTTTCGAGACTTTCTATTCAGGGTATTCGTTCTGCTATCTTGTTGCTCAATTACCTGGTTATCATTCTCGACCCATCACAGCAGTCAGATGCTGAGGTGGAGAATGGTGTTATGGAAGGTCAGATGCGTGAGACGAATGATCTAGGCGTGGGAATTGTTCCGACTATATCTCCGACTTCCAGTTCTCCTTCTATATTAGACCCGGACTCGCCAGGAAGGCCGAGTCTGAATATTGAGTCCAGGATTACTCCGGAAGCCCGTCAGCCGGCTTGTTCGAATTGGATGGATCAGATTGCGCTGACGATGGGATTGGAGGGTGTTCGCATTACCTTGGTTGAGGATGATTGATGGATATGACGAGAATATGATAATATGATAAACTACATTCAAATTTTATAGAAATAGGCTAATAGCAGCAGCAGCTATGAATCTAAACCCGAGACCCGCTCGGAGATAGTAAACAACCAATGATCTCCAACTCAATTCCGAGTCACTAATCTTCCCCGCATCTCATCCCCTCAACTTTTCTTCCTTATTCCAATTGACTCATACACCATAAGCGTTTCCTCCAGTCATGGCTACCACCGAAAGCGAACGCGCAGCCAATCTCCAAGATGCCCAAGACAAAGCGGCCCAATTATTCATAGAAATCGAACGAGACCTCGTCCGTCCCGGTATTAGCGAAAAAACACTCAATGCGGAGATCTACCAACTCGGATTCGATCGCTACGGCATAAAAACCCACTGGCACAAACGAGTCATCCGCAGTGGTCCAAACACTTTAAGTCCCTTCTCCGATAATCCACCGGACCGCATCATTCAACCCGACGATATCCTAGTCGTGGATCTAGGTCCCGTCTTCGAAGCCTGGGAAGCTGATTTCGGCCGCACCTATGTCCTCGGTGATGATCCGCATAAGATCAAATTGAGAGATTCTTTACAGCCTGTTTGGGATATCGTGAAGGGGAAGTATCTCCAGAACCCGGATATGTCGGGCGAAGAGCTTTATGATATTTCGGTTCAGGTTGCGCGGGAATATGGATTTGATTTCGGGGCTGATATTGCCGGGCATATTGTTGGGAGTTTTCCGCATGAGAGGATTCCGAAGGATAGAGTAGCTCTTTATATTACGAAAGGTAATGGGGAGACTATGAATACGGTGGGGAAGGATGGGTTTAAGAGGCATTGGATTTTGGAGATTCATTTGAGGGATACGGAGCGTGGGTTTGGGGGGTTTACGGAGCAGTTGTTGACTGTTGGTTAATTTGATGATCTGACTATTTAGTGTACTTTATCTAGTATATTCATGGTCTCTGGATCTTTTATTGAATCAGTTCAACTCAGGGTTCTTACTACCTGTAGTGACTGCTGAGCCTTTTTATATATACAGAACAGCACAACCCTCTTATATACGGAGAAAGCCGGATGACCGCTAGTATGTGACCAATGCATAACAGTACAAGTACTAGCTAACGCTGTACTAATAATATATAATAAATATAGCTACACTAGCCACATCAGCCACACCCAGTCTAGCCACTTAGCCTCAAAGCGGTCAATCTATAGAAGCGGTCAATTCCCATTCTGCCTTCACTTGCACTTTCTTACACCCGCGGACTTTCTGCGTCGACACCTTCCCTCAACCTGACTTGACGGTCCTGAAGGACCTCATTTCAATTGCATTTCAAACCATGCTTGCGCATACTTTATAATTCTTGTAATTGTGCGATTCGATTTCCTGTTTGCAGCAATTTGGGTTTCATATCTCTCATTCCTCCCGCATCTTTCATCATGGCACCGCAAACCCCGATTCTAGACAAGTTTCTAGGCAGCGTCGCTGAGTTGGTACAAAGTCGCGATGGGCGAAAACTCCAAGATTTCCTCCAGATCGAGCCTCCTTTATCAGAAATCTACCAACGAATGATCGAAGAATTGCGCCAACGATATCAACCGGGGCCACAAAGCGATGGAGAGCTCCAGCAACGATGTGAAACCCTCGTCCCGCGAACAAAGGGAAGCTCTTCATGGTCTGCCTTTCCGACTTTCATGAAGCTATACTTCTCTTTTTTGCGCGATGTCAATGTCGACAACTTGCTGGAAACTTATAACATGCTCCGGGCTTTGCTCAAGTAAGTCTGTTCGATTTCACGACCAGCACCAATCAACCATGCACAATCAATGCCGAACAATATCGCTGACCCCTGCCCTTTTATCGCGACAGCCAATGTGTCCTAGCCCTTGGAGATAGTCAAAATGGAGTTATTGTTCTCCCCACTGTTTTATATCTTTCGAAAGTTCTCGCGAAGCTGGCAATGGGATTGGATCGCCAACCGGAGTTGATTGCGCATATTCTACGATCGGAGGGGGGTGCAGATCGCGAAGATAATATTGAGAAGGTCACACTTGTTGAACAATCTGCCAACGTTGTACGGGAGGCTTTTATCAAGTGCTTGACCGATCGCAGTGGCACCCCGGGGCCCAATGGCAAGCCTGAGGGTAAGCGCATGGGCATTTACCTGATGGCTAACTTGTGTCTGAAGCTATTGTTCAAGGTTTGTTCTAATCCCCTCTACCTCTGGCCCCTACAAATATCCCAGTCTGACAGTGATTCTACTAGTGCGGTAAACTGCGCAACGCAGAACAGATGTTTGCTAGTATAAGCGCCCAATCGCCTCCCTTGATACATTTCCCTGCTTCCCAACGTGTCACCTATCTCTACTACTTGGGTCGCTACCTTTTCTCCAATAACCTCTTCTACCCCGCCCACATTGCCCTAAAAGCTGCTTATGACCAATGCCACCGCCAAGCATTCAAGCAACGAAGTCTCATCCTCACATACCTCATTCCATGCAACATCATCATGGGTCGATTTCCATCAAAAGCACTCCTTCAACGTCCTGAAGCACAAGGACTGGCTGAACAGTTCGAACCACTCTGCCGCTTGATCGCCCGCGGAGATTACCTTGCTTTCCGCCAATATCTTTCGTATGATTCACAACAAGGACAATGGTTTGCGCACAAGGGCATTCTGCTCACCCTGCGCAATCGATGTGAGATTCTAGTGTGGCGCTCTTTTTGTCGCAAAGTATTTATACATGGGGGGTTTCTGGGAGATCCGCAAGCGCAGGCGGCGCGTGGCCCGCCGCCCTACCTGTATCTTCACAAACTGCTCGTAGCTACGAAGTGGCTTCAGGCACGTTCCAAACTGTCACTGACAAATGGCATGACAAATGGAATGACAAATGGCACGAACCATGCCTCTTATACAACCCCCTACGGCTCGCAGATTATCTCTGAGCCTACGGACCCGGATTATATTGGTCTTGAGGATCGACAGAACATCAGTACCAATGGTGACCACGAGCCGATGGAAAAATACGGCGATTACTTGGCCCCAGCTGCCTTCTTCGACGAAGGCGGATGCTTAGAAAATAATGTTTCCGGTGAATTAATCGACGGCATGCCTGATTCAGACTACGCAGATTATTCACTTGATCCATATGCCGAAGAAAATATAATAGAAACACAGTCAGCACTTTTGATGGGTGAACTCGAGTCCATTCTCGTCTCCTTGCTCACCCAGGGGTTGATACGTGGCTACTTGACCCATCGAAACCCCAGATTTGCTATTCCTGGGGCGCGACTACGAGGTGCGTTGCCCACTGGGTTTCCCAATGTATGGGAAACCATTGGGACGCGAGAAAGCGAAGACGACAGTGTTCCTGGGTGGGTCAAACCAGCGCCTGCCATGCTAGGAGGGCCAGCCCTAGCTGCGGCTGGCGGTCGTGTGGTGAACCTGTCCGGGGCCCGACCTGTTGGCTTGCAATAAGGCTGGGATGAAAACACCCAACAAGCCGAGTCTTGGGGAATATGATGTTTGTTTTTTTTTTATACTTTGTTTATGATACCTATACCTAGTTATGTACAATGATCGCTTCATGTGAATTGAAATCACTGAAGTTGTTGGTTATATTATCCACTGTCTATATTCTAAACACGTGCCATCCTTCCAATTAAGCAAAAAACTATGGAACCTTGTCGACAATGCGAGAAATTAAGAAGTTGTTGATGTTTTTGTTTAGAGCTTTGCTTTTAAACCGCTTGGACTGAAGCTGTCAGGTCGCCACATCTCATTCAACAGTCGGCTCGCATTTACCAAGCCTGGATGAAGCTGGTCAAGCGAAGAAACTCCAAGCATCTTCATGCAAATCTCGAGTTCTTCTGTGAGAACTTCAAAGACAGTTAGCATTCTTCTCTGAACCTGTATGTAACGAAGACATCGGCACTTACTATCGGTACACTTCTCTACGCCGTCGGTACCATACGCAGCTAGAGCATAGAAATACGGTCTCCCAACTCCCACAGCCGTAGCCCCAAGGCACAACGCCTTAAGTACATCTGCTCCATCTCGAAGCCCACCATCCACAAAAACCTCTAGCTTCTCAAATGCCTCGGGATAGTAACTCCGAATCTCCAAAAGCGTCATCAGTGCACTTGGGGCCGAATGAATCTGTCGACCGCCATGATTACTCAGTAGAACTCCCTGTACACCATATTGAACTGCCAACTTGACATCCTCAACTGACTGGATTCCCTTCAGAACAATCGGCCCGCCCCATTCTTCCGATATCCACGCAATATCCTCCCACGTGAGACCGGGATGCAAGTATCCCGCCGTTGGCCGGCCACCAAATGCAGGTCCAAAGTCGTTGTCTGCGGCTGCTTCTCGAACCACTTCGCCTCCTTCGTCTAGTTTCTCTTGCGCTTGAAGGTATCGGTCTGCGGTCCGTTTACCCTGTGTTGATGAGTCGACGGTTATCCATAAACTGTGGTATCCGGCGACTTTGATTCGTTGTATCAATGCCTTAGCTTTTGTTCGGTCGGTTGGAACGTATAATTGGAAATCTAGTCTTGTTGGACTGCGATTGTTCATTTTTTTTTGTTCGGACAGGTGTGCTTCCATGATGCTCTCTGGAGATTTGGATGTTGCCGTGCTAATTACGGCATTTATTCCTTTGCATGTTGCTCCTTGGACGAGTGCTGGTTCTGCGCCGGGGTGTGCACTGCCTAGTGTTCCCATGGCGGTTATGAAAAATGGGAGTTTTGATTTTTTGCCTAGAACGTTTCGCGATGTGTCTAGTGTGTTGACTTTTTTCATGATTCGGGGTCGGAAGTTGATCCGTGACCAGTCGTCTAGGTTAAATTGGTGTGATAATCCTGATGATGCGCTGCTTGATGCGTAGATCCATGATTTTTCGGAGAGGGTTTCTTTTGCGGCCGCTTCGAAGTCATCCGTGACTACGCAGAGATCAAGGCATGCGGGTGCCTTTTTGAGATTCGTCATGATTATGTTGGTATAGTTAGGCTATGGGGTGGGATGGCGGTAGGGGTCCAGATGGTTTTAATTCAAGGATCGATGCTAGTGGGACTTTCATCTTATATCTACATATTTTCAAGCATTGGCTACTAATATTTCGTGACCGATGCCGGTTCTGGACTCCACCCTTCAATCTGAAGTCATCGTCATCCTGGAAACTAATACCCGTCCCGACCTCGGGGTATCTGATTGTTGAGTTCATTTAGATAATATCCATCGTGGCTAAGCGCTATGCATTGGATTAATCGGCAACAGGTTATACCTTTTTGGTATTTGACATTCTTTCGGAGGTATTAATCCACCAATCAGTTGTTCCGATGAGTATGGATCCCAAGGACAAATGCCGACATGTTTTTGAGTTGGGTACGGGGCCGGGAGGCTACCGGGCGAGAACATACGACTGGGCTCAGTAGTTGACGTTTACTAGTAGTTGCATGTTCATGGTGTCTTATTTTCGAATCTTTGCTTTAGCCTTGGAAGGATTTATAAATGTGGTCATGTTGATCGCATCGAATCTTTGGATTCTAATGGGCCACTCAAGAAGGGCGCGTTTACTACTTCTATGCTTTTTGTATAGTGAAGGGGGCACTAGTATTCAGGAACTGATTAAATTTACACAGAGAGTAGCCATATGGTGGCACAGGTAGCTACATTACAGGTACGGAGTGCATCTTGCATAATGAATGGGATTTCAGTCAAAGCTTCAAGCCGATGGTGAATTACCCCGGAAAGGGACGTTGGGGCAATGAATATGGAGACGACAGACCACACGGGCTCCAATATCCATGGTGGCGCCACTTGAACTTGAACTTGGCTCTATTCATTTCCGCTGAGTCGGCGTCTGACCGGCTATTGAAATGGCGGGTTTCGGAACTGTAGGGGATAGACCCACCTGGTAGGGATCTGCATCCCCATCTTGCGGCTACTTGTCCGATAGTATACTGAGATCATTCGCTTTCTGTGGCCTATACAGGCTTCGGCCGATAGGTTTATAATAATTTGACAGATTATATCATGAGAAACAATAAAGCCGTAGAATTCGTACTATAAACTCAATATATACAATCGTATCACTTCCAACTTCAACTTCTCAAGGTTATCATAAAATTCCACAAATTGCGTTCACGGGTTCAACTTGAAGTTCAAGTTTCCCATTCAAATGTTCGGGTTCCAGAAGACAGAGCCTGTAGCTTAATGACTGAACATGGAGTTAGTTATCCTTCATTTGTAATTGGAGAACACAAATGGTCTTACAGCATCATAAACTTATCTCCTCTCATGTGATCGGCAGCATTCATGGAAGGAGTTGGGGTTGCCTGGGAAGAGGAAGACATGGGAGTCGCTGTCCTCTTCATTGGCATCGACATAGTCATGGAAGAAGTCATGGAGCTTTTCATATCCTAGTGAATCGGGAAAATATGTCAGGGCCACATTCAACGAACATTTTATAATTAGAGTCACGGTGGTATCTTACCTGCTTGATCTCCCCACGGGGCATTGCCGCAACAGTTGCAGCAAGAAATGCGATCATATATCCAAAACGCATATTGAGTAGAGTCAAATAAGTATCAAAGAGATTGGAATACTGAAAAGTTCAAGTTATACGGTAACTTGAGTATGTGGTTGATAGTTGCCGATGTCTTCAAGTTGATACTTGAATTAAGAGTTTCCAAGAAGGACATCCGGCACATTTATATACTTGTCTAAACACTTGATACATCTTGATCATTACATCATGGTGGGATGATGATAAGGATGCCCATGTGAGGAGAAACTGGAGGAGGCACCTAGGGGATGAGGGACAACGAGCGATCATTGTCATAGAAGGACGATCGACTTCTGGAAACAGGACGTGCAGAGGTTCCTGCATCACAAGCTCGGAACTATTTAGTTCCTGCAGGGTGCAGCTGAGGTCAACGGTATGCAATAGGGATGTGCCCCATGCTTGATGACATATGTGCCTCCGATCGCTCCATCCCTTGATTCGCATGGCTGGGCGTCTAAGCAGGACGCGATTTGGTATTCTACAAGGAATATTGCAAGGAATTAAGAGCTTGGATTTGAATGTTGAGAGATAACACAGGATTGCATTTGATATACTATTATTGATGTGCGTTCATTTTAAAGAAAGTGTTATAAGATCGGTTATTCTATGGAAAATGTAACGACTTCACTAGCGGGTTTACAAGCAGACTCAATGATACACCCAACCAGATACAAATTCCAAGAAGCGTCATACAGTTCATGTAATAAGTTTAGCACACTGCTTGCATCATCTTTCGCTCGCGTTTTATGCGCTTGAAAGTCCAAGTTTGAGGGAGATAGATCACTGGATTGACATGGCCAACAGGGATGCTGATGCCCTTCGCAGTGGCGTTGCTGTTGATCGATCGGCTCGAGGCTTATCAAGGGAAATAAAACCATTCAAACAAGGGAATAAGCTTGTGCATGACGAAGCATTAACGCGCGGCTGATGTACATTTATTGAGAATGTATTCTTACAGGTGAAATCAGCCTAAAGAGGAACTTCAGATGATGCGTACAGTGGCAAAGTCAATATTATACGCTTGCAGATGCCCCTTTGGAGCAGATCACTGCCAGTGGGCTGTAGCCAATACAGTATCAATAAAAGGCAACGTGGAATTTAAGGCAATACTTGGAATACTACGACTGGCCCTACTTCGGGGACACGAAATATCAAATGACATCTCTCAGCTGATATCCATTACAATGTTCAAGTTTGGAATAATGGGCATAATTTCATAATGTAAAGCTATCACAAATCTATATTCTAAGTATCTTCCATTTGAATTTAAATTCAACTCTATCAAACAACTTCCAAGTGCTCGTCCTGTTCGGCAACTTCTTTCTTCGCATTAGATACCGACTTGTTGCGCTGGGTAATCTCCTCCTCAATTTCAGAGTACTTCTCTGGACGTGCCAAGGAGATAGCCTCAGGGTTGTTATGAACGAATATGGATTGGTTATCTCGGAAGAACAAATCGATATCCTCCAGTTGACGATTCGCCGTCTCGGGATAGAAGAAATAGATGGTTGGCACAAATACCAGATTCATGACCGTCCAGATAATGTAGAATTTCCATTGCAGATTTTGAATGCCGATCGGTGTGATTTCAACCACCAGGAAATTGATCGCCCAATTTGTTGCTGTACCTAATGCGGCACCCTTGGTACGCATACTGAGTGAATTCAATTCCACGGGCAAAAGCCACGGAATTCCTTGGAATCCTGTTCCAAAGAAGACATAGTAAAGAAAGAAGAACGTGATCGAGGCAGATGCGACTTCTTTTGAATGGGCATATCCTTCTTTTTCGTTGAAGCGCAGCAAAATGGTAATCAGTAGGTAGCAAATACCCTGTCCGAAGGCGCAGATCATGAATAACTTTCTTCGGCCCCAGCGTTCGATGTTGAAGACTCCAATAGTACCCGCGATAAGGTAGGACACGGAGTTACATGCTGCTAGTAATCGGGCCAATGTTTCTGAGAGTCCAACAGACTGCATTAAGACGGTGGGAAGATAGTAGCTAGACATGGTGTTAGTACATTATCCACAAATGATCTTGATTCGTTTGATTTAAATACCTTGTGACGTTGATGCCGGCTCCCTGTTGCATGAATTGAGCACCAGCACCTAGTATCATTCGACGAAGAGCACATGTGCCGCCTTCTTTGGTCTTTCCACGTAGAAGATCCATCCACGAGACGGCATGCTGACGCTCATACTGAACTGCAGCAACGATTTCTGTGTATTGAGTCATAACATATGGCTCAGAAACTTCCATATCCTCTAAGTCGGCAAGGATGATCTGAGCCTCGTCGGGGCGATCGTGAGCGATAAGCCAACGAGGAGATTCGGGCAACCACGGCACAGTCGCGTAGAGAATAAATATGAAAATAAACTGAAACGCCAGAGGGAATCGCCATGCAACGGGACCAGGCACGAACGAAAATGCGAAGGTCATCCAGTTGGATAACGAAAACCCAGCAATATTCAGTGTCAACTCGATCACGATCAACTTGCCTCTCCATTTGGCTTGACTAGTCTCTCCTTGCCACACAGGGGCAGTAGATGTGTTGATACCATTTCCGATGCCGGCAATCACACGGCCGACAATCATCTGAGGCACGCTGTATGCTGTGATCTGGAGAATTGCTCCAATAGACATTATGGTGGTTCCATAGATGATAGATAACTTGCGTCCCCATTTCTCTCCCCATATCATAGAGAATATCGCGCCGGTTAAACATCCGATGTCATAGATAGCGGTGACGGTACCGAGGAGTGTGGCGTTATTATTTAAATTCAGGGTATCGAGAAAGTCCTTAGTTACGACCACGCCGCCTGAAAAGTCAGTATAAAGCACCAGAGCATGTGGAAGGGGAAATTACCAAAAACGCCCTGGTCATATCCAAAGAGCATCATATCAGTAGCGCAAGCAACAGTGACCCAAAAGGTTAACCATCCTCCCCGCAACCCAAAGTAGGGTTGGCTGGGCTTAAAAACGTCAAGCATATTGACGATTCTTTAATCAATATTTGAGAAGACTGGCTTGGTAGAAGCACAACAATTTAGAAGAGGATATCATGAGGCCTATATACACATTTACTCCTGGGCACTGGCCATACGACTGCTTGCCCCTGGAGAAACCCCGGAGATATTCTCAATAGATATTCCCTGGCATTTCCCAATTCGTTATGGCTACCGTACCCCGGCCACCCCGCAGAAAGCTAATCCCAGAACAGACCGCTAAGACCGGAGAAATTACTTGCAGGGATTGGTGGTGATGCCATAGAGTTAAAGTGGCAAGTTCTTTATTTCCCTGGTTGATGGGTGACGAGGCAAGAGATCATCATGGAACAATACAAAGTTGCGAATTTGACATGACAAGAAACCAAGCACGAAAAGTCACTTCCAATAATCGTTCCTGTGCCATTTACTATTTCCTAGCTGCTAATATTCATCCTGGGAAAGAGAACAAGGTTGGTCCTTGCTACTACGTCACATCTCCTTGTTAGATGGTCATGATAGGTTGGTTAAGAAGAAATAAGCTTCAGATGGTGGCCGAGGCCGCGATGCCCGCATACAACGAATAACCAGGCACGAAACCACCTTGGATTTATCTTGAGGCATTTTTAAAAGGCTTCGAACACTATTCTCCTTGTAAAGAATAATACATAAAGAAATGGATACGTAGACAAGGTTTTCCGATCGGCGTGCATCGGCCCCATTGCATGCCGAAATTCACTCACCGAGAGAGCTCGGCGTGTTGCCGTCTTGAAACGCGGCCCGGGCACGTAAACTTTCCCGGCCTTGAGTGCTCCGACTGGCCTCTCTACTTATCATCCCGCGAAGTTCATTGGATTGTTCATTTTTGGGGTTCTAACTGCGGGGTATCGGGGTCGAGTCTTTATTACCTGGGGTTATTACGTAGGCGTCGCGCTGAGTCTCTAGGGGACTTCAAGTTCGGGGATAATACGTCACAATTGAATATTGGAGGATTATCTCCAGGGATAATATGATGTATATTGCGGGATTTAAAGGACAGAACTGAGTTCATAAATCTCCGCCCACTGAAACTTAATCCTTACAAATGCTTCTTGGCTTCTTCACATACTCTCAATCACAGACGGCAGCTTTTCCATATCCTCTAAGAATACATCGAATTCACCCCGAACCTTCTCCATATCTTCATTAATGTCATCAGTCCACCTATGAATGTAAACTGTTTTCATTCCAATTGCCTTTGCAGCGCGCAAATCATACGCATGTGCTGCGACCATTACCACCTCCTCCGGAGTGCGCTGGACAAGTTCCAACGCTTTCCGATATGCTTCAAGATTTGGCTTATATAAACCAAGTAGCTTACTGGAGAATAGCATATTGAATTTCAATCCCGATGAGCGAGTCAGATCTAGCTGGAGGCGAGTTGTGCCGTTTGCATGGACGAAAACCTCAAGACCTAGACGATCTCGAAGGCTTTGAATTGCCTCTGGAACCTCGGGCCAAGCTGGTTGGGCATGCCAGGCTTGGACTAGTTGTTTTTTCTCGTCAGCGTTGAAACTAGGTTGACCAGGCGCTTGTAAAAGGGCAGTTTCTAAAACCCGTGCCAATGTCAGGTCAATATCTTCTGGGGCGAGATTTTGACGAAATCGCCCCTCGTTCTCGAGGAAGTATAATCTGCGCCAATTCAGAGCGAGCTTGGATGCCTCTTCGGCAGATATTGAGGTAGGCATTGATTTTATGACACTGGAGTGCCAGTCGAGGCAGGTTCCCATGAAGTCGAAGAAAACGGCTTTTATTCTAGGTGAGTCGGGCATATTGAGATGTCGGCGTTGAATATCCTGGAAGCGATTGGTGACTGCTTTACGCGATGACCCAATAATTTAGTTGGAGGTTTAAAAGATACCAGCAATCATAATCATCGCCGCGTTCGATCTTGGTTATTTATACAATAGATGCAACCAACTTGAAGTTGGTGATTACAAATCAAATGCTGACAATGTCAAATCTTACAGTAGAGTTCGAAAACAATTTCCCCTTCTGGACACACATCGCTTGTTTCTCAGTTCGTACCCGAAACCGCGCTAGACTAGTTGCCTTCAATGATTTCAATATCACTTCATGGCAAATTTTCCTCATAAAAATAAAGAAGTTCAGCCTATCAGCTACAACGACACTAGGTACTGTAAAGCCCTCAAGTGCTCGGTAGCTCGGACTCCGGCCTGACCAGTGGGCTGACAGAGGGGCCGACAGAGGGGCCAAGCATATGGCGTCAGCGGCAGCTGGCAGCTTCAAAATGCACGATCTGCAGGATCTAATCGGATCTACAATATTGGGGATTGGTGATGAAGAATGTGGTTTCTTAAGTTGTAGATTTGTAATTTTCAATTCCAAACTATCTTTAGTATACACATATTGCTATATAAAAATTAAAAATTAAAAAGAAGAAAAAATCAATGTGAGGGGCTGGCTCCATTACATAAGCATCACATGTCGGGGCTATTTTGTTGACGTGGAAACTTTTTTCATCTTCGCTTTTGTTACATTGTGACTTATTGTTCGTTGTCTTGTTCCCTCCGTTCAATCAGCGGTTGGCGCTGTGCTTAAGCCATGCCATCTTGAAACCCTCCTGGGCCCGAGTCTGCCGACTTTGTTGTTGCTAGTGCTCCTCCGCAGGAGAGCAGGAATGAAAGACAGCCTTTCTATCTTCCCCACCTGTTGTTATACTGGTTATCCCCTCACTACGGCTAAATCGAAAGATCTTCCTCGATGTCTGAGTCACAGCCTATTATCATCGTTGTCAGGTATGCTATGCTGATACTTTAGTTGAATTTATTCCCCCGCTGACTTGGTTAGACATGGTGCGCGTCTCGACGCTGCCGATAAAGATTGGCATTTAACCTCCCCAACACCTTACGATCCCCCGCTTTGTTATGGAGGCTGGATTCAGTCCCGTGCGCTGGGTATGCGCATTGGTAGCATATTACAGGCGCCTGATTTTATAGGGAGAAATCCTGAACAGGAAGCTAGCGACGAGCCCTTGTCTGACAAAGACCCCATGACCGCAGCCCCCGCAACCTCGGACTTGTACAACCGATACAACGTCATCGTTCATACTTCTCCATTTCTAAGATGTCTTCAAACCTCTATCGCTATATCTGCCGGCCTCAGCCAGTACGGCCTCAACAAAGAACCCCCTACCGCTGTGGATACCCTACAGCGCCCCCATGGAGATGTTGCCGATGTAGTCCCGCGGCCTCTAATGCGCGTCGACGCGTTCCTTGGGGAGTGGCTATCCCCGGATTATTTTGATCAAATCATCCCTCCTCCGAGTTCGGATCGAATGATTGCTTTAGCCAAGGCAGACCTCCTTCGTCGAGGTGAGATTATTCCTCCAGCACGGGAACCGACTAGAGCATTCTCCGGACATTTCCCAGGCGGCTGGGGAAACCACTCCCCGCAAACGTCTCCCAGCGAAGATGACAGTCAATCATCCCCACTGCGAGGCTCATCATCGACTCCAAAACAAAGTCCTCAACGTCAACGTGCTAGCACTGTTGACAGGCCACAGAGCTCCTCCGCTGTCGATGGCGCCTCAACGATCTTGAGTCGCTTGGATACAGATCTAGCAGTTACTAAAAACGCCTCATATGCACCTCCAACCCCTGCATATGCTGTTTCCGCTTCAGACTCTATCCCAGCTGGGTACGTCGCACATGCGCGGGATGCTTGTGTCAAGATCGACTACCAATGGGATAGTATGCGGACACCCTGCTGGGGCACAGGTGGCGAGTACGGTGAAGAATGGAGTTCTATGCAAGAACGAGTTGCCGACGGATTTGACCGAATGATGAAGTGGTACCGGCAACCAGAAGCTTGTGCTCCTTACCCTTCAAGGGCAGCGGACAAGAGTTCTCCGAACGACGGTCGCCCAAGCCAGGATGTTCTCATTCTTGTCACGCACGGAGCGGACTGCAATGCGCTGATCAACTCGCTGGCCGGCCACTCCGTTCTCTTGGATATTGCTACCGCCTCCCTCACAGTGGCTGTTCCCCGTAACCGACTACCAAAAATACAGCCCAAAATTGACGAAAGACCCAACAATTCCGATCGAACTAATCATTCGATTTCTCGGGACTACGCTTTGCAGCTTATTGCATCCACCGATCATTTACAAGTAGGGGTTGACCCTTCTCAGCTTGCTTCGCTTTCTTCCCCCTCGGCCCCTCAACCGTCATCGCAACCATCCATTTCGACTTACCGCAATCGTATTAGCTCCCGACCTCCGCTTATACCAGGCAACTTCTCAATAGGTCCAGGATCCACGAAAATAAACCGTGGATGGACTCTTGCCCATCGGCCCTCGTCCTCTGATGTACCCCAAGGACCTGCTGGGCTCTGGGGAGCTCTAGCTAGTCCCATTGAAAGTGAGGAAGACCAGGAAGACGAATTTGTTCCCAACTTCGGTGACCGTCGACCTGTCAGTCACGATTCCAAGCTCCCTGATGGTCCAGTAGACCGGACAGGTTGGACAAAGCAATTACCTCAACGAACCCGGTCTCAGAGGGGATTATGGGGTAGTGCGCTCCCCCTGGAGGATCGCGAGGCGGCATCGAGGCGACGATGGACTATGTCGGAACAAAAACTATAACAATGGCTGAATTATCATGACCTGCATAACGCCTTTCCTTTTCGTTCTTTGAGTGCTTTTCTTTTACCTAATCTCTTCTCAGGATACCTCTCTTGCATGGCGCTCGGTGTTAAAATCTATAATTCCAAAACATTAAATGTATATAAATTAATGGCTTTTCTTCTTTATTATTGATCCCTCTCCCTCTTGAAGTAGTCTTCCATAGAATTAGTTGTCCGATGGACCAAAGTGACCACTTCTCCTTATCCCTCAGGCATCAAGGCACACACCCATAACTCAGTCGCCCCTTCCCCAGATCCGCTATCTCTCCCCACCTTCCTAATCCTGGGAAGCTGGTTCGCTTGTGTAAACAACCCGTGACAGCTGCTTGTCTCTTCGCAAGGTTCCGCCTCTTTCGCTTTCTTTATCTTCTCTCTGACTCACCCTTCCTCTTTTTCCTTCCTCAACTATTTCTCCTTGTCCTTTACCACTTCCACCTCCCTGATCTGCTACAGTTGGACTTTCCATGTCAACACTTGAATCCGACGGTCTGTCCGTCACATACGCCTCGGATCGTATCGGCGCCCCAGATCTGCGGCTGATCCACTATAATGATGTCTACCATGTCGAGTAAGAATTGCCATGATATTACATCCCATCTGTGTATGAAAATACTAATGGGCTTTTCTTTGTTTAGATCCGGATCTGCAGAACCAATTGGCGGTGTCGCTCGCTTTCAATCCCTTGTAAATTACTACCGTGAAGGCCCGCGCTTTGCCGATCAGCCCAACATCCTTACCTTTTTCTCAGGCGATGCGTTCAATCCTAGCCTGGAGAGCTCCGTGACAAAGGGAAGACATATGGTCCCCTTCCTGAATAAAGTTGGAACTGACGTGGCATGTTTGGGAGTACGTATCCTACACGGATTGGCTGGGAACATTGCTGACCTGGGCAGAATCATGATCTGGACTTTGGAGTGGCTCAGCTCCGCCACCTTGCCAGTCAATGTCATTTTCCTTGGCTCTTGGCCAATGTACTCGACCCTGGCCTCGGAGATGGAGTTCCGATCGCCAATTGCGGAAAGACTTGCATGTTGACCTCCTCGAATGGTATCAAAATTGGAGTGATAGGCTTAGGTGAAAGGGAATGGTAAGACAGATCTGCAACTAAATTCCTACGCGACTTGTTTTTTAGTGTATTGACAAATTTTCAAGGCTAGAAACAATCAACTCCCTGCCCCCAAACTTGATCTACAAGTCTGCGACTGAGACCGCCAAAGAGCTAGCTCCCCGACTTCGTGAAGAGGGAGCGGAAATGGTTATAGTTGTGTCTCACCAACGCGAACCGAACGATAACAAGCTTGCAACCAATCTACCGCCTGGTTTGGTGGACATCATTCTCGGCGGTCATGACCATTATTATGCCCATACTGTTATCAACGGCACCCATGTGCTTCGATCTGGTACCGATTTCAAACAGCTAAGCTACCTTGAAGCCTTCCGCAAGCCCAATGGTGCACCCGGATGGGATTTTAACATCACTAGGCGAGACGTTATGCGGTCTATCCCGGAAGATTCCAGAGCACTCGCACTGGTGGATCGCTTGACTTCTAGTCTGAGATCAAAGCTTGAAAAACCGATCGGATATACTGTGATACCTCTAGATGGCCGATTCTCTACGGTGCGGCAGCGCGAATCGAATTTAGGGAATTTTGTCTGTGACTTGATGCGCTATTACCACGCCGCTGACTGTGCGATGATGGCCGGTGGAACTATTCGTGGTGACCAGATATACCCAGCAGGAGTGTTGCGTTTGAAGGATATGTTGAATTGTTTTCCCTTTGAAGACCCTGTGGTACTACTACGACTCAGCGGTCAGGCCTTGCTCGGTGCTCTTGAAAACGGGGTGAGTAATCTTCCTGCGCTTGAAGGCCGCTTTACCCAGGTATCGAACATTTCGTTTGGGTTCAAGTTGGCTGCACCTCCTGGCTCTCGCATCACCTTTGCTCGTGTTGGTGGTCAACCTATTGACCTCCAGCGATATTATACTCTTGCTACACGAGGCTACATGGCTCGTGGGAAAGATGGATTTTCCTCCTTGCTTATTCAATCTGAGGGTGGGGAGGTAGAAGAGCTGGTATCTGAAGAAAATGGAGTTTTGATTAGTACTATTCTGCGCCAATACTTCATGAGCTTGAAGGTTCTCGGAAAATGGAGTCGCTGGAGTCCCAGTCTCAACCGGCACTGGGGCTCTGTACACCGTAATCTACACGGACAGGGATGGCTCAAGCCTCCTTCTGGTACTGCTTCACCGGTCTCAGAGAAAGCACCCAGCCATCGGCTGAACATGCGGCCGCTCCTTCAGAGAACAAGTCGAGAGGTGTATTATTATGGGCGTTTCCCACATGAAGTGGATCTGCAAAAGACTACTAATGGGGGTAGCGGGACCAATAGTGATGCTATGGATTCCGATTCAGACGATGATCCTGATATTCTCACTTCACCTAGATCAATGACTAACTATGTCACCCTCCCTGCGCGATCATCCGCAGACGAAGATTATCGTCTACAGCTGGCACGTCGAGTTTTTCGTAAATGGATGCGACATGCCGGTTTGAATTCAGAGGCTTTGAATCTGATGGATGGTGAGGGCGAATTTACGCCTCCCTGGACATCCGGGATTTCACCTCGACTTGAAGGTCGCATCGTGATAGAGTAAAGCAAATTCCTGTTCAAGGGTATGCTCGATCTTTTTTCTTCTTCTTTTTCGGTATCTGCTTCTCCTTGTCATAGAACTATACAACTACGTACTCTGTACATACGTACATGGTGTGTCTCGGGAGGATGATTGACCTCCCGCTTTCTCCCACCCCACCCACACCTGCTCTTTGAAGATGTAACTCAGGAGGTGATCGCCCAGCTTGCTAGGACAGATCTTTCATGCATCCATCCCTTTATTTGGCTTTTGGGTTGCAGGAAGCTGATCCTAACCGTTGGATCCGATCGGGATTGTCCCTACTCTTGTCCATCTTCAGATTCTACAGAAGTTTATTATGAGAGAATATACATATCTAGTTTAGCGCTATCAATAAATTGATACAAGCTGAAATCTTGAAAGAATCAACCTTGGAGGTATTTAAAATTTGAAATCTGTCTCATCCTCGCTTTTATTCTGTGGGTAGCCATACTAGTACTAGTACATACCTTCTCTCTTTTTTTTCTGTGATTTCTTTCTATACGTGTGGTGCATACCTAAAGATGATTTGACTAGGAAGTTAATATTACTAGTAGTTTTCAAGGGTAAGGTATTTTGTCTAGGCCGTGCTCTTCGCATAGAACCACATACTAGTATTACTCCAAGGTTGTGATAATCGTTTGGAATACTCTCTATCAGGTACTGTACAACATAAAGCTACCGGTAGCTCAATACAGGCTCGATTGGTACAAACTTTACACATTCCTAACTGTTATAATCTATCAAGATTTGCACCTGGGGCAGCCGATACCCTTACATACAGCAGATCAATCCAATCTTGATATTACTTACTATATGCTAGTAGCAAATATATATATACTTAACTAACCAAACTAACCACAAATCTAACCTGCTATAGCCAATAAAATATATATAGCCCTACTTCCAAGGCTCAGTAGACTACCTAGAGCTATATACTATATTTTAATTAGACCCTTCGCTACAGAAAAAGGATTTACTACAGAATTCCTAGCTAAGTTCACAGCCCAGCCCTCCGTCGCTTGCTTCCCCGTAATTGATAAGAAAAACCCACCCTCACCTGCAGATCCCGATGTCGAAGTCGCAGGTATGATCTCGTATATGTATGCATCCCCAATTCATCTATCAGCAGAGGTAGGGTATATCATTACGCTCCCGCCATATCAGCGAACGCATGTAACTACCCATCCTATTGGATTAATGCTCCACTATGCACTTGATAGTCCCGACCAAGGCGGATTGGGACTTCGGCGTATGCAGTGACTTGCTGATCCGCCTAATAAGGCGTCTTTGGCGGCGGCACAGCGCATGAGGTTTCAGCTCCAGGGGATTTTGAGGTGAAATCGGGCTGTGCCTAATGCTGAGGCGAGGGGGAAGGTGCATAATAGGAGTGGGAGACCGCCTTATGGGAAACCGGAAGTTGCTGGGAGGGATACGGCATATCTTTCCTTGTGTTGGGACAATTCGATCAATAGGAAGAGAGAGATTGTGGATTCACTTTTGTCGAAAAGATATTGATCTAGATGATGATATTTCTATTGGCTGTAGCTGTCCTTGCACAGCTGCTTTCAAGGTTGTATTGTACCTCGAACGTCCAAAATCAAATATAACAAAGGAACATATTCAATTGGATCAAACATTCATTTTAACCATCTCGGCTTTGTTCAATGTCTCACAGATTATTACTACAGTGCTGCTAAAAATCACTTTTTGATCACTATTTGAAAACTGGTATTTGACTCATATTGTACTCAATATAATATTATCACCAAGGTAAAAAAGAAAGCAAAAGAAAAAAGGGGCGAGAATGAAGATAATGAGAAAACTTTTCAGCTAGAAAACTTCCGAAATCTTGCCGTGAAAATTATCATATTCAACATAGGAAACGTAACTTCGATATATCAAACCTAATGACGAGCATCGTCATTATACAAAACCTAATACCTCACGCGCTGATCACCGCCCGCATTTTGTTGCCCCGCCGGGAGATTGGTCCTATCAGTGCCGGGCTTTTGAAACATTGTGGTATCCTGTCCCCCTTCTGGTATTCTGTTGCCCGCATTCTGATTATAGCTACTACTACCACCAGCACTATTCCCACCGAAATTGGGTTGAGTAGGACCGCTATCAACCATCTGCTCATTTTCCATGCCTCCTGATGTACACGGACTGATATGGCTAGTGGTTTTGTGGGACTTCTGCTCTTCGGTGGAGGTGCTGAAATCTTCATCGTGAGTTTCACCGGGTACCTGATTTCCATCATAGTCAAACTGAGCAGGCTGGTTCTGATGTCGGTGTTCCTCAGTTGATTTGCTGAAATTATCTTCGCTCGAGCTATGATTGTCCACGCCCTGGCTCAAGCCCGGCTGCTGAGCTGGCATATTGCTCGGGTTCATGCCCTTATTACCGACATTTTCCCTTTGCAAGCCTGAAGGGGCCTGTTGAGCTGGCATATTGCTCGGGTTCATGCCCTTATTACCGGCATTTTCCCTTTGCAAGCCTGAAGGGGCCTGTTGAGCTGGCATATTGCTCGGGTTCATGCCTTTATTACCGGCATTTCCCCTTTGCAAGCCTGAAGGGGCCTGTTGAGCACGCCTATCTGTATTTCTTACTGATTAGTGCTTATTCTAGGCATTCTTTGTAGTGTGGAATGATTGGTATTGGGATATGGGTCTATGTGGGCGAAGAGTACTCAATTTAACGGTATATGAAACCATCCACAAGGAAAGTTGAGTACCTTCTTGAATGGAAGCAGAGTTTAACGTACCGTTATCACTATCGACACGGGGGTCTAGCTTGTTAGCCAGTTTTGATTGATGAGGACCAGCATTCATATCAGAAGAGCTAGTAGAGCGTGATGAGGCATCATCAGGCGAGAAAGCTGAATTACGGATGTCAGAACTGGGCTGGCTAGCCTCAGAAGCTCTTGTTGCACCTCTCTGGTTTTCTCCATATGGCGCTGCTGCTGCGTATTATTTTAGTCAAGTGTATTTGTAGATTAGCAGCTCAAAACAGTAACGCACTTTGAGTCTTGGAATTGGGGTCAGTGCCATAGCCGGTATTACCAGGGCCGTTGAAGCCCGGGTCTGTATCTTCTTCATGACTCATTCGAGGAGCGTTCTGATTCCTACCGTAGCCAGATGTGAAGGGATTTGCTCTGTTTGGGTTTGGATCAGTAGAAGTTTGGCTGCGAGTCACCGGCTTATCGTGGTCACTGATGGCGTCTTTGACTTTGTGCACAAAGTTAGACATAGTGGATGGTAATGAGTCAATTGAGAAATATTTCTGATAATGAATAGGTTGAAAGTATTGATATTTCCAATTACTTCAAGATAGCTAGTGATGTGTAGCTATACTAGATACAGGTACATCGAGCTATTTATGTTTGAGGGATTCAAGTTTTTTCTAAACAAGTTCTAAGAGCGATCAAACATCGTGGCAAAATATCTGTCGTCATATGAATCAAAGAAACAGGAAATCAGGGTGGAAGTTTTCTAGTTCTACTCTAGTACTTTCTCTGATGACGCTGTCAGCTATTTGAAAGCTAGGTAGCTCCCAAGGGAACAAGCGTGGTTGGAAATCCAATCGAAATATAACAGTAAGGTTCAAGCTCCCATTGGGTTTACATCAAAAATCCGGAAAGAGCTCTTATGCTTTTATTGAATAATCGGATCTCACACGGTGGTTCCATAGTTTATGCGACGCCTCATTGTTTTGAATTCAGGTTTTTTGGTAGAGAGTGCAGCGCATCCCACAGTTTGACTTTCTGTACGGACTTCAATCCGTCAGTAAAAGCTAAGAATATATTTTTCCACATATTTTTGGTATAGGCATTGGTTAAACATTAAATAATCTGGCACACATGGATTGTTCTGTTGTCCTATCATAATGAGTCCCATTAAATTGAGTCCGTAACATATCCCACCCACTGGCAAGGCAACCAACACACAACACGGTATAAAATTAATTATCAGAATTTTATATCTCAATGATGAATTGGCTCTGATTTGGCTTTGATTTTGAAATCGCTTGCCCTATAAATCGTCCGTGCTAAGAGCTGATAAATATCAGCATCTACATCGGGGCCGAAAAATATTCGAACACGCCCACCGCCCGCTACGCGTTATTCAATTATTTTTTTCCGAAGTCGAGAGTTTTCCCCTGCACTATTTACAGGAGAGCAATTTCATTTCAGAAATTTACTAAACAGTATAAGATCGACAATCAATAATCCAGCGTACGAATTTCAATCAAGTAGCAAAATTGATGGTTATAGTGAGAAATCGGTTTTCTGATTAAGGTTGTGCTTGATGTAAATAAGTGTAAGTGTCATGCTGATGTAACAGCCTATCTTTTATTTGCTGACATAGGTAAAGCGATATCTGCAGACACTGCTACTTTATGCCCCTTATCTTAAACACTTACAATGTACATAGTTTTCCCAAAGCTTCTGCCACAATGCTATCTAGAGAAACACTCATCCAACCGGTCCACGCTCTTTGTGATACTTTATCCTCCGGTGCTGCTATACCAGAAATCCTACACCACTTCACTATAAAACCTCCACCTATTGCGGCAGAATACGGCTTGAAAAGTCTTGCTCCTTTTCTCGGGCGCGATTTTACAGGCCAGAGCGGTGTCGCTGATTATTTCCGCCTGGTCACCGATATTCTTACAATACATACCCTAACTTTCGAGAAAGAGTCTACATGGATGGTCGATCAAGACCTTCATGTGGTTGGATTACGTGGCAAAGGCTGTTTTAGTTGGAAGGACACTGGTCAGGCTTGTGAAGAAGAGTTTTTTTATCGTATTGAGTTGGCCCAGGAGGAAAATCACACAGCGCAGCAGGGACAATGGAAAGTGCAGGATTATCGAGTCTGGTCAGATACTGGAGCAGCATATTTGGCGCATATACATCAAATCGGGAAAATGGTTAACCCCTAGATTGAGAGAAGAGCCAGATACCAGTCCAGTGAGCGCCGCTGCGTTCATGTTCGACTGGGACTCACCCAAAAAGTCAGACTTCATCAGGACTCAATCGTAATGAATTCAAAGCTTGAAATCCTAGCTCTTGGTACTAAAGGGGGCGTGCACGGTTATGTACATCTTACTTAGGTAGCATCTTACATTCAGAGTATGTGATAGGCGTTTCGGGCTAAATAATCAATCATACAATGTATATTCTTCAACTCAAACTCAGCGCAAGAAGTTGTCATATAAAGTTAAATGCTCTTCTCGATAGAATATTCATTCCAATCATCTATGTAGCTTTCTTATAGTAATATCCACTCAGATTATGTACATTGCCCCTCGTGTCTAGGCCTCCACAGCTCCCCATCCACCACCACCAGCTGTCATGATAACAACTCGATCATGTGTTTTCACAGACACGGTATTCTTTCCACCAATATTAATATGGCGTTCTTCTCCAGTCTCGCCATCTCGTGTAATCCAGTGATTGAGACCAGGCTGTGCGTACTCGCCACCTTCCAAGCCGTATGGTCGGTGAACACGTCGCTCAGAAAGAATTGAGCATTGCATAGGAGCAAGGAACTCAATATCACGAACCACACCCTCGCCACCGGGGTTCTTGCCTCGACCACCAGATCCATTACGCAGTGTAAACTGACGCAGCATAGTAGGATAACGTTTCTCGAGAATCTCAGGATCCGTGATCCGGGTGTTGGTCATATGGACTTGAACACCAGATTCGCCTTGCCAGGTTGGTCCGGCACCACTGCCTCCAGCAATAGTTTCATAATATCCGAATCCTGGGGTGATCACTTTGCCTGTTTGGGGGTCCAGCTTGGGGTCTGTTCCAAAGGTCAGGTTATTGCAGCAACCCTGTGAAGCGGCGCAGGCTCGGAACGCCTTGAAGACCACATCGGTGATACGTTGCGAAGTGACTACATTTCCGCCTACCACTGCAGCTGTTTTCGCAGGGGATAGGATACTGGGTGATGGTACTTGGATGTCAATGGGAGCCAGGCAGCCTTGGTTCAGAGGTACATCTGCATCAATCATGCAGCGCAGACAGTAAATGATAGCCGAGTGGGTAATAGCGATAGGAGCGTTCCAGCTGCCATATACCTCGGCACCGGTTCCGGCAAAATCGAACACTGCTGAACCGCTTGATCCATCAATTGTCACTTTCAGTTGAATAGGTGTGCCGTCGTCCATCCAGTCGATCGCTTCTAGGGGTTGACCTCTGAACTTGTCATGTAATCCTTTCAAAAGATTCCGTACAGCAGTCTCTGCCGTGGCTTGAATGGCATACATGTATTTCTGAACAGTATCAACTCCGTATTCGGCAAAGAGAGTTTGAATCAACCCAATGCCGCGGGTATTGGCCGCAATCTGAGCCTTGAGATCAGAGAGGTTGTCCGTGATGCATCTTGCTCCTGAGCAGCCGGGGTATTGAGATGGTTTGGTAACTAGAAGCTCAATGAGACGTTCTTCATCCAACACACCGTTGCTCACAATCTTGTCGCCCTCGATAGAGGCTCCTTCTTGCCACAGCTCAGTGGACTTGGGTGGCATTGATCCTGGTAGAATGCCACCAATGTCGGCATGGTGACCACGGGATGCAACGTAGAACATAATCTCCGTACCACCTGGACGATCGAATACAGGGGTAATCACCTGGATATTTTTGTTAGTTTCAGGATAACAGATCATAAATAGTGGCACTGGGTCTTTCTTACGGTGATATCGGGTAGATGGGTTCCGCCACAGCTAGGATGGTTGGCAACGAGCACATCGCCATCTTTCAGGTTGCCTAGCCATTTTTCATGTTGATAGCGTACGGCGAATTGCATTGATCCGAGATGTACAGGAACATGCGGAGCATTGGCCACGAGACCGCCGTCGGGAGAAAAGAGTGCGCAGGAGAAATCGAGTCGCTCCTTGATGTTAGTCGAGACAGAGGTTTTCTGTAATGTGCGACCCATCTGTTCGGCAATTGACATGAACCTATGTCCGAAGATACTGAGACGAATAGGGTCAATCTCTGAAGATTCTTGAGTCTCTTGAACAGATGAAGAGGTGTTATCTTTCAGGTCGATGACAATGCAGGTCTCAAGGAGGTTAGCGATAGCATTAGGCGCAACGACGATTGTTTGAGTTTTGTCGATGATTACGGCTGGTCCTGCGATGCGGCTTTGGTTCTCTAGTTGTTCGAACAAGTACACTGGAGTGTCAATACGCTTTGAGTAGCCGTCAAAATAGGCGGCGACTGTAGTTGCAGGGGCTGTTGTTACGTCTTTCATGGATGCTTCGCTTAATTGAACGAGTGGGCTGCGTTCGGTGCGAACCTTGGATGAGGCAATGGTTCGGACTCGGATATCATCGACGAGAATTGTTCGCTCGGAATTGAAGTTGAATTCGCGGCGGTGGCGATCACGGAATTCATTCAGGAAATCTGAAGATTGGTCCGGTCGCAGAATCATTAGGCTAGTGTCGGAGCCTTCATAGCGCATGTTGAGGTACTGCTCGTGTCTTATTTGAGTGGGTGTGAATCCTTGTGTTTGCATTTCTTCAGTAGCTGCAGCAGACATGTTTTCAAAGCGTTGCAGTAAGTTCGTGTGTGAGGAAGAGTAGTCGGAAGATACTGGTTCCTGTGATTCCTTGACAACTTCTGCGAGGGCCAAGCCATATGCGGATAGAACAGAGGAATATTTGTGAATTATGATGCGGGAAATTCCTAAAGAAGCAGCGACTGTGCATGCATGTTGTCCGCCAGCTCCTCCGAAGCAGGCAAGGTGGTGTGAGGCAGTCTCAAAACCTCGAGCCTCAGTAAGGTTACGGATTGGTCGGGCCATTGACTCGTCGGCTACCTTGAGGAACCCAAGAGCAATATCTTCCGCGGTATACTCAGGTTGAGAATTCTGGCGACGCTCAGCATTAATTTGTTGAGTAAGTTCATTGAACTTCTGCGAGGTGATCTCGGTATCCAAAGGCTGATCTTCATTGGGTCCAAAGATATGCGGGAAATACTCAGGGAGCAAGCGACCTAAGAACAAATTGGCGTCGGTAACAGTCAAAGGCCCCCCTTTGCGATAGCAAGCTGGACCGGGGTGCGCGCTCGCTGATTCAGGACCAACGTAGAATAGACCGTTACGCCAGGACAGTATTGAACCACCGCCCGCGGCGACTGTGTTGATATCAAGTTGAGGCGACTGGATCAAAACTCCTGCTACCTTGGATCCAAAGACATGCTCCAAATGGCCGTCAAATCTTGATACATCTGTAGATGTACCACCCATGTCAAATCCTATGACAGGAGTCTTCTCAACGGGGTCCCAGCTAGTGGCTGCGAATCCTACTACTCCGGCTGCGGGTCCAGACAAAATTGCCTTGAGACCGCTGAATTTGCGAAAATCCACCAGGCCACCGTCTGACTGCATGAACTCAAATCGGCATTCTTGCTGCTTCTCCAGGCCACCTTCGAAGCTGTCGGAGATGGAATCGATGTAAGTCTTTATGACGGGAGTTAGATAGGCATCGGCCGCAGCTGACATGCCGCGAGGTACAATCTTAATCATAGGTTGAAGTTTCGAAGATAGCGTCACGGAGAAACCCATGCTTTCGGCGAGTTGACCAATCTGGATTTCATGGTCTGGGTAAGCGAATGAATGTACAAGCGCGACAGATAGTGATTGATATCCTTGGTCTTTGAGTCGCTGCAGATCAAATCGCACTTGGTCCAGGTCCAGCTCTTGAACCACTCGGAACTTCTCGCCTGTGATACCCTCCACAACTCGCACGCCAGAGAAGCAATCTTTGTCTGCATTTGGATGGCATGGAATGACTCGTTCATTCACCTCAACGACACTCTCTGGTAGCACTCCAGGTCGGGCCATGGACAAATCAAAGATTGCCGGACGAGACTGATCGCCGATTTTCAGAAGATCTCGGAAACCCTTGGTTGTGAATAATACTGAGCGGGCTCCCTTGCGCTCCAGTAATGCATTTGTGGCTACAGTGGTACCCATTCTGAGGCAGCCGATACATTCGAGCTTCAATGGCTGGTTTCGAGGATGTGGCTCCCCTGTAACAAGCTCGAGTATTTGACGAATACCCTCAGTTGGAGCATCTTGATAGTGTGCTGGGTCTACCGATAACAGCTTCAGAATAATATCTGAGCGACCAGGAACAATGGCATGGACATCTGTGAAGGTACCCCCGCGATCAATGGAGATAGTGATCTTGCCCGGTGTGGTCATTGTGGGCGAGTAAATGACAAAATTGAGAAATGAGGTTTAGCCGACAAGCATATGAGCCGGGATAAATGAGAGAAAATGAGTCTTATATACTCAGATCAACTTCTCTTGTTATCACTGGCTTCCCCGGGTATTTCATTCTGGTACTGGGTCAACTGCTATCACGGATCACGATAATGTATAGGAAGTCACGTGTCGGGCCGATGACCGGCTTATCGGAGTTGTCGGGCCGATGGCAATTGCTAATCAAGAACAGACTCAATTGCTGAAACTAAGTCGGTTATCATAATGATAGTGATCGCATAGTGGATCCGAGGTGAGGGGTAGTAGAGGGGTAGATTCGGTGAGCTTTCCGACTGTGGTCCACGGGTTTCTATAGTCAATCTATATCTTCCAACCCCAGAAAAGGTTCCTAAACTGTATACACAATACTACTAGTATATTTTTTGGTGAAAATGCCTTTTTCTTTGTTTAGATCCGGATCTGCAGACGCTGCCGACACTAAGATCATGGCTACACCGGAATTCTGGGCGTTGACCGGTGGAGACTTCGCCGTCCCTGTATACAAGGGTGAAGCTGTTGATTCCCCGATTCGAAAACCAAAGATAGTAGCAGCTTGGAGGCCGATCAGAGCGTAGTGCCTCTTCCAGACGGGTGCACAAGGGACGCTGTGGAAGTCAATTCTAGGGGCGGTATCCTAGGGGACGGATGCGGACAGCTTCGAATCGATCAACGTCATAACGCGACCGGAATCCAAGCAGTAGGTAGTGAGTATATCTAGGTATGTTAGTCCGACGGTTGCTGTGGTGTACCGCCATGAACGGAAGGCATAGCCAGAAATGTGGTTCGACTCAACCGCCTCAATAGGCGGTTGTAGCAGGGGATCGATAGACGCTTGGCTTGAAACTCACACAAGACGCCCGAGTTGACAATCGAGTTGACGAACGGCCAATTGACCTTTCAAAGCGAGGGAAGTCGGTGTGGAGGTTGGAGCAGGAGTGATAGGAAGGTGGGAAGTAAGACGACAGAAGTCCTTCACGGCCTCATTGAGCACGGACCGGTCTATCGGCCAGGTAGCTGGGAATAGGTCCTCCGATTTGGGTAAGTGCACTGGGCTGTCTGCGGTCAGGACAATGCCAATCCTAGAGAGGGAATCGTTGAAGTCGAGCGTCAACAAAAGCACGGGTGGATGATGACTAGTAGTCCTGGTTGGGTACAATTTAGATGGCAGTACAGGGCGTCAGGCAGTCAAGCGGCGACTCGCCATCTAAGTTACGGGTGGAAAGGAAGCCGTTTCTGGCGCCAAAGGCTGTCATTTTCGCCGTCGTTTTCACAGGTCCCTATATTCTAGCTGTAATTAACTGCATTCCTATATACATCGCTGGCCTATCGCCTGAGAGTATTCTCGATCCAGTCAGTATCCATGTCAATATCAATTTGATGTAAAGCTCCTTCCCAAAGCGCTGAATCATCATTGGGGTCAAATTGGAATGAGATATCCTGGATTGAGGGAAATTCGGGTGGGTTTTGCCAAACATCGTCTGGAATAGGAGGAATATCGTTCCCTTCCTGAAAGCTCGGGCTCGGTGCTTGGTTGCTTGTAGGGGTGGTTGGACCTTTTGAAGTAGAGCTATTCTTATTGTCGGCGATATTTGCAGAGGCATTGGGCCGAGGGCCAAGCGCTGCTCGAAGCTCTAGTAACAATGAATGGCGGGAAGATAGGTATGAATTCCCTCTATCAGCCACGCTGCGAAGTAAGTTGAGTGCGGTTTCCATTGCCCGAGCATTTATTTCGTTGTATGGGAATGCGGCATTGACCATGACAAGTAGTAGTGCGGCGGAGAATATGTATTCGCCATCAAGGTAACCATATGTAGCTGTTTTGTTAGATGTATTAGCTGATCTGACTTGGAAAGTAAGAGTATGAAATAGGTGAAGTCATGTTCAGTTCACATACCTATTAAGTTCTTTTTTGCAGTTGCATCCATGATCAGTGTTGTGGCACGGGCAGCTGTGATGCAACTGTCGATCACAGCGACTGTATTAGATGCCAGTCCTTCCTTCCAATCTTCGGTTTTCCCAAGCAATCCTGCATCAATACGTCGTTGAATAACGTAGAATACCAAAGGTCGTGCGGTCATATTCACACATGAATAGAAGTGTAGGTTGATTGATACTGTCTCCCGACTCACATGGCTATCAAGGGTGCTAAAATCAATTCGTAGGCCATCGGGGGCATTTCTAAGCCAGCTTGATAGATCGTCTGTGATGCTTTGCACAGACATTATAAGATTTGAGCCCGATCGAGGCTTCTTTCGATAAATCTCTGTATTTGAAATCTTCATCAGATACTGCCTGAATTTTGAACGAATTGAAACAATTACCTTCGCCAATTCTCCCCAGGATTCGAGACAATTGTGTATAATGTATCAACACAATAGATGGCCATGCATCAGGTGTTGATCCGTCCTGAGCAGAGCCATATGACGTTAATGATCTAATTTTCTTCAACTTGAAAACAAAAGGACGTACTGGTGTTGATGGCCATGTAGTGCCAATGTCTTCGTCATGGAGGGTGATTGGATTCCCAGACTTAACGGAAAGTAGTCTATCAATAGCTCAGTTAGTGTCATTTGTATTTAGTAATGAAGTTTTTTCTCCAATACCTGTCCAAGCTATAAACCGACCACCACGCTCGCCGTCTCCGATTCCGACCAGCTTCGCTGATATCTGGGTTAGACACCTCTTGGTGGAGACCAAGAGATATAGCCATTCGGAGAGCAAGTCCAATCTATACGCATCAGTTGATGCCAGAGGAAATGAATGACAAATAATACCACATACATAGAGGAACGCTGCATCGCGGCGGTTGAGATTCTGCATATAGTATGCGACATAGCACAGCACTTCCACAAAGAATATCGAGCCTTCTTCGTGAATATCAGGTAAGAAGCGCAGCGCGTGCTTAAAATATTTGAAGCCTGGTGGCCCGTCATCACCAGACCATTGATTCACAGAGTACATTAGTCCAAAGGCCATGACTAGAAGCACCTGACAATATATTAGACATGTTTCTCGGTGAGAGAAATCATGAGGTTGGTGGTAGACATATTCCAGTCGCTCCTCAAATTGAGCAGGATGAATCAGTGAGAATATTGTGCCAATATAGGCATACTGTACCCAGAAGAGTCTTTTGGCAAACTGGACTGGTGGTAGTTGAGGGAGAGCATCTTCAACTGGTCGTCGCAAGGATGATGGGTCATCGTAGAGTGGGCGCACATCCCACGCAAGGTTTGTTGAACTGGGGTTTAGACGCTTTGCTAAATGAGTAGTTGAGGATGCTCCGACGAATTCTGGATTGCAAGTCAGTCGATTTGAAATTTTATTCTCTAAGGAATGTACTATCGAGGATAGTATTCACATACGATGTTCCCCCGAGCGGTTTAAAAATAGATTATCAGTTCCTTTATACCACCAGTCATCCCGTTCCAAGGGTACTTCTCCCTCTGGGCGTGTCACTGCCAATGCGGTGGATGGGATATTTGAGATCTCCTGCTGGCTGGTGGGCTCTATATTGGAAGGTCAGCATCCTTGTCCATTTTCTTTCGGAAATCTGTAGTACCAACCTCGAGAAGCTCGCGCTTGCGACTGGAGATGTCGAAAGTAACTACATAAAATATTAGGCCATTTGGCCTACTGGAAAGACAAAAACATGGACATAGCTACCTTTCGGTAATTGAGACACGCTTCTCGGCCTCCGAGTATACACAAATATGACCAACATCTACACATGCAGCACAAGGGAGCGGCGGATTCCCGGCACATCGCGTCTTACGGTTACGGCAACGATTGCAACTGCATATGTTATAGATCAGCATGTTGATTTGGACGCAAGGGAGCCCTGGAGGTGGATTAACGTACGCTACCATAGATCTTCCGATCGCTCGGTCATGGGACCGTTGTAAAGCGTTCTTCCCATGCACCATTTTCCCAGCATGCTCCAATTTTGAAGGATTAAATCAAGAGGAGGAACGTGTGGCGGGGAAACACGCTATCTGGGTTATCGGATCCACATACGAGCCCCGTTGGACTTGCAAGGTTGGAGTCGGTCCGACGTGGAGCTTGAGGAACTCTATACTTGCATTTCATTTCTAGTTTGGTTCGGTTTGCATTATTATTAATTCATCGTGCGAAAACTTCATAAATTGCTAGTTACGTTGATATAAATCACTAAAAGATAGCAACTCCATTAGGAGGACTTGCAACACCCCCTGGAACCTAGTATATGTGTTAGCTCAACGTCGTAAAACCGAATGAATATGATAGTATGGGTTCTATTTTCAAGTTCTTCTTCTCACCTTCAATGGCACACTGCTGAAAAAGAAACTCCAACGGTCGCGTTTACGACATTCTTGACTGAGGCGCTCTAAATCAAACAGTTCGCCGATCGGCAATCCCCAGCCCGCCAGGAGCCATTCATGCAGGAAATAGTCGGGATTCTGGCATGGATAAGCTTCAAAGCTCGGCATGTCGCCTGCAACTGCGGAAAATCCTTCATCCCAGATCCATCGTAGCATTTCTTTCGAAGATTCAACTCCAATGACCGGTGGAGCTTTGAAGTCTGCCAACTGTTGGCATTCGGCCGCCGAGAGCTGTTCATATGCTCGTGTCCACCCCGTTCGGATGAATAATATATCGCCTGGCCTAAAAGAAACATTCTGGCTGGTGGCTACCTCCTGGAGGGTCGATAGAGGAATAGACTGAGTTGTGAAGCAATTCACGGCGACTCCCTTGGCTTCGGCCCACGTAGCATAGTCGAGAAGTACCCCACGCCCGACTATGCCACCGTTTTCGACCCAGACTAGATGTTATATAGTTAGTACTAGTAAATGGAATGCTGGAGGTATTTATATGGGTCGGGAATTTACCGTGGATTCCATTCCGAGTCGATGTTTGGATATCCTCCAAGGAACATCCGTTGTAGTAACTACCTTCTTTCGAGCCATAGTGTCGGAATCCATCCCACTGAGAGCTACTTTGCGTGTTGAAGGTTAATACATCATCATTCACTGGTCGAGGAGCTTTGTTTTTGACTGTGTGCTGAAATGCCGACCGTCCAAAACAAGGTATAGCCATGCTATCCAGCGCCCAGTCAGTTGATACTCGTACACCATCAGTGATCTCGCGCGCTGCAGCAATTGTATTTTCGGGCGTAAGGAGATTCAACTTTCCCAACTGATCTTGGTCTCCGAAAAGACCCCAGGCATTTCCTCGAGGGCCGTCTTGTTGGAGAGGTAGGGAGTCGAAGGAAGGCTTCGATGTCGACATTGTTGTATCCGGGGTATTTCTGATTTTTCTTTCTTCCTGCCTTTTGATCTTTCTTTTGGAGAATAAGAAACAAGAATAATATTTCTTAATTCAAATATCTTTGTTGGACGTCGTTACGATCATGGTATTACCCCGCAGAGCGTTGTTCTACCGTACTGCCCTCGGGCCAGACTAGTTAACAGCCGACTCAATTTCTACATGATGATCTTGTTTGAGTACTTCTCCAGCCCAGTGTAGTCTGGGGAGGTTTTATTGAATCAAGTTTATTCCTAGTATGGAGCACAACATCGAGCATTATGTAGGTAGTTCGATTAATTAATTTTAGAGCAATTTTTCGAGGAGTATATCTTCTGCCTAGTAATAATATAGGCAATTCATGGCTGGCTGTTTGAACTCAAACTTGGAACTTGAATGGGTACACAGTAGGCCTCAGCATTTTAAATGCGGGGAAACTGATATTTTCGTCTAAAATTAGTAGGATAAGTCGGACAATAACCCGATGCAGTGCTGAGGACGTGGACCACTCCAGGCTGACGCGAATTGGATATTTCGATCTGTTAAAGCATTTGAGCTATCTCTTTACATAGATGCAGTCATACGTACCACTTCAAGTTCAAGTTGGCGTGATCATATACCTATTTTGAGCAGAAATTACTTATACTACATACTACTACTAACCACTAGTACATAGTACATGGTATGGACTTGGAGTACATCCTACTACAGTACCTACTGGAAACAGTTGGCTCAAATAAGCAGTGATTACTCCTATTTCTGCATGGCACTATAAAAACTTGAACTACATACAACATTGGATGGCACTGGCAGTATTAATATTTATAGAAATATACTATACTCTGCAGTGGACTGAACTGCCCAGATCTACTATGTATATGTACCTACGACTTGAAAATTATGCATGTGTGTATTTCCAAGAGGAAATTCCTAAAACAGTATACTCTAACATTGGAAGATATCCCGAATTCATTACAACTTCAAGTTGCATTTGCCAAGCTCCTTTTTCATTTATCTGTTACGGCTGTCATCTCGCTCCACTTTCATATTTGGGGGCCTTTTACTCCCTTGGTGCTGTTTGTGCTCTTTGTGCTCTTTGTGCTCTTTGTGCTGTTTGTGTTGTTTGTGACGTTACATTCTGTCGCTGCCCTGGGCAACTATCCACGTGACCTACGCGTTGGCCCCAGAAACGAGGTTCTCAACTACACTTCCTCTCCAATCACATCCGGGTGGATCAAACAAAGTGGAGCATTTTGAGTCAATCACAGTCGAATCAACCCCTGGAAAAGGCATGGCCGATCGCTTCACGCCGCCTCGTCATTAGCTCGGTACTTTGTGCCGCCACATCGGGGACAATGCAGTGTGCGTGAAGAGTGATCGTGTCAGGTCTTCCTATGAGCCCATGAGGTTACAATTCGTTTCGTTTGATGGATGATGCTTGGAGGGGTTGGGTGGTAGGAAAGTGTTGTCTCAAGACCCTGGAACATCACCTGCGAAGAAAGGGATACTCCAAAATGGGAAGATCGGAGCCTGTGATGGGTCGCAGCATTGATGCCTCCATCCAATATGAGGACGCGTTACGTCGTTGCCCCGCTGGATGAGGCATCCTGGACGAGTAATATCGCACACACAAGCACAAAAGAGTCGGAGACCAATTTTCATCCGTGGTAAACCAGGGTACATGGTCAAACCACCAGCCAGTCAATGGGCTTTCTTCATTGCGGCAGAACCACCCGACTTTTTCCACTCCATCAAAATTCATGGGGGTGCGCCTAGAGTGTGTGCGGGCCTGTCTGGGAGGAGTGCATAGCCTTGCGCAGGGGGAAAAGGAGGGCAACGTCCAGCGTGTCTCGGGATCGGATCCATTGAAGGTGGAGCCCCTAAGAAGGCGAATGACGAACGACAGTTGCGGATGCACTGGGTCATTACTGGTGCCTCCACCAACCTCATCCCCTACCATTAGTGCGCGTCGTCTGCGCCTCCAATCAAAATTTACTGGATGGAGTCCCGAATACCAAAAATATATTTTTATCCTGCAGGCTATGCCAGCTTGTGCACCACAACCCATCGTGCCCTTTCCAGAAATAATCGGGGGATTGGTATCCATCTTGGCCCATCGTGATCATCCTTATTCAATATTTTCTGGAAGCCGTCCCTGTACATCTCCGACCGTTGATTTTCTTTCTTTCCTTCTTTTTATTCTCTAGTCTCTCAGCCTCGGACCGATCGACCCCTTAAAGATCCCCCATAAGGCTACGGTCGGTTTATTTCCAGGAGATCTGGCTTCTGGTTCACCCTGAACGTTCTAGCGCGTGTCGATACCACGTCAATTTTTTTTTTCTACACCCTTCCCCTTCCTCACCTTTGCGACACATACGGAGAACCAGATAGCACGCACCACTGTCGAGCTCTGATACGATTTCCGCGTTCCTAATTCCCAATTGTCTACGGAAACCCCATCATTGGGGAGGAGGACACAATGGGTTCCCCCATGCCGACGTCTCCCCGTTCACCCCGTTCTCCGGGGCCCCATTCACCACACCTAGCTCATTCCCCCCAAGCGAGTGAAGCCAGCTACCATTCTCATAGCATCCCCCGCGACGTGAGTAATTTGCTCCATGATGCGTCATAACTAGCGGTAGATTCCAGCTTGTACTAATAGAAAATTGGATAATATAGCATGGCTATGGCTACGAAGAGAAGAACGAACAGGCAGAGAGCCAACAATCGCTTCTCTACCGCAACCAGCCTAGTCCATTCAATGCCCCATTTGACGACCCGTATGCCTCTACCGACTCCCTGCGACGTTACACTCTGCAGGATCCAGGAGTGACCGTTTTCCCTGATGGTCCCTACCAGGAGTCAATGGCTTCGGCTTCGGCTTCAGGCTTCAATCGCCGCTCGGGGGTTGCTTCTCCCATGTCGGAGACTCCATCCGAGGCATGGCAACAGCGTCAAGCTCCTGGCTCTGGCCTCCGACGATATGCCACTCGAAAAATTAAACTGGTGCAGGGCTCCGTGTTGAGTGTGGATTACCCTGTGCCGAGTGCGATTCAAAATGCCATCCAGAGAGAATACCGAGAGTCTGAAGAGGGTTTCCCCGAAGAGTTCTCACACCTGCGCTGTGAGTTTAGGCCTGACCCTAGTTATATGGAGCGCGAAGCTAACGTAAAACTAGACACTGCTGCGACATGTGACCCCGACGAGTTTACCCTGCGAAACGGATACAACCTGCGCCCCGCCATGTACAATCGTCATACAGAATTGCTGATTGCGATTACTTACTACAACGAAGACAAAGTCCTTACGGCACGAACACTCCACGGTGTTATGCAGAACATCCGTGATATTGTCAACTTGAAGAAATCCGAGTTCTGGAACAAGGGTGGTCCGGCATGGCAGAAGATCGTTGTCAGCTTGGTCTTCGATGGTATCGATCCCTGTGACAAGAACACGCTTGATTTGCTGGCTACGGTCGGTATCTATCAAGATGGAATTATGAAGCGGTCCGTTGATGGACGAGAAACTGTCGCGCATATTGTAAGCTCAAATCTTCTAGCTGGAAAACATATTCCAGCGCCCCTTGGATTGTGTCTCTTGGAACTGAATATAGTACTAACACCTTTTAAGTTCGAATATACTACTCAACTTTCCGTCACCTCCAACCAGCAGTTGATCCGTCCCCAGGGCAACGAAGCCAGCAACCTCCCTCCCGTCCAAATGATCTTCTGTCTCAAGCAAAAGAACAGCAAGAAGATTAACTCTCACAGATGGCTCTTCAACGGTTTCTGTCGTATTCTCAACCCCGAGGTCGTGATCCTTATCGATGCCGGTACCAAACCTGGAAAGAAATCCCTTCTCGCCCTCTGGGAATCGTTTTACAACGATAAAAACCTTGGTGGATCTTGCGGCGAAATTCACGCTATGCTGGGTAAGGGTTGGAGAAACCTGATGAATCCTCTGGTTGCAGCACAGAACTTCGAATACAAGATCTCCAATATTCTTGATAAACCTCTCGAGAGTTCCTTTGGTTACGTCTCTGTGCTTCCCGGTGCTTTCTCGGCTTACCGTTACCGAGCTATTATGGGAAGACCACTCGAGCAATATTTCCATGGTGATCATACGCTATCGAAACAGCTCGGAAAGAAGGGTATCGAGGGAATGAACATTTTCAAAAAGAATATGTTCTTAGCTGAAGATCGTATTCTGTGTTTCGAACTTGTGGCCAAGGCCGGATTCAAGTGGCATTTGACATATGTCAAGGCATCTAAAGGTGAAACTGATGTTCCGGAAGGAACTGCAGAATTCATCAGTCAGCGACGTCGTTGGTTGAACGGTTCCTTTGCTGCTAGTTTGTATGCTATTATGCATTTCAGTCGGATTTACAAGAGTGGTCATAACATCATTCGATTGTTCTTCCTTCATATTCAGATGATCTACAACTGTGTGGGTCTTATTATGACATGGTTCTCTCTCGGTATGGTCCTCTATTCTCTTGCTGATCGTAATCACAGTCTAATATTTCTCGATAGCTTCTTTCTGGTTGACCACTTCCGTTATTATGGATCTGGTGGGAACTCCCGGTAGCTCGAACAAAAACAAAGGCTGGCCCTTTGGTAATGAGGCATCGCCTATTGTGAACAATTTCCTGAAATACGGTTATGTCTTCTTTCTCATGCTGCAATTCATTTTGGCTTTAGGAAATCGTCCGAAGGGGTAAGATATGCTGAATTCCTTGATAAACTCCACGCTTACTAATTTTCCCAGTTCTCGTCTTTTCTACACGCTTTCGTTCATATACTTCTCCTTCGTGCAGGCTTATACCATGGTCAACTCGTTCTACCTTGTGGCGAACGCCTTCTTAGGAGGTACATTGGATTTCGACATGAGCCAAGGCGTGGGTCATTTCTTGAAGTCTTTCTTCAGCTCTTCCGGTGCCGGAATTGTCTTGATTGCATTGGCATCCACCTACGGTGTTTACTTCGTGGCTAGTTTCCTCTACATGGATCCTTACCACATGTTCACCTCATCCTGGGCCTACTTCACTGGAATGACTTGCTCCATCAACATTTTGATGGTTTACGCCTTCTGTAACTGGCATGATGTTTCTTGGGGTACTAAGGGATCCGACAAGAGTGAAGCTCTTCCAGAAGCTCAAACCAAGAAGGAGGACGACAAATCCAACTTCATCGAAGAAGTGGATAAACCACAGGCTGATATCGATAGCCAATTCGAGTCGACTGTCAAGCGTGCGCTGGCGCCGTATGTTGAACCAGAGGAGCAGGATGAGAAGAGTATGGACGACTCTTACAAGGCCTTCCGAACCAACTTGGTTCTTCTGTGGATTTTCAGCAACCTGATTGTTGTGCTCCTCATCACCGCCACCGGTGTCCAGCGTTTCTGTCTCACTGTAAGTTTCTCAAACATCCTCCTTCCCAAAAAAAATTGTCTTCAAGCTAACCCTGACCTTCAAATAGAACACGTCTACTGTTCGGACTGCAAACTACTTCTCTGCCATTCTGTGGACCACGGCTGGATTGTCCCTGTTCCGTTTCATTGGATCCCTCTGGTTCTTGGGTAAATCCGGTATTCTCTGCTGCGTTTCTCGACGCTAGATTGAGATTTACTTGGGTTTATTCCATTGTTGTATATACCATCATCCGAAACGCCACTTGTACTGATAATAACGTGTTTTTGAGGGGGCTGCTTGTGTTATATAAAGCTTGGATAGATGGGCTTTTTTGGATTTTGGTCTTCTCTTTTTTTTTCCTCTTCCGCATCCCCATGGGTTGGCATCATCTTTGGCGGGCTGGATCAAGGACGATCCATGTATGATTTCCCTTGGGAGAAATGATTTTCATATTGACATGATGTGCTTTTGTATTTGGTTTCGCGATTGATATTTGTTCAATCTTTGCATTGGACAGACATCCTTTCCACAAAAAAAATTATTCATTGCTCCTGTTTACCTAATACTCATTGGAATGCTATTGAATTCGTATTCTTATTTTATTTCTTCGTTGCTCTAATACTTGCGCATGATCAAATCATGGATTGACTTACTGCGTCTCACTGTGGAGCTGGATACATATACGTGCGTTCGCTGGATGATCAAAAGTGGACACATTTATCGACAAAAAAAAAGTGGTCCCACTGGCATCTTAAAACCAGTTTTGATGTCACATAAACCAGATGGATATACTTGCACATGCATAACACATATCATTGTGGATCTACACAGCCTTTCGGCGCTTCAACTCAATCCAAACCACCCTGGGCAAGGAGCACGCCCGACGGTGCTCGAGCGTTACAGTGAGACGACAATGAGTCAAAATGGCCTCGGAGGACAGCCATCCGACAAAGACCCAAAGAGCTGGCGCAACATAGAGTCATCCAATCAGCCAAAAGGGTCACCCGAGCAAGCCGCGGGCTATTCAAACACGCCGCATATGGGAGGGGAGGTAATATTCTCCTGGCACGAAGGTGGGACCGTTTCCTCCCACGCGAAACTTAAGATGGAATGGACCGTGGCTGTCTATGGTATGGTATGAGCACAGCCCGCCGGCGGCTGCATTAGGGTATATCTGCATGCCGGCGTCATTGGTTTCCCCGCATCGACCTGTGACGATCGCGAATGGTCTGTTCTGGCGGGGCCCCTGATGCTAGGATACTAGGTGACCGGGATACGAGTCGGGATACCTACCCTAATGCTTGCTTTGCGTACCAGGGGGTTTGGTTGAAACGGAAATGTTGAAGTTTGTTACTAATTGGTCGCCGGGTTTGTATGTACATGTAGCTGTATGTACCATTCCCCTCCCTTTTCTAACGCGTCGCATTGCTGATTAGGTTAGATTTTGGACTTGGATGCGGCACAGACCAATGATTAAGGCCATTTCGTCATCTAACCGGTTTAGAGAGTTTCGGATTAGTTGAGCCAATCCCTGGGCATTTCCCTGGCGCAAAGGAGCCAGACAGGCCCATGAGAAATTGAACTATATAAATACTTCTGTTCACCCCTGTCAGTGCCTGGCCTCACTTTTTCATTATCTTGATCAAATTACTCTCCCCAGAGTATTCTATACTGCTACTTCCTCGATTTGACCCACATTTAACTGATTGCCGGCTTCCGAATCCACCATCCCGACCCCACCCCAGATGTCGCAGTACATTCCTCAGATTTCCTCTCAATCCCTTTCGGATAAGATTGTTCTCATTACTGGTAAGTATATACAAGTACTCGTCTGCCCATCTACCCATTATGAGAATATTTTTCATGGAATGGCTTCGATTTCAGAGCGTTAATCAATCTTATTATACAGGCGGCGCCAATGGTATTGGTGCAAGTCTCGTAGAGCAATGTTTAGAAAGCGGGGCCAATGTTTGCTTTGGTGATCTCGACAACATCGAGGGCGAGCGCCTGTTGAGAAAATGTACTGAGAATTTCCCTCCGGACGCGCCCGGCCAGCCCCCACGGGTAGTCTTCCAATCCACCGATGTCACCAACTACCAGTCGGTCTTGGGATTGTTCGACTTGGCTTTCCACACATACACGCGTATTGACCATGTGGTTTCTGCTGCCGGTATTGTGGAGATTGGAAACTGGTTCGACTTTGGACTCACCTTGCAGACGATCCGCCAGGTAAGTTTGATTCACGGACCCTCTCCTCTTTGAATTCGACCATTCTTTAGATGAAGGAAATAACATTTTCGCTCAAAGGCACCAACCCACAAAGTCCTGGATGTCAATCTTATTGGCTCCATGTATGTTGCCCGCATTGCATCCGTATACCTTCGCCATAACCGCGGCCCCGGCGCCGACCGATCTATCCTGCTTTTCTCATGCTCTTCTGGCTTCAAGGATAGTCCTTCCTTGTTTGTCTACCAGGCCTCTAAGCACGGCGTGGTAGGCCTTATGCGCTCTCTACGCAGTTACATCAATTCGCCTTACAAGCATAACATTCGCATTAACACGGTGTGTCCGTGGATGACTGAGACCGAAACCATCAAAAAGATCGAACAACAGTGGAAGCAGGCTAGCCTGCCCACAAACAGCCCTAAGGATGTCTCAAACGTCGCAGCTAGTATGCTGGCCGATTCAAAACTCAACGGTCAATCTATGTTTGTTGAAGGTGGGCGGGCTTGGGAGATTGAGCAAAACATCGAACGCCTCGAAGCAGAGTGGTTGGGTGCAGGACCTTCTAAATCTCTAGCAGCTGGACAAGAGTTGCTTGACGATGGCTCGGTCTGGACAGCTACTCCCCGTAAGAGGAGTAGTATCTCTGTCGACGGTGTGCCCCCTGGTGTTCCGCTTGCTAAGATCAATGGCATTTATCACAAGAATAGCTTCTCCAATGGCGTGACAAATGGACATACGAATGGTATCACCAATGGAGTCCACTAAACGATGTTTCTTCTTCCCCCACCCCCAAGATTCCTGAGTCTACCTTGTCTACCTTGATACCCAAATTCACATTTTCTATCTTCAAATTCTCTGGTCACTTTCCAGAAATTGGAAACATCGACCTTTACGCTAGCTGTGAACAGATAACGTGGCCAATTAAAGTAACTAGGTACTACAGCATACCTAAAATACCAGACAAACATGCTCATACTGTTCTTACTACTTTTAAATGAGACATTTTTCTATTTCTTTTTCATAAACCGCCGGGTACATCGTAGATTGGAGCGTCAGTTAGGCGATCTTTCCCTACTGTTTTTACTTTCTCTCATATGGTTAGCAAAGTCATCAGCGTTAAGCTAATCAAATATGCCATTGGTGGATTGTAATTATGGGGACTCAGAAGATATTGCATCATCGTAATAGAAATGCATGTTAACATTCTCTTTGAATACCCGAGCTACAAATTCCCGCGTCCTCCACCGCCACTTACTAGTTCTGGCCCTCATCTTTCATAAGACTCTGTATACGTATTTAATTCTGCCCCCAATGAATGATTTCAACTGGATATAATAATGTTCCACCATTTTCTTACATTACAGCTAGCGGATCGAGTGGGGACACGGGAAGACGAGATCTGGTGTCCCAAAACTATGCTTAGAGATGAGATCAAGCCGCTATATTCAAGTTGCTAGCTGGACCTTACCCCGCGAAATATGTCGACTTTTTTGTTTAGTTTCTATTCTCCTCTGCACTTATACCATCTATTATATCTATCATAATGTCGAAGATCTCCAGCTAAGAGGTGATGCTAAGAGGTGATGACGTAGATGAAGAAACCTAGCCCCACTCCACCTGGACATCGACCGCATACAGCTGAACTGTGGGGGGAGGGGTAATGCTGGATGAAATCACATAAATTGAGAGTCATGTCCATTTATGTCTGATCTTTTGTTTAAACTCCTGATCTTGCCACTCCCTTGATTCTTGTCAAGTTACACTATAAACCACCCATTCAAGATGCCTGTTATCGCTATCAACTCGTACGTCATGTTAAATTTTTCTTTCGCCTGATTACTTTATTACTCAGTGCTAACCTTGAAACATCGTTAATACACTAGGTACGATGAATTTGAAAAGATCATAAACAGCGGAGAGGTCGTTGTAATCGATTTTTGGGCGACATGGTGTGGACCTTGCCGAGTGATTTCACCTATTTTCGAGAAGTTTTCGGATATCGATGAATACAGCAAAGTCCGGTTCTACAAAGTCGATTGCGACGAACAGGAGCAAATTGCCGCGGAAGTCGGTATCAGAGCGATGCCAACCTTCGTGCTCTTTCACGATGGGATAAAGGTTAAGGACTTTACTGGGGCCAATCCCCAAGCTTTACAACATCTTGTTAGCTCAGGTGTAGAGCTTGTATGAGAATAGACAGGCGGGTATGCCTTTATTCCAGCGTGGACTTTTAGAGGGGAGAAGATGCCTGTTTCTAGGAAATAAATGCATGATAGGTTCCCTACAGTATTTTCCATTCCCTATGGTAGTTCTTTCAATGGCAACTAGCTAATTTAGGAAAGAGAAAAACAGAATATCCTTTGAATAAACCCGGAAGGAGTAAAATTATAACCATTATTTAAGTAAATGTCTATTTATAAATGCAGAATGGCCATTATGTATGCTCAATATTACAACACCTGAGATACGCCATGCAATTTTCAGGTGACCAAGCACCTCGAACCTATCACCCACAACCAAAACGCCGCATTGAAACTCTATTTGAACGATTCTCGGGTGTTGATACGGTCAACATCATACGGATTCGCCTCGTAGGTGGGAATCCGATGCATTTCCCCGGATACGCGACCGGAGGTGTGTGTAAGAGATCGATCAAGGGAATGAACGTTGATCTGGCCCTCCTTTTGAGCCAATGACGAATCGATGGCATTGGTATGGTCGGTGAGAGTGGGCACGCGCGACACAGGCTCATCAGATGAAGCTGGTTCATCAGCTTGAACATCCTGTTGTGGTTGAGGCTCTCCCATACTTTGAAGTAGGCTTTGAACAAATGCCTCTGACTGTGCCGAGTATTTGCAGTGTTTCCGGATGGATAGACCCTTCTTGTAAAGAATGAATGGGAAGGGAACACAGGCCAAGGCCAAGAAAGCTGGCACAGACGCAGCCCAATGGAGTCCTAGGTTCTCAAACATGTATGTTGTGAAAAGTGGGAATGCAAAGCCAAAGAGAGATCGTAGTAAGGAATTGGCCGCGAGGACAGAGGCGGCGAAGATAGTGTAGGAGTCAATCAAATAGTTGAAGACACACAGGAATACAAGGACCATGCCGAAGCCAAAGGGAACACCGGCTGCAACACTGGCCATCCAATGAATATTTGGAGAATCCGTCCATGCGAACCAAAAGAGACCAATAGGTAGGGCAAGGGAGGCAATCATACACGCAGGAAGACGATCTTCGGGAGGGCAATAACCACCTTTCTTTTCGAGAAGTTTTCCATAGCGTGTATTCTCTGGAATCGAGTATGCAATTGCGGCCAGCATTCCCACCATGACACCAAGGAATGCAAGACTAGAGACACCCTGGTTCCATCCTCGGTGAAGTTCGTAGACGATCGGGTAGGCGCCGAAAAGCATGTAGAGGGTTCCGTAGATAATAGCGAGATAGATCGAAAGAAGGAGGACGATAGGCTCCATGAAGAGAAGGATAAAAGGGCGAGAGAGAGAAACCTTGAGCGATTCCTTCAGGTCGGGTCGACCTTGGTCAATATCGAGCTTACTGATGTAAACACGACCGGTAAGCTTTGAGAGAGTACGGGCTCGTTGGCGAAGAAGAACAGGGGCGTAGGTCTCTGGCTTCAGGACAGCACCGAAAAACCACATCACAGCGCACAAGATTGTTAAGAGACCCATCACCCATTTCCATCCGGCCTTCATACCCAGGAAGCCACCGATAATGGGACCAATGACTGGACCCAGGAAGGGAGCCAAGGCAAATGCAGATAGTGCCAGTCCACGCTCTCGAGCAGCAAACATGTCAGCGATGACACCTCCGGAGTTTGTGAAAGGCGAGGATCCGAAGGAACCAGCAAGGAAACGGAATACCAGTAGGGACTCGATGTTTTTGGCGCCTGTAGTGGCGGCACAGAAGATGGTTAAGCCACAGTAAGTACCGATGAAGACGGCTTGACGTCCAAACATCTCACTCATCGGAGCCCAGAGCAAGGGTCCCAATGCAAATCCCAGCACGTAAAGAGAGACACCCAATGTTGAGATCTCGGTTGTTGTTTGGAAAGATTCCTCAATCTGCGCGATACCACCGGTATATGCCGAAGATACCAAGGCCACCACGAGTGTTTCCATAGCAGCAACCATTGTGACGGTCCATTTTATAGACAGGCTGAGTTGAAGTGGGTTTCGAAAATCCTTGGGCATCCATTGGACCACATACGGGTCATCTTCAGTTCCTGCTCCTGCATAGAAATGGTCCACCACTTCTTGCGTTACCACGCCGGGTTCAGTCACTAATCGCCAGAAGGGAACTGTATTTGGCAAATTTGTCGGGGCCTTGGCCTCCACTGAAGGGGCCTCCGTTGCCATTAGGAGAGAATTAAGGTCGAGTAGTCGTAATAGATTATGTTTCGTATGTAAGAAGTAACAAATGGAAGGAAGCGATTTGCGTGTTTCGTAAAAAATGAATATAGGAGAAAAGAAAGAAAGAAAGAAAGAAAAAAAAGAGAGTAAGAAAGCTGACAGTGAATATTATCTACAAAATCTTGGAAGCAAATTGAGCCGAGGTGAAACGTAGTCTGTACTAAGAGATTATTACTCAACGAAAAATATTCACCCGGAGAAATTACTTGTTTTGGGCTGGGATATTTTTACAGTGGGGCATCATTAAGGCGCAATAGATTGTCATAGGGCCTTGTGGGCTGTTCCTGGGCTCTTGGTGTTATGTGGAAAGTGGCACCAGGGTAGAATGATTAGTCGGCGAGGACGATTGGCTACGGAGTTTTTTTTTGGAATATAATCAGTGCCGAGTCTCGAATTAATCGGGCCGATTCAAGAAGATTTTTTACTCTTTGGCCCGATAAGATCCATACGATCCAGTTGATCCAGTAGGATTGGATCTGTATCTCCACTTGCCGAGGCTCAACCATCGGGGGTTTGGTTGTTCCTGGAATTTTCTCTCGCTCTTTTTCTTTTCCACAGTAATGCTGGCGGAATTAAAGGCCTGGAATACTAATCAGGAAAAGCTGTGGGCTACGTGGACCCACATAACCGAGGTTTCTGTGCATTATGGCTGATTACTCTGCATAAAAGGGCTTTTAGTGCGTGGATGACGATTAGCGAGCCGACATATTTTCGGAGTTCCCGAGTCATTAAGCCTAAGATAGAGATCATGGCACAATTACGCACTTTAATAGCATGTTCAAATGTTGTCGAGGGGGAAAATGTCAATGGGTTCTACATGAAGGCGAGGCTGAGTTCATGGATGTGAGTCGCATAGTTCTTTAACTTATGGTGAATATCTATGTCTGCTCTTGAAGATAAGCACTCGTACAAAAATTGTTTGCTATGTGCACGGTGCACATATGTATGCATACAATTGTAGGCACAATCATCACGGTGGGTTTCTTGCTCGTACTCTTGACTCTGGTTGGTCCGGCAAGATTTACCGATTGACAGCAATGATTCGCTACTACGAGATTATGTTTTACTACCAAATGACTCGGAGCAGATGTGTATGCAAAAAAAAATGATAGTCTTCTTTACCATTCCATTTCATCGTACTTCTTATTTGTATGCTTCATAATCATGAACGGAATTCACCCTTAGTTGCCTCCCTCAGAGGCTCTTTTCAATCTCTGCGACCTCCGCCATGTCCTTCGCTATCGATTTCTTGACCGCGTCACCAGCAGGTTCGTATGGATGACGTGGTGACAGCTTAGCCTCGGCATCTGAGATCCCCGCCGCGACAGCAGAGTATGAGGAGACTGCATACTTGGTTGATGCAATACCACTCTTAATGGGACTTTCGGCGAGAGCGGCCTTTCTTTGGAGTTTTGTTGCTTCCTCCAGTTGACCCTTCTTGTAAAGTGTATAGATCTGGGACGCTGTCTTGGGGAAAACGTTCGCAAAAGCCGCAATACATCCAACACTACCAGCAGCCAAACCACCAATGAGGAAGTCGGACTGTCCACCGAAAGTTGCGAATTCTTCAGGAGAGAAAGTTCCAGCCAGGCGCGTGATCTTTCCGACCGAGCCACAGGTGAGTTTGACACCTACCACGTTGGATTTGCCGTTGGAACTAGCAGCGGCTGATTCCCGAACGATCGCAGTCATGGTTTCTGAGTCTAGGTCGACCCCATTGCACACGCCTGGGAAGTTGTACATGATCACGGGAAGGGGCGCTTTCGCTGCGACCTCGGAAAAGAATCGCTTTACCACGTTCATGGTGGTCGGCTTGCCGAAGTAGGCTGGTGGGAGAACTAGCAGATAATTGGCGCCCGCAGCTGCGGCATCGTTCGCAAGCTCGAGTACTTGTTTTGTTGAATGAGCTCCAACACCTGCCATCAGAGGGAAATCGGGACCGACAGCCTTTCGTGCCGTCGCAATGAGCTGGGATCGTTCTTCGCGGGTGAGAAGGAAGGCTTCGGAGTTGGTGCCTAGGATAACTAGACCAGCAAGTCCGGTGGTTGAAAGGTATGCGAAATACTGCGCTTGCGATGCTAGATCCAATGTGTCGTTTTCATGATCGAAGAAAGTCACGGCGGGACACCATACTCCCGCAGGGGGTACATGGGGTTGAGAAGAGACAGCGATAGAGCCCATTTTGGGAGATGTAAACGGCTTTTCAAGTTTGGGGAGTTAACAAGTTATCGGATTGAAGTGGAAGTGGAAGTGGAAGAACAATAATCTGCCGGGCGCTTCAAGTTCATTAATAATTTTCTATTTGTCGCGGATGACGTCCGAAGATATCCCCGCTATCAATTGAGGGGGAGGGGTATACTTTCTCCATCTCTACGGTGATTTTGGCCCATTAGCAGTGTTCGTTTCGTTCCATAGAAGACGTGAGCTCGGAGCGGCGTCCCGAACATTGTGGAAGTGGAGGCATCGGAGATGGGGCCGATGCTACATTTACCCGGTGATAAACTAGCAGAACTTCATTGTAACCGGTATAAAATCAGTGACATGATACGTGGAACACTAGTGGATAACTTAAATGGATATGCAAGTAATACGTCTTAGCCTCATGAAGCTAATACATAGTAAAAATCGAATTGGAGGATCACGGATTCATTCCCGATTCTATCTATCAAGACGTCGGCTCCCCGCGCCGATGGAGCTCCAACTGTGGAGTGCCATTGAGAATGTGCAGATATAATGGAAATGTTCAAACCTTTTCAACAAACTTGAGTCTTCTTTGCGTACGCACTGTAAAAAAAAGGTACAATGGCCGACACACAGTATAATACATCATGGTTCGACCAAGCTCGATTCATACCCGCCGACGCGATATTTGCTTTAACAGCTCAATACCAGGCGGATCCATTTCCTCAAAAAGTCAACTTGGGACAAGGAACCTATCGTGATGAGAATGGTAAACCATGGGTTCTCCCGTCAGTGCGTAAGGCACGCGAGGCTCTCCTAGAACAAGGATTACAACATGAATATCTTCCTATTCTGGGACTGAAACAGTTTAGAGATCAGACGGCACAGCTTGTATTGGGTCCTGAGCTTTACAAAGAGCAAGCGAGTAAAGTATGAACCTCCCATGGTAACTCGAGACTCGAATGAATACTAACAGGGCCTGTTACTATTTGGACAGATTGCAACCTGCCAGAGTCTATCAGGCACTGGCGCATTGCACCTGGCTGGACTATTGTTGAAAGCCTGTCATACTGAGCTACCCAAGGTTTACATCCCTGAGCCTACATGGTCGAACCATTATCAGGTATTCCAGTCGTTAGGCTTTTCGTGTGAGCCTTTCAAGTACTATGATCCTGAATCCAAGAGCTTGGACATCGATTCATATTATTCCATGTTGTGTACAGCGGCGCCGAACTCGGTGGTGATTCTACATGCGTGCGCGCATAACCCGACGGGATTTGATCCCACGAAAGAACAATGGCGAGAGATTGCACAGATCATGAAAACGCGACAATTGTTCCCAATTTTTGATTCTGCGTATCTAGGATTCAATTCGGGAAATTTGGATGAAGATGCATTTGCCATTCGATTGTTTATGGGCGAGTTTAATATGGAAGCTGGAGTTTGTGTGTCGTTCGCAAAGAATATGGGACTCTATGGTGAGTGGGTTCTTGTTGTTGTTGAACGGATGGCGTGTTTATTCTGCGACATCCCTCAAAGCTAAAATCTATTGCAGGTGAGCGAGTCGGTTGTTTCTTAGTAGCCACGGATGATGAGCAGGTTACCGTGAGAACACAATCCATGCTCGAAATGCTTCAACGGTCGGAAGTTTCGAATCCACCAGGTTTCGGGGCGAAAATTGCCAGTGAGGTTCTGGGGAATGATGCCTTGAGAATACAATGGTACCAGGACATGGTAACCATGAGTGATCGTATTCGCTCCATGAGAGAAATATTGTACAAGGGCTTGGTTTCTTTCGGTGAGTCGCGTCGCACCTAGAATGAGGGATTTTTTTTTCTTCCGCGCTCTAACACGCGTCAGGGGCACCCGGATCTTGGGATCATCTGATTCAACAATCTGGCATGTTTGGGTTTCTAGGCTTATCGTCAGAGGTGGTGGTGGAACTGCGAGGTTTGTTAATTGTTGCGCCCCATTCTATTGTGGATAATAAGGCTGATTCCGATATCGCTCGCAGAGAAACATCATATCTATATGGCCGCGAATTCTCGTATCTCGATTGCCGGTTTGAATCCTAGTAATGTGGAGTATGTTGCGCGTGCAATCAGCGAATGTTTGAGGGATTCGGAGTAGATCCACTCGGGCGGTTGGAGACGTTTGATAAAGAGATAGCGAACCCCTGGATCGGCGCTCCGAATTGCTGTGATAAGATGAAGCCTTATTTCTAGAAACTGCCAAGCAAAATGTTTCACCTTGACATTTTTTGGAATGCATCAGAGAGAAATAATTTGAGGTTCATTGAAAATAAACCAGAAATCCCAGTGTTGAACAGTGTTGTATGGTAGACGGCGTGAAGAAGCGGAGTCACGAGGAAACAGTAAACATGACTCATAATAACTAGCCTCATTGCGCGTGCATAATACCCGTAGATTTATTCTGCGTTAGTAAAGAGGAATACAGCGTTAATTCCCGCACACAGAAGAAGTCAGTTCTGCAAGCCATGTCAGTCCCGCAGATCTTTGTCGAACAAGGTGCGGCTCATGTTTGTGAAGCAGCGGAAGCCATACACATCCGACGACAAGCGGAACAATGTGCCCAGATTTATCCGAAACGCGAAGTTCTGATCCAGGAACCTCCCACAGGAGGAGTTGCTATTAGGTCATTACCTGACTTCGAAGGCAAACTTAATCGGGTCGTTGGATGCGGAAAGAATGCATTACTGCAGGAGAGCGACTTGAGCGACTTGAAGGCGTTTTATGCCGCTGTTGGGCTGACACCAGAAATCCATCTTAGTCCATTTGCTCCAGCGTCCACTCTGAAGATCCTGGCAGACTATGGCTACGTTGAAAGGGCAGTTCTGAGTACACATTGGTGTGATATAAAAGAATGGGCAAATCGGTCCGCCCAAGAGTCTCCCGCCAGTGTATCGATACGACAGGCTGAGCCGTATGAAGCGGAACGGTTCATGGAAGCATCCGTTGCGGGATTTCAGGACAAGCCCCGCGCTCCAGAGGTTCTACATTTTCTTGCGGAGCTTGCAATTCGAAGAGGAGATTTGTTGTACTTTGCGTTAGTGGATGGTGAAATTGCAGGAACCGCCGTCATGGCACGTATAGAAACGCAGAATACCTACGTGGCACACTTCTATCTTGACAGTACGATTCCCGAATATCGAGGGCGAGGCGTGCATCTTGCGCTCATTCAAGCCCGATTGCGGGCCGCGCACCGACTCGGGTTCTCATCAGCGACCGCGATCACCAGCGTTGGAGATGGCAGTGCGCGGAACGCGGAGAGAGCAGGGCTTCGAATCGCATACAACATCCCCGTCTTTGTCATACCGTAGTCATATCCACCAATGAAATGTCGTTCATAGATTGATGGTAGGACGAGCACCTTCCGATTACGTATCCGAAGAACTAAACCTTATGCAAGTTCCTTCCGCCCCTAAACCCGAAGAAACAGCCCGCCCGGAGTGTATGTGATGTAGATACCTTCCCACCTTATGGAAGCCGAAGATCTCAGATAAAGGCTGAAGGATCGTACGTCAAAGCGGTCGCACGGGACGTTTCGGCCCCCAGTGATACAGGAACAATCAGCAGCAATCACAGTAATTCGAACTGATGATCAGACGTCATTTGAAGGAACGCCGAAAAAGACTGATTGTGTGTGTGTGAATGCTCATTCGATCCTTTGATCCTTCGTACAGTACTCTGTATGAATCATCACTAGCAGAAACATCTCAGTTATGTTGGGCTTCTGGGTTTCAGCGATTAGAGTTTGTTGCATATTCTCTTTTCCCTTTTTGTCCTTTTTGACATCTTAAGTTCTCTGGGCATATGGGAAAGCACTTGCTTGTAACCCCACAAAATTCACAGTTCTGGGGTTACCCCAACCCATCTTGGTGCGCTCTAGACGTTTCGATCACCAAGTAAGGAGGGTGGGGGAGAAGAGCGAATCATTGTACTCTGTGGGAAGTACAATTGGGATCAGCAATTGCGCTACTTTGGCGTAGTATGATTTCGTCGCTTCGCAAGGAAGAAGACAGCAGGCCCAATCAGCGAAATTAATTAGCGTTTGGTGGCGCACCGCCTTTCCCCCGGACCCGGTTGGCTAGACTCCCAGATTCCCAGCCACTGGAGAACTCCTGAACCCCAGACGCAGAGTTCCGACCTGGCAAATTTGTGGAGTAGAATGGATACGAGATGGTGGAGACCATGATGAGACAGAACGTGGTTATTGATTGACAAAAGAGATGAGATGGAATGCAAAGAGATGAGGTGAGTAGAGTGAACAGTCGTTGAAGGGCAAAACAGCCCCCAAGGAGACAAACAGCGCAAACACGTCTCACATCACGTGACATCAGCACCTGTGAAGCTTATCTGGCTGAGTCATTCTTATCGACCACCGCTTATTGGCTACTCAACCTGCTGCCCCAAATAACAACGCACCGGCAAACCGACCGGGTTGGCTTGCCAATGATCGCCTGTGGCGTTGTCTTAGCTTTTTTGAGGCGAAAGACAATCTTGTTTTGCGTTTGATATTCGATTTCATCATCGTTGCCTTTTTGCAAGATTCTCTGTAGCCAGTAATTTTTTTTCTCTACTCTCTCCACTGCATAGTCCGTAAGTCTCCATCTCCCCGCAATCGTGGGGGAAAGGGGCTCCATAACTTGACATCTCTAGTACCCTGGGAAGCAGCCAATGTTGTATTTCTTTTACATAACGAATGAACCCTTTTTATCGTTTAATTGGCGTCGGGCGCACCAGGGCACAGTGTACTTTGCCTCGTCGGGACACAGGTGGATCCGCCCAAACCGAAAGCGGCAATATCGTTGGATGGACGACCATTAAGTGGAGCAGCGTCGTACTCCACGTGTTGGAGCACTAAGTCAGGTTGTGGGTAATTTCATTAGTCAAGGAAATGAGCGCTTGGGACTCCCTGATAACGCCGGATCCAGCGACGCGGCCGGTCCATCCTGGCCCCAATACATATACTCTGCGACAGCCCGTCATCCAACGTTGATCTACCTACTCATACATCCTCTTGTCTCCTCTCCTCAATAATTCCCTTCCCCCTTTGTATTTGCGCCGGTCGCAGGCCTCCCGTCCGCAATCATGGGTTACGAAGACGACATCTCCAACAGCCACGGATCCTCCGGCAAGTCTTTCGATGAGTCCGAGAAGAAAGGCTATGACGCCCCGCCTGCATTCGACTCAGCCCCTATGGTAGGTGAAATGACAGATGCGGAACAGGCTGTCATTGATCACGGAATCCACAAGTTCAATCGGCTGGGATGGAAGCGACTCACCGTGGTGCTCATCGTCGAGGCTATTGCATTGGGTAGTCTGTCCATTCCTTCAACCTTCGCAAAGCTCGGCATGGTTGCTGGTGTCATCTGCTGTGTGGGAGTTGGCTTGATTGCTATCTATACCAGTTATATCGTTGGTCAAGTGAAGCTGCTTTTCCCGGAGGTTGCCAACTACGCAGACGCAGGTCGTTTGATGTGGGGAAGATTCGGATATGAGTTGATTAACTTCATGTTGGCCCTCCAATTGATCTTCCTTACGGGCTCTCACTGCTTGACCGGTACGATCGCATGGCAAAATATCACGCAGTCCACTATTTGTTCTGTGATCTTTGCTGTGGTATCCGCGATAATCCTACTTCTCTTGGCTATTCCCCCCAGTTTCACCGAGGTCGCTATTCTCGGTTATGTGGATTTTGCATCAATTATCATTGCAATCGGTATTACTATCATTGGAACCGGTATTGATGCCCACAAACAACCGGGCGGCTTAGGTGCAGTTCCCTGGTCTGCATGGCCAAAGGAGGATCTTGTATTTGCCGAGGCATTTATTGCTATTTCGAACATTGTTTTCGCATACAGCTTTGCTATGTGCCAGTTCTCCTTCATGGATGAAATGCACACCCCTCGCGATTTCAAGAAGTCCATCTGGGTACTTGGTATCATTGAAATCATTATTTACACCATGACTGGTGCCCTTATTTATGCCTTCGTTGGACCCGATGTCTCGAGCCCTGCCCTGACCTCCGCCGGTCACACCCTTGGCCGTATCGCCTATGGAGTTGCATTGCCTGTCATCTTTATCAGTGGATCGATCAACACAGTCGTTTTTGGTCGTCTGATTCACGGACGTATCTTTGCCAACTCGCCTATTCGATTCATCAACACCAAGATGGGTTGGATCACATGGATGGCTGTCATCACGGCTGCCACTGTCATTGCTTTCATCATTGCAGAGGTTATTCCGTTTTTTGATGACCTGCTCTCCATTTCTTCCGCCCTCTTTATCTCCGGTTTCACATTTTACTTCCCTGCTCTGATGTGGTTCCTACTCATCAAGAAGGGCAGCTGGATGGACCGTGAAAACATTGTGTTGGCTATTGTCAATGCCTTCATTTTCGTCATTGGTATTCTCATCTTGGGTGCTGGCACCTATTCGAGTATTTATGACATTGTAAGTTTATCTACCATGAGATCCTTTTATCTATCCTCGAACTTGAAACTAATAAATTTTGGCAACAGATCCAGAACTACAATGACGGTACTGTACGAGGTGTGTTCACATGTGGATCACCATCTACATAAAGTCCAGTCAATCGCGTTTGACTGGCGTATTTACGTGACTCGCCTTCTCTTTGCCCTGTGAATTCGGATATACAATGCTTCACTCGATCATAGAGGCCCTGGGTATAGCACATGACATTGCGAAAAGACTGTATTGCATTTTTCATGATATATATTCCCCTTCAGCCCAAGACCAGCTCCTTAGCTGGCGATTATTTGTATATATAGTGTCGCATTTGAGCAATATTCCATACTTAGTACTATTTACCTCCCATTTTACATATACTCCAACTTCAATCATATCCCTATCCAAATCTTGGAAGTCGTACTTGCTTGCAAAGTTACTTTGACCATGGCCCACCCTACATTCATTAGTGAGAGAAAGAACTCTTCATGCTCTTTCAAAGACCCCATACAGAAGAATTTAAAAGGATTTTAAGTTTCTTCTACTTGTTTCTAAACTAGAATCGACTCCACAGACCTCGGGACTATCGGTGCCCGTTTCACCCGGCGATAAGGAACCACTTGCACTAGAGCGCTCGAACCTCCGCACCATTTTTCGCTACACCCACTTTGCTGTGCACCACGAACGCGAGTTCCGAATTACCGATGACTCGAGACTACAAGTGCACAGAGCCAGGATGTGGAAAGTGCTTTATCCGGCCGGAACATTTGTCGCGACATCGTCTTAACCGTGAGTACTTTCTTCCGGGGAATGGGAACGAGCCCCGCAGATAATGACAGCTCGTCAGATCGACCCAAGCAAATTTATCAATGCTCTGAATGTCCGAAAAGATTCGTTCGCAATGATTTGTTGCGACGACATGAGAAACGCCACGAAAGAGGCATGTGGTTTCGAAACTCTGGGGGTATTGTCCCTTCAGAGGCAAGCCAGCCTGAGATAGAGACATCGCGTTCATCGCAAGAGTCTCGGTCACCCGATGAAGAGTCAATCATCCGTGGAGAGACACAAGGCTCTTCAATCACACCAAATAGCTACGAGAATCATGATGGGACTTGCGAGCCAAATGGGCTTCGTAGCGACTCCCCCCCGGTGTTGACTCATCACCCAGGCTCCACGCACAATATGATGGTAGATGCGACAGGCGAAGGCAATGTGACCTCACTATTTTGGGACCCTTCATTCAGTGCACCAGATCCTTTACTAGACTTTGACTGGCTGTTTGATAACCTCTCCCCGAATTTCAACTCGGGTGATGCTAGCCTCTCGACAGAAGTCGTATCGCCTGCTCAAACTGGTTCATCAGATTTGTCTCCGCCATCCTTTCCAATGATGTCTCAAGCAACTCGTTATCCGGTTCCTTCGGATAGCTCCTCCTTTGCGCCATGGACTATAGTACAGGGCAGGTTATTTGAAGCCCTGGGTACCCTACCTCAGACTTTGCTGGCCTCTCAGTTCTTTTTACCGACCAACCTATCACATTTCTTCGACTTGTACTTTGAAAACTACCACCCACACTTTCCCATTCTACATCAACCAACCCTGGACCCAACCCAAGCTCCACCACTCCTAATCGCCGCCATTGTGACTTTGGGATCGACTTTATCTTGTGAAGAGGGTCACTTTCAAACCTCTGTTCAAATCCATGATTCATTGCGTTACATTATATTCAATGTGAGTATCCTGCATGCGCTTCATAAATTTGGATCTCTTTTATAACATGGAAAATAATAGACCCCTGATTTCGAGCCGCCGGCATCTTTATGGTGTGTTCAAACACTTCTCCTTATCCAGGCACATGAGAAAATGTTCTCTACAAGAAAGCATCACCAGCTAGCACACATTTTTCATGGTGCTATAATAACAGTGAGTCTCGAGCCAGTAGCTAGGAAGATTATAAATGTTACATTTTTTATTCGCGATCCATGCTAACGAAAAGAAAAAAAAGCTCATGAAACGAGGGGTATCATATGTTTCTTCATACCAAGGCCTGGATAGCCTGAATTTATCATGGCGTCAGTGGATTGAGTTACAGTCCTCAAATCGCACCGCCTTCTTTGGATTTATTATGGACGCACAACATAGCTTTATGTTTGGACATACCTGCGTCTTATCTGTACAGGATGTTCGCCTTCCGCTTCCTTGTCCAGACTACCTGTGGGAGTGTGGCAATGTCGTTGAATGGGATAGAATGATTCGAAAGACACCAGAACCCCCCGGGTTCCTGCCAACTTTGAAGAAACTGATAGCGCGCACGCCTATACCACCCCAATGCACTGCGTATGGTCGACTTATCTTACTTCATGGACTATTCAGTGTCACAACACATTTAAAGTCAAGAGACTCGGTTACCTTAGGCGTTGGAGGGGCCTTACCCGATCGCCCCCGACAGGTTTCCGCTGACAGCTGGAGAGATACTTTGGAAAAGGCAATGGATACATGGTCGTTTTGCCTTGTTTCAAGAAGCTCTTCACTTGCATTGGAAGCTTCGAAGCCCCTTCATCGAATGGCTTACGTGGCAATATACACTGATATCACGGATATGCATGTTATAGCAGGGGCTCCGTCACTACTGGGGAATATGCTCTCAGAGGCTGATCTTGTCGGAGCGACTGCGAGAGTACAAACTTGGAGTGAACGACCAGAAGCCACGAGAGCTCTTTATCATTGCCTGCTGCTGATTCAAGAGATCCTCTTTACAGGGAAACAATATCATGCATCTCAAGATAACTTATCTCTTCGGCCTTGGTCTCTTTATCATGCAGCACTTATTCTTTGGGCCTATGGATTCATGGAAGGAAAAAGGAATCCCTTGAAGACCGATGAAGTGTCATACACTGCTGAAGAATACCTCGTCCGCATGTTGATGCTGTTACGCAACAAAGAAGATATTAGTTTTGCATCTCAACAGACAAGGGAGCTATTGGGAGCTGTGCGAGAATCATTAGTGGGCTGTCGCTGGGAGCTTCTCGAAGAGGGCTATGTAACGTTAGGACGACTGATAGATGGTCCACCGTGAGCACTTGTTTGCGAATCATATCAATAATGCCACAATTAATATTGTCAAGATAGACGTTTTGAACATCAGACAGTAAATAGAGAAGCCGTACTGGCCTATTCCTATCGACGTAACGACTTATGCATGACCTTGCATCACTCAAATGTGCGGTCCCTCGTTATCTTGAGGTATGCCAAGCTTAATCCCACGTTGACGTAGTACTGGTGCCACCTGATTCAGATAGGGGCGCCACTTTTTCCCCTCTAATAGGCACTTCTTGCGCTATCCCACGTATAAAGTGGGTCGCTATTGCCGGCTGGCCCATGGCCAACCTTGGAAGATACAATCGATACGACTATCAAATCCGGGGTAAATTTGAAACTGAATATTAGTAGTGGATTCCGGATCCCTCAAGGGATATGCCACTGGGAAGTGCGTTTGTTGTATAAGTGACATTTCTCAGACCCTGGGAGCGGCTCTTTTAAAAGCTGCATATTCTACTACTCAAGGGGGGTTTTTGTGAGGTTGTCAAGTAATAAGCATCCTAATTAGCACTAGTGCCTACTTTATTTTGTCATTCAGATGCTTTAAAAGGCTGTCGTTCAGAATATGACTAATAGGGCATATGTACAACATTGAACTTATGTAGTGCCACTGGCAGAGGTATGGATACCTATTGATGTTTCAACAGAGAGGCTTCAAAAGGTGTATAAGTTGTTGGAATTCAATTATTTCAATATTTGAACGCAGCTCGTAGCTAAAATCTTGCAATAAAAGAATCAGGCAGTCTCCACTTTCATCTCCATAGTAGTTGTTTCATCAGCATCGGGAGGTACAAGTGTGTCTTGGACACGCTTAAAGATCAAAACCAATACCAGAAGCATAGATCCTGACAGTAAGCCCCAGTAACTTCCAAACATTGCCTGGTAGCTGATTCCGCGAACGTCCAAACTGAACACAATCGCAGCTCCCATTGCTCCGAATACCTTGTAGAATGCAGAGTAAATGGATAACACCAGTGGATCATTGGAAAGAGTTCCCATGATCCACCATGCAAATGTCTGCCAGGCACCATCTACGGCGCCATAGAATGTATAAAGTGCGATGTATCCTCCGGCTTTGGAGTCATGGACATCGAGAAGATGATCAGGAGGCGTCCCACGTTGGGATATGCGAGCGGGAAACACGCCACCAATAAAAACGGCGTTGATCAAGACAAATAAAAAGCTCCAGCCAATAAAAGCACGTTGGCGTCGGCCGCCGAGTTTGCTAAAATCGAGAAGTAGACCAACGGTCACAGCCATGAAAAATTGGCCAAAATCGAACCAAAGACTGCCAAAGGCACGAGTGCGGAGATTGAAGAAATAGGAGTTGAAATCGTTGCTCTGGTAGGGAATGTACCACAGACCCGCGAAACTGTAGGGGAAAAACAAAATAATCCAAGGCTCGCGTTTGACTGCGAGGACCACATTCTTTAGTTCCTGGACAAAGGTTGTCTGACGAGGGACGACCACTCGAGATCCGTCATCGCGAACCACTTTAGATGGGTTGGAGACGAAGCATGCCACCACGCTACCCATCAGCATCAATACAAAAAGAGCAATATATGTGCTATCGTTGACACTGCCCGCTGTTGTGACCCCCCAATTCTCGACCGTAGGAATAATGGCGCCAATCACCGTGCCGAAGAATGAAAGTCCATAGAATATTCCAACATATTTGCCTTTATCTTTTTCCATTGGGAGTGACATAATCATAGATCCCTCGGCAGTCCTAAAAGTGTTATTGTTAGAACGAGGAAAATGACGATAGACAATCGAGCCTGGGCGTGAAACGGATGCAAGATGAAACATACCAGAGGAAAGCCGCAGCCACGCCACACATGGCACCACCGAAATACACAAAAGACTGGTTGTTGTTGTGATTGTAGCTCCAATAGGAGGCCGATAGTAGCGAATAACCAATGCCACCCGTCGCAAGAGTGATCTTTGGACCCAGAAAGTTGCACACGGACCCAGAGACCAAAGCAAATGCGCAAAATAGACTATACAAAATTGTATTGGCATTATTGCTCGTGGTTGGATCAACTTGACCTCCTCCTCCCAGGGCAGAAAGAACGTTGAACATTCCAACGACTAGAAGGTGGACAAATGCAATGATGATGCATTGAGTGATTGGTGCTCGATAGGCTGGGAGGGTAAAGAGGCCAGGGATACGATATCCCCTGGGGACTTCATGATATACTTCCAGGTCCCCGACTGTTTCATCCGGCTTATCATGAGGATCCTGCAATCCTTTAGCCATACTGGCTGAATCCGCTTGTTCCTGCATGATATGTAGTAGTATAAAGTCAATTTAAGAGAAGGTATGAGGTTGGAAGTTGGCAACCACGAAGGCTTTGTCAAAAAGCAACTTCCAAGGTCGTTACGATGACAGTCATTATATGTTTTCCGGCTCTTCATTGCCTCCCTATTCGATAACAGTGCTATCAGGGCGTCGGCTTCCCCAGAAGGTCTGATCCCCAGATAAGTGGGGAAACATTCAAGGGTGGAGCTTATCAAGCGAGTCTTGCGTGGGATGAACGGGTATACGCGGGATATGATCTCGTATACGCACCGCTGTTGAATTGTAGCGTGGTATTGTCTGTACCTCATTCTCACAAACATTGCAGGTTATATTTGCATACTTAAATGCCTGCATATCGATAATCTATCGAGTCTCAAAAACGGCTTGGCCCATACATTACCGTAACCTTGAGATTATCTTCACCTTGAGCCAACATGGATGTTCGCAAATTGTCCTTCAACTTTGAAAAAGAGGCGACTGAGAGCAATGAGAAGCACGCTCCGCTTAAAGTGGCATTCCTCGGAACTAGACACCCACATGTTATGTACCGATTTGCCATTCTAGAGCAACTGGGTGGCTTCGAGTTTTCTGGATTTCACGAAGAGGACGCCGAGATCGCCAAGGGATTGAGCGAGCGACTCCCGCTATTGACACGATTTGAGGACCCAACATCTTTACTTGATACAAATCCTGATATTGTGATGATTCATGCCCTGGATCCGGATGTTCCTCGCTGGGCCCGATTTGCCGTTGACCACTCAGCACCTTTCAGAGGTCTCTTTCTGGAAAAACCAGGGGCAGCTCTACCCAAAGACTTTTATGATCTTGCGGCCCAAATACAAAAAAAGAGACCGAATCTCGTTGTAGAATTGGGATATGAACTTCATTACTCTGAATCCCTAGAGTTTGCCCGTAAGGTGGTTCATACGGGGGTGTTAGGAGACATCACTACCGCGCGATTTCATGGAGGTTGTCCATCTGGAGCTGGAATGGACTTATGGCAAGCTATTCCGGAGGACTTGGGTGGAATAATGCAAACCGAAGGCTGTCATACCCTTGAAAATGTGTTAGATCTCTTTGGGGCGCCCGAAAGAGTTGTGTCGTCAATCCGCAAACTTCCGCAAAGACCTCCGCACCCCGTTGTGGGATGGATTCCAGATATCTTCACAGGAACGGTTGATACCGACAAATTTGGAGTCGGCTCATTGCTTTACGAAGATGTATGCTCTGGTATTATGGAATATCCAGATAAGACTATTGTTCTGGATATGACCGCTTGGGAACCTACGGAATGGTGCAACGAGTGGGCAATTGATGTTTACGGGACCAATGGATCTTTACATGTTATCCCTGACTATCCTGTCGGGACTCTTTACTTGCGTGAAGGTCGCGGAGAGTTTGCAGCTGGTGAAACGAAGTTGAAAACAGAATTACCTCACGGCACTTCTAATATTCCAAGTTGCTATCGCAAACAGTTGGAGACTTTGTTCAGCAGAGTTCGAGAATCCAAGACTCCTGCTAGTGGTTGCTGTGATATTAATAAAAATGTTGATATATTGAAAGTTATTGATGCTTTCTATAAATCAGCGGAGTCTCGACAATGGATGGATGTATAAAAACCCCAACGAGGCTTTCAATGTTAATCATGTACGGTATCATGGATGTCGATCTACTAGATCAGGATAGTATTTTTGTACATATGTTAAAGGATATATTTTACATACGATTCGCTTCAAAAGAGAGATCAAGAAATGCATACTATTGTCGATGCTACTAAATTCTTCGCATAAATTCCAATTTTCAAGTCTGAGATGTAGTGGTCTTCAGTCACTAGACACTTATGAAATACTACTAAGTGAGAATATGTCATAGTCCCAGAAATGCCAGAAAATATACTTCAGGGCTAGGGAGGAGTATATAAGCAGCCAGACGTTGGCAATAAGAATGAGAACCCTGCATATTAAACCATAGATAAGGATGATTGGTTGGATTTGAATCCAACATCCAGGTCCAGAGATCCTCAGACAGGAACTGCACAGCCAAACGAAGTTGCGACTGTGCCACCAGGACCAAATACTTCAATCAAACCTTCAATGGCAGCCCACGAGCCCATTCCTGAGCATGCAAGACCTCCGAGGAAATAAAAGACACTCAGAACGTTGACCCACCAGTACTTTCGGAATCCACGACTCCATCGCTTCCACCCACTATCGTGGCGAGTAGTGATACCGGTGACTGGATCGAATCCCTCGCCAGGAAGTGCAGAATCAACCTGGCAGCGGAAGCCAACGCTGAGGAGAGCGGGGAAAGTATATGTGAAGTTCAGAATAAGAAGAGCACCGACTAACCCAACAATACCGTTCAGGTTAGGCACCGCAGCTGCAATAATAAAGGCGAATATCCAGTAAACCGGACCAAGCAAGTACCAAAGCCAGCGGCCTTTCTTGCTTGAGATTTCGGGAAGCCCGAAAACTTCCTGTCCAACTTCAAGATATACAGTTTTCATTCCGACGTTAAAGTAGAGGACTGTTTGATGTTAGTGGAGATCGGAAATAAATATTCTGAAGGAAAAACATACCGCATGCGATGAAGCTGACAATCAAACTCAAGATGTTACCCGCTACTTGCAGGCCATATGGATTGACGGAGTTGTTGATGGAGGAAGAGGCGTATTGACCCCAGAAGTTGTAGACCTGTGATGGAGGTATGTTAGAAAATATTGAATATTTCCCAATGGGACGAGAGGATCTTACGAAGGCGCCAAAAATAATGTAGACAACGCAAATAAAAGCCTGGGCGATTATCATGCCTTTCCAGAAGTCCATGGGGTGACGCATTTCAGCCAAGAATGCGATGAAGAGAATAGCACCACCATAACTATCTAAAGAGATTGTTAACGGAGTTCGATATAGCACAAAAGAACGTCAACGTACAAACGAGCTCGTCGACACCGTTGAATTGGCCAATGAAACCTGCGCCTTGTTGTTGATATTCACCCGGTGGGGGGCCAGCAAAGGTCTTGATAGGACCAGTACCTGTGACCAGTGTTGACGAGGTGACGGCGGTGTAATCGGGAGCGAAGTGGGCTGCAGACACCATACTAAAGAAATCATTAGCAAGAGGTCATCTCAAACGGACAGATTATGATGGGGTCATACATAATGATGAAGCTGACAACGTTCAGCCAAACCGCGGCATTGGTTAACCAGCCCAGGCGTTGAAGACTGCGAATACCACCAAGAAACATACCAATAACCATGGATATGATCATACACACAACGAAACAGATCTTCTCATTCGCCAGTTGAGCCAAAGTTTGAGCATTGCCCAGAACAAGCACGGAAACTGTCATGAATTGCTGCAGTGACTGAGTGACATTGATGAAATGACGCGCTTTAGGACCAAACACGCGGAAGTAGGTGTCTCCAAAACTCAACATAGGATACCGAGTTGAGTCAAGGTGCAAAAATACTTTCCAGAGAATCCAGCCACTGAAACCAGCGGCGATACCGAATATAATATAGAGAGCGGTTGCGGGTCCGAATCCGAGACTAGCATAGACGAAACTATAGGCGCAATTCAAGTTAGAGAAATTTCAAGAGAAGATAGGATAGGATCATATATACGGGCAAGAAGACCAACCGAGAATGTCGGTAGTGATCAGGAAGAATACTGTGCCCCAACTGGCTGTTCGTAGTGCACGAGCGGCTGTTTTCCACTCCGGCTCCAAGTCAGTAGTAGTGACCGTAGTCTGTGTGATCTTCTTGTCGGTATCCTCTGAATCGCTTGAGGCTTGAGTAGTCTGCGCAACAGCCACAGCTTCTCGCTCTTGTCTCTTCTTGGCTTCATGGTGAACACCCTTAGAGAAGCGATTCTTAACCACTTTAGAAAATGTCAGAGTGCCGCGCTCTTCAACATAGACTCGGTTATTTTCTTCTTCTTCTTCGCGCTCTAAACGGGCCCAATGCGCATATTCTTCAAAAGTGACAGTCGGGTCACATCGAGCTGCCAGACCGTAGACACGCTCAGGGGCCTGGAAGGTTTCCTTGTAATCAGGCAAAAAGTCGGCTTGGTTGGAAGCAGGGACGATCTCGTTGTCTTCCATTTTGACTAGCCAAGAATCTCAGATCCACAAATCACGGAGAAAAGACCAGTAAGGATATACAGAGTAAAGCCAAGATATGAAGGGTTCTTTGGGTTTATAACAAGCATTCTTGGCGACAAGAGAGAAGATAAGTAAATACTTCTAGCTGCAATTCACCTTGGAACTAATCTCAACTTGATGGATACATTAAAATATTGTTATTCGTGGTTGCTGGATCCATAAATCTCAAGCCAATAGGGAAATGCTCTTATCTCGTTCCGTGAAGACTCTTGCGTTACTAGAATACACTAAACGCGCCACGAGCCTGAGCACCTTCGATAATGCGCGGCCATGGGGTGTTTAGACCGGAAATGCCGATGGCAAACAGTTGATTGCCTTATCTAACTGATTGGATTGGACCATCCGCAATGTGGATATCGGGCAAATTTGATTAAAGACAGTCGAACGGGGAAAACGTGGCCACCACGCACAGATATTCCGCAGGCACACTTGTACTAAGATTGATTGAGTTAGTTGCACACGACGCTTTCTTCTTCCTTCTTCCTTCTTCCTTTTTCCTTTTTCCCTTTTCTTTTTTCTTTTTCTCGTCCATAGACTAGTCTTTAATTGAACAGTTCAAAGCTGGTTTGAGATTCCATCGACGCATAATTAAGACAGCCGCGATAATATCATGACATCAGGTTTTAAACTTCCATCAGTACACTATAATTAAGGATTCGTCCTCTAACTCATGACCAGCTAGCCTATGGTCTCTCAATCTCGCTTAAAATGGTGAAAACAAATCGGTGGCTCTTGACGACGCTTTCTCCCTAGTATGTGGACCTGGGCCCTTGATAACGGACCCCAAGGTGTGGGTAATTCTTGTATACCCGAGCGGAGTAATGTGTGGTTCCTGCGGACTCCGGGGTCAACGGTCATTCGAATACATGGTCGTTCTATTGAATGGTTCTTCTTGAATCCGCCACAGTGAAGTAAAGATTGCGATAGCTTCTGCGCCTCAATCAAGGAACAAGCTTTATCCACAAAGTGATAAGCCTCGGGACTAAGTCTCGGACTAAGTCTCGGCATCTCGGTAAGATAGCTGAAAGGTATCGTCGCATCTATGGTTGGTCCATTATGTCTATGTCCGTGCCTTTGACGTGCTCCCAATGCTACCTTTGTCGTACTGACATGATTTCCTAATTGGGTTCGGCTTTTTCGACTTCTGGCCGCGCGTTCGCTCATGGACTACTTGACATCTACCCAGTAGGACCTCCCTTAATACATATATGTAGATGTTTGATCTCTAATATCCCCAATTGAATATGGCCTGGCTACTCCGAGCAGGTGCCCAAGCGTTTTCAAGTCACGTGGCTTGACCGGGGGCGATTTCCGGAATTTGAAAAAAAAAAAAGAAGAGACATAGTAGTAGAAGAAGAAGAAGATGAAGATGAAGAAGAAGAAGAAGAAGAAGAAGAAGAATGTTGGAAGATGTGAATAAACAGTACATACACAGGACATTCGATTATAAACAAATCATGACTTCAATATTGACCGTTTATCCAATAACAAGGATTGTACTGAGAAGTGTATTTTGACGGCGAGGAAACTCGTATTTCTGTGATGAATCACGAATGCCAATGTGAATGGAGTCGCTAGGTTAATGTGAAATTGATTCTGGACATTTCTTCAAAACATCTCAGCTTATCACCTACTGCTCCTTCTTCTGCTCCTTCTTTGCTGTGGGAGTGGGCCTGGCCTGAATGATTCCAGCGCCGACTTTGGCAGACTCTGCCCAGCCGTGTTGGCGCATCCAGAAACGCTCGGCAGGATCGGCCTCATGCAGTGACGTTTGACGAGCATCTTCCTCTAGAGCCTTACGTGACAGTCCCAGGCTCTCAGAGGGGCTTTCTTCAGTCTGATCAGCGTCATTCTGGGCACTGATAGTCGATTCAAAATATCTTTTGCGCATAAGATATCGCTCGGATCGTTCTTTGCGTGCGTTGGGTGGCTCGAGTTTTGTCATAGCAATCTGAACCACATGCTGGACAGCGAGGTAGAGATGCTCCGAGAAAAAGATGGATATAAGCAATGCCCAGCCCTTAATGTCTGTCGGCTCGCCGCTGGGACCTTGCTGAGCGTTTCCGCTGAACATGTAAACTAACGCCGCGCTGGTGATACTGCCAGTCCAGGAGAGGAATCCCAGCGTATCGAGCCAAGGACCAATTGTATCGGTACGGAGAGGGGTAGGTCGACGGAACTCGTTGCATATTTTGAAGAAGTCTGATCGGAGCTCAATCCAGTTGTTGGCAAAGAAGGAGACCGGAACGAGTGGCCATACTGGAGAGAAGAGAGCCAGATAACCGAATTGAATGCACATTTCGCGGAGGTCGTCAGTGACTTCGTAGTCAGACAGGTCCACCTCGTTTCGAACCCTCTTCAGGAACTGGGCTTCCTCGGGTGGGTCATCGTAGACAACGGCAGGTACTCTCTCCGGGGATTCTTTATCGCCGTTACGCTCGGACTTGTTTTGGCGCTTCTTGTTGTATGCTTTGTATTCGCGGAATGCGTGTTGTTTGATGTAGGGAACGATGGTCTCCATTGCAAAGCCAACAATCTGGGCAGTGACAGTGAAGTATACAACCTGATTTCGAAGCCGTGCAGGATCGATTTGGAAGTGTGACCGTTTAGTGGTAGAGTGCTCCTTGGAGACAAAAGGCCGGAGTGTTAGATGGAATACATCCAGGTACGGGACGATTCGACTGGCGAAAGGGACATAAACAAAGGCAGTTAGGAACACTGGGAGATAGGATGTCATGAAATTGATGACGAAGACTTTCTGGGTCAAAGCGACATCGTATGCATCAATTGTCTCATGGTTCTCGTAGTCATTCAGCTTGGTTGCAATCGAAACAAGGACCGCGCTCATAGTTGGAACCAGTGCCGAGACGAGAATAGTGGGAATGAAAACCAAATAAGTCTTCAAGGGACCATTGTACAGTTCCGCAATGAAGATCTCGATAGCGAAACAAGTGGCGATGATGGCACCGAGAGCGGTCGCAGCTAGCAGTGCGAAAGGAATTTGGAGAAGTTGTCTCTGCATTCGCTTGGTCGCTGGGAAGACGCCCCGTATCTCACCAGTGCTTTCATCTCGAATTTCCTTCTCGGGTTTGAATTGACGCCGTTTGGTCTGTACCGCGGAGACTCCCTTGGTCTGCCAGCGACAACTCAAATCCACCTCTTGCCTTTTCCAGTATTCGACAAAGATGATGCACCACAGCGAGTTGACGACGGTGTAAATGATGGAAAATCCACCCAGAAGAAACCAACAGCTGAAGCCGAAGACGGCAGGGAAGATGAGGAAGCGAAAGTAGGATTGGAGGAACGCGAAGTAGAAGCCGACCTATTGTATCGTGTCAGTTATGCAGTTGGAGTGATTTATTCGGATGTTGGTAACTCACGCTTTCTCCAAACTTGTTGCGGATTTGATCCAGTTCCTCTTCGGAAAGGAAGGTCTTCTGACTCCATTCACGCATCCAGCGTTTATTTGTCTCCTCATCGTGTAGAGGGAACACTGCCGTCACGTTTTTCCATTCTCCATGTTGTGGGGTGATTCCAGCACCTCCTTCTTGGACGGGGAGAGTGATCAAGTGGCTGATGACTCGCAGTCGCTCTGCTTCGGTTTCGGTTGCGGGATCGATGGCATCGGCGGGTTCAGGCTCAGCATTGCGAATTCCATAGAGCCAGTCGCGGACTCTGAAGTTATTATTAGATATTATTAGGGAGAGGGAGAGGGAGAGGGAGAGGGAGAGGAAGGAGATACCGTGATCGATACACCGCCCGCTTCAACTGTTTCTTCGACGCCCGCACAAAGACAAGCAAGGAAGATTCATCGCCTTGACGAACTTCGGTTTGTAGACCGACTTCTGTCAAGGTATGAAGCAACTTCTCCAGCAGCTCAATCGCCTGGGACTGATCTGCGGGGTGAAAAAGAGGTTTTAGCCAAATGCGACCGGGGCATGAACATTACAACCACTCACCTAGATCGCCGAAGCTATATTGCACGACATAGTCAACTTGGAGGTTATACCCCTGAGCATTAGCCTCGGTTGACGTGGCCATGGTGAACTTGAAGATGATGTGGGAGAGAGAAGAAGATCAAGGTGCCAGCTGGTGCTGGTCACAGCTTGGGTCCCGCAATCATTTGTGTCGACGTCACCGGAAAAAGCTTGGTCGATGGGGAAATTGGAAGATCATGACGTGGAGAAGCTTGGAAGTATCTGCATCTATAGATCGGGATTGTACTATGGATCCTGATCTTGATCTGGATCTGATCTGGATCTGATCTATATCAGAAGTATAGAGGTATGGGCCATGTCCCAGGGTGATTCCGCTCTCTTTCCTCTTCCTATTCCTTTTTCAGCTCATACGACCGTGCATGAAACACGGGATGCATCCCCCGCGCAGATGCAGCTGATGGGCGCTTAAGTGTGACTCGCTCAGCGGCTACGAGTCACTAGACTGGGCACATGCAGTTGCCTTCAACTTATAATTAGCTTGAATAGAAAGATCGTTTCTCTTTCTCTCTTCTTCAACCTTATTCAGTCCCATCATCCGTGTGGTTTATGGTTGATCCACCAGTATGGCCGATACAAACTTCCACGATCCCCTGGATCCACAAGTCTACTATGAAGGGTTCCCTATTGACAAAGGGTCTCTGTACGATCGGTTCAAAGACATCGACCAGTTAGAACACTTCCGTACATACATGCAGCGACTAGAGAAGCCTGAAACTCGGAATTTTGTATTGGATTTTGGGAACGAAGATGCATATTGTGCGATAGATTTGGGAACCAACGATTTTAAAAAGTTATTAAATCAACCGGTAAGTAGTCCCAAGTCTTGAATCTCGAAGGATCGAAGAATCATAATTTGATTTGGTTGTTTGCATGCATCTATAGCGCTCGAGATGTTTTGGTACGCGATGGATGTAAGCATTATCTATCCATTTACCTCCAATCCGAGTTATTATTGCTATATATTGAGTATTAACATAAATCACCCCGGTCGCAGCCACCTCTGGGCCCCAGAAGAGCAAACAGAAACCATCAAAGTGAGTGGAAACGCCAAGATTTAATGTGCTACGAGCCCACGGCCTAAGACTAACCCCCGACACGCCACAAAGGCAATGACTTCACGATATGGAGTTTCGGAAAGATTGCAAGGAATGATGTGTACTGCTCCAGTTATAACTCCACCGAAAGAAACAGCACAATCAAAACCTCAAAGATCAAAAACCAGAGATCTAGATCCTGCTCACGAATTGGACGACCTTGAGAATGCATTCGCCCTGAAGAATATTCCCCAACATGAGTCTCTCCACGACACATCATCATTCAAACATCTCACTTTCTCCCAAGTCACCGATCAGATTTGGCATTTCTCCTCAGTAGACCATGGCCCGCGATGTAGGTTCTATCTTTGACACGATTCCTTCAAACCACCTGGGCAACGAACATTGCTTTTAACAGTGACCTAGATACATGCATCGGCTATAACACCTTGTTTGTCACTCCTGGCGCTTCGACAGAAACAAATGAGAATGGCAGAGATCTACCCCAAGGTAAAAGACTATGGAACTGGCTGGTTTTGTGTGAAGATGGCACCATTATATCCATGCAGGAAAATCCGTTCCCCGGGGTGAACGTATTAAAAGGGGATCAGCTCAAAGTTCAGGATATCGCTCGGAGAAATGTTCGATTTATCTTCTCCGGGGTTTCAAAGCAGCACTTAACCATGTCAGAAAGTGATTCTCTAGTGACTATTCGAGTGAGACACTTCAACGATGTGGGACCGGATCAGGCCAATATCAAGCAGGAAGATGGACCGAGTCTTTTATTCTACTATATTTTTGACGATTGGGTGTCTAGCTATGGACTAATTGCTAAACGAGAACATAAATATGGCGTTGCTCTCGAAGAACTGGTAAGTACAGCTGACTTGGGCGCCTTGAACCCGGGATTCCCCCAGTCGTTATATCAAAGATTATGTATCGCTAATATTATCTATAGAGAGGTCAAATGCTTCACCGTCCAATCGTCGATCTGGTGAATGAGCTTCACTGGCTTGGGAGGCGGTTAGCAGTGCTGAGGCGTTTGTATCAAAGCTATGAGCTCATCATGCGACGCATACTACAACGCCAGCGTTTACTCCGCGATGAGGGTCGCTCGGCTCATTCCCAGCCAGTGCCTTTTGGGGCTACCTTCGGGGACAGAGAGTTTTCTGATTTGCGACAGGGCAGTATAGTAAGTAATGGTACCTATGAGGATAGCAAAGAAAAGTCAGTCGGAGTGATTTTGAGCTCGGCGGCTGTGGCCCGATTTGAAAGACTTGTTGATCGTATCAACCTGTACTGTCTGAGTGAGATTGAGACATGTCTCCAGGAGAAAGAATCCTTGACATTCTTAGTTAGTATTGACAGCCCGAGGTAAACTGCCATTGAAATCAGAGCGCTAACTTTATTATCAGAACTTCAATTTGATTGCTCTCAAAGACTCACAAGCGGTGGAAAAGCTCACTCGAATTACAATCCTGTTGGCCAAAGCAACTATGCTGTTCTTGCCTGTTAGTTTGATGACTGCCTACTTTTCCACTGAGCTTCAAGGCGTGAAAGGTGGATATACGAAAGTCGACTACTGGGGTAGTTTTGCGGTGATTTTCTTCTTGACACTCGTGCTGCTCACTCTGTTTGGCTTTGCCAGCGACACTGTGGAAGGGAAGACGATTTATCGATCCCTGATCAAGACGTTCTTCCGAAATTCGCGGGAGAAGATGTCTTTTTCACGACGATCACAGCAGGATCGTCAATAACTAATACGTCGCCTTTTTAAAGCAATTATCGCCATTTTTGAGGCTATGGAGATGCTGGAACCGGTGCTTTACAAAGAAATGTACTTATTTAAAACCATGATTTGATTGTATTGCTTTGCTGTGGTTCATAAGATAGTATAAATGTATAACCAATTTTTGTATCTTATATAAATCGCTATATCTTCAATCCAGGGTGAACCAATTTCAAAAAGGGCTCGTTCAGCTGCAAGGATCAAGACAGTAATTTGGTTGCCGCATGAATCCGGTCTTGGATAATCTTGCTCCATTTCTGAATAAAAATGTGTTAGAGAGATTGTCAGTGAGTACGTGGTTTACGAAGGTGACTTACCTCTGCATTGGCGATATCTCCTGCCTCAAGGCTCTCCACAAGACCGGGGTAAGTGGCACCTGAGTAGCCTGTCCAGATTCCGGGGGCGAAAACAACATGCTTGAACCAATTACGGCCGTCAAGACCTGGCTCATATAAGAACGCCCGTTCCAAACCTTTATACTTGTCATTGGCGACGCGAATCTGGAAGTAAAGTCTCACTTTCTTCCACCAATGATACCACGGGACATCGTCATTGAGTTGTTCCGCGAGACTAGCGGTGTATGCGTCAAAGGCGTCGGCAGACGCCTGGAACTCCAAAATAGCCGTATCAAGAGCTGCGAAGTCAAAGTGTGTTCGAGGCAAACCAGAGGGTTCGGCCCGGCGAAGGTATGTATACAGGCCACTAGCATAGTCGGCCGCACTAAATGCAATCACAGGCGAGTCGACGAGGCGGGCGGCTGCAAGAGCCCACATCTTGGTGCATGCGATGTGATAGCTCCAATCCGCATCTCCAAATTTCTCCATCCATGCAAAACTGTCATAATTAGAGTGATAGTGGTAAACAGGGTCGTTGGAACCACGGCCGAATCCAAAGTCGACACTCGCGATACCTGCAAAGTCCTGGAATGCTGTGAAGTCGCTGCCACTACCCATTGTTGCAATCTTTCCGTTCCAAACATCACCGACTGTCTGCCCGCGCACGGTCTGGTTGGGGGATTGCACTAGACCAGCGACCTCATAGATAACCTGGTTGAGTAGCGGTGCAGCTCTAGGGGTAAATTCGGTACCAGCGGCAGCAACATCTACATTGAGGTAAGCGACATTGGCTTTGGAAAGCCAGGGAAGGTTTTCCTCCACCCATTCTGTGGATCCCAGAAGACCATATTCTTCACCATCCCAACTGGCAAAGACGATCGTGCGCAATGGCTTCCATCCAAGTTTCAAAGCTTCACCAAAACTACGGATAACTTCGTTAAGAGCGGCGGATCCGCTGTTGGGATCACCTGCACCTCCAGCAATCCAGGCATCCCTGTGGTTACCCACAACGATGACCTCATCGGGGATAGTTCCTTTGATCACACCAATGACATTCCAAAGAGGAGTTGTCACATATTCTTGCTCATTGTTCAGGTTGATGACGACATCTTCGGGAGAAGGTCCGACATTATATTCAACGCCCTTGTAAGTTAAGCCACCACCCTGCCAATACTGATTGAAATCGGTTGCCTTCGGTCCATAACCATTCAAAGCTTTCAAAAAAGGCAAGACCTCTTTGTATGAAATGGGAAGGGAGGGAATAGAAGGGATAGAGTTATGGGGGTCTTGCCGTTCAACACCTGGTTTGGAGGCATACCCTGGTGTGGTAGGGTCTCCAGGAAGAATGCCTGTTCAATGCGCCGTCAGAACTTGTCATAGAATATAACCATACAGACTAAATGGGAAATGAGAAATTGTTATACGCACTGAGGAACTGTGTGCTGCCGCGCTGGATCGCACTGGGGTTTCGAGCAGGACCGTTGGGGTACGTTTCATAACCGTTCTCCTCCGTGATCTCACCGTCTTCCTGAGGATCATCGTAGATCAGAACGCCAACCATTCCAAGCTCCTGTGCACGCTTAACCTTGAGACCACGGAAGATTCGGCCGTATTTTACAATGGCAATTTTACCCTCCAAGGTAATATTGGCGTTCAGCAGATCCTCAAAGTCTTTGTAGGTGCCGAAGTTGGCATAAACAAACTGTGCAGTAACATTACCACTGGCCGAGTACCCGTGGAAAACAGGAACTCGGTCAGGTAAACTGGAGGTGGGATCCTCATCCAGCTGATCCTCCTCCAAAGTGGCCTCGAATGTGACCTCGGTCTTATCATTGGATGTCTTCAGAAGAGCCAATCGGTGGTCCAAGGGGTAATTGAGATAAATATCATAGGAAGCAAGAGTGGTGTCTTCCACACCGAACTCCTTCCATTTCTCCAGCGTCCACAAAGCCTGGCTGAGATTCTTGCCTGCTAGATGAGGACCGGCAGTATAGTAGGAGCTCCACTCCCGAGCTTTCGCTGCAGATGGAGTATTGAGGAGGATTTGCTGCAGTTGATCATAAGGAAGTCCGTTGCCTTGGGGCCATGAGTCATGGGGAAGAGGGTTGGCCCATGGAAGATAGGACCAAATGGAGCCATGGTCGCGTGGTAGAATCGCATAAGGGATTAAGAAGAGGATCGTAGCGATCGTGAGTAATGACGCAAGTACAAAAGTACATCCACGACGAATGGTATGGTGAGTATACCGGTACTGCTGCGGAGCGACATGGACGGCCAACAAAGGGGTAGTCTCTGAGGACGCCATTGTTTTCTCCATCATTTTCACAATTTTTTGGGAAAATGGCACGTTTGAACCCTGGAAGCGGGGAGGAAAGAGGAGAAGAAGCGGTCGCAGTGGATGATGCGATTCTCCGCACTTTATCGTTATCGGGACAAAGCGTGACCGCCTTAGGCACAACCGAGGTCGATCTTTCTATGGTCAAGAGCCAAGTATCCAAGCAGTTCTTATATACTAGTATGACACAATTTGTGACTCTATGAGAGTCCCAAGGTTTTATACTACTGTTCAATATGGAAAGAGCTTGCTGGTGGGAGATCTGTGTGTAATGTGTTATTGTACGACGAGCTCTGAGCTTATAGACCTGAGGATGTACTAGATAGCGAAAACATTGGAACAGTATGATATTCTATCATCTATAATACTTTACTTACTTGGAATTTGACAGAATTTCTGGAGAGACGATAATGCTGCTATAATCAAGAAAATCATCCCCAATCTCTTCCAAGTCCGATCAATATAGATACTGCACAACGCCGAACCAACATTGAAATGGGATAGTAGCTACTAGATAGCTAATAAATACACAAAAATGAACAATTTCCCACTAGGCGCACAGTACACAGTTTTCATTCTTCATCAACCTCCTTCCTGCAACTCCCCAACTCGGCGTTGGCAATAAGCCTTGATTTCGTTTGCTTGATATTTCGCAGTAATTCATTCTCCAGATATTGGAGTGTTAATCTTTGGTTCTTTGTGCGCTCTCGTAAACAGACCCATGCATCAGCAGACAAAAGATTCTCCCCCGGCTGCTCGCTGAATATCTCCGTGGTTCGCGTACGAGATGCAAGTCCCCGAGGATAGCAACGAAAGGTGAAATATCGACTCTTTGGTGGAACATGTGTAGTGTTAACTTTCTGGGGCCATTCCAGATGATTTTCATCAGTCGCAGCTAATGCCAAAGGATTGTTTGGATGAAGGACGTCTTCTCTATCTCGCACTATCCACGTAGTGGCTCGACTTGTGGACTTTTGTTTTTCTCGCGCGGCTCCTTGCTGTATCTTCATACAGCCCTCTGACTTTACCGGTCGCAGAACGAGATCCCAGGTCTTTCGATCTCGCTTGCGCTTCATGGGCGAGCGACTCGTTTCGCTCACATCACAGCTCCTCTGTCCTCCATTTCTTGACTCACGTTCAATATGGTCGGGGGGTTGTCTGGATTCATGTTCGTTACCTCCAGATTTTGCAAGTTTGAGATAATACTCAAGACTTTGGCCTTCTGGATATTTTTCGCTCATGACACAAGGCCGTGCATCCATAAAGTACTCGTACGCGAGAGGTAGGTTGTTGCGTTCAATTTCCACACGACCCATCCAGTAATGGCATCTAGCGATGCTGATTTCATCATTGAGATTAACCGTAATGCCCATTGCTCGCTCGATTTCCCTCTTAGCCTCACCAAGAATACCGCGGGCAATATGCTCTATCGCATCTGCGAGTATAAAGGAAACTTGCAGCTGGTCAAGTCGGTGTGCAAGATCCGTTGAGGCTTCAGGCGATTTCGATGATAGAATTGGCTTCATAGTCTCTGATTTTCGCTTCTGGGACTCAAGAAGATGAATCTTCATGCCTTGGAGATCCTCAGAGAGTTGCAGAACTGGCATATCCTGGTAGTATTCGAGCTCAGATTGAGATATTGATAGTTCCAATGATGGTGCTATTATGCTATCATTATTTTCGTGACTGTCCGAATGGTCGTCAGCTTCTAACCATAAGTCTAACCACGAGTCGGGATCTAATTGGACTCTTGTATCTGACATTACATCAGACATCTTAAGAGGAAATAAGAGACTTATTATAGGGAAGGGTTGTTGGCTGGCGCTAATTATTTTCAAATGTTCTAAATGCGGGAAGTTTCTGACTCGCTATATATAACATGTACTATGTTTAATGAGCAAAATTGCAACAGAGCTCTTCTTTTTGGAGCTTCAAGACGAAACAAAGGCTGAGACAACACAAGTAGCCATTTTGTTTATGGAATAATGATAAAGAAATGGGCGTAAAATAAATTGAAACAATAAATGTCTTGGAGCCCTGTCTATAAAGAAATAGTGGCTTTCAAAGATTAAATTTGCTACTATAGAGGAGACTATGGCCTAATTGCTTTGTTTTCCAATAACTAACATTAGTACTATAGCTTCCAGATTTATTTTCTGACTGATGCAGGAATCTAGGTTAGAGATCATGGGTCACCTTCAAGTTCGGTCGGAATCAAGACAGCTATAAACTTCTTGTGTCAAGATTAATATAGAATTTGTCTCGCGGAGCTTGATTCTTGATTCTCCAAGCGTTCCAACAATTAGTCCCACGACTCCCGTATCTTTTTGAACTTGTATAGAGTATTCTAGGATTTTTGAATACATAATGAGTGTTTGATACACCTACTAGTAGTTTTGTGGAAAGTCACGGTCTCATCTCAGAAACTCTTGAAGCTCTCAGGCTTGTACAAGACTTAAATAGTGTACAAATTAACCTTCGAACCCCCATAGCCCCACATTCTCCAAACTCCGAATTCTAAAATTCCACGGCTGCGACACATCAGTCACAATCATACACAACCTGAGATTCAAAATCCGTATCATCTTTGGAAGTATTAGTTCCTGGTATTTCTAGTTCTCCGTATATTGAATGACCGGATAGAATCATCGCCTTGATGGGCAAATGCGATCGGGTCAAGTCTACTATCATCTTGACCCCACGTCAGACATGCAGAGCCCCATATGGAGAGCCCCACAATACTGTAGACCCCTCCACTTGAGCACCACATTTGCACACTTCGTTCTCTCTAGCTGTTCTTCCGTCCACATTTGTTTCACATTCTGGTGTTCTGAATTTGTAATATCCTCTGATAAGGTAGTCTACATATCTGAACACTATCAACGAACTTTCTACAATTGTCTTTATCCAAGATCAACCGCCATGGTGACCAAACTTCATAACGCCCCACCCTTCCGGGCTGAACATATGGGGTCTTTGCTTCGCCCCGATAATCTTCTAGAGGTCCGGGCCAAAATCCGTGATACCGGTATCTCTGAAGAGGTAGCGGGTCTCCACAATGTTGAAAAAGAGGCCGTCGGCGATGTGGTCAAGATGCAGCGTGAGCTTGGTTTAAAGGCGGTTTCGTCTGGTGAATACAACCGAACTCGCTTCTGGGGTCTCATGTGGGATGAGTTCGAAGGTAATTTCATTCTATGCTGTTAATAATATCTCTCTTATTCTGACTGTAATTATAGGAAGCGTCCGTCTACAGGACGCAGATGCCTCGATGTTCCGCCTATACCACCCTGACGTCGTTAGCTTGATTGAGAAGGACCGGAAGGTTATGCCTGGTGATTCTGTAATTGCTGGCTCAAAGCTATCATGGAGCCCATCTCAATCATTATCAAATCTGCACGAGTTGGAACTAGTACAGCAAGCGCTTCCAGAGAGCGAGTGGAGCGATATTAAGCTCACAATGATCACACCCGCCTGGTTCCATATGCGTTACAAGCAAGGCAAAGCTTACACCCCCGAGGCGTACTCGAACGACGCTGAGTACTTTCAAGGAGTTGCCGCGGTGTACCGTGATGAGTTGAATGCGCTGTATAAGGCTGGCCTACGCAATGTGCAGTTCGATGACCCGGGTATGGCGTACTTCTGTTCCAAGGACTTCCGCAAGGGATGGGAGGAGGACAAGGACAACATTGGAACTGTAGAGGACTTGTTGGACGCATATATTCAACTATACAATGACTGCCTTAGTCAGGTCCCCGCCGATATGCACACAGGAATTCACCTATGCCGTGGAAACTTCATCGGGGGACGCCACTTCTCCGAGGGTTCCTATGATATCATTGCCAAGAAGCTGTTTGAAAACCTCAACGTCAATACTTTCTACCTTGAGTATGATACCGAAAGGGCTGGTGGCTTTGAGCCTCTCAAGTATCTCCCTAAGAACAAGAATGTCGTTGTCGGTGTGATCAGCACGAAGCTGCGCGAGCTGGAAAACAAGGACGCGATGAAGGAGCGTATTTACAAGGCTGCCGATTTTATTGCCGCTGGAGGTGGCGAGACCCGCGAAGAAGCCCTGAAGCGCGTCTGTATTAGCCCACAGTGTGGCTTCAGTACCCATGAAAGCGGGTATCCTCTATCCCTGGAGGACGAAAAGAACAAGCTGAAGCTCGTCCGGCAAATTGCGGATGAGATTTGGGGACAGCCTTAGTTGGCGTACACATCTCAAAGTTTGCACACCATCTGTTACATAAGGTTACTCAGAACCCTGCGACATTTGGCAGTTTTCCTATAAATTTCAACAATGATGAGAAACCTTCTTAGTACAATGCAACACATACCCGGGGCTATCATGATATGAGCGCTGGCGCAATTCAACAATGTTTAAATTATCCATTTACTCTTCATTGTCTATTCGAAAGCCAATAAAAATGTAAGCCACTGGCCATGTCTAATATAGTGTTCGGCTGAGGCTGAGGCTAAGAAAAGTGAAGGAAGCTATTACGCATCTTCTTTTCGACTTCCGCCGGCGTCCGTGTAGGTGGATTCAATACATTCACCCGTGGACTTAATACATGTAATACATCCATCAAATTATCAATGTCTATGGGTATGTAGTAAGTTAAACCGATAAAAGATTCAGCAATTTGAATTCCATCCGGCCGTATATCCGGACATTTGAAGGCTTCTGTGATTACTTTACGTCATGAATACATAGGAAAAGCAGACCTCAGGAAGCTCGGGTCGACTTTTAGGCAAATTTACTTAGCAGGTTATTTCTTACAACTCAACCCAATTCATTAACTTTTCAAATGGGTGTGAAGCCTCGTACAGATCGCCCGGTCACTGTCATCGGTGGAGGCGTGTTGGGCCGTCGCATCGCGTGCGCTTTCGTGGCTGCTGGATATCATGTAAACGTTCGGGATACATCTCCGGAGGCACTTGAGGCTTCCGTGAAATACATTGATGCACATAAAGAAGAATATTTCATGATGCCACGGATTTCCAAGGAAACAGAAGAAGCATGCAGCGCCAATGAGGAACCCACTGATAAGGAACCGATCACGTCTATTACCAAGATAGATCTCGAAGCTTACACCCATGCCCCATTTGGTACCTGCAAGACTTTCACGGATATTCAGACTGCAGTCTCTAATGCATGGCTAGCTGTTGAGGCCGTTCCCGAGAAGCTAGAGCTCAAGATTGATATCCTTGCCGAGCTTGATGCAGCCGCCCCAGCGGATTGTATCTTGGGGTCAAATACCTCATCATACAAATCTAGCTTGCTTATCTCAAAGGTTTCAAAAGAGCGCCACAAGCGCGTTCTTAACCTTCATTTTGCATTGCTTCCAGCCGTTCGCATTGTCGAATTGATGACCAATGGCGAGACTGATCCCGAAATATTTCCATATCTTGAGAATATACTGGGGGAGTGCGGGTTATTGCCAGTTACTGCTCGATGTGAATCAGCTGGGTACGTATTCTGGGTTATTGGTCTTGGATTCAGAGGAAAGTTTGTGGATGATCTAACAGTGTAATGCCACTTAGATTTGTTTTCAACCGACTATGGGCGGCAGTCGAGCGCGAGATAATGCATATTCTTTCAGGCGGAGTTAGCCACCCAAGTGAGATTGATCTCCTCTGGGAGCACATGTTTAAAAATGGACCTCTCCCATGCCAACTCATGGATCAGGTTGGGCTGGATACAGTCGCCTGTATTGAGGATACCTATGTTAAGGAGCGAGGTCTCAACGGTGCAGCGACAGTCGATTGGTTACGACGGGAGTATATTGAGCAAGGCCGATTGGGGAAGAAGAGCCAGAAAGGTGGGCTGTACCCACGTCACGTCCGGTCTTCGACAGCTGAAGCAACACCGACCAACCCGCATACCGCTGCTAAGGACATATATGTTCTGGATGTAGGCTTAGGGAGCAACAGCAAGGATGTATCCCAAGTTCATTCAAATGGCAAAATCCTGCGCTTGAATCTAGCAACAGAGAAGTTAACCCATGTTGTTGTTGGGCAGAATTTGCCGGATGGAATTGATGTCTCGCTCGCCAAACAGAAGATTTTTTGGACAAACATGGGTCGCAGTACAGCAGCATGCGATGGTTCGGTGTGGGCCACAAACTTGGATGGTAGCAAAACTGGGTGCTTAATACCACCAGGTAAGGTACATACCCCGAAACAGATTGCAGTTGTCGAATCGAGGGAACAAGTCTACTTTTGCGATCGGGAGGGAACCAGCGTACATTGTTGCAACTATGACGGTAGCAACCATCACGTATTGGTGCAGCGACATGTGGACCAGGACACAACACTTTTGGACCAAATGATCCTTTGGTGTGTTGGAATCGCCATCGATGCGGAGCGTGGTTTGATGTATTGGACGCAGAAAGGACCAAGCAAGGGTGGTCGAGGAAGGATCTTCTGTGCAGGCCTCGGGCTTCCTGATGGAGAAACGGCGGAAAATCGATCCGATATTCAGCTCATCTTCGATAATTTACCAGAGCCAATTGATATAGAGGTTGACGGCGAGACACAAACCATCTACTGGACAGATCGTGGTGAGCATCCTATAGGATGCGCGCTGTATCGGGCGTACGTGGGTGGAGAAACCATTGATATGGAAAGAGTAATCTTGGCGCGTCATTTCAATGAGCCCATTGGATTAAAACTGGATAAGGTCAACAATATTGTGTATGTGTCAGATCTCGGGGGGAGTCTATATTCCGTGTCCTTGGAGGATGGATTGAAGGTTGAGCTGGTACGTAACGATGGATGTTTTACAGGGCTCACACTGGTATGATCTTGAAAGATGATAGTATTCATGTGACATAATCATTTGATATGGGATGGACAGCATCTGTGCAATATAAATACACCTGGGCATATATTGATGTTCACTGTTGTGTACACAAGTAGCAACATGGCTGATTTACCCACGTGCACCTAAACGCGGCGAGCATCTCGGAATAGCGTTTCCCCGTTTCCCCAGCTCCCCTTCCCGCCTCCAAATCAACATCGACGTCAACAACCTTGTTGGGCTCCAAGGCTCGCTGAGAGAAACGTGGGAATGTCTGTCATAAGAGGGTATTCGCTTGTCTTTGGTTGCAAGTGCAGATCTCAGGATATCCTGAGTGCTATGAATTCAGTTTCTGTTCATCCACGTTGGCTTGACTGGGCTCATTGGTCCTCATGCTATATCAGCGGCTTCTCAATGATATAGTTCAAGACGATGAATGCTCCTTGTCACTTCGAGATGCAATATTATATGATTTTCATCTTGCATGAGCTGCTGGTGCCAGCCGTGCTTCTACATGAGGGTCGAGGGCTTCTAGAGGGGTTAAAGCCGCCAAGGGTGGTTCCTTGCGGACTTGTGGGCGAGGCAGGGGATGTTCTGTGAATAGGACTCCCGACATACAAGATATTGCTTCTTTGATTCTATTCTATATTTCTTCAACAAACGCGATTTAATCGCCAAACACGCGCTTCGAACGAAACCGAGAAAAGTCGCCGAAACAACACATGACGGTCAAATAGAATCACCACCGGGAACGACATGAACCGGACCGAATCAAACCGCCAAATGACAGCAGCTTGTCAGCGGATACCGATACACCCGATGAAACATCGCCTGCGCCAAACTTGCATTTTATGCGGCCAATTCGCCAACGAAAGAAACTCCCCAATATCCGACAGACCAAAGGAAGGAATGGAAATGGAAAATCGATTGAGAGGAAATGGCAATGTACTCGGTGCATTCTATGTCTACATGTATAGTAGCTTTCAGACAAACGGTCTTGAGGACGAGATGGGAAAGATGGATGTGATATAGTAGGGGGCAACTTACTTTCAAGATTACCTATCATGCATTTATGTTCTCATCTGATTCCGAGCGCCTGTGTATTGAGTATCCAATAAACCTTGGTAGTAGCATTGAAGCTTTTAAGTACACCTGAGCACTTCTTAAGCAACTTGAAAACATGATTGAAGTTCAAGTGTCCGCGGGAATAATGCGGCAGGCCATGACTTGAAGTTGAGTTTAATCATAAATTGTAAAGAATGTCTCAGGCTCTAACGTCCATGATGTAATAACATTTGAAATTGATTCTTGAACAGAGCTGGATTTCGAAGACTTAGTACTAAGCAACATATTGGTAGAGACATTTACAGGGACTGTGACTTGGCCAGGCCACTTAGGATTGGACTGCAAGGCCGAGCCGACAGGGTGGATGAAATTTCAGGAGATGGATTCGGTGGTGAGTCAATCCCAAGATTCCTGGTTGGATTTCGTCCGGCTCTCCGTGAGTCGTCGTGGGAATAATAGTAACGTGATATAGTATAGTACTAGGTTCGGACAGGGTGTGTATCCAGTGAAGGGAACTGGCTGGGGCGGGCTGTTTCCCGGATCAGGCGCAAGCCGGGGTGCGAACAATCACAAAACACGGAGATGATCAGATGCCCAAAGTGTGATGCTTCGTTGGCGAAACGCTTGAATTTGCCTGTCACGATGGCTCCTGGAGGCTCCGCGGTGGTGGCTTGGTGGTCCCCAAGCGCTAATCAGGGTCGGCAAGAGATCAGGCAGCGGCGCTTTGATATACGACGGCTAATATGACCCAGGAAATTGTAAGGTCCTGGCAAACCACATTGGCAAGTGTACGGCGATAGGGGAGGATGCTACAGTTGAGCATTTGGTGGCGGCGTGTACATGGTGTCCAACATTGGATGGGAAACAATGGAAACAATTTGACGGGGGTGGTTGTCCTAGTTGATCACATCTATGTGCAGAAGTGTTTCGTGGTGACGTTGCTTTCCTCTGCCTAACCTCAGGCGGGGATAACTGACTGGCCCTAGATTCAACATAGATGGTTTGATTGACCATGTCTATGAATATATGTGTTTCATGTCGGGGTCCTCTCTGCCCAAGGCAGAGGTAAGCTTCAAGTTGATCGAGCCGATGTTATGGGTAGTCAGGCTAAGTACTATATAAGAAGGCCCATTTCCTGTTGTATCTGATCTTGCATCATCGCAACAAACTTCCTTGGCTATCAGAATATTGAGACCTACTTCCTGACCTACATGGACTATTCTTGTAAGTGCATATCTATATTTATAGGGTGAGGGTGGTACTAACTAAGGTCGATAACATAGCAATGTCATTCCTTCAAGATTATACTACAGAAGTACCGGGGAAGTGGGTGAGAGCAATGGCCGAAAGGAAGTCCAAATGGGTTATGATGTTGTTTTGCGATGAGTTTATCGAGAATCACATCAGAAATATCAACCTCGGCGGGTCGTTTCATTGGTGTGGGTCGGTGGAAAATGTCGTGGCCTCGGAGTTGGAGCATCTGCCATTGCGATTTGTGATCTGCATAAGGGGTGTGGATGCGATCTACGGATCAGTGACGGCGACGAATCAAACAGGGCAACTCTTTCGTAATGAGCGGTTCGCGGTTCGTGAAGAGGTGATGGTTCTGGACCCACCCGGTACCCTGAGAGTGCGATTTATTCTTGTGATATCGAGACGCCCAGATCCTGCTTCTATCTTAGATAGGTCTACATGATTGTTATCACATTTTTGATTGTTCTTAGAGGTAAATATAGAACTTTCAAGGATCATTTTACTTGATTGAATTCGTAACGGGTCCCGTGCACTGCACTTGCAAATTTATACATAGTGTGTGGCGAATAATAAATTAATTGATAGTCAGATTTAGTCTGTTCGCATTTATTCTCACTGGTGCTATATAGTAGCTCAAGCTGCCATTTCGCTGCTCTAATTGTACAAAACCGGCCCTGTATATTTACAAGGTTCCCCCTTTTGTCATTCAAAGCTTGTCAAAAACTTCCACAGCTGCTTCAGCGGTGGAGGCAGCACTGGCAGGGTTTTGACCGGTGACCAATCGTCCATCGACGATGTGGAAGTCATCCCAAATACCGCTTGAGCGTTCGTCTATAGTAAAGTCAGGAAATGAAAAGCGCACTTAGAAAGTGATAATAACTTACAAGTCGCGCCCAACCGTTGAGAAAGCTCCTCCACCATCTCGGTGTGCAATGCCCGCAGTTCACCCATTATGCCCATGGTATTTTCAGCCTCAGTTGTAAACCCAGTGAGTTTTCTTCCCTTGATTATCGGCTCTCCGGTAGCAAGGTCCTTGATATTGGCGAAGATTGCAGGTCCATGGCAAACAGAAGCGACAACACCACCGTTAGCCCATACTTGCTCGGCGATGTGCTGCAGTCCAGTGGCGGTAGGGTAATCAATTAAAGCGGCATGGCCAGCGGAGGCATAAAATAGGCCATACTTCGAGGCATCCAGATCACTAGCCTTGATCATATTGTCGAGCTTCTTTCGGAAGTCACTGTTGGTGTTGGTCCAGGTCTCTAGGTCTTCACCATTGAGAAAGTCGGGTTGCTGGGAAAGCCAGTCAGGTGTGTAGCTACCAGTCTCGGAAGACAAGTCCACTTCAAAGCCAGCTGCCACGAGTACTTTGTAAGGGTGAAGGGCTTCGCTGATGAAGAGGCCGGTTGTCTCCTTGCCGCTGAACAAAGGGGCGCTAGCCGAAGTGACTGAGATAAGGGCTCGACGGGCAGGCATATTGAGAGTTGCGGCTGATAGATTGGGAAAGTGAGGAGAGATTTGGATTTTGTTTGTTGAGATGATACTCTTTCTTTGTTTGGTTTTGATTTTGTGTGTTGGATATTGATCTGATCACGGAAATTAGGGCGCTCTTATACTTGTCCTCTTCATTCTCATTGTACTTGAAGCCGGAGTTGGCTTCGGAGCCGGAGTCAGCTCCGGCTTACTATATAGCATTCTTGAACTCTGCTTTGGTGCTTCCGTAGATAATGCAAACGCCAGGATTCATGATCTCTGCACCATGCGAGTTAGCGCATTATTCATCAACGGAGGTAAGGAGTTCATGGGCTCCTGCGCGCCCAAAAGTATGATCGGAGAAACTCGCATGTGGGGGCCATTGACATTCTCCAGGGCTGACTCCGTGATGCCACTGATGCGGGTGGCGGAGTAACGGAGAGGTGGAGCTCACGCACCAATCAACACTGTTCGACAGCCACTCATGGCACTTGTACAAGGTGCGATTCCGGTACTCCCTCCGGAACTCCGTTAGTAAATGGATCGGATCTTTACGCACAAGGTGCTTTACAACGGGGAGGTATTATCCACCAGCAATATGTGGGTAATAAGGAATTTCGTCAGACTGCTACAAATAGGTCAATTTGGCACCTCTAGAGTCCCTGAGATTCGAACAGATTCGAACAGATTCGAACACAGATCGACTTCCAAGAACATCACACTTCTAAACTCTCAAAATGGGGTCAATCGCAGAATATATTCCATCAGAGACAAGGCTCTTCAAGCCCATCAAAATCGGCCAATATACCCTTCAACATCGCATCGCACTTCCACCTTTAACGCGCCTCCGTAACAATGATGACCATGTTCCCTTGCCGCTCATGGAGAAGTATTATGCCGACCGTGGCTCGACACCTGGGACGCTAGTTATCGCGGAGGCCACTGCAATCTCACACGGCGAAGAAGGCGACTGGAATAATCCAGGGCTAGTCAGCAATAAACAGGTTGAAGGTTGGCGCAAAATTATCAACGCAGTTCACGCAAACAAGTCAATCTTCTTCCAACAAATCTGGGGCATGGGACGAGCCTCTCGACCTGATCTATTATCTCAGCGAGGGTTCCCTTATAGGTCTAGCAGTGCCGTTCCAATGAAGGGGACTGAACATGTACCCCAAGCCATGACCGAAGAAGAAATTCTAGAGACCATCAGATCTTTCGCTGAAACTGCGCAGCGGGCTGTTCTGGCAGGTGCTGATGGTGTCGAGATTCATTCTGCGCATGGATATCTTCTTGACCAATTTTTGACGGCCAGTGTTAATCAGCGTACGGATAAATGGGGTGGCTCCATTGAAGGCCGAGCTCGCCTTACACTCGAGGTTGTAAAGGCTGTTGTCCAGGCTGTTGGTGCCGAAAGAGTGGCCCTCCGGCTCTCCCCTTATGCTGGTTTCCAGGGATCTGAGAAAGCCGACTTCCTGCCGCTATATACTTACATCATTGACGAGCTGAAGAAGATGAATGTGCAATTTGCATATCTCTCTCTTGTTGAAGCGACCGGCGATCCTGGAGCTTTGATTTGGAACGATAAAAACATTCATCAGGGCAAAAGTTTGAACTTCATTCTCGAGTCATGGAACAATTTATCACCGGTTATTGTTGCGGGTGGTTATACCCCTGAATCTGCAGCTTGGGCAGTTGAGAATACATATGCCAAATGGAATACTTTGGTTGCTTTTGGCCGACATTTTATCTCCAACCCGGACTTGGTTTTCAAAATCCGAAATGACATACCGCTGACCCCATATAACCGGCCAACTTTCTACAACGTGAAAGAGTGGTCTGGATATAATGATTATCCTTTCAGTCAGGAATTTCTAGAGGCCCATTCAGATGCTGTACACCCAATGACCAAGGAAGAGGGTCATGGGGTCGATATCTGATAGATTTGAAAATCTTCGCGTGTTTTTATTTGTACTATGATACTACCTTCCTATCTTTATCATTCTTTGTTATAATCCTCGGGCTGCTTGTGGGGTTACCACAGCAGTAATTGCCAGCGGGTCATGATCATCGTACTTAGACTATATCACTGGTAGAAGTGCCAGTGATACCGACCCGTGGACTCGCAGTGGGAAAATTCAAAATAATTATATCTCTTATTCACTGTTTCGATAAGTAAAAACTCACAGTAATCTTTGAATACATCCATCTGGTAAATCGAAGAGATTTGGACCATTACAGAGTACCAGTAGTCCCGTCCGATTGGACAGGTGCTGCTACTCGGAATTGATGGCGATCAGCCAATTAAACTTCGCCTTGGCAATTATATGAGGCTCAGCTATGGGTGCCTGACAAATATGGCATGAACACCCCTACTCCGCTCCCCATTCTCCGCTCCCCACTTCTGCGTTTCGGCCGAACTTGTGCGATTACCACGGAGCATTTGATATTCATGCCCTGATTGACTATGCAAGTTAATGCGCACGGGCTAATGATGGCCCCAGACGGCGCGGAACCTCCAGTGAAGCCCTTGCGAAGGCAGGTCGGTCGTGCGTGTGAGGGATGCCGGGCACGAAGAGCGAAATGTGACAATGACCGCCCTTGTAAACCCTGTCGTCGAAGAGATGAACTGTGCGTGCGAACTGAGTCAGATGAACCTAGGACCCTCAATCAGGCTGTGAGGTATGGTCCCTAAATCATTCACCGACATTCCACTTCGCCTTCTAATATTCCACCTGTAGGGAGGTTGAAAGGTTGAGAAGGCACATCAAACATATTGAAAAAGAGTTGGTCTGGTACAAATCACAAAATTCAACCGAGTTAACTACAAGCTCATCCCGGGCAACACAGTCCCCTGGACAAATATCTGTACCTGGGTTAGACATGTCATCTGCGCGTACTACTCATTCCCCGCCGGATATGAACATATCAAAAAGCCCGATAAGCAATTCCGATCGCTGGTCGGGTTGGCAGGGAATCTGCATCGGTACTGCTCGATCTCCAAATTCATCGTGGTATGGACCTTCATCTCTCTTTTACTTCATTGGACGCATGAACAACTATTTGGGTGCAATCCTACAACAAACCCAAATGTCAAACCAAATGGTTCTTCACAACGTTTCAACTGCGTTATTGAATGGCACAAATGATGCCAATCAAGAAAATGACCCAGCTCGGCAAGCCGCCCTGTCTGCGGAAACCTCATTTACAGCTGCAGAGTTTCTGAGTCAAACCCAAGAAGAATATTTTTTGGAACTATTTTGGAAATCTTATCATACATGCCTATTTCCTATTGTTAACGAGGCTGAGTTTATGGCTCATTATCGGTCACTATGGGTCGTTTCTGGAGATAAAAGGAAGCCGTGTGGGCTTGTCGACATCATGATCGCCCTATGCATGCAGTTCGGTGTTCCACAACTGTCTCCCGAGCAAAAGAAAGCTTTGATCGATGGTGATCCCAGTGTTGCCGGTCGTGGATATTTTCGCCGTTGTCATCAAATCGTTACATACCAGCTTGAAAGCCCCACAATAGCCACGGTGCAGGCCCTTATGCTGTGCTCTATCTATCTTTGTAATGGCTCGTTTCAGAACATGTCTGCTGCTATGGCTGCCCTTGCTGCAAGAGCGGCTTATGTTATTGGACTACATGTTGCTCCTTTGCCTACGTTACCCGCGCCGGAGCGTGAATTAAAGAAGCGACTATGGTGGGCTTTATATGAACTTGACGCTAAAATTGGCATGAAGCTTGGTCGACCGTTTCTTGTCCATCGTTCTACTACTGAACCTCAGCTGCCTGGGGACCAGCCTGAAGTTGCAATGGATTCCGGGTCTCATCTAGCCCCCATAGGTGCAAACAAGACATGGCTCAGCTTCCACCTTTATCACTCAACGCTTTTCATTACTGTACGCGAACTACACGAAGCATTTTACGAGCGAGATCTAAACTTGACGCCAGGACAATTCATATGGGATGACCCCCAAGCTTTAGCATCGCATGCTGAGTTTATGCAGCTTCAAACAAGTAGTCTCGCTCAATGGGCCGATGAGGTCCCTGGTGTACTCAAGACAAAGCGGCAAGATAATGGCATTCCTTTCTCTACAGACGGAACGAAACTAGATATTGAGCCATTTGCACCAATATGGCTCCAGCGGCAGCGCCTCAACCTAGAATTAATATACCACACGCTATCGGCCAACATCTATCGACCTTTCATCTCCTTCGGTGCAGGCTCTACTTCCGCCATGGTGGACCAGTTGACCTCTAAATGTGTTCTCCATTCCATGGCACTCACCAATATCATATACCAAACTTTATCCTCAACTACTATTCTCGATTGTTGGCATGAAGCATTTCAATGGCAATGGAATGCATCCATGGTCATCGTAGGCTTTGTACTGGCCTACCCCCATGCTGCATTGATACCGGAGGCTCTCAAAGCTATTGATCTATGTGTTGCTGTTTGCGAAATGTTTGGTGATCGATTTTCTGTTGCGAACAACGCAGCACTTATTCTGCGCAGTCTCGGCCCAAAGATTAATTTCTTGCTGCAGTACCACTCAGAAATGCATGTGCCGATACAAGAATCTGAATTTGTTGGGGGTTTTTCTGCAGAAGATACAACGAAATCCACGGCTGGTACGGAATGGCTCGATCGTCTCATGGGCGGGTCTTCTGAGATGGATAACTCTTTTATGATGCCAATGCAGGACGTGTTCCAGATGGCTTATTCTATTGAGCAGTGGAGTGCGTTGGATACATTGCTACCAACCACGGAAGGGGACTTATGGAATCTGCAGACATGAGGAGCCTTGTCAACCCAACCTGACGCATTATGAAGTACTAAAACTTGAAGCTTGGAATATACGTAGCGGAGCATTTGATCGGGCTATAAAAACATACTAATCTAAGATTTAAGCCGCATCCAGCTACATGGATAGATATTTCGTTTGATCAAGGAATAGAACGTGGAAATATTGAATAAAAAGAGAAATGCAAAGAGAACGAAAAGGTCCTGGTTCGCAAGACCCGGAATATGAACCAGAGATATTGGGTCTCTAGATACATATCTTTCGCAGCGGCTCCAGGACAGGAAATGTGTTTCGCGGTCGCGTGTCTTTTTCCCATTTTTCCCATCTTCTTTTTTCAACATGCTGCCATCGAAAGACCCCGTGTTGAATCTTCATCCATAATTCAGGCTAATGTAAATCGGCAGCCCGTGGAAGGATCAATGGGCGGAGTCCGCTCGGCTCGGGATTTGCTCAGCCTGGTTCTTTCCCTGCCAAGACTACCAATATTGAGTCTTTGTGGGTCTCTGCTCCCACCTACAAAAACCCAAAAATTGTGTCCCTCCCATGCAAACCAAGGAAATATCGTGCAACCAAAATTGGTGAACCACAGATAGGACTTTAATTACCATAAAATCATCACAATTGGCCAGAAATGTTTACTCGAAATAGATTACCCCAATGACCTGGCATGGAGAGGGATTCCAGAAGGTTGGACCGTGCAACCACAACGAACCACAACGTGGTACTATTAGATAAGAAACTTAGTTACATAGGCAGACCCATGTTCCACATCGTCAAACGCCATCATGTTTACTTGTACATTGATTTCTGTTCAATCCTGTAATTCACTCTAGTAAAAGAGCGATTGCAGGACAAGCCATGGAGTCGATTCTTACAATATGAGAGTGTTCAGTGGCCGCCACTGGTGGGTGAGGTAGTACGTTGGTTCAAGTCCACTCTCAATATGATAGTATTGACATGCCACGACCGTGCCAATTCAACATTTTGAAGATGCAGACCGAGTATATTTTGGCCCCATGGCGATGGTATAGAATAGTATCAAGCTGGACACAAAAGTCCGTCTCTGTTTTGGATTCCCAAAGCATGGTGGCCAAAGCTTGCGAGTAGTTGGGCGTAAACCTTGTATTATGAAGTGGCCATACAAAATCGAATAATATGTCAGCCTGAAGACGGCGATTGCCAAAAAGGTGATAGGATCGCAGAGTCAGAGGCTTCTTGTCTCCACGGTGCACAGAGTGCTTGTAAAAGCTTGAAACTTTAGGCCGGATCTTGTCCGAATGGTGTGTAGTAGGATTTTTGAAGGATCTAGCCTGCATGGAGTGTGAGAATTGCTTCTCTTGTGGGCCTAGATCTTGTTCACCTAGACCAGCAGCTGAAACTGCCTATACCAAATGCTCCACCTTTGAGATGCTTCCCAATCCTTCTGTTTCTGCTCATTATTTTTTCGATTATTCTCGTTTCTTGTTTTTATTCTTATTTATTCATTTTTGGATTTTTTTCTGAAATTCGAGGAAATTATCATAATACTATTTTTACTATCTCAATTTCCCTCGTTGTCCCCACAAGTTCGGGGCCGGAAGGAGTGTATGAGAGTAGTAGGGCTGAACAACCTTGAAAGCAGTATGTTATGGAGACCTACGCATTTATGGCCGTAAGTGATATTTAATACCGATTAAGGGCTACTATGCTTGGAATAAGTGGTACACTTTGAATGATTACGGAACACCCCGTGGGCAAAGGTCCCCGGGGCCGATCCTTCAAACTTCAAGTTCAAGTTCAAGTTGGGCCCACTACCAGAACTATTCAGTATATACCTTCACATATTTGCATACATCAATTGATATTATGAATGTATTTCTTTGGTTGGGAAATTTCAACTGGGTCAAATTGTCAACTCAAAACTTCAAGTTCTCAGTAAGCTATTTTGGATATAAGTGTTTGGCCTGTTGATTGGGACCGTTGATTTAAGGGCTCATGATTAATACGCGCTCGGGTTATTGTTTCTAGTTTCTTCCATGGACGACCTAGCCTTAGATTTTATCGCCTATTCCATTAATATGTTGACAGTGAGACCTGATATCATGTTGAACCAGGCACACACCCCTGGACATTTGGCCCCGCACCTCTATTCCTATTATGTATTGCTTATGTACGCAGGGTATATGTTTTGCCATCGCTGACGAGAATCTTCTCACTAACCTTGGAAGCAAATAAGATCAGAGTCCCATCCAGGCCCCCACCTATATGTGTAGACTACGATTCAGACGACAGGCAGATTTCACATAAACCTAAAGATATCGTAATGCGATCCTGCAAGTCACTTTTTCGAAGCGCTAAATCTTAAATACGAAGTAACGCGAGAGGGAAATTGAAAGCTTTCGCTAGCGACCTTGCCGATTCTTTTAGGAGCATCTGATAAGATGCGTACTCGCTCCACTTTGGCGCAGATCTGCGTCAGTTAGGGAGGGCGATCCTACCCATCTTTGTACATCTCCGAAGAATCTAGTTAGACTAGTAAGATCCTCGTGTAGATTGCCATTTCACGTTTAATTATGGCGTGAAACTCGTATAATGCAGGATAGCGCGCACAGTTATTCCGTCCAGATCCACATATGATAAAATTAAATAATTCATAAACTTGCAACACGAAAAGGCGTTTTCCTTCGCAGCGTGGTCGGCGGCAACGTTTTCCCAGATTTTACCGTGGATGATAGTGGGTCTAGACTACTTCGCCAAGAACAAAAACCCGGTTTGTTATCACAACGTTGCTTGCCACCATACAAGTAGATCTTCAAACGGCAAATATCATCAAGAGAGTTGGAGAAGCCTTCTGATGGCGAAGAATCTATGTAGAGTGGGTGAGCACCGAAAAAACCGCTTCTCCATGGTACTATCACCACGGCATGACACTTATCGTCTCCGTCCCCATCCGGGTTTTCGTTTTGAATATAGATTTTTTTCTCTTCAAGGCATTGACACTGGAATTCACGTTATCTTGGTGCCCCGGCAAAATGGGAAGATATTCGACATTATAAGAAGACCCTTCGGTCCAGCTTGTCTAATTGAGAAAAAGATCGTCCAGTATCCCTGTACATCCGGAGTCTAGCCGGGGAGAATAAATTCATGTGTACAGAACATGAACCAGTCCTACTGACTCTCGGTACGGCGTCTGGTTGGTTAATTTCCCGACCAACAGTCGGCATCCCCCGTGCATAACCTCTGCCGGATTAACCCGGACCATGAAAATCTACCCTGTAACAAGGAAGCACGCCATAAGGTACTTCGGTTCCAAAATTCCTAGGCCCCGTTAGGAACGCCGATCTTTTCGGTCCCGATAAGATGTACGAGTGGGTAGCCGAATTTTAGTCGGCTGAGCCAAGCCGAGCCAAGACACGCCAAGGCGGGTCCTGGCGATCGGCGGAGCCTGCAGTTTGGCATTGATGCAACTCCAACTCGGCGACAATCATCATTGGGGTAACTCGCCGTCGCCTTGTGGAGTCTGTCGAAAGTCCTTCCAAGCTTTGCGTTGATCGCCCTTGATAGTTCCTGAAGAGGGAATCTTTTACTCCGTACGGATGCTCTGAACGAGGTCGGGACCATTCTCCAATTGGGCAGCAGTGCTAATCATGCACTGATGGACAGAATCATCAGGGTCCTCTTCGCTTAACCATACTAGGAAATACATTGGAATCGTCTAAGATCATTCTACGGTTCCAAAGATTACCATCTCCGGCATCGGCCACTCAGACAAAAGAATGTGAGATGTGAGATGTGAGATACGAGCCTGTATACTGCTCAAGGGAGTATAGCTTGTGCTTTGAAATGGGTTGGTTATCCTGCAATTTCGCTTTTTCACCCTGTTTTTATGACCTGGTCTCCCCGCTCGGTTTCATTGTCTCGGCATAGATTGTACGGAGTACAACCATGCATATGCGCCCTAGAACTCAACGAGAAAGGGGCAGTTGCCAAGAGACCCCCCAAAGTTTATCAGATAAAAAAGAATCCACTGTCAAAGACCCACGCGAAATGCAGTCTGAAATCAGCCCTAAGTCGGGGCTGGGTAGTGACGATCTTTCAAAAATGCTGTATACCCGCAGTAAACGCTAAGATAACTATTCGGGTCCTTCAGGTACCACCGGATTGCTTGTGATACCGGTGGATAGAGATGGATTATAGCTTTCATATACGAGTAGCCTTACTTTCTTTAATTGGATTACTATCCTTTCTGTTATTGATTGTGTGTTGCAAGTATAATTTCGCGCGAGAGACACCAACGTGAATAATTCCAACTCAGTGGCTTCTTTTAGAGCAGTATAGGGAAAGTGGGAAACCATGAAACCATGACTAAATAGTGGAAACCGGTGGCCCGTGTCTCTTTTCCACTAATTAATCTCAGGTCTGTATTCCTGGCCAGTCTAGGCGTTGATACTTGACATTTCCGGTAGGATCAACGACACCCGGTTACATTTGGCTCCACGGGGTTGTTTGATTCAGATTAGTTTGTAACTGAAGGATCCGCCAGAGCTGTACAATGGATGATCTTCACCTAGTTCGCCGCTAAACGGAGAACATGGATTCAGAATGGGGCCTGTGATGTAAGGTCCAATCTACAGGTGGGCTTTAGCCGGCCGGTGGGTAGATGGAATTGTGGGTCAATTTTGTTATGAGTAGATGGTCGAAGCCATATAAGTTGAAAGATTCTCGTCTGTTCAGATTGGAGAAATTGATTTTCATAAAAGGTACTTGGCTTTTGAAGGATAAGACTCCTGCCATTGATACATGATGGCGAGTTCGTCTAGTAGTCCGTATGTTTGAACACATTCTTTTCATTCTTCTCGTCTTATTTTTACTCTCTTGTGTTTCGATTGCACTTTTATCTGCCCCTGACACTTTACATTCTACTGCCTGTTCATTTTCTACCCTGTCAAATCTAATTATCCTATAGTCTTGCAGGACAACTTATACAACTTCGAAATGAAGCCTCCCATCCTGACTCTCACTACCGCCTCTCGAATCTCCTCTCCTCCCAAGCCGGTCCTTGGCCAGCTTATAACTTGATTCTCACATTCCAGGACATTTATAAGGCTCTTCCTGAACATCTGAAGGCCAATAATGATGACTCTATTCGCAATTTGCGTACACAAGTCAAAAGAGCCATTCCCAGTATTGGCGATTTAATAGGGACAGAATCCCGAGCAGGCTTGATCGATGCTACCACAGAACGACATCTGACACATGCTGCTATCCGAAAATTTGTGCAAAACTTCCATATCCGTGTTGGCCTCTCCTGTAATAGGAAGCCTCGCGTCGCTGTTATTCTTCCAAATGGTCCTCTCATGGCAATTGCTGTTCTATCATTTGCGAATAGATACACCATGGTGCCGATGGCATCCAACACAGTACCAGAGCAACTACATATGGATATTGAACAAGTCCAAGCAGATGCCATAGTCGCTTTAGATAGTGACATCGGAAAATTGCGTCTTGCTGAATGCAATCGACCTACATTCGGTGTCGAGCAACTGGAAGACATGACTTTCCGAGTTGTTTCAGAACAACATACTTCCGGTGGCTCTGACCTTCCAGCCAACACCAGTGATGATATTGCTATCATTCTTTTCACCAGTGGTACCAGTGGTAACAAGAAGCTGGTTCCCATCACAACATACAATCTTGTCTCTGGTACCATGGCTACCATGGAGTCGGTGGAGTTGACAAAAACCGACACTTGTTTGAATATGATGCCATTGAATCATGTGTATGTTACCCATTCATTTATTCCTAGCTTGAGATTTCACTAACAAGACTAGTGGTGGCATAATTCGGAGTATTTTCTCCCCTCTTCTCGCCGGTGGTGCTACAATCTGCTGTCCCTCTTTTGACCCCAGCATGTTCTGGGACGCCGTGGAAAGCCCCCACATGACCCCCACATGGTATTATGCGACGCCTACCATGCATCAAATGATTCTTGGTGAAGCAAATCACCGTCCAGATGCCGTGAAACAAAGTGTTATCCAGTTCATCTGCAATGCTGGCGCTGGTCTTCCCCCGTCGCTCGCGATGCAGTTGCGTGAAATGTTCCACTGCGTTATCCTCCCAAGTTACGGCATGACTGAATGTATGCCGATTGCCGCACCACCTAAAAACTATACCCTGGATCGACATGGAACATCAGGCCGCATTGTTGGACCCGATGTGGCGATTCTGACAGAGAATGGTGACCATGTTGCGGAGACTGGAATGCTAGGGCATATTTGCATTCGCGGCTCCCCAGCCTTTGAGGGATATCTCACCCCCGAGGGGAAGATCGACGCCAGCACATTCAACGAGTCCGGCTGGTTCGACACTGGCGATCTTGGATATCTTGACGCCGACAACTATTTGTACATCACCGGCCGCAGCAAAGAAGTTATCAACCGTGGTGGTGAAATTATTTCCCCTGTCGAGGTGGAGGATGCCGTGTTGACCGCGGCCAAAGATCCCAGTTCTCCTTTGTACGGTCGCGTCACTGAGACCTTAGCCTTCTCAGTTCCTGATGAAGTCCTTCAAGAGGTGGTTGGTGCAGTCATCGTCACGTCCCCAGGAACCCCAAGGCCAGATCTTCGTCAAGTACATGAAGCACTTCACCCCATCATCCACCAACCAAAATGGCCTGCTTTATTGGTGTACATGGATCGTGTGCCAAAATCAAACAACAAAATTCAACGTATCAAGCTCGCACAACGATTGGCCTTGGAAGCTCTCACCCCAACCACTCCTCTGGCAGATCGACACTATGAGGCTACTTGCCCACCCAACGGAACTCCGCTCAGCGCGTCAATCCCAAAGACTGCATGTGTGATCGACAACAAGACCATTCACTCGGCTATTTGCGAAAAGGCCAATACCAATGAGGTTCACATTCATATCAGCCCTCGTGATGGATTCGCCCAAGCTGTCCTATTCGGCCAGACTCCCGACGACAACAATCTGGTGCCTGGTCATTTCTATGGCGAGCTGGACGGCTATCTCATCCCTGGTCGTATCACGTCGCTTGAGTCTCCAATGCCCGTGGACGCCTACGGGAACCCCGATCAGGCTGCTATTGATGATGCCATTCGTGCGCAGAATTCAGATGGCACATTATCACCTGTACAACGTCGCGTGCGTGAGACATTCGCTACCGCGCTTTCTTGTGCACCGGAGGAAATTTCTGCCTCTACTGACTTTTTTGCTGCGGGCGGCGATAGTCTCAGTGCTGGTCGGCTCGTCTCGCAGCTTCGTCGCGAGCTGGGTGTCTTCCTGGCAGGTGATATCCTTTTCCACCACAGCACGGTCGGTGAAGTCGAACAGATAATCGATGAAGCCATTCAAGTTAAAGCCCTGAGTGGTGACGATGGGGAGGTTGAGCTGCCAGGTTGTGAGAAAACATACAGCAGCACAAACCCCATTCTGCTGCTGCTGCATCTGATTCCAATCACCTTCTTTTTCCCCATGAAGCGTGCCTTCCAGTGGCTTGTATTCGCCTATGTTGTGGCAACGTGCTCAACCATCTTCCCTATTCGCTTTGTCCTCATTGGCCGATTGGTTCTTATTGTTTTGGCTGTTTTGGCCGCTCGGATTGCTGGACATGTTCTCCTCCCCTTGTGTGGTATCACATTCAAATGGCTCGTCATCGGTCGGTATAAGGAAGGAATCTCTCCCATGTGGGGTCCTTACCACACCCGCTGGTGGTTGACCCAAAAGGCGTTACAAGTATGCGGAAAGGGCATGTTCAGTCATTTTGACTGGTCTCGTGCTCTGTTCTATCGTCTTCTAGGTGCCAAAATTGGCAAGAACGTCTCCATTACGAAGACAGCTAAGCTTGGTGAATATGATCTGATCGAAATCGGAGACAATGTCATTTTGGATAACTGCCAGTGTCGTCCCTTTGCTGTGGAGCGCAACACTTCCATGCTTTTGAAGCGCATTCAAATTGGTAAAGACTCTTCCGTGGGCACCAAATCCCTGATTGCCCCAGGGGCCATCATTCCTAATGGTACTTGTATTGGACCGAACTCCTCAAGCTGGGAACTCAAGGATGCGGATGAGTCCAACCGCGACTTACTTACATCTCGCATTCCTAAGCCACACTGGATTCTAAGCCTCTTGATCGTTGAGCCAATCAGAGTAGTTGTCTGGGTGGCTGCTCGTCTTACTTGGATGGGTGGTCTTGTTCCTATGGTTCGCCAATTTCCTGCTCCTGCAGCCGACATGTTCCTCGCTACGCTTGAGTGGTACACCAGCGGCCAGCGAATTGGATACCACATCACCGCAAGGATTTGTCGTGCCATTGGTGGTCCAATTGTGCTTTTCATCACAGTGTTGATTTTCAAGACCCTGTTAGACATTTTCTGCGGTAAGCCCAAGCCTGGGCCTGCCTCTAAGCAGAGCACTCGTCAAAAAGTGCGGGCTGCTGTTCTTGCACAGATCCTACCTTCCGGTGACATTCATGAGCTCACTCGACTAGTTGGTCGTCACTATGAGCTTGTTTCAATGGCAGTCCGTGCTTTGGGTGGAAAGGTTGGCAAGCGTGTCTACTGGCCTAGTGTAGGACCTGCTCTTCCTGATTTTGATCTTGTGGAGATTGGTAACGACGTTGTGTTTGGATCTCGCTCAACCATTATCACTTCAGATGGATATGGCCGAGACCGTGTCGTGATTGGTGATGGTACCATGGTTGGTGACCGTGTCGTCGCTTCTCCAGGTGTTACAATTGGACGCGATGTCATGATTGGGTCAGGAGCTCTACTCCGTCGTAACGGTGACTACCCGTCCAATACTATCTGGACCGGTAGCAAAGGTGGTGATGCTGTACAGTTCCCAACATCTAATTCGACACCTATGTCAACTGCTCCCACCGTTGTTGGAAGTAGCAATAGCAGCACCGACGGTTTCAGTGAAGACGAGAAATCTCCCAACAAAGTGATGGCCGACGAGAAGCAGGCCAGCGCAACTGAGAAAGTCAGCAAAGAACAGGATCTCGTCAAAGATACCTGTAAGCCCTTTGGTCGCGCCTTTTATCGCCATGAGGCGGATTATTACGTTCTTCGCATCTGGCAGATTGTCATCTACTCGGTTTTGTCGGTTGTTATCACTACTGTCTACTGGCTTTGCACAGTCGTGTTCTCCCTTTTGCTCCTCCGTACTTGTCTCCATCACAGCAGTGCGATTGGGTTTACACAAGGTCCTTGGCGGCCGTTTGTCCTGTTCGGTATGCTTGCTTCTATTATTTCGGGAGTCAGTGTTATTCAATCGTTCCTTGCCCTTGGTATCGTTATCTCCATAAAGTGGATGGTTATGGGTCGCCGTATGGAGGGCGCCCACCACTGGGATAAGACCAGTTATAACCAGAGATGGCAGTTCCTTCTCTCTTGCGAGACTTTGATCAAAGACTGCTATGGCGGCTGTGGTCTTTTGCCTCTTATCACCGGGTCTGCCTATATTTCTTGGTATTACCGTCTCCTTGGAGCCAATATTGGAAAAGACTGCGCTATCCACGCCAACGGAACACCCAATGTCTTCTTTACTGAACCTGACCTCATCACTCTCGGTAACCGTGTTGCCGTCGATGATGCTAGTGTGGTCTGCCACTTGAACTCCCGTGGCGAATTTGAGCTGCACCCCTTAACTGTTGGAGATCGGAGCATCCTGCGTGCTGGTTCACGATTGATGTCCGGTGCTTCGATGGGTCAGGATGCATGCATTCTGGAACACACCTTGGTCTTGTCGGGTGACCATGTTGAAGATGGAGGTACCCTTCAGGGCTGGCCAGCTGAAGGCTTCCAAGGAAAGCGCGCTTAAACTTCAAGTTGTTGAATTGATAGATTTTTCATTTTCCTGGTTTTTGGGTCTGTATATATCTGCCCCAGCGCAATTAGATTCAACAAGTTTCAGCAACTATATATAGAATTTTTTGAATGTTTTATGATCATTTTTCTGCCTTTGATCCAGCTACACCTACTAGTATGTATTCTCTTTGATACTATAAGAGCGCAAAAGGTTTCTCGTTGCCACATTGCCAGACAGATACCGGCCGGACACCATGGTGATCAAGTTCTGGCTGACTACTAAGGTCGCACCGAACTTCCATAAATGATTTCAAGCACATGCTTCTTCTTTGTCTTGAAGATTATAGTGCTTTCGTCTAACATTCGTCAAAATCAGTATCTTGCTAACCGGCTGAACCCGCTATCATTACCAAATCCGAATGGATACGTGTACGCGTCTCGCCCAGTGAACGCTAACTAAATGTGTCCTTAACTCCGCCCCGCTCCACCCCACTCGCAATACTATTGATTGATAAAAATGACATACAGTAAATGGAGCTCCCAGTAAATTCCCTCGGGACACTATTGACCGTTTGTTTTTTTCCTTTTTTCTTTTTTTCTTTTTCTCTCTCTATTTCCATGTCCCCAAGACTGATTATATTGTGGCTACGTGCATGGAGCTGCACAGGATCAGCACCTTGCGAGGTCCGATCATCATGTCGACTTACTATTGCCCCACGTAGACCTTGAGCTATTCGCCTAAATCATTATAAGGATAATTAAATGTTCACCCGGTGCCATAGGTACGAGGTTCAAATTCTCATGCTCTCCGCCCACACTGTTGGACACCCGCTGCAGATTCTATATCCATTGCATACCATCTGTGACCCATGATTTAAACATAGGTACCTCTAGTATCTCGATAGCTTCGCGCTCCTCATGAAAAATTAAATATAAACACGATACACCTGTTTGTTCTGATCGGGCAGTCAGCTCCAGAGAAGTTCAGCGGAACGAGTTGACATAGAACGAAAGTCAGAAATAAATTCGCTGAATGGATACAATACCTCTGGGAAAAAGAGACCAGGAAGATTTGAAATTGTTGGATCGCGTAGGACGAGTTCATCCTATATCGCGCAGGGCATGACGAACCCTTGGCAATCCTTGGGGGGGGGAGGTTACTGAGGCCACTCGAATAGACTGCCCGTATACAGGGACAGGGAAATAATGCATGGGATATCAGGATATCACTGTTGTTGAATTTTGAATTGCCCAGAAGAGCTAATGGATGACATCCTTAATGAGTAGCGCACTGATGACTGGTTGGGTTTCGGGTACAGTCGGTCGCGGTCGCGACGGGAACCGAGACGCCCAGGGGGTTGAAGAAGGGGAACCAGGAACAACAATAGGAGGATTTCTGAAATTCGGAGTAAGGAGCTTCGGTTAATTCAAACTTGGTCGATTTTTTTTCATCTGAGTGCATCATCCTTTTTTTATTTTAAATAGTGTTTGATCCTTGCATGGCCTCCTGGCTGATGAGGCTTCTGAGCTGCGGCTGAGTCGATGGTTGTGATCCACCCGATTCGTTTTGTTGATGAAGTAGATACATCTTCAAAGTGGTCTATAATCTCCAATGCGAGTCAATTCAAACTATTTCTTTGCTATTGTTTGGGTTTATGTAGCCTTGGAGCTATATGAGATGGAAAGCATGGTACTTACGCCATGTTTGCTTGCGTATATCATGGGGATTGGACCTGCTTCCCCTCTGTCCATGCATCAGCAAGGTTGATCAGTCTATAATGAGACCTGTACGAAGGGCCAGTTCAATTGCCAATCCTCGCTGACAGTTCCGTGCATTAAATCTGGTTCTTTCCCTACTTTCTAGTAATATACTCTTGACCAGGGCCCTTGATTGAACCCAAGTTGCCAAGTTCTTGTCCTGCCAAAGCTCTCTTTTCTACTCTTTTCTTTCCTGTTTTCCCTACCTAATTCTATGCCCACATCCTTTTTGTGCTCCTCAATCCCGCTGGTTATTTCTTGCCTGGGTCTCATAATTCTTTAATTTTCTCGCACTAATATATCATAATATGATTTCAATTTTCGACAAGGCAGAGCCTCCACGAGAGACTCACCCTGCAATGGAAAAACACGACTCGTCCGATACAGATCATGATGCCCAATCGCAAGGCAATGACAACAACCCCAGACCTTCCAGTGAGAAAGAGAGTACATTAGTGGACGAGCCAATTCAATCCTCTATAGCACCTGATGATGCAAACTTGAATAAGGATAGCTCAGCTTTGGATACAACAAAAGAGACCCTCCCCAACGAAGAGTCGAACAGAGAATCCCGACCACAGTGCGATCCAGAGCAAGATACTTCACCAAAAGACGATAATGGAGAGGACGCAAGCAGCAACGCCGACGACCCAGAGAAAGATATTGAGTACCCTTCCGCTCTCCGCCTGGTCCTCATTACCATCGCATTGTGCCTCTGTGTTTTTTGTGTGGCTCTGGTATGTCACGAGATCATGATGCCCCCCTGGCCCTTAGTTTAAGCATTTTCCCAGACTCTAACTTGAATGCTCCATCATAGGATAATACCATTATTGCAACAGCAATTCCCAAGATCACAGACCAGTTCAACTCACTGGATGATGTGGGCTGGTACGGCAGTGCATATTTATTAACAACCTGTGCCGTTACTTTGACGTTTGGCAAGCTCTATACTTTCTACTCCATCAAATGGATTTATTTGATCGCTCTGTCGATATTTGAGATTGGATCTCTAGTATGTGGCATCACCCCAACTTCAGTGGGGTTGATTTGTGGTCGTGCCATTGCAGGACTGGGAGCCGCAGGTTTATTCTCCGGGTCTATCCTTATTATCACCCAAAGTGTTCCTCTTGACAAAAGACCCATCTATACGGGACTGGTTGGGGCTATGTTTGGTATCGCGAATGTTGCCGGTCCATTGTATGTGTTGAAACCCTGCCTCTCTTAACTATTATGTCTATGTTGAAAATAGAAAGGGCCATTATGAATGAGATTTGATCGCTAACTAGAACACATTCAGGATGGGAGGAGCTTTCACAGACAATTTGACCTGGCGCTGGTGCTTCTATATCAATCTGCCCATCGGCGCTGTCACCTTTCTCTTCATCTTGTTCTTCTTTCAGAACCCCAGAGTAATCAAGAAGAAAGCCGGATGGAAGCAACAATTAACTGAAATGGACCTCGTCGGCACATTCTTTTTCCTCCCTGCCATTATTAGCCTACTGCTTGCATTGCAATGGGGTGGAACCAAATATGCCTGGGGTAGTGGTCGCATTATCGGCCTCTTTGTGGTGTTTGGTGTTTTAGGCCTGGTGTTCATGGCCACGCAGTCCTGGGCCGGAGATCGTGCCACGGTGCCTCCTCGTTTGATTAAGAATCGCAACGTTTGGGGTGCTGCTTGGTATTCCATGGCCATTGGTGCATGTTACTTCGTTCTGGTATATTACGTATGTTTCCCCCTCAAAAGTCATACGATATCTGTTAAGAGACTGCTAACATATTTTTGTCTTAAAGCTCCCCATTTGGTTTCAAGCCATTAAAGGTGCGTCTGCGACGAAGTCAGGAATCATGAACCTGCCGATGATTATCGCTGTCGTGGTCGTATCTATCCTGGCCGGGGGTCTTGTCACTGCTTGTGGTTACTACACTCCTTTCATGATTTTCTCGTCCATTATCATTACTATTGCAGCTGGGCTATTGTCGACTCTTCAAGTTGATTCGGGTCACCCCAAGTGGATTGGATACCAAGCCTTGTTTGGAATTGGCCTCGGACTGGGTATGCAGCAGCCGATGATTGTCGCACAGACGGCCCTGAAAGCTGAAGATGTCCCCAGTGGGACTGCCATGATGATATTCTCACAAACGTTGGGTGGCTCTATCTTCCTGTCCGTGGCTCAGAATATTTTCCAGAATCAACTCTTCCACAACCTTGCTGTCGATGCCCCGGACGCGAATGCCGCCAAACTAGTGTCGGCCGGTGCAACTCTGCTGCGCTCTGTTGTGTCGGGTGCTGAGCTGCATCGTGTTTTGATCGCGTATAATGACGCTATCACTCAGACATTCTATGTGTCAGTCGCCATTGGTGCCTTGTCACTGGTGGGACCTATCTTCATCGAGTGGTTATCGGTAAAGGGGAAGAAGATCGAGATGCCTGCTGCTTAGCTCCAGAGATGGATTGGTAGTTGTGTGAGGGCAATTGTTGCCAATTCTTTTTGTTCATGTTTTTTTTTTCTCGTTTTCTTCTTGTCTCCTTTTTTCCTTCACTCTCTTCACTTTCTTCCTTCCATGCATATTCTTAAACTGTTGAGATTTCGAAATACCGGGAATGTAATAAGTCTGGCGATGCAAGTATCTTCAATCACTTGAATAAAATGGATCATAAGCATCACTGGAATTAGCACTTATCTTAACTAAAGGAAAATAAGTAGGTCCATTCAAACTGTGCTTTCTTCCTGATCAAGTCAATCATGAAGCTCAAGTTGTAGTAACATACAGTGACGATTAAGAGAGTACGACTGACTTCACTGCTGAGTTGTCGCTTTTTGCTAAAAGCTTACAGTATCGAAGTATACCAGACCTCAGATTCGAATACCAGGAGTCAAACTGCACTTTCGAGCTCGTACAGTAACGACAGCTATACTGCGGCGGTCGGAAGTTCCTCAGAAACCAGACATATGCACGCTGGGGTCCCGCCAAGCTCATCAATTTCTTCACGAGAGACTCAGGCCCCTGTCAAACAGTCATACATCACTGCACAGAAATCCAATTTCGTCTCTTTTACACAAATACGTCGAGAAGTGGCAGTGAGTAGTCTAGGAGTTAGCCGATGGGATTCTTTCGAACTTAAGCCCTATCAATTCAAGAGAGCGCAGCTCGACGAGGAGAAAATAAACAGAATGCGCATATTAATCCACTTGGCAATACTTAAGCTACCAATTGCTAGCGTCTGGAGGGTATTTGCACGGAGAAACAATCTTGAGACCAGAGACATCAATTCGTTAATAGTTGATGCTTTTCGCTCTAATGCCGCTGCAATTCCCAACCTAACTGAGACAACAATCACAGATTTTGGATGCGGGATCCTGGAAAGATCACAATACCTTCGGTCAAGAAACCCCCGTGCGGCAAAGCTCGCTGAGCTCGTTGGGTGCGCTGTAATGTGTATTTCGGAATACATTGACGGAGGGTTTAAACCCTAACCAGCATTGTAAGCCCTCCCTTTTTGTTTTTTTTGTTTTACGTTTTTGTCTGACCTCTAATAAAGCTGAATGACTTCTGTTTACTCCGCTTCGTGCCTGGATTCACCATATGTTTTTTGACTGAGCATCAATCGCCCAAAATATCGATTACTCATGTCGTTCTCATCCAGTTCAAAACAAGTGTCATTGCTGAAGTTATCAACGATGTAAGTTTTGTTACGAACACTATTCTTACTTGGAATAATAGAAGTGCTAATAAATATCATAGGTTTGCTGCCGCATGGTTGCCCTCAAGGACAAATGTCTTCATCCATTGTCCCAGAAGCCATATATCAAGTCGTCGTCCGGTGGGATAGACAACTCAATTGAAGGAATTCAAATGCGTCGGTCTATATTCTTCAATCCAGCTGGTTCATGTAGATGTTTGCTATTTTTGATTACTTATAACGAACTGTTCGCTGATCGGCTATTCATATGGAAAATAGAATGCTATTTCGCACACCTTTGTCGTCGAATTCGCTAGTGCCGCGGATCGAGATTACTACGTCCGCAATGACCCTGTACACCAAGAATTTACTCAGAGTGTCAGTGGTGTCCTTGAGAAGGCTCAAGTCATTGATTTTACGAATGGTACATTCGAAAAATAGATCAATATCCTGTGTAGCGTATACACTTCGTCCTAAGAGCGCCGCTAGATTCCGCCATGAAAAAAGGGCATTGATTGATGAAAATAAATCCCTTTATCTACAAATGTCAAAGTTGTTATACACCTCGATGTAGGTCAATGTTTCCTTTCATAACTAATTTTGAAACTGAGAAGTTACATGAGACGATTGATTGCGAAGTGCGAGTGTCTACAAAGCTCATCGAGCAAAATAGATTAATGATGAGAACAGTCAGTCACTATTCAGAAGCCCAGGTTCGCAATGTGAGTCTACTAACCCGTGCGCGTTTTGGCCGCTTTGCGTCGCCGCTATTTTCTCTAATCCGGTATCAAATTATTGAGAAATGCCCACGAATCAGACACGTCCTCTGCGGGAGCTCGAAATGCTGTGCTCGCATCTGCCCTAGTATCAGAACCTAGAGCTATTGGTGGCCCGGACGAAGGCGCCTGCGCTGGTTTATTTATGCAAATCATCTTTATTTGGCTACGTCCCCAATCTTTTTAATTTAAATGAGTAGAGGGTCTCCTGGTCAGTGTCTATATTATCGTAGATTTATTGTATTTCGAAGGTAGATTAGAGTAACGGCACTCCAAAGTGGAGCAAGGAGTAACAGTGAGCAAATAAAGTCTGTATCAGCGATTGGCTAGATTGTGTGGCAGACCAACACGCTTGAAGAGCAGGGGGGGGGGTTGCCGTTTTCGGCGCCCTTCTGGTAAATGCGACTTGTACTAACTATAGGTAGAGGGTAGCTACTACGCGCAGCTAGTAGTATATTAGCTATCTCTTATATAATAGCTAGCCTAGGTACTACTCTACGCGTATCTATAGAGAGTATCCATTCAACAAGTAAATCTTCTTTTAATTGTGTTAATTTATAGCTATTTAGGCGTATATCAACGCGTGATTATACGCTATTGACGCGATCAGCCAGTGTTATATAGGGGATTTCGTATAGCATCACTGTTGCGCGGAGAAAGTTGATACAGCCATTTTTGATATCTTTAGCGGCTAATAAAATCCTACCCTCTTTTTCGGCAGAATTCCGAGACGATTAAGCGCGAATTGGTGCCATGGTGGTTGGTTAAAGTTGGTATATCGGTAGGAAGACGCGATTTTTGATGGGGTGTACGGCTCGGCCGGGAATTAGTTACGTTAACTTAACGTAATTCACCACTGAGCGAGCCGTCCCGGTCGGGCGAGCCGACCCAACCAAAACGTGTCAATTAATTAGACCTATCTTCTTCAACCAACCACTATGCCACCAATTCGCTCTCAAAATCGTTCAAAATTGATTGAAAAAGAAGGTCGTATCTTGCTTGCTATCCAAGCTATTAAAAAGCAGGAAAAGTTGTCAATTACCGAAGCAGTACGTATATACAATATCCCTAGAACAACGCTCTAGCACCGGCTCAGCGGACGAGAAAACCGCGTCGAATTTCACGCAACCTCCTTTAAATTAACTGAACTTGAGGAGAATTCGCTTAAAGAATGGGTAATATCTATGGATATACGCGGAGCAACACTACAATCTTCTATAGTCTAAGAAATAGCTAATCTCTTACTCGCTACACGTAGAACTACCCCGATCCAAACTGTCGGCAAAAATTGGGTCGCAAAATACATTAAACGATATCCAGAGCTCGATACAAGGTTCTTAAGACACTATAATTATAAGCGTGCAAAGTATGAAGACCTAAAGATTATTATAGAATAGTTTAACCTGGTTTAAAAGATGATCTTAAAGTATAGGATCTATAAAGATAATATCTATAACTTTAATAAGATGAGGTTCACGATAGGCTTAACTACAACCGCAAAAGTTGTTACGAGAGTAGAATATTATGGTCGACGCTCTCTTTTATAGCCTAGAAATCGTGAATAGGTTACTATAATTAAGTATATAGATATATCTGGATATAGTTTTCCTCTAATAGTTATTTTTAAGGTAAAATTATTTATAAAAGACTGGGTTTAAGAGTTAAAGTTTCTGGGCGACTAGCAATTCTAGGTTAGTCTAAATAAATAGATCTTAGACGAGATCGGTCTTTACTAGCTTAAAAAGGTCTTTATCCTATTAACTTCCTTAAGGTTAAAGGAGATATATTAACTCCTAGTTCTAGATAGTTATAGAAGTTATCTAACCCTAAAATTTGACGAAATTTACTCTAAAAATCGAATTATTCCGATCTATATACTATTGTACTTATTATATCTTTTATAACCTCTAGATATAAGTTATTTTGCTGTCTTAAAGTGTGTATATAGAAAGTATGTCGAGAATGTGATGCGGTCGGGTTAGAACTATATTAATAAATTAGACTTCTTAGATGCCTTTCTAGATACTTAAATTAAAGCTTATAAAGCAGAAACGATCAAAAATAGCTTCTTAGTAACCGGTTTAGTTCTATATAATCTAAATCGGGTTATTTTAAAGCTTAATATTTAGCTCCAGACGCCTATACTACCACTATCTTAAGATAGCCAAAGTGGCTAAAGCAGTATATATTAGACACCTTTGAATCATAAGCAGCTCCAGAAGTATAAAATTTTAATCAAAAAGCTCTTAAAAGCACGCTCTAAAAGCCTACCAAGCCTACTGCTTTCTCATATAGATCAGGTGCTTAAATCGGCTTAAATCCATATGTATAATCATACTCTTATAACTTAAGATATAAAGCTTTTATAGGCTAGAGTGGAGAAAAAAGAGTCAAAAAAGGTACGTTCTAAGCTCCGGATAGTAGCTCTAGAAGGTATATCTGTCGCTGAGCTTCGAGAATTAGCTCAAAATGATAGAAATGGTCAAATTGTAGCTCCATCTGACCAGCCAACCGGTCAAGTAGAAGCACAAGAACAACGACCTAGGGTGCCACTAAGATGCTCTGAGTGCAATATCCAGGGTTATAAGAGAACGCATTGTCCAATATTGATTAAATAGCTTAAATATTTAATATTACGTTTTTCGGGTGAATTATGCTGGTTTGAATTAATTGAAGTTGATGGGGCGGCTCGCCCGACCGGGACGGCTCGCTCAGTGGTGAATTACGTTATACCGTGAGGATTACAAAGCAATAACAAAACGCCGACGATACCCGCCTCACCGCCTTCACTTGTTTGCTCCGCCGCGCATCACGATCTCCGACTGATCATCGAGTTAACTTGCTGGTCTGTCTGAGTCAACAGTCGCCGTTTCGGCAACAATGATGCTGGCAGCACGCAGAAACTTGGGTTTTCGACGGGTTTTAACGACGAGTAACCCCCCGCTACGATACATATCCTCGACAGCAACTAACTACTACAATTGGACCGACCCTACAACTAATGTGGCTAGAGATGAGGTCGCACATCTAGCTGCTACACCTCGTCGCTCTCTGACGCTCGCAGATTTACTTCAGTTAGTTCAAAATGAACCCCTAGAATTCTCTGCGACTTAATACTTGAATCAAACTCTAACGGTTTTTCTTTTCTTTTACAGCCATGGCCGTCCACCATTGTCCAAAGACGCACTTTTGGCGTCCGCCAACTTTACCCTCTCTCTTCTCCCCGCGCGATTAGCATCGCGAATTCAAGCTTTGAGAAATCTACCTTTCATCATTGTCTCAAATCCGCATATGTCAAAAATCTACCACAATTATCTGCACTCGCTGTCCTCTCTTCTTCCGTACCAACAACGGAAAATCACCACATTCGAAGAGGAAAAGCAATTCGTGAACGTCTTGGCCGATCTAGTCCAAACACACACCAACACTATCCCAGTACTGGCTCGTGGATTCCTTGAATCTCGGAAATACATCAACCCAGAAGATGTGACTCGCTTCCTGGACACCCATCTCCGCGCGAGAATTGGCACTCGCTTAATCGCAGAGCAACATTTGGCCCTACATTATACATCACAGCCAGTCTCCGATGAGGTCTCCGAGAAATCAGATGACCATTTCAGTCCGTCAAACTACATAGGTGTCATTGATACTGCCTTGCAACCAGCCCGCATCATTCGATCCTGCGAGGACTTTGTCAGCGAGATCTGCGAACTGAAATATGGTGTTCGCCCACGCCTAGAAATCGGAGGCGAGCCAGACGCATCCTTTGCTCACATCCCCGTCCACATCGAGTATATCATCACCGAGCTGTTGAAAAATGCCTTCCGGGCAACAATCGAGTCCGGAAACGAGAGAGAGCCCATTGAGGTAACCATTGCCGCTGCCCCCGACGTCCCTCGAAGTGAGCGCCCGATCCAAGAAGATTCCGACGGGAGGTTCCAATTAGCTTCTCAATCTGAGCTTAGCGCCGCGCAGGAATCCATCGGTCACTCTAGCCCATCATCGCAGAGCATCACGATTCGCATTCGCGACCGGGGTGGCGGCATTCCACCAGAAGTCTTACCTCATATTTGGTCATATAGCTTCACTACTTTCTCTGAAATGGATTTACAGAACACGGAGACTTCCGATCTACGGGCGTTGGACACCCTAGCGGGCCCTGGGGGGCATTTAAGTAGTATTGCAGGACTGGGATATGGTTTGCCGCTCAGTCGAGCCTACGCGGAATATTTTGGAGGAAGCATCGCAGTCCAAAGCCTCTGGGGATGGGGTACAGATGTCTATTTGACTCTTCAGGGAGTTGGGAAAATCGATTGAATTATCAGCCAGCACACGCCTTGCACTGAAATGAATCATGCTATACTGGTCGCAACTGATCAGGTCGGTTCAAGGGAATTTTCCGGTGGAACTGGCCATGATAATTCACGTTATCCGAACTACCTGGGCCCTACTTACCTGCATAGTTTTGGTCATTGTTGGCCAAGGTAATCGTGATTAACCATTGCACGAGAATCAATATCCTACCAACTTGACTGGTAACAAAACCCGCAAGTTTACACTCCATTTGGCAATGACGACTTCAGACTCCCAAAGAGAACGAAACATCCACTTGGGTACCTCACTTCACATTGCAAGCAAAGAACCACCCTACCTAGTTGTTCTCGGGGGTAAGAAGATGTAGCTAACCGATGGCATCAAAATATTCCATTCCATTTCCATTTCCAGTTCGCGATTTATGGAAAACAACACCTCCATGATGAAACTACGGGTGTGGTTATTTTCCATGCCATCGATACAGGCTGGATGCTGTTCAGTACTTATTGTTGAAGGGGGCAATCTGGACACGGAAAAGCATGAACCATGCATACTACGCAGCCAGGGCCTGCCACGCAGGCTGTTAGCCTTCCGTAGGTAGCTATTGTCAGGGGGTATTCCTCCAGAGCTACAGATCAAGTGGATCAAGTGGATCATGATCTAATGAATTTTATACCATGAACCGATTATTCTTCTTAATGGCATTTTTCTTCCGCACGTAGGGAAGGGTGGAGGCTTGCTTCGTCCTCGGAATGTATCACATAGAATTCAATATAGGGATATTTCAGGTAAAAAAAAAGTCGTTCTGCCACAGATTCAAACCATTAACGGTCCTCTGCCAGATTGCTTTCGTCTTCTGATTCTGACTCGACAGCGGCAAGAATATCATGCTCAGACTTGTCAACTTGTTTTTTAACGGACGACCTGGAAGCGCCTTGTGTCGATTGAGGGGCAGGGACCAGTTTAGAAGCCTCAATGCCGCCTGATGTGACGTAGAGATAATAATCGGCGGGGTAATGATCGATGTGATTGAAGAAAATGTTGAATCTGTAGTCGAGAAGGACGCGAGTCAGTAAGAGAGAATAATATCGGGAAAAATGAGAGGAAGATCATACGCAGAGCTTTGTTGTTCTTCACGGAAGATCCGGTCATAGATCTCTCGCTGCTTAAATTCTTCCATTTCAGTGGTGAACTTTGTGAAGCCAACCGGTTCACGACCAAGGGAAGTGGCCTTGGTGTTATAGCTATCGAAGATAGGACGTTCCAGTAACAGTCCTAGACCCGGGGCTTTGGGGATGGCAATCCGCTCAGGACCGTATGTTTCAGAAATCCGGCTGGGTATGCACCCGGAACGGACGATGAGAGCAGCCATGGCAACCATTTTGCGAATTTGATGCATCATGAAGCTCTGGCCATGAACTTTCAAGCTAAGCCACTCAGTGCCATTGATGAGGATCGGTTCTGGGTTAACCTTGAAGGATTTGATGATACGTTGGGCAGACTGATCCTTGTAACTCTTTTGGATGGTGTAATTGTGGAATCGCTTGGTGCCCTGGTATTGGTTCAAGGCTTCTTGTAGACGAGCCACACGAGCTGGGGAGACACGATAAGCTCGCTTAGCTGCAAGGTAGGCGGCTTTAACAGATTTGATGGTATCGTGAATCATTTGCTGGCGAGGGTCCATGACGAAGGGCTTAGCTTCGCCTGTTTCCGCAGATGGCTCTGCACTGCTCTCCAGGTTAGCAGGTGGTTGGGTAGACGACTCATCGGGCTTGGCCTGAACATCCATACCAGATGAGACTTCATCTGGAGCTGCCGAAGAATCTTGTTCGTCATTTGTAAAGATAGCCTTTTGGACAATATTGCGCACGTCCTCTGGTACCTTCGCCAGGATGGGCCGGATCTGTTCTTCATCAACCTTTTCCCAATAGCCTGCCACTTCCTCTTGCCTAGCCTTCACATCATCCAGGTCACCCGCTTTGTCCGCCAACTCAACGATCTTTTTGCCTAGCCAGGTGCTATAGTGCGGGGGGAGGAGAGCATGACTCGGGAGCAAGTACTCGTAAACCCGCGAATCGCATAGTTGATAACAGCTGAAGCCTCCAGTCGTAGTCTCATAGCCCCATAGACGAATCTGAGGACTAAGATTGTCGTTGATTTTCTTAACAATATCGGGATCCTCCACAATCATCTTCAGTGACACCACATTTCCCGCAGCGTGAACACCCTTGTCTGTACGCGCACAGCGCACAAAAGAGGACTTCTTGGGATCGGAGGCATTTGCCTTGGATACGGCTCCTGATGCAACCAGTGCCGAAAATAGGTCTCCCTCAATTGTCTTTTGGTTCTCATTGAGCTGCATTCCATAGTAGCCAGTTCCCGAATATCCCAGCATCAGCGCGACCTTCTTTTTGGGACGACGTTCCTCGTTGGCGATTTCTTCTTTGGAAAATTGAGTGGCATAAATCGGAGCCTCTGGTGCTTCGCCATTCTCAATCTTGCGTCGCTTTGCCTCTGCCTGTCGCTCCAGGCGCTCTCTTTTATCTATGGATTGGCGACTGGCTTAGTTAGCTGTAGTCAACCTTAAAGTTTGGAATTATTTTTTCAAGTACCTCCACTCATTTCGTCCCATATCGCGGTTCTTACGGCGTTTACCAGCTCCCTCTCCTCCTGTTTGGTTGTCGGCCATGGTGTGCGCGTGAAGATTTCAGTTGGTGTGGGGCGTTGTTTTTTGGTCCAGAATGTTCGTGACAAGGATCGCTTAGGCAATTGGAGGAAAGGAACAAGTCCAGTCAATATGAACTGCGAGCGTGTAAAGGGCCGCATGAACTTTAAGCTGTCAGAATGCAAAGACAGTGGAGCTCGATTGTGGTCGAAGTATTTTTTTATCGTTGGTCAAATCGCGGAGACTAGTCTTCTTCCGGCGAAGTTGATGCCTTATATTTGAGGTGTGACACTGGCAGTATACCACCATCATTATAGATCAAGATATCATTATAACATAACTTGAAGGAAATAGGTCTCTACGTTGTTTAATGTTACAAAATAAAATCAATATATTCTCTGTACTCTGTAGTTGGCAATGTTAATAATACTATATCATCGTCCGTCGGAATCCTGTCACATGTGGAGTGGGAAACCGGTTCCAATTGTCTGTGGTCATCCCAACTTGAAACCATCTCAGCGCCAAGTATCAGCCTGTGTGTCTCTAATGTGCTGTTATAACTTCTCCGCCGTCAAGGATACCTATACTGAGCGCTCCGTAATAGTGTCGCTATCGACGACCTCGGGATCAACGTTCGCCACGTTCTAGCTATTATATATAATACTGTTACAAGAGAACCCGAGAGCCGGGCAGTAAGGCTACACACTACTACTACCACTTAACCAAAAGAAAAAGAAAAGAAAAGAAAAGAAAAGAGTTTTTGAAGTGGCCCCCGGCAAGGGTCACTTGCGATCTTCAAGTTCCGATTAGAAGTCAGATGCTTTAACCATTACGCCACGGGGGCTGTGAATAGTAAGTAGTTCACCATAATATCTGAATTCTTCAGGTAGTATTATTCCTTACACAAAGGAAATATATATATTGCTGCATGCCGGAAGGCCATGCTGGTGCTAGGATTAGATAGGCTATACCCATGCCTCGATCACGCTTTATATAGCACGACTTCAGGTTCGTAGCAGTTGGTATTTCGGTGCATTACTTTGGCTTATAGACCAATGTATATGTGGAGCAATTTAAACCCAAGTGAACTAGCATATCTTTAAGTTCATTGCAATTTTATATACTGACAGATTAAATTAAGTCAACTACTGGGGTCGCCCGAAGAGACGGCGAAATAGAAAGCGGGCTTTTCAGCCTTTCAGCCAAGAATGCATGGGGTCAAGCGAGCTGGTTGCCCTTCCTGCTACCGCTTTGGACTACAAAACTAGGTTATTAAGCACCGTCGACCCTTGAACGCGCAAGAGAATTATAATTCCCTGCTTTTCTTATAACTGCACACTCGAAATGCTGCCTGCGGACTTATTAAGGGTAGTGATAAGACCGAGTCGCCAATTTTCGATTAATAGGGCATAATGAAGCAAAAGTAATTTAACACGTAATAAGTATAGAGCGAAAACCATTATAGAATGCGCCTGAGGAAAAACACCTTCCCCATCGTCGTAGTGATCACAGCAACACAGATAAACAGTAGATATCAGCATGAGGAGGAAGGCCATGTCAGCTGTTCAGGCACGTGCAGGATGTTCAGGTGCAAAACATTGGGCTTCAGGGCATTCCGGTGAAGGAAACTGAACGGGCTGAAGAGTAGGGCGGCAAGAGGGGATTTCCCAACGAATAAAAAAAACGGGTGAGCACAAACATACAACAGCCAGGATGCGCATGTGGTCACCCACCATACTACTAACTGACCGGCGTGTGGCCTCAGTACGGCTGAGCGGACGGGAAGCCCTCATCTCCACACCCTGTGGTCGTATGTATTAGCCCAGGCATTGAAGTAGATTATATGCCGCTAGAATGGGGCTATAGCAAAATCACCACACAAAAATATCCTCTCGAGTGTAACTTTTCAGAAAGAAAACCGTAATAACAAACTCTCGGCCGCATACGTTCCTCCCGCATGCGCAGGCGGTTCCCTCCCGCACGGTTGGACTTATCACCAGCATGGCCAGACATGCACCCGGTGCCGAGGGCGACGCACGCACAGCCGATCTTTGGTCTATCTGGCGAACGCATTATTAGCTGCCTACTGCTGTGCAATGTTTCAATATTGACCATGCGAGCACGGCACGAGTCGAACCCAATACTTTGCACGGAAGATGCATGATCACTTTTTGATGGGTTTAATTAAAACATTCTCATCCCTGAGAGAACTTCACAGCTCTGAATCATTTAGGTCTTACAAATATTTTGCTTCTCTACTTTTTATCATTCCATTTTTGTACCTCGTACTGCAACGAAGGGGAACCCGATGCGATGATGGGGGCGAAATGGTCACTACCAACAGGGTGAAGTGTTGGAGCCCCGCATGTACTCCGTGCAGGCAGGCCATGCATATCAGGCGGATTCGGGCTCAAAGATCCCTCTTGCAATCATGTTTCTATCCTTGTCGCATCTATGTAAAACGCGTACTTCTCGGCCATTTTGCCATTTTAAGACAAGCCAGGGCCCACGGGCGGCCTTCTGCAAGGCCGTCCAAAATGCGCCACTTATCTCAAATCAAGGGACGCTTCTAATAGTGGTTTTCACTTGCAGAGATTAATTGCTCATTTTCGCGGTAGGAGCCCCCACTAGGTCCTTGGCCCCCATGGTAGCATTCCGGAGATCATGTTTGGTACTGAGAAGATGCAAGCAAGTGTCATCCCACCCTGCAATAGTCCATTCCTAGGATTTAAGGCTCTGGTATACACTGAGATCCATCAAAAGAAAAGAAAGGAGAACTGGGGAGGGCGAACGTCAAAAATCGAATCTGGCACAAACATTTGAAAAACCACCCCCGAGTTGTCGTACTTTTGAAGAATATGACCGGGTTATTGATCGGTTGGTGGCTGCTATTTGCTTCCCAAAGTTACAGAAGATAATGAAGACGTGACTTCGTCATTACATGCAAATCAGTCAAGAGCCCCAGATGAGCGAACGCAACTGGTCCACACTTTCTTGGCGAGATTATTCAAGTCCTCGATGCTACTTAGCTAAGAAGGGTAAAAGTGCCCTCCTTACTGATGAACAAATTCTACAAGTGGTCGCATCAAGTATGTAAACGTAATACAGCTGAAATAGACAATGCACATTATTTGGTACAATCACCATGTAGATGACGTTTGAGGCTCCCGGATATCCAATTTTTCCTATAAAAACGTACTGCCGAACCAACTATTCCTCATGAGCTAACATTCCAATTATACATTCAGCTTTATACGCGTTTAATACCGGTACAATGAGTCAAATTGAGGTTATCAGTAGCGTCACTTCAACCCGCGCAGATGGACACCCAGTGAATCATGAGACTGTTTCCAAAAATGACCGTGTACCACAGCTATCCACAGCGAACGGCTGGAATGGGACATCGATAGAAGCCAAGGATCCTTATGCACTAATGCGCGATTGCAATGCAAATACTCGGTTAGTTAAGCTAGCAATAAGGTGCTGATGAATGTCTCACTCATATCAAGATTAGACTTACAGCGCAACATTATCTCTGGAAAGACCTGCTCGGATTCCTGATTCACCCTACTATTGATACTCGGGCTGTTGACTTGAAAGTCGCTGATGTTGCTACTGGCAATGGGTAAAGTAATATACATAACCTGAGAAAACCCATCTGACTGGTTTAGTATTTGGCTTCACGATTTTGCTCGTGGAAAACCAACGTCCACGGAGCTTCACGGCTTCGATATCAGCCTGGATCAAGTTGGCCCTAAGCCATGGCTACCAGCCAATATACAGATGCATGTCTGGAATCTGTTTGAACATGTGCCGGAGGAGTTCGTGGGCTATTTTGACATTGTGCACGTCCGTTTGATCACAGTTGTTGTTAAGAATAACGACCCGAGGCCGATTTTAGCAAACCTGAAAAAGCTATTGAGTATGTATCTATTATGATTACACATATAGCTAGGCTGACAATCTATTCCGTTAAGAACCCGGTGGATACCTTCAGTGGGATGAGGTTGATACCATTGGATGTTCAACCAAGACTGTGCCTGGAAATTCGGCGTGTAACCTCGATGCACTACATTCCCAGCTCAGAGGTCATGACACGTAAGCCTAGTGTTGAAAGGATGACAAATGACTTTCTGCAAGCTAATCTCTTTCACAGGTGGAAATACAAGCTCACGCGAGTAATGGACGAGAACGGATATATTGACTCGAGGCTTTATACCTTCGAGTACGGACTCGGAATAGCCAGATTCTGGAGTGATTTGTGAGTTATGACAGAGACTAATCGTGGCTAGCTATGGGAGACCTAACTCGCATTTAGATATATGAGTACATGGAAAGAGTTTGCAGGCAACGCACTGAGAACCCCGGAAGAATCCAGGAGGTTGGAGCACAATGCGATGTTGGAGACTTTAAATGGTGCTTCGATCATGGTCCCGAAATTGGTATGGGTGACTAAGAAGATTGATTGATACTGGAAGCCTGTCTGTGGTATAGAAGCGGGGAATTTATCTATCTGAGAAGTTCGCGAAAGCTAGGTTTTGAGAATAGAAGGCATGCAAAGTTCTTTTTGAATATCCCTCAGGCAGCTGCATTGGAAATACTTAGACATGTTCGGTCTTACCTCTTCAAGTTCAAAGTTCTTTTATGCTGAAGATATTACATTCAGCCTACAATTGAAGTTGAATGGCTTGTAGAGATTTTGTTAATTTTTTCTTGGAGTAATAAATATTGAAAGATCATTCATTCTTTTTTAAAAAATTCGCCATCTATCAGTTTAAAACCAAATAATTGTCTTTCTTAGTTTACTAAGATAAGGTGCGTTCTGCACCAAACTATTTACTTTGCAACAAAGCCATCAATGAATTTTTCGATCTGCGCTGCCAAGGCCTCGGGCTGGCTCACAAATGGCATATGTCCGGTCTTGAAGTCCACAACTTCCCATTCGACCTTGGTCTTCTCCAACCACAGATCCTGCAACGATGAAGGGTTACAACAGTCATCCAGTGTACGCACATATGCTCTCCTGCCATCAAACGCTTGCTCGGCCCAAGCAGGAGCAGTAGCGGGGGTCTCAAAAGCCCGGAGTGCATGCGGCAGCATTAGCTTATTAAATTCCGGTTCGAGAGCACGGTCGCAGTCATTGTATAGAATGTCCATCGCCGGTTCAATCATAGCAAGTCCCTGAGATGGCTAAAAAAATCATTAATAACTCCAAGTTTCATATATAATAATAAATTATATTTGCAGTTCAAGTTATCTTAGGCAGGCTGTGTCTAGGTATATACTTACTTTGTTTTCTTTGATAAAAGGAGGATAAGAGCCCCCTCCAGCTTGGAAAAGAGACTCTCCGTCAAGTGTAATATTGCCCACTACGTAAATAAGGCCAAGCACACCAGTCTTTTGACCCAGAGCTTCTCTAGTCTCTTTCGCAAGTCCTTTTGCTGCACCACCTGCAACAACACCTCCGTATGAATGTGCGATAATAACAACATCCTTATTATGTTCGTTCAAAAGAGAGAGTAATATGCTTTGTACAGAAGCGATATCCTGAGAAGCGGACTCTTGAGCCGGATCAGAAGGATTGCAACTAGGATACGGCCCTGGGTGTGTTGCGTGTCCGGCTTTGGTCAGATACGGTATCAATTTGTCGAAGCCCTCAGGTGTCCCGAAGGCACCTGGGACGATAAGAATAACCGGGGGATTCGCCGAAGACATAGTAGCGGGGTTGGGTTTGACTTGATGTATTATATCAGGTTCCAAATTTGTCGCCTGTGTGGAATTTGACCAAGGTTGTTGAAGTGCGAAGAAAGAAGCTGAGAACCCCAGGTTGCTATGCAATATCTATAGGCGTACCAGTGATGTCATAAATCTGTAGATTGAAAAAGCGGACTCGGAGTGGCATACTGAAGGGTTCCCAAAGTTCCAAGGTTGATGGTGGGTATTTATTTGTCATGGCTTAATCGACCAATCTCGGCATTTTCAATGTTCCACTCCAACTTCACAGGGGCTGTAGATACAAATACATTAATACACCTGTTACGCGATTACAATCAGCTGCATATCAGCCTGAGATTGCAATAAATACCCGCAAGTGGGCCTAAAATACCATCTTCATCAAATGGAAGTGGTAACTAGCCTAGTGCATGCAAGTAGTTTTCGGATACCAGAACCCGTGTTCTGCTTGAAAACATGCACCTGTACGTGGGGGCTCATAGTTGTTGCATCAGCCATACATAATTGGACAGACCGTCACCTTATTCCCCACGTCTGTTACATACCAGTATTGAGTAAATAAGGCTTCAGTTCTTGGAATGTTACACCCACTCTATCACGGTTTGCATACCAGAACGCACCTATGTGGGGCGCGTGGGGGCCAAGTGACTCAGGCTGCAGATTGCAGGTGGTCATTCGATCGAACGGGTAAAAGGATAGAGGTTCAGACGTTTGTATTTTTATATATATATATATATATATATATTTTTTTGGAATAGACCAAGCTTAAGTCAGCCTTGGAAAGAATATAGTATTGATCAAAAGACAGACCTGAAAGAATCCAAAGCCAATATCTGTTCATTTAGGGCTGAAAAAAATTGCGGACCAGTCAACATTCTATTGTGCCTTTCGATAGGCCGGGTGATCTTCGCCCCCCTTGATGCGGGTCGCAAATGTATAGGAATACCAACCTTTTTGGCATCGCTCAAATGCACCATCCTGCATGTGTGAAGTAATGTTTTTAATAAGGCCACCAATGCTGCAGGTGTATAATTAGCACTGCAGATTCGCGGGATGAGGGGCAAAATGAGGCCCACATACATCACTGTACATTAAGTGGTCATCGATCTTGCCCAGATCCATTTCAGTCCTTCGGTCCTACTTTTAGTGATAAAACAGAGGGGGCGGAAGCGGAAAATCAATATTGGCTAACCCCTCAGTTCTTCTATTATACATGGATCATTTACTTTGACCACACTCTATACTTTTGCCTCCATAGGAAGGACTTCACTTTCCAAATAAACATTACTTGCTCATCACAAATTCAGAACTTCCTGGGACTTTGGAACTTGAACTATTATGTCTCATTCTACGACCTCTGTGGACCTTTCCCAAACTCGTCAACCTAGTTTATATGCTTCCATAACAGTACCTTTCTCCATTGCATTTATCTGTGTTGGTCTTCGATTCTGGTCCCGATGGAAAAATACAGCAGGCTTATGGCTTGATGACTGGCTCATTATAGCCTCTTTGGTATGTACTGTAGCGTTTGTTACCGACTAGGAGGTTCTAATATTGTCGATAAGGCTTGTGCTATTGGCCTATCAGCTGCACAACTATGGTGTAAGACGAAATCCAATTGGTATCACAAATATTAAATAATATTGACAAACATAGGGATACCTCGCGCTCTAGGACGGCATATCCAGACCTTTGGACCCAATGCTACAGAAGATGCATATATCGGCCTATTCTCTTGTGAACTGACTTACACTGGTGTCATTGTCCTTGTCAAGTTCTCTATTATGGCCTTGTACTGGCGCATATTTAGCAAAACAACTATAAAAATCCCTATTAGCATTCTTGCCACAGCAGTCTGCATGTGGGGTATCGCTGTAGTAAGTGTGATTTCTCTGCCTTCAAGTAGAAGATCATCTCTGACAGTCCCAGCTTTTGCTCACATTGCTACAATGTATACCGACGCGAGGATTATGGGATCATTCTGTTGATGCATCTTGCAATGTGGACAGTCAAAAGTTCCTGTTTGCAATCTCAATCCCAAATATCCTAATTGACGTTACTCTTCTTATACTTCCTGCGCCTTATATCATGAAACTCAAAATTTCGAGCAGCCGCAAACTCGCAATTATCTCAATATTTCTTCTAGGCAGTTTGTAAGTAGGCTTTCAATTCTATTTATTGGTTATAGCAGACTAACCAAACAGCGTTTGTATCGCGTCGATAATGCGACTCATCTCAGTAGTGACTCAAGGTACTAATGCGGACGTCAGCTGGAACTGGGTCAATCAGGCCATTTGGGCTACCGTTGAAGCAGATTTAGCAATTGTCTCAGGTACGAGCTACCTTCTTGCTGAGTACGTTGAATTTTTATCCTGATTTTGATTTCATAAAAGCTTGCCTCCCAACTTTGCGACCTGTGTGGGTCACGATTCGACGGAAACTAAAGGGCTTCCAACTATCTAACACATCGACTGATTCACCTTCTTGGGCTACACTTTCGACACGTACTCAGGCCCCATCATGGGCCACAAGGATACTCAAATCAAACTCCGACGATACCGAAGACACGCGGCCTTTATCTGCTGCGAGTAGCCAAGCTGGAGAAAGGCCACATCATTACTCTAAATTTGAAGAACCGCGTACTGAAACAACCGTTGCGATTCCATTATCAACCCTGAAGAAGCAAAGTACAAACGACGAGGAAGGTATTACCATAAATAGAGATTGGAATGTTGAATACAATCTCAATAGTTACTTCAATGACTCGTAAAGGCCCATTTATTGGAGGAAAGACACTGGGGCAATCCCTGGGAATATTGTAATATGGCTATACTCTTACGAACTTGAATTGAACAACTATAATTCTATGGCAAAAAGGTCAACGGAGATCCTTTTTCAGGCCTACAAGAATGATGGGAGATCCCATAGAAAAACGAAGAGCCTCAGAAATCCTCTTATCGACCGCATAAGTTTGAGTAGTATTGAGACTGGGGCATTCCTGCTACAGAGCTTTGTTTCAACATTATCCATGGCAACTCAGGAGCGATCAATGCTAAAGCAGATTAGAATGACATAACAATCAGGGTAGGCTAGCGCTCGTAAGTAATCGTAATTATTCATGCCCGCGGTATCCCGCAATTCAAGCTCAACCGATATGCCATCAACCCTAGTTCCCAGCACATAATTCTCGAGGACCGTTGGAGAGTCAACAACCTGCTTTGGAGTGGTTCTGACCAGCCTTCCCGTTCATTGGAGGTTGAGATTCATCTCCTTGGCTTCTGACGTTGAACGGTGTCGATACTTCAGCCATTTCACCGCTTTCACTCTCCAACGCTCCTTCATGTTTCCAATCATTTCTTCCCTCGGTCACTTTCTTCTGGGCCCATCGTTCCTGGCGTTGTGTCACATTCTCTGTTGGCGGCTGTAGCGGGCTTTTTTTTTTACGAAGACCGGGCTCTTCGACGCGCAAGAAGGTTCCATCGGGGATGCGCTCTGCGCCCGATGCGTTGATAGGGGCCTCTTTTTTGGCATTAATGTCACCTTCATTCAATCGCCGGGACGCTAGACTCGCCCTATCCGACAGCACCGGCAGATCATTATCCGAGTCGGACCAAACGATATCATTAGAAATGGTTTCCGCATAGCTGGTCAGCCCATCCAGATATCGCTGAACAACATAACTCTGGCCAGCAGTCGCAAGCCGAGTTTCACCATTAGCCACTCGTGCTTTCATCTGAGCCAGTTCTTTCTTAATCGCCATGACATCCATCCTGATCGCGGTCGTATCGTCTTTGGTCGTCTATTGCCAAAGATATCGAAACCAACTGTAGTCGCCAGGTCCAACGCTGTACGATGCGCTCCTAACGAGATGCGGAGCTCCGTGACTTCGCTCTTCTTAATCGCCACCCATTTCGCAGCGGCAGCCTTTCGAGCGCCGCATAGATTTTTAATACGACACGGTCTCAATTCTTAAGGATCGAGGGTATCCACGGTTGAAGCGACTCAGGAATTGTAGATTCGTCGCTGACTGAAACGATGTCCTTGAATAGCTGCAGCACCCTCTGCAGTTCGGAGATCTCACAGGTAACTTCAGTGAGATCTGCCCGCGCGTCTCGGCATTCGCGCATGAACTTGTTGACACGTAGTGCTGTGGTCCCCAATTTTTGAGTATGTGCTATACAAGCAGTAGTTATTGATAGAGGGTCCATGTTTCTCCTTCCCTTCTATGACGCACTGTTTCCTTGAGTTATGTCTTCGTTATAATATTAACGTGGATATGATATTAGCCCCGCGCTTGGACAGCTTTGAGGCTGTGGCTGTGCTGAACTAAACAAAGCTCGATTGATGCTCCTCGTATTCCCTATGAGGTTGTAAACGGGTGGCGGAGCAGGGAACAAACCTGTCCATAACTGAATGCCTCTTGATCATAACATTAGGATATAACTTTTAGTGTAAACACAGAGAAGCCAATGAGGCCCTCGATAGGGTAAAACTAGGTGCTCGAGGCCTACATTGCGACACTGGATGTTTCAGGATTTGGGACGCAAAAGGAGGAGCGAGAGGGGTTTCCTGGTTCAATAGGAAGTGAGGGTGATACCATGAAGCTCAACGCATCTTTTTCTGCAGCACGGTAGAAATTTAGATCCAAACTACAGTCATGAATAGCAGAAAGGGAGGGGCTGATGAAAAATACAATAAATCTATTCCCACCTCTGGACACTGGGCCAATTGCTGTACTGTATGGGCGGTCGGTTGAGCGAATGTTGAGACATAGAGGAAAGTGAATAATCCATTAAACCTCGACGTGGTACCCTTTTCTTGAAAAGGCCAGATGCGAGGTGGTAACAATTGACCACTGGCCTTACCGCAGCTTTTAACGGATCTGTTGTTTCCTCAGTGGGGGCCACATAAAGAAGCCTAGACCTTCTTCTGCTCGACTGATCAGCATACTTTTATTCACACGACCTTGCCTGATGAGACTGTCTCTTTGAAAAAGAAGAGATTTTGAGATACTGAAAGGCGATTACAACACTAGTACGGGCCATGATGAATGGTTTGGAATAGTTCATGGGATAATAGCACAAGGAACAAAGTACTGAAGGCCAGTGACATGAAATACTCGGCCCATGGCCAATGAAACCGTACTAACTATAGGCCGGGTCATTGGACCCAGCCAAACAGTGGATCAAAATGCCGAGGAAAAGGGAAAGAAGGGAGGAAGGCTCCTACACATTATCATATAGGAGAACGAACGGGTTATGGATATTGTGACCCCGTTACATAACCCCGCAACCTCGCTCAATCGACTCGATATCGGTTCGTTATCGAAATCGGTTCGTTACAAATACTCGCATAATCCACAAGCTCGCGAATACACTCTAGACGAGGATAAGAGACACCTAGCGATACTCAAGGTATCCCTGGCAATACTACTAAGATTATAAAATCGCGTCTTTTGAAGCAATGGCCGAGACATTAAAAACCAGCGCACAGGATTTCGTGAAGGAGTAAGTGCACCTTGAGGGCCTACAAACGGACCTGTCGGAATACTTATTCTTAAGGATGCTCGCTCCCGCTCTACCATGGGCCTGGATGCTCATAAGGTTAAAATCAAGAATCCACACTCTCATGATCACATGAATACATTATCCCTTTTGATTCCGCTGCTCTAATGGGCTGGTTAAATCTATGGTATTTCCCTTGCTATACAGACTTTCTGTTTACAACAACATTCAGATATAGAAAAGAAACCGAAAAGTAATCCATATATACAAAGAAGCTAACACATTGCTGATCTTTGCTTATTGGTAGAAGCAGGGCAGTTGTTTTAAAGCTGCCTTGAGCCCTGTGTCGACTGCTAGGAGAAGACCGAGGCATCACATTTGTGCTTGGAGCCGGTGTCCAAGGCCTGTTTCTGTTTCTTGGTAGGATATATGAATACAAACGCATCGTATGGCGACCCTTTTGAGTCTAACTGTTCAGCACATATCTCCTGGTAGCGGGCGGTGAAATCCCCCTCCTTTGACGAGATAGTTGTCATAAAACAATTACCATCACAAGTCTTTCCTTTCATTTTATCGCAAGCAATCTTTCTCTTTTTCAATTGCGGTTCTTGTAGTTCAAAACCGCTACAGTAGCCATATGCATGACGAGTCGAATCAAGAGTGCTAGGATCGCAAACCATCCTAGCATCGCCCGACCACGACGCTCCATTTGCCTCCAAGACAACTATCATCACATCCTTTGTTGGTGCGGCAGTCTTGACCAGGGGTGCATTTCGCAGCAGCCGATGCAGCAAAGTGTGTGGTAAGGGCGAAAAGCAACTTCATAATGCTCCTTAAAGAGCGCTCAAAATTATTGAAAATGAGTTGGTTGCTTTTTCTTAGTGCTGTTTGAATGCCTCACGTCGTTCATCAAGCTGTAATATGCGACTAATCTTAGTAGTAAGGTAGCTATATCGTAGCTGTCGATCTATTCTACCCAAAATGCAATGGTTCAATTCAAGGGTTTTATAGTTCTGCTTTGTGCAAATCGCTTGGTTTCTTCCGACCCAATCGAACTAACGGGTACTCCTGTTAATAAGGGCAGGGTTCATGAACAGCAGAAAAAGGTACATCTCTGAAATTAGCAGGAACACCAAAGAAATTATTAAAACTAAGGAAAAGTCTTGATTGGATATCTAACTTCATTGATAGTGGGACGGGGTGAGGCGTGACCCGGTTAATTAGTCTTATCCCACGTGGATGCTCAAGTGTGCTACCTAGCTTCTCTACATGATTGCCAACTCCTATTTACATTGTGGCAAAACAGAGACGCGGATAGGTCCCATGATGACCATGCTTGGGAAATATTCCTGATTTGGCAAGACTGACCAAATCAAGGACAACCTTCGAGTCATTATTTCTGAGGCATTTCGTGACCTTGATGTCTTCAATCTCATTTTCATCACACAGGAGGCTTCAATACACGCATCAAGATAGATCCGGGCAACCATTTCACCGTTATAATACGGTTCTCACTGCCAAGCGTTCTTTACCTACGTGGGATGAGGGACATAAATGAAATAATGGTTTCACGTTAAACTGTACGCTTCAGTACTGATTCAACGAGCTCTGACCCTTGCGGGCTTGGACTGAATGATAAAGTTTGTTTTCGCTTAATTCCAGAGATGATAAGAGTGAGATCTCAATGTTTCCACTCAAGTGCTGAATACAGCACAGACACCCTAACCTAAATCTAACACATTCCCATAAACAAGTACAACCTTAGAAGTCCTTCATTGCATACTAGTACTAGTAGTATGGTTGACCTTTAACAATATCTGAACTAGCTACTAGGTAGTAGTAGTATATATCCAATTCATATTGTCACCACTATGATGGCTTCTCATCTGTCAACCCATATCCCTTATAGAACTTCTTCTTAATGAATTCCAAAACAGTCTCCTCGCTTGTATCGCTCGGGTCCAGTGGGTTCTTTGCATCCAAGTCACCATGCCAGAATGCTGGCACGGCGTACCGCTCACCACCTGTCTTATTGATGACTCTATGCAATGTACTCTTGTATTTCCCTCCAGTTCATCTTTGAACCATGTCACCCAGGTTAATGACAAATTTGTCTTCTAACGCGGGAAGCTCTATCCACTGGTGGGTAGCTTCGTGCCACACTTCTAGCCCATCCTTGCCTGGGTCTTGAAGGAGAATAGTAATGCCGCCATAGTCTGTGTGCTGACCAGAGCCAAACTTGCGTTCGTCGGTCCAGGTGTGCGCTGGGTAACGCAGCAGCTTCAGAAACCTATGAAACAATGAGATAATAGCTTAAAGAATGATATGTATCCTCTTACATAGCAGCATCCGAGGTAAAGTCCCTCAATATTGACGGAGAATGCCCAAGACTGACAGCAAGAATCTCCATTACTTTGTATCCAACTTTATGAGCATGATGATAATAGTCCATAACAGGTCGGTGAAAGTCATTTTCTGCGAGCTCGGGTGGCCACACGTTAGGCCCCTTCAAGAAATCGACTTGATCCAGCGGAAGCTCTTTTCCAACGAAAAACCCCTATTGGTCATTAGTGGAGTCATATAAATGGTTCGCCAAGTTTAATTTGCCTTACCTCCTTAGCGTCTGGTAGAAAGTCTCCATGGTGAGGATCATTTGCCTGCTGCTGACCAGGCCCCTCGTAACCGCGTCGCCATGAGTATTTATAGAGGGAAATCTGCGTCTTTTTCTCCCGCGGGAGTGCGAAGAGCGCTTTGCATGCTTCGAACATTCGCCGCTGACTCTCTACTGGCACTCCATGGCCCTCAACTTGGAAGAATCCGTGCTCTAAACATGCCTTACGGACTTGATCAATGACCTTGTTTCTCCGATCCTCCGAATTGACATCGAAATATTCTCGCAGATCTATCGTGGGGATATATTTGTCTTCGTTCTTGACGACGGCAGCATCAACAGCCATGGTAATTGGCTTCAAGTTGAGATACTAGAATTTGTACTTTTAGAAAAGAATATCTGCCATGGGAATCGATCACCAGGACTGCCCAGTTCAATGTTGGTGTTTAACAACTTGAGTGCTTGAATAACAGCTGAATCGACTCGAGAATCCTGATATTTATACGTATATTCAACGTCGCTCAAGGCACATGTTTCAATCAATCGATTGATGATGATACTAGTACATATTTTTCTCGGTAGCGGAGATCCATCTCATGATCCACTCCTGCTCTCCAACTCGGAGCCCCAATCACTACGACGCGAAACTATTCGTCAATTTTGACTATGCTGAGATCAGTGGATTTCATGTAAACTGGGGCAATGAAATGATTTTATCGGTAGACTGACGCATTGAGGCGACCGAAGCGAACTTGGGACCGAAATTCGGCAGGGGGATTCGGTCACTTTTCTTTCGACCCGCCGATCAGTGGAGCTCGCGCCTTTATGTACTTGAAACCGTGACCGAATTGAGTAATAACATTCGCCGATTAGAGACATCGATCTTCAACCACTGGTGGGGCTTCCGTGGCCCCTGGTGAATTGAGGGTTGAAACGAGATAACTTGTGGCCTATTCATATGAGAAGCACGAGATGAACGAGTATGTCTTAGCTTATAGGAGATAGAAAGGCTCTAGACTTCTTCGAACTTTGGAATGTTTTTTTTTTTTTTTAAATTACTTGTACATGAAAGAAAGCGAATGACCCTAGAAGAAGACTTACCATTAACCACGGTCTCGTACGCCGAATACACTAGTACTAATCACTAGAAACAAGAAAAATTATCACAAAAATAGAAAGTTAACCTTCCGACTGGGAGGCGGGACATTGAAAATAACGAATGTAAAAATCTAATATTGCTTTCTTCGAATTCATAAAGGATAGACCAGTTTTTGCCCCGATACAGACTGACTACGAATGACATCCACACCATCTTTTACGCCATCCAACCCTCCAGACATCACCTTGATTGGATGAGTATCAAACTTGCCGTGGTCCAACAACTCCTGTACGCGCACAGTGAGATTTCTTGCAAATTTATGGTCATCAGGCTGTGCCTCTCGGAAATACTCCCCAGCAATGTCAACTTTGCGTCCAAACACAGTCAAAGCTAGAAGCCATGAGGGGTTAATGGTCAGGGCCCTTTTCTCTGTGATAGCAGTGCGAAAAGGTTCAAGGGTAACGTAACGGCCACCAGCACGCCCAATAGCATCATAGCAGAGCTGTGTCGTGTCAGCCCTAGCAACACAGTCTAAAGCATATGCCAGTGCGCCGCCGGTATAGCGGCGAATATTGGAAGCGCAGTCAGGATCACTATAGTCAAATACCTCCTCGGCACCAAAACGACGGGCCAGATCGGCGTTTGACTTGGAGCAGGTGGCGATAGGACGGAGACCGTCACTAGAATAGGAGAGAGCCGGGTTAGTTGGTTGCTTGAGTGAATGCAATAGGAGTGTCAGTTTGGAAGGAATCTTTACATACAGCTTCAGTAACTGAATTGCTCGCGTGCCTGTAGCTGTGCTGCCGCCAGCAACCAAAACGAATCGCTCGTCGATAGCGAGGTCCGAGTCATGAGAAGCACTGAGTGAACCCGGCACCCTCAATTCATGAAAGACTCCCAGACCAGCAGTAAATAACCCCAACCCGATAGAAGCAGCATCGTTGAATGTCATATTGTCTGGAATATGAAGAATAAAATCCGCAGAGGCTGTGACATATTCTGCGAACGCACCCACTCCTGGGAGGATTGAGTTCATACCGTGAACAAAGCTCGCGACACGATCCCCGATATTCAAATGCGCAGGTGTGTCGGACCCCAATGCAACAATTGTCCCGGCAAAGTCGTATCCATGTACTGCACCCGGAACAGGGCTGTAGTCCAGCATCTTCGCGTCGACTGGGTTGATAGCAACGGCAGCGGTCTTCACAACAGCTTCCAGTGGCCCTGGTGATAAGACTGGCACATCATGCCGGACACGAAGCTTTCCTGCTTCTTCGACCACAATGGCAGTCTGCTGATATGGTAGATTAGGGGTTGCAGAAGGCATCTTGAGATAGGACGGTGAAATTTGTCGGTTTCAAAAGGTTGAAATTGAGACTGTATCATGCGATTTTCTATGTGGCGCCTTCTTGTCTCCCATTTTCGAATACGGTCATATTGAGTACTTACATATTTCATGGAGGAATAATTGCAATGCAAAAAGCCGCAAAAGAAACTTGCTTTGCCTTGTCGGCGCGTCGGCGCCCGTCGGGTTGGGGGAAAGAGTTGGTCAAAGCTCCCTTGAAAGTGACCGAATCGGTAAACCTTCCTGATATGTGACGAGTCGCCCATGGCAGTATTGGGCCATAATTATATGCATTAAAACAATCCTATAATTATTTTTTATAAAAAGATAAGAAAAAGAATTATGCGACCGCAGTAAACCCCGAGGGCGAGCTGCCGTCACAACCGAGAGCCAGAGATCTTGGGAGGATCAATAGTCAACCTTTTGATCATTCGCAATCCCTGTTCGTCTTCGGTATTATCGGCAAGCTGAGGCCTAAAATCCGAAGCTCCCTGCATTTAGAGCAGACCAATTGCGATGACAGCCTATTATCGCTACTTTCATTCATTGTTGATCCTTCACGGCCCACAGGAAAGCTTAGCAATCTAGCTAAAGTCTGGTCAATTGAGTTTCGGCTCTCCAGTTGGGGTTTTTGGTGTTGGAGAATGCAAAATTGGCACATATTGTTGTTGTTCTATTCATCTTCGCCGTTTTCACTCTTCTTTCTTTCTCGTAAGATTCATCTTGGCAAACTACACCATGGAACCCGAGGACCTTGAAACTGCAAGCGAAAGGGATTACAATGCCATGAACTCAGATGAGACTTCTAAAGAGGAAGCTCTTGAGGCTGTCCTAGATTGGGATAGCCCTACAGACCCTGTATGCCCTCTAAGCTTCAACTCATGCTGTGATGTTACTCACCCCTCTCAAGAATAACCCACGGAACTTCAAAACGCCCAAAAAGGTCTTCATTACAGCTTGTTTTGCATCGCTAGTATATATCTCCACCTTCAACTCATCAGTGATGAGTCCGGCAAGCGAGGACCTCATGCAGGAATTCGGTATATCCAAAGAAGTTTCCGTTTTAGCAACATCTCTATTCGTTCTTGGCTTCGCTGTAGGACCGATTATTTTCGGCCCCGCCTCCGAGGTTTTAGGCCGAAAGTATCCACTCAGCTTAGGTGTTTTCCTCTTCGCGATCTTCAGCATTCCCGTCGCTGTTGCGAAGAATGTCACTACCATTTTTGTCTGCCGGTTCTTCTGCGGGACTTTCGGGGCTGCCCCTCTAGCAATTGTTCGTTCGAAATTGGACAGCCTACTCCGTGGATGTAATATGAATGCTAACAGGCAAACTTAGGCAGGGGGCGGCCTGGCTGATATCTGGGAACCCCTCTCAAGGGGCGTTGCCGTTGCTGGATTCGCCAGCGCCACCTTTCTTGGACCCGTACTCGGTCCTCTAGGTAAGTTTCTTCTAGATACTCAGGTCTCATTATACTCATACATCGATCTAGTTGGCGGCTTTGTCATTGAGTCCCACCTAGGATGGCGCTGGACGCAGTGGCTATCCGTCATATTTTCCTTATTTTTTCTTTCGTTATACTTCTTTCTTTGCCCTGAAACGTACGGTCGAGCGATTATCACCAGACTAGCAAAAGAGAGGGGACAGAGTACTGCAGGAAAGGAAAAGAAAATTGACTTCAAGCTACTCGCCAGAGTCTATATTTTGAAGCCATGTAACATGATTAGCCAAGAGCCAATTTTGGCATTAGTGACTCTATATATGGGGTTCATTTATAGCTTTTTGTACCTCTGCTTTGAGGCATATCCGATAGCCTTTGAGCAGCATCGTGGCTGGGATATCGGGATTGGCTCACTTCCATTCTTGTCAATTACTATTGGGGTTCTCCTCGGGGTCATCATCATAATCGTACATACATTGACTCGGATGAAGAGGAAGTTGGAGACTGTCGGAGATGCACCCGAGGAACGTCTCGTGCCCATGATGTTTGGTAGCATTCTGATGCCCGCGGGCATGTTTTGGTTTGCATGTAGGCTTTTTACCCCCCCCACCTCCCGCCCAGATCAGGCAATTCATCGCACATTTTGAGCTAACATTTTGGGCAGGGACTTCAAATCCGCATATAACCTGGGTACCACAGGTCGTATCGGGAGTTTTTATTGGATGTGGAATCCTCCTTATCTTCTTACAGGTGAATGATCTTTTCAATTCAATACACACGCCTTGTTGCGCCCGAAATGCATCGTCATGATTCTGACTGCTGGTCTTGGAACTATTAGGGTCTTAATTACATCATTGACGTATATAAGGTCATGGCCAACTCTGCCATTTCCATCAATGCCATGTTTCGAGGCCTCTTGGGTGCCGGGTTTCCTTTGTTTGCTTCCTATATGGTAGGTCAATGCCAAATGAGCAGCTTGTTTGTATTGCGCTGACACTTGAATCAGTTCAACAACCTCGGAGTTCCATGGGCAATGTCTTTGCTGGCTTTCCTCTGCGTCGCTTTAGTGCCAGCACCATTCTTGTTCTTTCTTTACGGTGTGAAAATACGTAAGTGGAGCAAATTTACAGCCGATCTGTGAAATTCTAGGTGATGGTGATAGATGGAAAGAGTGGAGTGTCAGATCTCTTCGGGATATTTGCGTTGCGTTAATCATCCTATATTTCATATGATTTTTTGTATCAAAGGTCCAGAGAGACATAATAGCTATATAACTTGAATGTATAAACACCACATTAATTGAGCTCAATTTGAATCAGTATTTCCAAAGTGCATTTGTTTAGCTGAAACTGTGAAACGCGTCGCTCGACGTACCTTAGGTAGTATTTGTTCCTGTTACATACAGAGAAAAAGCTTTAATCACATGTGCATATATGTACCACCACCCACTTTGTGTATCGTGGACTCTGGAATTCTACTAGTAGACAACAGAAGAAATAGATATATCAAGTCGAGTAATTAGACGGTGAGAGCCTTTCAAAATACTCATCTTTTTGTCTACGTTTCGAAACTTAAATTGTACTCGCACTTATTGAACATCAAATGGCTGATATCCACCCTTCGATATGTACAGGATTGTTTCCAAAGGATATTATGTCACCAAGGATACTGAATTCAGTTGCCACCACCAAAAACACCCCAGTCACCCTGTGCCCATGTCGTCTTCATAGTCCAGTGTTTGATCTTCCATAAGCCGTCACTAGGATCCTTGACAAGTTCCAACCAATACAATGCACCCGCAAGCAGAGGCACAGCACCGGCCTTCATACCCTCCTCAGGGCGGAAATGCTGAGCCAGAGCTGAGCATGAAGCTTGAGCTTTCGAATCGTCATCCGTGATGTTGATGCGAATGTTGGTGAGGAAGTGGTTGGTATCCATCTTGGAGATATTGGCGTAACATTGGGAAACGATAGTGTCGAAGCCATTCATGACAGTCCCATTTAGCACGAACACGGCGTCGCTAGTGAAGGCAGTCTTGAACAGAGCATCGTCAGCTGTGTCAAAACCGAGGACGCAGCGGTAGAGGGCGTCGGCGACTGCATCGCGGCCAGTGAGGGTAGGTGAAAGGGTAGCTGGCAGCGACGGTACGGACATCTCGAGAGTTTAAGTTGTGAGTTTGACGAATTAGAGAGTTTATGTTTGTTTGATTCTTTGCGTGGTTGGGGCGATTGTCTGAGCTTGGATTCGCAATTTGAGCACATGTAATTGATGCAACTAGCAAATGATTTATAAAATGCCAAACTGCACGGCTGGTGGCGCTGGTGTGGAACAATCTAAGACGTTAGTGTGGGTCCTATCTTATCACCGATGTATCGGAGTTAGGGAGGGGGTTATCGGCCCAAATTAGGCCCGAATGCGACAGGGATTGCATGGCATGACCGTATCAGGCATGCGGTATGTGTGGTTCGTGTCGGCGCTGGCGGGTGCTGGCGGCGGGAAGGACCTTAGAATCCACTCTGCAAGGCACTAGCCAAAGGATTAGAAGCCTTGATCGGCGGTTGAGCCTTTTCAAGAACTTTAAGTGGCAAGTTGAAAAAGCTGCCGAATCGTTCTTCATTTTGATTTGCGATTGATCTGCGGCAGTTTTTTCCAGCATTGATGCACTGTGTGATCACCAGAATCACTCATCGACATCATTGTTCTCAATTTTGCAACATTGAAGCCAGGAATCAAATCGTTTTAGAGTTCTATTCAAGTTGCCATGTGGTTGGTCCCGTAATTTGGATGTGACCATAAAATTGACATATTTAAACGGTCGGTAGACGAACTTATGATGGCCAATTTCGCCATCTCATTTCTCTCGCACTTATTCCTCTCCAAAGTTTGTATGAAAAATGAAAGTATTGATTAATTTCGCTCACCCGGAACCCCAATCATTGAGCGGAGCTCTTCATCGTGTTGCTGTAGAGGAGCTAGAATCACAAGGGCATCATGTGAAAGTTTCCGATTTGTATAGAATGAAATGGAAATCCGAGGTGGATCATGCGGACTTTCCCAGTTTCCCCAAGGAAGAAAGACTAGATCTATGGTGAGTTCAGGAAGACCCAGGAAATCAAAGAACCCATGAAAAACTTGCCTCTTGCCCAACGAGCAGCTTGCTTCAGCCAATGAGACCAACTGGGGCAGAAGTGGACAAATCTTCAATCTTGTCATGGGACGCGTGTTCTGTCCACTTCTGACTATATTTCATCAATAGGACGGCTTCTGAAAATGCGTATGCTGAGAAAAGTCTCACTCAAGATGTCCTTGATGAACAGGAAAAATTACGCTGGGCCGATTTCGTGATATTCCACTTCCCCTTGTGGTGGTTTACAATGCCGGCAATCCTAAAGGGATGGGTGGACAGGGTCTATACCTATGGATTCGGTCATGGTGTTGGTGATCATAACGAAACCCACTGGGGCGATCGCTACGGAGAAGGGGTGCTAGCAGGCAAACGTGCAATGTTGATTGTTACTCTTGGAGGATGGAAGGAGCACTATTCAGCCCGAGGCACCAGCGGCCCAATCGATGACGTCCTATTTCCGATTAACCACGGGATTTTGTTTTATCCCGGCTTCGAAGTTCTTCCACCCTTCGTGGCTTTCAGGGTCCATAAAACAAGCTTCGATGAAATGGCCATTAAATTACGAAAAAGGATGGCCGGAATCGAGACCACCAAGCCAATTCCTTATCGTATGCAAAACGATGGCGAGTACACTATTTCTACCTTGACTCTCAAGGCAGATGTCGGAGGGCACATCAGATCAGGTTTTTCTCTGCATACAAGAGCAGAGGTGAATGGCAGTGAAAGTGGACATGTTACAGATTGAATGACAACTTGAAATTAGGCGGCGGAGAAATGGAATCAAGCTTTTCAGGTGGGGTTAGATGGGACACCTTGTTCACGTAGTGGCTATGATGGCGAAATCTCGCATTAAGGCCAGCGGTATTCCTTCACAGGATAACATCCACGAAATATGTAGTAGTTCAAATGCTGGAACACGAAAATCAACCAGTTACAGGATGATATATCTCCGGAGTAGAGCAATCTGTAGGTATCAGTATCCAGCACGCTAAAACCTTGAAAAGATCTTCCTGTACCGAGGCATCCATTCACATATTGAGTTTAAGCCCGCCCATAACTTGACCTTGAACGATTTTACATTTTGAGATCATTATCATGCACGGGAAGTGAATCTATAGCTGGTTGGAAGAGTTTCGTGTGCAAAATGTCGCAATCTGGAAGTGGTGCATAAATTAACCCCTCTTTCTGCAACATCGAATCCTTCTTGCTCAGCTCCCGACTCTCGGCCGCCGGTCCGAGGGACTCTTATTATCTACGTGGTCTGGATCTTCCAAAAGTACGGATGACCCAGCACCAAAACACTAATGTACGTAGCGACATGAGTGGTCCCCCTGGTTGGGTCTTTGGGCCGCCCGGTAGGGGCGGAAGGGCCCGTGTTGCGGCTCGAGCCGTCCATTCCAATTTACGCGAAAGGCAAATTGGGCGATTTAAATCCAGATTAGTTGGCAACGATTCCTTCAAAATAGATTCAAGCCTGTAAGAGTTAAGACCATGGGCGAAAAAAAAAAAAGAGAAATCAGCCTTGCATAATACTTCACAGTCTATTTTTTGGTTCCAATCCAGGGGTGATGGATGGCGTCACTAGCCCCTGATTCTAGGTGAAAAACTTGACAACATCTTACCCCATTCGATACTTTTGATATCTCATTGAATGTATACGAGATTGCCTTGACCAAAACAAGCACACCGAATCGACGTTATCAGTGTTTAAAACGCCCGGTGTAACGTTGAGTCGATTCCAAAGGAACGCATCGTGCTGCGATACTTCAACGTGGTCATAGCTATCACAGTGAATATGTGTGTCAGATCCGCTTTTGGTAAAGGCTGTGCATAATGGATTGCACATCATTCCTCGAAATATCATATCCGCAGCATTACGTACCTCGTATCATTGATTGTTTCAATCCTCGGCCCTTTTAAGTGAATAGAAGAGGCAAATATGGATCTAGCTCTATAATATTGTAATTAACAGAGTGCTTTCCACCTTCCTTTGCCCTATCTTGCATCTCAATAATTATTACGTTCAATCAACTGGAACATGACTTTCTCTGGAGCTCAGGCGGCTGGAAGATCCAAGGCTCTTCAGAGCAATAGTACTGCCAACTTCAATGCCAACTCAGCGATAAACGTGGCCACTGCCCCCAACAACAATCCTGGGCACAAGCCCGCCTGCGACCGGTGCAAAGGACAAAAATTAAGATGTGTGTGGGAATGCGGCTCAGATATATGTCGCAGATGCCGTCGTGCTCAGGCCGTCTGTCAACAGCCGGCTTCCCGTCCGTTCGGTAGGCCTGGTCGTTCTGCTACACACAACACAAGCTTCAAGTGCCAGGATCAGCCAAATTTAAGGGTCTGGCTACCAGGGGGCACGAATAACGCCCCCGCGGAGTTTCAGGAGAGTAACCTCACAATACAAATGCCGACGGCCGACGATGAAGATCGCGCATCAAGTCCTCCTCATGCACATGCCGCCCTTAACCCTCCACGATATCTCGGGCTGGCAGCGCTATCTGCAGACCCCAATGTGCAATTGAATAACATATCTTCGTCCCATAATAGACACGAAGATACAATCAACTGGTAAATTTGCGGACTCCTGTCTTCTCATCTCCCTATTGTGTCCTTGTTAATATAGCCTTAGGGAGGCAGCTCCATTTGCCAACCCCTCAGATGCACATCTGAGAAAGGGATCTGCCTTTGACAAGTCGCAGTACATTCACACTACCACCGATAATACCATAAATGCTGCAAGCACCGACCTCTTTCTAAATTTTGACTCTGATATTATATCTTCGGATCTGGAGTTCAACCATTCTCAGTGGCTCAAGGAACTTGTGATGAGGTGCCTATGATCTACTAGAATAGAGAAGAGTGCGAAGAACAACGAATAACAACGTTGAGGAAAGGAAAAGAAGAGAGAGAGCTATGCTACATACATGTAGGCGGATGCCACTCTCCAGGCCAATCATCTGATTGGCCTGCATCCGAGAGTGGGTCAAACCGCACAAACGTGCAAACAGTGCAAACATACCCGTCCCGAGTCTTCCTCCATGTAGTTATACTACAGAACTTGGTGATCTCAATGTCGCTCTCTATCAACATCCCTTGCATCCCAAGCCTCCTACTCTTTCCCCTGCCGATGCTAGCTGTGCATCATCATCGGGTAACAGCGGTGACATATCAAGACCTACTACTGCCTCCAATACTCCGCTAGCCAGCCTTTCAGGCCTTCAAATGGGCCGCCTTCTTCATGTGACATCACAGCTGGAGGATCTGACTAAACAGACTCATACATCTGAATATGCACTTCCTACCTATAATGATTCAAGTGATATTGATCCCTTTGGTGCAATGAAGGTAGCCATACATGATCGCTCGACATTATTTCAGATAGTGGGATGCTATGCGAGACTAGAACAAATCTATACCCAAACTTTAGCTACCCTCGCTGATATCAAGCAGTGTGGGCTGTTGCCGGACGACACTTATCAGCTTATCCCTAGGGTCATTGTAGATGGGTGCCCTGTGGAATATTGTCAGATTATGCAGCTTGACTCTGTGATCTACATATGCGAACAGACTTTGGACAAGATTCGGCGGAGAATTAACTCTCTCCGGGTGGATATGTAATTAAATGACTCGTTTAGGACAACAGTCCTGGCGATATATTTTTGTAAACTGTGCTGGCGGTTAGCAAGTGAAAATAAGACGGAGTTTCAATAGACTAGGGGGCGCTAGCTACGAAGGAAATGGAATTTTAATTCCAGGTTGAATAGCCTTACTCGCCCAGCCTCACTAGAGGAAAACTAGGGGGTCCTAGGGGAGTTTCAGCGATTAACAAGACAACTACATCTGTAGTGTGCTATGAGACTAATGTCAAACCACTATGATCACCATGATGGTCAATTCATCTCTTCATTTATCATCGTGTATGTGTAACTCTAAGTTTCTCTTTCCACACTTTTCAACTTGACAGCCAACTCAGGTTTTACCCAGAGTCTCATTACTTTACACCTCTCCATCCAATCCTCACTCTTTCCCTGCAGCTGAAGATCAAACGTCCAAATGATTTTGGCAAGAATTAATCTCAATTCTGCATGTGCTAAATTTCTACCCAGGCAACTTCGAGGGCCGAAGCTAAACGGCTGTGAAGCGCTCCTTTTATCGTCCGCGTATTCTTTCTCACCCAACCTAAAGTTTATGACAAAATCAGTATGTGCAGTTGACATATTTTTCCAAGGACATTACCATCTTTCCGGGATGAAGCTCTCCGGGTTCTTAAAGTTGCTAGCTGAGTGATATGCCGCATAGTGACTGACGGATACCACGCATCCCTCCGGTAAGAAGTAACCATCCACGAATTCGCCACCTCGATTTACTGCCCTTCCAAACCCAACAGGCACTGGCGGGAAATATCTTAACCCTTCTGATATAACCGCATTAAGATATGGCATGCCGCTGACAGCTGCAAGCTGAATTTCTTCGTACGTCAAAAACCTCAGACGAACCTCGTCTTTCAGCTTCTTCATGGCTGCTGGATTCTTTAGTAGAAGAAAGGTGAGACCGCTTAATAACGTTGCAGTAGTCTCTGATCCAGCATTGAGAAACAGAAAGGCATTTGAGTTAATCTCTTCGTCTGATAGCTTCGCCCCTCTATTGCCATTGTTGGCTAAGATTAATGTCATGAAGTCTGGACGTGTCGTATTTCGCTCCCTTCTCTTCTTCACTTGACCAGAAACCCATGACTAACAATTAATTTTAGCTCCAATTCAGCATTTAAACCGATTTTGATGGAGTCAGGACGACTTACCAAATATTCCTTGCGCTTCTGAACTTGTCTCTGATCAATAACTAGATTGCCCAAGTACTTAAGCCAGGGGAAGTGAGCAAGGACATATAAGATCCTCAATGACTTGAAAGACTCTAATAAAAGAACCACATATTGGTGTGTTGACAGATCTTGCAGACACCCAAAAGGTTCTCCTAAAGCACGTTGATACTAAATTAGGTCAAACAGTTTAGACATTAGTAATAGTGAAGAATGAACGCACCGAATATCAAATCAGCAATTATGTCAAAAGTAGTCCTGAGACGAGTTAGTATCTAGAGATTTCTTCTTTTTTTTCGGGGCCAACTTTTCATACCAGTTATACCATGACACCATGTCTACCAAATCGTCTTTTGTCGTTGTAGCCTCTCTCAGTCTCGTGATGAGTTGGTCAACATAATTTTGTACCAAAGGCTCCTGCGCTGAAACTGCTCTCTCACTAAAAGCATGGGACAGAATACGGCGACCTAAATTAGACAGAAACAGGTTAAACGGTTAAACAATTAAATCTGCTGGGAGCGTTTCATCGATTATGGTAAAGCCTACCTCTTGAATGGTCTTCGTCATTTGCTTGTAAAATAGATGGAGATCCATTGCTTGGTTTAACATACCATGCTGGATCCTAGTTAACAGTTAGTAAGTTGGGTGATGAAAATTGATCATTCGCGACTGCAAGGTACGTGCCTTACCCATACTCAAATGTCCTTTGAGCTTGCCAGTACGAAAGCCTGTATATTGCGCACATGTGAGCAACTTCCAAACCAAGCGTCTAGCGAGATTAACGAACCATATATTTCTGGAAATACATCCTCTCCATTAATGAATGATACTTCATTTGGTGAAATTCGGACCACATTGCCATACTTCTTGTGCAGATTGACGGAATTCTGTACAGTTGTTCCAGCAATCATATGCCGCGCATACGGTATAATTGAAATCGCATTCAGCCGTGGCCCTGGAATATGACGTAGCTCGTTGAAATATGCGTTATGGAAAACACGAGTCCCAAAGTATACCAAAAGCTAAATGTCTATCGTGAGTTGACGTTCAACTTGCATGTTTGACCGATGATATACGAGGAAAATCATCGCCCATTTGAACACCCACCAGAACAAGAAAGACCCCAGTAAGAATAGCCAATTTAGCTAATCTAGCCTCAAAATCCTCCGTAGATAGTGCGAAATGCATTTTGATCCATGAATCTCTCCAACCGTAGGGTCATAGGTACCTGGCGTCTTATAAATGATAGTACTGAAAAAGCGGGACTCTTGGCACTGCAGAATATTTTATATCCCGAAGTTGTGAGAGAACTTGAAAATAATTGAAATCATATGCTCTCGTTGCACGCATTCCAAAGGTGGAAGATATGAGAATCTGGTCCTCTTCTAGCTAATTGGCTAAGTGGTGGCTCAAGTTTGTGATCGCATAAATGATGTTGCTGTTATACTTCGGCCCCGAAGCTGCCGATCGCCGGAATCCACCGAATCCACGCGCCAAGCATTTTAGTACCGAATCAGTGCGCTTCCACAGTCGCGGTCACCGTCGAGCACGATCCAGCGCGTCGCACTCCTCAGATCTGTTTGAAACAAGTTGATACGATGTTGACACATGAGAACTTTCCGAAAGACTCTTTTCAGGACTGGAAAATAGACTCTCATACAGTCATTGCCGTGATGGCGATAGTGCGTGATCCGGTTCGTGATTCGGTGCATGATTCGGTCACTTCTCTTGCTCTCAATAGCTCGGGCAGAGTCGCAGATAGGACCCACCTTTGCATTTATTCACGTAGAAAATTGCGAGCTGGGTTTTAGGCATGGCGTTAATTGTAATACTGACGCGACCGAAAACCCGAGTGCCAGACAGGCTCCCTAAGTCTGCCTAGCCGTGAGTCTGGGGCCGATAGCCGCGATGCACTATCTCGGACTCAAGCCTCCTGATCTCTCAAGCAAGACCATGGGCGCCTTCCGATCAATGAGAAGGTCGTTGTTTGGATACGAATTACGCATTTCTTTGGACTGCAGTTGATCCTTCGTCTAAGACCCCGAATATTATCAATACCGCCACAATTTTTAAGGTTTGGCTTGGTGGCCAAAATTCGGTGTATTACATGCTGGCCAATCTACCAAGGTTAGCTAAATTGATTGTTGGGAATAGATATCAGAGAACCACACTTCATTTTATCGTTTGAAAGTTGACACTTCATCTGAACATCGCCTCGCCATATTGGCAAGACTTGTGCCGCCATACCTATTCTACGCAACAGAATCGAATCCGTCCATGGTATTCATTGCTTTTTTTGAAGGCAGAACTGTAAGATCAGCAGCGAACATTATTTATCATGGTGCAATCTCAGCCTGAGCCGATCGCTATAGTAGGTAGCGGTTGTCGCTTCCCGGGAAGCTCGAGTTCCCCTTCCGCACTATGGAAGCTTCTGCAGAAGCCTAGGGATGTCTCGAAAGAGCCCCCCAATGAGAGATTTGAGCTGAAGGGGTACTATCTCCCTAAAGGCACGCATCACGGAACAACAAATGTACAGCGTGCGTACATGCTTGACGAGGACGTTGGTGCATTTGACGCCACTTTCTTTAACATCAGTCCCAATGAAGCTGAATCTATCGGTAACATCCCTTTACACTCTCTCATTATTGTTCTACTAGACTTTGGAAAAAGAAAATGCGATGAAGCCATCAAGTATTTAGCTGATCACTAATAACGAGCAGATCCTCAACAACGCTTGCTTATGGGGGTTGTTTATGAGGCTCTTGAATCAGGAGGCCATCGTATCGATACGCTCCGTGGATCAGACACCGCTGTCTACGTGGGCACTATGTCCGTCGACTATAGCGACATTATACTTCGAGATATCAACAGCATGCCCACTTACTTCTCCACCGGAACTTCGCGTGCCATTCTAGCAAACCGTATCTCGTACTTCTTCGACTGGCACGGACCATCAATGAGCATCGATACGGCGTGTTCCTCCAGCATGGTTGCGCTGCACCAAAGTGTTCAATCACTTCGGTCAGGAAGAGTCTCGAGTAGCTATCGCCGGTGGAACAGAATTACTCTTGGGACCAGGTACGTAAAGACTCAAACGGCCTTAATATACTTAGGAAAAGCTAGAACCGTTCGTTTCATACTGACTTATCTCGATATAGAGCAATTTGTGGGCGAGAGCAAGATGAACTTGCTGTCTCCAACTGGGCAATCGCGTATGTGGGATGCCAGTGCAAACGGCTATGCCCGAGCTGACGGCATTGCGGCCGTCGTCCTCAAGAGATTGAGTGATGCTATTGCGGATGGCGACCATATTGAATGTCTTATCCGTCAGACTGGGATCAATCAGGACGGCAAATCAACGGGACTCACCGTTCCCAGTTCCGAAGCCCAGGCAGATCTCATTAAATCAACATATACAAAGGCTGGGTTAGATATAAAAGACCCGAGGGATTGGCCGCAATTCTTCGAAGCCCATGGGACTGGTACTAAAGCTGGTGACCCTCGAGAAGCCTCGGCAATCAATCAATGCCTTGGACGCCAGCCGATACACGGAAATCCCTTATACGTTGGGTCAGTGAAAACTATTATTGGTCATACTGAAGGTACAGCTGGGTTGGCTGGGGTCCTGAAAGCCTCCCAAGCCATACAGAACGGTTTTATTCCTCTAAATATGCTGTTGAACCAAATGAATGAAGAGGTCGCACAGCATTGCAGCAATCTTTGCGTTCCAAATTCTCTTATTCCATGGCCTAAACTACCAGACGGTGTGCCTCGACGAGCAAGTATCAATAGTTTCGGTCGGTGACTTCATTTCCCACATGTGTTAGAGGTCTTTAAGCTAAATTATACCCATAGGGTTTGGCGGCACCAATGGTCATGCGATTGTGGAACAATACAAACCATTCACAAAAATTGCGAATAACCTTGATCGGAAGTCTATTTTCAAGACATTTCCATTCTCAGCATCAAGTGAATGGTCTTTAAACGCCAATTTAGATGCCTATGCTAGCTACTTGAAGGCTGGCGAGCATATCAACCTAGATGACTTAGCATGGACGCTTCAGTCACGCCGTTCCATATTGCCATTTACGAAAACATTTTCAGCGAACAGTATCCAGGATTTGGTCTCTAAAATTGAAGATTCACTTGCACAAGCGAAGGCGAACCCTGGCTCGCCCATTGGCACTCGGTCGGGTTCTGCAGGCCCTAAAATAATTGGCGTTTTCACCGGGCAAGGGGCGCAGTGGGCAGAAATGGCTGCTCATTTGATCTTAACATCAGAAACCGTGCGGCAAACGATTCGGGATCTCGATGCCTCTCTCGCGACGCTGCCCGAGGCCGACCGACCGGCGTGGCGGATTGGGGATCAACTGTGCGCTGACGCTTCATCCTCACGCCTCAACGAGGCTGCTCTTTCGCAGCCCTTGTGTACAGCTATTCAGGTAGTACTGGTGGACCTTCTACGCAGCGCAGGTATCACATTCCAGGCTGTAGTGGGTCATTCATCAGGTGAAATTGCAGCCGCGTATGCTGCAGACTTTATCTCGGCCCATGATGCTATTAGGATCGCATATTACAGGGGCCTGTATGCCAAATATGCCCGTGGTCCCAAGGGTCAGAAGGGTGCTATGATGGCAGTTGGGACCTCTTGGGAAGATGCAGAACAGCTTCTGAATTTCCTGCACTTAGGAGACGCGTCAAGATTGCTGCTCAAAACTCAGCTGCTAGTCTTACACTTTCCGGTGATACTGATGCTATTTCACACGCAAAGCGAGTCTTCGAAGAAGAGAAAAAGTTCACGAGGCTTCTGGTTGTGGATACTGCATATCACTCCCATCATATGCTACAGTGTAACGAACGTTATATTCGATCTCTACAAACATGTGGTATTCAGATCAATTATAGTCGCACCACATCCTGCACCTGGTACTCAAGCGTTAAGCATGGCGAGCGAATGGAACCAAACAATTCACTTGGTGATACGTACTGGAACGATAATATGGTCAACACAGTCCTTTTCGCTGATGCCGTCAAAGGCGCGGCCAATGCAAACAAGTTGAACCTTGCACTCGAAGTTGGACATCATCCGGCACTCAGAGGCCCTGCCGTACAAACTCTTTCAGATCTGCAAATATCCCTTCCATATAGTGGAGCTCTTAAGCGCAAAGCTAATGATCTAGAAGCATTCCAGGATGCATTGGGATTCATATGGACGCATCTCGGACCCAGTGCGGTTGACTTTCAGACCTGCGAGAAACTGATGTACCCTGGTTCTGAAGCCCCCTCACTGGTTATCAATCTTCCAATCTACCAATGGGATCATAGCAGGGCGTATTGGTACCAGTCGCGTTTATCAAAAAAGATCGAAACGCGCGGTCATGCATTCCACGAGTTGCTAGGCGTTCCGTCGCCTAATAACACCGACCGTGATTTACGATGGACCAACTTCCTCAAATCCAATGAAATACCATGGCTAGATGGGCATCAACTACAGGGTCAGACAGTTTTCCCAGCCGCCGGATATGTAGCGATGGCATTTGAGGCGGCGCTCAAGCTTGCTCAAGGGAACAATGTAAAGGTTTTGCAGATCGAAAATCTTACAATCGACAAAGCAGTCACTTTTGATGATGGGCCGAGTTTTGCAGTGGAGACACTGGTGACCCTTACCGGTATAATGGGGGAACAATTTCCTGGAAAGAAACACACTGCGGATTTCTCTGTTTACTCCTGCCCGAATACCGGCACAGTGGAGATGGACTTAGTGTCTCAAGGACATGTTACTGTTGTTTATGGAGAACCATCATTTTCTAATCTATCATCCAAGCCACTCAGTGAGAATAATATGACAGATATCGATGCTGAGGAGTTCTATGCCTCCTTGTACCAGCTTGGCTACGGCTACAACGGTCCCTTCAAGACGTTGAAATCAACCAAGAGAAGACTGAACCAGGCTTTTGGCAAAGTATCTAGTTACGGATATGATGAGGATGATGAAACTTTTATAGTCCATCCAACAATGCTTGATGTGGCATTTCAAGCCTCTTTCCTTGCCTGTATGAGTCCAGGAGATCAGCAGCTATGGTCGCTTCATATGCCGACCTCGATCCAATCCATTCGCGTGAATCCGGAGCTCTGTGCCTCGCTCCCAAGCTCTTCAACGGACCTCGCGGTTTATGCGGTCTTGCACGAATCCGACTCCCTCTCTATGGTAAGCAGTGTGGATGTCTTTGCAGACGACGGTCAGGAGACTCTGATCCAGGTGGAGGGACTATCAATGAAGCCTTTCTCTCCAGCAACGGCAGACGATGACCGCCCCATGTTCTCAACAACAGTCTATGGTCCCATGGAACCCGATGTGACCATGATCCTTGATGCGGATCGTTCGTTGAGTAGAGAAAAGGAAATCGCCGCGGTTGCTCAATCATTGGGTAGCACTGTTAAAAAGATTATCCATCGGTATCCACATGCCAAGATCCTTGAAATAGGCTCTGCAGAGAGGTATGCGGCGGATAAAATCCTAGAAATGGTTGAAGGGAAGCTGTCGTCATATACTTACACTGAAGTTTCAATTGAGTCCACTGAGAAGGCAGCCGATTCTGTCAAGGCGTCAAAACAAAAACTTGTCTTCAAGCAGTTTGATCCTCTCATCAAACCATCCTCGCAAGGGTTCGATGAGAACTCATATGATGTGGTTGTTGCCTCCAATGCCTTCCTAGATAGCTCTGCTTTGCAAGCTACCTTTGAAAACATCCGCCTACTTCTGAAACACGGGGGCTACTTATTAGCTTCTGGGATCCCTACGAAGAAGAAGGATGACTTCAAACAAAGTTCAGGACGAAGCGCTCGGTGGCTTAATTCTCTTCGCGCAGCGGGTTTCTCTGGGATTGACAGTATGGCACCCGAAACCGACGCTGATGGCTTCCACTCTTTTGTTAACATGAGCCAGGCTTCTGATAATCGAATCAATTTCTTACGAAAGCCACTCTCTGCTCCGTTACCCGCTCCTCTGGATGAATTGGTGATCGTCGGAAACCACTCTCTAAAATCAGCCCGCTTTGCAGAAGACATCAATGACATGCTCGTGAGATTCTTCAGAAAAATCACTGTGCTCGAGAGCCTTCCAACCGATGATGATGAGATCTCGTCCGTCTCAACTTTCATAAATCTTGCCGACATCGATGATCCTATCTTCCGTGACGTCTCCCCAGAGAAGGTTGAAGGCCTAAAGTGTCTATTCGAGCTTGCAGGCAGCATTTTATGGGTAACCGAAGGCGCCAGGGCAGATGAGCCATATCACAATTCAAGTATTGGATTTGGTCGTTCAATCGCCTATGAGATGCCGCACTTGTCTATGCAGTTTCTTGACCTGGACAGTACCGATAATGCGGCTCCTCGAATCATCTGTGAGGCTGTTCTCAGACTCGCAGTATTGAAGCAATTGCGAGATACTGAACGAACCTTCAATCCAAGGTATTATGGTCAAGCGAGCCTGAGATATATGTGGAGAAAGGAGACTTGACGATCCCACGCCTTCTCCCGCAGGCTGACCAAAACGCTCGCATCAATTCTCTACGCCGAGCGGTAACGAAGAAAGTGGACCCAACCTCCTGTTCCGTTCTTGTATCACAAGGGGTTGAAGAATCCTCAATTCTATTAGAACAGTCTATTCTACCTGTCTCTCGAGCCGACGAAAGTATCGTCCGTGCAATGTATTCTATTCTGGCTGCCATCCGCGTTACCCCAGAAATCTCACTGTTCCTTGGGGCTGGTGTGGAAGAAGACAGTGGAGCTTTGATGATTACACTGTCAGAAGAGAACTCGTCGATCTTCAGACCACTCGTTCGTGTGGCTGCAGAATGGCAGAAGGAATGTTTATCCACCTTACTTTCGGCTGTCGCCAGACGCCTCATCGCCCGTGCCCTCCTTTCTGCTATTCCTGGCAACAGTCACTTGCTCATCCATGGTTTAGATGAAAATGAACCATTTGGATGTGTATTGACACAACACGCTGCCGTCTCAAAAGTCGATATCAAATTCACGAATGCGGACGCGACAGAGAAGCCAGGATGGACTCGGATTGCTCCCTGGGCGTCTCGCCATGTGGCTAGAAAGGCCATTTCACCTCACACTACACACTTCCTTGACCTTTCTAGTGATGTAGAGAATCAAGAAGCATGCTCCGTAATCCACGGTTCTCTGCCACCCAATTGCAGGACATTGACCGCTTCTGCTTTGTTCAAACACGAGGGGCTTTTGCTGGGTGGAGATAGGGAGAACTTGTTGAGAATCTTGGAGAATGCCGTTCAAGATGCAAAGGAATATGCATCAAGCGAGATCCCAGGCCCTAGCATTCGTCTCACCGAACTGAGTGATGAGCTCATGGTTAAATCTCCAGTTAGCGTCATCGACTGGACGTTGGATAAAACTATCTCCGTTCTGGTCAGACCTATCAATGCCGCTCAACTCTTCTTTGGGGATAAGACCTACGTCTTGGTAGGTCTATCTGGAGAGCTTGGTCGTTCCATTTCTCAATGGATGTCTCTCAATGGAGCTGGCTCCATTTGTCTGATCAGTCGAAATCCCAAACTGGACCCAGAGTGGCAAGCTGAGATGGAAGGACATGGTACTACTGTGAGGTTCATTTCCATGTAAGTATATCAAAGCCTCGCTCGCGAGTTCAGAGTATGCTAAATTTTTTCTAGGGATGTAACAAGGAAAGAAGATGTTGAAAGGGTTTTCAGTGATCTTAGAGCCAACTACCCACCGATTGCCGGAGTCGCAAATGGTGCAGCATTATTCCATGATGCTCCGTTCTCTGAAATGACACACGAAATTCTAGACAAGGTGATGAAGCCCAAAGTGCTTGGTACCAAGAATCTTGATGAAGTTCTCGGTGATACCGACCTGGATTTCTTTATCGTTTTCTCATCCCTCACATCCGTTCTCGGCAATAGTGGGCAGTGCAATTATACGGCTGCAAATGCTTATATGACTGGCCTTGTCGGCCAAAGACAGAAACGTGGTCTTGCAGCAACTTCTCTCGATATTGGTTCCATCATCGGCCTTGGGATTATGGACCGTGCTGGAGAGTCGGCTAGAGAGCAGTTGATTCGGTATGGCTTCATGGCTATATCTCAGGCGGACTTACATCAGCTTCTCGCAGAAGCTATCCACGCTGGTCGTCCCAAATCCGGCCGAAATCCTGTTGTTACTACGGGCTGCCGTACCGTCCAAGAAGAGGAGGAGCCCCCAGTAATGTGGATTGAGGATCCCCGCTTGCAGCACAAGGTGATTTGGGGATCGAACTCCGCTAATACTGATCCCAACAACAAGAGAAGCCCTCTTCCAGTCCATGATCAGCTAGCTGAAGCAGCAAGCTTAGCAGACGGGCTCGAAATCTTGAAAGGTAACATACCATTCCCCCGGAACCTTACTCGCTGCATTCACTAAACTAATTGTCTGTAGAATCCTTCTCCGCCAAGGTAGCAATGATTTCCAGACTTGCTGGTGGGCAAGTGGGCCATGACATTCCGCTTGTTGAGCTTGGAATTGACTCTTTGGTCGCCGTGGAGATTCGTGGATGATTCTTGAAAGAGCTCAAGACCGATATTCCTGTGCTTAAGGTCCTAGGCGGTCCTTCAGTCACTGACCTATGTCAGCTGGCCCTCGAAAAGCTACCGGAAGGTATTCTCCCCATTTTCGAAGGTACAGGCTCGGGCAAGCCAAAGTCCGAAGAAATCAAAACCAAGACTCCCGTTTCGGAGCCCAAATCATCGGCCCCGGTCCCTGTTGCCCAATTTGAATCATCTCGCAATTGGAGTACAAATACTTCTGCCTCTCCAGAGTCAACATCACCAAGCGATGGATCACCGACTAGTACCCCAGCAACAGCCCTGTCCAAAGTCACGTCTTCAATTGATCTAGCTACCCTTGCCGACTCAGAGAAGCCCGTAGCTAGATCCCCTGACTTTGTGAAGAAAGAGCTAGTATCGTTCCCTCAGTCTCGATTCTGGTTTCTCGGGCTTTTGATAGACGACCAAACAACATTCAACGTCACGTTCTATTTCCGCATAACTGGAAATTTGCGTGTTGGAGATCTTGAGCGAGCCGTTCGTCTGGTTACCAATAGACACGAGTCATTACGTACATGCTTCGTGCCTCACGAGAAAGAGGCCGATCTAGCGTATCAGAAGGTGTTGCCTACGTCGCTCATAAGACTTGAGCAGAAGAAGATCAACAGAGTTGAGGACGTTGAAATTGAATATGCTGCTATGAAACAAGTCCCATTTGATCTCTCTAGTGGCAATCTGATGAGGCTGATCTTACTGACCCTTTCCCCATCGGAGCATTACCTTCTTTTCAACTACCACCATATTCTTATGGATGGTGTCAGTTTGCAAAACTTCCTCGCTGATCTTGAAAAGGCTTATCAGAGGCAACCTCTCAGTCCACCCCCATGCCAGGTTCCAGAAATCTCACGCTCACAACGAGCTGCGTTTGAGAGCGGTGCATTTGACGAAGATATTGCATACTGGAAAAAGGAGTTTCCAAACGGGCATCCAGTTCTGCCTCTTCTCCCTATGTCAATTGCAACATCAAGGATGCCGCTCGATTCCTTTAACGTGCATCAAGTTGACTGCAGAATAGGTTCAGAGCTAATAAACAAGATTCGAGAAGCTGCTAGAGTCAATCACGCGACAACCTTCCATTTCTATCTTGCTACGTTCAAGGCTATGCTCTTCCGCTTTACCGATGCAGAAGACATAACAATTGGTATTGCAGATGCCAACAGAATCAGCGCGGACGTTGCGGGAACCATTGGATTACTCCTTAATCTCCTTACGCTACAATTCAAACGCGATGACAATCAATCGTTTTCTATGGGAGTCCAGGAATCGCGAGGAAAGTCATTGGAAGCCTTGACACACTCCAATGTCCCCTTCGATATTTTGCTCAAGGAGCTCAATGTACCACGGTCATCGTCCTATAGCCCCTTATTCCAGTGCTTCTTTGACTATCGTCAAGGCCACCAGGAGAAATGGTCATTTGGCAGCACTCGATTCGAATTCTTGGAACTTCATCCTGGCCGTACCGCATACGATATGACTCTGGATATAACTGATAGCACTGACGGTGCGCGTGTTCTTTTCCGCACTCAGTCCAATCTTTATGACAAGACGGCTGCACAATTGCTACTGAATACATATCTGCATTTGTTGGAAGCATTCGCGACAGATAGCTCCTTGTAGCTGCATACGCCCAGCTTACACAGTGACGGCGAATTGACACGTGCAGCCAAAGCTGGATACGGTGGGTGCCTTTATCTAATTGTGCCCTGGTGTAACTGAATATTAACAGACTTAAGGTCCCCATTTTGAATCCTCATGGTCTGGTGGCACACTTCCTCACCGTATTGACCAGATAGCCAAAGAGAATGCAGATAGGGTGGCTTTGAAAGATGGACATGGAAGAGTTTTCACATATGGCACGATGACTGATCGGATTGAGGCTATCGCTGCGTCCTTGCAAGAGAATGGTGTGGGTCAGGACTCAAGAGTCCTTGTATTTGAAGATGCTACCGCCGATTGGCCCTGCTCTATGTTGGCCATAATGCGTATCGGTGCTGTATACGTTCCTTTGGATCTCCGCAACCCGCTCTCTCGCCTTGCAGATGTGGCAGGTAGCTGCAAGCCAGCAGCGATTCTTGTCGACTCCACCACTCTCGAAGATGTACCACATATTAATGTAACATCTGCGAAAGTAATCAACGTATCAGACATTGGTTCCAAGTCGATTAATGTGCCTAATGCATCCCGTGCGGACGCTGTTGCTGCACTGCTTTACATAAGTGGGTCGACCGGCAAGCCCAAGGGTATTGTTGTGACACACGCGGGTCTTTGCAACGAGATTGAAGGATACACATGGCGATGGGGTTTAAGCGCAGAGCGAGTCCTCCAGCAAAGTGCTTTCACCTTCAATCATTCTTCAGACCAGATGTACACAGGTCTGGTTCACGGGGGTTCCGTCTATATTGTTCCATGGGACAAACGCGGAGATCCAATTGAGGTCACCAAGATTATTCATGAGGAAGGAATAACGTATACCAAGGCCACCCCTGCTGAGTACTCGCTTTGGCTCGATTATGGTAATGAGAATCTCAAACAGGCTTCTGACTGGCGATTTACCTTTGGGGGTGGTGAGTCTCTGACAGAAACACTCACAAAGAGTCTTGCAAAGCTGGATCTACCTGATCTACGATTCTTCAACTCCTATGGTCCTACGGAAATTTCTATCTCGTCCACGAAGATGGAGGTCATGTATCGCGAACCGCAACCTGTGGGCCGTATTCCATGTGGCTTCATGCTTCCTAACTATTCAGCCTATATTCTTGATGATCATCGCAAGCCAGTCCCCCTCGGTATGCCAGGAGAATTGTATATTGGCGGTGCAGGCGTGTCCCTCGGCTATCTAGACAACCAGAAGCTGACAGACAAACACTTCATGCCAAACCCATATGCCTCACCAGAGTATATCGCAAAAGGCTGGACCCGTATGTACCGAACAGGTGACATCGCTCATCTTCAAGAAGATGGGGCAATGGTGTTCCATAATCGTATTGCAGGTGACACGCAGGTAAAGATTCGCGGCCTACGAATTGAGCTAGGCGACATCGAAAGCAATATTATCAAATCATCCGGCGGCGCTCTGAAAGAATCTGCCGTTACATTGCGCGGTGATGATCCCCCAGTCACGGTCGCACATGTAGTGTTTGCGCCTAATCATCAAGTTGTCGACGCCGAAGCATTCTTGGCCCAGCTTTTGAAGAACCTCGATGTAGCCGTGCCACGTACACTAATCCGGCTACCCCGAATTAGTGTCCCCCACCGTAAAGGAAAATATCACCGTAAGGGAAAAAAATCACCAAATCTTCAATTTTTAACTACATAATAAAAGTATTGTGATAACCAATTACATCACCATTCGCACCAAGAATTTCTGTAGATACTATACTATTTTAACCTCTAACAGGACTTTAGGAAGATATCTTTACATCGCATTTTTTAATCTCTCTTACTACTTGTCTTTCCTCTACTATATCTTCTTTCTTACGCCGCTTAGTAATAGATCGATTTGTATCTTTTACATATAGAATACTATTATTTTTGAGGTTTAATAATTATCTTTTAGTAGTTTTTTTAGCTTGTAAGGCTTAAATTTGGGCTATTTTTACGATTGTAGTTGATATATTCTAGATAGCCTTAATATAAAAATTTATCTCGGTAAGGACTTACTTAAATCTCTATTTTAATTTAGGGGTAATACTATCTAATTCTATTAGTGGAGCTAGTTTTTGTTGGTGTTTTTGAATGTTTTTGATTATCTTTGAAGGTATATTTTTAAGACTTAAAGATAATAGATTTTCTGGGGGTAGTAATAGTATATTCTGAAGGCTAATTGATATATTAAAAATCGGAGGAAGTATATCTTCTAGTAGCTTATAAATAATCTTAGTATTAACTAGATAAATGTCTCTTTCTTAGAAGGAATTGTAGTAAACTTACTATATTAAAACTTTATCTCTAAAGCCTATAAGATCTTTAAGAAATAAATTTTTGTTGGCTATAATACTACTACCCTACTGTGAAATAAGATTATTTTGTTGACGAAAATAGGCCTTATAAGCTAAAAAAGACTTACTATCTAGAGGTTGAATATAATTAGTCTTATTTACTAGAAAGTAAAAAATCTTTATCCTCTTCTATTTAGTATATATTAAGAATTGTATAGTTAAATAGGAGCTATAACTATTAAGAAGAAGAATTCTATACTCTTTATGTCTTATATGATACTATATTTCTTAGTTAAATCTTTTAAGCTAAGATACTATAAGTTTATTAATTATATAGTCTTTTTTACCCTAACCACCCTATTATCTAATTCTAGGGTAAATTAGTATTATACTATAACTTTATTTAATGATATTCTTTAAAGATAATAAGTAGTTCTATTTGCTAACTATTAGCTATAATACACTTAGCGATTGTTACTTACTCTCTATATTCTTTACTGGTGAGGCGAGGAATTTTTGATTAATAATATGTAAAGACTTTCTGGGTTTGTCTTTAGCCAAGCTGGAAGCTAGTCTTATCAAAATTGTAGATGAGTCTCTCGGGCATACTGTAATGGTTACTAAGTTGTCAGGCTAGAGACCTGTGACTAGGCAAGGATATCGGATGGTAGAGATCAAATAGAACAGTTGATATATAGAACTGATTCTTGCAGGACAAGAATCGTAGCTATTGTTCGTGCGTTTTAATATTGCTAGAGCTTGCTAGGGCTTAGGGCAGTCATGCATTAGCGGGTGTATCGTAGTAGATTCGCCCGCGGAGCGGCTATGAATCGTACCCGAATCGTACCCGAAGGGATTCAGGAATCCCGTGACACATACTGTTTATAATATTAGCTAATAAATTATATTAATACTGTAGGATAGCGATATCTTTATTACTTATTCTCTTTGAATCGGTGACTTTCTAATATCTTAGCCTAAAACTATCCTTAGAATCATTATTATCTTTAGAGAACCTTTTTATAAATCGATAGACCTAGTTTTTACTAACTATTCGATCTAGTATTGCCGATTGAGTAAGACTTATATTTGCCTATTGTTCTATAATATTTGGTGTTAATAGAATAAATATATTGTCTAATAACTTGATCTAATGTATCAAAGCAGCTTCCTGCGTATCATTTAAAGCCTTATTCGTAGGTTTTCGTTGGTTTCTAGGCATTGAATTTTTACGGACGCGAGTCCACAAAACTTTAGGCGAAATCCTATATTCCTCAGCAATGTGCGATAAATTTGGCTTTTCAAGGGTAGAGATATATCTAATAGCCTCTTCTATACAATATTCCTTATTTTCATAGAAATCGGCCATAGTTAAGGATGTGAAATTGATGGAATGGGGTGGGTGAAGAGATTTTTTCCCTTACGGTGATATTTTCCTTTACGGTGGGGGACACTAATTCGGGGTAGCCGGATTAGTGTACGTGGCACGGCTACCTCAATACATGGTTCCCGTGATGGCCATTCCATTGGATCGAATGCCTTTGAACAATCATTCAAAAACAGACCGCAAAGCACTCAAGGCTCTTCCAATTCCTCAGAAGTCCAAATCTACCGATGAGAGCACCACAGAAGTGTTGTCGAACACAGCGCTAGAGCTTCGACAACTCTGGCTTGATGTGCTTAACACAGCGGATGTAGCCTTCGACATCGGGCCTTCAACAAGCTTTTTCACCGTTGGTGGAAACTCATTGCTTATCGTTCGCCTTCAATCCCGCATCCGCCAACATTTCAACGTCACAGTGAGGCTTTTTGATCTGCTTGATGCCGGTACTCTCAATGAAATGTCGCAGAAGATTGAAAAGAGCTTGACTGTCGACCTAATAGACTGGGAGAAAGAGACTGCTTTGGAAAGCAATTTGAACATGACAGAGCTCACCAGTCGCCAACCGCTTAGAACGACTGACAAAGTGGTACTTATCACTGGCGCAGGAGGCTTCCTCGGTAAGGATATATTGGCCGAACTCATTGCCCGAGAAGATGTATCCAAAATCCACTGCATCGGCCTTCGCGACAAACCAGGCAACACACCTCGTCGCCTAGCCGTCACATCACCCAAGATCGTCACTCATGGTGGTGACCTTACCGAAGAATGGTTTGGTCTTGGAAAAGAGACCTTTACATCTTTAGCCGGTGACGTTGACGTGATATTGCACATGGCCGCAGCGCGGTCCTTCTGGGACAACTACAGTCTGCTCCGCTCCAACAATGTGACAACTACAAAATTATTGGTCCAAATGGCAGCAGCTCGCCAAATCCCAATCGATTACGTGTCTAGTGCAGGTGTCCTATCACAGGAAAGTGCCGACAGCCCTGCAGGCTCAGTAGCAAAGCACACTCCACCCGCCGATGGGTCAAACGGCTACATTTCGTCTCGATGGGCATGTGAGCAAATTCTCGAGCACGCCGCATCAGAACTTGGCGTTCCTGCCTCCATTCATCGTTTCGTACCAGCTAAAAACCCCGCGAACAATGATGTCCTGACAGAAGCACTGCAATACTTCGTCAGCTTCGTCGACAATCTTTCAAGTATGCCTGACTTTGGCAGCACGACCGGCCATTTCGAGATGACTCCTGTCCATACAGCCGCTACTGAGCTTACTGCGAATCTGATGAATGGCTCGAAACACCCTGGATCGCCGTTGGAATTTATTCACCATTATTGCCATGTTCGCATTGACATCCCTGAGATGGTGGCTTTCTTGCAGAAACACCGCGGAGGCAAAGATTTGCAACTTGTTCCGGGGCTCAAGTTTATTGGGGATATGAAGCGAGCGGGTTTAGCTTATTTTGTAACTTCTCAAGCACTGCTTATGGGTGAAGATAGAAATTCTGTTATGAAGTCGACAAGGTGATCTGCCCTTATGCAGGTGCCTTCCACAATATATTGATACAGACAGTCGTTATGCAAAGCTTTTAGTTCCTGTGTTCAAATGAGGATTAGCGCATCTCTTGGTTTTGGTCACAGTAACACTAATCCTAATTAGGAAATGCTAATACATTCCTGGACTCGCTCCAGCCGGTCCTGGGAATCTATAGCAGACCTCTAGGAGCAGATTCAGCTCCCAGGAACAGTAAAACCTCGATGAATCAGCTTAGAGGTGGTTGCAACAGTGTCAGGGTGTCACGGGCCTAGACCTGGCAGACGGGCGGGTTTGGGCGGGCTTGGCTGCCCGTGGCCCCTGCCCGTTGGGCTGGGCCCCCTGTACCCCAGCCCGCCTATAGGCCCGCCAAGAGGCTTACCAAGTCTGTATAAAATTCATAAAAATTCGTAAAAATCAAAATGTCAAGTAAATTATATATGACTATAAAATTTGTATCAGGGTATAGCCTCAAATAGTATTTTTGCTTCTAAGCCTTTTATCTTATTTTTAAACAATATCTTTAAATATAGTCAACTCTCAGTTATTGCACACCCTTCTATCCAAGGAAAATTGTGTGCAATGGGCGGGAGGTGCAATGATGAGAGAATTATGTAATCAATTGGTCAGCTAGCCCTAAGCCCTATTGCCTATTTAAGCTTCTATCCTATATCCTCTAAGGTCACCTGACGCTTCTCTTCTATCTGAATTCGGCTGAAATCACTGATTAAGCTCTTAATCTGATGTATATGGTTAGATGTGCTCTTTTCTTTGTTTCCAGCCTATAGTAATATACCCTGTAGATAAACCATGACCTTAGAATTAGATAATATCTCTAGTAGTGGGCCGTTTTCTTCAATATCTTGTGCTTCCGAGCTCTCTGTATCAATATATATGTCTTACCTATCGGTCTTATCTTACCTATCAGTCTTATCTTGCCTATCGGTCTTATCTTTAACAATATCTTCCTCTATTGGATTTAAGAATTGATTAAATAGTATAATATTATTATGACTAAGCTTCTTAATTGTTTTATTGTATAGAGTTTGAATCTTACTAGTCAACCCTGGCTTAGAAGTTGGAGGATATAGTTCAGAATTAGTTTTGGTCTGATCTTTAGAGTTTAGACGAATCAAAGAGCTTTTAATAAAATAATTCTTAATTGTTTGATCTAATACTGAGCTCTTCTAAACTTAAGTGATCTAAAATAGTATATAGGAGATATTTATCTGAATATATGGGTTAAGACCTTGATTAATAATAGTAATTATCTATTTTATTTATTTCTTCCGATAATAGTGTTTTAAATTTTAAATGATTCCTTGATCTAACGGTTGATAAATAGATATTGTGTTTACTAGGAAAAAAAGAACCTTGATATAGGTAGGTAGCGGGGTAGACTTTAGGTTAGTAATATATAGAGAAGTATTATCTAAAAGTAGTAGTGCTTTCTTATATAAAGGAATATACTTATAAAAAGTATATAACCATTTTACTATAATATTTTGATATATCTATACTTTTTTATTCGAATACTAGATATATCCTAAATTTTAGAGATTAACTTCTCGGAGAGTATATAGTGTTTTTACTTTTCTAATTAATTATAAAGGTATTTGGTTTAAACTATCTATATTTATTATTATAATAAGAGAGATTCGAGTCTTATCTTTCTTTTTTCCGGTAATTTTTCTATTAGAAAGACCCCTATTTAGTATTTATCGCCAGAATAGACTAGTTTTATCCATATTGTATATCTTAGATAGTTTATATTGATCGTATATCAGACGAATCCTTTTCATCTTATTATAAATAGAAGATAGGACTGAAGTAGCTTCTCTATAGAAAGTATAATATTGTAGATTATATTAGTTTTTAAAGCATATAAGCCAACTTTCCGAGAAAGTAGGTTTTTATTGATTTTAATATTTAGGGATTCGAGACTAAAACTTATTTGCTTTAATCTGAATTAAAGAGCTAGTGATTAGATAATTACTATTAATATATCTAATAGTCTAATTAGAGAGCTTTTAGTCTAATATAGGCTAAAAAGATAAGGAAGTATATATATTTAACCCTGTAGGCCCTGTATTAAGATATTTATATTAGGATAAAAGAATTCTTGAGACTGATGTATGATTAATCTTATAGTTAAATTGGGACTGAAACTAATCTATATATATAGATTAGGTCGGTTTAGGGTTAGAATTAGACCAAAAGGTATGTAATGTCTGCTTCTGTATGTCTGATATATCTAATCGGCTACGTTTTGGTAGTAGTAGGGTAGCTTATATGGCTGGTCTGATGTATAGTAGGAGTAGAAGATTAGGCTTTTTAGACATTCTGATTAGTCGATATTGATAACTAAGCAGATAACTCAGCTGAAAAGTTATGTGAAAAGGTGAGTGTGAAATAAGCGGGAGATTTGTATATAAAATCAAAAAAAGTGGGTCCATCCAAGCAAACTGTGTCTCATATGCGGGAGTGTGTAATAAGTCGGTGTGCAATAACTGAGAGTTGACTGTATATATATCTATATATTGTGATCTGTAATTTAAGTTGTCATGCTAGAGACCTGTGACTAGGTAAGGATATCGGATGGTAGAGATCAAATAGAATAGTTGATACACAGACTGATTCTTGTGGAACAAGAATTGTAGCTATTGTTCGTGTGTTCTTATATTGCTAGGGCTTAGGGCCGTTATGCATAAGCGGGTGTATCGAGGTAGATTCGCCTGCGGAGCGGCCATAAATCGCACCCGAGTCGTACCCGAGGGGATTCAGGAATCCCGTGACATGATCTATATCCTTCTTAAATAATATCTTATTCAAAGGAAATTCCAAAAAATTCCAAAGATATATTACTAATACCTCGCTATCCCAGGTTCTTTAAGTATCTTAACCAACAGGAACCCATAAGAGATCTAGCGATGACAAACTCAAAACGCTCCAGGACTAGCCCCACTAGAGATAATTCTAACTCAGAAGACCAATCGATCCAATCATTAATAGAAGGATCTACTAAATCTATCAACGGGACTAGTAAGCCAGAATCTTCACCTACAAATATTACACTACGCTTATATACTAATCGGAAAGTCCCTCCCTATTTTATCAAGAACCAGGTTCCTCTTCAAAAAGTGAATAAATTAATAGCATATTTTACAAAACAAAGTAGACCACTGGGTCATATGTGATAAAGAGCTCTATCTACTTCAATCAGAGGACCTTTTATAGCAAATCCAGCAGTCGAGTAAGCATATATATTATATAATAAAGAGGTAAATACACAAATCTTTATTGGCCATGAAACCAGTTTAAGGCACTGTATTTTTTATAAAGCCTACTATTACTGTATATAAATACGTAGGATCTGTTAATGAGATTCAAGAAAATTAGGGTTAGGGGCAGCGGAGCAGGGAAGAAAAAAGAACCTCTAAAAAGGCAGTAAAGAGTATACACCAATGTGCAACAGATTCTTTAGTCAGCTTCGTAACAACCACTAGCCCTTTTTAAAATGCTATTTTGGGTCTGCGATACTGTTTTAGATGTCACTGTTTTGACCTGCGACGCGCAGTATATGGCAGATGACAGACAAGGATTTCAAATATATGGACAATCTTTTTCGGACAGTAAGTCCAAGCTCCTGAAGATGAAGGAATAGATCCTTAACTATCACGATCGGGTACCTCCAAGAATATATATTTATTGCCCTATATGCCGATGCAGCCGCCTCTACACTCTATATCACAACATAGATATAATCTCTACATACAAGCGGTCAAATTAATTTCGATCTACGGTGTAAAGTATTACCAGGAACGATATTGGGATCCAAAAAGGGCTCTATAAACGAATTTAAAGAAGTTGACCTTGCAGAAAGGTATCTTGTCCATAAATGCGTCCAGCTTAAACCCATCTCTACCTCAATCCTGACATCGGAATCTTAGAATCATTAGTATGAGTTACCCACTCTCGCACCTTTATATAATAATTCTGGAGACTCGTAACCAACCTCATAAGCTTCTTTAATTCTTCTTCCTCGTCCATAGCTGTGCCCTTTCATCGTCCTTCCTGTCCGTCCAGGCCGCCATGTGCTCAAATATAGCCTCCTCTGGATGTTCCATACAGACATGCCCATAAAATCCACCCAGTGGGACATATTTATCGCAGGCGCTGCACAAACGGTGACTGGTTTCTTTCATATGTTTGCGTCTCGATGGTTCGTCAGGCAGGGGATGATTGCACGTTTCACAGCGACTCGGGGCCGTATAGCCATCTATTTGGTAGGCGTCAAGCTTGACCTCGTCCGACATTATTTTAATTGATTGTTGTTTTGAATTTCGGAATGGCTGATGTCAAAAGATAGGTATTAAATTTTCTTTTGAATTATACCCCGCTCTCCCCTCGTGGGTATTCGCTTAGCCTCTTTGGCACAGCCTTGTGGCCCCGGGGGCCAGGGTTAATTCGGACACCAAAGTTATAGGTAGAAAGGGTACCGTTCCTTGCATTGAAAGCCGCCATTTTCGGCGTCAACTCATATTGTAGATGTAATTCATTCTCCAGTGGCTGCACTGAAAATGACCACAAGGTATCTCAGTTGGGTTATGTAGTAGTACGACATCAGAATCCGTGCCTTGCCACATTACTGTCGAATAACCGCAATCGTGCGTCACTGGGAAGCGATTGGAGAACACGGGCCATGACGTTGGGGGGGGGGGGGGTGGAGAGATGGAGGATGTGCGCAAGGCGAGAGACAGGTGAAACGAGGTTTCCTTGCGGCGGCGCCACAGCATTGTCATTTTTACAGCAAACAGCCCGATGAAATCTCATCACCCCCATATATTGACAGTGACATTAGGTTTTTGTCCACGTCGTGAGAAGGGCAGGAGTGGTGGACACTTCTTATAAGTGGGCAATGATCCTTTGATCAGCAAAAGCAGCAAATAAGAGCATTTCTTGGCATAGAAAACGGACCAATCAGCATCGCAAAACGTAAAGCTCGACTAACTACTGTATAGTCGGGCCCGACCCCGGGGGGGGGCTCCGCATTAAGAAGTCTTGGCAAGGGGGGGGTCGTGTGGGTCTCTAGAAGAAGTGGGTCTGAGACGACCTCCCCTCCTAAATCTCTAGTTTTGAGATATTATGATCGCTGTTTTGAGAAGTCTACTAATTAAATTATAATCTAATATATTATTAAAAAATATAATAAGATATATCATTATAAAGGGTAGACCCTAGCTAGTTTGTATTTTAGGAATTTCAATTTTGATAGGGGATGACAAAGCGATTGACCGCGGATAGACTATACTCCTTTAGGATATCTTATTAGAGATAATGTAATGGTTACTAAGTTGTCAGGCTAGAGACCTGTGACTAGGCAAGGATATCGGATAGTAGAGATCAAATAGAACAGTTAATATATAGAACTGATTCTTGTAGGACAAGAATCGTAGCTATTGTTTGTGCGTTTTAATATTACTAGAGCTTACTAGGGCTTAGGATAGTTATATATTAGTAGGTATATTATAGTAGATTCGCCCGTAGAGCGGCTATAAATTATATCTGAATCGTGTCTGAAGGGATTTAGAAATCCTATGATAATTTATCCTCCCCTTTCAATAATAGTTAACTTAACTATCTATATAACTTATATTTAATTAGGTAATTTATATCTAGTAGTATTATATTAAATAAAGATTCTAGGACTAATACTATCTTAGGTGTCTTTATATATAGATATAAATAAAGTAATATAGGTTCTTTAATATCTTTGAGATAAGAGCTTCTCTTCTATCTTTTTTACTCTTATTTTTCCCCTTTTCTCAGCTTTTAATTCTTAACTCTCTATCTTCTTACTCTCTACTTTTATCTTATTTTATTTTAATATATCTAAGGCTACTACTTCTAGTATTTTTAGTAATCCTCCTTACTATAGTGGTTATTATACAACTAGAGATAAAAGTTAAGCTAGAGATAGAGATAATAGTAATAGTAATAGAGATAATAAGATTAATAGAAGTAATAGAAGTATTACTAGTATTTCTACTAGCTTATACCCTCTTTATAATTAAATTACTTATCTTTCCTTTATATTCTATATTAGATATATTACTAAAATAACTCTTTGTCCTCCTAAGGATATTATTCCTAAGATCCGTTATAACTAGGATTATATAAACTTAATTATTTATACTTTATATAAAAAGTATAGTAAAAATTACTTTTAGATAAGGTTTTTTTCTAAATTATATTCGATTTAGTACTAATTTATCTTAGATACCTTATAGAATTTATAGTAATTTATATTAATTTTAGTTAATCCTTAATTAGATATATAAAGTTTAAAGTAGTAGTATTACTATAATAGTTATTAGTAGTACTATACTTACTTAGGGTAAAGAAAGTAAAGCTATAGCTATAGAGGGATCTACTTATCTCCTAGTATTTTTCTAAAAGATAATCTCTATTTATCTTTCTAGTTATAAGCTCTATTTTGATTTATAGAATATAGACTAAGCTATAGGAATATATACTATATTTATTATTAAGTGATAGAAGAAATTAAATATTAAGACTAATTTATCTTTTACTTAGTCTTCTTACTATCCTAATAATCTTTTATATCTATAGATTAGTAATACTAGTTTTACTCTTTAGTAGAGTAATATTTAATCCTTCTTTATAGAGATTATAGTAAGATATTAGTATAATATAACTCTAATTAAGATTATTTTAACTCTAGCTATAATAGTAATAATTACTAATATTAAAATACTTATAGCTTAGTATAGAATTCTATAGTAATTTATTATTTTTACCTTACTTATCCTTCTCTTTTTTAATTAAATAGCCTTATTTAGTATAGCTTTTCTTTATCTAGTATTGATTTGAAGGTAATTTAGGGGAGTTTCAGGGGGTTTTTAGTATTATTAAGATACTATTTTATAAGCTTAGTTTTTCTTAAATAAAGCTATTATATTTTTTATATTTTCTAAGTATTCTACTAGTTTTTATTAGTTATATTCTAAAGGCTATCTTATTTATTTTATATAGTAATATAATACTCTATTAAAGATTTTTTTATCTTAAATCTCTTTAACTTCTTATTCTTCTTTATCTTTAAGTTCTAGTATTAGTATTTATAAGTTATTATTATTTTAACTATTCTATAGTTTAAGAAGAGAGATAGAGAAGATATTATATAATCTTAAGTATTTTTCTAATAATATAATATAATAGACCTAGATACTAATTTTTATAAGGATATAGAAGGGTCTAATTTAATAGAGGGATAATTTCTTTTCTTTAGCTTTAAAATAGAGATTCTTTATTAAAAGAGATATAAGGGTTCCTACTTTAAAGTCCTTTAGCTTATAATTTTTATTATAGGATCTCTATTATATTTCTTATACAATTTAAAGCTTATTTATAGTCTTTTTATAAATATTCTAGAGGTAATTTACTTATTTTTTAGTATTAGAAGCCTTTTTCTTAAGTATTTTATTAGGAGTTTAAATTTAGAAATTAGGATTATATCTAAGTAATATATAAAAAGAAATCTTATTAGTTAATATATTAATAGTATTATTATATATAAATTATACTATCTTAAGAAGTTAAGCTTAATTTAACTATTTCTTATTAATAAAATACTTAAGATAATCTTCTAAAACCTAGTTAAGTCTTTCTATTTATCTATTAGTTTAAGAATAGAATATAATAAAGAACTATAGTTTAATCTTAAAATAGTAATAAAGTTATAACTAGAACTTATTTATAAAAATAGATCTTTAATTAGAGATAATTCTCTTTAGGTTTCTATATTTAAGTTTAATTTAATTAAAGAAGAGTTTAGTAAGATCTTCTATAGATATTATTATTAATATAGAGAGGAATTAAAAAAATTTTATAAGTTAGTAGATAATTACTAGGATTATATTATATTTTCTTCTTTTAAAGATTATAATTAGAAGTCTTATAATAAAGTCTATACTTAGCTTTATAAATAGTCTATAAAATATAAGAAAGGGTTAGAGTTCTTTATAAAAATAATATCTAAATACTTTAACTCTTTAATATATTAAGTATATTTTAATATATTTTTATATATTCTTTAATAGATATTCCTAATAGAATTTCCTTTTTAGAAGTTCTTCTATATATATTCTTCTAAAATATTCTATAAGTTATTTATTATAATAAAGCTTAATTAGTTTTTGTTTTAGGTTCTTAATAATAGGGATATAGAGATATCTTTTATAATATAAAAGTTTCTTAGAGTTAATACTCTAATACTTTCCTTATAGAATATCTTCCTAAGTTATATTAATTCTTTCTTAGACTATCTTATTCTTATCTTAGAGTTTTTTAATTAATAATTTTAATTCTCTTAGGGATTTATCTATAAGTAGGTCTTTATTTATAGTTATAGTAACTATTATTTAAGAAGATATAAATTAAAAGTAACTTAAAATCTTATAATATATTATATTATAGTCTTAACTTAGGAAAAACTTAGTTATATTATAGTCTTAACTTAAGAAAACTTCTTTATTATCCCCTAGATCTAAATAATTAGCTTTATTAGACTTATCTATAGTCTCTCTTAGATCCTTCTAATCTATAGGAATAGTAATATTATTTTAAACCTAGTTTAGCTCTAACTCTAGGTTATTAGTTAAGCTATTTATAGTTAGAGAGAAGGATAGTAATAAACTTCTATAAACTAATATAGTTATAATTATTAATTCTTATTTCTCTCTATTTTCCTCTCTAGATAGTATTATATTAGTAGTAAATTACTATACTTTTATAAATAATTTAGCTATAATTCTCTTATAAATTAGTCCTAATATCTCTTCTATAGATAGAGGTTTCTTTTCTCTTAGAATATAGAATAACCTATTTATAGGATTAGTCTTTCCTAAGTAATAATATATTATAAAGTTAAATAGAGTAAGAAAAAGATACTAATATACTTATCTTCTATTAATCTTAGGTTAATCTATAAATAACTTTAGGTTATAGTAATCTATTAGAATCTTAATCTAATATTAACTTTTTTTAAGATATTAATACTAATATTTAAATAAGTAAATAATTATAAATAGCTCTTAATCTAGTATTATATAGTTCCGTTCTATAAATAAGAATTTCTTTAACCAGAAAGTAATTAGATACTATATTCTTTAATTATCTAGTTATAAAAGGATTCTACTTATTCTAAAACCTAAAGTATTAGTTTTAAGCTAGATAGATCTCTCTAAGTTGAAGTATTATAAGAGAGATATAATTAAAAAGATATTAATAAGAT